GGCTTGAACAAGCGCGAGGCGGAGGAGAAGCGTGAGCCCGAGACAGCATACACGGTTCGCGGCCTGAACTAGTGCAAGGCGGAGGTGGAGACTCCGACTGTGATTCCTGGGAAGTGGACACGCCGATGGGGCGAGGGGTGATGAGAGGAAACGAGATGAAGTCGGATGTTGTCTGCCCTGCTGACTACAACTTCCTTTCTCGGCAATCGAATTTTCCGTTGATTACCTTAGGTTATGAAGCTTCGTACACAGATGTATCGCGTCCCCTTTATCCTGCCATCGCCGTGGTCGTTGCACATAGTACTGTCTTGTATATGCAAGCCGGCTCGTCGGAGATTTCGTTGCGAGACGTGTCGACATCACTATCGTATAGGGATGACGAGTGCTAACATCTACGAACTTGAAGCCAGTAACACGACGAGATTGGAATATAGACCTGCAATTCCAGCCAGTCTATACGCAGCTACGTACCAAGTTAAGAGTTCTTCAAGCTTTGCTAGCGCCCCATAAACTGCTGGATGAGCCCGATACTCCGCTCCACATTGAAGGCTAGGACGGCCCACATCGATACGATACTTCGCATTACATCTAAGCCGTGACCCCGCGGTGTTCCCTTCCATGATGTGCACAAGGATGGCCCAGGATGCAGTGGTGCTCATGCTTGCGTTGGCTGTTGAGCCTTGCGTTGCTTCTGGTTGCAGCATGTCGGGATGCTCACGCCGGCGCCACGCCTGCTAACAACGCAGGCCTGCGGAACGATGGTGATCTCCACACTTTTGTCACGGTAGGAACGATGCCTTCGCTCACAATGCAATGCCCTTGACTAAGTTTGCGCCAGAGGCCCGACATTCGATCGCCGAAATTCATCAACACCGTGAACAACGTGGACAAAGTGACGCCGGGATACCTGTTTCTCGCTCCGTACGACTGTCTGGAGTGCGAGTCTCCCTCGAGTCTCTACATCTCACAGCAGATTGGGCCTCATATTTACGACGGCCATGGCGTATGCATTGAATCATCGACCTCGAAAGCATCTTGCTGACGACTCGTATGTGTCAGGAGCTTGTTTGGAGTGGCGCCAGCGTGGCTCGCAATAGACGCGCTTTCGACTTCAAGGTCACGACTATCGGCGGCGTGGGTCATCTTACGTTCGTAGCGCCCAACTCGACCTCGCGCTCGGTGTTCGGACACAGCGTCGGGTATATAATCGACGCTACCCTCCAACTCAAGGCACAAGTGCATCACCCCGACGATAAGCAGGACTTCCATGAATTCACCACACTGCACGATGGTTACTCTGCCATCATTACGCTTCGACAAGAACGACAGTCCAGCAGTCCTCGCACCACGTTTCTCGACCGTGGATTCCAAGAGGTACGCATCCGCGACAACCACGTTCTGTTCGAATGGTGGGCCTCGGAGCATCTGTCTTTGGAAGAGAACATCTCGCCCAGCGTCGAACAGGGCATATGGGATCCGTTGTGAGCATGTTCCACTTCTGCTTGAAAACCTCGATGCTGACGTCAATCCGACATAGTCACGTGAATGCAATCGAAAAGACTGACAATGGCGAATACCTTGTCTCGGCCAGGGCAACAGATACAATTTACCTGTTGTCCGCAGAAGACGGCCGCGTGATCTGGCGGCTCGGCGGGACGAATTCCGATTTTCGACTCGACGGCTTCACCTTCAGCCGCCAGCACGATGCACGACTGCGCTCACGCAATGACACGACAATACAACTTTCCTTCCTTGACAACGCATACGATGGGATTGGATCAACGCCGACAGCCGAGCAGTCATCATTGCTCACCGTGGCGCTTCATCTCACCACCTCACCGATGACTGCGACGCTGGTCCGCCGTATTCCACGACCAGATGGACTATACACGTTTGCAAGAGGCAACATGCAAGTACTCGACAACGGCAACGTCTTGGCCAATTGGGGCGACAATGCATACATCACAGAGCACACCGCCGGCGGCGAACTGGTGTTTGAAGGATCATTCATCTCTAGTCGCCTGCTCAACTATCGTGCGTACAAATTCAATTTTACTTCCTACCCGACTGATTGGCCGGTGGCGAAAGCCATGGTGTCCATCAACGCTCAGCAAAAACCCATCACTATCATTTACGTGAGCTGGGACGGAGCCACGCAGGTGCATAGCTGGAAGGCATACGCGGTGAAGAGCGACAACGACCCCGGCATTGTCATTGGTGAGACGCGAAAGACGGGCTTCGAAACGTCGCTCGTCTGTCAAGGTTATCATTCGCGTATTTCCGTGGAGGCGCTCGACATGAACGGCGAAAGACTGTCGGAGTCTCCCATCATCATCACCGAGCTGCCACTCGGCTGGGATATCGGGTCTACCGACGGCATCTTTCCTCGACTGGGGATTGACCGACGTTTCATTTCGACCTTTCTTGCTGGCATGGTTGTCATGTTTCTCCTCCTACGAGTGCGCACGAAACGAAGTAGAAGAGTGTTGCCTCGTAGTTGAACGGGGTGTCAACCTCTGGCGATGACAAGTGGATATAGTTCTTCATACTTCATCAAGATATATACCCCAATTCAGTGAAAGCCTTTTTGTATATCCCCAGCAACACCCCCGATTTTCGAGCATTATACTCATCCATAAACTCCCCTTTGGCTATAGTCACAGCAGAGGCCTCCCGCTTCGTGCTCGCATAAAGCTCCCTATCATCAGCATGCTCCCTTAACCAGTCGCGGAAGATACGGTGCCGCTCCACCTCCGGACATAGCGGACCAAAGACGTGCAAATGGCAGTACATGGGCTGCTCGGAGCGGAAGAAGCGCTGCTCGTGCCACTGCGGGTTTCGAAACAGAAATTGGAAGCCGGCTGCCTCGAGGCGCGGCACGTAGAAGGCTTCGGCCGCGAGAGTGTTGTCGGAGAGGATGAGGTCGATGTCCAGGATGGCTTTGGCGGCGAGTCCGGGGACCGCGGTGGAGCCGACGTGGTTGACGGCCAGGACAGTGACTTGGGGCGCGTTGTCTTTGCGCGCCTCATCGGCGGGGCTTTGCTGCTCGAGTGCTGCGAGGATGCGGGATTTAAAGGTCTGGAAGTGGACGGGCCATTGCGGATCTGACTCGATCACGTCGAGTGCGAACTTTTTGTTGTCTTCGCGCCTGGTAATCCGTTGGACGAGTGCAGGGTCGAACGGGGACTTTTCGACAATGGATTTTATGGGAACTCCGTTGACCGTTTCGTTTGGCATGTTCAGAAAAGTGGAATGTCGACGTGCTGGTTGAATACCGGAAATGTGCGGCTGACGTCTAATGGGCTATACGGTTGCGATTCATCAATTGACTGGATTTCGGGGACTTGAGATTGAAGGTACCTAGCTAGCTATGTACAGTCTGTAACGACCAGAGAACAAATGAGGTCCGCGGCACACTAGCCATAACTTGAAGCTAGATCAGATGACTCACACCGTCCCTCGACTTTCCGTACTGTCGTTGGGGCTTTGCGGCAACGAATCCAGCACGCCATCGTTAGGATGTTTTGGCCGGCCATTGATATGTCCAGTTCCGCCGAGTGACCGGAGCTGCACAGTAACGATGGTAAGGTAGGTTGGCGTCCTCGAGATCATGCTTCCCCACCACGCGGGTGGCATGATCTTCAACTTCACTACATGCGGTGCACTTTCGGACCGATTTTCCTCGCTATCTTTGTATTGGAACGTTGAAAAGAGTCCAACACGGCTAGTGTCGACGCCACGGAGCATGCACGCCTCTCCATGCATCCAATAACGATGTACTCCTCACCACGCCGCCCATTTCCGCGCCGTTATTTACCTTGCAAGATGCCTCCGCGGACGCACTCTCACCCGTGCATGAGCAGCGCGTCGTTTCGGGCGTACGGAGACCATCATGTCCCCCATCATGTCCCCCTATATCTCATTGCTGTCCGCGATGCATCCTTCCCGCAGCTCGCGCCTGGTTATCCTGTACGCACACAGCTCGTGGACCTGCCATCCTGCAAGCGGCTGCAATGGCTCCAACAATCACATGGCTGTTGTTTGCTGTCGCTGCCCAACTCGTGCCTGCTAGCGCATCCGGCTGGCCTGGTCCTGTACGTGCAATTTCTCACCTGATGGAAATGGGACATTCGTTGATCAATCTCTCTTCAACCTAGGTCTGCCGGCAGCAACCCTACTCCTGCATGCAACCTTTCTACGGCTATCCTGCAGCAGAGTCTTACTGCTCCTCTGCCTGGCCTGTAAAACCAATTACACACACGGTGACAATCACGCCAACGAGGACCAAGGTGGTCAGAAAGACATCGGTATTGACAACCACCACGACCACCACGACAGAGACGACGTTCGTACTCTTCTAGTCTCGCAACTATTTGCACTCTGTTGCAAGCTAACATCCGGGCAGTACTGCGGGCTCTGCTACTTTATCTTCCGGCCCTACCATCACAAACACCGCCACCCTGAGAAGGCGAGACAATCCAGCCAAAGCTAGTCAATGGCATGACTGCTCTTCCCGATTATACCACGCCGGAGGGGATCATTTTAGCGCTGCCTGCTCCTGCATTCAGAGACCATCCACCACGACGGTAGGCAGCATGACTCCCGTCTCCCAGACAGCGATACTAATACCATGGGCGCAGGTGACGAAGACTGCACCAGCACGCATTTCAACAGTATTCTCCACTATCGACACAACCTCCATCAGCACGAGCACCACGGTGACATCATTTTGCACGCCGGGGATAAGTGCGATTTCCTATGGTTTCTCCTCTGCAACCGGTTGTGGATCGTCAGTGACCAAGACATCCTTTTTCGTCAGCGAGTCTGTTGCTACGGCTACGTCCTATCCAGATTGTTACAACGCCTGTAACAAAGAGTTCGAGTGCTGTGCATTCAACTTCGACGCCGCCTCTGAGAACTGCGAATTACTAAGTCCGATCGATTTATTTGGAACAGAGTGCCCTACCTCTTTCGATGACTATACGTTCACCCCGGACCCCGACTACGACTACTACCTCATCCTCAATCCTACGTCTTCTTCTTCTTGAAGGAACATCTGGCTTGATCCGTCCTGATGCACTGGCATGTCCTACTTCAACTGCTTTGAAAGACTATGCACTTTGCCAAGTCACTTGTTATTTCTGCAGAGCTAGCCTCGATGATTTTGAAGCCTATGTCATCCTCTTTCAAATATCACTAAGCTCAGTATCAGTCATTCATCGGCCAGATCCTCCCTCTGCAGGTCAGAGACCACTCTTGTCAGCGTGCGATCACAAGCCAGCTACCACAATTATTAATAAGGCTAGCATTCGGAGGCTTCCTCATTAGGAAAAGCGGCCACTTCCCGATGCGGTAGTTCCGCTCAACGCACGGCTGCAGTATTTGGCTGCGGCGGTCTCCTCCCGTCGAGATTTATTCTTGCTTCGCAAGATCACGATTCAGTAGTGCAAGACAGTCCACTGGACATCTATACTCGCCTCACCCGATACCCTACGTGCTAAGCATGTCAGCGTTTACTCTCGCTGGAGCAATTCACTTCTTGTCCGACGAGACGCAACGGCAGACACGAGTCGCCCACACACCCTCCAGATCCCCAACCAACGATGAGCTCGACGCCATCGAGCTGCCCGACTATGGCCTCGTCAAACCGCTTTCACGACCAGAGAAAACTGCGACAGCAACCGTGTCGAATTGGACGGAAAGTCAGAATGACGGAGCAGCCACGCCAAAACCTTTGAGCGACCTGGAACAGAGTCGACCGCCAACACCAACGCAGGAAGGTTGCACAGGCGTCGTTCCGAGTTGGTGGTACCCGAAAATGAACAAATGGAGACACCTATCCGCGTGCTTGCAGTACTTTGGCGACGGCCTGAACGATGCAGCCCCCGGAGCTCTCATTCCATACATCGAGTCCGACTATCACATCGGCTATGCGGTCGTGTCTCTGATCTGGATCTCGAACGCCGTGGGATTCGTGACGGCGGCCTTTTTCGCCGAATACCTCGATACCAAACTCAAGCGAGCCCGCTGTTTGATGCTGTCTGAAGTGTTCTTGATCGCAGCATATGTGGTCATTGCTTGTCCAGTACCATTTCCCGTTGTCGTCATCGCCTACGGCTTCCTTGGGTTTGGCGAAGCTCTGAATATAGCGTTGAACAATGTCTTTTGCGCCAACCTGGCCAACTCCACGGTAGTGCTCGGCGCTGCCCATGGATCATACGGCATCGGAGGAACGCTGGCGCCCATCATCGCCACTGCACTGGTGTCTCATGGAGTGAACTGGCATCTCTTTTACATAATCCCACTGTAAGGAAAGCTGCAAATGCATTCATTGGACCCGCTGACCAGGTGCAGAGCCGTCCGCATTTGCTGCTTGCTTGCGACGGGATGGGCCTTTTGGAATTACGAAAGTGAAGATGTGGATCATTTCGGCAACAGTCTTGTAGAGGTCGTCAGTCGACAGGGTGGCGATGGAGCTCGACGATCGAGCAAAGGCAGATCGGGGATCGCGCGAGCCCTCAAGAACCGGACAACATTGGTTGGAGCCTTGTTCGTTTTCGCCTACCAAGGGATCGAAGTTTCCGAATCAGGATGGTTCATCTCGTGCGTAGCCGGACACCTGCATACTGTGGAGGATGTGACCAGCGCTGACCACATCCATCAGATACCTGATTGCTTATCGCCACGGGAATCCGAAGAACGTCGGCTACGGTGGGTAATAACTCGGCTATACAATGCGATCGATAGACTGGCTGACATAAGGTAGTCACGAGTGGCTTCTGGGCGGGAAGTAAGCAAATCTTTGGAGGAACTTGTTCAGTTGCTTCGAGATCAATTGCAGCGATCGATACCTGGCAACCTCGCGCAACTGATCAGAGCACTGGACTTGTTTTATCCAGCACCTTCAAGTGAGACCAAGGCAGTGCTAACCTTGAGTTTCTAGTCACCGTGGGCCGCTTCGTCCTAACGCACGCAGCCAGATGGGTCGGAGAGAAGCGGTTTGTCTTTGGGCTCGGCGTCGGCGTGGTCGTCTTCCAGATCTTGGCTTGGCAGATCCCGAATGTGAGCAATACGCAGCATGACTCGCAAATAAACATGAAGGCTGACACCATCTCCAGGTCATCGGCGACTCCGGTCAGTTCTTCGTACAACATCGTTTGACATCGCTGACACGAGATAGTCGCCGTCTCCATCATCGGTCTGCTGCTGGGACCCGTCTACCCATGCGCTCAGACTATCTTCACACAACTTCTCCCCGGAAGCGTGCAGGTCTCCGCAATCGGATTTATCAGCAGCGCTGGATCCAGCGGAGGCGCCGTGGTGCCGTTTGTCACGGGTACACTGGCACAGGCGGTGGGGACCTTCGTTCTCCATCCCGTCTGTATTGCATTCTGCGTCGTCATGTTGGGCTGCTGGGTAGGCCTTCCGAGACAGATCAAAAGGACAGAGTAGCAAATATAGCCATCGCTGCGGTCAAACGAAAGGCGAGGTGAGATGACATTGTGCCGTCAATTTAAGTTTAAGCTTTTGCACTAGCGCGGTTAGCGCGTTTTGCGCGTTCTGGTCCATCCCCAAATTTTTCTGTCGACACTCAGAACTTTTGAATATCAAAATACTTTGATCTCTGCTCTTGCAACACTCCTCTGCGACCATCGCAGCCGCTCTTGGAGATGGCCAACCAAGAGATGGAGAGCATGATGGCTCTCGAAGTCAAGGATGGCGAGAACTCCATTCGTTTCTGCGAAGGGGAAAGCTTCGGTGCCCCTCGCAGCGTTGCCGGCGAACTGGTCTTTCAGACGGGCATGGTCGGCTATCCAGAGTCCATCACGGATCCCTCCTACCGCGGGCAAATCCTGGTCATCACCTTTCCCCTTGTGGGAAACTATGGCGTCGCAAGTAGAGACGAAATGGACGCCGTCCTCAAGGACATCCCGGCTCACTTCGAATCCTCCGAGATCCACATTGCCGGCCTTGTCATCGCATCATATTGCGGCGAGAACTTTTCCCATCACTTGGCCAAGTCGTCCCTCGGCGCTTGGTTGAAGGAACAGAATGTGCCGGCAGTATGCGGAGTCGACACCCGGGCCCTGACGAAACGGATTCGTGAGAACGGTAGCATGCTGGGGCGACTGCTCCTGCAATCTGGAACCCGTCGCGTTCCGGATCTCTCTTCCAATGGCGCCATGACTCCCAGTGGAGCGGCAACACCCAACGGGACGATGACTCCAGCAATGACGCCCAATGTGCCTGGCATGAACTCCGCCAACTTGAGCGTCAATGGCATCCACTCCTACTTCCACCGCTCCAAAGAGGTGCCGGTCTACGAGGAGGTGGATTGGTATGATCCGAACAAGCGGAACTTGGTTGCGGACGGTAAGCTCGCCTTGCCACAACGTAGACATCATCCATCAAATCTAATTCATTCGGATAGTCTCAATCAAAGAGCCCAAGATTTATTCCCCGAGCCCGTCAGTTGCGTTGTCTCATCCGTCCGGTAGACCTGTGCGTGTTCTGTGCGTCGATGTGGGCCTCAAATACAACCAGTTGCGCTGCCTCGTCAATCGCGGCGTCGAGGTTCAGGTTGTGCCCTGGGACTACGACTTTCCGCAGCTTGCTGGCAAGACCTATGACGGTCTTTTCATCTCCAACGGCCCTGGTGATCCATCCTTGATGGAAAAGACCGTCAAGCACATCGCAGCGGCGCTGGAGGAAGCCCGGACCCCCGTATTCGGCATCTGTCTTGGCCACCAACTGCTGGCCCGAGCTGCTGGCGCATCAACTCTCAAGATGAAGTTCGGAAACCGCGGCCACAACATTCCTTGCACCAATCTGCTCTCCGGCAAATGCTACATCACTTCACAGAACCATGGATTCGCCGTCAACGCCGAGACGCTGCCGTCGGAATGGTCGGAGCTCTTCATCAACGCCAACGACAACAGCAACGAGGGTATCCGACACACGACACGACCCTACTTCTCGGTGCAATTCCACCCTGAAAGCACTCCGGGCCCACGAGACACCGAATTCCTCTTCGATGTCTTCATCCAGACAATCTTGAACGTCATCCGCAACCCTTCAGAGATGGAGCAACCAGTCAGCTTCCCCGGCGGTGACATTGCCGAGAACCGAGCATTGAAGCCCAAGGTCAATGTCAAGAAGGTGCTTGTCCTCGGAAGTGGTGGGTTGAGCATCGGGCAAGCTGGTGAATTTGATTACTCCGGCAGCCAGGCGATCAAAGCATTGAAAGAAGAGGGCATCTACACCATCCTCATCAATCCGAACATCGCCACCATTCAGACGTCCAAAGGCCTGGCAGACAAAGTCTACTTCCTCCCCGTCAATGCCGACTTTGTGCGCAAAGTCATCAAAGCGGAACGTCCAGATGCAATTTACGTCACGTTTGGTGGTCAGACTGCCCTCCAAGTTGGTATCCAACTCAAAGACGAGTTCGAAGCGCTTGGGGTCAAGGTTCTGGGAACGCCAATCGACACAATCATTACCACCGAGGACCGCGAGCTCTTTGCACGAAGCATGGAATCGATCGGTGCGCCTTGTGCGAACTCGAAATCTGCCAGCAATGTCGAGGAAGCTCTGGTGGCAGTTGAGAGCATCGGGTATCCGGTCATCATCCGCGCAGCATACGCTCTTGGTGGGCTAGGAAGTGGATTCGCAGAGAACAAAGCGCAGCTTCTCGACCTCTGCAATAAGGCTTTCGCAGCGAGTCCTCAAGTTCTCATCGAACGAAGCATGAAGGGCTGGAAGGAGATTGAGTACGAAGTCGTTCGTGACGCGCAAGACAACTGCATTACTGTGTGCAACATGGAAAACTTCGATCCTCTCGGCATCCACACAGGAGATTCGATTGTGGTGGCACCGTCTCAGACGTTGTCTGACGAGGACTACAATATGCTCCGCACGACAGCTGTAAGGGTCATTCGACATCTCGGTGTGGTTGGCGAGTGCAACATTCAGTATGCTCTCAACCCGGATAGTCGGGAGTACTGCATCATCGAAGTCAACGCTCGTCTGTCGAGATCTTCGGCCCTGGCATCCAAAGCGACCGGATATCCCCTGGCGTTTATTGCCGCGAAGCTGGGCCTCAATATCCCTCTCAACGAGATCCGCAACACTGTCACCAAGGTCACCTGCGCTTGCTTCGAGCCTTCGTTGGATTATGTCGTCGTCAAGATCCCCAGATGGGATTTGAAGAAATTCACCAGAGTGTCCACTCTACTTGGCTCGTCGATGAAGAGTGTTGGCGAGGTCATGAGCATTGGGCGCACCTTTGAAGAGGCCATCCAGAAAGCCATCCGCGCAGTCGATCCCAGCAACTTGGGCTTCAACGAGACAACCGCATTGATGTCCATTGACATCGACACTGAACTCCAAACCCCCTCCGACCAACGCATGTTCGCCCTCGCCAATGCCATGCACAACGGCTACAGTGTCGAAAGCATCTGGAATCTGACCAAGATCGATCGCTGGTTCCTGCACAAGCTGAAGGGCCTCAGTGATTTCGGCAATCTCATGCGAACACACTCCACCGCCAGCATCTCGCCGGCGTTGTTCCGCCAAGCCAAGTCCTTGGGATTCTCTGATGCCCAGCTCGCGCTCTTCTGGGACAGCAACGAGCAAGCTGTGCGGCGTCTCCGTCTCGAATCTGGCATCATGCCTGTCGTCAAGCAGATTGACACTGTTGCGGCGGAGTTCCCGGCTTACACCAACTACCTGTACTTGACCTACAATGGAGCGGAGCATGATGTGACCTTTGATGACCGTGGAGTCATGGTCTTGGGCTCGGGTGTATATCGAATCGGCTCATCTGTGGAGTTCGATTGGTGCTCTGTTCGTGCCATTCGGACACTGCGGGAGAATGGATACAAGACCGTCATGGTCAACGTAAGTCATTCACATTCTGCCGTCAAGCTTCTGACGCAATTATCTTGCTCGTGGAATCATCTGCTGACAGAATAATGAACAGTACAATCCGGAGACCGTGAGCCACCTCTCCGTTCCACCCTTAACGATGAAGCAGGCACTGACTACCTCGCAGGTCTCCACCGACTACGACGAAGCCGACCGATTGTACTTCGAGAACATCACGCTCGAAACCATCCTCGACATCTACCAGATGGAGCAATCCAGCGGCGTCATCCTGTCCATGGGTGGTCAAACACCAAACAACATCTCCCTGCCGCTTTACCGCTCGAATGTCAAAGTACTCGGCACCTCCCCTGAGATGATTGACACTGCGGAGAACCGCTACAAGTTCTCCCGTATGCTCGATAGACTCGGTGTCGATCAGCCGCAGTGGAAGGAACTCACCAGCATCGATGAAGCGAGGGCCTTCTGCAACATGGTCAAGTATCCGGTGCTGGTGCGGCCATCGTACGTTTTGTCTGGAGCCGCCATGAACACTGTCTACTCCGAGCACGATCTGGCCCAGTACCTGAACCAGGCTGCGGAGGTCTCCAAGGAATTCCCAGTGGTCATTACGAAGTATATTGAGAACGCAAAAGAGATCGAAATGGACGCCGTGGCTCGCAATGGTACCATGATCGGACATTTCGTGTCCGAGCACGTCGAAAACGCCGGTGTCCACTCTGGAGATGCGACTCTCATCCTACCACCCCAAGATCTCGATCCCGAGACTGTGCGCAAGATTGAAGAAGCGACGGAGAAGATCGGAATCGCCCTGAATGTTACCGGACCATTCAACATCCAATTCATTGCAAAGGACAATGAGATCAAGGTGATTGAATGCAACGTCCGCGCATCTCGGTCTTTCCCATTCGTGTCGAAAGTCATGGGTCTTGATCTTATCGAGATGGCGACCAAGGCTATGACTGGCCTGCCTGTCCGCGAATACCCACCCCTAACAATTCAGCCGGATTATGTCGGCGTGAAGGTTCCACAATTCTCCTTCTCCCGACTGTCTGGTGCTGATCCTGTGATGGGCGTCGAAATGGCTTCTACTGGAGAAGTCGCATGTTTCGGCCGCACCAAGTACGAGGCCTACATCAAAGGGCTGATTGCTACCGGCTTCAAGCTTCCCAAGAAGAACATCCTGCTCTCCATTGGCTCGTTCAAGGAGAAGATGGAGCTTCTGCCATCGGTCGAGAAACTCCACAAGCTGGGGTATAAGCTCTACGCCACCGCTGGTACTGCAGACTTCTTGGAGGAGCATGGCATTCCCGCTCAGTTCCTCGAAGCTCTGCCAGAAGAGGACCAGCGCAAAGAGTACTCGCTCACGCACGCCCTCGCCAACAACTTGATTGATCTCTACATCAATCTGCCCTCCAGCAACAAGTTCCGACGTCCCGCAAACTACATGAGCAAGGGCTACAGGACACGTCGAATGGCCGTTGACTACCAGACGCCATTGGTGACCAACGTCAAAAACGCGAAGATCCTCATCGAAGCCATAGCACGCAACTACGACTTCAGCATTGGCAAGATCGATCTCCAAATGTTTGCGGATGTGCCCACGGCGCCTGCCATCCTGCCGCAGCCGCAATCCGCTGTCAGCCTGGCAAATCTCCTCAAGGGCTCGCCTTTCCAAGGTAAAGACATTCTATCCGTGAAGCAGTTCACGAGGGAGAACTTGCATCTGCTCTTCACCGTCGCCGCGGAAATGCGTCTGGGAGTGGAGCGCGGTGGAGCTCTCGATGTGCTCAAAGGCCGTGTTCTTTGCCTTCTGTTCTTCGAGCCCTCCACTCGCACTTCTTCCTCTTTTGATGCTGCTATGAAGCGCTTGGGTGGCTCGACAATTGTGACCAACGAAGCCCATTCCAGCACGCAGAAGGGCGAGACGCTCAGCGATACCATCCGCACCCTCGATCAGTACGCCGACGCAATCGTCCTCCGCCACCCGGAGCCTGAAAGCGTGGACGTTGCCGCCAAAGCAGCGGACCGCCCTATTCTCAACGCCGGCAACGGCTCTCGAGAGCATCCCACCCAAGCTCTGCTCGATCTGTTCACCATCCGTGAGGAGCTGGGTACGGTCAACGGCCTTACCATCACCTTCACCGGCGACCTCAAGTACGGCCGAACAGTGCACTCCCTCTGCGAGATCCTGCGCCACTACAACGTCACCATCCAACTCGCCGCACCCGACGCCCTCGCCCTGCCCAGCAAGCTGAAAGCAAGCATCAAAGCGCGCGGCCAACTGGGCGCCGAGTCGGAGCACTTGACACCCGAGATGATCGCCAACTCCGACGTGCTGTACTGCACGCGCGTGCAGAAGGAGCGCTTCAGCGACCTTGCCGTGTACGAGAAGGTGAAGGACAAGATGGTCGTCGACGCGCGGACGCTGCGAGACGCGAAGAAGAACATGATTGTCATGCATCCGCTGCCGCGCAATATGGAGTTGCATGAGGACGTCGATCATGACCCTCGCGCGGCGTATTTCAGACAGGTGAGTTGTTGATGCTTTCGCTCTACGGACCTTTACTGACTTTGTGATGCAATAGATGCGCTACGGCATGTTTGTCCGGATGGCACTGCTGGCACTCGTCATGGCGCCTTGAGCAGGAGCATGAGTAGAAGCTGGACTTTTGCAATCCCCAAGAATGTGAATGCACAGAATGGCAGTCGCATAGCGAAGGCGTTGAGGACTATTGACTGGGAAAAAACCGACATCGTAAACCCCCCCCCCCCCCCCAAAAAAAATTGAACAGTGGAATAAAAAGTATTGAGATGAACATTTGTAGCACTAGACAGACCATGACATTCGCCCCATTGTTGGCAAACAGCGTATGAATGCGATAGAAATAGCATCATTCCAACTTCTTACGCACATCCTCGCCAAAGGTCGCCATGAACGGACTTAGCCCTTCCTCCATCTGCTCTTCCTGCGAAGGCAATCTCTCCCTTCGCGTGATGAGCGCCGTTATCGACCGATTGCGGCGATGCGAAAGCGACGAGTCCTGCTGTTCGGGCGTAGACGAAGTGATTTCGGCTGTGCCGTCGACGAAACTGACGACTCGACAGCGGATAGTCCGGCCTGTGGGACTGGCGGGTGTAGAAGGCGGGGATTGAGTGGCGGTGGGACTGAAGACGGGGAGCAGAGGTTCTGCTGGGCTGGGCGAGCGAGGGCTCAGGGGCGACGGGGTGCAGTATCTCCCTGGCATGGCGGTTGATTCGTAATCGTCGATGTTTTCGATGCTGTGGAAGGCGGTGTTGGCTTCCTTTTCCTCGTCTGCATCGCTTTCAAACTCGGAATCGAGGTCGGGTAGGTCTTCGTCGGCCACTTTCCAATCATCGCCAGCATTGTTCGACTCCTCATCGGCATCAGAGGACTCCAGCGACTGCGTTCGCCTCCTGCGAATCGCGCCCCAGAGTTTGCCCACCCAGCTCGTTTGACTCTGCGGTGACATCTCTGAATCCGCAGGCGAGTCTGGCTGTCGCTCTTCCTTCTTCAAGTACGTCACGTACTCCTCCGCCCAGCGCCCTTCGGCATACACTCCTTTAGCAGCTGTGGCAGTCTGGAAGTGCTGCAGATAGCTCGGCGACTTCGCCCGCCAGTTATCAGCGGAGTTGAACGATTCCGGTCGGGATATGGCGCTTGCACTAATGCGCGACAGGAGCAGCTCGGCCAATCCAATGTAGAATGAGCAGCGGGCGTGGAGTGCTTTCGATGCGCCGAGTGTCTCTGCGAGTCTCTGCGCCGTCCGGGCATAGTCTGCTGCGTTTTCGAGTTCGGGCCGGCCGAGCAAACGGGCGTGGGCGAGTAGGATGAGGGCGGGGAGGAGTTGCTGCTTCACGTAGAGGTCTGCGATGGATGTTTTGATGCGACGGTGGAGGGAAGCGGACATGGGGATTCCGGCAAGGTGTTCCGGCTTGAGGAAAGCCGTGTCTTCTGCCTGAGCGCGAGCGGCTTCTTCTTCGTCCATTGTGGGATGCGTGGTGTCGTTCTCCCTTTCGGTCGATGACGCTCTGTCCTCGCTCTCCGTGCTTTCCTCGCGGCGTCTTTTGAAGGAATGCGGATCGCGAGGGTTCAACTTGTGCACATCCGTGCTGTGCAAGGCGAGGCCTTGGAAGGGACCGGCCAGGGAAGACTTTGAGTCTCCTTGCTCGTCTTTGTACAGTCGGACAGGCTCGAGGTCGATCATTGCGGGCGAGTAGGAGTGGTATGTCGAGTATAGGGGTTTGCGATGAGTTGCGCGCCATTTTCGAGGGAAGTGAATGCATGATTGCGCTCAGACTGTGACGGCTTTGTTCTTTGTGTTAGAAGTGTTCCGCGCCGGATTCGGAAACTCATGACAGAATATGAAAGAAGACTTTGAAAGGGAATGCTTGGCATTGGTCTGTCGAATCTCACTCCTTGCTCTCCTCGATCTTCCTCCCCTTGCGATCCACCCTCTCGTCTCTCGGGTCAAATCCACCGTTACCCCAAAGCGCCCACTCCGGCGTGGCAGCACCAACATAGTCCTCCGGTCTGAATTGCTCGCCACTTTCCAGACACTTGAAGAACTTTGGGTAATCGATGAGAGTATGCCATCGTTCTGTGGTGTCTGTTTCATCAGATCGGAAGAATCGCGTCTTGTCCGCGAGTAAGATGCAGCAACTGTGGGCGTGTTCGGCAGCAATGCCGTACTGGAGTCCTCGTTTGAGGAGGGCAGCTTCAAGAGCCAGCACAAAGGCGGAGACTTCTTCGTAGAATGGGACGTTGCGCATTGTAAGTCCAGCCCCTGCTGCAGTAGAGGTACCACAATAGGTGACGCCCTTGACTTCCACGAACGAGGGCAAAGCACGCTGCACGAGATCTGCGTAGCCCTCTGCTTCCTCCTCGATGTTGAACCCCTTGACCAGAGTAAGGCGGAAGACAGTGCGATGAGTGAAGCGCTTCTCGCGGAGAATGTCCATGCAGCGGAGGAAGCGCTCCCAGAAGTCGCGGTGAAGTGGACGGTCGATCTTCTTGAGACTCTCCTTGTTTGAAGCGTCGATGGAGACGTAGAGTTGAGTCACCGGTCCCAGGGCAGCTAGCTGATCGGGGTGTTGCGCATTGCAGACGAGGAAAGTGCTGACGTGCTCTTTGTGAAGCATTGCAAGTAATTCGTTGATGTGCGGGTAGAAGATGGGCTCTCCTACCAGAGACAGGGCGCAATGACGGATCGTCATCGCTTCCTGGAATCGTTCCGCACGCACGCCTGGAACGCCTTTCATCATCTTGATCTTTTTGTAATGGCCTTCTTTGAGGCCGACAAAGATTTCATCGGGCGGGTCCACGGTCCATTTCCATGTAGTCGAGACGGGGTTGGTGCCATGGCGCCAGCAGAAGACGCATTTGTTGCTGCAGGAGAGGGAAGGAGTGGCTTCCATACAAAGATGTGACTGGATGCCGTAGAAGCTATATTTGTAGCAGGAACCTCGACCTCTGAGGGCGCTCTTGGTCCACCGACAGATCTTGACACCTGAGTGGGTGCCCACGATGGTGTACCCTTGTTTCGTCAGCGCCGCATAAGTTGGTGAAGTAGTGGGGACCATTGGCTTCACAATGGCCTTTGCGGTGGTAAAGTCAATCGGGACGGGCGCCTTGAGGTCTTCGAGGTCGCCTGTCCGTGGAGGCTTGATGCCAGCATCGTCATCATCGTCTTCAGATCCGCTTTCGACAGCATCGCCACTCCCTTCCACGCCGAGTCCTAAGCCCTTAGCAGCGGCAACGTCGGTAAAAGCGGTATTCAATCCAACGCTCCACTCCTCAAAGCTTGTCTCCGCACCACTCTTGACGTCTGCGGTGCCGAGTGGAAAGGCTCGCTTTCCTCCTGTCAACCTCGCCATCCATTTGTCCACTTGCACCGCCTGCGTGCAGAAGCCTGCATCTTCCGATGGCCATTCATGTTTGTCGCCGAACCCAAACACTGAGTATCCGGCTAGACCAGAAAGTGGGTGCGTATCGATGCGAAAGTCATGATGAGTTTCCTGTAAGTTCGAGAGGAAATTGTCGAGCTCCGTGGAAATGTCGTAGGTCGGTAAGAGAAGGAGGTAGAAGGGCGCGGCTCGAGGGTGGGGTGTTTTGGGTGGGGCAATGAAGAAATCGTCGTAATCGATGTCGGTCAAGTCGTGCAGGACCGCGGGAAGGAGGAGATCATCAGATGATTGGAGAAGGGATTGGTGCAGATGTTGGGCGAAAGACTTGGTAGATCCGGAGAGGGAGAAGTAGAAGATGTGCGGTTCAATGGTGTCAAATGCAGCACTCTGCCTTCCCTCCGGACTCGAGGCCTTGGTCTTCCTCACGCCTTTGACTCGTCTCGGACCAGAACTTGGCTTGAGGGCTGCACTAGTCGTAGAGAGGCGCGGGGATGGTTCGACTGGCTTCTCCAGCACATCTTTGACGGTCTGAGGCGCCTTGATGTCAACGACGAGTGGAGAAGGGGATGAGAGTTCGGGTTTCGCTGGCCTTTGGCGCCGATGGATCGCGACTCGAACACACGCCAGGAAGAAACCGGCGGAGAGGAGCAGCTCGATGCGATGCTCATGCCAGAGCAGCAACAGCTCCGAGGGGAGGGCCAGCATGTTTTCAAGGCCCATTCTGCAGTCTGCGAGCATGCGGCGTGGGTTCGGGAGTGTGCAGAAGTTGAGGTACGGTGACTTGCGCGAAACCACCAAAATTTCCCACCCCATAGTGGGGCCAAAGCTTCGCTGCCGCTTCTGGAAGGTGTGGGGAAGGGAAGAGGAAGGTGCGGGCGGGCTTGTTGTGTTTCATCATCAACACTCCCTCTTCTTCTCCACGAACTATATTCTCGACAAGTCACCCTCTCGGACGACTCGCGCAGCATCATCGGTGTCCGCCATGTGACCCCAACGCCTCCCGGAATCAACACCAACCGCCCACCATGCAACCTGTTTCTCGCACCTGCGAGCACCTCGCCTCTCCAAACCCATGGACCGTCTTCCTCGCCGCCTTCATCCTCGTGGGCGTCCTTGTCTCCTACCTCCCCCAACACATCAAGATCATCTCACGCCGCAGCTCCGAAGGCCTGTCGCCATGGTGGGTGCTACTCGGCGGACTGTCCGGCATGGCCGCCATTGCCAACATCCTCGTCTTGCCGGCCAGCAGAGCAGACATGCGATGCTGTAAAGAGGTCAGCGGGGGCGAGTGTGCTGCTGCGCTGTTGGGCGTGGCGCAGATTGGGTTGCAGTGGAGTTGCTTCATGTTCATGTTTGTCTCTCCTTCACCCAGCTTGACGAGCACTAATAACAACCATCACTGCTCAGCGTCCTCCTCTTCCTCATCTTCTTCCCCACCGACGACGTCGACCTCACCTCCTCCACCGCCTCCCTCACCCACACCCCACCCCCGAAACGCCGCGACGCAGTAATAGTAGGCATAAGCGTGCTCCTCGCCCTCCTCACAATCGGCATCGCCTCCCTCGTCGTCATCTTCGCCTTCCCCCACCACGTCGCCCAAACCTGGGCCAACGTCCTCGGCACCGGCTCGAGCGCGCTCGCCATGGTGCAATACCTGCCGCAAATCTACTTCACCTGGCAAATGGGCGAGATCAAGAGTCTGAGCATTCTGACGATGCTGATACAGGTGCCGGGGGCGTTTTTGTTTGCGCTGAGTTTGTGGTTGAGGGTGGGGTGGGAGGGCTGGAGCACGTGGACGGTGTTTATTGTTACGGGGTTTTTGCAGGCCTTCTTGCTCGCGCTGGCGATTAGGTATTATTTTGCGGCCAGACGGCAGGAAGTGGTGGGCGAGTCCGATGGTGAGAGTGTTGATCGGGAGGCCGAGGGTCCCAGCGAGACCACTGCTTTGCTTCCTAACAGCAGTCGGAACGGGAAAGCCTCGACGACAAGACGACGAAGCACCGAAAGGAGAACATAGACAAGAGGATGAAGAGTGCAGAAGCTTTTCCGTCATTCGCACTGCTACCACCGCTCGTCTCTCCCAATACGCCGTGCTAACATCAACGCGAGAAGGCAAAGGGTTCCAGCCCCAATGCCTGACCTTCTCACCGTCTCATCTCTGTCCCCAAGAGCACTCCACCAGACGAAGAAACCCATGCGACGCACCGTCTTTGCCCAATCTCTCCTCGTAGAATCCTCCTCCAATCAGCGTCCTGCCCAACCCCATCGACTAGTCCCACGACACAGCAAACCCACGCGGAAGACGTCTCGCAGGCTTCACCGGCGAAGCAAACTGCTCGAGCCCACCATTATGCACAAGCTGCAACTTGCCCACAGGCGGCGCCTTGCGATAGAATCGTCCAGTGGGTATTTTGCCCGAAGGCGGACCGACGGTTTTCCAACCTCCGTCGTCAGCAGCAGCAGCAGCAGCAGCAGCATCATCATCCTCGGCCATTGACGCCGTCGCAGCCGCATCCTCGACGTCGACAATCTTCACCGCGGTAGTCAAGTCCAAACTCAGCGCCCCAAGCTCGGCATCGACTGCTTCTTCGTCGTCGGGAGTAGTAACATCCGTATCCCCCTCCGTCAACCCCTCATCCCCCTCCGTCAACCCCTCATCCCCCTCCCCTGCAGACTCCGTCCGACTCCCCTTACTCCCCGCCTCGGAGCCCTTAGCACTCCAAATCCGCCCATTCTCCACCAAGCGATTATACGCCTTTCTGCTCGCCCAGCGCCAAAAGCCCGCTTTGCGCATCATCGTGCCCTCCTCTTCTTTGCGCACGTGCTGGAGATCGTGCTCGATGCAGCGGACGAGTTTGGCTTGCACTGTTTTCGCGCTCGCGGGGGAGGTGGGCGTGAGAGGGGGGACGTCGAGGAGTTGCAGTAGGCCTTTGCACTCCTCTGATTCCGCGAAGGATACACCGTTGCCGTCGGAGTGGTGGTGATGACGATCCTTGTTGATGATTTCCCTGCGCGCGACGGCTGTGCTGCTCGTTCCCTTGTGGTAGGCGCGGTTGATTTTGATGTCGAGGTCCGCCAGCAGCTGCTGTTCGAGGTCGAGGCCTTCGGTTTCAAGGTCGGGAGGGTGTAGAATATTCGCGACAAACTCGATTTCCGCTGTGCTGACGACTTTTCCGGGGCGTTCGGCGACCTTTTTGGCGCGTTTGAGCGTTTTGCGTTCCTTTTTCGTCAGGGTGGGTGTATCGGGGCTTGGGGAGGGGGTGCTGTTGGCGAGGATGTTGAGGCATTTGGGCGTCAACGGAGAGGAAGCGGGATGAGTGTCGAGGGATGTTGCTGCTTTGGTGGATTTGAACTCGGCGAGCAGCTCTGCGATTTCGCGGTGGCGTTTGAGGTGCTCGGCTTCGCTGCGGCGGCAGGGATCGCAGGTGCCGCTGGCTCCTATTGTTTGACGATGGTTTAGCTATTGTTCTCTTCTTTGGACGGGACGAACGGTAGCCTTGCCTTTCTTGAAGAGCTGGGTGTGGTAGTTGGGGCACCATTCTGCGTGTTTGCCTAGGCATTTCGTGCGTGCTTGGGGCCGTGTGAGGGGTTGATAGCATTCCGGGCAGTGGTGGACTATCAGGATGTTAGCAGCCTATCCGTATAACTTACTCATGTGGATCTCAAGGCAACACACCCAGGCTGCCGGTGCCTTCCCAGCTGGTGGTTCAAAAGGTTAGCTGGTAATATTAACCCCAACGATGAAGACAAGGCAGCCTACCGATAGATATCGTTGGGCATCGTATGAGCAAGTCGCTGTTATGACTCATGCCACAACCTCTTCGCCTTCCCGGTGTGGGTATGATTGCAACTGCTGGTGGTGCGAGGTATGCGATTCGTTTGCGTGCGTCGCGAGATGGCGAAATCCCGCAGAGTCGTGGTACTTTCCTGGGCTTCGAGAGGATGCAAACACATTCTCTTGGGGGCGGGGAAAGGGGATTGAACAGACTGGATGGAAGCAGGGGAAAGGAAGAGACCCGCGAGTTGCTCTGCTTCGTTGAGGACAGAAGAGCAGCGGGCAGACGAAGGCGATACTTATTGCTGATAGCGACGCGGCGGAGAGAAAGTGGACCGACGGAAAGGGGTGTGCAGTGCTTCGTTCGTCACACTCCCGGATGCAGAAACTGATATTGTTGTTGTTTGTGTGGCTGGCGGGGTGGAAGAGCGGTGTTTGTGTTGAGGTGTTGTGAAGCGCGACGCTGACCTATTTAGCCTTTTTGGCGGGCGACGTTTCAGGTTGCACAAGGCTGTGACGGGCTTGGCGGGGGTCGCGGAAGGGGTGAAGAAATGACAATGCGCTCGACAATAGCTGGGGAGAGGAAAAGATGTTTGCGATTAGGAACACGTTACTTCAAGGAATAAGGAGAGAGTCGTCAAACATAGGGAGGGGAGACGTGCGGCGTGTCTCGGTGTGAGGCCTCAGGCATCCTTGACCAAACGAGCACCCGCCCACACGAACGGGTAGTTGCGCTGGTACCAATTCACACTGCAAACACCCGTCAGTCGGCGGTGAGGATGCACAGGGGACGAAAGATCTTACAAGGTGTTGCGGCCCGCGATACGAGGATGCGTGGCCCACGATCCTCCCAAGACAATGTTGTGCTTGCCGTCGTAAAAGTCGTCTGTCAAACGGTCAGCAAGCCCCACACCGTCCATCATAGATGAATCATGCATACCACTGTAAGCAGGGTACAGCTTCATAGGTTCAAAGCCAGCAATCTTCTCCAGCGGCGAACTCGTCCATTCCCACACACCCCCCATCTCGCTCAAGCCAGCGAGTGTGCCGCCATGTTGAGTGACGGGCATGGGATGCCAATGTTTGAAGCCCACGTTGGCCTGCTCGAGGTCGACGTGGAACTTCGTGGGGTCGAGGTGAGTTGCGCCGTTGGAGGCGCCGTTAATCAAACGTTTGGATGGGGGCGTCTCCTCCACGCCCTCGTTCACCAAGTGGCTGTGTTTTCAAAGATCAGTGCAAGATCTGGCGCGTAATTTAATGATGGCAAACCTACCCGTTAACCGCCGGAATTCTCTTTCCCGAGACTTTGTCGGCTTCTTTCTTCTTCAGCTCGCCGGCATGAGCGTAGATGCTGCGAGCCTCCTCGAGAGTCGGGATTCGACCGCCCATGTAAGCGGCACAGCCAGCGAGTTCGTCGTACGACGCAGCAACAGGCCAGTCCAGCACGTGCTTGAGAGCGATGGGTCCGTACACGGTGCGAATAGCCTTTCCGTGCAAGAACTCGTAAAATGCAGCGTCGCCATTCACGTGATGCCCATTCACCCCATTCGTCCCGTTGACGCCGTTCGTTTCGGAAACTTGCATCCAGGACGCCGGGAGCTCGTGCGTCTTCCCGCTTTCACAGAGGTACTTGACATACTCGCCGTTCGAGATGGGGCGGCCTTGAGCCTTGAAAGCCTTGACGTGCTTAGTGTACGCCGGCTTCTCGACGTCCCACCCAAAATACCGCACCGGCCCATCGCCGTTGTCGGGGTCGTGGAGGCCGAACTCAATCGACTGTGCAGGAATATCGAACCACTCGTTCTCAACGGCCTGCCTCTTCGCTTGAGCGGCGAGCTGCTCGAAATCGGGAGCCATCACACCGTCCGGAGGGATGGTCTTCTCGCTTTGCACGAGCATGTACAGCAACGTCTCCATGTGCATGACTTCATGCTCGAAGCCGAGCCATAGCGTGCGTCCAGTCCATTGGTCGTTGTACGCCTGGCCGGTCTTGTAGAGCTTGGTCGTACGCTCGCGGACTCGATCCTGATACGCCAGGATATCCTTGAGAGCGGGCCATTCATCAGGGACCTGGCTGTGGGAATGGCATTGTTCGGGATTGTCGACATCGGGATCGATGCCGCGCTCGAAGATTTGATAGAAATACTTCGGCTCCGTCGGCGGCGTCTTGGTCGCCTCGGTGAGTTTGATGTCGAGGAAGGTGGGAATGTGTCCGAGGTAGAAGATACACTCGTTTCGAAGCTTAATCGGCTTTTCGTAGAGCTCCTCGTGGGAGATCATCTGCTGGGTGATGGTATCCCAGTTGCGCCAGAGGTCGTGCCATTCTTCCAGGCTGGGCACGGGATGCGCCGCGTACTGCGCCGGATCCGCTGTCGACAACATCTTGGTAGGACTGAGTAGGTGCAAGACTGTGGATAGGTGGTCAACACGCGCGACAATGAATCGGTCAACAGGTTGACAGGACCCTGATCGTGATGGGTTATGTAATGGCGTGGTGAGTTTGATAACGAAAGTGAGGGGCGTCAAGCTGATTCCAAAGATGCACAAATAATGAATAAGCCGCAACTTACAGTAGGATCCATCCTCGTTAGCAAAAACACTCCCTGCGCAGGCGCATTGCTATTAGCGGAAGCGCCTTCTTACCAGAAACAGGCAAGGGTCGATCGCTGCTTACCTTGCATGACGCGTTTGCCAAGCATTTGGTTGAACCAGCGGCTGGCTTCGGCCTCCGAGACCTTGTTGCTCTCTTCAATTTGAATTAACTCGCCGGCGTTCACCTGGACGCCCTCCACCGTTGTCGCCGTCTTCGGCGCCACAAAAGCCCGATGGCGGCTGCCTTCGACGTCGTATCGTCCGACAGCTTCCCACTCGTCCAGCTTGAACGCCTCACGGCCCAGCAGAGTGTTGGCGTGTTTCAGTCCATTCTACAGACGTATCAGCTCACGTTCCACGAGTGCGTCGCTCCACAAAACCATTGCAATAGCATGTCGCTTCGGGCACAACCAAGGCAAATGGAGAGCAGAGAACGGACCATCGTGAATCTGTGCGTCACATCACCCCGGTCGTTGTATGCATGATAGACCTTGTCGGGATCTTGGCAGGCATCGATGGCGACCAGCATCATGTCATTCGGCTTCAGCTCGTCGGTGAACTGCGAGATGAATGGCACCGCTTCTTCTGGCGTGAAATTACCAATGCTCGAGCCCAGGGAGAGGATGGCCTTGGGTCGGTTGGCATTCTCCGGACGCTTCAGCCATGCAAGTCCATCGTCGTACGTTCCCCAGAGGCCGGCGCACTTGACGTGCTTGAAAGCATCTTTTGGGACAGCCGCCAACGTTCGCACGAGTTCGGACTCCATCAAGTCCAGGGCATAGTAGGAGGCAGACTTGCCATCTCGCTCCAAAGCGTCCAGCAGAATCTTGACCTTGCGGAGATTGCTACATGGTCGGGTCAATCGCTGTGCTTGCAAGCAACACTTGTCAATGGACGTTGCCTACCCGCTACCGAGCTCGACAATGAGAGCATCGTTGGGAATTCGTTCGGCAATCCGGTCTGCATAATGCTCCAGCATCCAGATCTCCTGGTTCGTCAAGTAGTACTCGTCCAAATACGTGATGTCTTCAAACAGCCGTAAGCCAGCCTCGTCATACAACAACAGGGTAGGCAAGGTCTTCTTCTCTTGCGCATCTTCAGGCTTTAGTCCGTCGAGGATGAGTTGCTTCAACTCAATCCCTGCGGTGTCAGAGCGAATGTCAATGATGTTTGAGGCTGAGGTCTGCCCCTTGGACGGAGCCCCGTCCGAGAGAGAACCCATTGTAGTAAAGGGAGAAAAAGCGGCCAAGGAAACGACTTCCAAGCTAGGAAATCTCGAGAGCTACACCAACCGTCTTTTGTATCATTGTCGCCATCCAGGTTGTTGACGGCACGCAATCGCAAACCAAACACCAACGCTGCAGGGAAACGGGCCCGGGCGCGGGCCAAACCATGTTAGTGCGGCGTCAAAGCGTGTTCGAGAAACTACATCCGCCGAGAACAAAGTCACAGCTTGGAGCAAGCACCAGTAAAGCATAGGCAACGACCCACCAGCATCCAGATGCGGTGCGAGCGGCGGCTTGTCTTCTGGGCCATTGGCTTGGAAGAGCACACGTTGTGTGGGGGAGGATTAGTAAGGGGGCTAATAGCTCGGCGAAGACATCGGTTGAGGGCGGGATGTTTGGAAACGGAAGCAAAGACAGTGCCTGCAGTGACGTCTAGCGCGTGGGCAGGTCGGCGAAAAGGCCTCAGACGGACGTCATGAAAGCGAGCTCGCTTGGTCATGCTGCGGAGCCTGCTGTTCACTTCGAGCCGCCTGTGCCTGGCACCAGCCGGGAACGTGTTGGAGATTTTGCGGGGTGGGCAAAGTGTAAAAGACGCGGAGCCCTGTCGGCACCCACTCAGCGAGCCAATCGCCGAGCTGCTCGTGGGCAGTCCACGCAATGCAGACGTCAGTTGTGCTTGGTGAGCATGGCCCCGATCGATTGCAGGTGAGAAGCAGTGAAGGGGAAGGAGTGGTGAAGCGGTCCAATAGAGAGGTGAAGTGAAGTGCTGGGGAAGCTGAAGTCGGAGTCTTCACGAATGCGTAGCGCGGCCCGCCGGTCCGGCTAGTCGACGTGGTTGATAAAGGGTGTATCTTGGTTATCGCAAGTGCCTGGTTGACATCTGATCTCCGTCCTGAGTCATGTGCATCTCATGCGAATGATCCACCAGATCTGCTACGGGTAAATGGCGCCGAGAGCTGCTAGGAATGCCATCGCTTCTTCACATATGATGAACTGGTGGTCTGCGGTCTCAAGTTCATGCCTGGACGGCGAGGATGGCAATGTGGATATCAGGTAATGATGAACGGCGGTAGATAGTCCCTACGCGATGGAGGAGTAGTACTCGGACAACGTGTTTGATGAGAGCCTTGGGAATACGCAGCGTATGCAAAGACGAGTGTGGAGGACAGGGCGATTGGTGCGTGCAGCCTGACAGTTCTGCCTCAGGTGTCAAAGTGAGGATGCGAGATCCTAAATTCGTTAAACATTCAAACCCTCCACCTCCATCAAAGTTTCCACTACAACTACCCAGGAAATGCTTTACAAATACCGCAAATCCTCAAGATGACCAGCGTCGACGACCTTTTCAAAAAGCCGAACCTCCCCTCGGGCTCGATCAAGCGCAAACTGGAAACACCCGACGCGCAAGCAGCATACAAAGCCACCAAGCTATCCGCCGAGAGCTCCCCAAACGGCACGCATGCGAACGGAGCAACAGTGGAAGATGCAGCCGACGATGACGACGATCTAGAGGCTGGGCCAGACCTTCCTCCTGACGATGAAGAAGGCGACGATGAAGAAGGGCGGTTTTTCGGAGGCGGTGTCACGCGAGATACCGCGGACGCGCTGGACTACATCGATCAGCAGGACGAGGAGGATATACAGGAGGAGAAGATTGATGCAGCGTGGCTGAAGAGCCTGGTCGTCAGTTTCGAGAAGAAGGTCGGCAAGAATGCAGAGTTGCGCGCGCGGTATGAGAATGAGCCGCAGAAGTTCATGGCGAGCGAGGCGGACCTGGACGCTGAGATCAAGAGCTGGAGTCTGCTCAGTGAACACCCGGAGTTGTACCAGCAGTTTACGGAGAGCGAAAGTTTGGCCAGTCTGGTGGGGCTGCTTGCGCATGAGAATACCGACATTGCCATTGCGGCCATTGAAATCATCTCCGAGCTGCTAGATGAGGATGTCGAGGCGGAGCAGGAGCAGTGGGACGCGTTGGCCACCGCGCTTCTCGATGCAGATCTGTTGGAGCTACTCATGAGCAACCTCGCTCGACTGGACGAGAACAACGAGAGCGACAGAAGCGGTGTCTACCACAGCTTGGCGGTCATGGAAAACCTGGCCAGCCAGCAAGGCGTAGCTGAGAAGCTCGGACAAGAGAAAGTGTTGAATTGGCTTTGCGATCGCATACGCAGACCGGATAAGCCGGTAGGACAAAACAAGCAGTATGCGGCGGAGGTATTGCAAGTGCTTTTGCAGTCTTCACCAACGATACGGAGACGCCTGGCGGTGGACGTGGACGGGGTAGATCTTTTCTTACGCCTACTGTCTACCTACCGAAAACGAGACCCAGAAAAGGAGAGCGCGGAAGAAGAGTACGCCGAGAACATCTTCGACGCATTGACTTGCGTGGTAGATGAGCCGGCGGGCAAGACCAAGTTTGTGGAAGCAGAAGGTGTCGAGCTATGCCTCATCATGCTCAAGGAGGGCACATTCAGCAAAGTCCGCGCCCTCCGACTGCTCGATCACGCGGCTGGAGGACAGGATACAGCGGCGGCGGCAGTGTGTGAACAAATTGTAGAAGCGGCTGGACTCAAGACGCTCTTTGGAGTGTTTATGAAAAAGATCGACAGCACGACAGTTGAGCACTTGCTGGGGATCTTCGCCGCTTTGTTGCGTCTACTGCCCGGCGAGTCAGCCGCACGCATCCGCACGCTCGCCAAGTTCTCCGAGAAACAATCTGAGAAACTCGTCAAGCTACTACGACTACGGGCAGAATGTGCACGCAAGGTCGCGGCAGTCGATGAGGATATTCAGCTCGAGCGAAGGATGCTGGACGACGAAGAGCAAGAGGATAGGGCGGACGAGTTCTTCTCCCGCCGGCTGGATGGTGGGCTGTTCTGTCTCCAGACCGTGGATCTCATTCTCGCCTGGCTGGTTGCGGAGGATCCGAGTGTTGAGCAGACCATCACGGCAGAGGGAGGAGAGGGCGCGCTGAAAGCCATCAAGGCTTCGCTGGTAGAGCAGCGGGAGGGTTTGGATCCGAAAGCTCCGGAAGACGAGGACATGAGAGACATGCTCAGCACTCTCATCGGATTCCTCAAATAGTAGTCAATCACTCCATAGTAGAATTGACTTGCTCCTCCCCTCGTTGTTGTGCTTCCAATGATGATCTTCTGGAAGGCAATGCGCGTAATTCGCAGCACAGCCAAGCGTACAAATTTTTTGACAAAGCCCACCTCACCTCGACATCATCGTTTCGACAAAAGTTGAACTCGACCCGACAATCTCGCAGCAACCAGTCCAGCATCCGTACGGCGCCAACAAGACAGGCACAGCAGTTCTCTCCAATGGCCGCACGGTGACAACATCTCCAAACTTATCGCGAGCATGGCCTCGCCGCCTCCCCGCCCGCGAATCGAATCCCCATACCTCGTCTCCCTCTTCGTACCTCTCCCTCACTCCCCATCCCATAACTCCGCGCATCCACTAACCCACCCCCCAGGCAGGCGGCATAGCAGGCACCACAGTCGACATCTCGCTCTTCCCCCTCGACACGCTCAAAACCCGGCTTCAATCCGCCTCCGGCTTCCGCGCCGCAGGCGGCTTCCGCGGCGTATACGCCGGCGTAGGCTCAGCAATATTCGGCTCCGCGCCCGGGGCAGCGCTCTTCTTCGTGTCCTACGAAGGGATAAAAAGGCACTTCGCCCACGCTAACGCGCCTTTGAGCGGCGCCGGGCAAGCGGGCGTGCACATGCTCGCCGCGAGCGTGGGGGAGGTGGCGGCGTGCGCGGTGCGGGTGCCGACGGAGGTGGTGAAGCAGCGGGCGCAGGCGGGGCAGTTTGCGTCGTCGCGGGAGGCGCTGGGGTTTATTTTGCGGCAGAGGGGGACGCGCGGGGTGGTGCATGTTTGGCGGGAGCTGTATCGCGGGTGGGGCATTACGGTGCTGCGCGAGGTGCCTTTTACTGTCATTCAGTTTCCTTTGTGGGAGGGGATGAAGAAGTGGGCGTTGCGGCGGAGGGGAAAGATGGCGTATGCTGGTGAGGTGACGGGGTTGGAGAGTGCGCTTTTTGGGTCGATTTCCGGGGGGATTGCTGCCGGGTTGACTACGCCGCTTGATGTTCTCAAGACTCGACTGATGCTTGCGAAAGAGAGGGAGAGCGTGGTGGCGGTCACGAGACGCATATGGAGGGATGAAGGTGGTAGGGTGTTCTTTTCGGGCATTGGGCCGCGGACGATGTGGATTAGCATTGGGGGCGCAGTGTTTTTGGGCAGCTATCAATGGGCTAGTAATATGCTTGGAGGAATGCCAGGTTGATCCTTCGCCTTTCCCGGTGCAATGAAATCGGAAGACGAGAAGACGCCGACGCGATGGGCTCCAGCGGATGTGAGCGAAGGTCATCATCAAAAGTCTCCTCCATGTTCCTGGCTCCCATCCTCCACCATGAGCAGAGTCGCCGCTCTGCCACTACCAAACAAATGTAGGCCTCCTCCAGCAGATGACTGTACCAGCAAGATCCTAGTACTTCTTCATCTTCTTCGGAAACGGGTGATCGAAAGCAAACTCCGCCGGAGTGCCAACCTCCGAGATCGTCTCCGGGGTCTCAGTCTCGTCCAAAACACTCGCCCCGCCAGCCAGGAAATCCTGGTATGCCGTCTCAATGTCCAGCCGGTCAGCTCCCACAGCCTCACCAAGCTTCGGATCCATCTCCCAACGCTTCAAGCAAGGTGCGCACTCAATATAGTAGGCATTGGCCATGGCGCCGAAGCCTAGCATCTGGTACTCTGGAAGCGAGTCACCAACGAGCCTGGTCGTCTCCCAATCCAAGCAGTCCTCGCAGAAACCATTCTCGCACCATCGACAGCGGTAGATCATGCCTCCTGCGTCCGAAGTCTTGGCCTGGCAATCGACACACTCGTGCTGTGGACAGTAGAACATCATGCCCTTCGCTTTGCCCTGGAAGGCGGTGTCCAGGCAGCTAACGTGATACGAGCGTGGACAGCCCGAACAAGACACGAGCTCAGGCTTGCCATTGTCGCCGCAGGTCTGGCAGAAGTCTTGGTGCTCGATCTTGGCCTTTTTTGCTCTCTTGGGCTCGGCGAGACGAGGATCCTTGCCAGCCATCGTAGGCACGGCTTCCCAATCAGCACACGCCAGAGATTCCTTGTTGATAGCGAAGCCGTCGATCATTACGGTTGTGTTCTTCCCCACACGGCGGTCAGCGCGGCTGATATCGAGCTCGACAGCGGCCTCCTTCAAGGCCTCCTTCTGATGGTTCTTGCCTTCGAAGACGGCACATTCCACTCTCTCCATCGAGTTCAACCAGCTCACTTCATCCGCATCTCCAGCGGTGTCGACAAGTCCAGGATCCGCAGTCTTGTCTTTGCAACGCTCGAGTGTCGTCTCCCAATCCCATTCCAACATCTCCGTGACATCAACGACAGGTGCTGCGAGCGTCTGCGCACCACGACGGATGAGCGACTTTAGTGACGTTGTGTCCAGATGAGGTGTGTCATCTTCCGCCGTCGCCTGGTCTGATGTTCGCTTGCGCTTATTCGACGCACCCGCGGTATGAATATTGCGCATGCTCTCGGTGATCTTGGTCGAGAGGTATAGCTTTTTGCGAATGCGCCCTAGCATGTGCTCCTCAACAGTTCCTTGCGTACAGAGTCGGTAGATCGTCACTTTCTGCGTCTGCCCAATTCGATGGGCCCGGGCTTCGGCTTGAACAGAGACCTGTGGATTCCAGTCCTCATCCATGAACACTACATTTGTAGCAGCCGTGAGATTGATCCCGAGTCCTCCCGACCGAGTGGAGATCAGCATGACTTTGACGTCGCTCTCTGCATTGAACAGGCGGATGTCGAGGTTACGCCTCGCTCGTGACGTAGATCCATCGAAGCGAGTGTAGCGAAAGCTGGCGTTCGAGACAGTATTGGCTCCTTTGAGAGTGAGTAGGTCCTCACACAAGTCCAGTGTCTTGTTCAGTCCAGCGAAAATGAGGACCTTCTTGCCTTGATTCACAACCAGCTCGTCAATCAGCTTGTCGAGGACGATGAATTTGCCGGAGGCTGTCTTGATGTGGTCTCCCAGGTAGTACGGCTCCGGCGCGGAGTGAGGGAAGATGTATGGATGGCTGCAGACCTTGCGCAGCTGCAAGATGAGGTTCATCAACCTCTGCCACTCAGTCTTGGAGCTGTCAGCAGCCTCAAACTGGATTGCCTTCTGCAAGATCTCCTTGCTCTCATTCCATGCGTCGTTGTTCGGGTTGGCGAGAGTCTCTGCCGCAGCAGTCAGCACCTTGAGCTGCTTATCCTCCTCGGCTTCCGACTTCAAAGCGTTGATTTCCTTCGCCTTTGCCCCTTTGAACAGCTCCTCTAGTAAAACATTATCGGTCTTCGTCAACAGTCGAGTGTACCAGAAGCGTTGCATTGGAGACAATGGGACGTAGAGCAGTACATCCTCCTTCGGTGGCAAGCCAAGGTTCACACCAGGACTGTTCTTCATCCGTCTCAGCATCACCAATTCGAGGAGGCGGCGTGCGTCGTCCATGAAATCAGTGGAGATCTTTCCTTTGGTCAGGTCGAAAGCGCGCTTGAACTTGTCCGCCGTATCGATCGTGAATACTTCGTCGTACAACCAATGCAGCAGAGCCCACATCTCAGTGAGATTATTCTGCAGCGGCGTGCCAGTAAGTAGAAGCCGGTGTTCGGAGCTCATCCCCTGCAGTGCCTGTGCAACATCTGATTTGCTGTTCTTGATCTTGTGTCCTTCATCCAGAATGCAGTAGCGCCAAACAAATCCTCGCTTGAACCAGCCTTGTTCTGCGACAAAGGCTTCGTAGGTGGTGACAATGACATCGATGTTGGCCGCTCTTCCAGCTGCCCGACAATCCGCCTTCAATCTTTCACGCTCCATCTTGGGGCCATGGAATCTGACGACATTGAGCTCCGGCACCCACTTCTTCGCTTCGTTCATCCAAGAAGAGAGCACACTCAATGGGCAGACCACAAGCGTGGGACGAGGCTCGCCTCCCGTAGCCCGGTTGTTGTTCTTCAGGTGCTGAAGCAGGGAGAGCGTCTGCAACGTCTTGCCGAGGCCCATTTCGTCTCCCAGAATCGCGTTGACACCATTTTCGTACATGTAGACCAGGAACGAGAGACCTTGGAGTTGATATGGCTTCATTGTAGCCATAACCCCTGCAGGCTGTGCGGTGAATTCAGTGTACGGGACAATCTTTGATTCGTGGTCATCATCATTTCCATCAGCGTCTTTGAGGCGCTGGAGCTTGACAAGGTGGTTGGATTCGGGAAGGAGCGGCAGGAAGTAATCCTTGTGCGCGAGGAAGAAGGCATCGCGTTTCGGTTTCGTATGTAGAGCGATGTCATTGCGAGCCTGGCAAGCACTGGTTAGCAGGAGACCCCTAAAAGGGTGTTTCATCGACTCACTTTCTGACGATCAGTCTCGACAACATCCTCAGGCTTCGTCTTTTGAGCAGCAAGAAGATCTGAAGTCAACTTTTTTGACTTGGACTTGGACTTCCCGACCTTGAGCGAAGCCTTCTTCTTCTTCTTTAGAGGTCTCTTTGGGGTGGCGTAGCTCACTTTGCTCCTCGTGGAGCGTGGTGGGAGCTCGCGCGTGGACGTTCGGCGTGGAGCAACTGCAAATTGATCAGTCTCGCTGTGAGTGACAACGTGTACATGTAAGTGAGACACCTACCCTGAATGACATCGTTATCGTCATCCGCCGCTTGCTCGAGCTCATCGGCGCTACTGTCGTCGAACTCGATGAAGGTCTGGGAGTTGCTCGTAGGATCTCCAAAGCTGGAGGTGGGAGACGTGGTCGGGGTTGCCGTTGAGCCCTCAGACTTTGCGTAGCTGATCGACGGCCGAGCAGGTCGCAGCTGGCGAACATCATGTTCCAGTGCCATTCTGCGAGCGCTGGAGGGAGGTCGCTTGGGTCCAAACGCTGCCAGAAGATCGGAGAGCCGTGGGAGTGGCGGGCGGACAAATGCGAGGGTTCGCCGTCGGACAGGAGGAGTGGTTGGTGATGTGAGCGGATCCCTGTCCATATCTGTGAACAAGCCGACAAATATTCAAAGTTTGTTTCATTCATGCAAGCAACCAAGTGAAGACAAGCGTCCAATCAGTCTTTTCAACTTGACGTCAGAGGTGCAGTCATCTGACGGCCAGAGTGGCAAAGGAGATTCACTCGAGTGAAGAATGTTCACTTCGGTGAAGTTGCACGTGAACGATGTCGACATCAACGATGATGAAGGAGAAGATGGAGCAACGCTGGCGCATTCAGAAGGGCATTGCATAAGCCTGCTCATTCAATTGATGGTGCAAACAGGAGGCCAAGGGGTGGAATGCGCAAGGAAAAGGTGCATCTCCGTCCTTTCACTCCAATGACTCCCAGCCCCATCCGCGGGAAGACGTGACGCGACGGTTAGAGTTCCGCCAGTACCTGCATTCGGCCCGCTCCGGCCACCGGTTTTTGCTTAGCTAATCACTGGTTGGACGATCATTGCACCCACTTCACTGCTCTAACGCGGACACTGAAATCGAAGAGCTCGAACGCTGCTCCGACAGCATGAACCTGCAGAGCTAGCTATCGACCTTACCCTCCATGCTCATCAGGCTCGCATAGCCATGACTCGATTCTACCCACTCTACTGCCGCCGCAGCGATGGAAAACTCGAAGCTGGCACCAAGAGCAAGAGGAAAGAGCTGAACCAGCCCACCGACGATCAACTGGACCAGAAGCCGGATAAGAATGGTGTCAGTGATTATTACCGCGAGGTGGCTCCGGAGGAAACAAAACATCTCGACTGGAGGAGGAAGCTGGGCGGAATGCTCGCAAGAGAGTTGGATTGGAAGGACAAGAATGCACAAGCAGGCAATGGTATGTGCTGTCGAAATTCTTTGGAGTGAAAGAGCTGTGTACCTGACAACGCCTCCATGCAGAGAGTGGATACATCCTCGTTGCCTTTCCCGAAAACTACCGGCTCTACGAACACGTCAAGAAGGTGGTGAAGGATGGCAAGGCGGAAGTCAAAAGCAAAACGCACGCGGCCGGTGGCAACGAGCGACAAGATGCCTATCTCTATGGCCATCCAGAAGGGAGAAAGAAACGGTACAGGAGTCCTGGCGATTTCTTCCCGCATCTATTGTGGCTGTGTACAGACGAAAAAGGACAGCATGACAACTGTTCGTGCAAAATATGTTCGCCAGATGATCCAGACGATGCCGAGCCGCGACCGGTGGGAAGACCAAAGAGCCAGCACGAATCCGGCGTCAAAATTGAAAGCGCCGTGGGAGTTACACGGCCGGCAAGCTCACAAGGCAGTGTGATGATCAAGCCGGATTCCGCGGTGCCAGCTACAACACAACGCACGCTGACTCAATCAACACCAATCACTCCGACTGCGCTACAGCAGCCAAGGACGCAAGATCAACAGATTGATCTACAGTACAACAACTTCATCTATCGATCAGGAGAGCTCGTATGGTTCAGTCGCGGTGCCGCCTGGGGCCTCGGTGCGATTCTCCGACGCTGGGTGTCGCCTGAAAATGAACGCTGTTACGTGGTTCAACCTCTATCCCATCCAATGAGCCATCCGCCTTCGGTTGTCAAAACCTCTCAATACGAGCTTCGGCCCTGGCTGGCATGGAGCGTGCCAAGATACACGCACGATGGACTCAACAACATGCCCGAGCCACCGAGGTATGAGAATGCCGATTGGCAAGGCATGAAGCAAGGACGATACGGGCCCGGAGATTTGGAAGTGGACGGCAGCATCTTAGCAGCAAAAGCAGTCGACTCTGCTTATACCCTACTGGAGCCCATCCACACATACCAGCCAGAGGCCTCGGTCAGCGAAACCCGTTATAACCGCCTATATCTGGGGGCGGAGATGTTCTGGCTGGGTGATGCTGTGCGGTTGGCTTCCGGCTCCGGGACTGATGTTCTCATTCTACATGCCATCATTGCGCGTACCCACTCAGCCACTGCAAGGCCAGACAGCTCACGAAGCTCCGTCTTTCTGGTGGGAGACACGTACAGAATACAATCAACCCAACACAGCGACCGCAACGCCCCAAGCCCAGCCTCGCCACAGAACAATCCACACCTACCGCAACGACTGACCGAAGATCTCAAATTCCGCAATGATCGTTCGATCCCTGCGAAACACATCGCATCCTACTGGAAACTATCTCTGACGAATCATCGTATCGAATTGGACGAGGTCAAGGGACGATGGTACGAAGCCAGTCTTCTCCTTCCCATCCTGCTGCAAAAGGGCCAGTTCGAAGACGCTGCGCGCAAAGGCGAGATTCAAGAAGCATCCTTGTGGATGAATGCCCGCGGGGATTGCCTCAACTCCAATCGCGCTGCATCTCTACCCAGAATCCCACGCCAGAATATCCGCAGATCAACCCGCCGAGAGGCTTTCGGCGCTGCCGTACCTTCTGGCGCAGAGATCCGCGACGGCATTGAACCGCCGCTACCGGCCAATGTCGATCCTGCGCTGGGCAATAACCAAACCAGCATGGACATTGATCCAAGGTTCGACACTGCTGAGAGCGCCGGGCACGACGCTGGCCATGAAGATGCCAATGCGTTGGATGCTTTTATGGATCTCGATGGCATGGAAGACTCCCAGAGCCAAATGCCTGGCTTTGGCAAGGAATACGGCAGTCAGTCGAACGAGCAGCATGGCTTTTTCTGAGCGAGACTGCCTCAATGTAACCCGCGCTACCTGCTGGGCCGTTGATCGACCACACTCCATCACAATCGGAAAAGAAGGGAGTAGCTTTGCTTGGCCAAGCATTCAATTTCACAAAGCTATAACGACAGGACGTCCGCGAGATTCAGCAGACAACACTCCTCACCGCACCACTCCTCTCACTTCTTCTGGCCTCCACCAGGGTTGCTAGCGCCGCCACTCTTCCCGCCAGCACCACCGCCGCCGCCACCGGAGCCCTGATTTCCGCCCGAGCCAGCAGCGTTCGCATTGGTAGCCGCCGCGGACTGTGCGCGCGAGGCGAAGCCGGGATCGTTGCCGCTCTTCGCCTGGGTTGTGTTAGACATGACGCTCGCCTCGGCCTGGCAGTGAACGAGAATCAACTTACTTCGGAAGATTGGATGCGACCTGCGTCCGAGCCGGTCATCTCATTTCCCGACATGATTGCTACTGTAGGGATTTTCGTGAACGTGTGTAGTGGGTCGAGCCTGAGGAGATATAGCAGGTTGGGTCTAATTGCAAAGACTTGGAACTCGGAAAATCACAAATGGAGCTCGTGCATTCCGACCTCTTCTTATACCCCTCTTCAATATCCCAGCAAACTACAAGTTCCCCATCGTCGATGATCCTCCCCCTCCACACTTCATGCATGTAGTCAACTGCCGTGTGTAACGCAACACAAAGCAAGGGCAAAGCTCAGCGTCTCACTGAAACACAAACACCTGCCCCGATCGATCCGCGCTCAGCACCATCCCAAAAGGCCGCTCCAGCACCGCAACATCGGTAATGCGATCCAAGTGGCCTTCAAGCAGGTGCTGCGCCGACAGACGTATAGCCTCATACCGCGATATCTGCGCGGATCGAGTGGGGGTGTTGCTACCTGCGCCACCGCTCTTCCCGCTACGCTTGGTCGCCGTGCTTGTGCTGCTGGCTGGGGCGACTTTGTTCGATTCAATGAGGTTGTTGGTCCCGGGTTGTTGCGTGGTGTTACTGCTATCCTCCGGCATCTTCTCGATCAAGACCTTAGTATCCAGCCCTAGACTCCCAATTGCATACGCGGGCTTCTCATCGCCCACACCGCCACTCACAAGCCTGCAGCCATCCGCGCGGTCGAAATCCCAGAAGCGCACCATATCGTCAGGCCCGCCGGTTATGACGAACAGATGCTGCGTTTCGGATTCCTCTGATAGCTGGTAAACACCGAAAGCAGAGGAGGTGGTGAGTGCGAGGGCGGCGTCTTGCGTATTCGGATCGGCGGCTACTGAGCCAGCAACACGGTCGAGCAGGCTTTCTGAGCGCTCGTCGTCGAGGTTCTTCAGCTCGTAGTCGCGTGTGTTTAGGCGGGTTTTGCTGTGGATGTGGTCTGGGCGGAGGAGGTAGTGGCAGATGACTTTCTCGATGTCCCAGACGGTCACTTCGCCTCGACCCGTTCCTCCCGTAACACAGATCCAGTTGCGCTTAGCAGTCTTTTTGCCGGGGTGGAGTTGTAGTCGTGTAATTGGCGCTGCGCGAGGGAAAGCCCACGAGCGAAGTCGCAGTTGGAAGCGCAGATCCCAAAGGTCGAGCACGCCGTGAGAAGTGCCGATGAGAATCCAGTCGTGGCGTCTGCTCAGGCAGAAACAAATCGGTGTGCCGTGCTGGGCGGGGTTGTGAAACTCGAATTGCACCGACATGGATCGGAGATCGACTGCCAGCACTCTGCCGGCATTCGTGGCGAGGAGGAGCATGCTGCCGGAGTCCGCGCGGAAATGCTCTGACCAGACTGCGTACTCTGTGCTGGCGCTGTGATGCGGGATCTGCCAAGTGCGCAGCAAATGCATCTTGCTGGCATACTGTGGGCCGTTCTCGCTATCCGCAACGGAGACTTTGAAAAAGTGCACGCTGCCGTCCGAGCCGGTGCAGACGAAGCAATGAGTGGCTTCGATGAAACAGATGCTGGTCACCTTGACACCCTGCCCGACACTCTGGCTGTACCGCGAGCGATGTGTAACGTTGCGCTCCAATCGCGAAGAGTCCCAGACTCGGATGAAGCTGTCGTCCGAGCCTGTGACGAAGAATGCGTGGTCGGGCGATACCACGATCCGTGTGACACTGCTGGAGTGCTCACCGAGTACGGCAACAAGTTGACCCGTTGGTCGCCAGGGGCCATTCACGAGCTGACTGGAGTTCGACAAGATGGGTCCTTTCGGTAACGGTTGAACAATGGGGCCAAACTCGGCGACATCCATGGGGAAGGTGTCGACGTAGACTGCATCCAGCAGTCGAAGCACCGAAGGATCATTACCCGCATAGTTATGCCCGGCTCTGTTGTTCGCGCCCTTGGACCGGGCTCTGTGGGTTCCATGAGCACTTGGGCTCGGGGACTTGCGTCGAACCGTCATCGACGGTGGATTGAGCTTGCCAGCCGCCGTGGAGTCGTCTGTAGCCACCTCCGGCAACGTTTTGTTGCGTAGATCGGCACCAGAGAGTAATCGTGCTGCATTGCTTCGACTTGATGATGCGCGATCTTTGCCTTTGCCGAGGAGGGCGATGCCTGAGCTTGGAGACGAAGACAGGCTTTGTCCAGACCCGGAAGTCTGCCGCCTTAATTCCGGCAGTTTCGGTGCGGTCCCGTTACTTGTTGGTACATCGACACCGTTCAGTCCAGGTGATAGTCCGCCGCCGTGTGCGGTGTCTGCTGCACCAGACGTCGCGGCTTCCTGAAGTGCGTCCTCTATCCCACGAGCCGCTTCTTCCTGATCTTGCTTGCGCTGTCTGTACACATCCACACTCGTCTCGAAGACAATGGTCTGCAGCGGAATATCCAGCTTCACCAATGACACGATATCCTCATAGATCATCTCTCCAGCTGAGGGGTCTTCATTCTTACCGAGCTGCGCCGTGCGCCACAGATATTCGCGGAAAGCCAGAATCTTCATTTCATCCTCACTTCGCATCCCTGCATTTCTCAGGCGACCGAGCCATTGCTCGTCCTCGTCCGTCTTTGGGATTTTTGCAAGCGATTTGGGACCAAGATCTGCCACGGAAGATACAGGCGGCATCTGGTTCGACGATCGATACGCTAGTTGCTTCGAATCTCTGGCCTGTTTCCAAAAGACACTCTTGTCAACTCTACCGGCCCACTGCAAGGCCAGATCCAGCACCGCGCGTGGTAGCGGCTTCTTCAACGCATCCAGAAGCTCGGCCTCTGTAAGAGTGCTTGCAGGTATCTTGAGGTAGGGTTTAATGAGCGGCGCGACCAGAATGCGGGTGTCCGCCAGGGATAAGTATGTTGTCGCGGAAGAGATGAAATGGGTTGCAGCCTCTTTGATCCACATGTTGGGGTGTAGAACGAAACGAGCGACGGTGTCGATGAGTTCCCAGGTCTTGGCTCGTTGAAGCAGGCCCATCTCTGCCATGCTTGCGAGAGATCGTAAAGCTTGCTCGACCACAAACTCTTGGGGATCGCTGAGTGCCTGCAGCATCAAGGGCAGGATGAACTCTTCGAGACTCGCTCCGCCAATGTAGACAGCAACGCCGACGATCGTACGGAAGAAGGCGCACTTGAGCTGCCAGTCTGGATCGTTCAGGTAGGTGTTGAGGTGGCTCAAGATCAGATCGCTTGCTCGCGACTCTCCAAAGAACACACAGAGACTTGACACCGAGCTGAGAAACGCTCGACGGACTGCAGTGTCATTGTCTGTAAGGAAGACCTTCGTCTGGCCTTCTAGCTGGTCCAAGACTTCGATGCGTGTTGCGTCGTACGTATCGTGGTTGATCCCCCGACCATCGATATCGTCGTCGGCAGCTCTTCCGGCTGATGGGAAGGATCCCTCCGCTCGTAATGCTTGCATCATGTCTAGGAATCTTGAGGCACTTTCTGCCAGACTTGCCAAACACGCGGCGTAGGTCGCTCTTACGATTGGATTCTGCTTGAAGTTGGGCGTCCGCACGAAGATTTGCAATCGTGGAAAGATGTATTGCGTGAATAGGAAGGAGTTGACAGGTGATGTGACGTTGACGAGGGCCAGGAGCTGTGTCATGGTGCGGAGGGCGGCGACGAGCACCATCTTATCAGAGTCCTCAAGAAGAGGCATCACATAAGGCAGTACGCGGTCAAGCTTCGCTTCGTCCGGAATGCGTTCCGCAAATGCAAGCAAGAGCTCACACGCTCGAACTTTGGACGACGCGCGAGCCACACTGCGTAGCGAAGTTGTGACAACATTCAAGAGTATGAATGTGCCGTTGTCGCCTTTCGTGACCAGTTCTGAGCTTGCAGTGTGTCGGTTGTTTGGGAGGTCAACTTGTAGCGGGAAAAGACCATGTCCAGCGCCAGGTAGTCGCGTGGTTGCTGACGATAATGCGGAACTCTCGTAGCCCAGTGACACCGAGAGCATTTCAAAGTCGTCGTAGATCCGGTTGATCCGATTGTCGGACTCGGCATTATTGGCATCGCCTACGGCCGGCGGCCTGCAGCCTGATGAAGGATCGGTGATCTCTTGCATCAGCGTGTGCAAGTGCTGGTAGAAATAGAGAGGGAAGGCCTTGCCCTTGAATTCATCCAGGTAGTCTTGCGCATGCCATCTCTCCTCTGGACTGAGACGAATCATGCTACTGATCAACGAGCGCACGTGTTCGTCATCAACCTTATTGAGCAGAGTAGCCGTTGGGTCATATTCGCCTTTGCGATATGCGAAGAGCTGACTCAAAGTGAATGTCGGCACTTCGGTGAAGAGCTCGGCGATGACACATCCCAGACTGAAGATGTCCATACTCCATTCGACGCCACCTTCGAAGCTTGACTGCTGTCCCGATGCGAGGAAGCGCTCGGGTGCCAGATAGCATGTCCGCCGGGCCGAGACATCATAGTAGAAAGTAAATTCTGCCGGATTGCCTTCTGGGAGGTACACCGGCTTGAAGACCGAGGCGAAATCCGTAAGATACACCCAGCCCCAGGAGGTGACCAGCACATTCTCCGTCTTGATATCTCCATGATATCTTCCGCGGGAGTGGCAATCACGGACTGCGCATAACAACTGAAAGGCGATCCATTTCTTCTCGATGTTCTCCAGAAACGGCCGGATGCTCACACGGTCGTACAGCGAACTGTGAATGAACTGACGGACCAAAACGCCGATGGTAGCAGTCTCGCGAATCTTCTGGTAGGGGAGAACATTCGGCACATCACTCAAGGCATATCTCTCGGCTCTGAGTTCCTTTGCGTAGTGTTTGAAGGAGACGGTGGGGTTGTTCTTCGCGCAGACCTTCACCACCACCACGCCATGCTGATGCCGCGCTCTGACGGTGCGCAGAAAGCGACCACCTCCCAACGGCTTCTCGAATGTGAGGTCGGCAAGCTCGGTGGTCTCGATTGCACTCGGGCCGGCGGGAAGAGTGGTTAACGAGTAGCCCTGGCCCATCTTCGTGGATATCTCATGGTTGGTCTCTCCGGGTCTGCGGTATCATATGTCGGGGTGCTTCATCTAGACCAAGCCGTACCCGGGTGTGAGGATCTTTCGTGTGAAAGAGCGACGATCGCTCGATTGTGTGTCCAGGCTGTAAACTGGAGCCGTGATGCTTCCAGTTGATTTGTTGCTAAGACGGATGGAGTGAGTGCCTGGCGCGAGGTCCGGGTGGCATCGCAGCGCCACACCAGCTGCGCCACACTTGGACTGCCGCCCTTGAAACATCAACTGTAGATGAACGACGATAGCAGCAGTATTCCTGCAACTCGTCAAAAGCACGCCAATAAAATGGTAACAAGAGTCAAGTGTCACTGTGTTCCATAGGTCCAGTCATTACCGAAATGTTTCATTCATGAGGCTATACGCTGCATTAAGGTATATACTCATGGCTGCAGCCTCGCTCACACCACCCGTCATTTCCCCCGTTGATCTTCCCACATTTCCACAGCCAGCAGCACCATGTCATGCCTTGGGCGAGACAATCTTGATGACTTTGACGTCGCTCGAGCTGATGTCAATCCTCTCCAACACAGCCTTGGACTTTTCCCACGGTACAGCAAACAGCCCCGAATTGATCTTGCACATCCGAACTTCAGCAATGCAATCCTCTTGCTTCGCTTTCGAGTTCCATGCTTCAACGTGCTTCAACAGATCCTGCATGGCCGGCTTAGTCGCCTCCAGAATACGCGCCGGCGAGTCCTTTTTGCGGCCGTAGTGTCGTGATGTAAATAGGCATCCCACAAAGTGCTTGGGAACCTCTTTGTCGTCTCCCTTGGAACCCTCTTCACCGGGGATCTTCGCATCAACAGGCGGAATCAATTGAGCGGTGTCGAGCAGCGAGTGACCATGCAGATCGCAGTGTTTCGCGTATTCATCGTAAGCCTTGGGATATCGATCTTTGAATGCTTTAGCTATGCCGCCGCCCCAGCTTCCATCACAATTGCATGCATGGATGATCAAGGTGTTTGGTGGTGCGGAGAAGATGTCGCCGAGTTCTTCCACAATTTGAAGTGCTTCCGTTGGTGCTGGATCGTCGTTGGATGATGATTTGGCCGAGGGTTTTGCCGGTTTGGTGTTTGCTTTCTTTCGCCTTTTAAGATCGCTCGCGGATGATGGTGTTGATGGAGAGTCCGGCTCCGCAGCCGGGCGTTTGGTGCTCGAGCGTGTCGTGCGTGAAGACATATTGAAGTGTGATCTGTCCGAGAGGACTAAGTCGCCTCGTGTTGTCGTAGTCTTGATCAAACTCAGGGGCTCACACCCGCCTTGCGTTCGGTCGTAGTGAATGAATGGCAGGGCTGAGCAGCTCAGATTCTCATTGAGCTTCATTCATGTGAGTGGGTGACGAGGTTGCGCAGATACGTGGAGGAATTGAGTACTATTCGTTCTTGCGTTTCCAAAGCATACCTAGGCTTAGGTATACACAACATCCCATGCAATGAATGCACAAGGTGAATGTCGCAGAGCATCAGAGCAGTCAATGTTGCGGGCAAGCTCCAGCCAATCACCGTCCACACTGCAAGGTTACTCAGCAATTAGAGTTTGGTGGCCAGGAAGCTCCCGGACGAAAAGCATGCATCACGACCTCCTCTCCAGTCGCCATCGAGGCATTGAGCCGGTAAAGCACCTCTCTCACCCCCCGACACAATGTCTCTGCCGTCAAAAGCGACCACGAGCCTCCTCCGGCACGCCGGCCGGCAGCAACTCCCCGCCCTGCGCTCCTCCGCCGCCCTGGTGCAGAAGCGCAATCGAGCCGACTCGCCCTTTGACGCCTCCACCTCGCACGCCGAGTTCACGTCTCCCTTCCACCGCGGCACGCGCAATGAGCAGGACACCACCGTCATACCGAACTGGGGCAAGTACCGGTCGTCGAGCAGCGAGACGGGCAACAAGCTGTTCCAGTACTTCATGGTCGGCTCGTTCGGTGGCTTGACTGCTCTAGGAGCGAAGAATACCGTGCAAGGTTCGTTCCCATTCCCCTCATCTCAAGTACTCCACACACATCTCTCCACACCGACTAACACACTCACCCCATCAGACTTCCTCGTAAACATGTCCGCCTCGGCCGACGTGCTCGCCCAAGCCAAGGTCGAAGTCGACCTCTCGCAGATCCCCGAAGGCAAGAACGTCATCATCAAATGGCGCGGGAAGCCCGTCTTCGTGCGTCACCGCACGGCCGACGAGATCAAAGAAGCGGAAGACGAGGACTGGAAGAAGCTGCGGGACCCGCAGCCCGACGAGGACCGCGTGAAGAAGCCCGAGTGGCTGGTGATGCTGGGCGTGTGCACGCACTTGGGCTGCGTGCCGATTGGCGAGGCGGGCGATTACGGTGGGTGGTTCTGCCCTTGCCATGGAAGCCATTATGATATTTCGGGGCGTGTGAGGAAGGGGCCTGCGCCGTTGAACTTGGAGATTCCGGAGTACGACTTCCCCGAGGACGGACTCATGGTCATTGGGTAGATGGGGGTGGATGCCATGACGGGGTAGATGGTAGATGGCAACGAGGCGGGTGGAGATGGGAGCTCCTGTACCGTTAAGAGAATTGCAGCGTACTAAATTCATAACTGAGTGGCATAAGAACATAAACTGTGCTCAACCTGTGTCGTGGTACTCTTCTACATCTCCAGCTTACGATGCAGCCTCAGCACCCAGATACACGCCCACCGCCTTGACCGCAGCCTCGAACTTGCCCGCCTCAATGAGGATCAGATGCCCTTGCGGCTGCACGCCGAGCTCCTGAAACGCGCGCTTCGAATCACTCGCTCCCTCCTCCGCCTTGACGTAGTCGAAATTACAACTCGCCAGCGCGTGCCGAGCCAACACCTCATCCTCGGGATGGAAGTAGAGCGTCTCCGACTGACTGCCCCCAGCAGCAGCCTTCTTCGACTTCTTCGATGGCCTATCATCCTCCGCATCCAGCTTCGACGCCACCTCAGTGTACGTCTTGGACACAACCAGATAATGCGTGAACTGGTACGGCTCCTTCTCCTCATTGGCCCACTGCATTTCCTCCAGCAGCATGGTGTACATAGGCGGCACAGTCTGATGCGGCATATTAATAACCCGCTCAGCAAGCACAAGCCCAACTTGCGCCTTCCCGTCCCCAGCATCCAGCAGTTTCGCGAGTGAGTCGCGCATGCCCGCGTGATCCGCCACTCGCTGCGAGAGATACTGCGACAGCTGCTGCATCACCGCTTTGCCGCGGTGGACGTGCATATTCAGCACGGTGAGGAAGGCGTAGGGGTCGCTGTCCTCGCCGTCGCACTTGATCATCGTGCCGAGCAAGGGCTGCGCGAGGATCATGTCGGCCAGTTCGGAGAGGTCAAAGAGCTGGTTGTCGACGTCAAAGAGTTGGCGCAGCAGCGTTTTGAGGCCTTGGAAGTCGATTTCCGGCGAGGGGTTGAAGTATTCGAAGTCGACGTCGAGCACGGATGTGTCCTGTGTATTCGTGTTAGTGATGTTTTGTTTGGTTGATCTTTGGTTCATGACCTACATCTTCGCTGCCGCTGTCGTCGGCGTCTACCTCCATTTTCTCCTTGGACGCGATCTTGGAGTCTCCATTTGCTTTTCGCTTGCTCATCTTGGCGGATGTGATTGATACCAGTTTTAAATTGTGAGATATTTGGTGAGATGTGCAGCGCGGTACTTTTCAATCGTGTCTGAAGAAAGATGTCTCGGGGTCCAAGGAAGCGGAAAGCTGATTGGCCGGGTTGAAACTTGCCCCTCGCTATCGATAAGAATTTTCGAGATATGCCCTGCAGATGCAGGAACCGAACGTGACACACCCTGCCCTCGCCCACCCCTTCCCTCCGTCACATTTGCTCCAGCAGCTTTACAACCGCCCGAAAGTCTCCTCAGCCATGGCCCAACCAAACGGCCACGCCAACGGCGATCTGCCACCACCCCCGCACACCCTCTTCGACACGATCCTCGTCCTCGACTTCGGCTCGCAGTACACGCACCTTATCACGCGTCGCCTACGCGAACTCAACATCTACAGCGAGCTGCTGCCCTGCACGCAAAAGATCCAAGACCTGACGTGGAAGCCGAAAGGTGTCATCCTCTCAGGTGGACCCTACTCCGTCTACGCTCCCGGTGCACCCCACGTCGACCCCGCGGTCTTCACTTTGGACGTGCCGATTCTTGGCATTTGCTATGGCCTGCAGGAATTGGCGTGGCATCATGGGAAGAATGTGCTGGCGGGTGAGAAGAGGGAGTACGGACATGCGGCGTTGCAGATTCAGCGACATAGCGGCAAGCAGGCGCACGTGGATCGATTGTTCGAAGGACTGCCGGACGATACGGAGGTGTGGATGTCGCATGGAGACAAGCTGTCGAAGATGCCTGATGGCTTCTTGACGGTTGCCACGACGCAGAATTCCGCTTTCGCTGGTATTGCGCACGAAAAGAAGGAGTACTATGGCATTCAATTCCACCCCGAGGTGACACATACCCCCAAGGGGACGCAATTGATCCGGAATTTCGCTGTGAACATCTGCAAAGCGAGACAAGACTGGAACATGGGGGCTTTTGTCGACAAGGAGATTGCCCGGATTCGCGCCCTGGTCGGCGACAAGGGACAAGTCATTGGAGCAGTGAGTGGAGGAGTGGACTCCACCGTGGCAGCCAAGCTCATGCAAGAAGCCATTGGCGATCGCTTTCATGCGGTCCTGGTGGACAACGGTGTGCTGCGCAAAGATGAAGCCAAGCAAGTCAAGAAGACATTGACAGCCGGTCTGGGCATCAACCTTAACGTTGTGGATGCCAGCGAGCTTTTCCTCGGTCGCTTGCAGGGTGTTGCAGATCCCGAGAAGAAACGCAAAATCATCGGAAACACATTCATCGATTGTTTCCAGGAGAAGGCGCACGAGATAGCCGAAGCCGCCGCCAACACCCCGCGCGCAGGGAAGATTGAATGGTTCCTCCAAGGCACGCTATATCCGGATGTGATTGAGTCAATCTCATTCAAGGGGCCGAGCGCGACGATCAAGACGCATCACAACGTCGGTGGCCTGCCGGCGAAGATGGGTCTCAAACTCATCGAACCACTGCGAGAGCTCTTCAAAGATGAAGTACGAGAACTCGGCACCAGCCTTGGAATCCCTGAGGAGCTGGTGTGGCGACATCCCTTCCCCGGCCCTGGAATCGCCGTCCGTATCATTGGAGATGTCACGGCCGAGAAGGTGCGCATTGTGCAAGAAGCCGATCAGATCTTCATCGAAGAAATCCGCGCAGCCGGGCTGTATCGGGAGATCAGCCAAGCTTTCGCGGCGTTGATGGAAGGCAAGGCGGTGGGTGTTGTTGGTGATCAGCGTTTGCATGGGCACATTATTGCCTTGCGAGCTGTGGTCACGTCGGACTTCATGACGGCCGACGCATTCGAGTTTGACAAGAGCTTCTTGAGGAAGGTGAAGAACCGGATTGGAAACGAGGTCGCGGGTGTTGCGCGTGTGCTATACGAGAGTAAGTGACGTTCTTGTCTGCCGTACTGGATCGACTACTGACATACCCATCAGTCACAAGCAAGCCGCCGGCTACGATTGAATTTGAGTGAACAGCGGCAAGGAGTCTGGATCGATTTTGACCAGTCGATCAACATCTTCCGCCGACAAACCCTCCACTATTCTCCCCTGTTTGCTTATGGTCGACAGCACGCCGTCCAAGTGATCCCGCAGCACTACTATCAAGTCGTCGAAATCCGCCGGATCGCCAATGCGATGTGGATTCCGAATCCAACTTCGCGCAAACGATTGACGAATGGTAAAACAACCGTCTCGCTTGGGCAAGTCGACGTGAAATTCCACGGGCACCCGTTCACCAGTGTATGGATCTATCAGAGCAAAGTTCAACTGAAAGTGTCGAATCTGCTTGAACTTCGCGGGCGCAATGCCGTGGTACCAGTGCTCCGTGCGAAGCCAGATCTGCCGGTGATAGGAGGATCGAATGAATGTCTGGACGTGGAGTTTGTAGGCGGAGTAGTAGAGAGGCAATGCCTCGCGACGAATCTGTTTGCATGCGAGGGTGAGGGGTGGTTCGGAAGGGGGACTGCCGCGGTCGAGATGAGGCGTGCTTTGGAGATGGAAGTTGTAGATGAGTTCACGAATCTCCAGTGGAAGAGTCCAGAATGCCGAAGGGCGTGTCTCTGGTCGTGTGCTGTCCATTACAAGATTTCCGTCGTTCACAAGGAGGTGGTCTCGTGCTCGCCATCCCTACTCGGCCTACTGACTGTGGTTCGTAAGGTTCACACATAGCGTGATCGCGGTCCGTGCACGCCGTTTCGAAACACGAGGTCCGCACGCAGCGCACACAATGACATCACCAGCAGAATCCAGGAACGTCTCCTCAAGCTTTCACTCGTGCATTTCGTGTCCTTGTACCTTCGTTCCTACACCTCACTTTGATCTCGAGCTCTACTTGCAACCAGCTCTTTACATCCACACCAAACCACACACGTCCAATCCATCCATCATGTCCTCCCAATCCAACGTGGGCAACAGTCAAGTCTACGAGGCCGGCGACCAGGTGCGAAACATCCACGTGTGCTCAAGACACCACCATCCAAAATGCACATTCTGACCTTCATCCCAAACAGCGCAACGTCTCCAAAGAAGACGAGGAACAAATCCAACGCTTCCACGAGGGCCAGGACAACGCCCACAAGGCCAACGACGCCAGTACGTCGACACCGCCTTTACCCTACACTCCTACAAACTTCCATTGAACAACGACTAATACCATGTGACTGCGGCAGAGGACGAGCGCACCATCGCCAACAAGCTCGAGCGCGAAACGCAGCGGGAGAAGGAGAAGGACGAGCCGAAGACGGAGCACGAGGCGGCGCACAAGATCGATGCCACGCTGCCGGTACGTTGATTCTCGCCATCCCGGAATGCAAGGCATGTGACTGACGTAGTGTGTTGTGTGTGACAGGCGAAGCTGAAGGGCAACAAGCCGTCGCGGGGCGCGGAGATTGACCAAGAGCTTCGCGAGGAGGAGGAGGCGATCCTCAAGAAGAAGGGGGATTTTGGGCCGAATGTGAACTGATGACGCACCGCGTGTGTGTGTCTCGGAGGGCTATCTTGGGGTATGATTCGGCAGATGAGTTGCATGACGATGAGGAAGAGTCAACGATAGCTGTAAAACGAAACACTTCGATGGTTGAAAAGCCATATTTTCTTCTCTCCTCTCTCTCACCACTCTATTACAACTACCACGCCGTGTTGAAAATACGAAAAGCCCACTACAGACGTATTAGGTCCTCAATGCCACACCGTCGAATTCCACTTCTGAAAACTCAACCCCGGATTCAACAATAATCCAGGATTATACGCCGGCTTCGCAGGCTTCTCATCCGTCTTGCCATCCCAACAGTACGTGGAGAAGCAATTCTGGCACGAAGTCGGGACCGTCTGATTCGTGCGCAGCAGGGACTTGTAAATCAGGCCGCACGCGACGCACGTCGGGAAGGGGGGCGCGTTCGTGCCGTTGGCCACGGTGCCGTTGCCGTACGTGGCGATGTTGAAGGAGTTCTCGAAGACGAGGTCGAGCTGCGCGTTGGTGAAGGAGGAGGTGGTGTAGCTGTAGTTTGTGTACGCCGACCAGGGGGAGTTGGGGAGGTAGAGGACGAGGGGGGTGGCGAGGGAGGCGTTGCAGCCGAAGAAGGTCTGTGTGTTTTCGTGTTAGCGGAGGAAGCGGAGATGCGTGTTTGTCAAAAGACGGGGGACTTACCGGGAATCGGTTCAAGTCTTCGTTGATGAATGTCGCTGCGTCGGGGACGACGGGGAAGGGGACGCCGAGGCGTTGGGCGGCGAGGTAGCTGTTCCGGAACGTCGTGCCGTTCACCCAGCTGTTGCCGGGCTCATCCGTACTCGAGTCGTAGGCGATGATGAAGTCGACTTTGCGCTCGGGGATGATCAAGGGGCGGATGGGGATGGTTTCGCCGCTCTCGCTGCCGTCGACCTGGGAGAGGTGTTAGTGCGAATACACTTCAAGGGCTGTGGATTCACTCACCATCAGAAGCTCCGTGACGTTCGTCATGTTTTTGTTGTAGTTCTCAAACGGATTGGGGTACGTGGCCCACATGCTGGCGTTGAACGTCTGTCCGAAAGTCGAATTCACGCCTTCCACCAGCATAACGAGAGTATCATTCTCATTCTTGGTGGGAATGGGGATATCACGTTTGGTAAAGAGCGGGATGTTGTAAAAGGAGTCGATGAACCAAAAGTTGAACGCGTTGCCCGTCGAGCCTTGCGCAAACGTGACCTTGTCGAACCCGTTCACGCATTGGCGCTTTTTGGCGGGCCGGCCTTTGCTCATGCTGGTGCCGAGATACTTGGTGGGGATGAAGGCTTGCACGCGCCCGCCGAGCCAGCTGCCGAATTCAAACGGCGTCTCTTCGTAGACGGTGGAGCTGTTGATGTCGGGATACGGGATTTCGCCAATCTGGGGGGACACGCCGGGCACGACTTCGGACAGGAGCACAATAGGCATGGGCGCGAGGCCCTTGGCGAAGGCTTCGGAGGTGGCAATGTCGGAGACGTCTTTGAAGGCCCACGAGGCCGGCAGGAACTGGCGGAAGAACTGGCCGAAGACGTCGGTGACGGAAACGGGGAAGCCTTTCTCCAATTTGGTGGCTGTAAGGCCAAACAACTTGTAAAAGTACGAGGTGGCGTTGCCGGATGGGCCGAGGAGGTAGCTGGAGGTGAAGTCCACGGCGGCGCGCAGGTCCGCCAGGCTGCTGAAGTTGTTGCTCGCACTGCCGTATGTCAGATCATGGGATCGGCCGTCTGTCCGCGCGAGATAGACTTACACTGGCAAAACCATGTTGAATCCTCCACCGCTCAGGCCGGTCAGGTAAGAAAGACATTGAGTAAGGCCACCGGTACCCGCCTTCACCGCGGGCGGATAGCGAGCATCAAACGCCTGCCAAATTCCCAGACCTGTCATTCCCGACTGCGAGCCGCCGCCGGAGATGGCCAGGCCTGCAACGGGCGCATTGGAGGCATTGACTTTAGCCAAATAGCTGGTCACATTGAGATCGGAGATGTTGGCGGTTTGCAAGTACGATTGCAGCGACTTGACCACTTCACTCAGGCGCAGCGTGCGCCATGCCTGCTCCTCGGGGCTCAGCCCGTCGGTGGCTGCGCGGACGGTCAAGTTGGAGGGACATTTGACATATGTCGGCGCGTAAGGCGAGGAAGCTGGTTTCTTGCGTGCAAGGACGGGATTGGAGAAAGAAGTGAGGAGGAGGGTGAGGGTGAGGAGGAACTTGGTAGGCAGAAACATCTTGACGGCACGAGATGTGAGACGGAACTGGGAGACTCACAATGGATCGCGTGAAGCAGCCAGTCCGACGGTCTTATACCAGTGCTCGCCGGGCGCATTGCTAAACTCTTCTTACGCCATTCATCAGAACTTTGGTCGGATGGCCGCGCAACGTGAACACCACCGGACCCGACGGTAGGCTACAATCTCGCCAAATACGGAAGATCCAGTGCGGGCTGAGACGGCCGGCAGCAACCTCGACTTCCACATTGGGACAATGAAAGAGAGGGCGCAGGCGACGCTGGCCAAGATCTCGTGATGTGTACCAGAGTTAGGGCGACGCCTTTGTTGCCTGATCCAAGACATTAGCCAGACAGGCGAAGGGAGGGCGTTTGGGCCGCGGAGTGAAGGTTTGGAAGCGTACGGCCGTAAAGGGCCAGAGGGCAAGTGGAAGAGAGTCTAGAAGGTGGCGCTGGAGGAGCAGGTCAAGCTCGAAAGGGCCCGGATACGAGGTCGGCGGTGCAGCACGCTGCGACGCTGGTGGAAATGTTTCATCCCGCGTGGATTGAGTTTCGCACATCGTCTGGAGTAGCCCGGACGTTGCGCACGATGGGTGCGCAGGCGGGGAGCCGACTGGCGCCACCGCGGTGCCAAGCGCGCAAATTCGGGGTCGGAGGATCCATCACAGCCACGGAGCCAGTCTTTGCTCTCGTCTGTCCCTCACACTCACATGCACTCATCAGCTGTCTGCCGCTCGCTGCGAACGACTGTCGCTCATCATGCACATTGCCGGACTGGCGCATCCCTCCGCCTCACGCCACCCGGAACTTCACCGCCCCTGTCATACTGGGGCTAGCTACTCATAGTCAAAGCAGACTCGCACCGGTAAGCTGCTGGACGTGGCCACCAACATCCAGATCTACTGTGTCTCACGGCCATACACAACCTGGAGGCCGCGGAGGGTACGCCCAACAAACCGACGAGACATGCTGCTCTTGAGAGAGCTGAACCCTGCCTTACCAAGGCATCCAACGAGCTTGGTGCCGAACAGCCACACCTAGAACTGCAGCGAACGAGCGGGAGCGAATCACCACCCGGTGGTGCCATGGTCGAGCTTGCCCTCCCGCGGAGTCAGGCACGCTGCCATTGGGTGATGCTCCAAGGTTTGCACTGCACGCTGCTTGCCCAAGACATACTTGCGCCGACGCCAGGTGACTTGTTACGGACGTAAGGTAGGCGAACACGAGCACCCATGCAACAACCCGCACTCTAGACCTCCCTCCTCAAACTCTCGCGGCTCTCGACTCTCAGGTGGCAGGTGAACCACCAACGGTTCTGACGGATCAGGCGAGGGCGACGTGGTTCCCGCGGTGGCGTTCGCTGCGCTCTGCCTCGCGACATTCGAGCCCTATAGGAAGCCGTCACGTCGGAGCATCAGGTATATGTATCTCGTGAACGCCATCCGAAGGCCGACCCGACTCTCCTTGTCGTCTCCTTTTGCCACCCAATCGCGCTCCCCCCCTCTCCTTCCTTCCTTTTCAATCCCAAGTCAACCACATTCTTCTCCATCACCATTCATCATGGGCGTCTTGAATCCCAAGGGTGGCTTGGCCGCTGCTGAGCTTGCCTTCTTTGCCCCAGCCTTTTGCGTGGCCGCCTATGTCGTCTTCCGCCAGGGCCTCTCGCGCCAGCTCGGCTGGATCTACCTGAACATGCTCAGCCTGTTGCGCCTCATTGGCGCATCGTGTCTGATCTACGCCGAGGTCCACTCCGACTACTCGGACGGCCTGCTGGAGACGGCGGCCATCACGGGCGCCATCGGCACGGCGCCCCTGCTGCTCGTGCTCATGGGCTTCTTGGAGCGTGTGCACGCCCATATGCTGGAGCGCAAGGGGGTGAACCACTTCCTCTTCAAAGCCCTCCACTACGGCTCCCTCGGTGCGCTGGTGCTGGCCATCGTCGGCGGCGTCAACATCTCCTCGACCGACGACCTTGCCAGCTCGGGCTACAAGACGGGCAAGGCGTGCATGGAAGCGGCCAGCATCCTCTTCCTCTCCTTCTACCTCACCCTCGCCGGCATCACCATTTACACGCAGTCGCGCGTGCAGTACGTCGTTCCGGAAGAGCGCAAGCTCATCATCGCCGGCCTCGCAGCACTGCCCCTGCTCATGGTCCGCATCCTCTACACCGTGCTCGTCTCTTTCGACATCAACTCGGATTTCTTCTTCCGATCGGTGAACGTGTACGTCGAGGCGTTCATGCAGTTCACCATGGAAGCCCTGGTGGTCATCTTCTTCATCATTGCCGGCCTCCTCACCCCACGTGTGGAGAAGACAAGCAAGCACGCCGCCAATACCTACGTCGCCCCGAGCATCGGCGAGGTCGAGTGCGAGGCCAAGAGCCCAGTCAATGTGCAAAGCCGTCCATATGACCGCGAGATGCCCGAGCAGCACGAGAAGCCGGAGTTCAACCTGTTTGACTACCGTCCAAGCAAGCTCATCAGGACCGCCATAGCCAAGCACATCTAGGCCTTGGGTGTCCGTAATTTTGTTACCGTCACTCCTTACCGGGGATCGGCCGGCGTTCGCCGGGGCAAGTCGGCGCGAGGCGTTGTCGAGTTTTTGTATTACCGGGCGTGCCCTCCGCTGTTTATAGTGAGCAATGCATTCTAAATCGTCGCGATTCGAGACTCGTTTTGCCCGTTAGTCTGCATCAATGCCAACAATATGTAGCTGGGGCGGTGGAGTGGGTGCTTCCCCAACCGTCCATACGGCCTGGCCAATTCAAAGCCGCCGGTGTGCGGCCTTGTGCGCCACGGATCCACCGGAAGTAGGCCAATGATGCTGCAGGCCAAGCTGCCTGACTGAGACGTTTGATGAGCGCAGGCTCCGGCGGGGTCGCGCACACCGCCCCTCCTCACTGGCCGAGCAAGTGATTAGTAGACAGTTCGGCGACGCGCGAACCGTGGAGCATGTCTTCGAGAATGGTTCTAGCGCCGCCCTGGCCTTGTGAGCTCGCACTCGGCAATGCCCTCCGCCCCTGTACCGTCCGGTAGTGCGGTGGGCAGTAGATGCCAAATACTGAATAGTCGTTAACTATACATACGCGAGCGCGTCGACCGCCCTCTTCGCTGCTGCCGGTGCTGCACCTCTTCCCCATTGTCCATCATGCGTGCGTGAGCAGCTGCCCCCCGGCCCGCGCAGTGTGTGCGGCCCCCTCCCCCATGCTATCCGAACCCATGCACCCCTTCGGCCACGATTATCGCACAGGCGGCGGCGGCGGCATGAGCCAGTGGTACGGCACGCAAAATTCTTCTTCCCTGCACGCCGCATCGCACCCTTTCGTCCCCAGCTCGCCCGCACAACAGCAGCAGCAACAGCAGCAGCAACGTCAACACTCGCAAGGAGCTGCGTTGCCGAGCGGCCGAGCGGGCGCGAGTGGAGGCGAGCAGCCGGTGCGGCGCAGAATTAGCAGGGCATGTGACCAATGCAACCAGCTGCGCACCAAGTGCGATGGGCAGCAGCCGTGCTCGCACTGTGACGAATTCGGGCTGACGTGCGAGTACGCGCGCGCGCGGAAGAAGAGAGGCAAGGCGTCGAGGAAGGACATCGCGGCTCAGCAGGCGGCCGCGGCGGCTGCTGCTGGTGGTGGTGCTGACGCCCGCACCGCTGCCGGCGACGAGACGACCAGCCCGCTCAAGGCCGACGACGAGACGTCCAACACCAACAGCCTGTCGCCGCGCTCCCAGCTCAGCAACAAGCGGAAGCGGTCGAGTGGAGATCTGTCGCGCCAGAATCTGTCTCAGTCGCGCTCGCCCAGCTTCCACGCGCACAACACCTCCCATCCGAGTGGTATTCGCGGCCCTGGCCATGAGCAGATCAACAACTCGGCCGTCGGAACATCCCCCGCTGCGTCTGGCATCGCGGTCTCCAGCATGGACGCCCCCGAACAGCATCGACATTTGAGCATGAGCGAGTACGGGTCAATTGACGACTATCACCGCACCATGCTCCACGTCACCAACGACATGGCCGCGCCGGGCTACATGCACGCCGGTCCGGCCAATATGCACAATTCGATGATGGCAGCAGGGAGCCATATCAACCAATACGGAGGCGAACACCTCGGTTTCCACCACAACAACTCCCAGCGAGGAGGCTACATGGGCTATCCCTACCGATCTGGCGAGTCTCCTCTTTCAGGCGGCGGCGTGCTCGATCAATCCCCCATAGCGAACCCATCGAGCTGGATGTCACTCCCGGTGCCCACGGCACCCCTCTACTCCGCTCAGCCACGCCACAGCTCCCCGCGAGGCCTACGATATACCGTCTTGCGGCCCCTACTGCCCTTCATCGGCTCCATCATCCCGACAGCACTGGCCTGCGATCTCCTCGAGCTCTACTTCACCACCACAACCTCCGTCTTCATGCATCCCCAATCGCCATACGTCACCGGCTTTGTCTTCCGCAAAGCCTCCTTCCTACGCCAAAGCAATCCGCGAGTATGCAGCCCCGCTTTGCTGTCCAGCATGCTCTGGATCGCGGCGCAGACGAGCGACTCACCCTTCTTGACCTCCCCGCCGTCCGCTCGCGGCAGAGTCTGCCAGAAACTTCTCGAGCTGACCATTGGCCTTCTGAAACCGCTCATTCACACCCCTCCGGACGCAATGTATGGGCACAGCGCGAATTCCGGCGTCAGTGCCGTTGCCCTCGGCGGCCTGGGCGTCCCTCTGCCCGCTCAAACGCCGCAGGTGGAGGATGGCGGGCCCGGTGCTACCGGCTCCCTTGACGATGTCATGACTTATGCCCATCTCGCGACGGTGGTGTCTGCTAGTGAATACAAGGCGGCGAGTCTGAGGTGGTGGAATGCGGCGTGGTCACTCGCACGCGAACTTAAGCTCGGCCGAGAGTTGCCCCCGGCTCCTGAGCCATCAGAAGTCTCGGGCATGAGAGAAGAGAGTGTGGAGGCTGGCAGTATGGATGGTCATCATCCGCGCACCAACGACAAGATGTCGCAAATGCAGCAGCAGGAAGAGCGGGAAGAACGCCGACGAATCTGGTGGCTTCTGTACTGCGTCGACCGGCATTTGTCTCTGTGCTACAACAAGCCTCTAGCGCTCCTAGACGTGGAATGCTCGGAGCTGATGCAGCCGGAGAACGAGGTGGTGTGGCAAGCGGGAGAGTTCTACATGCGCGACAGCGCAGAGCCGGACTACCGACGCCGCCGCGGCCCTCCATTCGAATGCACCGGCCACGGCATCTTCGGCTACTTCCTCCCTCTCATGACCATCCTAGGCGAGCTCGTGGAGCTCAAGCAAGCCCGCAACCATCCGCGCTTCGGCCTCCACTTCCAGAACAGCCTCGACTGGACCGGACAGATCAACGAAATCACCCAACAACTCGACTCTTTCGGGCAGAGCCTCAAAGCCTTCGAAGAGCAGCAGGGGGCCGCGCAGCTCGAGCGGACGTATAGCCACGAAAGCGCCGCACTAGGCATCGACGGCGCACACGGCGGAATCGACCGTCGAAGTCCCCCGCAGCCCACCGGGCAGCAAATGACGGAGTCGATGCACCAAACCAAGATCGCAGTCGCGTACGGCACATACCTCATGCACACCATGCACATCCTGCTGAACGGCAAGTGGGACCCGATTTCCCTGCTCGACGACAACGACCTGTGGATCTCCTCGCAATCCTTTGTGTCCGCCACAGGCCACGCGGTCGCGGCTTCGGAAGCCCTCAACGATGTCCTAGACTACGATCCGGATCTCAGCGTCATGCCGTGGTTTTTCGGCATCTACTTGCTCCAAGGCAGTTTCCTCCTCATGCTCATCGCCGACAAACTGCAAGCCGACGCCGGGCCGAGCGTGGTCAAGGCGTGCGAGACGATTGTGCGCGCGCACGAGGCGTGCGTGGTGACGCTGAACACGGAGTATCAGGTTCGCCTTTCCCCCCTTCTCCCTTCCTTGACTCACGACGTGCACATTGCTAATTAATATGGCAGCGTAATTTCCGCAAAGTCATGCGCTCCGCCCTGGCGCAGGTCAAAGGCAGGATGAGCGAGGATTTCGGCGAGCAGCAGAAGCGACGGCGCGAGGTGCTCTCTTTGTACCGATGGACGGGCGATGGGACGGGGTTGGCATTGTGATTTTTGCGCTTGCTTGCTTGACTTGTTTGGTGCACTGTAGCTGTGCTAGAAGTCCTTCACATAACCCCTCATGAGACGGCGAGCCGGCGAGCTCGCGGAGGGGAGAGTCTAATGTCTGACGGTCGTATTGTACGTAGTCAAATACCGTGTAAATATCCTACACACCACACACACATACACATCATATCCTGGGCCGGGCTGCGGTTACCAGCGTCAATTGTGGTGTCGGTAACTATCGGACATCCCCTCCGCACAGCACTGACTCCATCGTGAAACGACCATCTTCCCACTTTGACATCATCGCGTTCCAGACTGCTCGATTTTGGATGGGTGGTCCGGTCTACCTCGGTCTCGCACTCCGGCCAGATCTCGGTGATGGGCCGGAGGGTTTGGCGCCACTAATGAGATCTGTGATCGGGTGGTGTCTCCACTTGCGATATTTGTCACGATGCGTGGCTCTTGCAGCCTTGCTCGCTTGGTCGGCCTCTCAGTCTTCATCTCTATCCTCGTCTCCGGCCTCATCTCCGTCCTCGGCGTCATCAGAGTCGTTGTCGTCGGAGTCCGTGTCGTATGCGTGGGGTTTCGCGAGGTTCGGAAGTTTCCCCGGATGATGAGGACACGTTGATTTGTGTGCGGAATTGCCTGCTTTCCAGATGCCGGCCGCGCCCTGGTACGGTGCGGAGCAGCACCAACAGAACTCGTGGCTGCAACGCTTACCTGGCGCGCACGTTAGTCAATCTTTACGCAGAGCACAGAGAGAAGGAAAGCAGCTTCAACTCACAAGTAACGTGGTCGCACCCTGCATACTTGTCCAGTCGGCTGGAGCAATTCGGGCACGGCTTGGATGTTTTGTCGACGACTTCCTCCGAAGCGTTGTTTTCTTCGGCCTGGCGCTTTCTCCTCTTTTCCCGTTTGACGTCATCCTTCAAGCGCTTCTGGTACGCACTGCAGACTTCTTCTTCGTGCATCGGCGCCTTGCAGTCGATGCAATACCTGTATCCGCAGCTCTTGCAGTCGAGGATGTGATTCCCGGGGAGCACGACTCCACGGGCTTTGCAGCCTGCTGCTGGACATGGGTAGATATCTTGTTCGCTTTGTAGATAGCTCTGGAGGGCTTTTTCTTGCCATCTGCTCAGCCGGTCAGCAAGCATGAGATGATTGAGGCGCGTCGAACTTACGCAGCGTATGTCCCGGGCAAAGCTAGCTTCTTGATCTCTGGCTCCCGTAGCGTCTGATCGCACTGAGAACACTTCACAGCATCCCAGGACTTCTCTTCGACTTCGGCGTCCAGGTGGCGCTGCCAGCAATCGAAACATACGCTGCGCCCATGCATCCAGCTGGCGCCGGGATGTGGCTCTTTCGGGAAGCGGTTGACGGCGACGTCGTTGCAGCAGGTCCCGCATTCTCTGCGCTCCAGTTTCCTCCTGACGTTCCGAGCTGGTGGGGAGTACTTGTAGTCGTTGCCATTGCTGTCCCCGTTGTCCTTCTCCGTCTTTATCTTCGCGTTGCCCTCCTCCTTCTTTACCTTCGCATTGTCCTCCTCCTTCTTTACCTTCACACTGTCCTCGTCGTCGTCACAATCGTTGTCGGCCTCGACGTAGTGCGCACGCTTCGTACCAATATAGGCGGGATGCTGCGTCAACAGTCAGCCAGGTGAGACACAATGCCATTCATTCGCCGACATGACACAACCCTGAACAGATCGACGGAATATTTCATCTTGGTCGCGGCAGATGCGGAAGATGGAAGGAGGTACCGCACAAATGTGAGGTCTTAGCCTGGTGACAACGGATTGAGGAGTGCTGCGTCCACTGAAGCCCGCGAGGCAGTGAAAGTCACGATTCGTGAAGGTGTCTGGAGGCTGAAGGAACTAATGTCTTGGAAACGGTGCTGAGCCAAGAGTTGGGTAGATGATTTTGAAATGTGGATGGAAATGAAGGATGATACACTTTGAGAGATGAGGCAGCTCCTCGCAGGGGTGGATTTGAGATGCAGTAGTGGAGAGGGAAGAGGGTGTGGAAGAAGAAAGCAAGACACAGCGACCTTCCAGGGAGCCAGGTGTTTTCACATGTAATCTGACGACACCATTTTCCCTTCCCTTCCCTTTCACTTCAATTTCGTATTCACCCCCCTCCAATCCATCGACGCGTACAGAGTAACGTGAGCTTAACGCGCAGGAGTATGACGCACAGCATCCGACGGCGCAAGACGAGTAAGAGCCCCGTTCATAGGAGCCGGACGCATAGCAGCCGGACGCGCAGCACTCGGACGACCAGGAGGCGCAGCCGGACGAGCGACAGGCGCAGGACGCCAGTGCGCGCAGCTCGACTTGTGTGCATGGTTTCCTTTGCCGAAGATGTCCTTGTAGTCGGCAAAACAAAGGTAACAGAACTCGTGGCGGCACATCGTGCCTGCGGACCTGCAAGTCAGCGAGCTCCATATGGAGACCGAGCAAACGCGACGAGACTCACAGCGAATGTGATCGCAGCCCCTGGAGCAAGTTTAGCAGTGCGTTCTCACGTACAAACGAGAACAATGGCGAACAAACCCATTTTTCTGAAACTTCCGCCCACATCCCGGACACAGCTTCGCGTACTTCTTCAAAGCGGCTGTGCTCTTGTCCTCCTCTTTGGGCTGAAGTTGCATTCGAGCCTGATACCCCTCACACGTCTCCTCTTCATGCCAAGCAACATTGCAATGCACGCACGCCTTCGAGCCGCACTCCGTACAGCAGAAGATATCGCCTTCGGTATGCACCTGTCCCGATTCGCAGCCTGGAGCAAGACACCAGCGAAAGTCCGGATCGGCTGAGAGGGCTGCCTTGAGTTCCGCGTCTAGATATCTTTCATAAACCGCTGGGGTAGCGAGGGCGCGAACGGCGCTTTGTGAGAGGGTATTGTTGCACTGGGCGCAGGAAATCTGGTTGGAGGCTTTGGTCTTCACTTGTACGTCGAGCCACTGGTGCCAGCAACGACGGCAGGTGTCGCGTTCGTGCTTGCAGTCGGAGTCCGCTGGGAGTTTGGGAAAGGCGTTGACGTGGAGTCGGCGCTCGCAGGTCGTGCAAAGGTGTTTGATTCGCCTCATGGTGCTGCAGGGCTGGCGTGATCTGCCTTTGAAGGAGACTGTCAGTCTCAAATGGAAAGAATAAGGGATCGTGGAGCAAACCAAGGCTGCCTTCAGTCACCTTACCGCTTCTCTCGGTGACGGAGGCGGAGAACCTCCCTTCCCTAAAGACTTGCAGCGTTTGCGTTGCAGTGTGCCAAGCAAGCGGCCTTGCACGGCATTGAATGAGGTGTGAGTGTGGAGGAGCGTAATTGTCAAGATCGTGTTGTCCTTGGTGTCCAAGTGAATTTTGCCACGGGGTGAAATTGTCCCGCAACATAAGTACCAACGTCATCGTGTAACGACACCAGACGCGCATGGGCGTTTGCTCGAAGATGAAGGTCGCTGTCACGTGCTCGTAGGATCCAAGGTCGTTCATTGCTCCGACTTATTCAAGGAGGTATGGGAATGTCAACAGCCAAGGTACCTCTCCTCCACCCACCGCGGCTCCAAATCCTCCACAATCCTGCACACCACCACCTTGATCTCAGGATAAACGCTCATCAACCTGTTCAGAGCCATCTTGCCAGCCATGTAGGTGACAAACACGATCCTATCCTCTTTGACTCCATGGTCGAGTAGCACTCGCACTGCCATCAGCGCCGCCCCGCCGCTGCTCATCTGTGGATCCAATAGCATAACGCATCGATACTCGGCCAGATCTTCTACCAGACTGTGGAAGTGCAGTTCCGGCTCTCCAATGCGCACATTCGTCTGGATCAGTATTCTTCCCGTGCGACAATCTGGAATGACGCGTTTCAGGCCGGTTTCCAGACAGGAGCCGCCTCGCAGGATGACTACCGCGCTGACTTCGCCGTCCACTTGAAGGCCTTGGTAGATCTCGTCCGGGACTGGCGTATGAACTGCACAAGGCTTGAAACGTGTGCCCACTTCTGTTGCTTTGTCGATGAGCATGACAGCAAGTCGATCGAAATAGAAGATGAACTCTTCTCTATCCAGATCAGGGTCCATGAGAATGGTGTTGATGCCACGGACTTGGTTGGTGTGCTCCAGGATATTGATGTGGTCGGACAATGCCATGTCTTCGCTGACCTGACCCAAATGTCGCAGCTTTTGTTGATGTTCTTTTGACTTTTCTTTCAGCGTCTTGTGGATGCGGTCAGACACCATGCCTGTGTTGTGTTAGAGTCGTAAGGCACGTAGCACGGGCGACGAAGACTTACTGATTGCGACCTTGTTCTCGATGCCTCTGGGTACGATGAGATCTGATGTTTCGTCAGTTTACAATCGCTGTGCAACGCTCTTCAAGAGATAACGAAGTGTGGTCTGGATCAGAAAGATAGATGGTAAAGTCTCGTCAAAAGAATTCGGTTGAACTATGCTTTTATCGGAAATTCATCATGAAGGAGATTGGGGTTGTGCTTGGGGGAGAAAGAAAACGGTTATGCTCACCTGCAACGTTTCTTTGCGGTTCAACGTACTTGGTGAAGTTCGGCTTCACAAAGGCAAACCACTGTTTAATCACGCCCTCGATATCGCGTCCACGTTCACGGATATCGCGGATGACTGACTTGCCTTTCGAGTCAGCCCATGTTGAGAAAATTAGAGAGGGAGTGGGGCGTTACTCACGCCGCCGCGACAGGCAGAGATCACTCTCGGCCTCGCAAAAGATCTTTAGATCCAGCATATCTCGGACTCGTGGATCATGAAGGGCGAAGATGCCTTCCAAGATCAGAACATGGGGGGAGTAGATACTCGTGGTGTGCGCTAGCCGGGCATGCTTCTCAAAGGAATACACCGGAATGTCGGTCTTCTTGCTTCCCGCAAAATGTCAATTGAAGCTTACTCTCACAGTAACAATGCATGCGTACCCAGCTTTGATTTCTGCCAACTTCTCCACGAGAAGATCAAAGTCAATGGCCTTCGGACTGTCGAAGTCGTACTCATTTCGAAACGCGGCCTGGAGCTGCTCGCCTTGAGGCGGGATGTAGAAGCTGTCCATGCTCATGAGCACGACCCAAGGCAAGCTCAGCTGGTTGATGATGGCGAGGGACAGCGATGTTTTCCCGGAACCCGAAGAACCGGCGACTCCGATTATGGAGGTGTTGGACCAGGGCGGCTCATAGTGTGCCCTTTGCAGCACGGGGAAGTGGCCATTGGGTAGATGGGCGCGAGAGCTCGGGGAGAGCTGACGCTGGCCGGTACTCATCGTAGACGCAGTGAGAGGACTCGGGCTGCGACCACGATCGTCCACATCTTGGACTATGGATGCGCGAGCAGGAAGAATGGCTCGGGGGAATATGCTCGAGGGTGGACAAAGAGCGCCAAGAAGACCACGACTTTTGGCCTGCGCTAGCTGCGACCTGCACCACACACTTTTACCTTCTTCTCTTCAGCTTCTCACTACACGCCCTCACTGCTGTCAACCTTGCGTCCTCGCTGTCTCGATCAGAGACAAGCGCAACATGTAACGAAGTCTGGAGTCGAAGCTTCATCCAATATGGTGAGTCCTTCGCGTGGACCTCGTGTCCGAACTGCCGTCCGCGTGGACAATTCCGATCAACTCGATGGAAGCCCATGCTGACATTCAATGCTCAGAGCTCATCGACTGTATCGCCCCAAACAACATACTCCACCACCATGCGCGCATCGGGGAATTTCGACAAGAGTGTGGAGGAGATGAAGCCCAGCAAGAGGTGAGCCATTCATTCCCGAACTCTGCCGTATGCCTCTTCAAGAGCGAGGGAGACGAAAATATGATGATTGTTACACAAGTTGGGAATCTCTCCTAATAACAATGAGGAGAACTACATCAAACTTGAACTTCTGAACTGTCTGGAAGCGTTGGACGAGGTCGTCATCTCAGTGATGGCCGGCATTGTCAACTTGCAAAGTGCCGTGGCTAACCCCTACCCCGTACAGTGACATCAACTGGTTAATCATGGACTACCTCGTCTCGGAAGGCTACCCCGGTGCCGCGGAGAAATTCGCTCAAGAGACCAATCTGTGTCCGGCGGCAACAGTCGAAACCATCCGGGAGCGTGTCAAAATCCGCACAGCTATCCATGCCGGAAAGGTGGAAGAGGCCATTGAATTGATCAACGACGCGGACGCTGAAGTAAGTGTCTCGCCCCTTCCGTCACCAAACCCCTCCGCCTTGTTATGATTAGACACGTTTCATGCACCACGCATATCCGACTTGTCCTTGTGGCGAGCGTTGATGATAGAAACTCACACTTCAGTCCTCAGTATGATTTGCATACACAGATACTTCTTTATCCACCGCGTTCCATGCTTTGAGCGTGCGCTAACGCAACTGTTACTCAGATCCTCGACAACGACTCGCTCCTGCACTTTCAACTCCTCCAACTGCAGCTCATCGAGATTATTCGTGGTATCCTCGCCAATAATCCTTCGTCTCAGAATATTCCGGCGCAGGACTTCCTGCCCGCCATCCAATTCGCCACCGAACAGCTCTCTCCACGTGCGCCGACAGACGTCAACTATCAGCGCGCACTCGAGAACACGATGGCGCTCATGATCTTCCAACCGGAGAAGATGCCGCAGGAGTTTAGGGAGCTGCTCGACGTCCGACTGCGCGAGAAGGTGGCAACCGATGTCAACAAAGCCATCCTCTCGGCCCGTGGGGAGCGCGCGGAGGCAAAGATCAAGCAACTCATACGGGCGAGAGCCTGGGCGGAGGTGCAGGCGCGCGAAGCAAAGGCAGACCTGCCCGCTCATATCCCCATCGGACTGGACGTGGCGGATGAGATGAACGGAGATGCCGTGATGACATAGTGCTGGGCCTACGGCAGCACACGGGACTTTGAAATTAGCGTAGGCGTCGGAGGCGCAAAGATGCTTCGTTGCATAGTTGCAATTCTTTCCTGAGGTATTCGTGTATCATTCATTCTTCACACGGTATCCGTCGGTGTCCTTGTTGCAATAAGCTTTCGAGGTGCAGCAACCCTTTGCCAAGCCTTCACTCCATCTCACCTCCGTGTAAACTCCGTGTCAAGAACTCGCCAGCTCCAAATTGCTTTGATCGTTTCGAGAGAGTCCTGAAGGCCGCCATCTCTTCTGTCAAGGCCGTCAAGATCTGCGCTCCATGTCACTATCTCTGCTGGTCTAGCCTGGCTGTCGAAAGGAGTCTCGCAGCTCCTCTCTCCTCCGAGTACACCTCATCCAAGCACCACCCCCGACAGCCCTACACATCATGGCGACCCTCGGAATCAATGGCGAGCGCGCCTACAACATTGGTGTCGCCATTGATCCCGTCGCCCTGGTGGTGACAGAATGCATCACCGTCACCAGCGCGATGCGCAAGCACGCCCGCTGGGCTCACTCCTCCATCTCCTCCATCCTCGGCACCTCTCCCACCGCACGGTTGCCTCCCTCCGACGCACGCGCCACGAATCACGAACGAAACCGCGCCAGCAGTAAAATCGACCTCATCGATGACGACGGCACTCTCACCTCGCGATGGGGCCTTCGGGGCAAGAAGGGGCACAGCATGCAAGACAACCCGCTCATGAGCGCCTTTGCAAAGCTGCGGGTGGATTTGAAACAGTGCAAGGACATCCAGACGTTCGAAGCGCCCGCTCTGCTTCAGCCGTTTCTGCAGGTCATTCGGAGTAGCAGCACCACCGCTCCGATCACGAGTCTGGCCTTGATTGCCATTACGAAAATGTTGGCGTACAATGTCATCAACCCTACGAACCCCAATTTCAGCTATGCGATGCAATTGCTGGCCGGCACGGTGACGCATTGTCGATTCGAAGGCGACAACACTGCGAGTGACGAGGTGGTGTTTCTGAGGATACTCAAGCTCATGGAAGATATGATCCGTGGGCCGTCGGGCGATGTGCTTGGGGACCAGAGCGTGTGTGAGATGATGGAATGTGCGTTGTCTATCTGCTGCCATTTGCGCATGAGCGAGGTTCTGCGCCGGAGTGCGGAGATCAGCATGGTTACAATGTGTCAGGTGATTTTTGGACGGTTAAAAACGCTGCGATTCGAGTTTGAGGAAGGCAGTGGTGGGGACGCCGAAGACCAGACGGTGCAAGAGCTCGAGGACGAGATGCAGGGTGTCAAGATTGACTCTTCGATCAACGCCGAGACCAGCCCGGAGAAGATGCAAAACATTCGCGCCGGAAGCTTGGAAGTCCCGGCCCATTCAAGTCCGTCTGAGCGGCCGAGTATGGACGCTAATAGCAGCCAAATCGATTTGCTCAAGACGGACGGAGACGATGATGAGCCGTTGGACATCAAGCCTTATGGCCTACCATCTATCCGTGAACTCTTTCGAGTTCTCTCTGACCTTCTGGATCCCCACGATCGTCAACGAACAGACACATTACGAGTGATGGCCTTACGAATTGTGAATGTCGCTCTCGAAGTTGCCGGTCCAAGCATCGCGAATCACCCATCTATGGCGTCGTTGGCGAAAGACACGCTTTGTCGAAATCTTTTTCAGCTCGTCCGATCCGAGAACATTGCCATTCTCCACGAATCTCTGCGCGTGGCAGGCACGCTCCTTGCCACCTGCCGGAGCGTGCTGAAACTACAACAAGAGTTGTTCTTGAGCTACGTCGTTGCTTGCTTGCATCCCCGGGTGCCGATTCCGGACGAGGCGAATATCGATCCGTCTCTCTACCAAGGCGTCCCGCAAGCTCCCGCTCTGGTGAAGCCGCAGCCGGCCTCTGGTAATCAGAGTGGCCGATCAACACCTGTACCGATCCGAGACCGGCAAAAGCTTGGCATGGAGGGTGGTTCGCGGAAGCCTGATGCTCGAGAAGCGATGGTGGAAAGTGTGGGTGGCCTCGTGCGCATCCCATCCTTCATGGTCGAGCTGTTCGTCAACTACGACTGTGAGATTGACCGGAGCGACTTGTGTACAGACATGGTTGGCTTGCTCTCTCGGAACGCCTTCCCGGATTCTGCTACGTGGAGTACGACGAATGTCCCGCCGCTGTGCTTGGACAGTCTGCTAGGCTACGTTCAGTGGATTGCCGAGCGCATCGATGATGAGCCAGTGACGGCAAACATGCCTGACCGCGCAGCTCTCCGAGAAAAACGAGCCAAGAAGAAGGTTATTATCCGGGGCGCGACCAAGTTTAACGAGAGTGCGAAAGGCGGCATAGCATATCTTGCCGCACAAGGTATCATCTCAGACCCCAACAACCCGCGCGCGGTCACCGCCTTCTTGATGGGTACCACTCATGTCGACAAGAAAGTGCTTGGCGACTTCATCAGCAAGAAGTCCAATGATGCAATCCTGGACGCCTTCATGGATCTCTTCGACTTCGAAGGTCTGCGGGTGGACGAGGCTCTTCGACAATTGCTCAACACCTTCCGTCTTCCGGGAGAATCGCAGCTAATCGAGCGTGTGGTGACCACATTTGCCGAGAAGTACTTCGCAGTCGCCCAGCCCAAAGAGATCTCGGACAAAGACGCCGTTTTCGTCCTCACCTACGCCATTATCATGCTCAACACCGACCTTTACAATCCTAATGTCAAGAGCAGTAATAGGATGAGCTTCACCGATTTCTCGCGAAACCTGCGTGGCGTGAATGGCGGCGGCAACTTTACGCCGGAGTATCTGCAAGAGATTTACGATGCCATCAAGTCCCGCGAGATTGTCTTGCCCGAGGAGCACGACAATAAGCACGCCTTTGAACACGCCTGGAAAGAACTCCTTGTCAAGACTCAAACGGCTGAAGACCTCGTCATCTGCCAAACCAACATCTACGATGCCGACATGTTTGCTGCAACATGGAGGCCGATCCTCGCCACGCTCAACTACGTCTTCGTTTCCGCGACTGAAGACGCGGTATTCCAACGGGTCATCGCCGGGTACAATCAGTGTGCTCAGATCGCTACGCGGTACGGCATTAGCGAGTGCCTCGACCACATCATCATGAGCCTGGCGAAGATCAGTACTCTTGCCACAGAGACACCGCCGAGTACGAAGTTGAACACGGAAGTGCAGGCTAGCGGCAAGAGTATCATGGTCAGTAAGTTTGCTGTTGAGTTTGGCAGAGACAACAAGGCGGAGTTGGCGACGTTGGTATTGTTCAGGATTATCAATGGGAACGAGGTGGCCATCAGGGACGGCTGGACACAGGTATGTCAAGTGTACGCAGCCCTGAATGCTTGAGCGGTTTGCTGACCATCCACCAGATTGTGCGCATCATCATCAACCTCTTTGTGAACTCACTCGTCCCCACGTCCTTTACCTCGATCTCTCGCGACCTGGACCTCCCTCCTATTCCCCTTCAATCGCCTGCCCAGGTCATTGAGCGAAATGACAAGGCTGGAGAGGTCGGATTGTTCTCGGCCTTTACATCCTATGTCAGCTCGGTGATGAACGACGAGCCTCCCGAACCCAACGACCAGGAAATCGAAGCGACCCTGTGCACCGTCGACTGCATCAACGCGTGCCGCTTCGAGGAGATTCTGGGGAATGTCAGCGAGCTACCCGTCGACAGCCTGAAGTCCCTGACAATGTCGTTGTTGTCGCATCTACCGGAGAACGACAGCCCGCGAGTCATTGCTGTTAAACCTGAGATCCCCGCACCGACGCCGCTGCGTCCGAACGGGACGAAAGGTGCGACGATTGAGCCTCCCATGTACGACCCGGCCGTTGTCTATGCGTTGGAGCTGGCTACAATACTCGCTCTGCGGGACGAAGAGACCATCACCGCTCTCGGCTCGGAGGTTGCGGAGGCGTTGCAGACCGTCATTCGTGACTCGGAGCGACTACATCCCGTGTCGCTCAGCCGCACGGTCTTCTACCTGCTCAGCTTGCTCCGAGCGAGCAATGATCACGGCTACATTCGCGCACCCGTCGTCCTGCACGCCATTTCGAGTTTCCGCGAGGATATGCTCAAGGAGTGCGCCCAGCCTATCCTGAAGGGCCTTCACAGCTGCATCAGTGGGCCATCGGAACTCAGGAATGAGATGGCGTCCTCTCCGGACTTCTGGGCTGTGCTACATCAATTACAGCCCATCAAGGAGGGGGCGGCGTTGGTATTCCGGATTGCGGAAGCCGTTGCTGATCCCTCCAGCTCGGCGATCACGGCCGACAACTACGAAGCGACGGTTTCGCTGTTGAATGCTTTTGCCACTGCGGGCAGTGTCGGGGCCAAGCAAGAGCAGCATCGCGAGCAGCTTGCGAAGCGAGGACAGCCGCAACCACAAGACAAGAAGCCCAAGAAGGATGAGGCCGTCGTGCGAGCAACGAAAGCCCTCGCCCTCGTGTCGAAACTCGCCGGCCGCGTACCTGCGCTCATCGAGCACTCCCATCTCGAGACCAACGAAGCCTGGCGGGCATACTGGTCGCCCGTCTTCCGCTGTCTAGCCACGCAAGGCTGCAATCCCTGCCGCGAGATCCGCCAGCAAGCCTTCTACTCCCTCCAGCGATGCCTGCAATCCCCCGAGCTCGCCTCACCCGACCACAACGAGTGGACCAACATCTTCGGCGAAGTCCTCTTCCCCCTCATCAACCAGCTCCTCAAACCCGAAGTCTACCAAACAGACCCGGCAGGCATGAGCGACACCCGCGTGCAAGCGGCGCAGCTCCTCTGCAAAATCTTCCTGCACTACCTCGTCTTGCTCAGCGAGTGGGAGGGCGTGCTAGACCTCTGGATCAAAATTTTGGCCGTCATGGACCGCCTTCTCAACAGCGGGCAGAACGAGAGTCTGGTGGAAGCGGTGCCGGAATCGCTGAAGAATATCCTGCTCGTCATGAGCAGTGGTGGCTACTTGCTGCCTCCTTCGCAGGATGCTGAGCAGCAGACTGAGCAGCAGAGGCAACTTTGGAGCGAGACGTGGACGAGGCTGGATCGCTTTTTGCCCGATTTGATGCCGGAGCTGTTTCCTGATGAGGCGAGGGCGCGCAAGGAGGCGGCCGTGCGGTCTCCGCCGCGGAGAGAGTCGAAGGATGACACGCCGAAGAGTCCGCAAAGTGCGGGCGAGAGGCTTTCGACTTCGATCAGTGAGGCGCAGACGGCTTGATGAGGGTGGTTTTTCCATTTGTGCATAGCATTGGCGTTGCATGTGGACGGCAGCGTGACGCAAAAAAAGCATAAGGTGGCATGAGGTGATTCTTTTTGGCCCTTGGGGCCTAAGCAAACAACAACCGAAAATGAATTGGCGGCGCCTTTGCCCTATGAAATGCTAGAATTAGGATCCATGCTGCTCTTTCTTTCCTTCTGCCATTAACGTGCTGCAAATGATTAATCGTACATCCATTCATTAGTTTAGTGTGAGAGTGTGTGAGAAAGGTCAGGACATCGGAGCCCACTCCGACCTCCAGCCCCCAAGATCCGCGCCGCCCCCCTGCGCCACACCAGCTGCCAACTTCCAAATACGCGACTTTGTTTATCATCCCCACACCGCCTCTTCCCACTCTCACGGCTGCAACACCTCGTCAATCCCCATCCCGACGCGCCGCCTCTTGACCCCAAACCTCTCCGCCTCGTCCGCATCCTCAGGCGGCGACGAGGCCTGGTAAGCAGGCTGCACGCTCCGGCTGAACGGGCCCAAATGCATGTGCGGCGGGCTGTGCAGACGTTTCCCGATGGGCGGGAGTTGCACGCCTAGGCCGACGGGCGAGGCGGCGAGGTCGGCGGAGGAGGTGGGCGAGGGCCGGCCGTGAGGGTAGTAGGGGGGTTTGTCGAGGTGGTAGTGCGGGGCGGCGGCGTATTGCGCTTGTTGTTGGTCGGTTGCTGGCGGGGGGAGACGCGGCGCGGCGCCCGAGGAGGGCATGTGGTGCGTTGAGGGAGAGTAGTGGGAAGGTGGGTAGGTGGTTCCGTACCGCATTGAGGGTTGATGGTGGTGCTGGGGCGCCGGCGGGTAGTGGGCGTTGTATGGCGAGGGTGAGTGGATGGACATGATGGATTGATGCTGATGCGGAGGCGGCGGGGCCACGGCGTAGCCTGCGTTCTGCGGCGCCATGCCGTTCCCGCCGCTCATGGGCAGGTACGGACGGAAGGACGGCAGGGTCACGACGACGAAGTAGCTCAATGCTTTGCCCAGGCGGACGCGCGCGGGGAAGCTCTCGAGCATGGGCCGGCCGTCGTTGCGCGCCCAGGTGTACGTGCGGTCTTCGAAGCCGTGTGTCAGTCTGTCGACGTCCAACTCCGACACGCCGTGCAGGTGGTCCTGGCCCGGCCCGACGATGGGAGGGAGGTAGGAGGGCTCGCGCGTGTCCTTCTCCGCTGTCAGGGCGGTTTGGAGGGCGGTGAAGCGCTGTGCGTCCAGGGCGATGGCCAGCTGGCTTAGGTGCAGGCCTGTGACTTCGGCGCCGTTCGACATGATTTGCTTGAAGGGACGGTTGGCGCGCAGCACGACGAGGTCGAGATCGCAAAAGGCGGTGGGGATGTCGGCCGGCGGCAGGATGCTGGTGTACGTCGGCTGGTATGGGGCGGGGCGCATGTCGTAGGTGGGTTGGGGGTAGCTGGAATGCTTGTTCGACGGGGCCTGGACGGCGAGGGAGGAGTGCGAACGGTGGGAGTCGGTTCGACGGATACGTGGGGTAGCGATGGGTCGTGAGCCTGGAGGCGGGACGCCGGTCGTGAGGATCTGCGAACGCTGCTCTTCTCCGCTTCTCGCGCCATTGTCCTCCCTCAGACGAGGTCGACCGCGTTTCTTGTGGGCAACGTCGTGGCAGGTGTCCTGGGAAGCAAGGTTAGACGGACATCACGAAGCTGGAACGAACGAAGGGAATGAACGACTCACCTGCTTCCCGGAGGAGACGCATCGCTGGCATGGACGTTGCACATCGCAGCTGAGATGCGCACGCTTGCAATTGATGCACGCCGACGCCACATGAGCCTTGGATTTCCGGCCTGTACGAGTCGAAGGGACGACGTTGCCGAGGGCCGGCGGCTGCGATGGGAAGGACGGCAGCACTTTGAACGACATGTCGTCGAGCGACGACTGTGGCAGAAGGCTGTGGGTCGGTCCAACGGGGCGAATGGACGCCGGGGCAGAGGCGACATCATGAGACGGGTGCTCGGAGAACGTGGGCGACGGGCCCGTCGACAAGGCTGGAGTCGTTGGCGCCGTATGCGTGGATCCACGGAACGATTCCGAGTTGTCGACGGTGCTGGGCGGCGGCTCCGAATGGGGTTGAGGCGGCGACTGAGATGTCGACATGGGTGGCGAGGGATAGAGGGCGTCGCGCGATGCGGGCTTCGATAGCCTGGGGTCGGTCTTGTGTTGTCCGAGCGGATTGGCGAGCGACGATGTGCTGGACGGCTGTGTGGACAGGACGGTCGACGAGACGGTACGCTCGTCGGTCATTTCTTCTTCACGATGCGTTGGATCTGCAGCGTCGGAGTTGGCCGTGGTTGTCGAGGAGGGAGGATGAGAGCTGTCGATGCGTCCGGTGGGGAGTGGGTGTTGTTGGAGGAAGGTATTGGTCCAAGACGGCGTCCACTTCTGTCCCTTATTCGACGAGCTGATGTTGAATTAGGAAGACAAAGGCATAATGCTCTCAGGCGTGGCCGGACGGGGAGCGGTGGACGAAGGGCTTGTACAAAATCTACGCGCGGGTAGAACAAGTCGGGGAGAGACTGGAGCGAGGGGAGAATAAAAGAAGAGAAAGGAGGAAAGCAGGAACTGGGACGGAGGAAAGACGAAGCCAAGTTGTCAACAGAAGTCTACGATAAGGGCAAATGAACGATTCATTCCGGCTCTCCCTGACTACTGACGTGCGATGGATTCGAGGCTGCAGCGAGGGCGTTGCTGTGCGCGTGCGTGCCCGCACCCGGGCCCAAAGTGCGGGCGAAGCTACTGGCCGCAGGCTAAGCCCGGCGCCGAGCAGGGGTGTGCATTAAGGTTGATCGGTTGCCTTTGAAGCGACGTTTGGAAAAGCGGCGAGGGTGATCGACGGAGTTATTTCGACGTCGCTTGCGCTTCGTCCACGTCAGGGATTCTCCAGGCTACGCTTCGTGCATGCATTGTCTGCTTGCCCCCGAGTCTCACAGACGTGCGAGTCTACGCATACACGGGAGGAGATACTGCTGAGCGGCGGGAGGCCGAAAATTCCTGGTACGCTCGTCACCCGTTCCGTGGTGTACCTACGGTCCACCAAATTCTCTCCGAGAAGTCAAATGTGCCCGGGATCCATGGCTGCGTTGTTTACCAAACACCCTCACGCCGTCGACACCTTTCATCCCATCGCGGATGTTATGCTCATCTCCGACACAACAATCCTCGACGTTATGGCAACGGTGATATTGCCACGCAATCCTTTGGTGGCTAAGACACTCATCTCGTTTGGCGCTCCTTCGGTCGTGGGCGCGACAACACACGCGAAATTCTCCGACGCCGGGCGACGCAACATGCGACAAACCACTGCGACAGAACGCAATGCACCTCCGCCGTGCGACGTCTACCGTGAAGCAGCTGGTGTTGCAGATAAGATTTGCAGAGTCCTGGATTCCGCCACACGATATAGGAGACTTGATCATGCCATGCGGTTTGTTGACTGTCAAAGGAAAGGAGGATTTCCATGGCGAAACTCGGTACCACACGATGTATCCGCCATGACACTCGGACGAAATGAATTGCGCGCAACTTACGAGGGATTGCGGAGACAATGTTAGCAACGTCGCTCCAGCAATGTGCCTGAGTCGTGAGATGAGGAGTGAAACAGCGAGGGAGGTATGGGCATACGCGGCTCTCGCAATGTGCGCTCCTCGTGAGACCACGAGTGCTTCGACGCCGCGCCGGCTAATCCTACTCCACACTCGGCGTGCGCAGTATGCAGGAGTGAGGACGTAGGGAGCTGCACGCATGCAGCAATGACTGCATTAAATACCCCAATGCTCCAGACATAGCGCGCGGAGAGTCATTCATAGTAAGGGGTAGACCTGAATGTACTTGGATGTACTTGCAGCACAAGGCGCAGGTACACGCATGGCCTGCATATGACAGGATAGACGAAGGGAGCCGTGCGGGTTTTGCCGCAGGGTCCTGCTCAACCACCGGAATGCCATTCGGAACTACATCGCGACAGCTCAAGCGATGCGGAGATGAGTAGCACGATCGTCGACAAAGCCTGGCCGCCGGGCTCGCCTTGGAGAGACAATGATAGACGCCATGAGCGCGGCGAAGAGGATGAACTGACGTTGCCCAAACCACCTTCCCATCCGGGCTAGCGTAACGCTTTTTGCCGCCTCTCGGCTAGAACCTCCTCCCTCCCTCCCGCCCGTCGCACGCAAGCCTCCGTCCACTCGTCATGCAAAGTGTGCGAATCAGCGCAACACAGCAGACTGCTCCCTCCCCGCGTGCGCGCGCTGAAAAGAACACGACCCTGACAACGCCGCGCGCGTCCCATGGAACGCGGCCCCCGATTTCCTGCTCGAAATCCTCCGAGCTGCCCAAAGCGGAAGCGTGCCTTCCGCGCTTCTACGGTAGTTCACTGAGACACATCGCTTGCCCGCCAAGTGTGTCTCTAAGCGAGCAGCCACGACCCCGGGAAGCTAAAAGCCAAAAGGAAAAGAATTGTCCGAAGTCCGGAGCGCGCTCCTGCCGGACCGTCGCCGCCCTGCGCGTGTCCCCAGGTCTAATCCCCTCCCGCGCAGTGCAGATCGTTTTTACCGCGTACGCGCGATAGCGGCAGAGCCTCCGTCACTCCAGCACGTTGCTGAGCGGCGTTCAAATGGAGCACGCCAATCGCACGCCCGTACTTCTCCCCTGATCCAGGCACACACCCTGCACAAAACAGCGACTCTCGCCGCCGCAAAAACCACAATTCGGTAGGAGTCGCGTCGAGTTGCTCGGCTCCAACGGCGTGGGATTCGCCTCATCCAAGGTACGGCGCGAGGAATTTCTCGGGGGCCCCCCCTCGCTCCTGCTTCCCAATGATGAGTCTCATCAGTGGAAAAGCGCAGAGTCCTCTGCCGTGATGATGATGAGGGATCTAGATTGCAGCAGCGCGGCAGGGAAGGGGAAATTCATGCAGCGCCCCCTCGCGTAGCATTTCTTTGCCGCCCCCTTCACGGGGCATTTGGGGCGACATTTTACGCCTGCAGCTTGCAGTAGTCGCGCCGCCCGCACGCACGCCCAGAAAGGGAGTGCATGGGAGCAGACGCAGGTCCCCTTCTGCGCCGGCTATCTCACGCGAGAGCGACTCGGTGTATTTGGACTGCTTCAAATGGCTGCGACAGTCGGGCAAATACCGTACATTGTCTCCTGCGAACGCCATGTGTGTCGGCATCGTTACCAAGCGCGGCGAAAAAGGCATGGCTGTCTTTTGTCCTTCGCGAGAGAACGACAGCTGGGAGACCATGGAACGGGGCGTCTTTCACCCTCCGATTCTTCCGATGGGCTGGGATTCATACGTAGTAGAGGCATGCCACACACTGCTTGCCACCAGCGCTCAACGTCTCCCAAAATGCCCACGAGTTTGGTTGCCGTAACGTGGCGCGGACACAAAGTTGTCGCCTCTGGGCACCCCAGGTCAGAGAGCACGTCGGCCTCTCCGAGAACCACTACTCTCCCTCCCTCCCCTGTCGTCCATTCATGCCCGCCGACTCGGCCTGGCGTTCTTCTCCTTCCGCTTCGCCGTCAGCTTCCTCGCCTTCCTCACGTCGTCCACCCCTCTCAGCTCCTGCTTGCCCGCCCCCTCCGCAAATCTGCCCACCCGCTTCTCCTTCGCCTCGTCGACCCTCTTCTTGCGCACGTGGTAGTCGTCCCGGAACTTGTCCGCCTCTTTCGGCGCCAACTCCTTCTTATGCCGGAACCGCTTTCCCCCGGCACCATGCGCGGTAAAGTGATTAGCCCCTTTGCGCTCCAGTTCGCCGACTCGGGGTAATCGTTCGATCTTGTTCGCTTTTCGCCAGGCATCAAAGCGGCCGGAGCGGAGGGAGGCGGGAATCTTCTGCCCGCTTTCGCTGACGATCATTCGTGCTCCCTTCGAGCCGTCCTCGTCGTTGGCGCGCGACACGAACTTCCGCCCCTTCTTGTCCCAGCGCATGCCGACGGCGCGTTGCTTGCTGGGCTCACCGAAAGACTTGGTCTCGTCGTTCTGAATGTCCATTGTTGCGCCTTGCGCCGCTTCGACAAAGTTGTTGTGGTTGTTCGAGCCCGAGTGCACTCCGTAGCCTCGATCTTCGGCAAGGTTGAGGGTGGAAGGAGTGTAGGCCATAAAGTGCTCCGAGTCTTGCCAGGCGCTGCCACCCTTTCTCGCTTTCTTGGGATCGTCGGGTCTGGTGAAGGTAAGTTCAAGCTCGCCTTCGGACGCTTCGTCCATGTCTTCTGTAGGTCCTGTGAGCACGAGTTCTTCCTCGGAATCGACGTCCATGGTGGTGGGAATGTCGCGAGTTCCGTCATCTTCTTTAGCAACCCTCTCGGCATCACGTCGTTGAGCAGCGGCATTTGCTTGCCGTGATTCGACCTTTGCTCGATGTTTTCTCATCACGGTCGCCGCGTCGCTCGTGTTGCCTCGTTTCCCAATCTCAAACACAGTCTCCTGTGGCCGGAACCCACTCACTCGCGCCAGCATGTCGATTCGCTGCTGTTCCTCATTGCTGTCACCCTCATCGTCAAAGAGTGCGTTGACGCCGTTCACATTCTCGCTCTGCAAGACCTGCTTCGCTCGCTTCACACTTTCCGCCGCCGCGCCATTCCGCGTCCGCATGTACTGCTTCTCACTCCTGTTGGCCACCTCGCGCAAGGCTGTAAGGTCTTCGTCCTCGCCCAGATACTGCGTTACTTCTTCCACACAGCTCTCGAGCTTGTCCCTGACCATACCACCCACCACGATGCAGTCCTTGAACATCCCGTGCTCCTTCGCGACACGACCCAAAATCAGCTTCCGGCTGAGGAACAGCTGCAAGTCGAGTAAGTACGGCATGTCCTGCACAGTAACCAAGCTGTAACTCCAACCCGTCTTCCCCGCTCGTGCCGTGCGTCCTACTCGATGGACGAAAGTCTTTGGCTGGGAGGGGAAGTCGTAGTTGATTACGTTCGCCAGGATGGGGATGTCGAGACCTCGGGCCGCGACATCGGTCACCACCATGATGTTCGTGACGCCAGATCGGAAGTCCTGGACTTGCAGTTTGCGTGCCGTCTGGTCCAATGACCCATACACATAGGATGTGGCATATCCAAACGCCTTGAGCAACGGGGCCAGGTACTCGACGTGATGCTTTGTGGCGGCGAAGACAACGGTAGAGTAGGGCGAGGGCGTTTCGCCGGAAGGCGGACCAGCTGCGCCGCGTTTTCGGTTCTTGCCCTTTGAGTCTTTCGTGTCGTCTTTTGGAGAAGGGGTACCCAGAGGCATCTTGATGACGTTTTGTAGAACGTGTAGTAGCGCACCTTCCTTCTCCGCTCGTTGCACGGTAAAGAAGGCACTCTCCAAGCCTGGTGCGATCTTGCTCTCGGCATCCAGTCGGACCAGCTTGGGATCCTGTAGCCCGGCTCTGGCAAATTCGACAAGAGACTTTGGTAGAGTCGCTGAGAAGAGCAGTGTCTGACGGGAGGAAGGCAGCGAGTGCATGATCTCCATTAGCTGCGACGCAAAACCCATCTCGAACAATCGGTCGGCTTCGTCAAAGACGACATAGCTCACGCTTGACAACTCCAGCCCCATCTCGACCTTGAGATGCTGAAAGCGACCCGGCGTGGCGATGATGATGTCGGGATTGCTGGCCATGCTTCCGAATTGGTCCTCCAAGCTGTCGCCGCCGACAAGTAAGATGGCACGAAGGTCGGTGCCTTTACCGAGCTCCTTTACCACCTTCAGCGTCTGCAGCGCGAGCTCTCGTGTCGGCGACAAGATCATCGCGCGCGCGCCCACTTTGGCCGAGTGCGACTTGAGCTTCTCAATCAAGGGGATGACGAAGGCCGCCGTCTTGCCGGACCCGGTCCTGGCCATACCGACGACATCCTGTCCATCCAGAATCATCGGGATCGTCTTCCTCTGAATCGGCGTGGGAATAGTAAAGCCCTTCTTCGCGATAGCTTTGAGGATGTGGGTGTTCAGGCCCATGGACTGGAAGGCGCCGCTCTTCTTCGCAGATTTGCGGTTTGCCGCCACTTGTCGAGCCGCGATGAACGCCTCGTCTTCGACGTCGCTTCCATCTTCAATCTCTGCCTGTCGCTTCACCGGTCTTGCGTCTTGGAGAGTTCCAAAGCCCGCATCGCTGTCAGAAGCGTCGGCGGCGTCGCCTTGAAAAAGGCTGCTCGTGATGTCCACCTCATTTTCCGAGAAAGCCGGAGATGCTGATCTATACATTTTGTAGCATGTTCCTTCCCAGAATGAATGCGACGGCGTGAGGTCTTTTTTTCTCGATGGTCGGCGGTCAATTTTCGAGCAGGCAAATGTCTTATCGATAAGCAGAAGTGATAAACCTTAATCAGACACGCCTCGCGTCATTCCCACCAATTTGCCCACCTCGTTTCTGCCTGTAGTCGTTGGCCCGGCAGACGGTGACATCTCTTCATCGCCGCTCGTACCACACTCCACTGGCCAGCTGCATCTGCCTCTTTAGCAGCGCAAAGCATCCTCCGAAAGATGGGTAAGACGAGTCGCATATGCACACAGCGCAAAGGAAGCACCGCTAACATCCTCCACCAGATTACGGCTACGCAACCACCTCCTACGGAGCGCAAGGCGGCAACGATGGCGGCGGCTTCATGCCAGGCTCACAAAACGACAGTCCCAACGCCAAGCGCTCCTACGGCAAAGACACTTTACGCCCCGTGACCATCAAACAGCTCCTCGACGCCACGCACCCCAACGCCGACGCCGAGTACTTCCTCGTGGACGGCAGCGAGATGACGCAGGTCACCTTCGTCGGCCAGATCCGCAACATTTCCACGCAGACGACCAACGTCACGTACAAGCTGGACGACGGCACGGGCACGATCGAGGTGAAGGTATGGATTGATGCCGAGGCGCTGAATAACCCCGACGACCCCGCGAACCAGAAGTCGAAACTTACGGATCAGGCGTACGCGCGGGTGTATGGGCGGCTGAAGGCGTTCAACAATAAGAGACATGTGGGGGCGAATATCATCCGACCGGTGCAGGATTACAACGAGGTCCAGTACCACCTGCTCGAAGCGACGGCCGTGCACTTGCACTTCAGCAGAGGCCCGCCAGGCGGTGCGGATGCGAGGAGCGGCGCGAATGGCATGGCGAATGGCGGGTATGCGCAGCAACAGCAGAACGGACACTCGGCGAGTGGCTCGAATGTGCCGTCGCATCTGAGCCCGGCTGCGAAGAAGGTGTTCCAGTGTTTGAGCACTTCGCTGCAGACGAACGAGGGGTTGCATATGCAGGATATTGCTACACGTACGGGGATGGAGGTGAATGAGGTTATGAGGGCTGGCGAGGATCTGTTGAATGAGGGGCTGGTCTATACCACGGTGGATGACCACACCTGGGCGGTATTGCAGATGTAGAGCAACAAAGAACATGGTTCATGCTTTGATGAGGACTGCGAATGACCCACGGCGTAGTAACGCTAATCAGCTGTCGTCCCAACTGTGGATAACTGCCACTGGAGATGAGACACGCCGTGCGCCAGTATAGGACGCATGGAAGACAGAGCAATCTGACAACGACCATGGCAGCGTGTAGTGAAGGTATTGCAGACTTTCAAGCTACATGTACACAAGTTCGAGGACTACCCTCGTTCGAAAACGCTCACATCCCAGCCCATTCCACACAAAACGTCCTCACATTGTCCTCTCCATCCTCACCCTTCGCACCGTCCATCTCACCTCCAAGCAAGAACCCCTTCTTGACCCCCGTGCCCAACCTCCCCGCGCTCACAACATCGAGAAGATCAAACTCCTCATCCCACTCCATGCCATTGCAGAGGAAATGGGAGTGGAAGCGCAGCGGGTCACCCGGGTAAGCTACGTATTGGCAGCCGAAGCGAAGGCCGGGGGAGAGGTAGTAGCCTTTGGAATGCAGGTGGGCGAAGAGGGGATATGAGGCCGGGGTGGGGACGGGAGAGCGTTGTGGTGTGGACGTGTTCCGAGGTGGCGGAGTGGAGTGGAGGGGCGGGACTGAAACTGTGGGGGTCACGAGTAAGGGGTCGGGGTCTGTGGTGATGTCCGCAGGGACGGAGTCGTGGCCATTTGTGGTGGTGTCGGGAGTGGAGGAATCGAACAGAGCTTCCTCTGTGTCTGAAGGGCGGTCCGATGGTGTCTGGTCACCCTTCTTGCCTTTGCCGTTTTTCCGCCGTCCAGAGGCAGGCTTCAACATATCCTCGGGAATGTCATTCCAGTTCTCTGTCTTGTTGGTGTCCGACTTTCTACTCAACGCGGCCATTTTATCCGCGGCCTTCTTCCTGCCCGCCTCTTTGGCAGCAGCGGCACCCTGCCGTCTCAACGCAGCTTGATACGCTCGCTTCTCTTCGGCACTCATTCCATTGCCCAGAAATGTGCGTTTATGCGCGGCGTGATCGTCTTCCAGATATGCGACTCCCTTCTCAATCAGTACCCGCGCTTCTTCAGGCATCAGCTGCAGCGGTAGACCTTGGAAGACATTCTGTTGAGGAGACTGGGGTAGGGTCCCGCTCAACACACCGCAGATGTTGTACTCTCTCCGGATATGCGAGACGATGTTGACGTCGTAGATGAGGTAGTGGTGGGCGACTTTGAAGATTGGGAAGGGCTCTTCGATAGTCTCGGGGGCGGTGTTGGCCATGGCCGGATTCTGGGACGAGAAGTTTGATTAGCACTCATCGTGAATGGCAGCGATGAGAATAAGAGCAGTCTGCGAGGAGTGTGGTTATATCATAAAGAGCATAGCATTGGTGTTTCGTCAACAGCTAATTCGCTTCGGGGGATTGACAGATTGTAGAATGTAGTTTAATCATTTCACACTCAGTGGCGGAGGAAGTGGTATAGAGAGTGGACTCACGGTGGATTTGCTGCTCCCACGCAGTCGTGATTCGCTCAATGCATCGTGTGGTCGTGGCTAGTTGCGGATTGTTGAGCAGACCTTGGAGTGGTGTCCACAGAAAAAGTTATGTGATACCACGACTTTTGGCACGGCTTGAATTTTGAAGTTTTGCTCTTCTCTTCTCGTGCTGTAGCTACACATCACTCCATAACCTCGACATCCCCTACCGTGCGGTGCTGCTGAAAGGCGCACTCTACCTGAGGCGATGGCAAGCACAACACACGACGGAATGCTTGGGCATTCCAACAACTCAGCAGATCCTGCGTGATTGGCGATCGACCGGCAGATTTACCCTGGAGCTGGCAATGGAGTCCATCCCAGAGCTGGTGAGCAGCATCTATTTCCTCCACCGCCTGTCCTACTTGATGAAATTTTCACATTCTACGTTCTTCGAGACTCTTTATGATCGGAACAACATGCATCACCATCTGATCCCAAACTCTCTGCCCTGCAAATCTCACACGTCATCTTGCAATGGCTTATGCTAACGTTTAGCTGGAAAGGTCTGCAAGGAGAGGCGCCATACTTGTGCTACTCCACCCGAATGAGTGTCATGAAAATTGATACTCGTCTCGCTTGAAGCACTTTTCCGAATCTGGGCATATGATATCAGGTACGCGTGTACATTTCACTCCCTCGAGATCATGCTCCCTTCTTCTATGATGATTGTATCCTTTCAGTTCTGCTACAGAACTATACTGTTGAGAACATATACCCTACTTACCAATTTGTCTGATTCGGAGACCTCCCCAAAACTTGTTTAGTCATGGCTTATCTCCACCGTTCATCTGGCTGATTTTCAATACCAGCACAAGCTCTATCGGCAATACACAGCTCTCGTCCAGAACATTCCCAGCAGAGTACGTATACATTTCATTTTCATGCTCCCCCTACCTACACAAAGATGACAACTAGTCAATCCATTCAACAAACCCCTCCATAGGTAGCCTAACCCGCCGAGTCACCCTCCCTCATACCGTACCATGTCTCGCATGGGAGGATCGGTTGTGGAGTTGTGGCATCTGCCGCGTAATGCTGACTTCCGAGCATTGAGTTGCGCGGGTCCGTTTTGGGCACGTGTGACGAGGTGCCGGTGGGTGGGCGTGAGTAGCACGGCTTTTCTGAGACCAGCACTATGCACCATGACTTTGTTTGCCGATGCGATGAGGAACGTGCACTAACGCTTCATCCGCAGCTCTTGCTCTTCGGGACAAATTACTCCGCTCATCCAAGTACTCCAAGACACACAGTCAAGCAGCTCTGCGAAGACTTTATCCAACGCAGTGTCCACTATGACAGTCAAGGCTGGCAATCGAGACGAACGTGGCGGCTGCAAAGACCGGGGTGAAGCAGCGCAACAAGAAGACGAAGGGTGAGCGTGCGTGTTAAGGTCACTGTGGGATGAAAGTCCCACGTAGCTTGGCGGAAGACGCTGCAATGCTTCGCTCGCACCAAGTACGCCGAAGTCGATATTCAAGGATCTTGACGACGCAGTGGCATGATGACGGCGAGATGTGGCAGGAAGTCTGGGGAAAGCGAGGGCACTGTGGCTTGAAAGAAAATCCAGCGTCGATAGAAAGCAGTGTGAGGTATGATCAAGACACAATCGGTACCTGGCGTGTGTTCTAAATTTATGCAAGGCGTTCACCTTTGTGCTACGGCTGGTGGATGTATCGTCGTACCCGCGCGAGATAGAGTTTGGTAGGCTGGAAATGGCAAAGTGGATTTCTGACACCTTGACAGTGGTTGGCCTGAGGCTGCGGAGCAGATGTGCCTTGGCATTGAGTGATGACGATCAAGAGCGAGAGACGCGAACTGAGAAGAACCATGTTGGACCTTGTTGCATCTCTGCTCGATTTACGCCATTGACCGCCGTGTCACCGTCCGTGCAAAGGGGACGTTGCATCGCCGCGCCGGCTCCCAGACTTCACGTTCCTTGCGGGTCCCGGAACACGCAACACCCTCGCTCACTCCACCCTAACCACACCCGCCTGTTTCCTATCCATCCCTCCACCAACACCACCACACCTCCCACCGCATCGCCTCGATACACTCTTGGAAACTTGGACAACGGTGCTGCCATTGCCATCCTCTCTCCGCCGCCCACACACGAGAAACACTCCCCCTTCCTCCCTCCTACCCACCCATCCACATACGAGGGCCGTCTACAGCGAAACAGCCTCGCATCGTGCCGAGCAAAGAAGGGTTCGACGCCCTGGCTGGCGCCCGGTAGCCCATGCTTCCGCTGCATGCGCCGACGAAGAAGATGAATCGGCATGGCTACAGCGGCAGCTTCGACAGCAACCATGGCGGCGCCCACCGCGAGAAGACTCCCACCAGTCCCGCCCCGTACATGCGCTCCACTTCCATGGGCGAGAGTGGCAGTTTTAATATCAGCACAGACAAGTGGGATGACAAGTGCGTGCAGTCCCAACTCCCCTTTGCGTGATGAAGAGAGGGTTCCACTGACACTCATAACATCCAGATACCGTCCGCGGTCCGGACGAATACACAGTCGACGCGGCACCCTCACAAGATTCGGCGCCCTATTAACAGGCATCCTCCTCATCCTCATGTACTTCTTCCCCTCCTTCCGCCCCACCGGCGTCACCTCCTTCCTCTTTCCCCCGGGCGAAGAATTCAACATCGAAACCGTCCGCTACTACGACCTCAGCAATGTCGGCGGCACCTCTCGCGGCTGGGAGAGGGAAGAGCGCATCCTCCTCTGCGCACCACTCCGAGACGCCGCTCCCCATCTCCCCATGTTCTTCTCGCATCTCAAAAACCTCACCTACCCCCACAACCTCATCGACCTCGCCTTCCTCGTCGGCGACAGCAAAGACAACACCGCCGACCTGCTCTCCGACCTTCTCGCCGAGCTGCAGAGCGCGCCCAGCCCCAAGGACTGGTTTGGCGAGATTAGCGTGCTCGAGAAGGACTTTGGACAGGTGATTGCTCAGGATGTGGAATCGCGGCATGGCTTTGCGGCGCAGGCGGGTCGGAGGAAGAGCATGGCGCAGGCGCGCAATTGGCTGCTGAGTGCGGCTCTTCGGCCGACGCATAGTTGGGTCTACTGGAGAGACGTGGATGTCGAGACCGCGCCATTCACCATTTTGGAGGACCTGATGAGGCATAATAAGGATGTCATTGTGCCGAGTACGTCTCGCCCTTGAATCTGGGGGGCAATTGCCTTTGCTAACGATGTCCCAGACGTATGGCGGCCCCTTCCCGAATGGCTGGGCGGCGAACAACCCTACGACCTGAACAGCTGGCAAGAGAGCGAGACCGCCCTCGCCCTCGCCGAGACGCTAGACGAAGATGCCGTGATCGTGGAGGGCTACGCGGAGTACGCCACATGGCGCCCGCATCTCGCCTACCTGCGCGATCCCTACGGCGACCCAGACATGGAAATGGAAATCGACGGCGTAGGCGGCGTGAGTATCCTCGCCAAAGCGCGCGTCTTCCGGAGCGGCGTGCACTTTCCTGCCTTTAGCTTTGAAAAGCACGCCGAGACGGAAGGGTTTGGAAAGGTAAGATCCCACTCCTCAGGCATGCGTGAAGCAAACCTCCCAACTCACTCCCTTTCTCCATGACAGATGGCCAAACGCATGCAATTCTCCGTCGTCGGCCTGCCGCACTACACCATCTGGCACTTATACGAGCCCAGCTTCGAGGACATCCGCCACATGGAAGAAATGGAAAAGGAGCGCCGGCGGCGCGAAGAAGAAGAGCGCAGGCGGAAAGAAGAGCTGGACAAAATCTCGCAGACCTTCGACGTCGACGCCAAGCAGCAGTTCGAAAAGGACAAGGAAGCCATGCGCGAGGCGAGCAGGCAGGGCGAGAAGCAGGCGCAACAGGAGCAGCAGAAGCAGCAGGAAGCGCGGGAGCAGATTAAAGCCGGGATCAAAGACAGCGCAGCGGGCTTCAAAAAGGACGAGCAAGGCCGCATGCACCTCGCCGATCCGCTGGGCGAGGCGCGCCAACTTGGTGGTGGTGGTGGCGGTAGTGGTGCCGCCCAAGCGGCCAAAGACGCGGCGTCTTCGAAGGAGAGGATGGAGGCTGATCGCGAGGCCATCTTGAAGGCCAAGAAGGTCGAGGCGGGCATTGCGCTCGCTCATCAAGTGCAAGCCGCCGCTGCTGCGGGCGAAGCGGCGCGTGTGGCCAACGTAGAGGCTGCCGATGCCAAGGCGGCGGAAGAAAAGGCCGTCGAAGCCAAGGCGGCGGAAGTGCTCGCTGCGGAAGCAAAGGCCGCGGAGCAGAAGGCTGCCGCCGACCTCAGGGCTGCAGAGCACAAGGCCGCCGACCTCAGGGTTGCGGAAGTGAAGGCTGCCGAAGCAAAGGCTGCAGAGCACAAGGCTGCCGATCTCAGGGTTGCGGAAGCGAAGGCTGCGGAGCTCCAGGCGGCCGAGCACAAAGCTGCGGAACAGAGGGCCGCGGAGCTCAAGGCTGCTGCTGCGCCGCTTGCTCCTCCTAAGGCGGAGGATGAAGATGTCGAGCACGATCCGCGGAAGTTGGAGGCTTGATATCATTTTTACCTTTTGTATTTTGCATAGCGGGTTCGTCGGCCTTTTACGTGTCGTCTTCTTTTCATGTGGGCGTTGGTAATGTGGTGCAATAGAGAGGAGGGATCGCAGCTTGTACGATTGATTTATGCAGCTCGTTTGTCGCTGCAGTCTGTCGAGAGCCGAGTACAAAGGGTGATGCACCGTGACATCCGCGTCTTACATCACGTTTCCGATCGATAACGACACCGCAAGACTGTCATGACAAGTGATATACCGGACTAAACAACACTACTCTCGTCCTCCTACCCAAACTATCAAGAAGCCAACAACTCCACATCCAACCCAATAGCTCGCATGAACAGATTCACATCGCCCAGCCGGCGCTCGCGCAACTCGACGGGCAAACTGCGGCTCACGCCCACCGTCTCCATCACGCGCTCCTTGACGCCCAGCACAAGCCGCTGCTGCTGATCCGGGCTCGCGCCAACACCCATGGCAGCCAGGAACTGCCACACGTACACGTCGTCCGCCGCGGAAACAGAAGTATCGGTCGGGAAGACGTAAGGGAGGACAGGCTCGACGACGTCGAAGAGGCGGGTGTACAGCTCTGCCCACTGCGCGCGGTCCTCAGCGGGGGTCTGCGGGGTTTGGGCGACGAGTTCAGCGCGCGAAACGAGCATGGTGAGGATGGAGAGGCCCGTTTTCGTGCGGACGAGGGCCTGCACGGCGACGCGGTCGAGGACGAGGCCGAGGAGGCCGATGAGGATGGCGAGCGGGGCGTCGTTGACGTAGCTGAAGAGCGGCGGCATGACGGCCTGGGCGAAGAGTTCGATTTCGTCTTTCAGACGCGCGGGCAGCGGGGTGTTGTCTGCGGGCGGGTAGGCGTCGCGGATGACGTCGAGGATGTCGAGGTGGATGATGATGAGCGTGAGCATTGTTAGGCGCTGTTGGTCGTCGAGGTGACGGAAGATGCGCGGGAGGGCCTTTTTGCCTTTGCTGTGGGAGAGGATTTGGATGAAGGGGTGGGTGCGGCCGGGGCTGGATGTTGTTAGATTTGGAGTTTTGGGGGAGGGAAGTAGAGACATACTTCGCATCGATGGCTTCCATCACTTTCACTGCATCCCAGAGCTGCCTGTTCAGCTCTTGCATTTCACTTCTCCATCGCATATGCCCTTCGATAGCCTCGGGCGGGGAGTCTTCGTTGGGCGGCGGGGGTAGGTGTCTTTCGTGATCCTCTAGCTTCATCAGAACCGAGTAAAGATTCTCAATGTCGCGCAGTGCGGCCTTGCGATCGGCGACGGTGGGAACATGATGCTTGCGCGCCTTGCCTTCTGCTGCAGCATCCGGTCTCTTGATGCTCAACAGCGGCCGCGGGGTCTTGGAATTGCTAAATGCGATTTTCCCGAGAGAGCCCTCCACGACCAACGATTTGTTCTTGGGTCGAGCCTTTGCCGCTTCTACTGCACGAGCGACTTGCTGCTCCATCCTCTGGACATGGTTGTCACCACCACGAGGATGATGTCGGCTGCGTCCATACCCGTACCGGCTTCCTGTCTGGAAGAGATACGTCTGGGCAAACTGGCTGAATGGCTGGCCGGGGCCAGATCTCGGCGGTCCGCGGATTTGGGCGTAGACTTGGTAGTAAAAGTCCTCTGAAAGCTGCTCCTCGCTTCCGGGCTCATTGTCGATACCTCCCGTTGCGGTGAGGAGTTGTTGCAATTGGATACGAGTGATGAAGTTCTTGTCTTGCGGCGTCATGAGACCATTGTTCTTGCTGAGCAGGAAGATTTTGTGATTGCGTTTGGCACGCTTGGCTTCCTCGGCAAGATACGACTCGCGGTCATTCGGGGTCATGGACATCATTTGCTGGGCTTGAATGATGGGCGGGCCGGCGTAGGAGGGGCCACGGGCGTGAGAAGACATTTGCTGTTGACTGGGGCCTCGCGAGTGGTAAGACTGGGCGGAGGGCGCGCCGCCTGGCATCTGTTGCTGATGGCCCATGGGGAAGGGTGGTTGGCCATGGAAGTCTTGAGACTGGGGACGCGGCGCGTGCTGAGGAGATTGTTGTCTTTGGAGAACCTGAGGCGGCGGCGCGTTGAAGTCCGGGAGGGGCTGTTGGCCTCGCTGCTCTTGTTGGGCTTGCTGCGGACGCTGTAGGATTTGGATGGGCTGTTGTTGTCTTGACCGATCTTGCTGCTGAGGCACTTGCGGAGGAGTGGGCGTACTGATGCCCACACCCAGCATGTCCCTCAATCCTTGACTTTGCTTGTCCAGCTCGGCAGGCGGAGTGGGAGTTGGTTTGGCCTGCGCTCGCATCATGGCCTCCACTTCCTCCAGATTCATCATCTTGCGGGCAGGAGCAGCCTCTTGCCTGGCGGGGGCCTGTTGTTGAGCAGGCTTCTTGCCAAAAGAAGTGCCCCAAATGGATGCATCTGCCTCGAGCTTAGGGATATACTCCGGTTCCTTGTACGCCTCATATCCTGTCCTCTTGGGCCGCGCCGCTTGACTGCTTCCATAGCGCGTGGGTTGTACGCTCTGTCTCGCATGATGCAGAACCTGCTCTTCCAACAACTCTCCCCGAACCTTGGCGGTCTGGCCGGCGAAATCAAAGTCCCTGCCCACGGCCTCTCGGGTCACGGGCTGATCGCCGCCGAAGGTGTCGTCGTTGAATGTATCGCCGGACTCGTCGAGCTGCCGACCCAGACCGTCGTAGGTCTCCTCGAAATTGAGCACCTCGCCATCATCGTCCCCACCGGGTCCAAGGCCGCCAAACGGATCATGCTGCTCGAAGATGCCCCGCGAGCGAGACTGGCCGGGCAGATCGCGGGGCAGGTTGGTGTCGAAGCCAAAGAATGACATGTTTCCCAAGTGAGGGTGGTGGGTGTGATGTGTGAAGAGATGGATGACGTTGGCCGATGGTGCGCGTGCTGGCTGGGCACGCCGTCACAGCGATTCGGGTCCGCAGAGCAATGCAGTGATCAGGTAATCATTGCCCATCAAGCAATCAATCAAGCAATCAGTGTGTGAAACGTAGACGAGAATTATGATTTGATGAAACGAAGCTTGCGTGCTCGGGCACAGCGCCACATCTTCCCTGCCGACACCAGCGGATAGTGCCGGGCGGTGTGATTGGCTGGCGCCATCTCCTTGCGTGGGTGCACTCGCCGCAGGTCTTTCGTTGACGCGGCCCTGAAATACGGGAAAAGTGTACACACCACCTGCACGTTAGGTATACGACCGAAAAAAACCGGAGCACCCTGATCCCTGGCCACACCACCTCATCACCTCTCCTTGTACCACCTCACTTCCTCCGATCCCTGCCTCCACCCATCCTCACCTCTTCCCCCCCTTCGGAGCCCGTCCGTATCTTCCGTCCTCACTCCTTTTGGATCGAACGCTGGGAAGCATCTGGCCGGCGACAGCGCTGCGGCAAAGAAAGGGATTGGCACACCACCGCCCTTCCCCCTCGACACCGCGTGGCACGCCGCCGCCGAAGAAGCCCAGGCAGGCCTCCGACGCCGACATGGCCGGCTCCACGCGCTACCTCCGCTACATCCTCCTCGCCATCTTCGGCATCATCGTCCTCACCTTCATCTCCTCCTCGTCCACACAGCATGTCGCGCTCGATGGGATAGAAGGCTTCAAGCATCGCTTCCAAGAGATGCTGAGCAAGCAAAAGGACGCGTACAGGTCGAGTTTTGCAAAAGACGACGAGCAGCCGCACCGCAATACTTCCCCCAAAGATCAAATCGTGGCGGACGATGTGGGCACCTCGCCCAACACGCAGTCCGATCTGCTGCTCAGTACCCCCCGGCCATTGACCGGCAAGGGCTCGCATGAACGCATCAACGCCACCTTTGTCACCCTCGCGCGCAACAGCGATGTCTGGGACATCTCGCGCAGCATCCGCCAAGTGGAGGATCGGTTCAATCGCGACTACAACTACGACTGGGTCTTCCTGAACGACGCCGAGTTTGACGAAAAGTTCAAGAAAATCACCTCCGCCCTCGTGTCGGGGCGCGCACGCTATGGCAAGATTGGCGAAGAGCACTGGGGCTTCCCGGACTTCATCGATCAAGACAAGGCCGCGAAGGTGCGCGAGGACATGCACGAGCGCAAGATCATCTACGGCGATTCCATCAGCTACCGCCACATGTGTCGCTACGAAAGTGGATTCTTCTTCCGCCACCCCCTCATGCTCGACTACGAGTACTACTGGCGCGTGGAGCCCAGCATCGAGCTCTTCTGCGACATCGACTTTGACCCCTTCCGCTTCATGAAGGAGAATGGCAAGAAGTACTCGTGGGTGCTCTCGCTGTACGAGTACGTGGAGACCATCCCCACGCTGTGGGACAGCGTCAAGGGCTTCATGCAGGCCCACCCCGAACACATCGCCGCCGACAACAGCATGTACTTCATCTCCGAGGATGAAGGCGAGACCTTTAATCACTGCCATTTCTGGTCCAACTTCGAAATCGGCAGTCTCGAGTGGCTCCGCTCGAAGCAGTACATTGACTATTTCGAGCATCTCGATCACGACGGCGGCTTCTTCTACGAGCGCTGGGGTGACGCACCCGTGCACAGCATTGCCGCGGCGCTGATGCTGCCGAAGGAGGAGCTACATTTCTTCAACGAGATTGCGTATTACCACGTGCCCTTCACGCATTGCCCGACGGGAGAGGATAAGAGGTTGGAGCTGAAATGCCATTGCAACCCCGCCGACAATTTTGATTGGAATGGCTACTCATGTAAGTTGCAGCCAACCCTGCCAGGCTATAGCAAACAAGCACACATACTAACGAGGAACACGACAGGCACCAAGCGCTGGTACGAGATGCACAATCTCGCCAAGCCCGCCGGCTGGGACACCGAGGGCGATTGACTAGAGGATTGGATCTTCAACCCGTACGGCGCCTTCGACGACCGCGACTACGAGAACTGGGGCATCGACTGGACCTCCTGGCCGATGGTCCTCTTCATCATCGTCATGTCCGTCGTCGGCACGCTGCTCTCCATTCTGCTCATCCGGCCGTGCAAGAACATGTACCGCTCGCTGCATGATCGGCTGCATGATCCGCGACACGAGGAGAAGCTCGACGAGCAGTGGGAGCGGTCGCGGGGCCCGGGGGGAAGGTCCAAGTCGAGAGGGCATCATTCCTCGACTTCTTCGAATGCTGGACTGCCGCCTAGGAGGGGCGTGTCGTATACCGAGCGGCCGGGTGCAAATCTACATCCGCCGTGAGGTCGCTGTGGGCACTCTGTGGTTGAATCGAGTACTTCTCCTGTATCGCATAGACCGAGGAGTTGGGTTGGAGGCGTGCATAGTCATTATTTTCTACCTGTGTTTCTAAGATGGTTGTCGAGGGCATTGCGGGTCGCTGAGAGGGTCGGCGTCATCTGGTTGGGAATGTGTATTGTCTGTTGATGCTAGGTACTAGACTGGGTCAATGGAGACACGTCCTCTTCTTTCATCGCACTGTCGCAAACACGTGGTGAGGCTGTATACAGGAGCATGTGGAATCAACCTGTTTTACCTTTTGTGACGCTGGCGAAACAATTCGATCCCAAGCGGGCCATCGGCACTCCCTCGTGCTTCAGCCGCACGAACCATTGGATACGGCGTAAGACAGAAACTTAAATCGCGAATGCGAGGATGCGGCGCTGCAGCGTGTAGGTGAAGGCAGGACGCGAGAGGCCAGCGAAGAGAGATGTGTAGACCGCAGGATTGATATCAGTGCTCCCTGTCAGGCTTCAGCATGAGTGCAGGACGTTTGGTAGAGGAGCTCCGGAGCCGAGCAAGGTTGGGCGGGCGGGCGCCGATGTCACCTGCACCATTACGATGTTTGGTTAGGGTAGGATGAGCAGCTGAAATGCCACCTTGACCACCGTCAGCCGCCAAGGTCCAGGCGGCATCATCTCATCCGGCCCATCTCGTCTCATCATCGCCTTTTCTTCCCCATCACCCCTTCTCCTCCCCTCGCCCAGGCGCCTTTGTCAGACCTTTCTTGTGCAAGCGGCGGGCATCCTGCGGGCGGTCGGAAGGCGTTCACTAATCAGCTGACGGCGTGGAGACGCCGGCACTGCGTACCGGGAACGAGCAGGGAAGCCCTAGACAGGAAGCGGAGGATTGCTTGCCAAAGCCCTAAAAGTGCGCAAATCGCAATGGACGCCGCAGGTGAGTAGACAGCCCCATCCCGGCCCTGCCTGGCCTCGCAGTAGACGGCACGTCCGGGGGCTATATCTTCGCCGTGACACAGGCTATGGGTGGGGCGCGCATGCTCAAGCCCTACCTGTTGCCTCCCCGTCGTGCGCCCTGACCCCGGACGTTGTGCTGCTCGAGGCTAGGACGTGTGTCCTGTCTAGGGAATCTCTCCGCGCCCTTGTACAGATGTGGCAGTTGCTGCTGGCTAACATCTGCCTTGCGCCGCGCTGTCAGTTGGGCAATCCTCATCATACGCCCCGCCCGCCGACCCCCCGACTCATGCACTCGGCGATCCGCGCGCCCACTCCCTCTCCTCTTACTCGCTTGAGGCGGATGGCGGCGCGCATATGACGAAGCGACGCCGCCTCGATCCCACTGCCGACCACTATCCCCCCGGTCCGTGGGAGCAGCAGCAGCTCCAGAGCCATCCCGACCCAGCGGATCCGCCATTCGCGGCGCCGCATGGCGTGCCAACCCTAAGGCGTAGCTCGACGGACCTCAGCACCGCTGCCAACCACGCGTGGCAGCTCCCGGCGCCTGCTACCCACCCCCACCACTACCCTCCTAGCCTCGTTGCATCCTACCCGTCGCAGCCCTATTACTCCTTCCACCCCTCCGACCCAAGCGCCTATAACTCGCCATGGCCGCCACCGCCACCGGCTCCCACCCCTCCCTCCGCCGATGCTGCTGCTGCTGCTGTCGTCCCGCCTTTCATCCCCCACTCCACCACCACTTACTCCCTCCCCGCCCCGACTGCTGCCATGCCATACTTCCCTACCCACCCCTCTTCCCGCCCGACTGAGGAGACTGCTTTCGATGCCCTCGCCGTGCAGACGTTGCAGCCCGACGTAGATGCTGCGCCATCGTCGACGTCGGCATCCCAACATCCTTCATCTCAAAACGGCAACACCCCAAACCAATTGCAGCGCATCGATACTGCTTCCTCCTCGTCCGCGGTATACTTCGAGGATGCCAGCATGCATCTCAAAATTCAGAGTCTGTCGATCTTGGAGAATCTGGTATGAGTGTTCCCTACATTGTTCTGCATCATCCATCCGTGCTAACTTGAATTTGACAGGCCACCCAACTCATCCACACAATAGCCAAAGCCAGCTTCCCGCAAATCCAAGACATGGTGCGAGGCTCCGACACCGAGGATGGGCAAGCATACACCACGCTCAAGAACCTCTTCGACCAGACGCGCAAAGTGTACAGCCGCGAAACGCCCTTCATCGACGCCATTGCCATCCAAATGTTCCAACCCGCCCAGCAGGAAGTCATCCGCAAAGCCAACATCGCCACCTTCATCTCCAGCATCCTCGGCGCGCACGACGTCAGCTTCTTCCACCTCAACGAGTTCTTCATGGAGACCTTTGTTCCGCTGGGTCATCGACTGCTCAAGTGGCAAGGCGCCATCTATCTCGACCTCAAGACGCAAACGTACATCTCGGCGCTGCTCAACAGCAACGGCAGCCCGGAGGCGATGCTCGACGAACTCTTTCCCCCCGACCTCGATGCCCAGATTCTCACCCGCCACCCCGATGCTCCCAGTCTATCACCCAGCGAGCAGGACTTTATCGATCGAAGTCGAGCCCGCAAGAGCTACCTTCTCGCCGAAGACAGCACGGAAAAGGCCTTCCGCGAGCTCCCCAAACGGTATCAATGGTCCGACTTCGTGCGCGAGTTCGCATCATGCATCAGCAAAAACATCGACGGCATCATGAACGTCCCCGCTCGCTCCCAACCCCTCTTCGGAGGCGGCGCATCCGATCGACGAGGCACCGCCGCAGCCGTCACGGCCTCTGCCACCGCCGCTCTCAACGCGCCCAGCAATCAACAACCACCCTCCCGCACATCACCACACACCCAACCCTCCTTCACAGATCCCAACGCCGCCGACCAACCCCCCACCCGCGACGACCCCAGCAACCCAACCAAAAAGGCCTCCACAGCCGCCTCGACCATCCGCCAGCCCTGGACGAAGCTCGAAGAAAACGCGCTCCTCTCGGGCCTCGCGCGCGTCTCCGGCCCGCACTGGTCGCAAATCCTCGCGCTCTACGGCCGCGGCGGCAGCGTGAGCGAGGTCCTCAAAGACCGCAACCAGGTGCAGCTCAAGGACAAAGCGCGCAATTTGAAACTGTGGTATTTGAAGACGGGCAAGGAGGTGCCTGTTCCGCTGCGCGGGGTTACGGGCGAGTTGAGGAAGCGCGGGGGTGCGAGGGCGAGGGCTGCTTTGGGGCTTGTGGAGGGTGAGGAGGGTGGGGAGGAAGGGGAGGAAGGGGAGGAGGAGAGAGGGGGTGGGAAGGGGGGTAAGAAGGCGAGGAGGAAGTAGGGGGTTTTGGTGAGTGGGTGGTGTTTGTGAGACTGGTTGGGCGTGGTGGATATACCCTTTGCTTTTACATGTGGATGGCTTCGAGCGTTGTGTGAGTATGGAATACTCTGGCTGATCATAATGGGAAAGAAAATATGTACTATCAATCGATGATCATCGGTTCGTTCTACACTTGCACTGCGAAGCCTTGCAGCCATCGATCTGATGCGAGGTACGGGATGCATTTTAACTTTCCGATTCACGGGACCGCGCGAGCTTAGCGCGTGTGGATGCCTGAAGCTTGCTTGGTCGCGCAGCCTTGCGCCTTCCCTCTCACTCACCGCATGGTTGCCATTCACTGCCCCACTTGCGGCGAACAACCGCCACCTTTTGTGCACCAACCCTTCATCTCAGTCTCACCCGAACTTCATCAACTTCATCTCTCACGTCCAACGACCATCATGGCGAAGAAGAGAAAGCTGAGCGAGCAAGCCAGTGCTCCCACCTCAAGCATCACGACAAGAAGCAAAGCGAAGGCCACGTCCGCAGCAGCCACCAACCCCTCCAAATCATCCATCACCAAGTCCACCAAATCATCCATCTCCACCTCCGCCACGACGACAAGGAAGAAAGCCAAACTCTCGCACTTCACGACCGACGACGAACTCCCCATCAGCGATGACGGCCCATCCGCCCCTCTGTACAAAGAGTACACCGATGCTTTCACCGTTCCGCTCGATGACGGTGCTCCGGATTATCTCAGCGCCATGCCTTCGGAGATTTTGAGCGAGATTTTGTCGTACCTTGTTGTGCATCATGATCCGGAGAGGGCGGTGAAGCTGCATAAAGAGAGGCTTGATTCTGAGAAGGCGGAGAAGAAGAAGCTCAGAGAGATCAAGCAGGAGGTTGAAAGAGACGACACCGGCAAAGAGGAAAATGCCGCCGTCGTCGAACGGGTTGGCAATAAGAAGAAAACTCGCTTCCCCGATGACGACGACTATGAGATGGGCACCTTCTACAACACAACCACGTCCACAGTGACTCCTCATGTCTTCCTGTCCCTGGCAGCGATGTCATCCCGCCTCCGCGACGAAGTGGAGAGCTTCTGCCGCAGATATCTGACAAAGCACAAAGAACGGTACTATTTCACACCGAATGCTGAAATCGAGCAGAAAGCAACCAGGAGGTCGGAGAGACTGAAGGGGAAGCCCAAAGTCGACAACAGGGTGTATCGTAAAGCCCTCGTGTACAAGCTGACTTTGAAATGCTTCGGTTGCAACACTTGGGTGCGTGGCTTCGCACGCGGGAAGCTCGCGAATGGCATCTCGTGCTGTTCCAAGTGCGAGGAGGAGATGTTCGGTCCGCAGATCGTGAGTACTGATCGCTTTGACAAGGTCTCCTAATGCTCCTACTGACTCTCTGATCTAGAACCTTACGGATGCCATGAAGCGATATGACTTGCGGGACTGGATGCTGATTGCAACGCGGAAGCCAGGACCCAGGGCGAAGAAAGTGGACTTTCCAGTCATCAACTACGGCACCGTACTCACCGGTACGTCTTTTCAGAACCCCATCCAACTGCGCCATCTTCTCGGTGGAGTCACAAGGACGAAACTAACATGTTCATCAGGCAAACCCTACTACAACGGCATTCAGATCTCCTATCGATTTGTCGAGAAAGATGTGATACGAGTGGCGTCGGCGGTACACGGAGACATCGAGGCCCACATGAGAAAGAGAAATTGGGCACGCTGGGACCGTCAGTTCAAGAGACGTGACGAGGAACACCGCAAAATGAAGATTCGGTACCACAGAGACATGGCCGCGAACCCCCATTGTAAAGAGATGAGCGGGGACTCAAAGGAGTACCACCAAGAGCGTGAGTGCGATTGCTACCTATCTTGCCGCAGTAGCAACTGACAGTTTGGACAGGCCTAGAGTTTTACGAACACCCTGACTGCGACGAAGAATTTGATGAAGAAGCCGCGCAGCCCATCGAAATGAGCATCTGGGACCACCCACATGGCTATGGCATGTATGATGATGTGCATCGGCGTCTTTGCGTAGTCGATTTCTGCGAAGTCTGCGAAGATGAGAGGGCCCACAAGTACATCCCTTGGTTGCAATGAGATGCTGTAAGGGGATGCTTGCTGCCGATGGTGGCACGCAGCATGGTTACGGATCATGGCTATGCCTCCGAACCCGTGCCGAGGAAGGTTGCTTGAGTCTTGCAGGCTCTCAATCAGCATCGCTTGACCTGCATATCAACGCAGTGTGTACGATAGTCACAAGGTATATATACAAAAACGCTTTCAGCATCACCTCCTCGCCATCATCGATGTAAGATTCTTCTCCCGCCCCCTCGGCTCCCACTTCTCCCTCCCCTCCAACAACGCCCTCGCTTGCTCCTTCATACTCTTCCGCCGGTCCTCATTCACCAGCGTATCAGCAGTAGGCATCATCTTATCCCTCTCCGCCTCCTGATGCCCCCTCTGCGCCTCCACCGTCTCCTTATCCCACGCCGTCAAATCCTCCGGCTCCTCAGGCCACACAAACGGCCGCTCAAGCTGCACCGTCATGAACTTCTTCGCCCGCGGCCGGTGCCATTTGCGCATCATGGGAGTCTGATTCTCTTCGCCGCCCGGTGCGCCGAAGCGCGCGCGCTGCTGTTTGACGTAGGATGTTACGCTGAAGATGCGCACGTTGTAGGCGTGGTAGAGGTAGTCGCGGAGGTCGAGTTTGCTGAACCAGAGCGGCACTTCGAAGCGGGCGTAGTTTGCGGGGAGGGTTTGGTTGCGGAGGAAGGTGATGATGAAGTTGGGTCTGTTGGAGGTTGTTAGGGGGGCATTGGGAGTGGACGGGGCTCGGGGCCTTACAGGAAGAGTTCTTTCTTTCCTACTTTGAAGGGGAGAGCCATTGCGGCTGGGTCTGATGGGGCGTGGATGGGTGAGAAGTTGGATCTGGAGATGCGCATTGAGTTGCCAATAATTCTTTGATAGATGCAGTCGAGATGCACAGTCGATGACATAAGTCGTGGCATCAGGTTGCATCTTCCCCGCCAGCCATGGCGCGTGCTCCACCTCCTCCCACTGTTGCGCGATAGCTCCCGTTCTTCTCGAGATACATTAAGCACTGGAACGACTGTGTCTAGTACGATGATGGCCTCTCGCCGACCCCTCTTACGGACGCCATCCGATATGGTCTTCCTCAACGAGCCGTATAATCCGCTATACAACCTCTTCCCGTCCCGACCTGTCCTCGTCCACCAGTAAGGATCGGACCAGACACACAACTCTGCAACGCGCTCACACATCATCGCAGAAATAACGACCACCAAAAGCCCATCTTTGCAGAACGTCCATGGCTAGGCCACCTCCTCTTCGACAACAACGATTCCGATGCCAGAGATCACTGTGCCGCCGAGCGGAGTATGTGCCCGATCACTACTCGTCCGACCGCAGATCGTACTAACGCAGCATAGCATTCCTCTCCTGGCTCCGACTAGCAACATACATGGCCGTAGTCGCCGTCGCGATCTTAATCTCCTTCCACCTCAAGCACGAACCTACTCCGCTGGAACGACGAGTCGCTTTACCCTTCGGCCTTCTCTTCTGGCTTCTGGCTTTTGCGTGTCTGGTCTCTGGACTTTTTAACTACATCAAGACTGTGAACGGGTACTCGCGGCGGCAGGCGCTTGTGCAGAGTGGAGTCGGGACGCAGATTGTATGTTCATCTGGTCGCGGGCTTTGGTGGTTATTGATGTGTGGGTACTGACTGTGTTTAGGTCTTTACTGTTGTCTCGTGTGCGATTATTGCGGCCTGCATCTTGTTCCTTGCGACCAAGTCTTCTTCGAATTGAGCTGGAGATTGGAGCGCGGCACACTGTATGGTTGAAGATGTATGCGTTCTGGCGCCTGCGATTTACGGACGACCTTCTACGATTTACGCATCACAATGGGTGCCTCAACGGCAACCTCAGGATATGTAAGAGCTTGAGCTCTGCTCCTTCACATGAGTTTAATGCGTGCATCAGGTAAGTCTTGCTGTCAATTTTGTGGTGGACCCAAGTCACTAAGTATGCAAGTTAGAGAGCAGATTGTAAGCATGAACAACGCTTGGTGGACGTGCGAAGGATTTGGCGGATGAGAGTCATGGTCTGGGCATATGAACAGTGTCACCCCGGCTCGGGCAGACTTGAACGCAGGTTTGAGCTGCGTGGAGACTGCTCAAGTTAAAGCACTGTGTAGTACTTCCATGTCAGCACGTGATTGTGCATGTGATTGTGAGACTATACCCAATTAGGCAAGTTGGTCATGACGCTCTCAAGACTCGCCACTCCCAGGGCACCTTCTTCACTCCTACATTTTCCAATCACACTCTCCAATAACCATCCACGTCTATCATCCAAGCCATGGAGAAACAACCCCTCCTCCCAACCCAGGAGGTAGAAGCCGGCACCACCACGGAGCCTTCGCTCGCCGAACTCCAGCAAAACGTCCGCGATGCCCACCGCGCCTACTTCCGCGCCTGGCACCGCACCACCTCCGGCCGCCTGCACAAAAGCATCATGTTCTGCGTCTCGATGCTCATGCTCTTCTTCGCCCTCTTCTGCCTCGGCGTCATCATCGACGACTACAACAGCGACGACGGCGCATCGTGGCCGGAACCGGCGCGGCGGGCGAAAGTGCCGCTCGAGGCGCACATCATGTCCAAGTGCCCGGATGCGAAGGACTGCTTGCATGATTTGATCCTGCCTGCGATGCAGAATGTTTCGGACATGGTGGATTTCACGCTGTCTTATGTTGGCGAGTCAGTCTTTTCCCCATACTTTCCCGTGGTGGCGAAATCGACTAACGAACGTGGTAGAAGCACACCCTACGACGGCGTAAAATGCATGCACGGCCAAACGGAGTGCCTAGGCAACATGATCGAGCTCTGCGCCGCGCACCTCTACCCAGACCCCAAAATCTACCTCGGCTTCACCATGTGTCTGACGCGCGACTACGCCGAGATTCCCAAGCGGGAACTCGTGCAGGACTGCGCGCTGGAGCACAGCATTTCCATGGAGGCGCTGAACGACTGCCTGAATGCGGAGGATGGCGGGAAGGCGGTGGAGATGTTGCGGGAGAGCTTCAATCGGACTGCGGATGCCGGGGTGACGAAGAGTTGTACGGTGCGGTTGAATGGGGAGATTCGGTGTGTGCGGGATGGGGGCAAGTGGAAGGAGTGTGAAGGGGGGCATTCGCCGGAGGAGTTGGTGAGTGAGATTCAGGAGTTGGCTGCTACTGGGTTGTGGAGCTGAGTTTGATGATTGTCTTTGGGTTTCTCATGATGGCCGCTGAGGCTGGAGAATAATGTTGTCTATGAGCCGCACCGGCACTTTGTCCTCTCCCAGTCCAAGTACCTCCCCCGGTTTCGTCACCTCCAATGGCAACATTTTGATCGCACAGCTGAGCACCGCTCCTCTCTCTCCATCAACAACCTCCACCTCCTCCATCGAGTCCGGGTCCGCCAGGGAGAAATAGTCAACCTCAATCCCTGCCCTCTCCGCCTCCCCGAGAGCCTCCTGCTCCATGACCATCCGATTCGCCACATCCCACGCCAAAGCCAGGATATCCCCCCTCTCGCGCCTGCCCATCCCATACGCCGCCTCGGCCGCCCGCAAAGCCTGCGAAAGCACCACGCTGACCTTCCGCCTGCGCTGCCCCATGTACACATTGCGACTGCTCATCGCGAGACCGTCGGGCTCGCGCTCGGTAGGACACACGCGCACGAGCGTGTCGAGGTGGAAGTCGGTGACCAGGCGCCGGATCACCACCGTCTGCTGCACGTCTTTTTGCCCAAAGTAGACGCGCTCCGGCTGCACGATGTTGAAGAGCTTCATGCACACCGTCGCGACGCCGCGGAAGAAGACGGGTCGGCTGGCGCCTTCGAGCAGCGTGCCGAGGGGCGTGAGGGTGATGAAAGAGCCCACGCCAGGGATGGTCGAGTCCGGCGGTGAGGTGGGGTACATTGCCTTGGTCGTCGGGGCGAAAATGGCTTCGATGCGGCCTGCGCCATGCGTGCGGGCGAGTTCGGCGTCGAGGGCGCGCAGCTGCGCGACGTCCGTGTCCCAGGTTTTGGGGTAGCTGTTGAGGTCTTCGGTCACGCCGAATTGGGTGGGGTTGAGGTAGATGGAGACGATGACTTTGCTGTTTTCTGCTGCTGCGGCGCGGATTAGGCAGAGGTGGCCGTGGTGCAGGGCGCCGAGGGTGGGGACGAAGCCGAGTGTGTCGCCGTTGAGGAGGAGTTGGCGTCTATGTTGGCGGAGTGGAGGAATGTCTCGGAAGATGTGAATGCATCGAGCGAAGATCCGTGCAGGCCTGGTTTGCGATGTGGATGGTTGTGATGATATTCTGTAGCTCCATTGCAGGGCGATGTGCCGGTGGGCGAGTCTGCTGGCCATTGCCGATCTCAATGGACTGTAAGGCCGAGTCGAGTTCTATCCAAAACGAAAGAGGTTGCGGGTGCAGCGAGATTACTGATGAAGTTCCGAGCGACTCTTTGAGAAGAGAATGGGAGGAGTCATCTTGACCGATTTTGTGTCCTCATCTTGGGCATGGGAGGAGGTTGTTTACGCGGAAGTAATGAGTACAGTTGGATGTCTGCAGCTCTGGTGTGTCTGACGTTCAAGAGCCGTGCGCTCCCTCCATTCTCACAGGAACGCACGCAGGATGCGAAATTGTGAGCACCAATGGGAATCCGGGAAATTTAACCGACGAACCAGATTCGACCAGATTCCGCATTGGGAAAGCGGTGCAAACGCGCGCAGGCATCGCTTTTCCCTCAAACCACCACCACCCCAATCCGAAGTGTAGCTACCATTGACGATATCAAGACAGTGACGTAAGTCCAATGGCACCGAAAATAGAGGCCAGACAACACTATAAGTACGGCCATCTGCTGCCATGTTTCTTTTCTCACAACACATCTCCTGCTCCAATCCAAACCCCCACCAAGTCTTAACACCATGGTCGCCCTTGAAGCCGTACGCCAGTCCAACCGCCAACTCGCGAAACTCTCCCCCAGCCCCTTCACTGCCCTCTTCGTCGGTGGCACCAGCGGCATTGGTCGCAGCACCCTTCGACAGCTCGCGCAAAACACACACAAGCCCTCGGTGTACATTGTCGGCAGGAACGAGCAGAATGCCTCGCCTCTGCTGCGCGAACTGCGACAAACCAACCCCGAAGGAACCTTTCACTTCCTCGAGGCCGACGTCACTCTCATGCGCAATGTCGACCGCGTGTGTGCGGAAGTCAAGCGACGAGAGGACAAGCTCAATCTCTTGTTCATGACGCCGGGCGGCATCTCGCTCAGCGGGAGAACCGGTATGTGACCTACAAGCACCCAACACTCTGCCTCGCTAACCTCCCGTCAGAAACCAGCGAAGGCATCGACAAGATTTTCGCCCTGAGATACTACGCCCGCATGCGCTTCGTGCAGAACCTCCTCCCACTACTAGAAAACACCGCACCCAGCCGCGTCGTCAGCATCTTCGGCGGCGGCTTCGAAGGCCCCATCAAAACGGAAGACCTCGACCTGCAAAAGAATTACTCCATCATCAACAGCGCCTTCCACGCCATCACCATGACCTCGCTCGCAATGGAGCACCTGGCGCAAAAGACGTCCAACCCGGACTTGAGCTTCGTCCACAGCTACCCGGGCATTGTCGGCACGAACATCTACACCAACAGCTTCCCTGCGCCCATCGCCGCTTATTACAACTACGTGATGTGGCCGCTGATGTGGCCCTTTTCCGTCAATCTCGAGGAGAGCGGCGAGCGGCATCTCTTTCACTCGACTTCTGCGCGATTCCCGGGTAAAGGCGTTGGAACTGATGCGAAGAGCGTGGATATTGCTGTAGGGTCGAATGGACAAAAAGGCAGCGGAGTCTATCTTACAAACTGGAAGGGCGAGACGAGCGTTGGAGGGAAATATATGCGACGTTATCGGGAAGCTGGCATGCCGGCGAAGGTGTGGTCACATACCACGGAAGTGTTACAGAGAGCGGCCGAGAAGAATGCAGCGTAGCTTGATTGATTTTCAATGTAGAAGTAGTGTACGACTTATGAATCGTCTCATCCATTTATTCACGACTTGTGCTGCGAACCCCAAGCGCACGGACCATCTCGCCGGCTCCCGATGCATCTGCGTTCTATAAAAGTTTCAACTGAAACATTTAAAACGACATTCCAGCCCACATCACTCCAACCAGCTCGAAACCTCCGCAATCATGGCGGACGATGGCATGCTCCTCAACTTCGAGCTGCCGTCCGGTGCCTTCACCCCCAAGGAGACCTTCCGCGGTGGAAAATGGACGGATCGACTGAAGGCGAAGAAATCCGCCGATGTACGACAGAAGCGCACCGCCGGCCATTTTTCGCGAAGCATCCCCAAGTTCGGGGAGGTGCGGAGCGAGGACGAGGAGCTTATTGTGCCTGGTGGACCGCCTAGCAAACGCGCGAGAACTGGTGATGTGGAACATTCGAGGCCGCGGGATCCGACTTATGGACATCAAACGAGCGGAAAGCCGTCTCAGAGCGCTGCGAAGGGTATGACTGGAGAAGTGATCTCCTCGCTATTTACATACAATCCGAAGTCCGTGGTGCCTTCGACCAAAACCGTGCAAGACGAGAGCACGGAGCCGTCGAATGCGCCTCTCAACAACGAGCTCGACACCTTCACCAGTCTAGGCCTTTCCTCGACTCTGGCGAACCATCTCCTTAAAAAGCTCGAAATCAAAGCGCCCACCGCCATCCAACGCAAAGCTATTGAGCAGCTGTGCCGCTCCGATACTGACGCCTTCGTCCAAGCCGAGACGGGATCGGGCAAAACGCTGGCCTACCTGCTCCCAATCGTGCAACGTATCAACGCCATTTCGCAAGGCATGAAGGACGCTGGGCAGACGTTCAACCGGGAAAGCGGCTTGTTTGCTCTCGTTCTTGCGCCGACGCGAGAACTTGCCAAGCAGATCAATACCGTGCTCGAAAGTCTGCTAATATGCTGTCACTGGATTGTTGGCGGCATTGTCATCGGCGGCGAAAAGAAGAAGTCCGAGAAGGCTCGCTTGCGCAAAGGCATGAATGTCCTTGTCGCCACGCCGGGCCGATTGGCGGATCATCTCGAGCACACCGAAGTCCTGGACGTGAGTCGGGTTCGATGGCTCGTGCTTGATGAGGGCGATCGATTGATGGAGCTGGGCTTCGAGGACGACATTCAGCGGATTGTGAGCGTGATGAATTTGCGGAGTAAGAAGACGCTTCTACAGCCTATTCCTGGCCTGCCGGAGCGGAGGACTACGGTGATGTGTTCGGCGACGCTGAAAGCGGACGTGGACCATCTCAAAACCATCACGCTCAAGGATCCCATTTCCATCTCGGTCGATCCTGCAGAGGCAAGATTTGATCAAGATGGTGCTGTCATGGAGCAGGCATTTTCAGCACCGGCCCAGCTGAAGCAAGGCTATGCGGTCGTCCCGCCGAAACAGCGACTCGTTGCTTTGGTCGCGATGCTGAAGCAGACGTTCAAGAGAAAGGGCAGTGTGATGAAGTGCATCACCTTTATCAGCTGCGCCGACAGCGTCGACTTCCACTTCGACATCTTCACCCGAGCGGACCCAGATGCAACGACAGAGGGCAAAGAGGATCCCACCACAACAGCCGAGAGCGATCCTCCCTCGAAATCGTCCAAAGCCAAACCCGGGCACATAGCACAAGGCAACACAATTTCCGAAACCCGCACCCAAGGCCCGGGTCTCTCCTTCTCCACGAAAGAAAACGGAGTGCAGGTCTTCCGCCTCCACGGCTCCTTGCAACAAGCCACCCGCACCAGCACCCTCAAAGCCTTCACCAAGTGCGCCGAGCCATCCCTCCTCGTCTGCACCGACGTCGCATCTCGTGGTCTTGATCTCCCGAACGTCGACCTCGTCATCGAGTACGATCCACCATTCAGCAAGGAAGACCACCTCCATCGTATCGGGCGAACAGCACGAGCGGGCAAAGACGGCAGAGCCGTGATCTTCCTCATGCCAGGCTGCGAAGAAGGGTACGTCGAAGTCCTAAAAGAAGGCCGCCCACGAAACCTCACTCGCCACGACGCCGAAGACATCCTGAAGAAAGGCTTCGCCGCCACGTCCGGCGTCGTCAGCAACAACCGCGATTGGGAGGATCGCGCGACGGAGTGGCAGCTCGAGCTCGAGCGCTGGGTGCTCGACAACCCGCAACGCCTGGAGCAGGCGCGCCGCGCTTTCCAGAGCCATGTCCGCGCTTACACCACGCACGTCGCTGCTGAGCGCGGGTACTTTGATTTCCAGCAGATGCATTTGGGCCATTTGGCCAAGGCTTTTGCGCTGCGAGATAAGCCGGGGAGTCTGCGGGTGCCTGGTATGCGGCCGCGGAGCGATGGAACGGCAAGTAAGGGGAAAGAGGCACGCAGGTCGAAGGCTGCGAACGGCGCTGCTGCTGGTCGCTCAGCGAGGACTGATGGGGTGGAGGTCGAGTCGAACAGAAATACCGATGAGGCCGAGGGGAGGCGCAAGATGCACGCGAAGATGCGGAATCTGGGTGGTGCGTCGGAGTTCAATCTTGGCTGACGGAGTGCGCATGTTCAGTAGATATCCCACAATGACACTTTGCCGTCTTTGCTCCCTGCTGCCAACCAATGTGTTCTTCTCGCTTTCTCGACGCGTTGCTCGGAGACGGTGAGATCGCGCTTGACTAGGTCGCCTTCCTCTTCCGCTTTACCGCCCGCATCGTCTGTTGCGGCAGACTCATGGATTCTAGCAAACGCAGTCGCATAGCACCCCTCCTTGTGCCACTTCAGCACCGCCAGCTCCTTCAGCGTCTTGACAGAGTACACTCTAATCCGTCCATCCCAGCCAGCCGTCGAGAAGATTTTCCCATCCGATCGCACCGAGATGGACTGCTGGCCCGCGTGCTTGGTTTGCAGAACTTTCTCCTCGCACGCCCCTCCGGCTTCGGGCATGGAATACCGGGCTATGATGGCATCAGCGGAACTTGTGAAGAAGCAGCTGCCATCTGGTGTAGGCGCTAGAGATAGAATTGGTTGCGAGTGCTGTTTGGTGGTGTAGATTGCGGTCCAGCGGGTCGTGGACGTGTTTGGTCCTCGTTCCCACACTGCGATGTGTCCGCTTTCGTAGCCTGCGAGGAGACGCAGGCTGCTTCTTTGGGCGGTGTAGGTTAGAGCGAGCGCCATTGTCATTCCTGTTTTGAGGCCTGGAGGGCTTGGGATTGTGGCGAAGCGCTGTTCGCTGGGGAGAGCGGTGATGTTAGTCGAGCCGTCGCTGACACCGGGCGTGGCGATGAGGATGTCGGTGGAGTGTGACTGCGTGCCGTCGGCGCACATTGCGAAGGAGCAGAAGTTGAGAGTGTTGACCGTGAGACTGTGGATGAGCCAGGGCTGTTTGCGTTCGGAGACGGCATCGTCGATTGGTAGGGTGGTGGAGAAGGTCGCTTCGTCTTCTGCTCGGAGCTGCCAGACGTAGAGTTTGCTGTCTCGGCCGTGGCTAGATAATGTCTTGTTAGCCATCACCTGAAATCAATGACATGGCTAACGATCTATTCAAGACTTACGTGATGATCTTGTCGTTGCCCCAACTCCCCAACCCGAGAATGGGTTCTTTGTGCGCTTTCCATACCGCGAGCGGACGTCTGATTGGGAGGCTCCAAAGCACTATCCAGCCCTCTGCATCGCCCGTCAGGAGGCGGAGATTGTCGGGCAGGAAGTGCACGGCGTGGATTTGAGCCGCGTGGCCTCGCAGGATGTACACTGGCTGGGCCGGCGGTAGAGTGGACTGCTGGTTGAGCGGCTGTTGGAGAGCCATGATGGTCGCCGAGATGGAGAGCGAGTTGACGTCAGGCTCGCTATCTGTATCATAATGCTCATGGATGGACAGAATGAATGGCGGTCAGGCTCTCTCCTGCATGCAAGGCTGTGCTGAAGGATTGGACTGCAGCCTTGAGGGGACGATCGTCGAAGCCTGTTCCACGTGGCCCTGTACCAAGAGATAAAGGACTCATCCACTGCTGAGAGACGTGCTCACAACGTCTTTTCCATCTCCAACGGGGCACTACGGCGAGTGTCTGGTCAATGATGCATTGCCGGTGTTATCAGATGGACGTTGATTGGTACGTTGTCGCTTTGAGTGTCTTGACCTCTGAAGAATTGAGAGATAGAGTTCAGCTAGGACGAGCGACTAGTCCGAATGAGGGTTCAGTGATTCCTCCAGCTCCCATGCAACGAGCAAAGAAGAAGTATCTCTAGCCGAAATATCTCTACCTTGAGCCCTCCCATCACCAACCAATGTGGCCATGTGAGGCCCGGAATACCATGACAATTTCGGAGAGGAATTTGTCGATCGTGAACGAAGTGTGATATGAAATTAGCCAAAGCGCTGCCATCCGCTCCGTACCGATGGCCATTCATCTCGTATCCGGCTGACATTAGTCGCGCACCACGCGGTGCCGCAAACCGGCAAGGCGGTCGGCGCCGACGGGCCCTGGTTCCGCCGTTGGTTGACTAATAATTGGCTAAATCGGATAGCTTAATTGGCGTCGACTTCTCGAAGACAGGACCTGGCCATCTTTTGCCTTGTGCCATTGCGCACTTCCGCCTTATCCCATCTTTGCCGCGTGGAACTGAGGCATAAAGTCGCCACCCACGCGCCACGCGCCTCCCACTCATATACCCCCTCACCCCTCTCACCTAAGCCCGCTCCGGACCCGTCGATTCCACCTCGCATCACCTCGCCGCAGACACCGGCAGCCATGACTACGACTGCCGCGCCTGCCGCACAGGTGGCGAGCCCAGCTCCCACTTCGGAATCTGACGCATCAAGCGGCGGGTTTAAAAGCTTCTTCAAGCGCTCCTCCCGCCCTGGCTCATCGGCGGCCTCCTCCAACCTCAAGTTTGTCCACCAGGACCCGGGTGTCACGAAGAGTACGCGCAATGCTTCCCCCCCTATCTGTTACCCCCACTCATGTGACCGGCGCCTTACTCATCCTGTTCATGAACAGAGCGCAGTCGCATTAGCCGAATGCTTAAACCGGACGGCGAAGAGTCGGGCCAGGATGGGAAGGAGGAGCCTCTGACGCCCACGCAGCGGCGGAGACAGCAGGTCTATCAAGCGCAGAAGTGGGCTGACCCATGCACGTCTTCGTTTTGGCACCAGCTAATCGCGTCAACAGGCGACATCGAAACCGACATGCAGAGTACGTCCGCAGCCTGGAAGCCGAGGTGGCGCGCCTGCAGCATCTCGACGCCATGGTCAACAGCGAGAAGAACGCGCTGGCCCACCAGAATGCCGCGATCAAGGAGTACCTGGCCAAGCAGTCGATCGACACGCGAATGGATGCCCTGGGCCTCGAATCCACTCCTGCGCCAGACAGCTTAAGTCAACTGGGCGGCGCCGCCATCGACCTGCGCATGGATCCCGACATTGGCAAAGAGCGCTGGTTCCTTGACGTGCCCGAGCTCACCTGGAGCTCTTCCGAGGTCTCCTCCGTTGACTCTCCCCCGAAACCCCTGCCTCGTACGCCGGTGGCAGGGGACAGCTGGGCCGCACTCGACTTCATCATGGCTTTGGAATGGCCGTGTCGGCTGCACGTGCACCATCCCGGCATCAGCCCAAACGTTACGGTCCCAGAGATTGATCCGGTGATCAAGAACCACGGCCACGCCCTCACCGCTACGCAAGCCGTGTTCCAGAGCGCGCAGGCGCCGCCGGGGAAACGGGCGCAGCCCAATGCATTCCTTGACTACAACATGGCCGGAAGCCTTCAGCAGGATGAGTCTGACAAGTGGATCCTTCCGCATTCGGAAATCGACAAGTACGTGATTCGGGCTGGTGGGGATCTGAGACGACTGCTGACCGATGATGGCTAATCGCAGATTGGTGGAGCTGTCCGAGACGCTCCACATCGACGAAGACTTCATCACGCCCGCACAGGCGTATGCTGCCGTGCGCGAAGCTGTCCCTAACGACAACTACCTCCGACCCACCCTCGCGGCTCTGAAGTTGAGCCTGGGAAGCCACGCAGACTGCCATGCTTTCGGCACAAGTGTCGATGCCGGGCTGTAAGTCTTCACTGCCTTATAATCCTCCTGTCTGGAGCAGCGCTGATTGCAAACTCCCTTCCAGCTTCTGGCAACACCTCAACGACACCCTTCAAGCGCTGCAGTCGACTCGACCGGATCTTGGATGAATAGGGATGGCATTGTCATGAAATTTTCCTTGCTTGAACATAGAACTTGTCTATCAACTTATTCGAAAACACCACGCTTGAACGCCATGCCAAATGTCACAAAGAGTCCTCGATTCTTCGAAATTCCGCTCAGACTGGCAGAAAGGCGAAAGTTAGCAAACTAGCCGTAAGAAGCGAAAATGAAGCAGCGGCAGCAGCAATCACAACCACATACCATCAAGATAATCCGCCGCAATCAGCAACTCCAGCGCCAGCTCCAATGGAAAGTCCATGTCCGGCGCGTCTTTGGCGTCTTGGTATTTCTCCTTGTAGTAGAAGTATTCGCACACTTTCTCGAGCACGGCGCCGCTGCCGGACAGACAGCCATGTTAAATTCAATGATTCGCTCTGTCTCTATCGCGTTTGTCTGTGGCGTACCTCATGTTCTCAAAGCGGCACGTGTTGGTCCTCGACTCCGTAAAGCCGTCTGTGCAAGAGAAGCAGCGTCAGCGAACCGTTCATGATCTCTTCGTTACATGCACCGTGATCACGGATCAGGGTGGGTAATGTAACGAGCTGACGCGTAGGGCTTGCATCAGTAGCACATGGGCCCCGAGGGCAAGCCATTGGAGGCGGCCGGGGGGGAGCAAGGGAGAAAAAAAAAAGAGGAACCTACACGCCGGATCTAGCATGCGTTTGATAGCGCCGCTGATGCACGCGCAGGAGCGCTGCACGACGAATGAGAAGCCGTCGGACGACACGAGGGTGACGTAGTCTGTGAGTTCGGATGACATGCTTGCTGTGTGGCTTGCTCTTGGTGATGCCCGTGGGCTGGGCGAGCGGGAGAGGGCGGAATGAGGGTGCTTCGATAAGAGGTGGGTTCTTTAGAGATAGTGTGGCGTGCCCGGGGCGTGAAGGCTGAAAGAGGAAGTTGTAGACTACGGCTAAAGGTTTGCGAAAGGTGACTTCTGGCTGGCCGCAGCAGGGCGGGCGCTAGCGGGTGTACGGCGGGATCCTCCGCTCATGCCCGTCTGGCGCGTCTCGGGCTGTTGATTTTCGAGAGTTTGGCGAGTGCTGGAGTGGAATTTGAGGGGATTGTGTGTCGGAGATGTGCCTTGCAGCCTGAGGCGGCACACCAGTGCTCTCTCACGTAATCACTGTATCCACTCCATATTGCGCTTCCAGCAATACAGGGGCTTCATTGACGGACTTGATCTGCCTTGCGTTGGGTAGATGAGACTGTAAACAGTGAGTATACTGAGTATCCACCAACTCCGGCCCTCATTCTTAATCAAAAACTCTCATCAAAACGATCCGTGCAGTGGAGTCCACATCCCCAGGATATCTACTCCTCAAGCTTAAAAGCACTATGCTTGATATTCTGCTCCAACGACTCGCCAAAGTCGCCACTGAACCCATTCGCCTCCAAGTACGCGCGGAACTTGACGTCCTCGCTCTCGAGCTCGCGGTCGCGGTTGGGAATCAGCGTCCAGGCGATGATGCCGCCGACGGCGGCGAAGGCGGCGCCGATGAGGAAGACGGCTTGGATGCCTTCGAAGTCGTTACTGAAGGAGTTTTGGATGGGCGCGAAGACTTGCGTGCCGATTGCTGCGCCCGCTTTGCCGACTGCTGCTGCTAGGCCGAGGAAGTGGCTGCGTCGTTGTTAGGTTGAGTTGTGGAGGCTGAGGTGGGGTTGGGGGTGGTAATGACTTACCCTCGAACGGGGGTGGGGAAGGACTCGGCACCGCAGAGGAAGGTGGCGACTGTGGGTGGTGTCAGCGTTTGGGTCCTTTTCATGGAGGTTTGGTGTAGTTGACTCACCACCGGGACCCATTTCGCCGAATGAATTGAAGAATCCGTAGAGCACGATGAACAGGGGGAACACGGTGAGGATGGGCTTGAGCGCGCCTCCGATGATGAAGCCAAGGATCGCCTGTCGAAAGTCAGTGACGTGCTAAATGCAGGGCATAGGCTGCACAACTTACCCAGCAGGCAAATCCCAAGGTCATGGTCTGTTTGCGCCCAATCTTGTCCATGAGGAACCCGCCGACGATGCAGCCGGGCAGGTAGAAGCAGTTCACCGCCGTGCCCAGTCCAATGTTCTGGATCAACGATCCCTCGGGGTTCAATTTGCTGATGATCGTGGAGGAGAAGATGCCGAAGGGGTAGGTCACAAAGTCATACCTGTCGTGGTCAGTCCATTGATGTGTGGGTGTTGTCTGAGGTTGACCTACATGAACCACGCAAGGGAGCAGCCGAGCATTGGCTTCCAGTAGCGTCTGATCACCAGCCCGTAGGGGATCTTCCTCTTCATGGCATGCTTGCGGTATTGAGTAGAGTCAATCATGCGCATCCGGAAGAAGAAGAGCGTGACGGGGAGAACAAGGCCGAGTCCGAAGCAGATGCGCCAAACGCCCACCGAGGTGTGGTCGTTGTAGGCGGCGAGCACGATGAGGACCACGACGCCGGCGATGACGAAGCCAGAGTCGATCGAGAAGTCGGTGGCGATGGCAACGAGAATGCCGCGGCGTTTGCGTACCTTGAGGTTCTCATCACTGGCTTCTGCCGAACCGGTGCCGCTTGTGGGGTATTCCTGTGTGCCGATCAGTTCACTTGTCAATGTGAAGGGTTGCGGTCGCCAACTCACTCCACCAGCACCGAAGCCGGCAATGCCACGACCGACAATCATCATCCAGAACAAGCCGAGCTCAGACTGTACGCGGTTAGCCCTCTCACCTTTGTCTCCCCGGGGAGAGCACGTCGACTTACATAACCCGACGAAGCAGTTGCAATAACAATTCCCAGCACAAGGAAGGCAGTCGCGAAAATAACACCAGTACGTCGGCCAATCTTGTCAATGAGGAAGCCGAAGAACAACATGCCAAAGATCTCTCCGATCAAGTAGCTATTCGACAGTCGGGTTCCGATCTCGCTGGTGAAGCCTTCCTTGTACAATTTCTTGAAGAGCGGCTCCATGTAGCCACTAACCTGGGCATTAGAGGCCTCCTCGATCTTCTGTAAAGTGGCATCCTGCACTTACATGACCTGGGCATTGTATCCATCGCTGAAGAGCGCTAGGCCGGAGACGATGACAGTAATGGTGCCGGAGATCTTCTTGACCTTCTGCAAAGCGACATCCTGTACGTATCCAATCTCATCCGAAGGCGGCGCGGAAGAGGTGTGGACGACGGTGTCGCCAGTGGCTTTCTTGTCGTCGATATCCATTGCTCAACACTGGACTGGGAAGAACGATGATTGACAAGTGAGAGGGATTGAAGAAACGGCTTCTCGAGCGGTCCTTATGTACCTGGATGATCACCTACCTCCAATCCAGACGCTATCTTCGGCGGCTTAAGGTTCTTTTCTAGCGAAAAACGTGGCAATGCCCCCGTCCTTGCAGATGCTGGGGTGGGCATGGGAATCGCAGATCAATGGCCAGTTGGATGGAAACGTGCGCTGTCCATGCCCATCTTTTGCGTACTGGAATTGCCTTCTCGGAGCGAAGTGCGAGATCTAGTCCGCAGCCACATGCTGGCGGCGAGGCTCGCGAGGCCACGGGAGTTATGGGAGGATCTGCAGCCGTCAGCCGGACGAGCCCACGTGTTGGATTGAAGAGCTGCGGTTTGTCGCGAGTGGAAGGGCGGCAACGCTTGTGCAGACCCTCCTTTTGACACTCCGCGGACAATGGCATCCAAGTGCAGGTAGGATATTGCTTGGCTGCCGCCACCTTTCGTATAACCGGGTTTCACACGGTGTGTTCGGAAAGAAGAACGCGATGGACGTCGTTCTTGAGGTGAATCCCCGGTCACGTGTAGCGTGGCACTAGCGCGTAAGTGGGGCAACGCGCTCCAGCCACCATCTCGGGCATTTCCCACGTCAACCTTGCCTGAATGCTTCTCTCTGCCACGACATCCTGGATATCTTAGATGTCCACAACTCCACCCTGACGCGCATCCTGTTTCGTTTCTTCACCTGATCCACTGATCAACCCACCAAGCCACCACTCCCACCGCCAAACATCGCGAACCCGGTCCTTCCAAGCCCCTCCGAGTCGCCGTCAACCGCATGCCTCTCACCACATCAACCACCCAAGCACATACCCTCCCCATAGTCCTCCGAACGCCCCATGTCCCACACGTCTCACGACGTGGTGGGAAGCAGTCTTCGCGACTGTCGCTCTTGCACGACTCCCTCGGTCGCTCTCCATCATCACGATCAGCACCCTAGCGAACCTCACAGCACGGTATATTCGCAGGTGCTCCGCGGTGGTGGGGAACAGCCGACAGGAGAAGTGTATTGGGTTGCATGCGGCTTGTTTCTGGAAACTTAACCCTAAGCAAATTCTCCTCGGTTGCATCGCGGTCTGGATACCTCTGCCTGTCTTGTCTTGCAAGCATGCAGGGTGGAAAGAAGCTGCTGGCTTCTCTGATTAGCGCTCTCCGAACTCTGCCGACGTCTCGGCTGCGACAGAGGGAAGAGGTGTCAAAAGGTTGCTGGAATATCCGGTGCTTCCAAGCAGACCTCCTCCTCGAAAGAGCAGCGAGGGATGTGGACGAGCGGTAATCGGGTGGCTTTATGCGTCTATTAGGGAAGACCTTCGTGGAAGGCGCGCGTCAAGGCCACCTGACTGGACTCTATGCTCTGATCATGTTATGGGCAGCTTTGAGTGGAACTCTGGCCGGTCTGGAGATGCCGGACGGTTTGGGCGAGAGATACTTTGTGTCGGGCTTTCTCCATTCTTGAGATTGTCTTGAGGATCTTCACGTGCTGCCCATGGATTCAACGGACTCTCTGTACGACTGGCTTGCGGTCTGTTATGCTGGCTTTGGGTTGCACGAAGCAAGAGCTTGCTTGAGGGTACAACATTAGCATCTTCAGTGGTGTCTGTCGCTGGTGTGAAGGCTTTGACCGACTGCTGAACTTGAAAAGACGATGAGAAGAACATGACAGTTTCTTGGTCTTCTGAGATCTTGGCCTACACACAGACTGCGCGGCTCGCTCTACCTCCATCATCGCTTCGATCGACCTCGTCAGAAGTATGCTTTGTAGTATCAAGCGTATAGCGAGGCGATCCAGCTTACACACAGAGGGGAGCTTGCCGTGCGGTCACAACGGGCATGTCATAGTTCCCGCCCCTCATTTATCTTGCCAATTCAGAAGTGTCGGTCATTGCTGGATCGCTGCGGCAGGTGTTGCGCTTTCTCGCTGCGCTTTTGCTTTCGACCATTGCACTCGGAGTCGGTACGCACTCAGGACCACTTGCCATCTGCGGATATTCATCGCCATGAACTCAGAAGGCAGCGAAGACGTCCTGTACACCTCTCACAAGCGCTACGCTGCATCAGCAGAAAGCCAAACCAAACCCCACCCCCCCTCTCTGACCCAGGCCTATCCTCATTGCCCGTGCCACAGCACCAGCTACTGGCACGGTTCGCACTTTCTGCAGTCTCCTGCAATGCGATTGTCCGATCAGCCGCGTCAATCATCTCCGACCATTGGAGCTCTTACGCTCACGAATGGCCGTCGATCGATGAGCGCCGAATCCAACACCAAAATGCCTGCGCTTCCTGCTTCATGACGGGGAAGGTCCAGCAGAGCAGCCTCACCTCACACGTGAGAAGGCAAGCGGTTTTTGTAGATGTACTTTGTCCGTTGGCTCAAAATTTGCCTCTCCATGCTCTTGCCTCATGCCTGCAAGGGTGCGAGGTCTGAGCGGCGAGATGGAAACTAAAGACTTGTCTCTGAGCGGGAGTGCTTTGCTACACATACAGAGGGCATGCGGAAGACGACTTCTCCGAGGACTGGATCGACTGGTGTAACGACCTGGTGCGAGTGGGTGGTATTGATGTTGGTTTGTGGAGAAGACGGTGGAGATTTCCAGGCTGGTATTGAGGCAGGTGGAAGACGGATGATTGAAGTCTATTGACAACGGTTCTTTGGAAGCTTCAAGTCGATGCTGAGAGCTGGAACATTGGTGGAAACAGGATTCGTGGTCCTGTTAAAGGCTATTCGAAGGGCGTGGAGTCGGCGGTCTCAAGTCGTGGCCATGATGTGCAACTCGTGTGAGCTGGGTGGATGGCAGCTGGCTCCTGCGGTGCTTGAAGGCGACTGGGGCAACATTTGCGAGTGGGTGGGACCTCTCTGAGTGCTCAAAGCTTTGGCTTGTCTGCTCCTTGCAACTGCCGGTCTGCTGAAAGGTGTTGTATGAGTCTGCTGCTCTCTGACCAGCTTCTGATAATGTTCTGTGGCCAGTGATGAGGATGAGACTGCTTGATATCCGTCCAATGCTGAATGCGGGCTGCGGAGACTGTGGAAGCGATCGAAGGGCCCCGGCGACGACGAGCAGTCGACAAGGGGCCGAATTGTGCCGCCTCTCAAGCCTGCAAAGGGGAGAGAGGTGGCAGACACATCTTTTTTATACGTCCTCCCCTCGCCATCCTCGTCATGATCACGGCTAACTACGCAACAGATGCATCTCCTCTACGTCCCGAGCGCGAAAGCGGCCGCGCCGATGACATATATGGCCCAGAAGGAGCCAATGTACCACAGGACAGAGCGAATATAACTCCCTTTCAGCGTGTCGGTTCTCAAATAATTAATCGTATACAACACGCGAATCACCAACCAGCCGCCAGCAAACTCATTCAATCCACGTGAGCTGGCACCAATCTGCCGCTCCGCCAGCAGGCCGGCAAAGATGGCGGCGCAGAAGAGCGGCATGTTCTCGAGGTGGTTGCGGTGGCATGATTCGGCGCGCTCCCAGGCAGCAAACTCTTTCGCGCCCAGCCGCTTCTTCACGCTCTCCGTGTAGCTGGAGGCTTTGGGGTTGCGGTTGTCGTGGCGGCTCAGGTTGCCTTTGGAGGCGAGAACAACGGCGTGGCCGTGAGGCCAGATGGCGAGGATCCAATAGAGGATGATGGAGAGGAGGGGGAAGTTGGGCGTGGCCATGGTGGTGGGAGTTTCTGCCTCCTTTGGACGGTGCCGGGGTGTTGGGTTTGTTGATGATGACTGTTTGGGTTCGAGTTCTTTTGGGAATGAGGTGTGGTGTCTCGCAGCGGAAGTGGTGCCGAGCTCGTGGCTTGACCGTGGATCGTGCACGATGTTCCAGCCTCTTGATTTCTCGTTTCCGGCCGATGCCGGGATGCGGGGAGTTGGGGATGTTACCCTGTCACGACATGCATTGACAGGTGGTGTCCGGTCTGTCTACTGGTTTACTGCGACGGTGACGGGTTTGCACGAGCGCATCGTCCTCCATCCATTGCCATAACTCATCGATCAATCCGGGCCATCAAAGCGACAGCAAGCAAGCACAAGCGAGACCAGCTCCGTCCAGCTCGAAGCTCGCGCAATGCCCCGCGCCCCGCTATCGTCACCCTTCCCACTACCCCTCCAAAAGCTTCAGGCCGCATGCAGACAAGCTCGACTGCACGTCTCACTCGACTCTTCCTCGAGCCGCTGCACCACGCCACGCCAGTGGTCCACCGACCAGGTTCCCTGGTTATAGACTTTCTGCATGACTGACGGGCGGACGGTGATGCTATCAGGTACCCGGTTGGTTTGACGCACGTGCTCGCGCAGGTGAGAGCTCTCTTGTCCTGTTTCTTTTATCTCCGACTCTTCCCTCGGTGTCCATGCTCTCTTCCTCCTCTCGTCGGGTTGTCTTTTTCTCGATGACTGTGTAGACCAGTCGGGCAGGTCCTGTTTCAATTGCACTCCTCCCTCGTCGCTAGCAAGTCGACAAAGTCCACCACCGCACCCCCCACACCCAATGGCTCCCCTCACCGCCCTAGCCGCCGTCCTCTGCCTCTCCATCCCCCACGTCTCCGCCCAACTCAACAACTCCTTCTACACCGTCTGGTCGAGCGTCGTCTTCACCCGCACCGGCGAGCGCACGCCCGCCGTCTTCAACCCCAACCCCACCGTCCTCACCGCCCTCGGCGCTCAGCAAGCCTACGCCGCCGGCTCCTACCTCCGCTCGCGCTACTTGGGCCAGTATACCGGCAATGGCGTCGGCACGGCGCCCATCTTCGGCTTGAACCCCGACTCTGTCAATATTGAGCAGGTGTATGTGGGCTCGCCGGATTATCAGTACACCGCTGCTACTGCCCAGGCGTTTTTGCAGGGCTTTTATCCTCCTTCTAATACCAGCACTACGCTCTCCAATGGCACGCAGGTTCGTTTGAAGCCCCTCCGGCATGTCTATACCGATTTGCTATTCTGACGTCCGTCTGTGCAGGTCGAAGGCCCACTGGGCGGCTACCAGTATCCCCTCATCCAGACCTACAGCTTCAACGACCCCGAATCCGTCTTCCTCAATGCTCAAATCAACTGTCCGGCGTTTGACTATGTAATCGAGACTTACGAGGGTTCACAAGCGTTGACCGATCTTGCGGATTCCACCGCCTCTATATACCAGGCCGTCGGTGAGGCATTGCTGCAAGGCATCGTCCCGAGCAATGTATGGAGCGCCTACGAAGCCTGGCCGATCTGGGATTATCTCAATTATCAGAACAACTACGATGTCAACGTCTCGGCCGTATTGAGCTCGAAGGCGTTCTCGGATCCGGCGACGGGGACGCCGTATCTCGATCTTCTTGGTTGGTATGCGAGTGAGCTGATCAATGGGTGGTATGGTGAGTCTGCAATCCTCTCCACTCTCCTTCATATCACACCCTGCTCACCGCTGCACCCAGGCAACCTCAACGCAATCAACAACGTCACCGATCAAGACTTCTCCGCAGCCATCGGCAGCGTCTCCACCATCGCCGGCAACTTCCTCGCCTCGCAGATCCTCGGCCAGCTGCAAGCAGCCGTGCAAACGCAAGGCCAAAGCTACAAACTCAACCTGCTCTTCGGCGACTTCCAGCCCCTCATGTCCCTCTTCGCCCTCACTAGCCTAAACACCTGGGACAGCAACTTCCTCGGCATCCCCGAATTCGCCTCGACGGCCGTCTTCGAGCTCTTCTCTTACACCGACGGCACAGGCGACGCCGCCTTCCCCTCCGACCTGAACGACCTGTTCGTCATGTTCTACTTCCAAAACGGCACCACCGGCCAATACCAAGCCTACCCCCTCTTCCAGCTCGGCCCGGACAGCACCTCCCTCTCCTGGCCGGACTTCGAAAACGAATTCTACTCCATCATCCCCGGCACGCCAGCAGACTGGTGCACCGAATGCGGCGCCTCAAGCCCCTTCTGCCCCTCCTCTACCCCTTCCTCCTCCACCTCCTCTCAAAAAATTAGTCCAGCAATCGCAGGCGTCATCGGCGCCCTCGTCGCCCTCGTCTTCGCCGCCCTGCTCTTCGCGGCTTTCATGCTCTTCGCGGGCGTCCGACTGCATCGCACCCATGGCCGCCCGAATGATGCGGGCGGGTACAAGGGGAGTCGCAAACTGGCGTCGGATACGGATCTCGTTATCCCCAAGGGCGGAGCGGTGGTGAGTGCCGAGGAGACGCCGGGGAGTCCGCCGCGCGGCGGGCATGAGAGGGTGGGTAGCTGGGAGTTGAAGCAGAAGAGTGAGGTGGTGGATGAGGTTCATGATTTGGCGTGGCAGAGGCCTGTGGTGCCTGTTGAGAGGGTGTGATGGTGGGTAGGTGGTCATGTTCTTCTTTTCTGGGGTTTTGGCGTTGTCGTCCTGCTTGGAGGGAGTGGAGGAGTATTACGATGCGGATACCCATTTACTTCGTACGACCTACGCGACTCGCGCAGTTTACTTTACGTGCGGAAATATAGAGATGACAGTGAAGTGATGAATGCAATTCTTTCGATTCGTGCTATCATATCAGTGTACTGGATGCTTTCGAACCTTTGACCCCGCCAATCGTGCAGATATCAAAGGAGCTCTGCGGTCATCCTTTTGGAGCAACCATCCCGACCGTTCGTAGGCACCGCAAGACGCAGGCCGCAGCCACCCCCTCTGACTCCACAGCACGCCGCTCCGTGCGGTGAATGATGCTGCTGTTCATATCCTTCCGCCTGGCCCAGAGCCCATTCCCAGCACTTGCCCACGAGAACCATCGCATTGGCGCGGCGTCGCTTTCCTGCTCGCTCCACCTCTTGATCACGGGTTGCTTTGTGATTATTCTCTCAGGAATCTCAACCCTCCATCCTCGTATCAACCGCCTTACCCCCCTTGCCCGAAATCCAGAGCACGTTATTACACCTAGTGATCCCCAGTCAGCACCACCAATTCCTCTCCCAAAGCGCCGTCGAGAAAGCCGGCCGGAAACGCCCACGCCCAAGCCCAAGTGTGAAGCAACTCACCGAATCAACACCTGCCCCAAACTCCCCGTGCTGCGCCCATTGACAAACTCCTCCGCGCCCGACAGCTGCACGTTCATGTAGCTGTCCACCGACACCAGCCGGCCCGTGTACTCTGTTTGGCCCCATTTTAGGCGGATGGTGACTTCTTCGTTGACGCTGCTGGAGTGTTAAGAGTGTGTTTCTTCTGGATGAAGGGAGGAAGGGGGTCGAGGTGGGCGAGAGACGTACAGGGATTGGAGCATTGGTCGGGGGTTGAGGGGGACGAACTGGTATCTTTGTTAGCTTTTGCGCGGTTGGTGGGAATGCAGGGGTGGTAGTTGTGACTTACAGACATGGCTATGAAGGGTGTTGGGAGGTAATGCGCGCGGTTGCGTGTTGTGGGAGAGGATGCGCCGAGATACGGAGAGGTGTTGGACAGAGGTAGTTGGATGTAGACGTGGAGTTCGCGGTTTGGCAAATTTCGAGTCTCGCGAGCGGGAATTCCCGGCGGTAGTTGCCTCATTCGGTTAGGGTACGGCTGCGTCACGTGAACGGCTGCTTCACCTCAATAATGAGCAGTTTTGTCCGACTACGATTGCCAGCGACGTTCGTTACACTCGGAGTACTGAGATTGCATAGAAATAAGATGATACATATGAAATACATGACTCATCATACAATGAAACAGGTACATCCAATTCGGTCTCCAGTCTCCGTTCCAGAACACATTCACTTGTCGAATCGCATTCCCTTCACTGGCTGAGAGACGAGGGCAGGATCGCCAAATGCAAGTTGTGTCTGTCCGTCTGACTTGTCGTCGACTAGAACACCGTACTTGAGGGAGACTTCGCCAGCTTCAGCAGCCAGTTCGCGGCCGGTCGAGTTCGAGTTGTATTCCGCCAGCAGAGGAGATCTGAATGCCTGTGGAGTGTGATGTCAGCCGGATTCTCTCATGTTCTGCGAGCGCAGGACTGTCCTACCTTTGCAATCTCGAGTGGGGACAGCGACACAGGCCTTCCCATCCTCCACCAGCCCCAGTATGTCAGTGCGACCACGGCAATACACGAAAGTTCGATGAGCGCCGCCCCAAGGAACCAGTAGTAGGTGGTGTGGTAGACGCTCACCATTCCCTGTACGGCTCCATTGATGACGGTGTGTGGAGATAGTCCGGGGTCCATGTAATAAGTGTTGTAGTAGGCCGCATCATTGCTCGAAGCAATCGCACCTCCCAGGTACACCATAAGCCTGTTCATTCTGTTCACCAAAAAGTCGAAGGGGTCGCTGTATGAGTTGAAATAAGGTGAAGGTATGGCAAATTGCTGGGACAGTAGTCCATCTAAGAAAGGCTCGAGTGTTCCCGAGAAGCTACTGTCCCGGTAGAAGCTGACCAGCGAATCCATCTCTGTCTTCATCGAACTCGATATGCCCGCAAGCGTTGAGGGGTGGCCACCAACCGTCTTTGACATCGAGTTGTCGACGGCGGTGTTATTAGCAAAGGCGACGAACCTCGGGTTTTGCAACGACTCCATCACAATCTGGTCGTTTTCGATGGATATGTCGTATGACCCAATGCCGGAGCGAAAAATGCATGTACGGTAATGCAGAGTTCCGGTGCCGTTGTCTTGGATGTCCCCAAAAGCCGCAAAGACGCTGATTGATTCTTGACCGTTGGCTACGAGCCTCGTGGCTGTGGCGAACGAGTCCGACTCCAGCGGAGGAGTGGATTGCTCCGCGACAGAACTTGTGTTGGGATAGATAATATGAAAGTCAACAGGGAGACTTCCGGTCTTACAGTCCACTGGAAACATTGCAGGTGCCTCGAGCTTGGCCAGGCATCTGCCTGGACAACCTCGTATAACACCACCCAGGGGCGAGTTATATCTCCATTGGTCCGTAGCGTGATAGAATGATGAGAGACCAAGGATGCCTTGCACTAAATTGGGTGCCGTGCCATTGGCGGTAATGATGGTCTCGTTGAACACCAACCCGTTGTATTTGGCCCTGCCAGCCTGCGTTGTTGTCACCCAACCGCCGGTAGCTGAGTGAGGGATCTCCGGAGTCATTGTAACATTGAGAGGCACCATGGCGGAGCTAGGAACGGGAATGACACCAGACGCACGCTGGATCAGCGGGCCATCGACCACAACGATTGTGGAGCAGATACAAGCAAATCCGAGTAAGCCCATGCGACGACCGGCCGTGATCGCTCCTGCGGGTCAAGAATTAGCAACAGCCGTGAAAATTCAGTCACCCTCGAACGAGACTTTACCTCGAAGCATAAAGCCTGAGCGCCAGGATGTTTCGAGACGAGCGAGAGTACTCCCCTTAGAAGCACTCCGCCACCAGGCAATGAACACGCCCTGTATAGCGGCATATCGCATCGACATGTTGGCGATGGCGGTGAAGATGGCGATGTAAGTCGATGGAGGAGTCTTCCAACCATCAACACTCTGCCCGTCAGAGCCCGCCAGAACCCCCAGGCATGCGACAACAGAGGCTGCGGCGAGTAACATAGCAACGATGCCGGAGAGTGGTCCGAAGTACAAGAACGATGTGCGCCATGTCCGGGCTTCGGGTCTGTCATCGGACCGTTCAGAGTCTGAATTGCCGTTTGGTTCTGTTGCTTGTAAGGTCTCTCCTTTCGTGTTCGCGAAGTCTTTCTCGTCATCGACGCTTCGATGAGTGGCACTGGCAGGAGCCTTGAGATCCGCGGCGGAATCCATTTCGGATTGAAAAGAAGGGTAAGCTTTGGGAGGGGATCTGAGCACAGCCTTGCGAGTCGAGTCGGATTTGATATAAACCCATCCTCAAGACCCTCAACCACCCCGCCTTACTCAAGAGGAAGCTAGGGCAGGCCTTGATGTACTGCCGAATAGAGCTGCGATCGCCGTACAGATGTCACGGTAGCCATCGAGGCTGGACCTTACCGCATGCAGGGTGGCAGAAGTCTGGTTGTATCAAAGCCTTACTCAGCCTTAGAAGCTAAGGTATACGGGGAAGTTACTGCCGCTTTACACCCCATGGCGCCTCATGTTCGTGTGTCTACAAAATACCGCAATGTGTAGACCGAGTATCGCGGCAGCGCGCGAATCTGCACGCCGCGTCAGTTGTATGGCCGTGCGCTCGCCATCGCCCTCCCCTTCTCACACACGTTCTCACCTATGTTCTGCAAACTCTCGAATTTTGCTCCGTGGTTAGGAGAGGGTGTTCGCACTCACGACCTGCAAGCTCTCGAATGCTACTCTGTGGTCACGAGGTGATGAGCGCCACGACCTGCTATCTCTCGAAGACCACTGCATGGCCGAAAGGTGGCAATGCACCATCATCTGCTCTCGCGCAGCGGATGCCGGTCCGCGAGCATCTGGCCGCCACTCGGTAAGCAGAATCTACCACGTATAGTAAGCAACATAGTTCAAAGCCAAGAAGATCAGGCCGCGAGCAGCACGGCGCGGAACGGAAGTAGACTTTGCACTTTGCCCTGCATGTCAACGGCATCTGCCATGTGGTTGCAATGGCGAGTCGTGGAGTCCATGATAGGACGATGCCCGCATCCCCGTCGAGCTCCCGCTCGAGGTGGTGTGCATTCGACTCGGTTCATCGAAGTCTATCGCCATCATGTAAGCAAGCATGGAGGCAGGGACCAGGAAACCCCGGTCTCGAACAAAGATCAAAAGGGGCAAAGAAGTTGCGGGGATCGAAGTGATGGTCCCCGGCAGTGCGAGACTTCGTTCGGAAGTTGCAATGAGGAGTTCGAAGGGCTTTCAAATCGTCGAGTCAGTACACATTGGGGGGGTCTCGAGGTACCGATTCCGAGTACCCGCTCGGCAAATCGCCTCAGCTCAAGTGAAAGCAAGTGCCGAACACGACCCTGGGGTAGAAGAAGGCGCTTTCTTGATCTGTGGTGACAATTCGATGTCCCTCTGCGGGCATCTTCGCCAGCTAAGTATGTGTGCTTCATTGCAGGAGGCCGAACATCTCGACTTCATGGAAAAGGGAGTGCAGTCGGAACAAAGTTGAAACAGCCGACCACGTGTATGGTGGCAAACCAACAACATCAGGTTGACAGACTTCTGACATAATAAGGTGGCAATCCATCCTTGGTGTCGATGAATTCCAGCGGATCGTCAGGCGTTTCAGCGCGGAGGCTATCAGTACCTACGGTATTACATGCGCGGTACATAGGTAGCTTTGCGAAATCACATACGCCATTCGTTGGATCCATCGAGTTGAAATTTGGGATTAGCACGTGAAGGAGATCACAATTAACAACAGATGTGCCGTCCTGTGACGCGACCATGGGCAGATTGCGGGCCCGAGCCGCGTGTTGTCCACGGCGTGTCTAATCAATAGAACTTGAAACAGTATCGTATTTGGTCTCAGAGGGAGGTCTTCTTGATTCAGTGAAAAAGCAGAGCTTCGCCCATGATCTACAGCGCCAAGCAACATACAAAGTTAAGACAAGACTCTAATCTACTCCTTCGCCATCGCCCATGACCACGATTACAACACTCTAACCCTCAAACTCCTTGATACTCTCATTCCACTTGCCCGGCACGAGCGCCAGCGGCACAATGCCCGAGACGTGCATCTCCGGCCCAAAGACCTTCATGGTGAGCCCGAGCTCCTTGCCGACGGCCTTGATGTTCTTCAGGCCCTCCTGGTAGTTGGGGCCGGCGCGGCGCACCCAGATGTGCACGTTGTGCTCGACGAGCAGGGGCGCGACGTCGCGGAGCGCGCGGATGACGCCTTTGAAGGTGCTGGCGACCTGTGCGGGAGTATTAGCTTAGTGTATTTAATGGGATAGTAGCTGGACTGGCACTCACGTTGGTGAAGTTGGCAATGCCGCCTCCGATGAAGAGGACCTTGCCGTCGGGGTGTTGCGGGGCGCGCAGCATGAGGTCAAAGACGGTGCGGGCGTAGTGGAAGGTCTGCGTCTCCGTCGGCGCACCCGAGTACTCGCCGTAGTTGGCCAGCTCGGAAGCGAAGCCGGCGGAGGCAATGGCGTCGGCGTACACGACTGACGCACCACCACCGGCCACGAGGGTCCAGATGCGGCCCTGAGAGTTCAGGATGGTGAGTTTGAGGGAAGCACCGGTCTTTGCATCCATTTCAGCGACGTAGGCCTCTTCCTTGCTCATCTCGCGGCCGAAGGGGGCGGGGAAGTCGATGGGTGGGCCGGCGTCGATGCTCACTTTGCCGTCCTTGGGAGCACCAACTGGCATGCCGAGAGCGGCGGGCGAGCGAGCAACGGCCCATTTGGCACCGCACTCGAATTCAGCAGTCTGGTCGAGCTTGGCGGCGAGATCGAGGTAGTGGACTTGAGCGGAGGTGGCATCGGCGTTGGGGATGACGACCAATGGGTTGATTTCGAGGTAGGTGAATTGGGAGTCGACGTAAACGGCGTAGAGGCGGGAGATGAAGTCGACGAGGACGTTGTGCAGGCCCTTGGGGACTTGTCTGAGTAGGCCAGCGGCCAGCTCCTCGTTGCTGGGGAATTGGGAGAGGTCGACGGGGATGAGCATCTTCTCGGCTTTGGCATCGACATCGCCGACGTCGATACCGCCTTCGTGGTAGAAGAGGATCCAGTCGCCCTGAACACATTAGGTTAGTAGGGGTTTAAGCCTGACGGAAGTGTGCACAGTGCTTGCTCACCTCTCGGACAGAGTTGATGTTGATGTAGTATTCGGTCTCCTGGGGATGCGGCACAAACGGCTCAACAAGGAACGTCCTCAAGTGTCCCTCGACATGCTCGACCTTCTGGGCCTTGTTCGCTCTCGCGGCCACCCACTCCTTGGCCTCGGGCCATGTGGCATTGAGCTTCAGCAGACCCGACTTGCCTCGTCTCTTGATGAGCTGATCTGGCTTGGCGACGAATTTGGCACCGGGTGCGAGGAGGAAGGGGAACTGGGCCTCGGCGGCATCGAGGACGCCGTTGATGTCGTCGCCGGCTTCGAACTTGATGGAGGCGAGTTTGGCGGGAGGGTTGTGGGTGGATGGGGGCGGCAGTGGGGTGGGCTTGATGAGAGGAGCGCGGGTGAGGTGGTAGTTGAGGATGGCCTTGCCGTCGGCCTCGAGGATGGATTTGGCGGACATGATGGTGAGGGAGAGACGGTGGATGGAGTGGTGGTGATGGCAGTTGGGTTGTGCTGCTGCTGGCGATTAGTGGATGTCGTTTCTCGTGCAATGGGATTTTTTTGGGCCAGCAGTCGCAGGCAAGCAAAATCGCACCCCGGATTTTAAAGTGGGGGCATTTGGCAGTTGGGTCGCCCGAAAAAGGGCGCGAGGCTGACACTCACCAGTAATTCAATGACAGGCCACTCCTTGAAAAGCCGCGGATGGACAAGGGGAAAATGAATGCAGAACGTCGCTGGAATTGTTTACACGTCGAGCACGGGGTGTGCAACTGGCAATGGGTGTACAGTGCGGTGTGTGCCGGCAAAGTCGGACGGTGAGGTGTCCACGCCAAATCTTGTTGGCCATGCTGGTCCCTGGATTGAGCGGGAGGCTAATGCAGGTTGGGACCGTTGTCCGCCCCGCCCGCGGCGTGGATGACGCTGTTTCGGGCATGGTTGCTGCTGCGGCTTCAACTGGCCTTGCGCGCAAACACTGGCGCACCACGGCTAATTACGAGGTCTTTGCGGGAAGTGGAGGTGCAGCGAAGATGAAGCTGGTTCGATGGTGCCAATGCCAACACCTGTCCACTTCGTACACGCGCTCATTGGCAGTGCCTTGTGCAAGGCTACCGGTTGAATGCTCGGTCAACCACATGGCGGATTTCTCCCGGGGGGCAGCACGTGAGGAGCTTGCAGGCATCTTCCCGCACCCATCCATGTCGCCGCAAGGTAGACGTCTGCATCCAGCATTCCAATACATCTCCCAAGACAATGCCCCCATGCGCCACGGTATTGAACGAGCAGCGTCGTACGATGCTGACCACGAAATGTGCAGTTCACCCATCGCACCTTCCCCACACCCACCGCTTTGCCCGCTGCATTGGGATTAACGTCGGAGGTTGAATGGGTTAAGGTTTGCCGCGGCGCAGGGATCGGGCGAGCTGCGCGCATTCAACACGCCGTCAGCGAAAAAATGGTCCTGACGTACCAATATTGACGCCGGAATCTCCTCTCCTCACTGCCTCTGCCTCTGCCTCTGCCACCACCGTCGCACATCTCACTGCCTTTCTCACTCCTCCTGCTCTCTGTCCGTCTTGTGGTTGTCATCTTCTCTGCACCCTCCAAGCGAAACCTGCCCACCTGCCCACCTCCCCCCTTCCAGACCTGCTACAAACCTCACACCACCTCACAATGGCCTCGCAAGCCAACGGCACCCCCGCCGCCAATGGCGTGAACGGCATGAATGGCTCCCTCACCCCTCAGGCCAGCCTCTCTGCCGATGATAACATCAAACGCTTTGCCCCCGTCAGCCGCCCGCTGAGCCCCCTCCAACCACACACCCTCTTCCACAACAAGACGAGATGTTTCGTCTAGTAAGCATCCCCTGCACCTGGCCAGCTCCACCATACCCACCAGACACTGACCTTTGCTGTGCAGTGGCCTGCAAACACGAGCCGTCCAGGGCATGCTTGACTTTGACTTCATCTGCAAGCGCAAGACCCCCTCCGTTGCCGGTATCATCTATACCTTTGGCGGCCAATATGTCTCCAAGATGTACGCTCCCAGCTCCCCTACATTGCTGTTGGCCTCTTCTGACTGACACTCTCAGGTACTGGGGCACCTCGGAAACTCTCCTCCCCGTCTACCAGTCCACCGAAAAAGCAATGGCCAAGCACAGCGATGTCGACCACGTCGTCAACTTCGCCTCTTCCCGCTCCGTTTACACCTCCACCATGGAATTGATGGAGTTCCCTCAAGTCAAGTCCATCGCAATCATCGCCGAGGGTGTCCCCGAGCGACGTGCTCGTGAGATCCTTCACGTCGCCAAGAAAAAGGGCATCACCATCATCGGCCCGGCGACTGTCGGCGGCATCAAGCCGGGTGCGTTCAAGATTGGAAACACTGGTGGCATGATGGACAACATTGTCGCCTCCAAGCTCTACCGCAAGGGCTCCGTCGCCTACGTCTCCAAGTCGGGCGGTATGTCCAACGAGCTCAACAACATCGTCTCGCAAAACACCGACGGCGTGTACGAGGGTGTCGCCATTGGCGGTGACAGGTATCCCGGTACCACCTTCATCGACCACATGCTCCGCTTCCAAGCCGACCCTGAATGCAAGATCCTCTTGCTCCTCGGTGAAGTTGGTGGTGTGGAGGAGTACCGTGTCATCGAGGCCGTGAAGCAGGGCATCATCACCAAGCCCATCGTTGCCTGGGCCATCGGTACCGTTGCCGGCATGCTGACGACTGAGGTGCAATTCGGTCACGCCGGTTCCATGGCCAACTCCGAGCTCGAGACGGCCAACATGAAGAACAAGAGCATGCGCGAAGCTGGCATCTTCGTCCCGGATACCTTTGAGGAGCTCCCAGGTGTCCTCGCTCAGATCTACCAGAAGATGATCAAATCCGGCCAGATCAAGCCCGCCGCTGAGCCCGCCGTTCCCAAGATCCCAATGGACTACAACTGGGCCCAGGAACTCGGTCTCATCCGTAAACCCGCCGCCTTCATCTCCACCATCTCCGATGACCGTGGCCAGGAACTCCTCTACGCCGGCATTCCCATCACCGATGTCTTCAAGGAGAACGTCGGCATTGGCGGTGTCATGTCTCTCCTCTGGTTCCGTCGCAGACTGCCCGACTACGCCGGCAAGTTCCTGGAAATGGTGCTCATGCTCACTGCCGACCACGGTCCCGCCGTGTCCGGTGCAATGAACACCATCATCACCACCCGTGCCGGCAAGGACTTGATCTCCGCGCTCGTGTCCGGTCTGCTGACCATCGGTTCGCGTTTCGGAGGTGCTCTCGACGGCGCCGCCGAGGAGTTCACCAAGGCCTACGACAAGGGCATGAGCCCGCGTGACTTTGTCGATACCATGAGGAAGGAGAACAAGCTCAGTATGTCTCACACTCCCTTTCCCCGTGAACTTCACCCCTAACAAACCCCCCAGTCCCCGGCATCGGCCACCGCGTCAAGTCGCGCAACAACCCCGACCTCCGCGTCACGCTCGTGAAAGAGTACTGCCAAAAGAACTTCCCGAGCACCAAACTCCTCGACTACGCCATTGCCGTCGAGACTGTCACCACCTCCAAGAAAGACAACCTCATCCTCAACGTCGACGGCTGCATCGCCGTCTGCTTCGTCGACCTGCTGCGCAACTGCGGCGCCTTCTCCGCAGAAGAGGCGGAGGACTACCTCGGCAACGGCGTGCTGAACGGCCTCTTCGTCCTCGGCCGCAGCATCGGCCTCATTGCCCACTTCCTCGACCAGAAGCGCCTGCGCACCGGCTTGTACCGTCATCCTTGGGATGATATCACCTACCTCTTGCCTGAGCTTGGCAAGGGCGGTGCGCCGGGTGCCGAGGGGCGGGTGGAGGTTAATGTGCAGTAGAGCAGGGCGCTTGTGTGTTGGGGGGTTTGGCGCGTGTGTAATGATGTGCAGATGTTTTTTTTTGTTGCTCGTGGCGCTGGGCTTTTGTTTTCCCACCAGGGTCGCTTGCAGAGTAGACATGGGAGGGGAAAGGGATTGTACTTTTTCTTCCCCCTCTCCGCTACGACTACTTGTCTGACTGTCTTCTACCCGCGGGCGTGAGGAGGGCGTTGTATGCGATAGATGCAATTGTAGCGCAATTGAAACCGTCCAAACAAGACTTGCCTCCCTTTCTCATATGAATCCGACGCAACCAAGAAAAAGATCTACATCAAAGTAAAAGACAACGAATGTGATCTTTAATGAACTACTTTTCCTTTGCTCTCTACAGTAGTAGTACTGAACCTGCCCCCTTGGGAAAAAAGAAGCAAAAGAGAAAACACCTGTCACACCTAGTCATCTCTCCCGTGCGCCGGACCTCCCGTCTTTCGAAAGCAAAGTGTAATTAGACTCCATTGAAACAAGCAACGCGATCTGGTATCTGTTTGACGTGGGAATGAATCAAAGAAAGCCATCCCCCCGCGTCCACCTCCTTTCGCCGCAAAAGCAAGGAACACCATTCATCCGCAGAGAAAAACGATCGGGCGGAATCTCATCTACTTCAGAGTGGGATAAAAACGAGAGTAATCCCTTAGCAAGCGAGCGAGAGAGCATCGCAAACTCAGTAATCAATCTTCTCCTGGTAAATCGGCGGCCGCCCATCCTCCGCATCCCACACCACCTTATTCTTCTCGTCGAGGAAGGCGCCCTCGTCCGTGATGGGCGCCACGGCGCCCGTGTCCGCGACCTCCTTGCGCGACAGGCCCATCGGGTCCCGCGGGATCCACAGCAGCGGCATGCGCTCCGTAATGGCCGGGTTGAAGTAGGCTTCCTCCTCGACTTCGGCGTCGTAGCCGGGTGCGATTTCCTTGGGCACGAGGCGGCGCATGGTCGCGTAGTCGCAGTAGATGTGGGGTTTGAGGAACTTGGTGAGCATGTTTGGTTTCTTGTGCGGGGCGGCGGTGGCGGGGGCGGCGGAGGCGGCGACGGCTTCTTTTGTGCCGTTTGTGCCGTTTGTGCCGGCGCCGTTGTTCTTCTCGCCGTGGCCGTTGCCGTTGCCGGCTTCCATGTCGGTGTCGAGGTGCTCGCCGCGCTCTTCGGCTAGCAGGCGGCGCTCTTCCGCATCCATGGATTTGGGGAGGTACTTGAGGTGCGGGTCCAGGGCGCTGTTGAGCGAGAGTTGGTAGAGGGCGGTGAAGATGGTGAAGAGGATCATGAGGATGAGGGGCCCGATGGCGCCGACGCTGGAGCCGACGCCGATGGCGAAGAGGGCGATGAGGCAGACTTCGGCGAGGTAGAGACCGACGAAGAGCTGTTGCAGCGCGCGGGGGTAGATGAGGCCTTTGGTCTGGAGGAGGAAGGGAAAGTGTTAGTGATTGTCCAACGTGTAGTAGGGAGGTGATGTGTGCTTACGTCGATTGCCTGGTTGCCGACAAAGAGCAGGTTGTAGCGGTAGGCAAAGTAGAAGAGGTAGAGGCCAATGGCCGCGAAGCCGAGGACGAGAGGAGCAATGACTGCGTAACAGATGCCAATGACGAACAAGGTCGTGTAGACGGGGAAGCTGTAGCGGTTGTCAGCGGTGCTGCGTGGATCGAGCGGCAGTGTGCACAGAAAACTTACACCGTGCCAAAGCCCAGACTGGTCAAATTGATCCACCGTTTATACATCTTGCGCGGCGTCTTGTCGAGAATCTTGCCGAGGACAAGGAACAGAGCCAGGCCGACAACGTTAGCCAATCCCGAACCGACAAACGCCAGGCCTTGTAGGATGAAGTAGCAGAGGTAGAAGTTGCTTGCTTTGGGCAGGTCTGCTGCAAGGAGGGTTGCGGCACTGGCGGGGTTCTTAATGATGTTACCCACCACGGAAGAGGCTGCGGAACCGATGGTGGTGACGAGGAAGACTTGCACGACGTAGAAGCCGAAGTAGTAGTTTTGCGTCTTCAGCTCGACTGCGCTCCGCGTCGGGCAGCCGCTCACCTTGGCCATCCATCGCAAGAACATGGGAAGGACGGCCATGAGGACGGCGAGCAGGATGACGGGGAGAAGGCCAGTGACCACACCGAGCACGACCGTGGGGATGCTGTTGATGAATTTGAATGCCGGGATGACCTTGATGAGGTAGTTGACGTTGGAGATGGCGCCGACGAATGCGACGGGAATGGACCAGAAGATGATGAGGAGGACGACGATGGCCGTGGTGGCGAAGCCGCGGACAACACGCGAGTGCCACTTGATGCCGAGATTGTCCCAGAGAACCTACGAAGCAGCAACATTAGCGAATGGTTGTGTAGGCTTAGTATCGAATCGTCTTACCTCCGGTGGAGTCATGCCGGTGAAGCGAGGAGACATGTGCAGGGCCTGGTGGTGAGTAAGACTCTGGAATGCCGCCTGGGCCTCGGAGAGTGTTTCAAACTCGACAAAGACGGAGTTCAGCATCTTGCAGTTGCCGGCCTTCTCTTCTGCCTGCATCCTGTCGACTTCGGGGATGAGTTGCTTGAGCTCGTTGCGGCACCAATCGATGGTGTCCACTTTCTTGCCAATGAGCATCTTCAGGCGATGGGTTGGGCGGTCCTTTTGGTCGAGCCAGCGTGTTGCATCCGCACCCTCCTCGGTGGCTCCGGCAGCACCCTTCTTCTCCGCCTTGAGACGCTTTCCATTGGCGGTCTTGATGAGCGCGGTCTCGGCGCCCTCGAGTTTGTAAGCGGCCTTGTCGCGCCGGTCGACCTTGTCTTCCAGATCCTTGCAGTCACGTGCAAACCAAATGCGGCGAACGCCTTCGCCCAGCATGGCCTTGAGCGTTCCAGCGTGCATGTACTCTTCGGGGCTGAGATATTGTCAGTAAGTGGTCATGTGGACAGGGTACGAGAGGAATGCTTACACCGAGCAGTAGAGGACTGTGCGGGACGAGAGGCGCTCAGCGTAGAGCGGGGACAACAGGTATGCCTGACGGATATTGATGTAGTAGATGGACTCGCGCGTAATCATGATCAGAATGAAGCTGAAGAAGAGGATTGCGCAGCCCGCGTCGGCCCAGAACCTCCATTTATTCTTGACGTTGGCCATGGTGAGGATGTTGAACTGGGTCAGGCCATTGCCGCCCGTGGCGTGGACGGGGAAGAGGACGGGCCAAGTGATGACGCAGCCGACGATGCAGGCGATGACGGACATCTTGAGGAAGCGAAGGAAGAGGAAGCCATCGAGAGAGTGGTGGTTGAGGACGTAGGAGTCGGGGATGGCGTAGAACTGTTTGATCCAGCCGAAGAGGCTGCTCGAGACCCCGGGCGTGCGATCTTGAGGATTGACGGTGCTTACGAACGTTCGCGGGCGGTAGCTATGATTGAGAACCTGGTCAGCTCACGGTCGGGGTGATACGGTGGGAGGTATTGTCGGAGCACGTACATGCGAGCGAACTTGACGCGGAAGCACAAGAAGACGCTGAAGTAGACAGCAGCGACCGCGAGGACGGGAACGAGGGTGGAGACGATCTGCGAGGCCGACGAACCCTGCATTGAGCTAGGGTTTGTGTTCTGATTTGCGCCCTGTCGGAAGAGAAGCGAGTGCGGTCAGCGGAGGCGCGGAGAGATGGTGATGGCTGAATTGGCAGCACTCACCGAAGACATGGTGGGCAACGTAGCCTTGCTGTGCGCAAGGTCTTAGCAGTCAGTGCTGTCGATGCCGACGATACGAGACTGATGCTGCCGATTGAGGAGGAGTGAGGGAGTGAGAGGAGGCAGCCTCAGGGACGAGGGGTGAGGCGGTGGGTTAGTGATGAGGTGAAGTGTTGCTCTGAAATTTGCAGATGCGGACGGATTGACCGAGCAGGACGCGCCAGAGTACGTCAGTACACAGATGATCCTGTACGCGGGCTCCACCACACTCCCAGACCCAGTGTGCCAAACCCAGCTAGCTTGCTTGGCTCCGTCGTCCCAGAGAGTTTGCGGCGGCGGGTGAGAGATTGGATGAAACGGGCGCGCGAACGCGGTTCAAGGGTTCGGGGGGGTGCACGACGTCACGATCGGCGGCAAATTTGGCGGGAATGCGACTGGGGGGAAGAGAGCTCGTTTGGCTGACCGTTGCTCCTAATAGTCGATGGAACCAGAGATGATTGAGGATGATGGTTGAAGAGATGGATGTGATGGGGTGGGTGGTTCCAACGAGCACAGCAATGGTTGTACACAAGTTGTAGCCCGTCGTCAATGACAACAACATGAAACCGGGGGAAGGCACAAGGCTACATTATATACCGGGCGTGTGCGACCGTCAATGCGCGCCTGCACCGCACTGCACTGCACCACATTGCCCTGCGCCTTCCTCCCATACGTACACTCCCCTCTCGATTGGCTTCGTCCTGGCCCCTCCCGCAGCTCCGTGTGTAGCTCCATGTCGGCAGAGCAGGTGCAGGACAACGAGCGCTGAAAAGGAAAGCATAACCCAGTCCAACCTCCGCGCACCAGCCACAGCGCCCACCACGATCGCGGACATTAAGTTGGCCAGCGCGTCACAAAACCGGGCAGCTTTGCTCCCGCTGGGCGCTGAATTGGAAATTGGGCGCTCCACCGGCTGAGGCGCGGTGGGGTCTAGAGTGCAGGTCCAACTGTGGCGCGTGTCTAGATTGCTCGAATGGTGTGGCGAAGCGCGTCGCTACTCTCCGGTAGCCTCGTTTCTTTTTCCGCGCCTTCCTTTTGATTAGCTAACGGCCAGGCCAGATCGCGTTCCTTTCGCAGGCAAGTGCCCGTTTGCCTAACGAGCGCAGGCAATATTTGCGTTGCGGTGGAGGCGTAGTTCGGCGGCTACGAGATTTGCAGCGTTGCTGCTAGGTGGCACCTCCGAAGAGCCGGAGAGGCACACGCACGACGATCATGCGCATGGTGGAGTCATGATCACCAGCAGTCATCGCACCGACAGCCTTACGTATCGGCGACGCACGCGATCAGGGTTCGCTGCTGGAATCAGGATGCATCGCGATCCCCGCGCATGTGCTAAGCGAACGTCGTTCATCCATTTGATCCGTCGTATTAGATGGCGGTAAGCTAAACCACCCTGAACTTGCCAGATTGGTGCAATGGCTGCCGGATTGGTTGATGAATGCTGGATCAGATCGACATGATTACATCCACTCGGCAGCGGCAACGTCTCCCAAACGCTGCTCGGGCCTTGCATATGCAGCCTTCCACCCCCCGTCAATGCACCGGCTCACTCTGCGCAGCACGCGCTCGCCGCCCATCAGTTGCCCGAACCGCTCAATCCGCTCTGCAGAGCTCATGTGCACGAAAGCCGCGAGACCATCAGAGACCACCTCCTCGCCAGGCCCGCGCCAAGTACTGCCCAGCACCCGCATCTCGCTGAGAATTGCCTGAGCCGCGGAAGCGTTCAACCCGGCTACGCGAAGGAACCGCTCCGACGAGCTCTCGTCCTGCAACGATACACCTCGCGTCGCATGCCGAGATATGGCCGCTGCGATCCACGTCGAGAGTGCGTCGTCGCCTCCTGCAATGTAGTAGACTTCGATGTCGCTGCCCAGTTGATGTCCGAACATGGTCAACTCTGCAAGCGCTTCTGCGTCCTTTTCATCCAGCTGCGCTGCCATCTGCTTGTCGAACCCATCTCCGTTGTGCCGGCTGTCGCTCACGAGAACGATGACCTGTTCGTATCGTGGTGCCACTGCACTGATGCGCTCACGAACCCCCCAGAAATTGCCCTGCCCGGGTAGACTTCTCTGCTTCAGCTTCTGGACGGTGGTCAGGACTACTCCTACACTTGGTGATATCGTAATGTCTGCCTCTTCATCCTGTACATATTTCATCACTCGCGAATCGCCTGCTGGGCCGAGGTTTGTTCGCTCGACAAAGTCCACCATCGGTAGACGGTCTTGCACTGCCCTTGCCACGTGCCGGTCCTGAAGGAATTTCACTGACACCACTATCGAGGTTGCTCCGAGTGACTCGATGTCCGGCATCGCGAATTGCCGCCTCTTCGTCTGATCTGCTGGAGGTTCGTCGTGTTGAGTTTCAACCATGACTGCCAATGGTGCACACGGTCTTGGAGCAGGCGTCGGCAGGGCTGACACATTGCTTGTGTTGCTCGAGCGCTGGCCTTGCAACTGCATAAAGCTTGACAGTCCAGTCAATGGCGGAGGACCGCGTGTCGTAGTGATTCCAAAGTCGGGCCTTGAAGATGTGTCGAGGGTTGTGTCAACTTCAAGCCGCTTAGCACGATGCTCGAGATCTGCTGCCTTCTCGAGCTCGAGTTTGCGCTTCTTCAACAATGTCTGCATGTCCATCCGTACAGCATCGGGCTTCGCGGAGCTTCGGACGGTCAATGTGTTCGGTGGCGGTGGCTGTATCGCCCGAACTTGGGTGTGCGGTACAGACATCGGCGGGTCTGCTTCTGCCACGTCTATGCTTGCAGCTTCCAGCTCGTCGTAGTCGGAATCTTCACTGTCGAGTATTCGCAGCCCCCCCTTTTTGGGGACGAGAGATGTGACATCAAGCTCATCTTCGAAGGTGAAGAGAGATAGATACTCCGTCAGCGCAGTCTCATCGAGACTCTCGTCGTTCTCGATCTTCCCCAACCGCGAGGGGAATGCTTTCCACGGTAGAGAACGTTCGAGTTTCGAGACACCACTCCATCTGGTGCTGATATCTTTGCCCATTGCGTTTACGATGAAGTTTCTGAACCAATCGTTTCCATACTGCGTCGCCTTCCAGGGAGCAGAGAGCGTGACTTGATCGACAGGAGGAACCTTGACTCGCATTGTAGTATCGATCTCCACCAGCTGCTCGTTTTCAGTCTGCTGCACCACCCATTCGGCGAAAGGCATTGTCACATTGGCGATGAAATCGTCAAGATCCTCGTCCAGGTCTTCCAGTCGTATATCGTCGTCGGCTTCCGGCATAAGAGTGCTCAATGTTGCTGGAACAGCGACAGCCATCGTGCCCGGCGGCGAAACTTCTGGAGACTCGGCAGGAAGAAATGGAGAGTCGAGTTTGAGACGGTGAAGTGTTTCGCCTTGCAATGGAGTAGATAGGCTTGGATCGGACGGAATCACAGGCGATGTGTATGGAGACGACCAAGATTCCCGCTCCATGATCTGACGCTCGAGGTCTGCTGCTTCGATCGCTGTATGATCATCAGGAGTTGATGTGAAGACCATATCGCCTGCAGTTCCTTCAAGCATCTGAGGGGCTAGATCTGGGGACATCGGCAACAGGGGCGGGCTCAATGACCTCGCTTGGAGAACCTGGACCTGGAGACTATGAGCAATGGCCGAACAAGGAGATGGGACAACTTACCGTGGCTTGATCTGGAAGACTCATGAAGTCATTTCCCTCATTCGAGCACGCCAGGTCCATGCAATCTTTTATATACTTCAGCGTGTCGGAGTGAATCTGGAGTTTCTCGCCGTTGACAGCCTCAATCGCTCGGTGTTGCATTTGCTGCTCCGCGGGCGACCAAGCGAAGCTCTGGCCCTTGTCTGGCTGCAGAACAAATGGCTTCATGCCTCGCGAGCTGATAGTTGCTACCTGCCGTCTTCGTAAGCGCTCCAGCTCCAGCTCCGGGTCGGTCGATAAAAGGGGCTCCGTGAGTCGAAGATTGGCAAGTCCGTCATCTTCACCCGCCTCTACCATGCAGCTGGTCTCGGTCAAAGCTATGATTGAAGCAAGGAACTGAGCAGTGCCTCTGTCCACGGCCCATTTCTCGCCGATGACCGCGTTATCGTGTTCGCAAGAGGTGTCTTCGTCCGAGCACTCATCATGTGACAGGCTCGCACGAGCGGCAGGAAGGGGATTGCGGGCACGGTGGTTTGCGACCAGTTTGTATCTCCGAGCGTACTCCAAAGGCGTCAGATCTTCATCGTCGCGTTCTTCATCGAGGTGAATGCCGCTGTTCAAACGCTGCAAAGTGGATTTGCACGTGCCGGGCTTCGAAGCGCGTTGCACAGGCTTCCTCATCTCGATGGGCTGGTTTGAGTGCCGGGCGGCGGTGCCCGAGATCTTGCGTGCCATCAAGGCATTGGAGCAGCAAGAAGCAAACGAGGGAGTGGAGAGTAAGACAATGGAAAGAGGTGAGGTGAGGTCGTGATAGCTTGGAATTAGGCATCTACCTCTGAGTCGCGCCTTCCTCATATTGCGAGTTCTGGACTCATCGCATCTTGGCGGAGCACCGCGGTGTAAAGAACCGCCGTTCTAACGAGTCTTTCATACCTTTGATTTGCACTGCATAAGATGCTAGACGTCGTAGCCACCCATAAACGTTTCTACGCGGCCTGCAGGGTGGATGGCCATTACCAGGTAGCTACCAAAGCATTCGGACAGGGGCACAGAATCGCGGAGACGACCTGGGTGCGACAAATGCGGAAGCTTTGATCGGAGATCGCGAACAAGTCTATCGCATTTCGTATGTGTTCAAGCATGTCGTCTTTCCCAAGGCGTCATGCATTTTCATTTAGGCAAACGCGCACGTGACGGAGATCGGCTTTTCTTCGGGCCGGCCCAAATCTTGCATCTTCCATCTCAAGGAGTGTGCAGATCTGCTTCATCTTCAACTTTTTGCCTTTCAATCCTCTCCTTCTATCCCTCCCTTCACCTTCCGTTCGTTGTAATCGCGGAGGTGGTGAGCGTGTGCACACTTGTGGATGACAGGTGTAAACAATGCTCACCAGAAATGCGGTTCGCCGACAACAACGCTACACAGCTAGCAGTCTTGCCGCAGCTTTTGCACAGCTCAATTTGCCTTGGCTAGCACCGGCGCAAGTGCAATGGCAGGCATCGCATGCCACCCATACCTCGACCGCTCCTCATAGCCCCCGACGGCGACGATCATCCGCTTCAAAATCCAGCGCACCGAGGACACGTGCGCTTGCCACCGCGGCCGATCAGTACTCACCTCGCCATGCTACCCTCTATCCGCCACCCGGCTACGACAATGCGTTCCGCAACTCGAATCAGGATCGCAACATCCCCTGGGATGCTTCGCCCCAATCGACATCCAAGCTATCGAGCCTTCGGCCGGCAAACGACCCGATCATCCTTGACTGGACTACAAAGAGCCCCGATGCGACTGTCAAAGTTTCACATGGTATTCAGGGAACAGCTGTAGACTTGTTGCAGCATCTCCATACGTTTCTGCAGATTGGGAGGACCAGCACGGCCGAGGTCATCATCAAACGAATCGCCGAACTCTGTCCGACCACTTCTGCGGAGCTCCTCCACGCGCACACGATCTATCTCGAACATGGCTTGCGACGCATGTCGCGCATCGGGATGGATCAGGAGGAACGCGAAGAGCAATGGAGACAAATGCAGAGATGGTTTGATGGAGAAGTTCGAGGGAAAGATACTTTGGTTGATGCGAAATTATTGGTGGTCATGATCCGGGCATCGCTACGAGCATTGACTGGGCCGCAGCTGGAGACAATTGTGCACAGCTACGTCTCCATGGCCGAGCAGCTCGACGAGGAGGATTATTACGAGGTGCTTGAGTCGGAAGAGTATGACGACTCGGAGTTTGCGCTTCTGACTGAGTTGCTCGAGGGCGAGGCGGCAATCGCTGAGACCGGGGCTCCCACAGCTGCATTCGAGCCTCTTCGGGATGGCCAACGTCCACAATACCGCAGGAGCGATCCCTTGTCGATGGAGCAGCTGCCAGATGTCCGCCCCACCGAACAGCGCGGTGGTGGACTAGCCGATGTCAAGCGGTCTCTGCAAGATCTACGAGCCAACCCTTCTCTCTCCGCCGACGCAGCCATAGAGGAGCAGCATGAAGCGGCATTCAAGCGTCAAAAGATACTCGAGGAGACCGCGGTCGAAGTGGCCGTTGATCGGTGGAGGCGAGCTGATGAGGAACTGCGGCGGATCGGAATACACTCTGCGTTGCAAAGTCGACCTGTGAGCGCGCTCATGTGGCAGTGGTACTCCGCTCTCCTGCCGTTGCTTAAGGCGGAATTGCTCGAGTGCAAAAAGGCCTTGAGCCAGCCTGATAAAACCGACCACGATCGATACCACTATGGCCCATACCTGGAGCTCTTGCCACCGGAGAAGATCGCAGCCAGCACCATTTTGTATGTTTTGAACAGAATGAACGGCGCCAAAAGGAACTATGGAAAGGCGTACGAGACGGAAGTCAAGCTGGGCATGCTGACCATCGGGCTGGCGAGAGAGATTGAAGAGGAGTGTATGGCCGGATCATCGAAGCAGAACAGGCGTTTCGGAAAGCACCACTCTCGAAACCTCCGCAAAGGCAAGCAAAGCAAGCAGCTCGCGAGCGACAGCGGCAAGAAGATGTCAAAGGCTGAAGCACGGAGACAAACACTGCTTGGACAGCTGGGATGGCCCCTTGATGCCAGAGTCAAGCTTGGCGCGTTCCTAGTTTCAAAGCTCATCGAGTCCGCGCAACTGCCAGTGACCAGAAAGCATCCAAGGACGGGAGAGACGGTCACCCAGCTGCAGCCAGCCTTCCTACATCGCACCAAATTCGAGAAGGGAAAGCGACAAGGCCTTGTTTGTCCCAATCCGGCACTCATGGAGAAGATCGTGAGCGAACCACTAGGCGGCCTACTTGCGAAACGAATGCCCATGCTGGTGGAGCCCAAGCCGTGGAAGGGCTGGAATGAGGGCGGCTACCTCCACTACTCGAACCCGATTCTTCGCCTGCCCAGTGGGGACCGGAGCGGGAAAGACTACTTCATCGCTGCAAATAAGAAGGGCGACATGAGCCAGATATACGCTGGCCTCACTGCTCTCGGGTCGGTGCCATGGAAGATTCACCACGGAGTGTTCAAGGTACAGCTGGAAGCTTGGAACTCGGGCGAGGAGGTTGCAAACTTCGCCCCTCTTCATCCAGCCCTGGACGTGCCGAAGCTTCCGGAAGCAGCAGATGGACAGACTCGACGGAAATGGCTCCTGGAGATGCGGGAAGTGGAGAACAAACGCTCAGGCTTGCACTCGAAGAGGTGTTTCCAGAACTTCCAGCTTGAGATTGCGAGGACAATGGTCAACGAGACATTGTACTTCCCGCACAGCCTGGACTTTCGTGGACGAGCGTATCCCATCCCACCGTACATGAACCACATGGGTGCCGACAACGTTAGAGGCTTGCTTGTATTTGCTAATGGCAAGGAGCTGGGACCGAATGGATTGAGGTGGCTGAAGATACACCTAGCTACGGTTGCAGGTCATGACAAGGCCAGCATGGCAGAGCGTATCGAGTTCACCATGTCGCACCTCGACGACATCTACGACTCCGTGCGCAATCCACTCAACGGCAAAAGATGGTGGCTCAAGGCCGAAGACGCATGGCAGACGCTCGCAGCATGCTATGAATTGACAGCAGCCCTCGACTCGCCCGATCCGACCAAGTTTGTGTCACATCTTCCTATCCAACAAGACGGCACTTGTAATGGACTGCAACATTACGCCGCACTCGGAGGAGATCCCGCGGGCGCTGCACAGGTCAACCTCGAGCCCGGCGATCGCCCCGCTGATGTGTACACTGCGGTCATGACTGCTGTGGTAGACGAAGTTCGCAAAGACGCCGCAGCTGGGAACCTCATCGCACAGAAGCTTGATGGCCGTATCACGCGGAAGTGCGTCAAGCAGCCCGTCATGACCAACGTGTACGGCGTGACGTTCTTCGGTGCCAAGGAGCAGGTGTTCCGGCAGCTGGAGGTCTTGTTTCCAGAAGTCAAGGCGTTTGATGCCGTGAATCTGGGGAACATGTCGCAGTACATCGCCACCAAAATCTTCAAATCCCTGGGCGAGATGTTCGAAGGCGCGCAAGCCATTCAGCATTGGCTGGGCGTGTGCGCCGACCGCATCTCTACTTGCATCACCCCACAGCAGATTGCCGACCTCACCAAACTCGCAGACGGCGAGATGGCGAAGAAGGCCGGGTCTACGAAGGATGCTGATGCCAAATCCGACGCCAAACCAACCACCAAAAAGAGAGCCAAGAAGCGGAAGGAGACGTCGCAGCTGGAAGCCCTCGCTCATCAATCTACAGGCACCAGTGCATCCAACGCTGCGCAGACCAAGACGGCGAAACCCTTGTTCAAGTCGACTGTGGTATGGACGACCCCTCTAAGGCTGCCCGTTGTTCAGCCGTATCGCAGCCTGGCCGTCCGCCCGATCCAAACCAGCCTGCAACGCATTCAAATCTCGGATCCTCAAGTCTGGCATCCCGTCAGCAAGCGCAAGCAACTGCAGGCCTTCCCGCCCAACTTCATCCACTCGCTGGACGCCACGCATATGCTCCTCAGCGCGCTCAAGTGCAAGGAAGTCGGCATGACGTTCGCCAGCATCCACGACTCCTTTTGGACGCACGCATGCGATGTCGACAGGCTCAGCATGATCCTCCGCGACGCGTTCATCGAAATGCACAAGGACAACGTGGTGGGCAGGCTGCGGGAGGAGTTTCAGACGCGCTACAAGGGCTGCATGTACCTCGCTTCTGTCGTGGCGAACAGCCCTGTCGGAAAGAAGATCACCAAGCTGAGGAAGGAAAAGCATCGGCAGATGGGCAGTGGAGAGCTGGCGGCGGAAGTGGAACGCTTGCGTTTGCTCGACAGCGCGGATCCCGAAGAGCGCAAGCGCGGCGAGGCTATGGTGACACCCGGCAGCGTTCTGGCGAAGTTTGGGGATGAGGCGATCGCCGAGCCGGAAATCAGGCCGCATCAACTTGGCACTATTCTAGAAGGCAAGGACAACGCGGCGGATGGCGAGTCGGATCTCGTCGCCGCTGCGGAAGACGACGGCACGGCCGCCACGAACGCGAGCGCGGACGAGACCACACAAGCGTTCGAGGCTCAGGATGCCAGTGAGCAGGGCGGCGAGGGGAAGCCGGCTAAGCCAAAGGCTCATACCTTGCGCAAGCTCTACGTCTGGCAGCCGCTTACGTTTCCTGAGGTGAGTTGAAGATGCTTTCTGACGTTGGTGTTTTTTTGATACTCGCCGGCTTTTACTGACGGTTTTGCAGATCCCGCCTCGTGGCAGCTTTGATGTGCGGAAGATTCGCGATAGTGCTTATTTCTTTCATTGAGTTTTGGAGCATGGCATAGCGAAGGTGTCTGAACGGGAGCATAGGGATATCCCGATAGGTGCCATGTGCCCCTTAGTGTATTGTATGTACGATCAAGACCGTCGATCATCGAAGCCAACACCTCCTCGTGAGTCCTTGCTTGTAAGCGAGTCTTTGGGCCGAAGAAAGATGCCATCTCATCTGCCTGATGCAGGGAACGACCTCGTATTCTGCACTTCCAACGAAGAGCTCCACGCACGATGCAGACGCTGCAGCTCCAGCGTGTCGACACGATCGCTTCGTACAGCGTGCTCGAGAGCTACGTGCCTAGTCGAGGCGCGGACAGCATTCTTCTTTCCTTTGCTGGCAAATGCAGACACTCTCGGGCTGCCGCACTTACCGGATGGGGAAGTTGCACCAGCATATGCGGGAGCTCACGATGGCCCCTCTCATGTTCGATGCGTTGACTTTACGACCTGAGTTATGCAGGGCAGTGGAACGGATGGCGGTGTGTATAAAGATGCTGCTGGTCGCTGTTAGTTTCTTATTCCGTAGCTACCATTTTGCCCACGACTTTCCCAGCTCAATTAGCAAGGCTGCATACCTACGCAACATGTCTACGCGAAAACAACACGCCCTCATCCACCGCGGAGACTTCAATGCAGAATCCCGCAAACACCCCGTGCTCCGCTGGACGGAGGAACTGATCGAATGGTTCGACCAGCCGGACCACAGCAACGCCGGCGACTTCTTCGACGATGACTACTCGGTCAAAACGCCGGACGGCGAATACTGGGACGACGGGCTGGACGGATACCAGCAGGCGCTCGTCAAATTCTACCACGACCCCTTCCCCACGTACAAGCATTTCCCCTTCACTATCATCACGACGGAGCTGGAGGGCGGCAAGGGGCACGACTTCTTCGGGCATTTCGATTTGTATGTCAACCTCAAGGGGACGCCGGCGAAGGGGGAGAAGAAGGTGAGCGACCATCATGGGAAGGAGTGGGATGCGCTGGTGCCCATATTCTATCATTCGGAGCTGATTCACGTGCCTGGCGCGCCTCATGATGGGATGAAGCTCGGGCACGTCAAGATCTTCAAGGATACGGGCGTGGTGAATGCGTTGCTTCAGGCGCGTGGCGAGAAGGGGATCACGGCATAGGTAGTCGAGTGTTCTAGAAAAGCTACTGCGGACCGCCTACTAAGGTAGCATCGGGGGGGGTTCAGGATGATGACACGCGTTTCTTTCAATGATTGATTGAATGACTCGACCAAGACTCTCCCTTTCAGCCTTCTCGAGAATCAAGCATTCGTAAGCTCCGGCAGGTGGTCCCTTCCCCACACCCTCGGAGCAAGCCAGAGGCGAATTTTAACCAATCGCGGCCCTGCCAGCTTTGACATTGGGGTTGGGGCGGCGGGGAGGAGCGGGCGCTAGAGAAGTGGCTGCAGCCCGCTGGACGATCATCCGTGGGGGTTTCTTGTTCTCGTTTCCGCGTCACACCACCTCTTGCCTTATTGCTCGCCCCAATTGTTCGTTTGCTTGACATCTTCCCATTCATCTTCCACCCAGCTCTCACCCGACGTCTACCGTCCATCACCCGCTCTTGCATCTTCACGGCCGCGTGAGCTAGTGCAAGGGCCAGGCAGGTAATGACGCTTGACGGAGCAAAAGCAACAAAGGATGGCTGATGCAGTGGCGATGCCTGAACGCCGAAGGGGCGGTCTGAGTCGGGTGATCTCGAGGATCAAGCGCGCGGCGAGGAGGTTCAGCGATGCTCGTGGAAGTGGACGCGGCCGCAGCGATTCGACGAGATCTGATGATGTTATGCCTCGTGCACCTTCGCCGCCACAACAAACCACGGATGAAGACTTACTAGCGGCCTCGGCGGCACCTGTGTTGCGTCATGAGTCTGTCGATGTTCAGCGAGTTCCGGCTACAAATTCAGCGCCTCTGATAGAAGATACGGCAGCAACTCCCGCAGTCCCTCGCGATCACAACTTGCCTCCTGAAGCAGGCAACGACAATACCGACAACAATAACGCACCCTTCACAACACCCGTACGAAACACCAGAGACCACTCAACACAAACAGACGTAACCCTCGAGCGATATGGGACAGCATACGCAGAGGGTGAGCCGACTGACATTGAAGAGAAGGCAGCGCGTACAGGCGAGCAGAAGGACTCCGCTGTTGTGCCCGTGTCCGCGGCCTTGTCGCCTAACAATGCTCCAATGGAAGAAGCGCAGGCGCCCCCTGTACCCCTCAGAGACTCGCTCGAGAAAGATGACGACGGCGCCGACGACAACGATCCCTATATCACGCAGTTGCGATATTCTGTCCGTCGCAGCTCTCGACCTGTGATACAACTGGTGCTCCGGCCTAAGATGGGCGCGACAGACGGCAGGCTGGGGATCTACGAAGCCGACGGCGGAGATGGAAAGCTAGAGCGCGTGTACCGCAGACCGCGGCAGCGCATCCGCTGGACCTGTGACCGCTGTCAGACGACGACCGCGGCGAGTAAGACTAAGAGATGTGCGGTGTGTGGGCATGAAAGGTGCGAGGATTGCGTTCGATCTCCGTGAGTCTGCCCCGTGCCTTCAGCGGTCTGGCAGAATTGCATGCTGACTGGCGTTCGAAAACACAGGCGCAGAAAGACCGCCGCTCACACCGCTGCACCAGTGGTGGGCCAGGTGCCCCCGACCAATGCAGTGCCTCCCATTTCGACCATGTCTGTTGCGCCGGGATGAGATATCTTAACGACCTCGAATGACCCTCATGTTTGTGACTTTCAGCGTGGGTCGCGACTTATGATTATGAAATAGCTTGCTGGACATCACCATTGATGAGAGGCTGATATGGCCCTGCAGTTAATTGCTTTACGTACTCGCCAGGAGTAGCCTAATCCGTGGTCTGGCCGACCATTTAATACTCATTACCTACTGCATTTCCCAAGCATCGCTCATGTCCGACCGATGCATGCTTACGAGACGCCTCCGACTCGTATCGTGTCATGTGCCTGCCCGGATTCGGTCTGACGTTGCCGAAGGCGGCACACGTGAGAGGCAGCAATGGCCGGTTTGGGCCTAGTCGGGCGGTCTCGATGCACGTCGTCCGGCGAGCGCGTGGAAATTTGTTTTTGGGGCGTTCGCTTCATCAACTCTTCATCAGCCGTAGCTCGCCGGCCGGATGCCACGGCGCATGATCGCCGGCGGATCAGAGGTCTGGCTTAGAGCAGAGTCGCGTGCCCCCGGCCAGGCACATTTGCTGACCTTTAGCCTGACCGCCCCACGTTCCACCAATAAGGTGGGGTGAAGCTTGCACGGTCATGGCTGCAACCTTTTCTCACATTCTTCACATTCACCTTTATTTTCTTCCTTCTTTGACTCTCCCGTCCCTCATTCTTTGTGTGTGTCTTTCGGATTCACGGGATTTCATGAGTATCAGAAGCATCATCCCAGGGTATTGACACTTGTGCGTTTGCCTATAACATGGCTACACAACTGTCTCTTCCGCCGTGAGGATCTCGCCCGCTCGCTCCGACTGCTCTGCTTGCCTCGCTCTCCTTCATTCCAACTAGGCTCTTCGGACCTCGCAGGCAAGATGAAGTTCGGGCAGAACCTTCCCAGAAATCAGGTCCCGGAATGGGCGCGATCGTACATCGACTACAAGGCATTGAAGAAGTTGATCAAAACGGCCCAAACCGCCATTGACGAGGAGGAAGAGCCGGATCTCGCAGGTACAGTCCCACCTGGCAAGGCTGCCAGGACGTAGTTAATGACCCCTTCTAGGCTTCTTCTTTACCCTCGATCGCCAGCTGGAAGATGTGGACACCTTCTACAACCGCAAGTATGGAGAGTTTGCGCGTAGACTGCGCCTCTTGTACGACCGGTATGGAATGATTTCCAAACTCCCAGACGGCATGGAACAGCAGGATATGGAGGACCTGATTGGCGCGTTGTTGGAGCTGCGCGGCCAGTATCGCAAGCTGCAGTGGTACGGCGAGGTCAACCGCAGAGGCTTTGTCAAGATCACGAAGAAGTTGAACAAGAAGATACCCTCCTCCACCGCGCAGAGTCGCTACATGTCCACCAAGGTCGACCCGAAGCAGTTCGCCACGAATGGCAAGCTCACGCAGGATATGCGTGCCATCAACGAGTGGTTGTCGAGCCTTGGGGATATCCACGTGGCCGACGATGCGGACTCGGTCCATTCTGAGAGCTCGCGATCATTGCGGCGGATACCGTCGGTGGCCAGGCTCAACCTATCTTCGAGCAGTGTGGATGCCATGGAGCATGCCGTCAAAAAGGACAATCTCGAGGGCCTTGAGACTCTACTGTCTCTGATCCCTCCCAATGCAGCCAGCGATGCTCAGAAGAATCTGCGACTGGATCTACTTCAACGTGCGATCACGTACAGATCGATGCGCTCGATTGTGTTCTTGCTTCGCCAAGTCTCGTCAATCGACCAAGAAGACGACATGAACAAGCGCAATTGTTTGCACCGCCTCGTCATCTCCATCGGCCGGACGCGAGTGATGGAGCTTTCGGGTGACGCAGAAAAGGCAGCGGGAATCGCCAAGTCCTCGATCTACATCAATGCCGCCGAAGCGCCCGTTAGAGCACCTGGCTCCTTCAAAGTCGAAGAACGAGATCCTAATGCTGATGTTGGCAAGGATGAGCAAGCAGAGCAACTCCTGATATTCGTTCTGGAGCATCTGTCCGACTGCCAGAAGCCCGGGATTTTAAGCAAAGACAACTACGGACGGATGCCTCTTCATTACGCCGCGCAGTATGGGCTAGTGGCCGTGAGCCAGGCTTTGATGAAGTACATGCAAGACTGGGATCTCTTCGATGTGTCTGATGGTGTGGACTCGGCGGTCTGGCAAGATGCGGATGGTTATGCTCCGATCCATCTGGCGGTGGTTAATGGCCACTACCGGACGGCGAAGGCTCTTCTGCATCTGGATGACCAACATCAATTCCTCGACCATCGATTGACGAGCAAGCATGTGGAACAGAGCGGCGCGTCTTTGGCCTTGGCTGCCAAAGCGAATTATTCAAAGATTGTCAAGCTCCTGGTCGATGCTGGTGTCGACATCAACTACCAGGATGAAAATGGTGAGACTGCACTACACGTGGCTGCACGATTCGGACACGACGAATGCGCAGCGACCTTGCTGGAAGGGACAAGCGACCAGCAAATGAACGTCGAGTTGGTCGAGAAGACTTATGGTTGGACAGCCTTGTTCATCGCCTGTGTCGACGGGCACTTCAACATCGTGAAAATGCTCATTCCGAGAAGCATCGATGTCACGAAGCCTGACCAATCCGGCTGGACTCCCCAAGAACACGCGGCATTACGAGGTCATCTGGACATTGCCCGGTTTCTAGCCCAATTCCCACGGCCTCCAAGTGTTCAACCCAGTCCAAACTTGGCTCCGCAGGATGGACCTATGGCGAAAGCCAAGGCGCTGATGGACCGCCGGTCCAATGGTGTTTCGAAGGAAGGCTCCACGAACGGACGTCTGCCGGAGCCTGTGAAGGAATTCGGCCATCGATATCTTCTCGACGAATCTATGATCAACGTCAGCTTGGGCACGATTGACGAGCGCCAAGCGAAGGACAAGCCGCCGGTGGTTTTGGATAATATCGAAATCTCCTACGCTCATGCTACGCAACTGGATACTGCGCTGTCACTCATGGTGTCGGCGAGCGGTGCCAGCGGAGAGCGGACTCTGGTGGATCTTCCAATTCAAGAGAATATCAGCACGTCGCCATTCACGTTCAAAACAAAGGATCCCAGCAAGGTCAAGCTGTACTTTGACCTGGTGCCTACGTACGCCGGCGACCCCGAGAAGCCGGAAAAGAGGATTGCTAGAGGCGTTGCTCTCCTTTCCAGCATCAAACCTAACATTGGATTCACAAAGATGAGCCTGCAAGGGGATTTGAGCGTGCCGCTCATGTCAGCGACAACGTTGGACGTTATTGGCACCGTCAACTTCAACTTCCTCATCATCAAGCCCTTCAGTCATCCCAACATGAGCATCAGCGAGGATCGCACGTACTGGAAGAAATCATCCACACTCGTCATCGGCCATCGCGGCAGCGGTAAGAACATGAATACCAAGACCTCGCTCCAGCTGGGCGAGAACACAATCCAGTCCTTCATCACCGCCGCAAATCTCGGGGCATCGTACGTCGAATTCGACGTGCAAATGACCAAAGATCTTGTCCCCGTCATCTACCACGACTTCCTGGTCAGTGAAACCGGCGCCGATGTCCCTGTCCATACCCTCACGCTCGAGCAATTCCTCGCTCTAGGCGACGGCGGCAACCCCCGCAAGCATCACTCCACCCGTACCCCATCTCCCTCCTGGCTCGAGCCGCCTGCCTCCAACGGTACCAACCCCGCCCCGCCCAAAAGCCGCGTGCACCGCTCCCTCTCCGTCGGCGAGGACGTGCGCCCCGACACGCGCGACCGCATGCGACACACGCGCGACTTCAAAGCAAAAGGCTTCAAAGGCAACACGCGCGGCGACAGCATCCACGCGCCCTTCACCACACTAGAAGAAATGTTCACCAAGCTCGACCCAGCAGTCGGCTTCAACATCGAGGTCAAGTACCCAATGCTCTTCGAGTCGGAAGAGCAAGGCATGGACGCCTACGCGGTGGAGCTCAACTCCTTCGTCGACACCGTGCTGGCCAAAGTGTACGACCACGCGCCCAAGGGCCGCAACGTCCTCTTCTCCTCCTTCCACCCGGACATCTGCCTCCTGCTCTCCTTCAAGCAGCCCTCCATGCCCGTCCTCTTCCTCACCGACGCCGGCACAAGCGAGGTAGGCGACATCCGCGCCTCCTCTTTGCAAGAAGCCATCCGCTTCGCCTCGCGCTGGAATCTGCTCGGCATCGTTTCGGCTTGCGAACCCTTCGTGCTGTGCCCGCGTCTCATCCCCGTGGTGAAGAATTCGAATCTCGTGTGCTTTTCCTACGGCGCGTTGAATAATATCGCGGAGAATAGCAAGTTGCAGGCGCGCGAGGGGATCGATGCTGTGATTGTGGATAGTGTGGCGCGGGTGCGGAAGGGGTTAACTGGAGGCCCGGAGGGGATGGCCGCTGCTTCTTCTGATCCTACTGCTGCCTCTGTTGGGGAGGGGGTGGAGAGGGTGGTGGTGAATGGTGCGGCGAGGCCTGTGGCTGTTTCTTAAGGGTGTTGGCATCTCATGTCCTTGCATACTGGGAATCTTGTGGAGTTTTTGGTTGCGATGTTACCTGATTTGATGGAAGGCAGACAGCTCGCGTCTTGATCGGATGCTGGGAGCTTCAGGGATATGGATGACGATGATCGGGATTTTCAACATCTCCGGCCTACTACGACTTTGATTGGCAAGTGGAGGCTAGATTGTGCGAGTGAGAGATGTGATGGATATAACTCGTATAGACATGCAGACATCTACACTTGCTTGACAGCTAACTAGCTATGCGCCTCTGCTCATCGTGCCTCTGTCCGTCCTTCCATCGTTTACAGAGTCACTTTTCGTTCAAGTAAGAAAGCGACACTTGCTCACAACTCCCACGACGTCTACCCTTCCTTCCTCGGCCGGACAGGCTTCACCATGCGAAGCAAAGACGGAATACGCTGCCGCCTACTCAAGCCCACTCGCAACGGCACAGCCAAAGAACTCTTGATGGGAGAGTGGGAAGTCGGGCTCGTCTTGGAGGCGGATTTCTCGGGCGCCGCTGTGACCTGTTTCTCCGGCGACGGAGTCGGGATCTTCGATGCATCTTGACTTGGACGATCGGTGGCGGTCTCGACTGCAGGAGTTTGTTGGCCTTTGTCGGGTGCGGGATTCTCGAGGGGATTCTCAGGGGTGGTCGACGCGTTGGAAGCTTCTGGATCGGGAGCTTCTGAAGCAGCTTTCGAGGGCGGACGACCGCTTCCTCGCTTCTTCGTCTGAGTCTTGTCTGCGTCGGGCGCGGCATCGACCTTGTCCTCCTGCTCCTCAGTCACCGTTTCAGCGGACTTTCGTTGCGCCTTCGTCGTGGATTTAGGCGGACGCCCTCGGCCTCGCTTCTTCGGCGGCGAGTCATGGACCTCCTCAGACTCATCATTCTCATCCACGCCAAACGCCTCGTCTTCATCATCAGAATCGACCACTTTGCGCTTCTTCTTGCTCGCCTCATTCTGGACATTGGCGAGCGCGGACTTCCTCTTGGCTTGCTGCTGGCTGAGACTCGGTGTTGCGTGCCGGGGGCTGACAAGCTCAACGTGGTCTTCGAAGATGGTGGTGTGTGATCGTTTGGATCTGGAGGACTTGGAATTGCGCGCGGCTGGTGCGGGCTTTGCTGGTTTGACGAAGATCTCGTCGGCTGCGGTGTCTGGCTTGTCCTTGGTTGGATGAGAGGATTCGACATCTGGAAGGGTGGATGGTGCTTCTGCACTTGCTTTGGTGATTGCTTCAGTACCGGCTTCAGGGTCCGCTGGTTCCACGTGGGCCTGGTTATTGCTTGCTTTGGATGCGACATCGTCTTCTGGAAGGGTTGTGATGTCGTCAGCCGCGTTCTGATCAGCCTCAGGACCAGCATCCTTTCTCTTCGCCGCGGATAAGGTTGCGGTGGAACTCGTAGCCGCACCAGAGCTTTTGACTCGCTTGACCTTCGCGGCTTTCTCAGGACGAACGGAGTAGTCGATCTCTTCTTCTGGCAAACCTGTCGCCCGACGTCGGCGGGGACGAGGTTGGTAGCGTTCTTTCGGCAAGCCAATCGCTTTGTCGTCCGAATTGAGCGGGTCGCTCGGGGCCTTGTCTTCTTGAGTCTTCTGTTTGCGGCCTCTGGTGCTGGTCTGAGTGCTGTCGGAGGCTCGTCTCCGGGTGGTCGATTCGTGGCGTGGGATCTCGACAATCGGACTGGGATTGAAGTTCTCAGGTAGCGCAGGATTCGCCGTTTGGTCGCTTGCTCCATCAATTGGGGTCTGCGCATCAGCATGAGAGTCCTTGGACGGAGTGCCGTCCACAGCCCCATCATTTGGTTGTTCATGCGCCATATCGTTGGCCAGGGTTGCTTCATTGGGAATAACATGTCCTGGAAGAGGGTGTTTCACACTGCTCTTCGCGCTGTTGCCGTGCTCCGAAGCAGTAAAAGGGATTGAAGAACTGTGTTGAGCACCAGACCGCGGAGGACCGATCGCAGGCGTACTAGTAATCTTCCTTCCCGCAAGCGTCTGGGCCAGCATGCGTTCCTCCTCGGAGCTGCGATCGGCAATAGTGCTCCCGCTGTCATGGAACATCATGTTCGGTTCGTGATCCATGAAATCCTGTTGGAGCGATGCTGAAGGTAGAGCAGCAGCAGCGGGTACAGAAGAAGGGCCAACAGCGGCGCTCGAGTGTTCCGAAAAGTGTACAGACTGCGACGTGTGAAGAGCACTGGCTTCATCCATCGCGCGGTCGAAGCTGGTTTCCGCAGTCAAGGAAGTGTGACGGATGGTGCCGGCCGAGGCGCTGTACGTCTTCAGCGTCTTCGCACGCTTGGCGGCCCTTGAAGGCACCGGGCTGGTCTCTACGCCAGATGTAGAGGCATGCCGGCGCTTGTTAGTCGACGGCATGTCGGGCGAAGTTGAGGCGATTGGACTGAGTGCGTTGTTGGTACTGCGTAATCCGAGCTCTGCTTGTCGAATTTCTCTGCGTAGGCGTTCTTGAGAAGTGTCAGCAACTGATTGAAGATGGTAAAAGCAATCATGTCTCACCTGTAGAGTCAGTGCTCTTGTCTACAGTCCCATCGAGGTTGGCGATGGAAGCGTCGAAGGAGGCTAGACTTTCATCTTCTGCGTAGAGATTGCGAGTGAGATCTGATCCGTCTGCGCCTACGATGATCTCATAATCTTCATCGTCATCCGAGTCTGCCACGGCTCGGCGCATCTTGCGGTTTGGAGGGGCGGAGTGGTGTGGTTGTTTCTTGGGCAAGTGCCGAACCACCCAGGCTGCCGTCTCCATCAATCGCGAAAACGCGGTTAGCCTTGGGCGACGTGACGCGCTAAGGTTGTCAAAAGTGGCTGAGTAAGCCCCGCGCGATCACGTTGAAAGGCTGAAAGGCTGCAGACTTGACTTCGTATGCGCTTCACTCTATCGAGATCCTCCGTAGTTCCTCATATATGTAGCGTCAGTCCTGATCAACAGGACCACACGCCTACAATGCCATCCCTCCGACCCTCCACCATATATCCATCCTTTATCCGCACTCTATCGACAATCCCAGCCTTCTCGCCTTCGGGCAGTCCAGCTCCCGCGCCGCAGTCCCAGTGCACGCCCTCCGTCTTATCGTACACTTTCACCACATCCTCTCCCGCCGCCGCAACGATGCGTCGCGCATCGAACATCATCGACGAAATGGGATTGTCGTAGGCGAAGGCGTCGTGAATGGTGCCCGTGCGCAGATCCCATATCTGCATTCACACACATAGATTAGCGGCGTGCACTATGCAATGAATGGCAAGACAAGTCCACAACTTACACGAATACTCCTGTCTTTACTCGCAGTCACCAAGAATACGTCGTCGAATTGGAGCGCGGTGATAGGTCCGGTGTGGCCCACAAGGCTTCGATGCACCATTCCAGACCTCAGATCCCAGAGTCGCACCATCCCATCTGCCGTGCCGCATGCGAGCGCGGCATCAAAGACTTGCAGCGCTCCAACAAAGTCCGATTCAGCAGCTGGTAAGCGACCGCCCGTTGGCCGCCACCAGTTGCCTTCTCCTCCGCCGGCCGCTCCATCACTAGCCGGGGCGTTGCTGGCTGGGTTGATGCTTGATGCTTGAGCCGCTGCCCACAGGACGTCAAGGGTTTGCACGCATCGCCCACGCTCAAGATCCCATTGTCGCAGTGTCTTGTCAGCTGAACCCGAAACTAGCGTTGATCCTCGGAAGTGCAACGCGGTGATTTCCGCCACGTGGGCCTGAAGTGTGAACAGTGGACAGTCTGCCATTGCGTTGCCATGAACTTCTGGCTCCGGCGGAGTCTGGAGATTCTCGTTTTCGTCGTCGGATTTGCTGGAGCTGAAGAGGTCTTCGCCCATGGGCGCCGATTCGCCTTCCGTTTCGCCGTCATCGTTCTCGTTCGGTGCTTTGGCGTGTATGCTCGAGCTGGGATTCGCCTGTGGGCTGTAGTCTGCCTGACTCAGGTCCCAAAGCCGGATGCTTGCGTCCATGGAGCCGGTTGCCACGATGTTGTCCTCGACTTGCAAGCACCGCACGCTCGACAGATGGCCCTCCAAGAAGCCCATACAGCGTCCAGCATTCAAATCCCAAACACGTACGGTATCGTCCATAGCGGCCGTGACCATCGTTCCAAACGGCGCGTCAAAGTCCAGGGCTGTGATGAGATCGTTATGAGCTTGTATCTCCCGTATCCGCGACCCAGGCTCCATGTGTTCGTGCAGAACCGGCATCGATATCCGTCTCGGCATCTTCCTTCGTCGAGCTTTCGTCGGCGAAGGTGTTGCCGACTTGCTCATGCTGGGCAGCTTCTCGTAGATCGACTCGGACATGAACCCGGTAGTCTCCTCCTCAACTTCCTCAACCGGAATCTCCTCTTCCTCCTCCTCTTCGCGAGGCGCACCAAAAGTGGGACTCTTTGTCGCCATGGCCACTTCATCATCCATCTCTTCTTGCACAACGTCAATCTTCTCCACCACGTCCGCAATCTCCCCCTCCAAATCGTGCTCTTCTTGCTCCAAGTCCGCAAGCCGATCCAAGATCACCTTTCGCATAGTATTGAGATTCGAGATCTTGTCATCAATCTCCTTGATCTCACTGGCGCACATATTCTTCCGAATGCCCATCATCTCAAGCCGATGATTCAGCTGGTCTCTATCCCTCCTCAACGTAACCAACTGCGGCGGCCCCTTCTCCCCAGCCTCCAGCATCTTACGTCCATGTTTACTCCGCCGCTTCCTCGCCACCTTCTCCGCGAACGTCTCCTCATCCGGCAAGCTCGCCTTGAAGCCCTCCAGTAGACTGAAGCGGCTCTGCGTCTGCGGGATGTTGCGCAGCAGCTCGTCAGGCAGATGCGAGATGGCGCGGTGCTCGATTTCGCTCGTGTTGAAATTCGATCGGATGAGCTCGCGCGGATTCGCTTTGGCGAAGGAGAAGACGGAGCGCTGGATCATCGGGCGGCGCAGGGACTTGTGCACCGAGCTGATGGCGGTGTTGTAGGGGGCGGAGAGGCTTTCATTTTGGGGAAAGTTGGCGTTGATGATGTGCGCGGCGGTCGCGTGGACGGTGCGGCCGAAGGCTTCGATTTGTCGTGTCTGGAGGGTGTTAGTAGCGGTCTTGCGCCCGTGATCATCTTACTATGCCGCCTACATTGATGATCGGCTCGTCTTCTGAATACGCCAGATGTTGAGGCGGGCGCTGGGGCGAAGAGCTCCGTCCTCGATGGCTGGCCATCTCTGCTATTTCACGTAGATTCTCTGCTATCGACGCATGATAATTCGAGGGGTCTGAAGCGTGCAATGGCTGAGGTGGAGTTGTGGTGGCGATTATTGGTCGATCGTTGAGTCGTGCTCGTGAGTTGGTTTCCGCGAGGGGCTCGAGCTGCAGCAGCCTTGATGTTTGCCCTGACTTCACTAATTGATTAAGCTTAACCCGATTCGACCAGGTCTCCATCAGTCAATGCCAAGCAGCACAACCTCACCCCGCCCTTGGCTCGCAAACAACCGTTCAAACCTCTTTCTGCATACGAGGGAGAGGATTAGAACCTCGCCAATCTCCAACCATGGATCTTGTCCTCGACCTCTCCGACGCCTCCACCGCCCTCTCCCTCCCCCACATCCGCTACCAACTCATCCGCCTCGAAGACACCGTCCTCTACCACATCATCGAGCGCGCCCAGTTTCCCCTCAACGCAACAATCTACGAAGCAGGCGCAATTCCAATCCCAAACTCCCACCTCTCTTTCTCAGACTGGGTGCTGCGCGAGCAGGAAAAATTACAATCGCAAATCCGACGCTACCAGAGCCCCGATGAATACCCTTTCTTCCCCGACGCCATGCAGCCCTTACTCCTCCCGCCGCTCGCCTATCCCAAAGTCCTATACCCCAACGACGTCAACGTCAACTCGGAATTGAAGCGGCGATACGTCAGCAATATCCTGCCCGGCTGCTGCATGAAGCCCGCCCGCGCCGAGCGCGCCGAAGCGCAAGAAAACTATGGCTCGGCAGCGACAGCAGACGTCAGCGCGCTGCAGGCCCTCAGTCGCAGAATCCATTTCGGCAAGTTCGTCGCGGAGTCGAAATTCCAATCCGATCCGCAAACCTTCATCCGCCTGATCAAAGCCGAGGACCGTGCGGGAATAGATGCCGCGATTACGGACGCAAAGGTCGAGCGTAAGGTGCTCGAGCGGTTGCGGATGAAGGCGGACATGTATGGCACGGATCCGGGGATGAATGCCGAGGCGCCGAGGAAGGTCGATGTCGATGGTGTGGTGGCCATGTATAAGGATCATGTGATTCCGTTGACGAAGGTGGTGGAGGTGGAGTATTTGATGCAGAGGCTGAAGGGGACGGAGTGGGAGTGAGAGTGGGATGGAGGGAGGTTACGGCGGACATGAGTCGCTTGAAGAATGTGGGTTGGACCCTTCGGCAGGCGGCCGATTCAGCTGTCCTGCGAAGCACGCGTGAGGGACAACAGCGATGATCGCTGCGGACGATCAACCCCTGCGCTGTTGGACAGAATCAACAAACCAGTGATTCGGCAGTCACTGACCTGAGCATAAGGAAAGCCGCGAGACTCAAAACTTAACTGGACAAGACAAATCTAGAGGGAGAAGATGAGCGCGCTCATGTAGAGTATAGACTATACATCACTATCTTCTAGAAGCAACCCCACGCTCCGCTTCAGAGGCAATGGCGTCCAGGTGCGCCAGATGGCCGGGCGAAGTGTTCTCGCGCTGCTTTCGATTTGTCGTCGCTTCGTTTCGTCCGCTTCGTTCGCTTTCGTCTGAAGCAAGTACGGACCGCCCCACTAGAAGGTGTGAAGCGTCAGGGGTCGTCGCATTGGCAGCTAGTCCGTCAGAAGAGACGTCGTTCGCGACTCCGACGCGTGAGGCGTCGGAGGCCTTGTCTGTCCCATTCTCGATAGTGCCCGAGACGATGGACCCGCCGTAATCATCGTCTTGCAGGCCCAAGTCTTCTTCACCGGCAAAACGGTCCCCTCCGGCGATTAGGCTCGTTTGCTCCCTCAAATCTTCATCCTCTCCAATTGGCTCCGCCGCGTCATCTGTAGCGTTCTCGTCGCCCACCACCCCGTCCTCGTCACCGAATGCAGCATGCTCGGCAGCTTCAGCACCTTTTTCCATCTCCTTGAGCAAAAGCTGCTCCCGCTGCGCTGCAATCTTCCTATACTCTTTCTCCGAGAACGAGAACTTCGCAAGCACGGTCTCAATCTTCTCCTCCACTAGAGACTTCGTGTGGAACGCGAGAGCCCTCTGTCCAAAGACGCCGGCAAAGCGATAGCTCAGCCAGAGATACGCCACGATGCTTTTGTGCAAGCGTTCCAGCGCGCGCAAATAGTCGCGACTCGTGCTCACCTCCGCCTCGAGCGTTTCCAGAGGTATCTCCTTGAGGTCCACGAGATCGCCACCGGCTTGTTCGGCGACACAGCGTGCGAGCGCGGGCATCAGGTCCTTCCATAGTTCACGGTCTGTAGGACTCGCTGGGCAGGAGCAGATGATATTGCGGTCTGTGATGGTCAGACCTTCTACGGGCTCGATGAGGTCGGCGATCCAAACGGAGTCTCGGAGGCCGCAGAGGTGGAAGCGCGTGTGGGTTTGACTGAGTTCATGGAGGCGGGTGAGGATGTATGAGAAGGGTGTGCGTGGGGGAAAGTAGCCGGAGAAGCGCTCAAGGACGGGACCGGGTGGGAATAGGCCAGCGGTACGGATCGGCTCGGGGTCGGAGACCATAGCCGTGCTGACAATGGGGTAGTCGATCTTCTCTAAGGTTGTCACATAGCCCGTAGACTCGGCTGTGGCCGTTGAGGGGGTTGAAAGTTGCGAAGGTGGAGCATCTTTGGTCTCCGCTGCAGTCGCCGTAAGGTCTGAGGGAGGCGTAGCTGGAACGTCTCCTTTGGCAGCGGCCAGCGCCTCCTCTGCTTTGTCCCCAGCCGACTGTGTCATGGCTTGTGCGGCCGTACGATAACGTCCGGCACGACCACCAATCTGCTTGATGTCCGCCACTTGAAGGGTTCGATGTTGGTCACCGTCGAACTTTGAAGATGCTTCGAAAATGATGCGTTTGATGGCGAGATTCAAGCCCATGCCAACCGCGTCACTGGCCACAAGAAAGTCGTACTCGTTGTCGGGATCGTTGAACAGACGCGCTTGTTGCGCACGGGTCTCTGGGGGAAGACTACCGTATACGACAGCCACCTTGCGGCCGCTTACACGCTCAATCTGGCGACGCAGACTGTGGATTCCCATGACGGAAAAGCTGACAATGCAATCTCCCTTTCGCAGTTTTCTCAAGTCTCCGTCCAAGCTCTCCGAGGCGACCTCGAGGGGGGAAAGACGCTGATACCGATGGATCTCCAGCTCCTCGCCCATAGATGCACAAATCTCCTGTATCAGCGGCACCGTCCTCTCCTCTCCACATAAGTGCACTTCTTGTGCCCTGACGCCCAAGAGCGCTTGAGTCCACGCCCAACCGCGTTCCGCATTGCCAATCATCTGAATCTCGTCGATGACGGCCACGTCGAGCGCTCGATTCAGCGGCACCATCTCGACCGTACACGCAGACATTATCTGCTCTTCATCAGGAGATGGCTTTTCTGGAAGGCGCCGTTCCTCACCGGTGATGAGGTAACAAGGAATGTCTTTTGCGTTCAAACGAGAGTAAACTTCGTGAGCAAGGAGGCGAAGAGGGCCGGCGTAGACACCAGCTTTGGCCTGCTCGAGGCGTTGCAACGCGCGATAGGTCTTGCCTGAATTGGTGGGGCCAACGTGCAAAAAGATCTTGCGATGCAGAGTGCGGGTAGCGGGAAACCACTCGCCCGGATAGCGAAGGTCGGCGATTTTTCGCTGATTTCGAATGTCGGAGGGCGTGAAGCGGGCATTGGTAATGTGTGCGTAGAATTCGTGCTTAATCCGGTTATCGAGACCTTGCACGCCTCGTTGATCATATGCTGCGAGCAATCGCCGTGCGGCTGTTTCGGGGCGCTTCTTCGAAGGCGGTCCCGTAGAAGTAGGAGAATAGGTGCTATTTTCGGGTGGCTGGAACAGATCGGACTTGTACTTGGCCCACAGCTTGTTGAACCCGTCTGCGTCGCCGGTCCTGTGCTCGCCAGCCTTCGCATTTTCTTTCTTCAGCTCTTCCACAATAGGCGCATATTGAAGCTCGTCTCTGACGACTTCGAGCCTCTGACGCAGAGCATCCTCGAACCCGAGTTTCCACCGTCGATCGGTGTCGTGTTGAGGCGCATCACCTTTGCCGAAGAAGACCTTGCGCACATTGCTTCCTCGAAGATCCTTGGCCTCATCCCTCCTCCGGGCGTGCGCTCGTCTTTCCCTGGCCTCTTGTTGCGGATAGTGAGTGCCGATCTGGTAGGGGGCATTGGTGTAGCGAATTAGTCCACCTTCATTGCAGTGGGATGGCGAAGGGCGAAGGTGTAGGGAGCGGCGGTGGCGTAGGGACTGCAGGTAGGATTGTTGGGAGCGGAAAGCACAATATATGCATCTGCCAGGACGGCGAGAGGCGGATAGCATCACCGATGGATGGATAGATGTGCAGTGGTCGGTCCTTGGAAAAACGACACATTTATGCGCGAGCATCGTGAATTTACAGATGAGGTCAACAACGCTGACTAAGAAAGTTGCGGCGAAGCCAAGCCCACCTCCGAGACATGACGGCCTTCCTCATCCCACCGCCCTCTTCCTCCGCCCTGCACTGCACAAGACTCCGACTTGCACTCACCCTTGGCGTACGCAGGATCAGGTGCAGCGAGAAGTATTGCTTCCAGCATGTGGATGTGGCGGGGTGTGCGTGGGTGAGGCATGCTTGATCGACCACCTCCGAGCTCGACCTCTAAACATTCCCCCCTCCACCACACGCCATGAGTGTATCGATCGTAGAAGCGCAGCGCGATGGTATGTTTTACCTACCTCTAGCAGGCATGTTGTCGGCTCTAATTCCTCTCGCAGTGCTGCTCAGCACCATCCACCGCATCACCAGGGGCGATGTAAGCTCATCCCAACCTCCCCCACCACCCGACTCTTGACGTTCAGCTGAGCACAATGCGCTTGTAGTGGAAGGTGATGGTCGTCGACCGAGAAAGCCGGCGACTAATCGACAATGTCCTCGAAGAAGACGCCATTCTCAACGAAAACATTACGAGTACACCTCCCCCGAATAGTCCGGCCCCCATCCCGCGCATCCCGTCCTGACCTGATTCCAGACATCGAGGATATCACTGATCGCCGACCCACCAATCGTGATGTGGACGCCCTTTACTTCCTTACCCCCAAAGAGCACATTGTGGACTGTCTCATGGCCGACTTTCAAAAAAGGAAATATCATAGAAGTCATCTTGTCTGGACCGCGCGTATGTCCTCCAGCGAACACACGGGCGGGGCGGCGTCTGCTTACTGATGTTCTTCCGTGCAGTATTACGACCTTCATTACGAGAGCGAATCGACCAATCTACAATAGCTCGCGAGCAAATCGCTCAATTCACCACGCTCAACGTCGAGTTCTTTCCACGCGAATCCCACCTCGTCACCTTTCGAGACCCTTGGAGCTTTCCCATCCTCTTCCACCCGGCATGCAATCATTTGGTAAGGCAACATATGGAAGATGTCGCGCAGAAGGTAACATACTCCAACCCCTGGCCATGTCTGTCGACCGTCTCGTTGACGAAGGATAGATCGTTGGAGTCTGTGTGGCGTTAGGAGAATACCCAACTATTCGCTACTACCGCCCCGCCGCACCAACACACGAAGCCAGCATCCTCTGCTCTCATCTCGCGCGCTTCGTCCAGGACGAGCTCGATCTCTATGCCAAATTCCACAACGACTTTCCCCCGCCTTCGTCACAGACTCGACCGCGAGGGGCGCTGTACATTGTCGACCGCAGCATGGATCTGTTCGCTCCGTTCGTGCACGAGTTTACCTACCAAGCCATGGCGCACGATCTCTTGCCGATCAAAGACGGCGACACCGTGACCTTTCGCACCACCATCAACGAAGGTCAGCGCGACCAAGAAGAGAAGGATATCCCCATCACAGAGAAAGATCGGATATGGACGGAGAATCGGCACCGTCACATGAAAGACGTGATTGAGAAGCTTATGGCGGACTTTCAGAAATTCCTCAAGGACAACCCCAACTTCACCACTAAGAGCGGAGAGGAGGCTGTGGGTGGCAGGAACGGGTTGAATGCTATCAAAGACATGATGGCAGGGTTGCCGCAATTTCAGGAATTGAAGGAAGCGTACGCGCTCCACCTGGGCATGGCGCAAGAAAGTATGAATCGATTCCAGCGGTTCAAGCTTTCCGATATCAGTGCGGCCGAGCAAACATGCGCCACCGGTCTTGACGAAGACTACAAGCGATCCAAACATCTGGCCGACCAAGTCGTGCGACTATTGGACGAGGACGGCATCTTACCCCCGGACCGCTTGCGCCTTCTCGTCCTCTACCTCCTATACAAAGACGGCCTGCTCCCCGCCGACACGCAGAAACTCCTCGCACACGCTCAACTCCCGCCCTCCGACCAACACATCATCTCTAACCTCGAACTCGTCGGCGCCCGCACAACACGCCAACTTAAAGATCCCCGGCCTCCTCCACCGCCTCTCTTCCCCCGCAAACCCATCCCGCAACAAGGCGCGCAAGAAGAAGTGCTCATCAGCCGCTACGAACCCGTCCTGCAACGCCTCCTCGAAGCTCACTGCACCAACACCCTCGACCCCAACACCTTCCCTTACACCAAACCGCCCCTCGACCTCGAGGACTCCTCCATGCGTCCAAGCCTGACGGCCACCTCCTCCCTCCGCTCCGTCAACAAACCCACCTGGGCCCGCTCCCGCACAGCTCCCTCCACCGAAAACCGCCAGCGCGTCATCGTCTTCGCGGCAGGCGGCGCCACTTACTCCGAAAGCCGCGCCTGCTACGACGTAGGCCGCGCCGCGTCTAAGGAGATCTTCCTCGTCACGAGCCACATGCTAACGCCTGCCCTCTTCATGCGGCAAATCGCGGATCTGTCTGCAGATCGCAGGCGGCTAGGTATCCCCGCCGATGCGCCGAAGGAGAAGGCGCCAGCGCATTTATTTGAGGCGGATGGGCCTCCGCCCGCTCCGGTTGGAGTCGCGCAGCCCCAGCAGCCCCAGCAGCAGCAGCCGCAGAGACAGGCTCAGCCGCAGCCCCAGCAGGTGCAGATGCCTACGCAAGCGATGGCGGGTATGAATCTGAATGGCGCGGGAGGTGGTACAAGTGGAAGACTCAATGGTGCACGGCCAATGCCCGGTGATCCTACTAGCGGGAACGCGGCGAGTCATCAGCAGACTGGCCCGGCGAAGTTGACGAAAGAGGAGCCAAAGAAGGAGAAGAAGAGGCATAAGTTTGGCTTTGGGAAGTAGTGTGAAGTGAAGAGGAATCTAGAGTGTTTTTTTGAAACGACGCCATGCGCGGTTTTTGCGATTTCTTTGTCTTGAGAGTTTTGTCGCGTGTATAGCGAATGGACCCGTGGGGGCTTGATGGAGATTGCATAGCTTGCGTCGAAAGCGTTTGAAGTCTGCTGAGTGCGCTTACGACGATGTGGTAGACGGATGGACGGACCATGAGGTTATGTGAGCAAGAATACAGAGGATTGATATATGAGGCCGTTCCGAGGATGTCATCACAGGTCGCCAAACACCAATCCATCAACATCGTAAAGCAACATCACCCACATCCACCACGACACGCGTCGTCACCACTCATGAACCCCGTCTGCTCCCCTGCTGCTGCTGCTGATCACCTTGCCCCTGCCCCTGTCCCTGTCCCTGTCCAGCACCCCTCGCTACAGACCCCGCTCTCCCTTCGTTACTCCCCTGCTGCTGCTGAGCCTGCGGCACCCTCAACGGCGCCCGAATAGGCTGATGGCCCGGCTGACCCTCGCCCGCGCTCCTGGCGAGGTGCATGGGCAGCAGACTCCAGCGGCCCTGCTGTTGCTGTTGCACGGGCTGGTTAGGGCGGGAGAGGGGAGCGGGGGGTGCTGCTGCTTGGCCGGCGGTGGAAGTTTGGCGTTCGTTGGGGGCGTTGGCGGTCGGTGATGTTTGTTGCTGGGCTGCGGTGCCGCCCTCGCCGAGCTTACGGGCTTCGGTTACGGCTTGCGCTGAGGGGGTTGGGAGGGGTTTGTTGGTGTCTGGGCTGGATTGGGATTGGGATTGGGATTGGGATTGTGGTTGGGCGAGGGAAGAGCGGCGTTCGGGGGCTGAGGGGGCGGATGAGACGGTGACGCTTGGGGTTGGTTGACTGGGGATGTTAGTGTACAGCCAATTGTAATGAATGGGGAGTGACAATACTCGTTCGCTGCAGCACTGCCAGTTGTTGCTGTATGAGGCGTGCCGAGGACACCTCCAACAGAGCGTGGCTCGCCTTCGAAGCTGTCCCAGCGCTCTTCGCGGCCGACGAGAACACCACCTTGTCGTTTGAACTCGGCCATCGTGACGGCAGGCAGAGCGGAGAGGATGTGGTGCTTCGACGCGTTGTGATCTGCACGAATTCGCTGTTAGGATCGGTGTGGCGAATATTAGGGTATTCCACTTACGAATCTCACGGATCAACACTGTGCTGTGGATGATGTGAGGCTCGATGGTCACTGGTGTTGATGATCAGCAGGCACCAGACAAGGAAAGGGGGTTTCGAGAAAAGCATACTCTTGTTGACAATAGGTTGGATGATTTCGTGGACCTATTACATGATGAGCAGCGATTCAACGCGAAAGTCAGGATGAAAGAGTTGGTAGACGAACATGATGATGAATGCGTTCTCCCGTCACGGTAGGGACGACATTCTGGGTGTGCTCGCCATTGACATGGTAAGTTTCATCCTTGAACTTCTCCCGCTCAGCGGCCAGACGGCTGTCACGGTCATCGATATCATCGTGTTCAAAGTGACGATCTTCGACGGGCAGGTTGTTGTGATGATGTTGCTCCTCGGCCGTCTCCGAGTCGGTGATGGGTTGGACGGAGGTGTGGAAGTCTCGAAAGAAGATCAAAGCGTCAGCACTCGATCGAGGAAAGGAGGAAGAGACGCGTCTCACGATCTTGCGTGAACTCCTTCTCAATCACCGTCACCAGCTCTTCGTGCTCGTGGCGCGAGATGGTTTCGTGATAGATGGCGGGGGCAACACGCTCGTGGACGGTGGTGTTGTGGCGACCATTCCGGCTCCTGGAAAGATCAGTAGGTAATGTGATCGGCAAATGGACGCTGATGTTGTACGCACATGAACTCCAGCACCGCTTTCTTCGCCGCATCCATGGCGGCCTGAGACTCGGTGGAAACCATTGTGAAGTGCAGAGAGACGATTCTTCACACCGTGTTTGTGATCTTTCTGCGGATCAGATTGAACGGTACTGAGCAATAGCGGATAGGAATGGAGGTGATGGGGGAAGAGGGGATGCAAAGGTAATGTGTTGCGTGATGAGAAGAGAGGGTATTAGCATGTGGAAAAGAAAAGAATCGTCACCTCTGATGAGATAAGAGGCTCCTACCTGTATGGACTGGCCACACCTGCCTTATTGTTCTGTGCGCAGCCTTCCATGTGCAGGACACATGGCGTGGCGGGAAGGATCACACAGTGCTGGATGGATCGGTAGGTGCAATGACTTCCAGCCCCTCACCACTTCGTTCTGATCATGACTTAGGTTGTGGCGCATATATGGGACGTCATAATCTGTGTATTGAACGAGGGAAAGTCTCTTGCATGAGCTGAGCAGATGTCGTTGCCGTGAAGTGGATGTCTAGTCGTAAGGCAGACGCGAGGCCATCGGCTGTCCCAGCAGTTTCTACAGACCACTTCATCTCAACTCCCTCCTCCTCAGCCTCTGTACATTAACGCAGCTCTTTCGTGAACGCGTTCGCAATGACCAAACCGCTGTTCTGCGTCTTGATGGACCCATGAGCCCCCCTCTGTCTCCCGCGTCTCTTGGTAGGTACTTTCCAGACTGTGCGGCTCTCGCTACTTCCCTTATGTTGGCCATGACTGCCTCCATGACTCGACATCTCCCTGCACATCACGTCTCTCCTTCTGTTCCACATTCAAGTTATTCAGAGAGAACTCACTTTCATGTTCTCTTCTCGCGCTCACTCAATTGTAACATGACCGCTTTTCTGCCCATGTTCGCAGGGCGATGCAGAGGCACACCCTCGCAGCCACCAACAGCCGCATCAACATCAATCCAGCTTCTTCCAAACGGCCCGCATTCTACGCCTCATGTGCGAGACAGCTGTCCACACCCCGGAAATCATGCGCCGAGCGAGCCGACGAACCCTCGAACATCATGCAAACCACCGTCAAACTCGATCCGGCCAAGATATCCGTACCTTTCTCGTTCTTTGTCGGCCCAGGTGGAGGCTGTCAAGCGGCTCTTTCCCCACGCAAGATCGAGTTCGATCGCTTCGCCCAGTCTGGCAACTCCCAGCACTCATCCCTCCGGGCACCAGCGGCCAGTCAGCCAACACTGCTCTTATGTACGCCGCTGTAACCCCGACCAGCGCCAGAGCACCGCCTGTTCTACTCGTCAACAGACCCCATACGGCTCAATCGACGGCGTGGTAAGCCGGCAAACGTCGAGGCCCAACCCATCGTCCGTCTGGTCTTTCGAGGATAGACGAAGCAGCCTCACGCGGAAACCAGAGGTGCCAGACCTCCGAAGACTTTCCGAAATCGACACCCACCAAACACAAAGCTTCTCCTGCTCATCTCCTCCCTCTGGCCAACGTGTGACCAAAGACCGACGACGCATATCAACCGTCGACCTTCAAAAACCTCTGCCCGCGCTTCCCACGGACAACGCAGCGGCGAGAACATCTCACACAACAGTCTACAAGCAATGGGCACCGGCCGTCACGCACGAAACAATCACGCGCCGCACGCATGAAGTCCGCGAAGAGCGCATCACCCGCGCCATCGAACAACATCACTACTACCATCGCACGTTACCCGTCACGGATATCAACTTGCTGGCGGCGCGCCACTTCGTCGAGCTCCCCGATGATGGCGGATATCTCGAGATCCCTGAAAGCGAGGTGCCGAGTGAGCTTCGTCCGACGGCGGAGGAGATCCTAGCAAATGCACAATCGCTGTTGAGTCTGGATGGGAAGAACGATCTGCGCGAGGGGGAGTTATCGGGGTTGTCGGACGGGTTTGCGTTGTCCCCAGCTCACGAACTTGATGCGGATCGGTTGAAGCGGACCAGTTCGATTGATGTGCATCCGCGAATCATGAAGCCGGCGGTGTTTGGCGACGATGCGAGGCAGGCCATACTTCTACACGTCGACGATAAGGTCGGACAGGTAATGGCGTGAAACGAACACTATTACGAAACATTTGAGGAGGGGCATGTATCTCCATTCGCACGAGATATACAAAACTTCATAATTGCTTGATTGCTTGTATCCCCCTCTCCCTCTCTGCACAATCGGTCCACCACACGATACCACGCCCAAGCAACTACTTCCGCGCAGCGACAGCAGGCACCTCCTCATCCAAGCCGAGAATGTTCGGCACGGGGCCCAGAGGCGTGACGGAGGGCGGATTGATCTGCCTATGGCTCTTGGTGTAGTGGTTCTTGATATGCGTGAACTCGGTGGTGCTCTTGAACGCGTCGTTGTTCCAGTAGCAGTGTCGGAGCCACCTGGCACAACATTAGTTTCATGGGTCTTCTTCATGGAGTGGGGTTGAGGATAACAGTGGTGGACGCACTTGTGAATGGCGGGATACCCGCTGCGGATGTCGCGCAGATTGCACTTGAAGTGCTGCACGTAGACGGGGTCGAAGCGGATGATGGTCTTGGGTGAGTTGTTCGTTAGTGTGCAGTATGCAGAGAAGGTGCTTTGTTTCTTACGGGATAGAGGCGGACATCCGCTTCTGTGACTTTGTCGCCGTAGTAGTAAGGTCCGGGGGCTTTGGACAGGTGTTCTTCGACGCGGTCGAGAGATTTGAAGAGCTGCGTTACGTTCTTCTCGTAGGCTTCTTGGGCGCTGGGAGGAGGAGTAGTTAGCATGGTATCGGCCGTCTCTAGCTGGTTATTGGAGACACTCACGTAGCGAACCCACTCTTGTAGACACCTGCGCGACGATCATCAGCAACCCGCATCAACAAGGCATCTGACAAAAGAACACACCATTATTGATATCATTATAAGTCCACTCATTCGTCGCCTCAATCTCCCCCTTCAACGTCCCCGGCAGCAAATCCAGCTTCACGAACTTCTCCGGCAGCAAGTGGTCGAACACATGATAGAACATGCGGATGATCTCGCTCGACTCGTTGCTCACAATCTTGTTCTGCTTCTTGTCGAAGAGCGTGGGAACCGTGAAGCGGCCCTCGTAGTTGGGGTTAACGTCGAAATAGACGTGGCGGAGGTGCGTGAAGCCTTCGCCGTGCAGGGGATCGGGCGTTACGTTGTCGCCCGGGAGCTGTTCGTCTTTTTGGGCGAAGCGCCATCCTGATATACCCTTTAGTCGTCCATTTTAATGTGACTGAGCGGTGAGTTTACCCTTCTCCAACATCTCCCAATGCACAGAAGTGTAAGGAATAATCTCCTCCAACCCCTTCAGTTTGCGCACAATGAGCGCTCGATGCGCCCACGGACACGCATACGACACATCTGCCAGATCGCAAAGCATCCAATCAGTAACCACTCTCCAAGCTCAGCCTCCACCCGGAAGTAATGATACCTACAGAGATGATACCGGTCCTTCTCCGCCGGAAACTCGGCGCCGGGCTCGTTGGACACGAAATTGCGGAACTGCGAGTCCTTGCGCTTGTACTCGCCGGTCTTGTCGGCGTAGCCTAGGATGCCGTTTTGTTCTTGTGCGGGCTGAGAGAGTCTCGTTAGTTTTGTGATTGAGGGTGGAGTATGAGAAAACGTGCTATCTTACTGCCATTGTTGTGGTGCTGAAGCGACGGAAGCTTCGATTGGATGCGAAGTGTGTGCGGATGTGGGACAATCTTTGAATAGATCTGTTCATCTACTGGAACAAAGGCGAGCGCAAATATCAGTTGCCTTTCAAGAAAGGCGAGTGTAGTTGTACTCTCGAGCCTCGCTAATAATGATGACGAGATCAGCCATCCATTAGCCCGCTTTCAAAGCAAGCTAAATGTTCCCCTTTGGGCGAACGTCAGGTGACTTGGCCATGGCCATGGTCCATCTTTTGAACTATCTCTACCCAACATTCTTCAACCAGGACCTATGCGTCAACTGCGGCGGCAGCTCCATAGGCGGCACATCCTGGTCCGCCTTCCCGCCCGCTCCAGGCGAAGCATGCGCAAAAGGCGACGCCACCGCGGCCCGAGACTTGCTTGCCATCTCCTCCGCCACGCCCATAAGCGCCTTCTCGTCTCGGCAGAAAGCGGTGAAGCGCTGCACAATTTCTTCCACCGACGCCGTCTCGACTCCCTTCCTCACACTGCCTGAGCCAGCCGGGTGGCCCGCGGCCGACACCGCCGCTGCTAAGCGGTTTGGCAGGAGGGTGAAGTCTCTTTTCCCGTCGTTGACGACTTGCGCGAGCAGGAGGCCGGATTTGTGGATGAATTGCGTATGCTCGTAATCCGGGCGGCCCCAGGAGTAGCTTATGTCGACGGAGCGGGGGAAGCTGGATGCGGATTCGAGATCGAGGACGAAATTCGCCTTCCTCAGGATGGCTTTGTGGAAGGCGTGCCGATCTTCTCGTACGGCGCGAGGAGAGGCCGATGGATGGGGTTCGAGTTGAGGTGTTGTTGGATTCTTGGTTGGAGGGTGGATGGCGAGTTTCACGTTTAACGATTGCTCGAGGAGGTGCTGGTTGCTGACTTTGCTGGCTTCCTCGAGGGGAAGTTGCACGAGTTTGAGGCCGTGGCTTTCGATCAGACTTGCCCAGCGGTGGATGGCGTTGCGGATGAGCTTGGCGGTTGTGTTGGTCCAGTCGATGTGGACGTGGTAGCAGTTTTCTGGATTGTGGATGCGATCTGTGGTGTTACTGCATCAGCAGGTAGGCAATGACCAGGAGAGATGCTAACTCACCATAGTGCACGTTGATGATCTCCAATTGGCTGGATTTCCGCCCGGAGTCGACATTATACTGCAGCTTCTGGCTCAGCATCACGACCCTCTTCTCTCTGCTATCCACCGGGCCGAGCGTCGGCGTCGGTTTGCGGAAAAGGTCATTGTCAGGTTGCACGGGACGAGGAGCCGGCGACATTCTAGGATCCCCGCCGGGCGTAGAAGGCATCGAGCGTCCGACAGGCCGGCCGAAGAAGCCCGCGGTATCGGGGTAGTCGGTCGTGCGGTGCGCAGCTCTGATTTGATAGAAGTAGTTGCCGTCTCGGAATTCGTGACTACCTCGCACGTGCGAGAAGATGTCGTGACCCATGAGCTGATTCCCCAGAGCGACGGCATCGTCTCTTGTCTCGAGATCTTTGAAGACGCGGAGGAGCCAATTCACCATTTCATCGCCGCGGAAGCACTTCAAATGTAAGCGCGTGAACCTGGGAGGACATTAGTACTCGTCCAGCATCGTTGGAGGCCGTGCTGAGCTTACCATCTCCTATCCCTAAACTCCACACCATTCGGTGGCGGCTCCTGCATCTGCCTCGCCAACTTCGTCACGTCAAAGTTACTCGTATGAAACTGCTCAGACTCGCTGAACAGCCGCGTAGGCATTTCTGCATCACCAGGTTTTAACCCCAAAGCCCCCACAACAGCACTGGTATCGCGAGTCTGATATTCAATAGCAAGAGGATTGGGGTCGCGCTGCATCGTATCCAACGCCTTCGCCTTGATCATGGACGTCTGGTGCTTCTGATCCTCGTCCGTGAAGTAGCGATGCCGCTGCCACATTTGCGTGAGTTTTTGGATGCCTTCCAACCGGTGTTCATCGTCCGACAGCTCCCTCGTTCCTGACGGTGTCTTTGCATCGGTTCGGAAGGGTTCGACGGGTATCAAGACCAATCTCATACGACTTTCGCCGTCGTACGCTGGCCCGGTCATGTTTACGCATCTGTCGTCTTCTTGAGACCAATCGGGAGAGTCTGACATATAGTGCCAGCTGAGCTGTGCCGTCTTACCCTTGCGCGAGATTAGTGACATAACCTCCACCTTGCCATTCGCGGTATCGTTTGAAGTTTCTGCAATAACAGACGAGTCCTGCTCTTGCGGTCGTGGCTCGTACTCCGTAACCTGGATTTCCGCCTCTGACAGCTGACAAATCTCATGATACCGTTCCCCAAGAGACAACAAAATACGCTCGATATGCTCCAAGCCCATCTGCTCCTTGGGCCGCCGACGCGAGGGAACAACTTGAAAACCCGCATTGAGTCGCATGTAGATCATCTGCGCTATGATCTGCCGAATGCTTGCAGCCTCCGCGATGGAGGTGATGAGAAGACGTCGCACCTTCTTTCCAGCAAGGCTGTCAAGATCAGCAAGAGAAGGCCGATAATCAGTCATCAGTGGTAATGCAGCGGGGCTGCAGATAGAGGACCATTTGAAGACCGCCGAGCTCACGGTGCTGGTGAAGATGTTCTGCCACTGCCGATATTCGCTAGCTATGCGCATGTTGTCCTTGCGAGGGTAGCACGGGTTCAGCAGTGTTAACCAGGGCGAGACTGAAGAGGTTTCATCGTGCACAGCTTGGGAAGATTGCACCTCTTCTACGTCTTGCTGTCGTTTGGGATCGGTATGCGTAGAATCGAAGCTTTCTCCAGGGTGCGGGCCAGCGTTCTCCATGACTGCCTCTTCGACAAGACTAGCAGGATCGCGAGGAGTCTCTGTGGATGCTCGATCCGCGACTGGTATGTCCACAGCCTGGCTGAGCTGCGTTGTTTCGACTGTCGACTGGGAGTGCAGGCTCTGGTACGAGGGTTTCTTCCTGAGCGACTCCTTGATCTGCTTTGCAAGACCGCTTGTAATGCTATTCGCTGCAAATGACGCTGTTGGTAGGCTGTCTCTCTCGTGCTGAGCGTGTTGAGAGGACAATCCTGTGCTAGCGATTGCTTGAACTGGTGCAAGTCCACGCGGCCCGATACTTATGTTGCGGCCTGTTTGCATCAGTGGGTGGGGTGCTCTGGAGGGCTTGATAGTCTTTGGCGGAGCTTTGAGTCCGGCGTCTGAAGAAGCGGCGATTGAATGTGGCTTTGCCACTGCGATATCACGCCCGACGTCTGACTGGTCCACTGTTCTGGTAGTAGGGAGGCCATCTGTGCGTGGCGTTTCGTCGTTGATCGTCTTACTGGCTCGGTCTTTCTTGTCCGTACCTGGCTTTCTCGTCTCTATTTTGGAACGTGGTGTTGTCATGGACAGTGCAAAAGTCGCATCGTCATACGCAGCAGTATACTCTTCGATCGAGACCGACGGATCTCTTGCAGGAAGTCTGCCAATCTTGACATTGCAGAACTCGCTGCTTGCATCCGGCATAAGCCACCGAGATTCTTGCGGGTCATGAGGCGATGACCAGTATGAGATATCGATCCAATGGGGCAAAGCGTATTCGACTGTTCCAGCGCGCACGTACCGGAATATCGGCACCGGATGGAGCGGTTGCCGCGACACGGATACAATGTCGATTCCAATGTTGGTGCCAACTAGAAGCTCGGTGGTTCTCTTGAGCTTTTCGTAGTCTGTGTTGAATAAGCCGGCGCCCGCGGTGACTGCAACAACAGAAGTGCCCGTGCTGGTAAGGCGCTGCTCAGTATCTCTCTGATTGAAGTCCAGAGCCGCGGCGTGGATGGCTTCCAGCATATTCCCATCTGCCGCAAGCGAGACTTCGCTCGGCAATTGAGCGTTGTTGAATGTCCTCTTCAATTTGCGTAGCAGTCCCCGCCAAGTATTGCAGGGTACATCCAGAGCGACGACTTGGAAGAAGTCCCGATGCGCGGGCGACTGCTTTGAGCCTTGCAAGACACGTCCAAACAGCACCACGGATACTTGATGCCGGACCTTCAGCGCATCCCAGCGATGGAAAAGCTCGGGTAAAAAGCCATTGAGCATCCGTTCGTACATCAGGTCGCAGCCATACCAGTCTTCGAGCATCTCCTTCGAGACTTGGATCAAGATGGTGAATCGTGCACTAGCACCCCGGAAAATCAATTTGGTCTGCGGATGACTGACGAAAGCCGACTGAACTCTCTGCCCAGAGTGGTAGATGGCTTCGATGGTCGCAGTCACCGAACCGAGATACTGCAGTTTCTGAGTCTCGTAGACGACAGAAGAGTCGATTTGGGCTCGGATCTTCCACATGTCGGCGCGCGAGAGCTGCTGATCGCGGAAGAGCAACTCAACATGCGTGGCTGTAACGGCTTCCGCATCGTCCACAGTCTCCACACTTGCCCTCATGCGATTCTCGAAGCCGAAAAGTCGCGCCACGGAAACGTGGATGGAGACATCGGAGGCGTGGGAAGCGGGCTTCGTGCTTTGAATACAAAGCGATTTGGCTCCTGGCGCGGACAGTACGGCGACGTCGCCGAGTGGTAAAACATCTGCGCCGCACAAGACATCTTCCGAGGAGGTGTCATCGTCGTGGAGGACGACGGTGCAGGATCGCACGGGTGCGTCGATTGCCATGGAGGGCTCAGCGAGGCCTTACGACTTTGGCGTCGTTGGCATCCTCAGAGGTGTTTGAGACACACCCATGCATTGGCGGTCGGCGGCGGCTAATTCATACGTAGTGCGTCTAGTCGCACATCGTGATCGGCTGGGCGAGGATATCGCGGCGCGCATGAGACTGTGAGGACACCAGATGATCGCTGTGGCGCCAGGGAAAGTCGCGAGAGAGCGGAATCTGCCTTGTCGGAGGCACAGCTTACGAACTAAGCCGGTTAGATCGGAGCGGTTCCCGCGAACTGGGTGTCGTTGTGCGAATGCGCGTAGTCGCAAAGAGGAAGCACTCTTTGAAAGCGAGTCCGAGTTCAAGCGCGAGGTTGGAGTTGTCCAAGGCGAAACCTTAATTTCCGCAGCAACGACTTCACTCTAGGTAGCATGCAACTCATAATGCCATAATCTAATCGTCTCTACCTTTCTATACCCGTAAACCATAACAATCATAACAACCCAAATCATCTCGGCCCCTTCCTCCTCTTCTCCGCCCTCATCCCCAAAAACGCGCCCTGCTTCCCCTCCCTCCTCCCCGTCTCGGTAACAACCATGCGCACAAAATCCTTCAACAACCAGTAACTACTGTGCGCACTCAGCATCGTCAAATACTGAATGTCAAACGCGCCACCGCCGTAGCGCACGAAAAAGTCAATCTGCCCGTTGTCGTTGAGCAGGTACATGCGCTTCTCCGCCCGCTCTTCGCGCGTGAAGTTGTGCGTTTCCAGCTCAACATTGGAGGGCAGGCGGGGAAGGGTCGTGGTGGGTGTTGTTGAGGCGGTGTTTTTTGCGGCGGTGGGTTTGATGCTGGATGTTTTGCCGCTGAAGAGTGACGTTTTGGTTCCCACGCCGAACCAGCCCGGAGTGGCGGAGGGGATGTGTGCTTGTTTGAGACTCGCGGAGTAGGCTGCGTCGACGGCGGCGTTCATGCGGTAGGCAACGGGATCGTAGGGGTTGATGATGTTGTACACGTTTTCCACTGCTATGCAGCCGTATTGGCCGCGCTCGCCGCAGATGGTGCTGGTGTTGGATGAGGGATCCTCCAGGGCTACCGCGGAGGGATGATCGATTCGGGGGAGAAGCTGGGCTTTCTTGAGCAGGAGGAAGAAGCCGGCTGGCGAGCCTGCGAGGTAGAGGTTGGAGGTGTTGAAGAGGAAGTGTTCCAGATGCTCGCTTTCCAGGTTGATGGTGGTGGGATCGGACAGCCGGTCGGGAACGATGGTTGGCTGTCTTGACAAAATATCAATGGCCATGACACTCCCCAGACTGTGCGCAATGAGATGCACACGTCCGTTCTTCGCGAAGCCGGGATTGTTCTTGCACCACAGCTGGTACACGCGATTTGCCTCTCTAATCACCGCAGAGATCATCTTGCTCTGGTGGTGCGACATGTAGTACGGGATGTCCAGCATCACATCCGACACTATATTTCGCACCGAAGGGAGCGTCTCGGGCGTGATGTCAGCGAGAGAAAACTCGTTGACGGTCGAATCGTCGTCCCGATAGCCTCCTTCCTCGAAGGAAAGCGAATGTCTCCAGTTCACCGGTAACGCCATAATCCCGCCCAACCCATCTCGCAGTCGCGCGCGAATCTCGGGACTGCCGAGTTCCACGTTGATCTCACGGCGGAATGAATTGATGGCGTGGGTGAAGTGAAAGCTTTCATAGCGACTCGCCCATTTCTGCCCTATGCCGTGCACAATGAGTATCAGATCTGTGACTTGCGGCCGGTCTGCGTCTCCGATTCCCACATCGGCCTTGCTTGTGACGTGCGGCGGTATGGCCGGCGCTGTTGCGGAACTCGCCGCCGCACCCCTGTTCGCTTTCTCCGCTTTGGCTGTCGTTTTGGGCGGGTGTAATTTGTTCCACAGCGCTTGGTCGAAACCTCGAACGACGGCAATACCAAGTTTGTACCCTTTGCGGATGTAATTGGCAAGCGGTCTGCGGCCAAAGTATTCAGACGGCATCAAGCTGGGCTTGAGCAGGCGTGCTTCCTTCTTATTGGCATAAATGACTCCAAAGTCCGCAAAGGACCGGACTTGCCCTTGATAGCCGTATACCGGTGTTCCAGAGGCTTTGTTGTCGGCTCCGTTCGCTCCAGAAGCAATGTCGATGATTGCACACGCAGCTTGTACAGCTTTCTCTCGCGCCTGCTCTGGGGTGTCCGGATCCTCGACCAGCGCTGATGTTGCTTCCTGGACGATGTCATCGGTGAAGACGTCCGCCGTTCCGCGCCTGCTCACAGGACGACTGTCTGGCATTTGTTCTGGCCATAGCTTGTGCACAATTTTCATCTCGCCAGCCGCACCCACCTCTACGGCACTGTTGAGTTCATCCTTCCACGTCTCCGTCCAGACTTGCCGATCAACGTAGCCGGCTTCGAGCATATTCGCCACAGCCGTCTCCACAGGCAGCATCGTATCCTGATAAAACCATGTGCCCCTCACGACGGGTGCGGTGTCCTGTATGGGCGTCCAATAGATAGGCGTCATCTGCAATTCCGGCATTTCCACTTGGTGCAATCTCGAGACTCCCACCACGACTTTCGCGTGAGGATCTTCGTCTTTCTCCCGTACTTCTGGAGCAGGACTGTGTTCTGCTAGATGCGATGCGTCGTCCCATTCGTACGTATCGCGGGTCGCCATCTTCGGCCGCGCCGCTCTCTCTTCCTGCTGCAGCGCTCGTATCTTTGTCCGAGAAGGAGCTCGAATAAACGGATTGCCGGTAGTATTTGGCGAAGTGGAGACTTCAGCAGCCGTGATGGGTAAATGCGAGTCATCTGCTGCTCCCTCGTCCTCGTCCTCGGAATCTTCCATGATACCTGATCTCGCGGCAGCCGATCGAGCAACTCTAGAGCGGGAAGCAATCGAGTTGGTCGCCGAGTCTGATCGTCTCCGCCCATCCCTGACACTCCCAGCCCTCGCTCTCGTCCTACTCGTCTCCTTGCTCCTACTCCTCTCATTCTGCTTGCCCCGAAATTTCAAAACCCTCTGCCTCAACTCATGCCACGCCTTGTCCAAAGCAATATTGTCATATTCCGAGAAAGCCTTGGCCGGCTGCTTCGCCGAAGCACTTCCTTGCGTCGAAGGCGGCAACGGAGACAGCGGATCGTCGATGGGGACAGGACTCGCGTAGAAGAATCTCGCGCGGATGGGAGGGGGAGGCGGGGTGTTGTGCAGGGCTTTGCGGATGTATTGGTTTGCTTCACTGGCCATGCTTGCTTCGCTATCGCCGCGCGGACGAAGGAGGAGGCGAGAGGCGCTGGTCGGGTGTGTGATGTTGACTTGGTGGCATAGGTCGTTCGTTGGATGTGTTGTGCTTTCTCCAGAAAGTGGATGCCTACACCGAAGGTGCTACGTGGCTGACGACGGGACAAATTGCACCAGGAGCCGTCCGGCAGCTCTCTTCTATCACAACATTACCAATAGCCAAGGTAGAGGCGAGGTCTGCGGACGTGCTCGGAGCCATGTGATAGACATGCAGGAAGTTGGCAATTCGGTGCGTCGAAAAAGTCCGAACCCGCGTAGGTTGACGCGCCGCCAACTCCGAGTGACGTCGGTGCGGAATTCAGGCTCAACGACAAGGCTGACACACTCCACGTGATCAACCTTGCTTTGTTTTGATGAAGCGACAATAGATGACAGCCTTTCTCAACACCTACCATCCCCCAGCAACAGACCCATTCAACCCCACCGCCTGCAAAATCTTCTCGAACCGCGGCGTGCCCCAACCCGTCACCGCATCCCAGCCCTGCACAGCCGGGAAGCCCTTCGTCCCACACCCGACCGCACTGCCAATCGTCACGTCGGAGAAAGCCACATGGCCCTTCTTGTACAGCCAAGGATTGAGGAAGCCCATGGGAGGCTTGCCATGGGAGATCAGAGCGTCGTTCACCAGCGTGAAGACGGATGCGGCAATGGGTGCAGAGGCGGAGGTGCCGCCGCCGATGTTGCTGACTGTGCCGTTCCAGGCGATGGTGATGTTCTGGTATGTGGTGATTAGCAGCTTTACTCGACCGGTTGTTTGAGACTGGGCACTTACCACGCCGATGGCGGCCATGTCGGGGTACGCGCGACCGGACTTGTTGTAGAAGCCTTCGTACTTGTTGCCGAGCTTCTTCAAGTAGGCCGACACAGCTGCATCCTGATATGACGGCCGGCCGAAGACGTTAGAAAAGCCACCTCCGCTGACGAAGCCGTCGTGGGCCACAATCTCGGGGGCGAAGCCTTGCGTAGCTGCAACAAGAGCGCCCACGTTAGCCAATCTTATCCTTGCCGAAGCTGCTCATAGAGGTGTGAGACTTACCGCCGACGCTCGTGATATAGGGACAATCCGAAGGAAAGCCAGTCTCGAACTTCTTGGTGCCATTCACCTTGCAGTCCTCACCAACGCCACCATCACCACTCGAAAAGAAAACGGAAACACCACGAGCCCCCAGCTGCGCAAACTGCGAGCAAACGGCCCGAGCATAAGACAGCGGTACCGTATCCTCCCCATCCTCATAGCTAATCGACAACACCTGCGGAATAAACGTCTGCTTCAACAAGTACTGCAGCAGCGTCAAATACGGCTCATTGCCATCCTGCGGGCTCTGCTCCGGCGGCACGCCGCCCGTGGAGTACACGGTGGCCTGCACAGGCCAGGAGTTGCCGATGATGGCCTGGATATCGAGGTCGCCTTCGATGCCGAGCCCGGCTTTCTGTTGTTTCGGCGTGTCGTGGGCTTGCGAGATGGTGCCATTGGCGATGGACACGAGGTTGTAGGTCGCTGCTGCGCCCGCGGCCTCGGGGCGCACGGCTTCGAGGAAGATGCGTGTGTCGGAGCGGTTGACGACTTCGCCGTCGAATTCGCCGACGGCGGCTTGGTTTTTCGTGCCGGCTTGGGGTTTGTAGTTGATGCTGGGATTTCGTCAGCTGGCTGCAGTCGAGTCGCGTTTGAATGTAGTTACTACTCACGTCTCGTACAGAGTGCGAATACACTGCGGCGTAACAAACGAGCCATTGCACACCTTCGCCACAGTCGGCGACTCGCCATCAGCAAGCTGCACAACCGCCTCGCCGAAAACTTGGTTCACCGACCGAGGACTCGAGACGACCTGACCTCGTGGTCGCAAGAAGGAAGTAGTGGGTTGAATGGCAGCAATATGGTCATGCAGATGCAGAGGCAGACTCCACTCGTGCGTGCGCACCAGCTCAGAGCCATCTGCATGTCGGTACGTGGAGAACTTCGTGTCGAGCAGGCTTTCGACGTCCGCGATGGGCAGGCTGAAGCTCAGGAAGTCTCTGGCAGGGGAGTAGGAGATGCTCGTCGGGTCAACGTTGTGTTCTTGCAACCACTCGTGGACGAGAAGCAGAGCTTTCTCGCTCGGGCTGACCAGTTCGTTGACTTCATACTGGCTCAAATGCTGTCCATAGCGAGCGTGATCGGGATCGGAGACTATGCCATTGAGTCAGTCAAGTACTCTTCGTCGGCTTGGAATAAACCATTCACCTTCGAACAGATGCTGCTCTAATTCAGAAAATCGAGCCTGCGTCAGTCCCACCGAAAGAAGAACATGATGACTCTCCGGTGCATCTCCAACGCGAGTGAAGGTGCCGGGGACTGTATGCCGCTCTTTCACGGCATATCTACGCTCCAGCGGCGAGGCTGTAGCGAGACCGAGCAGGACCGCTCCAAATGTCAATGCTCGAATCATTGTCGCGAGGTGAGCTTTGGAAAGTCACGACAAACAGTAGCAAAAGCTTGTCAAATGCTTGTGTTCGTGAGACAGGTTGATAAATAGCGCTGGTCGCACCTTGGGCAGCGTTACATCGACTAGCGGGCCCGCGAAGCACCTCATCGCTGGACATGAAGTTGTTTCAGCCAATTGCAATTTAGCCTGTCGATCAACTAACCTTCATAGTAATTAGCACGCAACCCAATGAAAGTCCGGGGTCTTCGGCGAAACTTGCAGCATACGAGAGCTCATCAAATGTCGACATTGCGTTCTAATAACTGGACATGGCCGGTCCGGCTACACACAGCCTTCAGAAGCCATTGGCTCGTCAGTCCGCCACAGCAGGCTGCACATCCATCACACCTCGCCCAAACCACTCGCTCACAGTGCCAAACTTATCACTACTCTGATTCAACGCAAGCGTGAACAAATCATGCTTCCCCGCCCGCTCCAATTGAGCCCGCCGAATCTCCTTGACCGCCTCATTCTCCGCCGCGCACTTCGGACACTCAACATCATTCACACCCTGGCCTTCCCCGGTGTCCAAACACCGCTGATGGAAAGAGTGCTTGCAGAGGAAGTGTACGGTAGGCAGGTCGAGAGTGACGCCGCAGTACGAGCAGCGCGTGGCGTTGAACGCCGTCGGTTTGCTGGAGAGCTCGTCGATCTCCTGGAGTTTGTTCGTGGTGTCTTTTCGGTAGCCGGCGATGGCGTTGCGGTTGTCGGAAATCTCTTTCTTCTCCTTCTCTACTGTCGCGGATAGGTACTCCTTTACGAGCCCCATTGTCGCAACGGCGTTCGTGCTCAGCGTTTGGATGACTTGCAGCGGCGCCATCAGTCCGTCATCGCTGATCTTCTTCAACACCACCCCGACCTCCGACCCCGCCTCTTCTAAGATCTCGGGTGAGCTGGTGAAGTATGCGAGCGCCGCAGGGTATAGCTGAGGCTCCTCTGGGCCGTATTTGTGTAGCGCCTTGATCGCGCCACGAGTGTCGAGGGCAGTGGTGTACGATCGAAACACATCAAAGCGCCGTCCTTGCTTTTCGCTGACCAAGATTGTGCCGTCCCGGAACTTCTCAAGATCGGAAAGCAGTAAGACGCTGGAAGTGTCGATCGGCACGCTCTGCGATTCAATCAACACTCTTGCTTTACGCTCCCACTCCGCCTTCTCGCTTCCAGTCGTGTTGCTTGCTTTGTGCAAGTACATCTCGAACAGCGACGTGAACAGATCAGACTTGTCCTCGGGCTTCACGTTGTCACTCTCAGTGCATGCCTCGAGGAAGACGATGAACTCATCGGCGTGGTCCACAAACGCAGGGAATGCGGCGCGAGGCTTCGGGATCTCGTACTCGATAAAGTCGGCCTCGGTCGTTGTCTCTACGACTTTATTGACCATGGTTTTTGAGCCGTCCTCCGGCGTCCGTGGTTTCGAGGTGTTCATACTCATGTAAGGCAGCGGAATCAAGGCAGCCAGGTTCTGGACCGCAGACTGTGCAATGGTGCCGAAGCCGCCACTTTCCTGCGCGGCGGGTGCTTCTTGCACAATCAAAGCGTCTTTCTTCGGCTTGAAGACACCGGTGAAGTAATCGATGAAGAGCTGTGTCGCATCTCTCCCGCAATGCTCAAGCAAGACCACGCCATACCTCATGAAGATCGGGTAAGCCGTGGTCGGCTCCAGTCTTACAATGTAGGCAAGTGCCTCTGCGTACTTCTTCAGATCTTCCACCAGAATATCGACAACGAGGCTGTGCTCATTGTGTCGCCTGGCCAGGAAAGCAGCCTGATCGTAGTAGCCGCCTTGTCTGCACATCACGATGGCCGTGTCCAGATCAAATTTGAGGTCACCAGGTTGCCGAATGAATGCCTCGAGCTTGTCGATATTCTCCAGCTTTGCGTAGCAATTCAGCAGGAGCGTCGTGTGATCTGAAGTCGCTTTGCCATGTTCATGCAGCTCTTCGAGATATTCAATCAAATGTTTGATTGTTTGATTGTCCAGGAATTTGCGGATGATATGCGAGGGTTCAGTGTTGTCAATTGCGCTCAAGTATTGCTGCATGGCCGTGTCGTAATCACCCTTTTGATAGAGGTAGTCGCCAAACTTGCGATAGATGATATTCTGCTGTACTTTGTCGACTCTGTATTTCTGCGCCATGTTGATAGCCTGGGGAAACAAATTGCGCTGGTAGAGAATGTCCAGCTTCTGCTGGAACGTCTTTTCATGGTAGCGGTAGACTTTGCCATCGATCGTGAAGAGAAAGATGTCGCCCCACATGCTGAGCAGACATTTCACCTGGCTGGATAGAGATTCTTGGTGGGCGATGAACCGGAGATCGGTGTTCAGAATTGTAAGGCTCGAGGTGTTGAGAATGTCGTCTGCTTGCGAGCCCGCAAACGCTCGCAGTGGGGCGGACTTTGTCAAGCCGCTCTTGGGAGGGGAGACGAGGAGCACGTAGTCCTTGCTAACCTGCACCAACTTCTTCGCACCTTGGTACGCGTACGTGGTGGGCGTTGAGCGAGGTCTGTAGAAGTAGATGGCATCGTCGCGAGCGACCACAATGTCGTTGGACTCTGGTTCGAGTGTCATACAGCCAACATCACATCCATGTTCGTCAACCGACTTGGCCGGGGTGCCCTGACGGTTGCCGGTGATCTGTAGGGCCAAGATGCGGGAAGTGGTCGCGATGTACAGAGCGGTGATATTGGCTTCTCGAAACTCCAGTCCGGTAATTGGCTCCTTGGACTCAAAAACGGTACGTTGTTTCGTGCCTCTGTCGTGAATAAAGTCCCCACGCACCACAGTCACAGCACCATTGCCAAACCCTACGGCCAGCTGTGTGACATCATTCGTCACCGCGAAAGCAGTGATGGGATCATTCTTCCGGCCATTCTGGACCGTGAGCGTACATAGGCACCTGGGATGGCCAGTCCGCCTTTCAATCTCATCCAAGTTCCAGACCTTCAATTCCGGTTCCTGGGTCAGGTCTTCAGCAGTGGTAAAGACATAGGCCGTTCCCGGGACTTGTTTGATGTTGTTGACTACCCCATACTGATGCGCCTTCCAGGATCGCGTCACCTTGAAGTTCTGGTCCAGGCAGTGCACCAAACCATGAGGCGTGCCAACGAATATATTACTAGAGCCGGCTTCTATGCATGAGGCGCTCGTTTGCTGGGGAAGTCAGTGGATGTGTTGCGCAAGAGGCGTAGACCTACTCACATCAAGCGCCACGGATCCGTCTCCTTCAGGAAGCTGAACCTGGGAGACATCGAAGAAGCGAAACAACTTCCACTGGGAACGGAGGTCAGTCACACGATGCTGCTTTCGGACAGCAGCTACCTACCGATGTCAGCGCCATGCTATCGAGCCATGCCAGTACGGGGTGTATGGTTCACGAGGTAGCGGGTGGATCTGAAGTTCGTGATATGGACAGCGACTTTTGCCACCTGGCCAAGTGTTTTGACTCTCAGTCTCACCCTCAATACACGACCGCACCTCACGCGAAATGCCCTTCGCGTCCAATCTCGATCTCCATTTCAAACTAGAATCTCGCAAAAATGGAGGAGGACGAAGACGACTTCTATGGGGGTGCGGGTAACGGCGCGCACGGTACTGAGGGTGTCGCCTCACCGGGAGACGATGAAGTCAAAGCAGAACGGATGGACTACAGCGACGGCAACGATGAAGAAGAGGAAGAGGACAGTGATGATGTACGAACGCTGACAAGGAGGACTTGTTTCACCGTATTCTAATCGCTGTCGTTTCACAGGATGTTCAGTTCACATTAGAGAAACCGCCGGACGCCCCCAAAACAGAATCCACGTATGTATACTCCTCCAATCTCGTCACAACACACGCCCCTCCTAAATCCTCCACAGTCCCACAACACGAACAACACGACAACAAGCCGCCTCACAAGAACGCATCTCATCCACCGACCCCCGCCAATCACGCTCCACCCCACCAGTAAAATCCGAGCAGCGCGCCCCATCAACCAGCACCCCGGCCCCACCCACCAGCATCAAAGGCATCCTCAACCACGACGGCAAAGAAGGCAAAGACTTCCCCGAACACCGCCACAGCAAAGTCGACGTCACCGCGACACCCACTTGGCCCGCAACCGGGAAACCCATCACCGAACTCGACCTAGACGCCGACATCGCCGAGTCGTCGCGCCTCTGGCGCCTCCCCGGCACGGACCAGACGGACTTCTTCAATTACGGCTTCGACGAGTACACGTGGGCGCAGTACTGCTTGCGGCAGCAGAGTATGTCCGACGCCATCTCCGACCAGAAGCAGCAGGATGCGCAGATGAAGGCCATGTTTGGCGGCGGCGGCGCGAATGGGAATGCTGCGGGCCCGAACGCAGGTATGCCGCCTGGCATGCCGCCTATGCCGGGCATGCCCAGTCCAGATGAGTTCTTCCAGCAGATGATGGCCTCCGGTATGAATCCAGGGGACCAGAACCAGTTCATGCAGATGATGATGGGGGGCGGCATGCCGGGCATGCCCGGTGCACCGTCAGGTCCGTCGAATCAGCAGGGCGGTGGATTTGGGGGAAACACTGCTTCGCCTCAACCGCCTATGGGACAAGGGTTTCAACCGCCGTCGGGCCCTGGAGGCATGCAGGGGGATCAAGGGTTTGGTGGGAATACGGACGGGTATAGTGCGCAGCAGCTTGCCATTATGCAGCAGCAGCAAGGAGGAGGAGGTAGGGGACGTGGAAGGCGAGGACGTGGATATTATTGAAGGAAGCATTTGTTTCACGATTGAGTATCTGGAATCAGCCATCATGAAACAGCCTGGTGAACCAGGCTGGTCTCAGAGCCACTCATCTTGAACCGCTTCTGCTCCAAGCATGTGTCATGTATTGACACGTAGTACGAGTCCTGCGGAAATTGCATCAGAACGAAGAGAGTCGCTTTTCCTATGCCATCCAGCACCGATACTCCATCCCGCTCGCTCCAATTCACTCCATCGTACTCATCAACCGCCCACCTACTTATCAAACATCGACGAGCTCAAGCCAGATGCCATCGCCCCCTTGAATGAGCTTGAGTAGCTCGCCTCGAGATCCCACCTCCCGCTCGCCTTGGATCGAGATTTGTTGCTCTGCGTGCTGCCTGTGTGATCCATAAATTAGCATTGAACTCCCGTGATTGACACTCTCGACTGCTTACCTCTCCTACTCCCCTCGGCTTCAAGTCGGTGCTTGGGAGTCGCGGCGCCATCGTGGCGTCTTGTAGGCGAGGGCGGCGGTAAGTGAGTATCGGCCGATGCAGCAGTTCTCGTAGGAGCGCCAGTGAACCCGCGCAGACCGGGTTCACTCGAGCGGCGCGCGGATCGTGCACTAGTTGCGGGCGATGTGGCGTTTGATGCGCCTTTCGTCTCCTTCCTCAGAAGGTCTCTTTCTCGTAGCGCGATCTCGAATTCAAATTCCCTGGATTCAAACTCATGGATCCTGCTCAATGCACGCTCCAGCTTCTCCCTCACGGCCTGCAGCTCCTCCAGATCGCGCTGGGCAAGTAGAAGCCGATGTCCGGTGTTTGTCTCGCGGTTTTCACTAGTGACGAGCAGAGTACGGTACTGCCTCACCTCCGCCCGCAAGCGTCGCAGCTCATCCGCATCCGCTTGCCAAGTCTCCTGCTCGATCTTGAGACTGTTGAAGCGCTCCGTCATGTTGGCTTCCAAGCTATTGGCTTGTCTTCGAGTGAGAGCAGAGTCTTTGATTGTAGCTTCGCGAGCTTTGCGGAGCTGCTCGAGTTGCTTCTTGAGAGCGCGGTTGGCGTTGATGAGGTTCAGTGTTTCTGCTTCTACCGTGGCGCCTTTGATGTTGCGTCGCATGATCTGGCCGATGTGTTGGGAATATTGTGCTTTGTGCCAGCGCTCAAAGTTGAGCTCGTTGCGAATGGTGGAGAGCTCGCGCTGTAGAAACTCGATATTTGTTTGAGGGGGTTCAGTCGGCTTCTCTTTGACGGCGTCTAACGGATGTTGCTCATGGAGGGTTTCTTCGTCGCCAAGCATGCTGCGAGGCCTGACGATGGGGCTATCGGTCTTCCCTTTGACAGATGCTGTAGTCGATTGTGTATCGCGCCAGCTAGCACTGGACCGGAGACTTGTCTGACTTGCGGTGGGAGACAATTGTCCATTGAGCCTCATGGTCTCGTGACGCATTTGTAGCGCCCCGGGTAGCTTGGTGATCGATGATGGCGCAGAGTTCTTCGCTGACGCCCTTGAATGCATGCATAGGGCTTCGCATTCTCCGACCACGTCCGCGGGGTCCATCTTTGGCCATTTCGGATCGACGAGCTCTTCTTCCGCCGTGGTGTTGTAGAAGTTAGGGTGGAGGAGATGAACCTCTCGAAACTGCTCAGTGCGAGAGCGAATGACGGTCCGATCCAGATCAAAAGATTCGGCGCCCGGGAATTCGATGTTTCTAAGATACCGCCGTGGCTTTCGAACGTAGCTCATGAGATTGAGAGGGTAGAGGCCGTACAAAGATGTGAAGTAAGTCATGATCTCTGGCGTGGAGGCTTCCATTGTGCCTTCCGGCGACCTCAGTCGTTGCCAACTTGCATCCATGCCCACGGATCTCACGACTCCATCAGAATCCTCGTCTTCGTCCTCCGGAGATACACGGTCGTCGGTCACCAGGCTCTTTTGCTCTTCCGTGCTGAAGTCGCTGAACTTCTCCCAACACAGTAGCCTGGTGTAGACGAGGAAGCATCGCGGTAGATGAGGGCCGAGTGAGCCTGGAATATGAGGCAGCAACATGATGAGGGAGGTGAGTGCAATTGAGAGGACAGCAGTATATGTGTCGTTCATGAGACATGTCAGGAGACTTCCGACGAGGGGTGTATCCAAGACAAGGTAGAGGTGGGGAGTTTCGTGTCGGAGAAAAGAGGTCAGGAGTGACAGCGATCGCAAGCGGGTGTCGGATGTGATGATGTAGGTGTCGAGCAGATTGAACAGGTCCTTTGGTTTCTTCCGGCCGAACGCAATCAGGACGTCTTCGACCTGTTGGGCTACCTGGGCATTGTCTGACGCCTCAAGCGGATCGGAGGTGGCCAAGATGCTGGTTCGGTCGGAGTAGATGTCCCATAGCCTTTTGCATATTTCCCCTGAACGCTGGGCCTGTGAAGTAATGTCTTCCTGCTCTTCATCGTACAGCATAAACCCGATCAAGAACTCTGCAGCATCCTCGACAGCTGTTTTGGCATGACCGGTACTGTTGAGGATGGGAAATGCGAGCGTATTCGTCCAGCGTTGTACCTCACTATGCGCAATCGCAGGTCGCAATTCCCTCACCACCCCCATGAACATGCCGAATTTCTGCGGTGTGTCTCGGACATATTTCTCCCAAAATCCCTTGAGGTATAGATTGGCCGGCTGCGCATCATCGGTCTCGGACTTGTCGTCGAACTCGTCGATGAAGCTTTGGAGCATGCGGCGGGTTTCGGCAGGGAGGGAGAGGAGGGATTTCTTCGCGTTGAAGTCGGTCTGGAGGACTTTGGTGATTTCTCTTAAGGCGCTGTGCATCACTTAGCGTTGCGAGCTTGCGCAGAGAGATGAGCGAGTGACACCCTACCGCGTATCCATGTTTGCGGCTGGCAGACTATTGCAGTAAGCGAGTGAGAGTCAATGGCAACGGGCCAGCTGCGGTGTTGAGTACTATCATGGCCAATGGTTGCTGCAGCCGTCTTGTCGTGCCGATAAGAGCTGGTGTTGATTAGGGAATGCCGATGTCCAAGGGGAAAAGAACAAGACGAGCTGAAGTTGCACAAGAGATACACGCGCTTGAGAAAGAATGACAAGTTCGCTGTCCGTACGCACGTAAGTAACAAGAGAGAAAGCAAGATATTGGCTTGTCGCAAAGGCAAGTCAAGCCGCCGGCATCTTATCGTTTGGACGAAGCGTGAGGTCAGAGATGACGATGCGTAACACGCGCAATTGGCTGGATGCCTGAGGCAGCAAATATGACTTCACCCGCGCCGATCATGTAACGGCCGAGAAGTCGGGGTAACATCAACGACCCCGGACGAATCTCCGCTGCCCGTCTCTCCAAGCTCTCCAACGAACGGCCGTATAACTGTGAAGTCAAACTCAGCCCCGGGTAACGTAGAATATATAAGGGGTGGAGTAAGTCGCTGTTCTTCATCTCCTCCAAATCCATTCCATTGAAGAGCAATACAACAATCTTGTCCCTACCGATAACCGTTACATCCATATCTCCCACTCACCATAACAATGTCTGCCCGTGGCCAAGAATTCCAGCCTCTCTTCCCGCCGCAGGAAGAGAAGCCCACATCCGCATTTGCGAAAGGCCAGGCTTTCCCCTTCACCGTATGTCCAAATCCCTCTTTCCCTTACTCTGATCGTGGCTCATACAATGTCAACAGTACGTCCGCGACAACTTCAATATCTCGACATGGCTCTGCTTCGGCGCGTTTGTGCAGACCACTCTCTTTATAATCGCCGACCGCTTTGGTCTGGGCCGCGTCGCTCTGCTCCCCGCCATCGCCATCTTGGCATACAAGACCGCCGACGCCTACCTCATGTCCATCGGCTGGAAGAAGAACATCTACATGGACGGCGTGATCCAAAAGAAATACAGCTCCGCCTTTCCCGACGCATCTGGACGGTACGGCAACAAACCCGCCGACAGCGAAATCGTCGTCTTCCTCATCGGCACGAGATGTAACCACCCGCTCGGCATCCTCGCGCCTGGCGTGAAAGACATCGTGTCTTACTTCTCTTCCATGGCGACCGATCTCGACAAATATCGGGAGGAATTCGGCTTCCTCGGCATGACAAGCTGGATGAACAGCTCCGACCGCACGACCAATTCCGAGATCATGGAAGTGGGCTACTTCCGAAGCATCGAGGGCTTGCACAAGTTTGCCCATTCCAAGTACCATCGTCCAGGGTGGGATTGGTGGAATAAGCACCACAAGACCTACCCGCATCTCAGCATCTACCATGAGACCTATCACGTTCCCAAGGGCCACTGGGAGAACATCTACGTTAACAGCCACGTCTCGGGAATCAATACGACAATGACAAACTTCACGGATGAAATGAGCGGGAAGCAGATGTGGGCTTCGCCGATTGTCGATGCGAGCAAGGGGTTGTTGAAGACGTCGGCAGGTCGGATGAGCAGGAGTAATGCCACTGAGCATGATCATCTTGCTGATCCATACGCGGATCAATGAATCAATGTTTAAGACTCGGGTTCATGTAAAAATTTAGAATACACCAAAAATTACCGCCATGCGTCTTGTTAAATTACTCGTTTCCTCTTCGATTTGAACGGTTCTCAGAGTATTCATACGAGCCCATCGGCTCACTGCAAAACGTATACGAAGCATCGAAGTTCTGCAGGCTGCACGTGCAACACAACTTTCCCGAAGGCTCCAAAAAGTAGCTAGGGCGTAGAGAGGCCCAGAGGTAAAGGTCGTACCCGGAATCGACTGCAACAGCGGTCAGCTAAAGCCTATGGGCTTCAGGGTACTAGAGAAAGAACGAACACCGGGGTTCCCGGAAGGTTCTGGCATCACGCAGTCCAAAGACCACGAGATTATTCAGAATCCGATGTGATAACCGCTACACTATACAACCGTATATTGCAGCCAATAGAGACTGAGTGGGGCAAGGCCCAAATCAAACATAATCTATAGTGAAATTTACCCGAGGCTTCGCCGACGATATGAGTCTGTCTACGTAGCAGCACAGCTGTCTATATTGCTCATACAACAGGCACTAAGGCCCATGAGAATGCTTGCGCTCTATTGAACAATTCTCCCCGAGTCCTCGTCGAATCCGTGGTGATACATAGCGCAACTGTGGACTCGAAAATCCGTCTCGTCTCGCAACCCCACCCAAAGGCTCCGACTTCGTCATTGCTCGACCCATTGGCTTTCACCACAACTCTCACTTTCAAAAACTCCACACTCTGCCCAACAGCATACGTCGTCCATCACACACATCTCTTCGTATGACGAGCCACGGCAGCCGCCTCTTCCTACGCACTTTACAATCAACCCTCCATCGTCCCACCAACCCCACCAAACCCCTCTACACCATCCTCACGCCCCGCAGAACCATGGCCTCCGCAATGACCAAACGCCTCGAAGGCAAGACCATCGTCATCACCGGCGCCTCCTCAGGCATAGGCTGGTCGACAGCGAAAGAGTTCGCACGCACAGCGCCGAAAAACCTCAAACTGGTCCTCACAGCGCGGCGCGAGGACAAAGTGAAGCAACTCGCCGAGGAGATCAAGAAAGAAGTCGGCGGCGGCGTGCAATGCCTCCCCTTCAAAATCGACATCAGCAAAGCGGACGAGGTGCGGAGCTTCGTCTCCCGCCTGCCCAAGGAGTTCCAGGAGATTGATGTCCTCGTTAACAATGCCGGTTTGGTCAAGGGCGTGGACAAAGTGGGGGATATCAAAGAGGAAGACATCCATTCCATGATCGACACCAACGTCCTCGGCCTAATCAACATGACGCAAGCCGTGCTGCAAGTGATGAAGAAGCGCGGGGAAAGCGGGCAAGGCGACATCATCAACATCGGCTCCATCGCCGGGCGCGAGGGCTACCCGGGCGGCGCCATCTACTGCGCCTCCAAAGCCGCCGTGCGCACCTTCACCGAGGCCATGCGCAAGGAGTTTATCGCGTCGCGCATTCGCATCATCGAGATTGATCCCGGCCAGGTGGAGACGGAGTTTAGTCTTGTGCGCTTCTACGGCGACAAGGAGAAGGCGGACAATGTGTACAAGGGGGTGACGCCGTTGACGGGCGAGGATATTGCGGAGATGATTGTGTTTGCTGCTGGCAGGCCGGAGAATGTCGTTGTCGCGGATATGCTCGTCTTTCCCAATCACCAGGTGAGTGGAGTGCTTTCTCTTTTCCTTGGTTTGATGGAAGCTGATACGTTGGCCAGGCTTCTGCGCAGGTCATGCACCGCAAATCATAGAGTGTGGAAGACTGACTGCTGCTCTCCCATCAGGCTGGCGTGCATTCGCTGCACCGGAAAAAGCCTACTGCAAAAGAGTCGAAGATGTAGATGGACCAATTCAAAGAATTTTGATGTTGCACGAATATGTACATTCCGATGTACGCTATATATCTATTTCGTGGGGTCCAAGACCAACTTACCCGTGCTTTTCCTGCCCTGCAAATCCTCATGCGCCCTCTTGATGTCGCTCAATGGATACACCTCATGGATCCGCACATCAATCTTGTGCTTCACCATGACGTCCAACAGCTCATTCGACCAATGCTCAAACTCCTCCCGCGTGACGAGGTAGTTGAACAGCGTCGGCCGCATCAACCGCACATTCTTCGGCGACAGCCTCGCCAACGTGACCGGCGCCGGCGCACCCGACGCATTGCCAAAAGAAATCATACTCCCCAAGCGCGCCACGCACTCGAGCGACAAATCGAAGGTATCCTTGCCCACGCCATCGTACACGACGGCAACACCCTTATCCCCCGTCAACTCCATCACCTTCGTCTTGACGTCCTCCTTGCTGTAATTAATCATATGCGTAGCCCCATACTTCGTCGCGAGATCAATCTTCTCCTGCGTCGACGCCGTCCCAATAGTATTAGCGCCAACAGCCTTCAGCAACTGGCACAGCCAAAGTCCCACCCCGCCCGCAGCAGCATGCACAAGCACCCAATCGCCCTTGTTAACACGGTGCGATTCCCGAATGAGCGTCAGCGCCGTGAGACCCTGCAGCAGCGCCGCGGCGCCAATCTTCTCGGACAGGTCGGCGGGCAGCTTGACGGCTTTGGCGGCGGGAACCGCGGTGTACTCTGCGTAGGCTGCTTCGGCCATCCAGAGCACGCGGTCGCCTTCTTTCATGCCGTGCGTTTCGCCGCCGCCGCTGGCTACGACTGTGCCGGCTGCTTCGCGGCCGAGGGTGTAGGGCCAGTGGGGGACGGGGTAGAGGCCGGAGCGGAAGTAGCTGCGGGGGTCAATCAGCAGGAGGCTCAATTGGGGGTGTGGGAGTTGCTTGTTGGAAGACTCACGTGTCGATAAAGTTGATGCCGATGTAGTCGTTCTTCACCAGGATGTGGTTCTGCTTCACTTCTGGGACGGGGACATCGGTCTTGTATTGGAGGACTTCCGGGCCGCCATTCTTCTCAATGATCACGCCCTTCATAGTTTTTCGGGACGGAGGCCATGGTTCTGATGTTGGAATTGGAGATTGGCGAGGCGGAGAGGTGGGAGGAGACGGCGGTGATGCGGCGAGTGGAGGCGGAGAGACGAGAAGCGAGTCTGGTCGAGAGGGACATTCACAAAGTTGAGGGTGAAGATGTTTTGAAGCAATTATGGATGTGTTGAAAGAGGAGATTTTTCAATTGAGAAGTACCGTCCTCGGCTCGGATGTGGTTCCTGGTGAACAATCAAAAATCACAAGAAAAACACCCTGGACCCATTGACGCAATACTGCCATTGCCCCTCCTTCTGTCATTCGTGGGGTGTCGTTCGCTCCACCTTCCTAAATCTCGGAAGGAAAGACAACCGAGGCCGATGCCGGCAACACTTCATCTCAATCCAACTCATCCAGCTCACCCTCCTCACGCTCCTCTCCTATCCCACCATCTCCCTCCACCAGTACCCCATTGTCACGATTCATCACCCGCACCATCCACTCCTTGGGCGGCCCAGGCTCCTTCCACTCGCAAATCTCCTCATTTGCCAACCATGTAAAGAAGCTCGCATAGACAGCGGCAATGTGATCGATCCACTTGACACCGAGATCCAGCTTTTTGACGCAACACTCCATCTTCATGCCTGGCACGCAGTACTGCAGTAGATCATCGTCTACGAGGAACTCAAACTCTTCCGGCCCTGGTTTGGAGGACGGGAGGAGATCACTCGGTGCCGCGTGAGGAGCTGCCCAGCGCTTGCAGTGTAGCTTGCCCATTGGTCGGATGAATGTGTTTTGCAGTGCTGTGGAGTTGTAGACTGTGGAAGCTTCTGCGTTGGCGACTTCAACTCTCGTGATTTCTAGGCCAAGTTCTTCCGATGAGATGACTTTGAAACTGTTGCTGCCCTGCTCTGCTGCTTCTTCAACCTGACGAAGCTGCGCTTCCGTCCCATGGGCGAAGATGCCGGCTTTAAAGACACAGTCTGCATTGACCTGTGACCAGCCGAGATTGTCATCCGCTCGTGCCCAGTCGTTGCCGGCGGCGTAGAGATTGGAATAACGGCCTCCAAACAGCGTAGAACACGCGACGTTGAAGCCGCCGGGAAGTCCTTGATCGACTTCTTTGAGCATCGGCAGCTCTGCCTCCGCGTCGTCGCAGACCTTTCGAGCCGCAACTAGCTGCACCCCATACTCCGGACACACATCGTGCAGAAGCAGGTAGTTGTAGAAGTTGCGCAGCACGTTCGTCGCCGTCTGGACCATCTGCAAATCATACCAGTGAAAGTGACGCATGAACTGGGAGGAGAGGAACCCCCTAGCAACAGCCGCGAAATCCACCTCCCACGTCACCGCACCGCCAAACTCGCTCTCGTGCAGTCCGTCCATCACTCGCTCGGCGACGCCGTAGTTGGACGTCAGCTCCGCCAGCTCCTTCTTCGTGTACTCCTCCATTGACTTCTCATCCAGCCCGCCGATGAACTGCCGCTGTCCACACGCCATTCCGCCAAACACCATGAACTTGTCGAAGATCTTCCTCGTTTGCTGATGCATTTTGCGTCTGGCGCAGAAGTGCGTAATGGCCGTTTCGATGCGCGAAGCAAACGAGATGTCGGGGTCGTACTCGCCGCGATCGCGAAGGTACTCTTCCGGTCGAATGGGTCCTTCAGCAACGTAATCCTCGAACCCCGTGGGCTTCATCAACGCCTTTGTGAGCCATGGTTTGTCCTCCGGCACCACCGTCTTCTTCCTATCCCGATCCACCTTGGGCGCGACCAACAACCCGGTCGTCAGTGGAGTTTTGCGCGACAACCGCTTGCCATCCTTGGACACTTCGACCAACGTGCTTTGGCGTAGGGCCTCGCGGACCGCAGTCTTGGGCTTGAATGGCCGCATTTTCTTGAAACCGCAGATTTCGTTGAGACTGACGCTGCCATTGCCTTCTTTGAAGAGGCCGAGCAGATGGACATCGTGGGGGAGGTTTTCGTCGCTGAAGTAGAATTCGACTTGGCGGATGATTTCGGCGGTTTGGGGGTGAGCGGCTGGAGTGGTTTCTTGCGTGCCCTGTAGGTTGGGTGCGAGAGTGATCTCTTGCATGGTCGTTGAGGCCTCTGGCTCCGTGGCTGGGATGGTTGCCATTGTGGAGTGATTTGTCAAGAGAATGAAAGTGATATGGAGAGCGGAAGTTGCACACAGTGAACGATCAAAGTGAAGAGAATGAGGAAAAGGGAGAGAGAAGGAACGAGTGCTACTTCACCGTTTGATGTGTTTGCTCATCACATGCTGCTTGCCGTCCAACACATGCAGCCTCCCGCTTCGCTCCTCGCATCACGAGAGTGAGCTGTACTGAACTTCGACTACACAGACGTCCACCGCGGGTCGTCAACATCTGTATGTTTGTAGATGTATCGTAGAGAACAAGAGAGGCAAAGATGTACAGAGCGGATTGGCCGGAAGGCAAGTCCAGCCCCGTTCCTTGACATCCACCGCGCACGCAAACTTTAACGAACGACATGTTGATCTTCTCCACTCAACACTCAATATGCCTCCAACAGCCTTTCACATATGATGTCACGCCAACACTCATCCCAAACACTTTCCACTTAACCCCGTCCCACCAGCGAATGGACCCCTCTCTCAAATGGTGACCTAGGTACCTGCACACATCACAAACCATGGCCGAGACCAAACAAGCCCTCGACGCAGCGACGCTCAAAGCCTTCGAGCACGCCGCCGCAGGCCACGATGGCGTCCTCTCCTCCGCCGCAGGCGACCTGCTCATCAAACCCTGCACGCAGGCAGAGGTAGACTTCTACCAGTCCACGCTCACCCAACACCCGGACTTTGCAGAAATGATGCCGACCTTCCTGGGCACACTCACGCTCGGCGAACCAGCTCAACTCACCAATCCAACGGCTCTACACGAACCCGCGGAAATCCTACGCCAGCAGGACGCTTCCGGGACGGGCCAGCCGGGCAAAAAGCTCAAAACGGATACGGCGATTGTGCTGGAGAATCTCGAAGCGGCGTTCCGCCACGCCAACGTGCTGGATCTCAAGCTCGGCGCGCGGCTGTATGCCGACGGGACGGAGGCGGACAAAGCTGCGCGGCTGGACCAAGTGGCGGCCGAGACGACGAGCGGGTCGTTGAACTTCCGCATTGCGGGCATGAAGGTGTGGAATGGGGTGGAGTACGACAAGTACGACAAGCTATACGGCCGGAAGTTCCGCGCGGGCAATGTGCTGGAGGGGTTTGCTACGTTTTTCGCGGGGCTGAGTACGGCGTTGGAAGCGCACGAGGCGCAATTGCTGCTTGAGACAATTTTGGCCGAGGTCGCGAAGGTGCGGCATATGCTGCAAAAGTACGAGTCGCGCATGTACAGCGCGAGTGTGCTGGTGGTGTACGAGGGGGATGGGGAGGCGTTGCGGGCGCTGATGAGCGGGGGTGGAGAGGCGAAGGTCAAGACTCCGATGGCGGATGAGCGGGCGCCGACGGAGGCGGAGGTGAAGGAGAGTGTGGATCAGGAGGAGGAGGAAGAGGAGGAGGATGGGGGTCCGCCGGTGGCGTTCAAGGTGCGGGTGATTGATTTTGCGCATGCGGAGTGGACGCCTGGCGAGGGGCCGGATGAGAATGTGCTCAAAGGGTTGAACAGTATTGAGGACCAGCTGGATGATTTGATCGCGCGGTTCGACTGAGCGCGAGCCATGTACGATGCGACTTTGTGGGAAGGACAGGGGAAAGTGGCTTGAAATGCGTTCATTATACCCAACCAGCGAAAGACGGAATAGACGCAAAAAAGCTACCTCTGAATGCCAAACTCTTTGAAAATGGCGTCCGAATGCTGTCCCACGCTGGGAATCGGATCCATCCGCACTTCAAACCCCTCCGCCGCCCCTGCGGGCTTCAAAGCCGGAATCATGCCCCCCGGACTGTCCACCTCCGTCCAGCGATCGCGCGCCTTCAGCTGCGGATGCGCCCACAGGCCCGCCATATCGTTGACCTTTGCATTCGCGATGCCCGCCTTCTGCAGGCGCTCGAGCATGTCGTCAGCGGAGAAGTCGGCAAAGGCCGCTTCGATAATGGCCTTGAGTTCTTTGCGGTTCTTGGAGCGCAGCGCGGTGCTGGTGAAGCGCTCGTCCTTGAGCAGCTCCGTGTTCTGCAGCACTTGGTTACAGAAGATACCCCATTCGCGCTCGTTCTGCATGCCTAGCATCACCGTTCCGCCGCCGCCGGTGTCGAAGGGGCCATAGGGGTAGATGGCTGCGTGCTCTGCGCCCGCGAGGGGTGGCGGTGGCGCGCCGTCGTAGGTGTAGTAGAGAGGGAACGTCATCCACTCCGCCATGCTCTCCAACATGCTGACGTCGAGCCTGCAGCCCTTGCCCGTTTTGTTGCGCTGCAGGAGCGCAGCGAGGATGTTGTTGTACGCCGTGACGCCCGCGGCGATGTCTGCGATCGAGATGGCGGATTTGGCGGGCAGGCCTGGCGAGCCGGTGATGGAGAGGAAGCCCGACTCGGATTGGATGAGGAGGTCGTAGGCTTTCTTGTTGCGGTACGGTCCCGTGCTGCCGTAGCCGCTGATGTCGCAGACGATCAGGCCCGGGTGCTTTTCTTTGAGCGTTTCATACCCCAGTCCCATTCGCTCGGAAGCGCCAGGGGCAAGATTTTGCACCAGGACGTCGGCCTTGGCTACAATCTTCTTCAACGCGGCGAGGTCGTCGGGCTGCTTGAGATCCAGCGCCACGCTCTCCTTGCTGCGGTTCGTCCAGACGAAGTGCGAGCATTGCCCGGCGACGCGCGTGTCGTGGTGGCGATTGAAGTCCCCCGTTCCCGGCCTTTCGACTTTGATCACGCGCGCCCCGAGGTCTGCGAGTTGGCGGGTGCAGAAGGGGCCGGCTATGGCTTGTTCGAGGGAGACGACAATGGTGCCGGAGAGGGGCAGGTCTTTGGATTGAGGCGAGGAGGCGATTGGAGCTGCGTGTTGGCGTGGGATGGAGTATGACAGGCATCGGGATTGGAGGCTGCTTCTGGGGTGGATAAATCGCTCATATCGCCCTGCCAGGGTCAGGCTGTTGGTGCTGGCCACCACTCCCGGGCGAGAGATGGCCGGCTTGATGCATGTTTGCACCGGGCGTAAAGCAAGAGACAGTCTGGGCCGCATGATAAGCAACGCAATCGCACTACATAAGAAATCGTTGGAGGATGTGTTGGTGGAAGGTATGTGATCGAATGTACAGGAGTTGCGGAGGTGGAGGCGACATCGGGGCCGATGGACCGCATTGGAGGTACAGCCGAGTTGCCGACGATACGACGATCAGGTTGCCGTGGCTTCTTCGATCATGGTATCACCCAGTCAGGAGTAGTATCACCCAGTCAGGAGTACAGCAGCAGGCGCGACAAACTGGCCATGTTTTCCTCGCTTCTATATCGAATATACACTCGATTTCGGAGCATTATCGTGCAGTTGTTGACGATTGCATGCCCGTCTTCTGGCGTGCACTCGCATCTTCCACTCTCAACCACGCTAGCTGAAACCGGTCTAGTCGCCGCATCGTCCACGCTAAGATAAGATAATGATCATTGCTGCGAAAAAGTTATGACGGAGCTGCTTCAAAAAAGTTCGAGATATTTCTTAACACCACAACACGACTACTCAACCGCAAAATGTCACAGCCAAACGGCATAGGCCAAAATGGCCCATCAATCGCACAAGACCTCTTCGAAGACATGGGCCGCAAGGTGGACGGAATGGGCAGCGCGAACTCCAACACAGACGACAACGAGCCCGACCAGCGCGTCACCGAAGAGGTGGAGAGTCTCTGCATGAACTGCCACGAAGACGGCACCACACGCATCCTCCTCACGCGAATCCCCTTCTTCCGCGAAATCGTCATCATGTCCTTCTCCTGCCCGCACTGCGGCTTCCACAACAACGAAATCCAGTCGGCCGGGCAGATACAAGAGAAGGGCGCCAAGGTTGCATTACGGGTGGAGCGCGATGCGGATCTTCAGCGACAGGTAGTCAAGGGGGATTTGTGTGTGTTTCGAATAGGGGATGTGGATTTGGAGATTCCGCAGGGCAAGGGGCAATATTCGAACATCGAGGGGGTGATTAGTGCTGTGAAGGAGGATTTGCAGAGCCACCAGGAGGAGAGGATGCGACAGATGCCGGAGGTGGGGGCAAAGGTCGCGGGCGTCATTGCATCCCTCACAGATCTGTTGGAGGGGCGGAGATATCCCTTCATGGTCTCGGCCGATGACCCCAGCGGCAACTCGTGGATCGAGCCGAAGCCTGGAGACGCGGCAGGCAAATGGGCAAAGAGCGAGTACAACCGGACACCACAACAGAACGCAGCGCTTGGGCTAGGAGATGAGGTTCCGGCACCGGAAAATGACACACGGCCAGAATACCAAGCCTCGAACATGGTGCCTTCATTACCGACCAACGGGGCACTAGCATCGAACAACGTGGACGACGAAGACATCATCGAGAACCAAGTCTACTCCTTCCCGGCGTCATGTCCGGGCTGCACACGCCCGTGCACCACCAACATGAAGATGGTCCATATCCCACATTTCAAGCAGGTTGTGCTCATGAGTACGGCGTGTGAGGACTGCGGGTATCGATCGAATGAAGTCAAGACTGGCGGCGAGGTACCAGATCTCGGGCGGAGGATAACACTGCGAGTGCAAAACAAGGAGGATCTCGCGCGCGACATACTGAAAAGCGAAAGTGCCGCTCTTGTATGCCCGGAGCTGCAACTTCGAGTGGAACCCGGCACCATGGGCGGCCGCTTCACCACCGTCGAAGGCATCCTAACGCAAGTCCGCCGCGACTTGCGAGCACAAGCTTTTGGCCTCGACGACGGGGATGCTGAAGTGCCGGCGGGAGCGATGGGCGACTCAATGGCGGCGGACTCGAAGCAGGCGTGGGAGAAATTCTTTGCCGATCTGTCCGACGCGATCGACGGAAAGAAGCCGTTCACTGTCACGCTGGAGGACCCCTTAGCGAGCAGTTATGTGCAGAGCTTGACTGCGCCTGCACCAGATCCGCAGATTGATGTCGAGGATTATCAACGGACGGAGGAAGAGGAGGAGGATTTGGGGCTGAAGGATATCAAGACGGAAGGGTATGAGGCGGATGCGAATGGTGAGGCATGAAATGACGACGTCGCGTGAGTGACGATGGAACTTCCAACTGGATCGTATGCGGGCGGCGACTTTCGTCAAAGTACCCTGATGTATCAATCTACGTACCTGATCTACCGACACGGCTCGTGGCTCCGTCCCCGTACCTGACAGACACGGGCGAGTCAGGGTCCAGTGCCCCTCAGCGGGGCGTTTGCCTCGCGCATGTCATCGCCCTGTTGATCTCGCAAAGAAAGATTGAGCTCAGGCCGGCCAGGAATGCTATCAACGGAGTCTGTCGAGTCCAGTTAATCTTGATCCATATCACTCTCCGTCGTAGGACTCAGGATGGCTGACCTATACGAATGGCCGATATCTGTGCGGCGGGTCTGGCTAAGGTAATGTCCAAACCTTCGCGAGTCTATGACGGTATCGTGGGGTCAGGCACGGCTTCAGATTGCTTCCGGCGCCCGATGGACTCAACGACATTTCCCACACGCTTGCGACATCTTACATATCTGTCCCCTCACTCTCTTTGACGGATCCAGCTTCCTTCCGTAATTCCGTCGCACAATCCGCTGCAATGTCCACCCTTTAAACCACACACTCCGCGCTCGACTGCGGCGAACCCTCCCCCTCCCAATGGGTCTCTTCACCCCCCTCCTCAACACAGGCAGCGCCCTGCTGCAGCACGCCGGCTCCCTCGCCTGGCCCCCACTCCTCTCCTTCTCCCGCGGCGCCATCCTCGCCCTCCTCAAAAACATTCAGCTCGGCTCGCTGCGCATCACCGACATCGACGGCACGCTGACTGTGTGCGGCAGCCCGCGAAGAGCAGAGCCCGCCGACGCCGCCGACAAGAATGTCTACTCCATCCCGCACACCGAGCTGCGCGTGCTCAACGACCTCTTCTGGGTGCGCTTGCTGCTGTTCGCCGATATGGGCTTCGCGGAGAGCTATATGCTCGGCGAGGTGGAGTGCTCGGATTTGACGGCTTTCTTTAAGCTGTTTATCGTTAATCGGAAGTACTTGTCCAATGGCACTACTCTTACTTCGAACATCAGCGGGAAGGTGGCGGGGTTTGTTCGCAAGACGAATACTCTTACGAATTCCCGGTTGAATATCGCCGCGCATTACGACATCTCCAACGACATGTTTGCCGCCTTCCTCTCGCCGGATATGACCTACTCGTGTCCCATCTGGCTCCCCAAGTCCGATTCGCAGTCCCGAAAGGAAACACTCGAACAGGCGCAATACCGCAAGCTGTGTCGATTCATTAACAACGCGCGGATCAAATCGAACGATCATGTCCTGGAAATCGGCACGGGCTGGGGCAGCTTCGCCATCCTAGCGGTAGAAAAGACAGGCTGCCGCGTAACCAGCCTAACCCTCAGCGAAGAGCAAAAACGGCTAGCAGAAGAGCGGATTAAGGCGGCAGGCTACCAAGACAAAATCAAAGTGCTCCTCTGCGACTACCGCAGCCTGCCCGTCCCCGCCTCCGACGCGGACAAATTCGACAAGCTCGTGTCGATCGAAATGCTCGAGGCCGTCGGCGCCGAGTTCCTCGTCGAGTACTTCCGCTGCGTCGACCGCTTGATCAAACGCGACTCCGGCGTCGCCGTCTTCCAGTGCATCACCATCCCCGAATCGCGCTACGACGCCTACTCCAAATCCGACGACTTCATCCGCCGCTACATCTTCCCCGGCGGCCACCTGCCCTCCGTCACGCAGCTCCTCGACGCCATCCGCGACGGCTCACGCTCGCCTGCTTCGCAGAACACGCCGCGCCTCATCCCGGAGAGCATCGAGAACATCGGCCCGCACTATGCGAAGACGCTGCGCCTGTGGCGCCAGAACTTCATGCAGAACTTTGCTTCTAAGATCCGGCCTGCGCTGCTTGCGGCACATGCGGAGGGCGGGAAGAAGATGGGCGAGGAGGATGTGGATCTCTTTCGCCGGAAGTGGGAGTATTATTTTGCGTATTGCGAGGCCGGGTTTGCGACCAAGACGTTGGGGGATGCTATCGTTACGGTGGGGAGGGAGGGGGCGGTGCAGATGATGGAGGATGTGCCGTTGTGATTGCGAGGAGTTGTTGATGGTGGTGGTGTTTTCTTGTCATAGCGGGTTTGCTTGGAGTGAGGGGTGGTTTTGACTTCTTGATACCATCTTCGCTTTTTATAGACGGGGGAATGGAGGGGGATAGATTCTACGCTCACCATGGCGGTTTGGAGATGAAACGTGTAGCTGGATGGTTTAAAGAGCTCAGTATGATCACTATAGACGAACATCAATTCTCAGTCGCCGTTCAGTGTTTCTCTTCCATGCGATCGAGGTCCTGGTTTGCGCAAGGCTGCATCGCCCAAGCTCGAGCCAGCTTGCCTCGGCTTGACTCCCCACATCACCTGTCCCTCGAGCGTCTTACACCTACACATCACTGCGAGCCGGCAACACCTTAGTGGGACAAGGCCTCTCGACAAGTGGACTCCCTCACAGCAAGCTCGCCATGGACACACAACTGTACAGATGACCACAGTGGAACAATGGCAGCGCCTCCAAACAACCAGGCCCCCTCCGCTTCAATGGAGCGACCAACCAGCGAACGCTCCCTCCTCGAACCCTACGCGCGTTTCCGAGGAGAACCTCTCATTGCCCTGCAAGAGCTCGGTCTCCATTTCGTCGGCGAAGGATGGCGCAGCTACGACGATGTCGTGGGCCGTGAGATCTTCTACTCGGGCTTCAGCGAGAACATGCGCAACATGGTGATGCGGCAAGAGACGCTGAAGAGGCAGATAACACTGCTAGCGAACAAGCGCGTGGAAGTGGAGTTGCTGGAAGGCAGACTCGGTCCGTTGGGCGTGGATGGCGAGGATGCCGCGCACAAGCTCAAGAGAGAGACGCGCCGCGCGGAACTGGAGACACAGCTTCGCCAGGTCGCGGAGGACTGGACGGACAAGATGATTTGCAAGATGGAGAGCCGCTACTTCATCCGCGGCGCGTATTACTTCGCCACGCAGCTTCTCACCCGCGCCTATCACCAGGGCATCCACATTAGCACCGAGGAGGTGCTGCATCTTCGCAAGGTGGCGGAGGAGGCCGCGGAGAGGAAGCAGTCGATTATCTTCCTGCCGTGTCACCGCTCGCATGTCGATTACGTCTCGCTTCAGCTTGTCTGTTACCGCCTCGGCCTGGCTCTACCTACCGTCGTCGCAGGCGACAATCTCAACTTTCCCCTCGTCGGCTCCTTCCTCCAACACGCCGGCGCCATGTGGATTCGCCGCTCCTTCGGTGACGACCATCTCTACCCAACTCTCGTGCAGGCCTACATGGACACGCTGCTCCAAAACGGCCACAACGTCGAATGCTTCGTCGAAGGCGGCCGCTCACGCACGGGCAAGCTCCTGCAGCCGAAATTCGGCATTCTGCGCTTCTTCCTCGAAAGCGTGCTCTCCGGCCGCGTGGAAGACGCCATGATCTGCCCCGTCAGCACGCAGTACGATAAAGTCATCGAAGTCGACTCGTACGTCAGCGAGCTGCTGGGCCAGCCGAAGCAGCGCGAGGATCTGAGGTCGTTTGTGTCGGCGTCGAATGTGCTTTCGCTCAAGCTCGGGCGGGTGGATGTGCGCTTCTTCAAGCCTTGGAGTCTGCGTGCGTTTATCGATGAGCGGATGACAAGGTTGGAAAGGCAGCCGGCTGCGCCGGGGGCGTTGCCGGGGGAGACGCTGCGGCGTCGTTTGCTTCAGACGTTGGGGTATGAGGTTCTGTCGAACATTAATGAAGTGTCTGTCGTCATGCCCACGGCATTGGTCGGCACAGTCCTCCTGACGCTACGAGGGAGAGGGGTAGGCAAGTCCGAACTGGTGCGTAGGGTGGAGTGGCTGTGCGATCGGGTGCGCGCTCGAGGCGGCCGCGTCGCTCACTTTGCCGGCAACTCCACGGAACTGGTCGTCGATCGGGCGGTCGAAGTCCTCGGTCCAAAGATTGTGGGCCGAGTGGGCGGATTGGCTCAAGACACCTTCTACGCCGAAGACCGCTTCCTGCTCTCCTTCTACCGCAACCAGATGATTCATCTCTTCATCTCACAGGCTCTGGTGTGCGCCGCGGTGTACACGAAGGTGAAGAACGGCGGCACGTTGGACGAACAGCGCATAACCTACCAGGAGCTCGAGGACTACGTCTTCTTCCTCTCCCAGCTCTTCCGAGCAGAGTTCATCTTTCCCACCACACCCCTGGAAGAAAACCTACGCTCCACCGTCCAAGGCCTAGAACAAGACGGCGTCCTCCAAGTCATCCGCAACAACACAGACGATGCCCAGCGCATCACGCACGTCGAACTCCACCCCCACGAACGCACGCACGGCCACGAGAATTTTGACTTTTACAACTTCCTCCTCTGGCCCTTTACCGAAGCCGCATGGCTAGGCGCAGTGAGCCTCTTCATGCTCGTCCCGCCTCCCCAGCACCACCAGCATCCATCAGGCACCCCCGCAGCAGAAAGCCAATGGCTCAACCAGCAAAGCGTGCAAGACAAAGCCCAGCTCCTAGGCAAAACCCTCTTCCACCAAGGCGATCTGGCATACTACGAAGCAGTGAACAAAGAAGCGCTGAAAAACACCTTCACGCGCTCCGAGGAAGCGGGCATCATCGTCGTCAATCGATCCGGCGATTCTTCCACCAAATCCAACAGCCCCGCTCGCGTCCGGCTGGATGACGAGTGGATGCCTAGCAGGGATGCGAACGGGGCTTTGCGCCCGGAGGGTAAATTGTGGGAGTTGTGCGAGCGGATTGGACTCAGTCGGCGGGGAGGGCTGGATTGGAGGGATGGGGACGCGGTGAGGGGGAGGATTTTGGGGCTGGTGGATGGGCTTGGGGCGGGGTTGTGGGAGGGGGGTGCGCTGTTGAGTGCTGATGGGAGGCCGTCGGTTAGTAGGAGGCGGAGGGGGATTCAGACTCTGTCGCACTTGTGAGGGAGAGGAGTGAGTGGTGCGCTATTTGGACGCATTGACGATGATATGATTAGCCTGATGGATCGAGGCGTGTAAGGCTGAGAGCTGGCCTGCGCGAGAACATGGGCTTCGAGGGGAAAAATGCGAGCAGCACTGGCTGGCAGCATCTGTTGATAGTGTGAAAATGACAAGGGAAGGGAGTGGAGCGTTCCCAAGGTAGATACGAAAAGGTACGTCTCGAGGAAACAGTTCTGGACGAACAACACCGAATCCCCCGAGATGGTTTTGGTGGCCCGAGCGCCTCCCCCGGACCTCCCCTGCTCCTTCCCCATCTCATCCCTATCAAATTGAGGAGATTCGTTGCTGGCGCGCAATGTAACGCCAGCAACATGGCGTTCGAGGTAGCGTGGCTCGGAGGGTCACCGGATATCGTCGCGCTATAAAATGGGCCAGAGTGTCCCAACCTGCCGAGTTTCTTGCAATCACACGTGGTAGCATCTCAGTATCTCAGTTGCGCCTGCAACCATCGCGAGGCTACTAAGTCGAGACAACGAGACTCGGCGAATTCAATCAACATGTTTGACGGCGCTCATTATATAGGCATCGATGTGGGTACGTGAAGCCCACTGGCGAGCCCAGCATACATCCCCGCCCGTGTCATCCAGACCATGATCGAATGCTTTGTTGCTGCTGACATTGACTGACCTGCTGACCATGTTCTCCTAGGCACGGGCTCAGCACGAGCTTGCGTGTTGGTATCTCTACAATCCACTGGAGCTGCTTCGAGTGCTGACTTGACGAAGTATCAACGACAAAGGAGACATTGTCGGTCTAGCAAGCGAGAATATTCAACTATGGCAGCCGCAGACGGGACACTATGTACGTATGAAGTGTCAGAGAACTCGCATTTCCTTTGCTGACCACGGCTCAGGAGCAATCAACCACCGACATCTGGAAATGTATCTGCTCCAGCGTGCACAGAGCGATGCGAGAGAAAAATATCGACCCCAGCTCCGTCAAAGGTCTCGGCTTCGATGCGACATGCTCTCTCGCCGTCTTCAGCCACGATACCGACGAGCCCGTATGCGTGACAGGACCCAAGTTCGACAACGCGGACGGTAACGATCGGAATATCGTTCTATGGCTGGATCACCGACCAGTCGAGGAAACGAAGTTGATCAACGCCACCAATCACCCGCTCCTGAAATACGTCGGCGGCCAGATGAGCATTGAAATGGAGGTTCCCAAGGCCTTGTGGTTGAAGAATAACATGCCCAAGGCTTTGTTCGACCGCTGCAAGTTTTTTGACTTGGCCGATGCGCTGACGCACATGGCTACCGGCAATGAGAGCAGATCGCTGTGCTCGGTTGTTTGCAAGCAGGGCTATGTCCCGCTTGGAGTCGATGGTAGCATCAAGGGCTGGCAGGAGGACTTTCTCGGTCAAATTGGCCTGGCAGATCTTTGCGAGGATGACTTTAAGCGGATGGGGGGAGTTGATAGGGTGGTATCCACGCTTTTCCGGTACTTGACGAACGAGCTTCAAACTGACTCTGCATGCAGAACGGCCACTATCTCACGGCCGGAGAGCGAGTCGGCGGGCTTTCAGAAAAGGCAGCAGCAGAGATGGGCCTTCCAGCCGGCATTGCCGTCGGCAGCGGCGTCATTGACGCCTACGCAGGCTGGATAGGTACCATTGGAGCCAAAGTCGACCTAGGAGAGTATGCAGAGCAGAGTGCCGGCACAAATCATAGCGTTTCACAAGCGTTCAACCGCCTTGCAGCAGTGGCAGGGACATCGACGTGTCATCTTGCCATGAGCGAGAAGCCGGTGTTTGTGAAGGGGGTCTGGGGCCCGTATCGCGATGTTCTGGTGCCCGACTTCTGGATGGCGGAGGGCGGACAGTCTGCTACGGGAGAGCTGCTGAAACATGTGATTGAGACGCATCCTGCGTACGCCGATGCAATGTCGACGGCGCGGGGTAAGGATCAGAATATCTACGACTTTCTCAATGGGGTGCTCGATACGATGAAAACAAAGCAGCAGGCGCCCGCGGTGAGCTATCTAGGCCGTCACCTCTTCTTCTACGGCGACTTCTTCGGGAACCGCAGTCCCGTGGCGAACCCGGATATGGCGGGAGCAGTCATTGGTCTGACCTCCGACAAGAGCATCGACAGTCTAGCACTGCACTACTACGGGGCAATGGAATTCATCGCCCTACAGACCCGGCAAATCATCGAAACGATGAACGCAGCCGGCCACGCCATCACCTCGATCTTCATGTCCGGCTCGCTATGCCAAAACGCAATCCTGATGCACCTCATGGCGACGGCATGCGACGTGCCCGTCGTCATTCCGCAATACATTAGCGCCGCTGTTGTTCACGGGGCGGCAATGCTAGGTGCCAAGGCTGCGAGCACGGATGCCAATGGCAAGTCGGAACCCCTGTGGGATGTCATGGAGCGCATGTCGAAGCCTGGGACGGCGACGTATCCGGGGAAAGAGGCGGGCGAGAAGGCGCTGTTGCAGGCGAAGTATAAGGTGTTTTTGGAGCTGTGCGAGAGCCAGCAGCGGTATCGCAGGGAGGTCGATGATGCTGTTAGGGGATGGAAGGGGAGTGGAGCAGCCTGATGGATGCTGGCGCGCAAGGCTGTGATGGGCTGGGCTTCCACCGAGCAGAGGCGGAATCAGACTGCCTGTATACATTTCACGCGTGCCTGGTACATGGTATATGATAGGCTCAGAATCCGAGCACCCAGCAGGCTTCCAACTTTTCCGACATATGCAGGGTGTGGCGTGGGTGGTTGTCGCAGACGGCGGGGTCATCCTTTGCGGGGCCGATCGCAGGCAGCCATTTTAAGGAATCAATCAGGTTGCAACCACTCCCAATCGTCTTTCTACTCCGCATTCGACGCTGCAATACCTGGTAAGATTGTACATGCCAATAATGGCTGGCATCAAGTTCCAAGTGCTTGCGTTGCTGCTGGCAGCATTGATTGCTTCGTCTTCCGCCGCATCCTCCACCGTCCAGCGAAGACAGGTGCCCCTCACCAATGGAGGACAACGACCATTAAAACTCGGGGGCGAACGTCGATCTGCCAAAGTAAAGTACTACACGGTATGCCACTGCCCGTCCACCCATCCTCTACGCTCGCTACAGGTAAGCGGCCTAACGACAGAACAACAGTTCGACAACACCTGGCTGGTAGGCGGCGTGAACGAGACGTACGAACAAGACGACTTCCTCGCCTTCAGCCACTTCGGCATCGTCGACGTCTCCAACGCGCAGCAAAAGGGCTACATCCACGCCAAAGACCTGGACTGCGCGGCCACAAAGCCCCACGCCCTCTTCACCTGGCCCAACAACTTCACCGCTTCCTCCGTCATCCAGGCCAACGCCACCGCGCTCGCGGCCGCCGGGCTGTCCGAATTCTTCGACTTCATCGCCGTGACGTGGAAGCCGTTCGGGCCCGCGGAGGACTTTACGTGGATTGAGTTGGACGCGTGGCGCATCGAGGAGGCCGAGCTGGCGGCGGCTGGGGAGCGGAAGGCGACGTTGATCAGTTCTCTGTCCCACTCGTGGGTGGGTTATGACGACGACGATGGCGACAGCTTCTTTCCTGCGGCGACCATTCAACCGAGTGAATGGTGGGAGGGCTGGGGCGAGGGGGTGAACTGGCTCGAGATCAAGGCGAAGGCGGGCGATGGTCGGCCGTGGGATCTTTGCCTGGATAACTTGCTGCTGCTGTTCCATGCGAAGGAGTGAAGCGGAGGTGCTGAGCACAGACGCGGGTACTCAGGTGTAGGGTATGTTGGTTGGCGTGTTGGGGCTTCATTCTTTCACGAGAGTCGGGTTAATTGTAATGTTCATGCAGGTAACAAGTTTCATACCATTCTCTGTCGATTACCGCATACTCATGAGGCCATCTATATGCCCGCCCGTGAAAACATCGTTAAAGCTCCTCGTAAATGCAAGTAGAATGCAAGCGAGACGTCACATGACCACGCAACACGAATTTTGCTTCTTCGCCTGGGTGTAGAACATCTTGCTCTGCGCGCTCAGTCCGTCAGACTTGGCGACCAGACTGTCAATCTTCTCGCCTGTAGACGAAACGTTAGTTGGAAGTACATAGGAGGAGCCTGCAAGTCACGCACCTCGCTCCAGCACGCTCTCAATCGTCTTGTGCAGGACAATCTTAGTCTCGTCGAGCTCCTTCTGGATCTTCATGATGCTGTCGGCCTGCTGCGGATCTTGGTATTTGACAATGTATTCCTTGAGCGGTGGGAAGTTGACCGCCTGGTTACTGTTTGCCCAGGCACTCCTGCAGGGTGGTTCCTCTCAGCTTGGGTGTCTGTGGTCCGCCATCCTGACACGCCAGACTCACCTCGGGTGTTGACTGATAAACTCGTCCAGAATCTTGCCTAGCAACTGATGTGCCACCAACGCGGGATACTCCTGATCACTGATGATGATCCCCGCCACCCCCTCGCTGCGTGCATAGGCGTGGAAGGTGTAGGACTGCTCTTCGACGTCTTGCCGTTGGCCGGGCTTCGTCCGCTCCGCCACCGTCTTGCTGAACAATGACATGAACTCGCCCACGCTCGTGCGGGTGAAGCGGGAGTAGGAGGAGAGATCGCGCTCGGCGCATAGTTCGACGGCGGGCTTCGCCTCGTTCTTGAGGATCTAGGCTGCTGATTAGAAGTGGTTGGCAGGTGAGGGATGACGGCGCTGGACATACTCCGATGTAGAGGAGTTTCATGGTGGCGGGATGTGCGGTACGGTTAGTCGACGGTGTCTTCAGGCGTTGTTGCACGGAGGGTCGCTCGTTGGACAGAATGTAAGTCTTTCATCCACGTCGCTTGTGATGAATGCGGTCAGCGAACCCAAGCGGTGCAAGCCGTCCCACCACTTTCTTGCTCGCCTAATTTAGGCCTTGTCTTCATGCCCTATGGAATCAAGGCCCATATCTCACCCTCTCATCGACACCACTCCCTCGAGGACGACAGCGACAGACCGTCGTCAGCTCCGACCGCGAGCATGGCACCCATCACCACCGCCTCCAACGAAGAAACGCACGCCGCCCTGCTCGACACGCTCGACATGTACAAAATCGCCAAACCCTTCCGCAACCCCAACTGGCGACCCCCGCAACGCCGCAACAAGAACCTCAAGCAGATCCTCTCCGAAGCACATCGCGCACAGCAAAGCATGCTCAACACCCAGCAAAACTCCGGCGCCAGCACCCCCCTGCCCGCCACCGACGGCACCACTACGCCCTCCCTCCACCCCAATCCTGTGCAGGCGAGTCAAGACCTCAGCCGATTAGTGCTGGAGAAGAACACGCGCCAGCTCGCGCCCAATGGAGCTGGTGCCATGACGCCCAATACTGTTTCCAATGCTGCGGCTGGCCCGGGTGTCACGTACACCAGCATTGCCGCCGCGCCGAGCCTCAAGCCGAAGAAGAAGTACTGCGACATTACTGGCTTGCCGGCCAAGTACAAGGATCCCAAGACCGGCCTGTACTACTTTAATGCCGAGATTTATGCTGTTGTCAAGAGCCTGACGACGGGGCAAGTTCAGGAGTATTTGGCTGCGAGGGGTGCGAATACTGTGCTGAAGTGATGCGCCTGCATTACCCGAGTATTCAACCCCGACCCTACGTGGAGACGCACGTCTGAATAAGCTCCGCAAAGGCTACACAATACCAGCAAACATCATCCAGAGACTGTGCGCTTCAATCCGTTGGTCCCCACGCTTGTCATACAATGCCAGCGAAGGCAGTGGAATGGTTACGCAAAGTGGAAAAGCACGTCTCACGGGCATCACGCGGTTCGCAGAAGAATGGCAAATCGACACGCGAATCGTAGCAGCGCCCAAGGCGGAATGGAGAATGTTTGGGCAAAGCAGCCCGACACGAGCCCTCTGAAGATGGAAGCAGACACAAGGTTCCCTCTCACAGCATCCTGTACAACCCGCCTGGTGAAGCAGATGTGTTTGCTCAGCATTCGTATGAAATGGCCTGCTCTTCCGGAGTCACACTCCGTCTCGCAAGCAACATCTTCACCTACACATTACTCTGCCTACCGTCGTCCATCGTCTCCAAACCCGTGCTTATCTACAAGCTGTTACTTGTGGCGGCCCCATTGCATGTGAGTGATCCATGGCCTCAAACCGTTTCCTTCGCCAGAAATTGACTCTCCATCAGTGCGACATGTGTACCCAATTGCTAGAAGTCTACACATGCGGAGACATGGTATGGAACCCTACAGATAGCACCTGGACCCGGTGTGGCCGCAAGATCTGGGTGACGTGTCGCATGCCGAACGGCCAGGTCGGCGACGGCGAACCACATCCCGATCCAAGAAACGGAGGCGAGAACCTCTGTGAGGAGGCCGTTAGACTCGGCGTGGGCTTTGGAAAATGCTCGCGCGGGATTGAGCACTACAACACTCAGGAGCAGCCGGACCCGTAAGTCATATCTTTGGAGATCATGTTCAGCTGCCTCCCGCATTTGATCAGAGCACTGAATTTGTTCTGCTCGACACCCCTGAAGCGAGACAAAGGCACTTGCTGATCCTAAAGTTTCAGGCATGGCCGGAGATGCCAGGTGCATCAGGATGGATTTTTGGCTCAAATGATGCATGCCGGCGAAGTGAATCTTGAAAACACACGTCTGGCAGTGCGACGACGGAGGAGTCTTCGTAGGTGCCGTTAGCTCGGGGCCGGTTGTGGAGGCCGAATAGCATTGTTAAGCGTTCACGTACGGAGAGGCTGGGTTCAGTTGGAGAAGTCTATCAGTTGCAGGCGGGCCACCTGTGGAGAGAAAGGAAGAGACGATCATCGCCATTTCAGTGAAGAGAATCAACATAAATAGAAGGAAGCATCCGAAAAAACACAATATTATTCGCTTCAAGGCCATATCTCTTCTACCTTCCTAAAACGCCAGGGCAGCCAACTATCTCATTAGTCGAAACAGCGAAGCCGGCGAGTCAAAACATTCCTTCGGGAGCCCAGCCATCAGCCGATTGTCTTCACGTTTTATTCACTACGCCCCATTGTTCGTCTCGAGCATCATGTCTTTGACGGATGGAGATGAAAATGGGTTCTGGCGGCGCCGGGATGTCTTCGTCGCCGGCGTTGTTCTCGCCGTTTTCCTCGTGGCCCAAGTCTGGCTACGGCCACATTCAAAGGCTCGTCAGCGAGAGCCACCGTACATCAACTCGCGTATTCCATTCATCGGGCATATCATTGGGATGATGAGATATGGCGCGAAATACTTTGACATCGTCAAGTGAGTGCACCGCGTGTAGCTGAGCAACACACCGACTAATCATGAATGCCTCAAAGCAAGGAGAAACGACACCCCGTCTTCACTCTACCAATGCTATCTACCCGCAACTACATCGTCTCCGACGCGACCCTAGCCGGACACATCCAACGCAATAATAAGACGCTGTCATTCTACGCTCTCATCGTCGAAGTGACGCGCCGCATCATTGCCTTCGACAAAAACGCAGCGCGCATCAGCACGCACAACATGGACGGCGAGCATGGGCCCGGCGGCCTCATGCCGGCAGTACACGAAATGATGAACCGACTGCTCGCCCCGGGCCCGGCCCTCGACGCCATCACAGCACTTCAGATGGAGCATTTCACCTCGATGCTGAACAGCGCCGTTCCCCCACACGGCGATGCGATTGTGGCGAACCTTTACGCGTGGCAAAGACATGTTCTCAGTCTTTGTAATGCATACGCAATCTACGGGCCTGAGAACGCCTTTGCCGTTCAGCCAGAGCTGGAAGAAGACTTTTGGACTTTCGAAGACGGGATGCTCGGCCTGGTTGTCGATATCGTGCCCTCGATTACCGCTCGAACAGCTCATTTTGCTCGCAAAAGAGTACTTGATGGTCTAATCGAATACGTGCGTCACGAGCGCTACAAAAAGGCCTGTCCGCTAATCCAGGAACGGGTACAAACGAATCTGGCCTTTGGCATGAGTAAGGAAATGGCTGGCCATGCGGAATTGATCTTGATGTTTGGGATCATGGGCAATGCAGTCCCTTCCAATTTCTGGCTTCTTTCTCACCTCTTCTCCCGACCTGATCTCCTTGAGCGCATCCGGAGCGAGCTGGAATTGGCCCTCGATTTGAGTTCACCTGCGGATGGGAGAAAAGAGATGACCGTCTCCATTGCAGCGAAGAGAATCAACATCAAGTCTTGTCCTTTGCTCTACTCCTGCTACCGCGAAGCCTTACGGGACATCTCGCTCCTCACGTCGGCACGGATGGTCATGAAGGATACACTCATCCCCTCTGACGCCACTGGTGATAAAGGAGAGTACCTTTTACGGGCGAATTCCATCGTTCAGATTGCCGGCGGAGTCATCCATCAGGAGCCCAGTATCTGGGGCGAGGACGCGGATGAGTTCAATCCGGAGCGATTCCTCGTCAAGCAAGCCGGAAACTATACATCAACATCACGCACTGCTTTGCCCCTACCACCTGGCGTACCGTCCTCGGCATTTCGCGCCTACGGGGGAGGGACAGTGATTTGTCCCGGACGACACTTTGCGCAAACAGAACTCATGTTGTTCGCCGCGGTGCTTGCCCTAGGTTTTGATATCTTTGAAGCGGATGGAGCGACGCTGAAAGTGCCCCCGAAAGATGACACTCGGATCCCGTTGAGCGTCATGAAGCCAACGTATGATCCTCGAGTGCAGATCCGTCGACGGCAAGGATGGGAGGCGGTGCGGTGGGAAGTCGGACTGTAGTTTCACTCAGATACTCGACTGATCCATCGTTGTTCCCCAGATTAAACCCCCACAATTCCCCACAAAGATCGACCTCCTCCTCCCCGGATCGACATCCGAGGAAGCTGAGCGGATATAAAACCTCCCGTCGTAAGGATCCATGTACCTCTTGATGCTACCCCGCCCTTGACCTCGTCATGAGTGACATCCGCCGAGTCGTGCTGACGAAGTCTTTCGACGTCCTGTACCCCCGGCAATCAATCTTTCTCTTATATATCCATTGAAAGCCAACGTTGTTGTTCTTCATTACTTGTCCAACGACGCAACTTCCGCCATCATGTCTCCAGCAGCAGTCGAGCCAGGCGAGCACAAAGTGCTCAACACAACCTTGGTATGACCATGGCATTGCCGAGGAGAGTTCACTCCAGCTAACCGTGTCATTCACTCAGAACCATTATCTGGATCCGGAAAAGGGAGGCCACACGCGCTACATCACGGGCACAGCGTCGTACTTTCGCCGCAAGTTCGATGAACGCCCCGTCCAGATCGCCGACATTCGAGGGCGCGAAGAGGGCTTTAATCTCAACACGCAAGGCTTCCAGTTCGTCGAGTCGGACACGATTGGCGGGGACTTTCGCGATGCCGAGAAGGTGAAGAAGGAAGTGTACCCCGAGACGGAGAAATTGCTGCGAGAAATGTAAGGCGCTGGCGCGATCGTCTTGACTATTGCCTGCGACTCTGACGAGATCCAAAGCACCGGAGCGACACGCGTAAAGGTCTTCTCCCACATTCTGCGCAACGACTCGCGCGAGGCTGCGGAGGAGAAGGTAAAGAGCAACCCGCAGTTTTCAGACGATGACGCCCCGATCGAAGACGTGGTGCCCGCGCGATTCATCCACATCGACCAGTCGAACTACGGCGCCGTGGAAGTGTTGGACGACAACATCCATCCTCCCGAGTTGGCGCAGAAGCTGAAGAAAACCCGCTGGTCCATTATCAATTGCTGGCGGCCGATCAAGCCCGTCTTCAAGGTGAGTGAACGAGCCTGGGAGTAATAGTAGTAACGTTTGACTAAATATTGTCACCACAGGACCCATTGGCCATGTGCGACTGGCGAACGCTGGATGAGAATGACCTCGTGACTATCCCCGTCTTCTTCCCGCCGAAAGACAGTGGAATGCGGTATGCGACGTTGACGGAGGGCGATCGCTTCGAGCTCTTTTACCTTCGCTACAATCCCGAACAGGAGTGGTACTATCGACATGGAATGAAACCGGGCGAGTAAGTGGTCGCCGAGCTTCCCTGCGGTGTGGTGTGGTGTGTCTCGCGCTTACACAGCAGCAGATGTCTCTTGGTCAAGTGCTTTGACACCGTCAACGATGGCAAGACGGCTCGCAAAGTGCCGCATTCGGCTTTCGTCGACCCGACTAATGTCGATAACACGACGCGCGAGAGCATTGAGATTCGTTGCCTGGTGTTTTACGAGGATCAGCCGCTGGAGGGGTAGGAGATTCAGGCTGTGGCGGTGTATGGATGTGCTTTTGAGGTTTACTGACATTGGGGAGGTTTGAATATGTATCGCTGCGACGGCCGCAGATGGGGAGTGGGCGGGCTACACTGCTTGCAAGAGATTAATGCATGTTATGACTGCCGAGAATTTATGGCGTTTTTGTCTTCCACACTGCGTCCACTTCACACCCCATCGGTCGCCCATGGCATGGAGCATCTGCTCGCCCTAGCTATACGACCGCAGGCGCTCCAACGCGGACGGGCGCGAAAAATAGTCTTCACTCCCTGCCGACCAGCCTCCACTTCATCTAATTTAGCTCGGACTCAGACCACAACTGATCAAGCTACGACGCCTTCGGCCTTTAGCTTTTCGATCTCGTCGCCCTTCATGCCCAGTAGACCCGACAGGATTTCCTGCGTGTGCTGGCCGAGAGTGGGAGGCGGGCTGCGTATGCTGGGCTTTGCTTCGGAGAACTTTACCGGCGGACTGACGAGTTTCATCGGCCCGCAAGAGGGGTGCTCGACCTCTGTTACCATCTTCCGCGCAAGAACTGCTTCCTGTTAGAGAACTTTCATGGAGAGGAATTGCAAAGACTCACCGTGTTCGTGCTCCAGTGTAGCCTTGACATCGTTAATGGCCGAGTATGGCATGCCGCTGCCCTCTAATAGTTGCAGCCACTCAGCCGTAGACTTTTGTTTCGTCTCCACCTCAATCAGCTGTTCGAGCTCCTCCCGATGCTGGACGCGATCCGCATTCGTCTTGAACTTGGCATCATTCTTCCACTCCGGCTTCCCAAGTTTGTCACAGATGACACCGAATAGTCTGTCGTTGCCTCCGCCGAGCATGATGTCTCCATCCTTGGTTTTGAATCCCTTGTACGGAACGATGGAGGGATGCGCAGTGCCCCATCGCCCTGTGTCTGGCTTGCCGCTGATGAGGGAGGAGCTGGCGATGTTGGCTAGACTGGCCACCTGGCAGTCGGAGAGGGCGACGTCTATGTGCTGACCACGCCCGGTCTTCCCCCGGTGGAGCAGAGCGGCCATGACGGAGTTGCTGGTATATAGGCCTGTAGTCAAGTCGGTAATAGCTACACCCACCTTTGCCGGAGGGCCGTCGCGATGGCCGGTGATGTGCATCAATCCCATTTCACTGGTGCAGTGTTAGCTCATGAACATCATCAGTGCACAAAGTATACGCACGCTTCGACCATGACATCGTAGCCGGCGCGGTTGCTATTCGGCCCATCCTGCCCGTACCCGGTGATACTCGCATAGATCAACTTTGGATTAACTTTTGCCAGAGTATCGTAATCCATGCCATACTTCTTCAAAGCGCCGGGGAGGTAATTCTCCACGAGAACGTCGCAGTCCTTCGCCAGGCCATGCAGAATTTCCTTTCCCGATGGACTCTGGAAGTTGAGGCCGATGGACTTTTTGTTCCGATTCACCTAGACGCTTCGTCAGTGCGAGCGATCGCTTTGAAGCGACAGGACAGCCTACAGCCAAGAAGTACGCGCTTTCGCCGGCACCTTTCTTCCCGCTACTTGCGGTATACGAAGCATAAGGCGGGCCCCACGCCCTGGTGTCGTCTCCTCGAGTCGGATGCTCAATCTTGATAATCTCGGCACTGCGACAGGCAAGTCAGCGAACCGCTGCGCGAATGCAGACAGACCCGGAGATGGCCGTACTGCGTCAACTATGCCTACCCGAGGTCTCCAAGGATTTGGGTGCAGTAAGGCTGTGGAACGCGTGAGCCATTGAGTCCCGGCATGGGGTCCCTTCAGAGCAACTCACTCCTGCCAGCACTCTTGTCATGTCTAGGACTTTGATTCCGGCGAGGGGCAGGCTTGCGGCGTCTACGGAGTGCCATCTTCTTTGCCGGAGGTGAATGGGAGGCGTGTACCAGGACGCGACTTTCAAGAAGCGCGCAGTACGATGTAGGGACATGGCGTAGATTCGGGTCTATTTGCGCCTCCGCATCACATGCTCAGAAGAAGAGAGATCGGAGTAAGAATGAAAATGCAGTTCGATGCGAAGGATTGTAAGACATGGCGTCCTCGAGCCCAGGGAAATCCTGCCTCGGCTTCCGACTTCGGACTGGTCGATGACATTGACAAGACAATTTCGATACGACATCAGTACACAAGAGAGCCACGACTCGGCAGAATCTCGCCTTCCACACCGGCGCCATGTTTACAGGAATCGTCGAGACCATAGGAAGTAGGTGCCATAGCCATCCATTCGACTCCTCGGAATGGCGCTGACACCCACCAGCCGTCACCCGCCTCGACCAGCATGACACCACAGCCAGCGGAGGCGGCGGCACCTCCTTAACCATCTCCAACAGCGCCGCGATCCTCGAAGATGCGCATCTCGGTGACAGCATCAGCATCAACGGCACCTGTCTGACAGTAACGGAGTTCAGCAAAGACGAATTCAAAGTCGGCGTGTCGCCCGAGACGCTTCGCCTCACCAACCTGGGCAGCCTGAAGGAAGGCAGCGGCGTGAATCTCGAGCGAGCCGTGAGCGCCACCACTCGCATGGGCGGGCATTTCGTGCAAGGGCATGTGGACACGATTGCGTCGATTGTGGAAACGCGGCCGGATGGGAATGCGATTACGTTCCGCCTGCAACCGAGGGATCGAAGTGTTTTGCGGTATATTGTGAAGAAGGGCTATGTCACGCTCGATGGCGCTTCGCTTACCATCACTAATGTGGATGATGCCGAGGGGTGGTGGGAGGTGATGCTCATCGCTTACACGCAGGAGAAAGTGGTCATGGCGCGGAAGCAGCAGGGCGATGATGTGAATGTCGAGGTGGACATGGTGGGCAAGTACGTGGAGAAGAGCGTGACTGCGTACTTCGAAGGGAGTGCGTGGGATGGGGGTTCGATGATGGAGAAGATGGTGCAGAGGATGGTGGATGAGAGATTGAAGGGAAGATGATGATTCTGTGTAGAGACGTGCTATCTACTTGAAGCCCTTCTTCTCCTCGTTGTACGCAATGTGCTCATACGGCATCGTGCCTTTCCTTTGTCTCTTCCTCGTCTTCCTGTTCCTGCTGGCATTCTCCGTCGCGATATTATAGCACGGTTTGCAGAATGTCTTCTGACACGCCGGACAGAGTAACGATTTGTCCGCTTTCTGACCACAGTCTTCGCACACCCTCCCCTTCAGGTATGCCTTCTTCGGCAGATGGTAACAGACCGTCTTGTAGCAGTCTGCACACCATTGGTGACCGCACCCAGCACATTGCCAGACTTTGTCGACATGCATTTCGCACAGACTGCAATTCGCCATGCTGATTTCGGCCTTTCTGCCAGGATGGATGCATTGGGCAGTTGTCGTCGAGGTGGGTTCAGGCTCGGTATAACCAGGAGGGTCGGCTTCGCCAATTGGCATTTGAGAAACATCGTCTGGTGCGGGAATTGGGCTGGAATGCCCAAATGGAGTCACCGCACCGTCTCGAGCAGGCTCGGCAGCGTTGATCGGCATCGTAGAGAGATCATCCGGTGCGGGCAACGGGCTGACATGCCCGCGTGAAAACTCCGCACCTTCAGTACTAGTCTTGGTCGTATTCATTGATTGGTCTAGCATCGCAACGTCAGCGCTGAGCGGAAAGGTCATCGCCGAGAAACCCAGCCGGAGAAGTCTGACTTACGCAACAAGACGCCGCCATCGTCACTGTCAGATTCGGACTCTTCTTTGTGCTTGCGTTTGCGTTTGCTCATCGTTCGACTTGCGGGCGTGGTGTGAAGGATGTGGTATGGTGTGGAGGATGGGAGGGTACAGTGAAGAGATCGTGAACTTGAGAATTTTGAAAGTGCGAATGACTCATTTTCAATCGTTTAGGTTTCGGGACGGGTCGAGTGTCGTGATGGTTGAACAGGAAGGCGCGTTTGTAGGGAAGGAGCGACCCTCACTCGCCTCACACCGACGCCGTCATGCCTCGCCCGCTGTAGAGGCGCCATTTCCTGCTTCTTCGCGATATCCCCTGCGCGAGCCGCAGATGTGGAAGAGGAGAAGATAGTTATATTCAGCTAGCCGAAGAAGAAGGCATCGTAATGCCTCGCCATGTTAGATGCTTCGGACATGCAGCAAGGCTGTGGTTTCGACGCCCGTGTCACGTGAGCTTACAGATAGGCTTCCATTGAGGTATCCGTGTCGAAGATTCTATGAGATGACAGAACGAGAGCAGCTGTAAATAGCTGTGGGTACTAATGCGCACTCTTACGACACTTCGCAATGGTTTGGTATTGACATATAAGGGGAAGTCGTACGTGAGGAAGTATGGCAAGTGACAGGCTATGTGCCAAAAGACGTGGTTCGTGCCAGAAGAAGTGGTTCGTGCCAGAGGAAATGACTGCTTCTTCCAGCACGCAGCCTGCAGACGGGATGTACTATCTCCCTTGTAATAAGCCTTAACGAGCCCCGGACTTCATTCAGGACCTGCTATGCTATACATTCGATGTTTGCGAGGAACGCCAGACTGCTGGCGAGCGGGAAAGGTGAACCACATCTTCTGGCACGTAGCCTGGTGGGCCGGAAGGTTGTGTAAAGGCGAAGCTTAACATTGGCGCGGAAATAGCTGTCGCATCCCCGCAATTCGCGATTAGTTAGCACTCCACACCAAAAAATGGAAGAAACGCGATAAAATCACCTTCTTTTGCCACCCACCTCGCCGTCGCCACTTCTGTGTTGTTGAAAAATCGTTATATCACTGAATCTGAGGTGTTGTTAGCTCCATATGGCTCCTACTGGCTCGCGGCTGCCGCAACACGTGTGTAGGCAGGTACAGGCCTTGCTCGAAGACACGGATCTTACGGCCACGCAGATTGCTAGCCAGTTGACGTTGAGTAAACGGACGATTAAGCGGATAAGGCTGTCTTTTGACCTGTTTGGCATGCCATATCCAGCACTAACGCGTCGTGTAGGCCGTCCGCGAGCGCTTACGGACGCTCAGGTGGCCTGGCTACTGGATTATCTCGACGATCGCCCGAGCTCTTACGCTGATGAGATGGCCCTTGCCTTGTGGGACGAGTTTGAGGTAGATGTCGCTAAAAGGACGATATACGACTGCCTAGCGAGAGCCAACTGGACGCGTAAGGTGTGTAAACAACGAGCGGCTCAGCGCAGCGACCTGTTAAGAGCGTTATGGCGCACCAAATCGGCACACTGGCCTGTAGATCGACTCGTCTTCGTGGATGAGAGCGGAGCGAACGAGAAGACAGCTGCTCGGCGCACTGGATGGTCACCTAAAGGCATTAGCTGCACGGATATCCGGCGCCTGAGTCGCTCAGACAGGTGGTCAATCCTGCCAGCTCTTATAGTGAACGGTTACCTGCCTGATCCGCTCGTGATTCAAGGCTCTATTAACAAGGATATCTTCGTCTGGTGGCTACTTAACCGTGTGTTGCCGTACCTGTCTCCTAGAGCGATTGTTATCATGGACAACGCCTCAATCCACCATAACCTCGAGCTAGATGAAGTGCTAGCAGAGCGTGGTGTGCGTTTCGAGTACCTGCCGCCTTACTCACCTGATTTTAACCCCATCGAGCTCACCTTTCACACTCTCAAGGCGTGGATGCGTGCGCACTAGGAGGAAATAGGGGGGTTTCCGGTGTTTGGAGACTTCGTGAAGGAGGCGGTGGATCACGCAATAGGCTCTGACTGCCGTGAGTACTTCAGGCACTGTGGTTACGAGTGAGAGTTGAAGGATGAAGTTGAAAAGGCGAGTGTAAGGCTCGTGAGGCTGTTGATCTCAAGTCTTGGCGCTGGCTTCAAGCAAGACGAGCTGCCGCGAGTATGGCTATACCTTTACAACCACACCAGATTGACTCACAAGCAAATAGACATTGATACCGTATGCTATTCTCTAGAGGTTCTAACTTTCAAAACAAAAATCCGTCAAGTGGTTGTAAAACAATCGCGATGCGGAAGTGAGTGCCCCTTGCCAGCGATGATGTCACTGCTGCTGCTTCCACTTTCTCACGCTCTCCCTCATCTTATTGACCTCACCAATCTTTACACTAATCCGATCCTACTACTCTGTCGACACTAGCTTGAATCTATCAATATCTATCAGGTTCTGATCCCACCGAGCCCTTATATCGTCTAGAGCACCCTCGTAGCCACGCCAGGAGCGCTGGTCGGCACACCACTCGAAGAAGCGATCCGTCCGCGTTATTAGGTCTAAATCGCTCGGCTGCGAAGAAGGCAGCTTAGGGCCTGAAGGATGGTGATATTGAAGAGCTGACTGCATAGTGGACGGGCCAACCGCTCCAGGAAAGAGGTTGAAGATTGGCTGGAAGCGATCAAGGCCATTGGACGGGTTGTTACTACTCTTCTTGTGTGAGTAGGAGCTCGCTAGCTGCCGCTCGCGAGCCTTCGCTAACTGGTGAAGGAGCGCAGTAGATGGCTCGTCGTGAGTGAGGTTGCCGTCCCTTATTTCCTTCGTCCAAGCCACCATGGTGTCCTTGTGCAAGGGGTAATGGTTGTCTGCTAAATCGCTGCCTAACTAGTAGCAATAGCCCTCCTTACCGTTGTTACGACAGCTCTGTTGCCTACAAGGCCAGCGCGCTCGGAGCGAGAAGGTTCGGTCACCTACGCCTTCAAGCGCTTCAACCTCATCTCCTAACGCGTCAAGATGGCGAGTCGTTGAAGTCGTTCGCTGACTTGCTCCGGCTGCAGGGCTACTTCGAGAGCCATGAGCAGCGGCAGTGGTGGCGGCAGCTAGCTCCTTTTGACAAAACAACTTGAGGTACATGGTCAATCCAGTGTGGCCATCCGCTGACCACTTACGCAGGCGTTCAACTAGCTGCTCATACTCGAATCCGCTCTCAATATCCGACTTGTAGGCCTCCCCTTTGGCCTGCTCGCGATATGAGACAGTTGCAAACGTCCGCACCACTCTGCAGTCAACACTAGCAGCGTAAGCAGCCCATATCCGAGCCTTCGTAAAGAGCGTGGGATCGTCACCGTTACACACCACCTGCTTATATCTAATATCCGGTGGCTTTAGGCCCATGAACGCTTGCCACACGCCTTGATATACCACCTCCTGCGGAGCCTGAGGAGCAGCCGTCAAATCCACCTCTTCAACAGTCGGTTACGAGCTTAGTATAGATATAAAGTCGTCCTCATTAACCTCAACTTGATTCAGAAGTTAAGAGGCTAGATTGCCGCGAGCGGCAGTAGGTGTCTTGTCGTCGTCCGGTTGAGGCTCACGGCGGCGAGCCTTTAAGGCGCGTTTATTGATGCCTGCAGCACCCTTTCGCTTCTTGGCAGTAGCGCGAATGGCCACAGGGGTGGTGGTGGCAGCAGCGGTGGTGGTGGTGGCAGCAGCAGCCTTCGCAGTAGGACGAGGGGTACGTGATGGACGCGTTTTTGAGGCCATATCGACTAACAACACCTCAGATCAAGTGGTATAGCGTGTTATACGCTCTCAAAAACGATATACGAGCGCGACGGCGAGGTGAGTGGCAAAAGAAGGCGATTTACATGACGATTCTTCCATTATTTGGTGTGGCAGGCTAACAACTCGCGAAATCCCCACATGCGACAGCTATTTCCGCGCCAATGTTAGCGCCAGGTGGGGACGAGCTTAAGTCGATTAAGGTGCATTCCTCGATCTCCTGCACAACTTCGTCATCTCCGATCAACGGCCCTCGGCGGTGAGCAATGCGCGCCACCCTATTTCCCATCCACCGCACCCTGACGATGCTTCTCACCTCCCACGCACTCGAGCTGGACTCTTTGCACCGCATCATCTCCGACCCCGATCGCGACGATAAGGCGCCATCTCTCCAGGACTGTTCTCACCGCCAGCGCATTGTGTAACGCGAGAGCTGGGCATGAGCAGATGACAACTCCTCCCACCCCGACCCGTCTGATCTCACCTCTTACGAATCAACGTCAATATCCATGTCTATGAATTTAGCGAATTTACTCAATGATGGGAAGCTCAAGGTACGCCTTCCCACGAACACCCTCTTCCCCGGCGCGTAGATACTGACAGCATGCGCTTGTAGAAGAGCTTCATGGTCGCCACCCTGGTGACCACCATCCTTGGCACCTTCTCCACCTCCCTAGCCCTCCACGATAAAGTTCAAGAGAAACGGTTCCAGTCCAAGCAGAAGAAGCTCGACGCCTCACAGGATGACAAGATCAACGACCTTGAGCGTAAAGTCAAAAGAATTCAAAACGGCGAGGAGAATGGCGGCCGGTCGCGTTCCACATCCCGCAACCGCCGTCCCAAACCCCGCCGTCGCAGCACGGGAGACGATGGAGACAGCGACGACTTTGACCGGCAAGCGCGTCGCTCGCGCGCCGTAATTGCGCGCGAGTTCCAGGATAACGTGGATCGCTTGGGCGCCAAGTACGCGCAGGGCGACATCATCTCGGAGAACCGATTGCAGGCACAGGTCATCGCGCTCCAGCAGACCGTAATCGACGTGCTGCAGGACGCTTTGATGAGCGGTCGCTCTCTGACCAAAGCCGATGTGCGACGGCTCATTGCAGCGCAAAATCGCGCACGTGATGGCTCGCTCGAGGCTCTGCACGATCAATACAATCGAATGATTCAGACCTCCGGCCGACGACCATCGGCGTTGCTTGAGAACCAACCTGTCTTTCCTCCCACCCGCCAACTGACCGCCCCGGCCATTGCCTCACCAATCGACGACTCGTTCCCACCGGCGCGCCGGTCACGCACATTGCCAGCAAACGCAGACTCGGCTTCAAATCCGCAAGGACTGTACTGTCGCTACGCCTACGACCTCCAAAACAACTACCGCAAAGGCGTGAGTTCCGCTTTTGCGCCCTCGGGCTCACAACGATGCCCCGCCTGCGACCTCCGGCTGCCTGTGACTGGCGACAAGGTTTGGGTGGTGGAGAGCGGCGAGGGCTCGTGGACCATTGATCCCAGACTGGTGCTCAAGTCGCACACGGCCCAAGGGGATTATGTGTGCGTTTTGTGCTACAATGATCGCGGCAGAGATGCCGATTGCTTTTGTTCGAGTGTCGACGCGCTGATTAAGCATACTGGTCGCATGCATACCCGAGAGGAGTTTGATCGGGAGGTTGACATCTTCCAATCGTAGAGGCCTACGATTGTCTTCAAGGCTGTGGATGCTGGAAGCATTTGCTTGGTGTCATTGACGGATCTCTTTTACACCCACGAGGCATCCATGCATTTCGGCCGAGATCTGAATGGCAAAGATACCTACGATTGAATGATTGACGAGACTGGTGTTCCGATTCGCATGTGCTAGAATCTATAGCATCCGAATCATCGTCTAAACAACCATCAATGTTACCGCGTTGCTAGATGCAGAAAGGCACAACACAACCGGTCTCGGCACGTATTATATTCGGATGCTTTAGCCGAGGCAGACGGTCGAAGCTCGAAAGGGTCTCAGCCTTGCACGTGGTCGAGGCCAACATCGATCAGAAGCCGGCGCTTGTGGCGGCGGGGAAGATGAGGAGCAACAGTTCCATGCAGGACCTCGAGTTCTCGACGTGAAGCATCGTCTGGCCAGCTCTCCATCATTGACCGCCGGCATTAAGGTGGCCATCACGGAACTCCACCTCCCCGGACACTGCTGGGTTATGAGATCACATCGTCACGCAAGCAGGTCTTCACCTCACCATTTCACCACAATCATTGAGGGCATAACCAACAACTCTTTCTATCCATGATGCCCCGTACACGATGAAAGCAAGATGCCCTCCTTCACCGTAAGCGAAAGGCCGTCGTCGACGAAAAGTTGCCCCATCCGGAATGGCGTATGGATTTCTTTGCCCAATTGGGAAGGTACATCAAGGGTCGCCGCCCAGTCCAGAGCACTTCACCCTCCTCGTGATCTTGCTTGCGTGGACACACGCCGGAGCCGCAGGGACGATAAGAGGCAATGGCGTCCGGCGGTGAGAGTCATCATCGCCTTGGTCAAATGCTATCACTGTAATCTTCATAGGTTTGTCTGCTCTCTTCGTCCTTCTCATAGAAACACTCCAATCATCTCAAGTGGCCCTGTTCGCCCGGAACATATTCTCGAGCACGTCAGATTCTCGTCTCTAGAGGAGAAAGTATGCCTTCTTCGATGTTCGGATACTTCGGCCTAGGCACCAAAACCAACCCAGTGCCGCCAACCGTCGAACAAGGAAAGAAAATCACCTCCGCTCCCATCCGAGCCTTGCCGGCGCCATGGTATACATCACAGGACATGTACGAATTCGAAAGACGCGCAATCTTCTCTCGCCGATGGCTCTTCATGACCCACCAGTCCCGCCTTGCGAATGCCGGCGACTTCCTCAGATTCAATGTGGCGGGATTCGACATCATCATTGTCCGGGACCGCAAAGGCTCCGTCAACGCTTTCCACAACGTGTGTCGCCACCGTGCCTATCCGTTCCTGGAGAAGAGTGAAGGCAATGCCAAAATCTTCGCTTGCAGGTACCACGGGTGGTCTTATGGATTAGATGGCAAATTGGCAAAGGCACCCGACTATGACCTCCTTCAAGGATTCGACAAATCAAGAAATGGCCTACTTCCTATCCACACTTACATTGATGTGAACGGATTCGTATGGATCAACATGGACGCTTCCGCCCAGCCGGAGGTTCCGTGGACCGAGCACTTCGACGGCGTCGATCAACAGGAGCGATTCAAGGACTTCAACTTCGATGATTATGTCCTCGACCACACGTATGAACTGGACGGCTCGTACAACTGGAAGATTCTGGCGGACAATTTTAATGAATGCTACCATTGTGCTACCACGCACCCGGATGTGCCTGCTTTCCTCTCCATCGACAGCCATGACTGCGAAGGCAAGGCGGGCCATATCCAGCACGACCAAGCTCCGACTGCGGAACAGAAGGCTCAGGGCTTCAATGTTAACAGCACGTATTACTTTCCTAATGTCTCCATGTCCATATCGTAAGTTCTCAAATCTGATCAACGGACAAGGGCTGCCAGGCTGACGATAAGAAACAGACCACATTTCATGATGATTCAAAAATTCCTGCCATCCGGCGCAAGCTCATGCAAAATGCACTACGAAGTCTACCGCAACAAGCACTCCGCTGACAAGGACTTCAAACTGATCGCCGACATGTACGCTCGCGTCATGTCAGAAGATAAAGTTTTATGCGAGCGCGCGCAAAAAAATCTAAACGCAGGGGTGATTATGAATGGCGAGCTCCATCCACGATGGGAGAAGGGCCCGTTGTTCTTCCAGCAGACTGTGAGGGAGGTCGTTACCGAGCACTACAAGCGGGAGAAGGCGGCGGGGCATGAGATCTGGCCTGCGCGGCAGAAGTTGCCCGACGATGCGCTGCTGAGCCTGGAGGACATGGAGATTTGCAACGGAATCTCGTGCAACACACGAAAGGAAGTGCTGGTGTGGTGAGAGGATGTGCCATATGGACAGGTGGGCCTGGGAACGGAGTTTTGCATCTTTTGAATGGCTGCAATGACTTGACTGATTAGCCTGCTTAGTAGATAGCGCTTATGAATCTTCATTACGATCGTTCGTTCACTCCAATGCGCCTTATGAATTCCCACCGCTCGCGGGCGTCATGACCCATCCCGCCTTGAGTTCGCTCTCCGCCTTTTTGTCCGGATTCCGATCTTCAAATGAGGCAAAGAAAGCGACGACACCAAAGATTCCGCCAAACAAAGCCACAACCCATCCAATGGTTTCGAGTACCACGCTCGCGACGAACACACCGATCGCTGCACCGCCCGCCGCCAGAGCAAGGAGGGCGAGAGAAAAGCAGACTAGCAGGGCTGAAGTCAGCGAAGACTCACGAGGGCATTGCCATGCAGCGCGAGCCGTGTCTTGACTTACGCATTCCTAGACGATAGTTGGGATCTTTCTCATTCTCCTCCCTGTAAATCTGGCCCTTAACGGCCTTGTACACCACCCAGGCGTCTCCGGCGCCGAAAATATCACGGTACATTTGGACAGGGTAGGCGCGCAGCTCCTGGCCGTTGCCAATAGTCCAGCAAGCAGCGATGCGTCGCGCATGGTCGATTCCCACGCCTCGCCGCTGCATCGCCTGCACCAGATAATCGCGCACCTCGTCCGGCGTGGCTTTCGGGTCGGGCGCTTTGAGCTCCTCAGACGCGGTGAAGGGCGTGCTTTCGTCGTAGAGGGGAAGCATTTCCTCACTTTCCGGCGAGCCGGCGTGCGGCTCTTCGTTCTCGTCGGTGCGGCCCATCTTGGTTCGATTTGTGACAGTTATGTCGTGAGGATGGCAGATTTTGGAAAGATGATGTCGTTATATTGATGCCTGACGCTGGAAACCTTAACCCTTGCGCCGTGCACAGCCACGCCTCTGTCGCCCGGCCTTGCGTACTTGAGCTCTGGAGGGTCCGACATCGAAAGATCTCAATTATCGAAGATGTAAAACAATCGAGGCGTCGGAAGTCTACTATCAATCCAGTCCAAAGTGGGATGTAGATTGTTTCCCGATAAAACACGGCTTGTCAGCCATAAGGCTATCTCTCTACCACCTTCGCCAAAGGCAAGGCAGCCAGCCGGTCGAGACGGCCAAACCGGCGAGTCAATACGTGTCTTCGGGAGCATAACAATCAGTCGATTGACCTCACATTCTTACAACCCAAGTTTTTCGTACTGGCCTACGAATTCGCTATACAGCTTATTGAGTCCGTCCAGGTCCAACGGATCGTGCCCGTCGGTCTTGTTCATATACCACAGCATGTTGTGAACGTCAAATGCAATGGCCAGCATGTACCCATACTCGGCCTCAAGATAAACCTGTTCCACCGTATCCGAGTCGCCAGTCACCTTGTTCCATTCCTTCGCGTACTCGTTACAGAAATGCCGTTTCTCAGCCTTAGTGTACTTTCTGCAGTCAACAATCTTGCTCTCCTCGTCGAACCACTTGAACATCTTTTGCATAAAGTGCCCACCAATGTCGAAGCCGCGATAGTTGCGCATGACCATTTCAAAGTCGATGAGAACCACTCTGTTTTCACCTGACTGCGGGCGATTCTTGACCATGGTGTTCATGTACTGTACATCGTGAAGACACCAGCCGGCCTTGGCCCGGATGGCTTCCATCGCATTGACCACGACGCCTACTCTCGATGCGAAGTCATAGTCTACCAGGTCGTCAATGCTCACTCCTCCTTGCTTGCCCAGTGCTTTGAGACTCTCCATTTCATGGTGCTTTCGGAGACTCGGTACGATAGCATCGTAGTAGGCAGCCACAGGTCTCTTAGGCAGGGTGAATTCCATCGCATGGAAATTAGCAAAGGCCTTAGCAATATCCGCTCTGACAACAGCGTCTTCCACGTCTTCCGGCTCCAAGTTCCGCGCGTCCAAAAACTCATCAATCCTGCCCTTCATCCCGTCCTCGGTCTGGAAGAAGCCATACACCTTGGCCCCCAATCCCGACAGGCTATACTCGTGGCAAAGCAACGTATCTTGCTCCACTCGCGGGGCCAAGTGCTCGAATGCCGCAATGCCTGACTTGGATTCGTCCAGAAACTTCATGAACAGCTTCAATGGTTCGGCGGGCGTGCGGTTTAGTGGCGCGGGCCGTTCTACCGTGCAGTGGGGGTTGTTGAAATTGGGTTTATAGAACATTTCCAGGCTTTCCGGGTCGATTGCGGGCCATTCATGGGAGAAGAAGGCGGCAAGAATGTCTCTGAGCACGCGCTTGGTCGGTACCGTCTCGGCTGGGAGTCTGACGGGGATGCGTTTGATGGAAGCCATGCTGTGCCCGCATGTCAGGTACAACGTCGAGATGAGCTCCAGTGTACATGTAGTGAGCACTCATGACTTTCGATTTAGGCGATCAGTAAATAAGTGGAGTGGGGCATGTAAAATTGAGTCATCCGCGGAACTCATTCTCTTTACACGCTTAGTAGAGCAATCGGACGGATGCTCTCGCGAGCAGGAGAGCGAGGCGGATGGGATAAGGAATGGAAGCCCTTGGTCTGGACCAGATGTGGCGTTGGGAGGGTTCATCAAAGCAAACTGGCGGATTTCAGGGGTGACAGCGAACCAAGGAATTGGCAAGAAGACATAAGCATCTACCGTCCAATGCTTGAATTCACAACCAGGCCCCGCCGGATATCTCCCCGAGATCTGCACCTGGACAATCCTACACATCAGGAACAAGGGATTCGATTACGCCTTCGCATGGACGCAAGCACGTGTCCGGCCTCGCCGACACGAGGGTCCGGGTGGAAATGTCGAAATTGATCCTCAACCGTCAATTCTTTCCCAATCGGGCGTTTCAGCCAGCCCCCGACGCGCGCCAGCCTCGCCGGCTCGCGGTCAAGCTCGCCTTTCCTTTCCAGTAGCCAACTCCGCATGTCGCCTCCTCGTGGCTGCAGACCGCGGGCGCCATTCGGAGCCGAAATGAAGGCTCCCGTTCCTATACATACCTATCCGGCGAACCTCCAGCTAGCCAGCCTTGTCAGCCTAGTGGCCAGACTCCATCTCTCCAGGGAGCAAGGCTGACTTCCCGTCCCCTCACGGTTGCAGACGGTGCGCGCGCCACTCGGCTCGCTTAGCCATATCTCGACACGAGGCTTGTAGGATGGATGACTCTGGCGCACACAACAAGGCTGTATTTGGCAATGAGGAAGGCTCAAGGATCATCACAACCATCACAGCCCTCCAGCTCGCTACAGGGAATGGTGTTCGACGTGGTATTAAAGGGTCAATCTTTCCGGGTTCGAAAAGGTCAGAACAATCACAACTTGAGTCCTTCGTTCTCCTCTGCGAGCTTCTGTCTCGATTACGCTCTTTCACCCCGTTCCTCCACATTCTTTTACTGTCTCAAGAGACCTTCTTTCTCATCCACGTTCGTGAACAACAATCACACACGCTCTGTAGTTGACAGACCTCCACTTGAAACGATGAAGCTGTACGCCCTCACTGGCTTGGCCTTGGTGGCCATCTCCAACGCCGCGCCTCATGCCGGGCAAGCCAAGCGCGGCCTGCTCGAGGAGAGGTCGATACTCCCCAACCCGGGGACGATCACCGATGCGATCACAGTCACCGATGCGATCACAATCACCGACACATCTACGTCGTTCACAACTGTCGGCGCGATTGACACCGTGACGGCAACAGTGACGGGCTTCACGTCCACCCTCACGTCGACGACGACCGCGTTCGATACGGAAACGTCGACTACAACGGCCGTGGCGACTACAGGTATGAGACTCGCCCTCAGGACCCGTCCGTAAAACCGATTACGTACTGACTCACATCTACAGTCTACACCATCCCTGAAGAGACGACCTCCACCCAGACGTCGACCGTTGTTAGCACTGTCACCGACGTCACGACTGCGACGTCCATCTTCACCACTATTGCTTCCACGGACAGCTTGACTACCACTACAACGTCTATCTCGACGACAGGTAAGAGACTCGACAAGAAAACTACCTCACTGCCCGTGCTTACTGCCTTTCGCAGTCTATACCATCCCTGCGGAAGTAACTGCCACCTCGACAACGACCAGTATCACTACGATTCCGGCCACGACTACACAAACATCTACCTCCATTTCTACGACAGGTACAACACTCGCCTACCAACATAAGTAGATGAAGCCCGTCCTGACCATTCTCGCAGTCTTCACGATCCCCGCCGAAGCTACGACGACGCTCACAACCACCGTTGTAACGAACGACGTCACGGCGACGGAGACAATTACAAACACGGCCACCGAAACCTCTACCGTCACGTCGGACGTAACGACCACTCAGCTCTTCACGCTAGACGTGACATCGACCCTAGCTGCAACCACAACATCCACAGCGACCGAAACTGCATTCGCCACGTTCACGACGGACGTGATCAACACTTCTACCGAGACGGCCACCGCAACGACCGATGTCTCCGTCACGCAGACTCTCACCGCTACCTCCACCAAGACCCACGAAGTTATCTTCACGGATAGGACGACGTTGACTCAGCGCATTCGAACCACTGATCTGATCACTGTCAAAGCCTTTACGACTGCCAGTCCGGCGGCCACCACGACTCCGGCCGCCGCGGCTGTGCAGAATGCGGCCGCGAAGAAGAGGAAGTCTCATTAGAGTGAAGCGGGAACTGGGAGGACGCAATTATGGGCGTGGGGATAATAAACGCGGTATAATGGGTGGCCGTTCGTTGGATTCGATGGAGTGGTTTATCTCGTATTGCTTTTGTTGTGTAGTTTTTTTACAGAAATCGTAATGTTGATTTATATTTGCTTCCGTCGCCAACTTTCCAGCTCTCATCGATGTAGTAAGACAAGAGGGCAGGTGGAATCGTTGGAAGACGTTTCCATACGTGCAAATCGCTCAAGAGATAATAAGACACCTGCACCTCGCTATGCTCGCTGCGCAAATCTCATCAACTTCGCCCCAATATCGTAGACGGCAATGACGTTCTTCAGAAACGTGCCGCCCAGCACCTTGCCAGATTGGTTCCCCGGCTGCACGCCCAGGAAGCACGTCGTCTCGCCCCACGGCGTCACCAGCTCCTCTCTCGCCATCAAAATGCTGCCGTTAGCAAAATGCACGCTGAACGTGGGCGCGGCGGTGTCGCAGGGCACCAGATAGCCGCCCGCGTTCTCGCTCCACCTTGCGGGTGGGTGGAAGGCTGTTGCGAACGCCGCTACGATGCGGTTCTCAATGTACGTCAGGGTCGTGCCGGAGTCGACGATGTAGCTGTGGGGAAAACTGAATTGCGCGCTGCCGGTGGTGTTTTGGATCTTGGTGTCGTGCTTCGATGTCTTCATTGTCGTGGTCTCGCCCGAAGTTGAATTCGTCCAGGAGAAGGCGGTGGGGTTGACGGCGTAGTATGTAAAGACGGGCTCGTCGGTCTTCTGGTCGATAATCGCCGGGAGGAGAGGTGTGTCAATGAAAGGCGGAGTGTATGTGACATTCGCTGGAATGCCGCCCAAAGCCATTAAACCCGTGCCATTGTTCCGCGGGGCGGCGGCTAGGCTGAACATCGGAGCGACGCCCTGGTTGATCATGTTGAAGATCAGGTTGCTGTACTGCCCCTCTCGTCCCCCGACTCGGTCGGCATTTGGATTCGTGCCGGGCCACACGTTGCTGAGCGTGGGATAAGCAAAGCCAAACAAGCCTGACGAAGTGCCGTCGCCTTGCCAGCCGGCGCAATGGACGAGGCCGAGCTCTTGCTGGTCGACCGTGATGCCGCCCATAACCACCGTCTCATAGTTCAGGGTGCCCGTCAAGTCCTCGCCATCGGCATAGCTAGTGTTGAAATTGACCCCGGGGATTGGGCGGAGCGTCGAGTCGGGCGTATACGCTTTGCCGAACGCGCATTTCTCGCTGGGCACGATGTCCCACGTGTCAGGATTGCGACAAGTGTACCCCTTCTCCACCACCCATACGTCGCTGCTGCCAGTGTCGATTTGCACCTCAAAGTTTTGATCTCCCACTTGAACTGGGGCGATGAAGGTGCTGCCCTGTTCGACGTTGGCCAGTGGAATCTGTCTTGTGCATCAGAGAGGGAGCGTTGGGTGTAATTGGGAATCGAACAATCGTACCGTGTTTCCTTGAACCTGCGCAGCAGCATGCAATGCCCGGGTACTTGGTGGCTTGCCTTGCACCGTTCTGAATTCGATCACATTCTCCACGACTTTGATAACCTGAGAGCCTTCTGCGCGGGCTCCGATGGCTAATGCGGCTGCACCTTGAACGAGTATCGCTATAGCAAGCATTGTTATCGAGGCCCTCAAGGCCCTGGCATCGAGCGAAGAAAATTTTGAGGAACGTAAGAGACGAGATGGGGATTTTCATCAGAGCAAGGACGTAAGAAACGAGACCGAGTGCATCTTCACAGCAAAGGAAGAGTTGTAGTCTAAGTGCCGGAATACGGTTCGTGTTATACATCCTTTACCAAAGGGCGAGAGATGCTTGGTATGGTAGACCGTTCACAGCCTCCGAATCCTGCGTGTATAAACATAGCTGAACGAGAAATTCTTCCTGTCCCGCCACGGCGTCCTTGGGCATAACATTGTGCCACGGCTGAATTTTGTTTGGGCGAGGCTGTGAATTCGCAGCAATGGCGGTCGCTCAACAATCAGCAATTGCAGCTGCTGCCATGTACGGCAAGCCTTTGGCAGAGTGGACGTAAAGAGACCTCGGAGAAACAGCCAGGTCAACAGCAGCTATAGATGGGCGGCGCGGGGAAGCGAGAAAGAGAGGTGGAGGAGCGTAGCGCACTCGACATTAAATGGGACATGCGCGGGTGAGGCACGCCAGCCGACCTGGCCCCTTTCCAAGCCGCATGCCAATCTCCCGCAATGCTTGATTCCGCGGGCTCACGTCGAAAGAAAAGGGCTTTGATTACGCCTTTGGACCGATGCAGCACGTGGCGCGTCCCGTCAGCAGATGGACGCGCGCCACATTCCCGGTCTCGCCGGTGCTAGACTCGGGCTGGAAGACGGGAAATGAAGCTGTCAACGGTCAATCACTGCCTATTGCAGGATCTAGCTTCTGTCAGCCTCGCCGGCCCGGGACCAGACACCTTAGCGCTCAAGGTGGTGCGCCATAAGGCTTGTCTAGCAGAGACCACAGGGAAGCTTGCGGGAAGAATAATTTCCACGCACTCGACTCGACTGTTCTCCGCGGCCGAGGAATACGAAGACTCGTTCCCTGTCCGGTGCGCCACCGTGAAAGGCGTCCGACGTGATATAGAGAAGATGCTGGCCGCGCGCGCGGCTATGTTTCAACAACCTCCTTTGTCCGCCGAGAGCTCTTGTCTCGCCCACGCACATTAACATCAACCCCATTCATTCCTGTTCTTTTAGCAAGCTTTTCACTCGAGTCGGTCTTTACAGTTCTACCAACTACCTACCCTCCTTTGGTCTATAGACACAACCTCGTAACCATGAAGTGGTCCATCCTCTCCGGCTTGGCCATGCTGGCTTTCTCCAACGCCGCACCAGCATCCTTCAACAACGCGGCAAACATGGCACTACTACATCCCGCGCACGAAAAACGACAGGCCGTCACCACGAGCACTTCCACGGTCGATGTCACCACGACGCAAACCCTCACGAATTACGCGTTTGCATACACCACCACAACATTGTCCTTTACTCAGACGGGGGGAGCGGAAACATCAACCATTACCAACCTCGCATTTTCTTACTTAACAACGACGGTGAGCCGCACCACTACGGCGGTAAGTTGATGCGAGGAACAGCGTGTGATTTGGACAGGGCTGGTCATACGCTTCACTATCTGTCAAGGCTGTCGCTGACTATCGGACCGAAGACTTCAACCGACTACGATGCCACCACGACGGCTACCTCCACAGCCACCGTGACTGGCGCCACGACCACTGCAACGGCGACGACGACAGTCTTTGCAACAGCTACAGTCGAAAATACTGTGTCGGGAACGACGACATCCGTAGCGACAGCGACGGCGATAGTCGACACCACTACCACTCAGACGGCGACCGTGACCTCCACATTTGTCGCGGCGACGGATACCACTACGTCTACAGGGACCGTTTGTAAGCCTCGCCAGACGTCAATATTAGGAAGGACCGCGCCCTAATCCACTTTGCAGATTTCACGCTCCCTGCCGCAACCACATCGTATTTTACTACATTTGTCAAGACGATCGACGTCACGGCAACTTCAAGCGCGACAACTACGACGACCAGCACATCAACCATCACCTCGGATGTTGTCACGACCGGAACGACTACAGCAGAGGTCACGAGCACGCAAACGACAACGGCAGAGGCCACGAGCACGCAAACGATCGTTGCAGAGGCCACGAGCACGCAAACTACCATTGCCGAAGCTACAAGCACTCAGACGACCATTGCAGAGGCCACAAGTACCCAAACGACAGTTACAGACGCCACCAGCACCTCAACCATCATTGCAGACGCCACGAGCACCTCGAACACCATTGCAGACGCCACGAGCACCTCAACCACCATTGCAGACATCACCAGCACCGTCGTCGCCACCCAAACCATCAACGTTACAACCACAAATCTGTCCACTTTCGTGACGCAAATCACGTCCCGCACAACGGACGTAGTGACTATTCACGCTACTACCACGGCAAAGCCTACCACCAAGAAGCACACGGCGAAGGCTGATGCCAAGAAGCACAGAACGAAGTCTACATAGAGCAGAGATGAATTCTCTAGCGAGAGATGATGGAGGAGAAAAGTGCGTTTGAGCTATATGTAGTACTCTAATCGTTTCTAAGAGCTATCCTTGTTGTTTGGTTTCCTCTCATTGATTCATACTCTGGTCCACGACCTCTTTGTGCAGGCCTGTAAGGGCAATGGCTGTTCAGCCTGTCTTGAGATCTGACGCCAACGAGGACAGTGCGTCACCTACAAGAAGCGAGCACGACGATCAGTGATTAATACAAGACGAGGGAAGTGTTTGATCGATTCTTAGAGCCATGCATAATACTACCTACGCCGCAATTGGACGGTTGCTAGGCGCCGGGACGGCATCGCTGTTGTCTCTCCATTCTACTCCGCCCTTGTATGTATACACGCCTCGGAGATCGCCCAAACTCCGCCGAACAGTCCAATCGGCGGCAGTAACGACCTCCCCAGTCTCGTCTGTCTCTCGTTGCGCGGCGTCAACGAGACCGCCTTTCACAGGCGTCAATGGAACATCGTCGTTCGGGTGCGAAAAATAAACCAGAGAGTAGCGTGGTAAGCCGGCTTGGAGTCCGGGAGATGGGGCTACGCGGTGAATGTTCGATCGCAACAATCCCGCGGTCAGTTTGACCATTGAATCGCCCAAGTTGACGACCACACTACCAGGAATGGGCTTGACATAGAGCCATTCGCCAATGCCGTCACCATTAGTCTGCTCGCGGATCTGTAAGCCGCCTAGCCAGTTGAAGAGGATCGTGATGCTGCCAAAATCCGTGTGCTCTCCATTCTGAATCATGAGTTCATCGGCAGGCTCAGATGCGCGGTGCTGCAAGGCAATGAAGTCTCCCCGCGCCGCATCGTCTCGGTGCAAAGCCAGAAGGGCACCCGCAGGGAGGGCAAGGGATTTCTCCAGGACACCGAGAACCGACTGTACGACCTGCCTGCAATGTAGGGCAAAGGAGGCTAGAAGGGGCTCGATCGACGAGATCATGGGATGTCGGGGCAGAGGCTGCCGGACGCGGAGGAAGTCGTCTACCCGTAGGGAATACATCTCCCTCCTACCGACTCCATCTGGACATGGCGTCCAGCGATATGAAAAGAAGGGATCCACTTTGTCTCGGCCATATTCGTCTTTGGCATGGCTGGGGAGGGCGAAGAAACGTTGTTGTAACGCGTGAAGATCTTCAGCCTCGCGCAGTATGTTGCGGCCGAGCTCAGAGTCTTCCAAGGGAAGGTAGAAGAAGCCAATGTCCTGACATGCTGCGAATAGTTTCGTCTCTGCTTGGGACGGATTCGACGACTGCAGCTCGTCCAGAGAGATGGAGTCGAGCGAGACGGTAGACAAGTCAGATGGGAATGGAGGGAGAAGGTGGTGAGTTGTCAGCGATGACATGGTCGGCATCGACCTCGACATGAGCGACTGCTGCAATGTGCCATGACAGTCCGACCATCGCAGGTTATGATGCGTGCATTGATTGCAGCTCGGCTCAGATTGCCTGAGAGCGTGAGGCATGCCGTACCTTGAACCGCGATGGACAGCCGCTAGCGTGGCCGCGGCAGGAGCCAATGGGAGCGTCTCTGGCAGAATTTGAGACTCCTGACACGAATTCCAGGGTCGCGTGTCGTCTTTCATCAATCCCACTGCCCATTACAACACCCTCTGCATCACAGATTCCCTATCCGACGAGACCGTCGCATCGCATATCGCATTGCACGGTTCGGTCGCACTTGCACCCTTCTCTCGGCCTCGTCTCCCTCTCCCGACAGCTAAGATGCGGACACCTCTCCTCCTCCTGAGCCTCGTTGGCCTCCTTTCCACCTTTGTGACTAGCACAGTGCTCACCTACAAGATGGCGGCGAATGAGAAGGAATGCTTCTACACCCACATCGACAAGCGAGATGCAAAGATTGGCTTCTACTTCGCCGTGCAGAGTGGAGGCTCGTTCGACAGTAAGAGACACTCTCGTCATCCACTCCGGCTCTTGCGATTCAAGGCAGCTCGGAGAACACGAAAGGGCTGACAAGACTCTCATAGTTGACTACACCGTCTTTGGGCCTGGCAAGGGAGCGAACAAGGAGACGATCATCATGGACGGCGAAAAGGAGCGGGAAGGCGACTTTGTCTTTACAGCCACCGAGACTGGCGAGTACCGCTTCTGCTTCGACAACTCCGTCTCGACCTTCTCCGACAAGATGGTGTACTTTGAAATCAACGTACAGTCATAACCGCTCTCTTCTCGCGCTGCCAACACTGACATCGATTGCTCCATGAACAGGTCGAGGATGAGCCCCAGAAGAACCTACCGCAAAAAGCCGGCGCGAGCACTGAGCAGCTTAGTGGGGTGGAAGAGAACGTGAGGAAGCTGAGCAGTCAAATCTCCCACCTGACCCGGCAGCAGAAATACTTCCGCACGCGTGAGAACCGCAACTTCAGCACGGTGCGGAGTACGGAGAGGAGAATCTTCAACTTCAGTCTGATCGAGGGCGGATTGATGGTCGCCATGGCTGGCCTCCAGGTCTTTATCGTCAAGATGTTCTTCACTGGCGGCAGGAAGGGTGAGACTCTCCAACATGTTTTCACATATCGCAATGCTGACTTTGCCAGGCTACGTATGAATATAGATATCTCGCATGCAACAGGCAGGCCCCTGTACATTCACCCCACCCTCCGACCCTCGTCGATGACCATATACTCATCCCCAACCATCATACACATCTCCTCCTCCACCATGAAGTTGTCGTGATCCGGCGTGAGCGCCTTACTTGCAGGGTCGTACATGAACTTTGCGAAATCGCGGTAGTCCTTAAAAACGAAGGTGCATATGGCGTCAAAGTCAAGCATTTTCGCTTGACCGTGAAGCATGTCGGCGATGATGGTGCGGTCGCGTGCTAAGCAGTAAGTCTTTATGCGAGTCGTTAGTCTCGACACAATCGATCTACAGCCATTTCGTCGCTTGTCGAAAAGGAACAATCAAATCAAAAGCACGTACAAGACTATATGTAATGGCATGATGCTTCTCCAACACCGGCGCCGCCATCTGCGCGTGCTTGTGGTTGTAATGCTGCACAAAGTCCTCGTCGCTCATCCCCGCCTTTTTCTTCACCAGAATCGTGGCTTTGACCACTTTGCGGAAGCCGGATGCCGCGGCGAAGGGGTAGCCTGCTTCGAGCACCATTGTTGCCGGGATGTACGTGTAGATGGGTATGATTTCAGAGGGGAGATGGGGTGGGTGGGTGTCACTGGCGCTGCTTTGGTCACGACTTTGGACAGCGAGAGTGGAGCTCAGCATCTTGCTTCAAGCGAGGACTGCTCCTATTTTAATCATCATCCGTTGGCGAGATGGCCGCTCTCATGTCGGTATAAAGATCCTCTGTGCTTGTACGATGTACTAAGAAGCCGCCATTTGCATCATGGACAAGGAGAAGGTGCGGCTCCTGATCCCGGGCTGGCCTTTGCGATCCATCCAGCGGCAGGTAGGTGCGAGGACGTTTGTTCACTGCAGTCTCATTGTTCTTCCTGTTCCGTTAGGCACTATGGCCGCTTTTCGTTGGCTGCTTCGATGCACGCCGTATCATGCCTTCCTCAATCAGACGCAGCCGCTACCCTAACAACAGTGTGTGATGAACCTACTGGGCTGGCAATTGGATGGGTGCAGAACTTGATATTACGAGATATCGATCGCACAAGTCAACATAGCCCGTCTGTTTCGTCTCTCCGGCAGGACTCAATCGATGAGCCTCGCAGACACCATCGCAAGACATGGCCACTGCATTTCCCTTCGCCGCAAGCAGCCCGCTGCGTGATCCACACCATTTCCACGACCTGGGAAGATGCTCCTCCATCAGCAGTGCCAACTCCTCCGGTACCGTCCAGCACCATCGTCTGCGCAACCTCTCCAGCAACTCGCTTGTCTCCCTGCCATCCTTTTGGGTGCCACCTTTCCGTCGAAAGGACGACTTCTCTCCGTCGAGGACGCCGTCTTCGCACAATCTGACCCTCCGTCGCTTCGTCAATGGATCCGATCGACACAGTGCGAGCGGCAGCTTCTCTCGAAGGAGCAGCATTGTGTCTGTGCTGAGCTCCCGATTGCGGACTGAGCCTACGCTTGGAGGTGAGCAGGTCGAGGCGAGGCTGATGGGTGTTGCCGAGAGCGAAGATGACGAGCCGGATGAAACGAGCGAGGACGAGACTAGCCTTGTCGAGGCTGGACTGATGCAAAGTCAGGGCCCTCCGACGCCGACCACCCTTTCATTCGCGCCACCGATCGAGTCAACGGATATTTTCGAGACATGTCCGGAGGAAGCATCTCCCAGACCAGCGGGAGTGAAAAGATGGCTCAGCACGCTACGTCGCCGAAAGCATCAAGCACAACTGAATCGCTCTCCCGGTCAACAACCATGGACGGTGGCCAACTTCGGAAGCCGGTCGACCTCGCCTGCAAAAGACAAATCGCTTCACCATAAGAACACCGACTCTCAAGGCTCGTCGATGGCGTTTGTCTCTGCCGTCAAGTCGGCCACGGCAACTATCGCGAGTGCCAGCATAGCAACAGTGTCCAGAAGGAATGCCAGATGGCGCCGCGGCCATCAACGCAGCAGCATGCTCTCGGGCTCCGATCCTCGCCCATCCATGGACAGTCATCGATCGATCATGGACGAGGCAGCCAAACAGCGCTCGAAAAGGAGGCGAGAGAAGATCGAAGAGTTGATTCGAACCGAGGAGAACTACGTTGCGGACATCAAAGCCTTGTCGAATGTACGAGTGCTACTATCTCCATCACGCCACTCACGCTAACCAAGCACAGGCATACTGCACGATTATCGGTCATCAGCCTTCACCTACGAGCTTTGCCAGAATTTGTGCGCAAAAGAACATCTCGGCAATGCTGCAACTCCACGATGACCTTCTGGGCCAACTGCATCGGATTGTGCCTTTCGCAGAGTGCGACCAACGCATGGCACGAATGCCTCCTGGACTGCCGTCTTCCCACTCGCACACCCGCTGGCACAGCGTGGACGTAGTCCCATCTCAACCCACACCCACTCGGTCGAAGCTGGCTTCCATTCGCCAAGCTCGTCGCTCGCTCAACATCAATCGATCTGTCGAGGATGACCACCCGATGCTGCGCTGCAGCCCATTTGTCGTTTCGGTGATGGCAAAGGCATTTCGAGAACATGTATGGAAGTGTACCATATGCTCTTCTTGTGATGCTGAACGATAACCTTCCACAGATGAATCGCTTCGCGCTATATGAAGAATACGGGGCGAATTATGAGGTGGTGCTGAGCGACATCGACGATGTACAGCGGGCGACTTCGATGTGGTCGGACTTTGACAGGGCGATTGAGGCCCTATCGGTGCATGTCAATCCTGTGAAGAGTCGTGAGGCGAACCGGAAGAAAGCAATGACGGTCAAAGATCTACTGATCAAGGTGAGGCAACTGATCTTTGGCTTGAGCGTATAGAATCTAAGACGAGATTCTAGCCCATTCAGCGACTACCGAGATACGAGCTCCTATTTGGCGACCTGTGCAAGCTCACTCCCGTCTGCGACGACCCGGAGGCCAATGCCGCGATACAAGACCTTCTACACGACATCAGCGCAGCCTGCCGACGCATGAACGAAGCCAAAGATGACCCGGTGAAGTCACGCATGCTGGAAGCAACTTGGCTGCTCGGGGATCGCCTCACCTTCTCCAACCAAGTCCCTCGCTCTGTCTTCCTCCAGCTCCTCGGGCAGGTTCATCTGTGCGGCTGCTTGCACATTGCATATCGAAGCAAAGATCGCATCAAGGGGTTGTACGCCATTTGCATTCTGTTCGACTCGACGCTGCTTGTTGCGATTGCGAACGAGGACCCTTCGCGGTATGCGACTCTGGCAGGCATCCCCCTTGCGAATGCTGCTGTGGTGGAGAGCGACAACGGCAAGGGTCTGCAATGCTACACCGCCCCGCACTCATGGAAGCTGGTCTTTGAGTATTCCGCACGGATGTTCGAGATCATCTTTACCGCATGCTCGGCGACGGAAGCGGACGTCTGGCGCCAACATATTGGCGACTCCATCACGAGCCAGTCGCAAGCGGTTGCAGAAGGCCAGTCGAATGTATTCGAGCTGCATTCACCTTTGATTGCAGAAATGCGCAGTGTCGGAAAGGCATTTGGAAAGCCGGGCAGTTTCGTGCGACGCATGTCGGTCCACCGCACGGCGACCGTTGGTCCCACGACCGATTTGAATCAAGTCATCATCAAGAACACGCAAGCGGCGAAAGAGGCGCTGGAGACTTCATCCACCACCTCCCTGCAAATTCCTCGCTCGCAATCCATGGCAACGCCAAGTCACGTCCAGACCCTCGCGCCCGGACGGGCGGACAGAGTACGCCTGGAGAGCATACTCTGCGACGTGTGGACCAAAGACCTCCTTCCATACCCGGGCATGCAACCCCGGCGATCAGACCCAATCCGCGCATCTGCCAACCACGTCATCCGCAAGTTCAGCATGGCGAGCATCACGAGCAACTTCTCGTCATCGAAGCGATCAGCCAGCTACACGAGCATCAGCACCAACCACAAAGAAGACATGCCGCCGCCGAAACTGCAGAAGAGTATGCGCGGTCGAGCGAACACGAACAAGCCTACTGCTAGACCGCCGCTCGTGGACTTTCACAACGCACCGGAAGCTTTCCTACCTGAGGATTTCGAATTGCAGGTTGATCGTGGCAGCAAACGCAAGAAGTCGGCGCTGCGCACGTTGACTATGACCATGGAGCGGCCGTTCAGCCCATTGCTGGGACACGATCAGAAAGCCTCTGTTCTACGCCGAGCACAGAGCGTGAAGGAAGTCGGCGGAGCGAAGTCTTCAGTCCCGATGGCGACGTCGGGGGATGATAGCGTAGGAGACGACAAGTCTTACCCGCCGGCATACAGTGTTGGACGAGAGCGGACGAAGACGTTGCGATCTAGTGATGAGACGATCATCGCAGGGCATGGCAATGGATCTGCCAAGACGCCCAAGAAGAGCAAGAGCAGCAAGATATTGCGCTTGTTTAAGGGGTGATTGGGGGATTGTATCGTTTCTTGGATGCCCGAGATGCATTGGAAAGGGCGGGGTGGAGAGTCAAGAGACATCGATTAGTGTGTAGTCACTGTACATGGCATTTTCGCATTATAATTATGCGACGGTCGGCTCAGCCTTCTTCTGGAAGGCGGAAGGCTCGTGCTTGGTTCCTGGATCTGGACCCGCCCGCGTGACTATGACGTCGGCAGCGGCGGGCCGTGCTGGGGAGAGCTTGTGACTTGCACGATGTTGCACGCGAGCTTCCCTTGCCCACCGTCTGTTTCATTGCAACAACCATTCCATACCCTTCCACCCACAACACACGTCCATACGTCCATTACTTCACTCTCTCATCAATCTCAGTCCACTTCACAGACTCCCACAGACCACACTCTCACCAATCTCACAACAATTCCAATCTCTTGCTCCACCACCCTCACTTCCAGCCCCCACCAAGACAGCACATCGAACTCAATCACCCCCAGTACCTCAAAGCAACCACCACACCCATCACCATGGTCCGAGGCAACGCAACGCAGATCAAAGTCCACCACCAAGGCAAGGACGAGGACTTCATCATCTTCGTCGACTCCAAAGAGGCGGTGCAGAACTGGAAGAAGGACCGCAGCATCCCCCTGGCACAAGTGGTGTCGGGCTTCAAGATCCTCACCAGCCACAAGTAAGTGTCACTGCTCTCTGTCATGGGTAAGAGTAGGTGGTCTGACTAAGCATTCGTCGGCACAGACAAGGCAATCAGGGCATCCTCGATACCGCGTCCAAGGCGGCGCTGGAGGATGAGTTCGGTACGCACAGGGACGATGATGTGATCACCAAGATCTTGGAGACTGGCACAATTGTTGAGTCTGAGGTAAGACGAGACTCACTGTCGCGGATCCCCCAATGCGGTATGCTCACGTGCTCACTCTTTATTTTTAGTCGGGTGGCCGCGACGGCAGCAAGAACGACTCCAAGGGCGGCCTTGTCTCCCACTAGAAGTGGACTGTGAAGAGAAGACGGGGAAAAGCATGTCTGGGGAATATCAGGGTAGTCAAGTTGAGGAGGAAACAACGATACGATGTTCGCTGGGTTCCGGAGGGGGCGTAAGCCGGTCTACTACAGGCTGGCGGCAGATGGCGTAGGACAGGCGTGAACGAAGGAGCAGTCTCAATTGAAGAACATCCACCATCGAAGCAATGCCAGTAAGCAAACGTGATCACCGTCCTACTAAAAAGTCATGTGACCTTCAGACATCATTCATGCACGTGAAAGTGCGACTGCCTGCAGGTCCGCGTTTGTCAAGCCCCACCCTCAAACAAGGCTGAGTCGCACCTTCCTCCTTCACTTTGAGCAACGTCTCTTTATCACTCAACAAAAAGGACATGGAGCAGACAGACTTGCTTGCTCTCTGATTTGTCTCAGCCAGCTCGTTTGCTGCTTCATTCACACTCACCGGCCGGCTGTCAAAACTCAAGATCATCCTCGTCCCACGTCCGACCACATTCAACCCTCAGAGCTTTCCACGGCATCTGCTCTCAGTGGAGACGCAACAGCAAGGCGCACCAGCCGCACAACCACTCGCACTTGACAACATGTCAGGCATTTCGCAGCTCATCAACACGTCTGCGTTCCTGGGCAACTTCCTCACCTCCCTGCACGCCCTGAGGCCGTCCCTGCCCCCGCTTCCATCTGAGGTCCAACGACAGATCGTCGACCTCGTCATCACCGACCAGACGAGCACAGAGAATGACCAGAACTCCACCCCTCTTCCACCTCGCAATCCAGCCGGAATCCCGCCCGCCAACGGCTCCTCGCCATTCATGAACTTGCCCACCGAGCTGCGCCGATCCATCTTCTTCGACTCCCTTCCTTCTTCCACCAAAGCGTACCATCCCAGCTGCAAGGACTGTCCCGATGCCCGCTTCAATAGCAAGCTGGATCCCGACGTGCAGCCGCGCCGCAACAGCACGTCGGATCTTATGACTCTCAACAAGAAGATTTGTGGCGAGATTACGGAGTTGCTGTACAAAGGTATGGTGCTCCAACGCACTCTTTACTCTTTACGCTGTCGCTGACCATCTCCTTCTAGAGCGCACGTTTGTCATCCACGTCCACGAAGGCCTACGTGATGGGGGTATTGAATTCCAAGACACTGGCCGTCAGCCGCTTCAGTACAAAGACAACATCGACGACGCGCGATTCTTCAAATTCGGACAAGACGATCAATTCGGATTCCATCGTTTGAAGAAGATTGTGATTCAAATCTATCCATCCTTCGAAGAGAACAACCGCCATGTCGCCATCAACACCTTCTTCATGCATCTCGCACTGTGCCGCCTGCTGGAGAGGTCGGGAGGAGCAAAGAATCGCATCACAGAGCTGGGGATTGAATTCGTCGTGCCAAAGAGGCCTCGTGGCGTCACTCGCCAGAATCACTTCCGTCACAACTACTGGTGGGATCCGTTCAGACAGCAGCCATGCGCGACAAGCATCCACAATCTCAGCAACGTCGAACTCGCGCTCCGTCCTTTCGCTACGCTTACCGGTTGCCACAAGGCCTGGGTCAAGCTGCCCAAGATGATGGAAAAGCATCGGGCTACTCTCACCTTCGTGGACGCTCTCACGAAGAGCATGATGAGCAGAGCCGGCACCCTCTTCATGGACGATGACCTTGAGAGGAAGATTGAGACTTCGCGCGCCGCGATGGAAGACTACGTCTTTTCCATTCTGCACGGGACTGGCCATCGTAAAGTGAGCAAGCTGACTGCCGAAGACATGCAGAATGACGACGATGGCATGGATGAAGAAGAAGAAGAAGCGCTACTATGGAAAGAGAACGACAGTCCGACCGACGTGGAATGGGATGGCACAGTGACCAGACGGCTCTCCAGGAAGTCACGGTTCGATGACTACCAGGGCAACGGAGAAAACGAAGACGAGGAAGACAGAGGCCTTCAAGCTGCCATTGCTGCATCACTCGTGCAGTCCAGCATGCATGCGAAGCGCAAGTCCCCGGACACCTCCTTCACCCCCGTGAAGAGGGAGCGCAATGATGTGCACGGGAGGTACACGACTGGAACGGCCTCCCCTGACGAGTTTGTCAATTTCGGCTGGAACGCTTACTCCACGCTGTCGACCTGGCCGGGCCTGGCGGAAGCGGCTCGTCATCCTTCCAATGCTGTCGGCTTCCCTGGTATGCCATTGCGGAGCAAGCAGTCGATTCGAGTAGCGGGCCCCAAGGCGGTGATCGATCTCACGGGGGAAGATGGCGATGGAAGCTACGACCTGCGCTACCGTACGCCTTCTCCCGTGCTGGCTGCTCACGACGTGGTGGATCTGACGGGCGACTCAGAGAGCGCAGAAGATGCTATGGATGTGGAGAGCAGTGACGCATCGTCGGAGTCATATGCGAATGACGATTCTTTCCACACCACCCTTTCCAGTCCTTTGGGCAAGAGCCTCTCCCTGGTCTGATTGGAACAATCGCTGGGTGAATGGGCTGAGTTAAGAAAGGAGGGTGTTTGCGCTGGAGAAGCAGGCCAGGGGTATTCGGGAACGGAAGGAGTTGCAATGGTCGACCGCATAGGTGGACGCTCGTCTGGCATGCATGCTCCAGGGGACCAGGGGCGGCATTTGACTTGCTGGAGCGTGCGATGCTGTATCATACGTACTCGTAGCGTAACTACATACCCCATACTTTTCAATGCGATAGGACAAGATCGTCCATCAGAAACGATCGAAGGATCGTATACGTGATGAGATAGGAGCGGCTAAAAAATACATGGCCACGGAACGATTGATGTAAGCACTACTTCCAGCATCTGACACTTTCGGGCTTCGCGTTCGTTCGGTCACTTAATCCACTACATGCACCTCCCGAAGCACATACATGCAGCCGCTGCATCGACGATTCTACCCTGCGCCAGATCTTTGGCATGACGTGACAAAGAGGATGCCGGGCTATGGCGACGTATCCTAAGCTACGCACTGGCACGTTCAGCTGTCAGGAATGCCGGCGAAGGAAGAAACGCTGTGTCTTTGACGAGGCCGCAGGCAATGGGGCGTACAGCTGCATATCGTGTCGGAAAAACGGCACGCCATGTCTCAGTCAGACCCTTGACGCCGATGACCATACGCTCCTCGACGCACGGCTGAAGAATATGGAAGCCCAGGTTGAGATGTTGGTGAGGCGGCGGAGGAAGAAGCAATGCCTGGTTCTCGCTAATTGCTACCCATTGCCGATGCTCCCGCTCGAGATACACGACAGCTGGACCTCTCGATCGCACTCGTTGAACGAGTTCTTGCTCCCCGTCCTCCCTGCGCCGGACCTGGCCCTCCAGATCGTGACTCTAGGTCGATCGCCGCTTTCCGCGGTAGAGAACTCGCCGAATCGCATGCAATCCTATCGTCGAGACGGGTTCCAAGATGAGCGAAACGTGCGCCCGATGGCGCTCGCTCGAGACTTGCTCCAGCTTGCCGTGTGCTTGGATCGTCTCGACTTGAACGCAGACGGTTCGCCCGAGCTTCTAGCACCGGCGACGACTGCGCGACGCTACTTTGACGCCGCGCGACAAGTCACTTTCCGAGATGGCATGGTCGACTGTGTCGAGGGCATTGAGGCGCTCATGCTGGAGTGCAGCTATCAGATGAACAAGGGGAATCTGGAGAGCGCTTGGATTGCTATTCGACGTGCGCTGAGTGCTGCCCGTCTTGCCGGTACTCGATACGACACCGCGCTGTACAGAAAGCAGATGGCGACACTGTGGAAATGGCTGGTGCATTTTGATCTTATTCTCTCTCTCAACACGGGACAAACACATGCCATGGTGGCCGAGCCTATGGTTGTCTACAACACCGACCCCTCTCCGCTCGGCCAGCTCGAAAGCACGCATGTCACAGCATCGGAACGGATCATCAAGCGGAATCTCCGAATGCAGAGACTCTCGAGCCATACTGGCGAGGGGCATGATCATCTGGCAGAAACGAGAAGCACCGACGACAGCTTGAAGCAGGCTGCACACAACTTACCGACAGAGTGGTGGGCTCTGCCCATCGAGCAAGACCTGACATCATACGGCAGTCGCCTTATCCCGCAAGTCCAACACTACGATCTGATCGTGCAGCTCCATCTTCCATACTTGATCACCGGCCTCGCCTCGCCATCTACCCAGCGCAGTGAGCACGAATACAGTAAACTCGCCGCCGCCGCAGCCGGTCGCGAACTCCTCTCGCGCCACACTTTCATCTGCGACAAAGGCTTGATACGAGGCTCTTCGGGCGGCGGCGCCGTACCCAAAAGCTTCTCGGCCGCTGTCGCTCTTCTCTTGGCCCAGATTGATGGGCATCGACTCGGCGCATTGAATGTGCTGGAACATCAGCGAGCATCCGATTTGAATATGGTCAAGGATGCCGTTGCCAGCATTCGACAAATCAGTGAGCGTGTTGGTCCATCCTGCTCGTATTTGTCGAATCTTTCAATTCTGGAGGAGTTGCTGGAGTATGAGCAACGGGCGGCTGATGGAGCGAGCGTGCATGTCTCAACTTGCGATGCCTCCACGTCAGCTGTGGTGGCGGCCTTTACCTTCCCCCTACCGTACTTTGGCGAGATCCATGTGCAGGAGAGCACTGAAGCGGAGGAATTATATGCTGTTACTTCTCGAGAAGAGGACTGCAATCTGGATGGAGAAGCGCACCCCTAACAAAGCGTGACAATCTAATTTGAAGGACTACTGATATTACTTGGAATGAGATCGCATCCCTCCATGTGCATCGTCATCCTGCTTTACGCCGGCAGAGGCGGCGTATCTGCAAACGTATACCCATGAGCGGTTTGAACGCGCCCACCAACCACATCCTTGGACACTTCACGAATCTGCTTCTCTTCCTCCGCGGACAGCGAGATGGACAAACTCCCCAGGTTCTCCTCCAATCGATGAATCTTGGTGGTGCCCGGGATGGGAAAGATGTCTTCCCCCTGCGCCAACAACCACGCCAACGACATCTGCGCAGCAGTAACGCCTTTCTTGTTGGCCATGTCCACCAGCTTCTCGACGACCGCCACGTTCTGCTCGATATTCTCCTCCTTGAGCCACGGTATGTGACCACGCGAGTCCCCTTGTTTGCTTACGTCCTCCCGACTTCGAATCGATCCACTCAAGAAACCGTGCCCAAGAGGGCAGTAGCAGACAACCGCCACGCCCAGCTCTCTCGCCGTCTGCAAGAGCTTCCGCTCCGGAAACTCAATGTCGAGACAGAAAGGGCTGTACTCCACCTGCACCGCGGTAATGGGGTGCACGGCATGAGCTCGACGAAGCGATTCCGCACTGCACTCGCTCAAGCCCAGATATTTGATCTTGCCTGCTTTCTTCAGCTCTACCATCGCCTCGACCGTCTTCTCGATCGGAGTGACTTTGTCCAGACGATGGCAGTAAAGAAGGTCCACGTAGGGCAAGCCGAGACGGCGGAGCGAACTTTCGATGGCGACTTTTGCGTACTCTGGACTCGAATCGACGGCGTAGCCGGTTGAGCTTTTTACGTCCGGGAAGCGACGGACAGTTTTGACCGCGAACTTGGTTGCGAGAAAGACCTGTTCACCTGCAACGATGGAAGAGAAGTCAGCATCTCTCGCGAACGCCTTGCCAATCGACACCAGACACGCACGTTTCTCCGGATTGGCCGCGAACCATTTGCCCAGCAAATCTTCGTTGTCGCCGTACTCGTCTGCCGTGTCCTATGGCACAGACGCAGTTAGCAATCGACCATCCCGAACAAACATCGCAGTGAGAACCCTTTACTTGCCCAGAATCTCTCACCGCGCTCAAAAACCTGGTCGAGGAAAGCAAGGCGTTCGGTGTCCGAGGCTGGGACGCCGTACACGCCGCTTAGACTCATGAGGCCGAGTCCCAGACGGGAAACGTGAGGCCCGTCCTTGCCTAGCGGACGGGTTGGGACTTGGGAGGTAGAGGAAGGCATGTTGGTTCAAGAGAAGTACGGTTGGTGGATAGATCTCGTTGCTTGTACGGGTGTAGGATAGATTTGGGGGAGGAGCAGCGAGGCTGTGAGGGTGCTTTATAACTTGCACTGGGAGCCTGGATTTTGGCGGCGGAGGTTAGGCTAGACGTGCGCATCTGTGCAACTGACACCCAATGAACATGCAGAGGCTTGTGTATGTCAGTAAGCTCCATTCGTGACGACTGCTTGTTCGGGTTTGTTGTGCCTAATTCCACCGCCATCTCCGATGCGGAGCTGAAGCTTCAGCCGAGCAGGATCGATCGATCAGGCTGCGAGGATTTTTGCAACTTTGCAGAGAGAGAGGGATTAGAGCACACGGCGGGCCTGTCATTCTACCTGTGCGACTACTTTACTGTTAATACTCCTCGCCTCCCCCTCCTTTCCGTCTCACCATCGCCAGGGCAAAAGTCAACACCCAACTCGCGAGAATACTCGCCATGAGAATGCCCACCATAACCCACATACTACCAAGATACACAGGATGTGTATGCGCATCCGCCGCCCAGCCATCAAAGAGCGCATAAGTAGTGACGACGCTGCCCAAATTCCCCAGGCCCGAGACGAGCGCGCTCGCAGCCGCAACGCCCACTTCCCCGTGCCGCGCCTGGAAAATCTCCGCCGTCCAGGTCATGGTGATGGGGACGGTGGGCCCAAGTCCGAAGCCAACGAGCAGTATGCCGACGTAGCGGCCCCAGTGGTCGGCGAGGGAGTTGCCGGCGTAAGTGGCGATGAGGAGGCCGGCGATTTGGATAGCGGTAGGGACGGAGAAGAAGAGGGCGCGGTGTTTGTAGAATTTGTCGCTGAGCGGCGTCACGGTGAGGATGCCGATCAGGTCGCAGATCCAGATGGGGGCGTAGAGGAGGGAGAGGTCTATGCCGCTGAAGCTGGGATTGATGGCTGCTAGGAGCACGGTGCCGTAGGATTGCACGCCGTTGCCGACGCCCACGACGCCGAAGTACATGACTATCAGGGGCCAGATGCGCCAGTCGAGTAGTACTTTGCCGAGATCTTTCATCGTCCAGTTGCGGCGCACGTATGCTCTGCGCAGGTCTTTGTAGTGCAGCTCGGCGTCCTCGCCCGTCAGGACCGGTGGAGGTTGAGGGAGCCAGCTCGTCCAGCGACTGCGTTTCCTTGTCTCACCAGGGATCAAAGGTCGGTCCGGAAGCCACCAGAGTAACGAGAAGCCAACGACGAGCGTGACCAAGCCCCAAATGAGAAACATCCAGCGGAAGCCAACTAGGCCTGCGTCGCCGTTCATCTTCTGGAAGCCGGCACTTACAAGCCCCACCACGGCAGCCGAGACTTGAGATGCGGTGAAATAGTACCCTATCCTCCTCGCAATGTGATGGGTGGGATAGTACAATGTCAAGAAGAACGTCATCCCGGGCCACATTCCCGCCTCCACGAGCCCGAGCAGGAAACGCAAGGCGTAGAAGCCGCCGGCGTTGACGATGCCCACCATGGCGGTGCCGATAATTCCCACGCTGATGACGATTCGAGCCAGCCAAACGGAAGGCGAAAGTTTGCTCATGAGGAGGTTGGAAGGCACCTCGAAGACGACGTAGGAGGCGTAGTACAAGGCCAGGCCTGTCGAGACCTGGTGGGGAGTCAGAGGCACCCAGCTCTCCAGGTCGTCGCCTTGTTTGATGTTCATGGTCAACGCCAGGCCAGGGGTGGATCGCACGGCGGAGCAGAGGAAGTAGAGCACCCAAAAGGCCGGTATGATGCGCCAATCTAAATGGCGGTATATTGCGTGGAGACGCCTTGCTTCGGCGGGCGAGATGTCATTGTCTTGTAGCCTGGCGTCATCTTCGTGCTCTATGTTGCTTGCCAATGCGGGATCAGTGGGTGAGGGTTGCTTTTCGTAGCTGTATGCTTTCTTGTCGAAGTCCCCCATCTTCGGTAAAATATTTCGTTGTACGCTGCGGTCACCGATGCAAACTTCGCACGAACGGAGAGCTCATAGCCAGCACTTGTTCGTCGAAACGTTTTCGCACCTGCAATTTTCTTTTGACGGATGACTGAGTAATAAGGAAAAACCAAGGCAACACAGCGAGGTAAAGCTTGCCGTCGGGCAAATTCGGCATTGGGCAAGTCATCCACGCCACCATTCACTGCAGCCTCTCGTGCGGGCAGGCTGTGGGCGGCCAATCAATACATTGATGTCCAGATCCAATCGATAGGCCGTAATATGCCATAGTAAAGACATAGATTGGACCGCCAATCTTTAATCACGTCTGCTACTTCCGCGCAGCAGCAAACCACTTGCCCGCCTCGGGCGAGAACAGCGGCCCTCCCTCCCCCGTGGGCAGCGTTTCAAACGTCCGCACACCCTCGGGAATCGTGATCCAGGGATGCTTACTTCGCACAAAGAAATGGGCGTCGGGGACAATCTTCTCGTTCTCCACCAGCGTGCCCGCTCGCACGAAGATGATGCCGTCGCCGAAATCCCCGCTCGTGCCCCAGAGGAGGACATCGCAGCTTGGGCAGCGATATGATTTGGAGGCGGAGTTGGTGGAGGGGTCTTGCTCGGCATCGAGCACATTGTCTACTTTCTCCGTGGGTTGGAGGTCGGATGTCACGCTTACTGCGCTTGCTTCGACCATGATGTTGATGGCGAATGCGGAGCCCGTGAGCGTTTGACAGTCGCGGCAGTGGCAGGCATTGGTGAAGATGGGGCTTGCATTGAGGGTGTATTGGATTCTTTTGCAGTAGCACTGCCCTTTTGCCGGGAGTTGGAGGTTAGCCATTTGTGCTGATAAGCGATAGATGTATTGGCGTAGTGGGAGTGTGGTGGATAAGAGGCATATGAGCTGGAAGCTGCACCGGATTTGCCAAGTGATGCCTTGCGCCAGTCATATTGGACCGATTCGTGATGTTCGCAACACCGCTGGCCCTTCCGTACCCCTCATGTAATGGCAAGCATAGCGGCTGGCACTGTTCTGATGGAAAGGGGGAGTACAGATGTGTGATGATTTCTTGTTGGTGTGGTTATATACACTTAACACAAAAGAAACCACTCCTCGTCCTTCTATCCTCCACCCTGTCACTCTGGCCAATGCCCTACATTGAATGTAGGCACGCCATCACTCCTCCCACATCTCTTTCCTCGTATCCTCCTCTCCCGCGCAGCCCATAATCTCCTCATAGCTTGCTCACAAACAGCCGCGCCGCAAAAAGCCGCAGCTTGTTGGGCAAGAGGTATTTCGAGAAGACGTACGTCAGAAGCGGGATGATGGTGAAGGCGTACACTACCTCGTTGACGAAGTAGAAGGGGATGAGCTGAGGCATGGCGGCCTTGAGCGGAGTCTGACACACAGCGGGGTATTAGCACGGGGACCGGCACACATCTCCTACCAGCCTGTACTGGCTCTGTAAGACCTACCATGTTCTTGCTCGGGGCAGGCGGTGCCGCGAACCATGTCTTCCTGACGACGGCTTGCTGTGCCTGCTGCTGCTTCGGCGCGGCAGCTGGCTTGGTGCTGAAGGGCGCAATGGCCGCGGCTCGGAAGGCCATTGGGGTGAAGCGGGTGGCCGAGAGCTGCAGGGGCGCCCGCATAATGCGTTGAGACACCATTGTGACCGGTCTCGTGATGGTTGAGGGGCGTTGGAGGTGGTGGATGGCGGTGGGAAGAGAAGTTCGTCACGGTGTTGGCGGAGAGGAGAAGCTCGCCCGTCGGGAGCGGGAGGAGCCGCTCGGCGAAAATTCGGATAAACTCTGCTGCCACTTCCGGCGCTGCGTCGTGGGAAGATTGATGGTGCTCATTGTGTGCACGTCTGCTGTCAATCAATTCATCAATGTGAGTGATTTCATTGATGAGATATAGTCTGAACTCGTGGGTTCAGCATTCGCCAGCACCGAAGCGGTGGATCAGGGCTGGCAAAGCTGGCTGCAGGCATGGTAGACACAGCACAGTTGATTTCATGAGAGCGCAAAGAGCTTTGATCTTCAATCACCATCAACTGTCTGAATACGTAGGCAGATCTTCTGGAACCTCTCGTGTGGACTCAATCCTCACCTTTCACAACCCTGCGGTTCAAAGATCAAACTCGTACCGCCTCAGTCAGCGTGGACCCCCTCTCTTCACCCGCCTCAGTCCTTCTTCTTGCTCAAGATGATGAGCTCGCTGAAATGCTGCGCAACGTGGCGCTTGATCTCCACCCCAGCGATATTGCTGTAGTAGTTGCTACAAGACGAGAAAGCCTTAGCATGTGACGCTCACTTTCCCATAATCTCTCTCCGCCAAGAAGCAACGGCAAAACCTACAACAGCGACTTCTCCTTGTACATCTCCTTCTGCGCCGGCGTGTAGAGATCATTCTGCTGAATCTCAAGACACACCTCGCCGTCGGCGTTGCGGTCAGAGCTGGTGATTCGTTTCCTGGTGGCTTGGATGTTCGGGTCTGTGAGAAGCATGAGGGTTAGTATTTCGATATTTGCAGGGCGGGATTGGAAGGGCAGTGCTTACTGTCTTCGAGGATGTCGGCGAGTTGGCCGCGTGTGATTTGCTGGAGGTTGCGCTTCAGGATCGAGTTCTCGCCGCGGTAGTGGCTGTACTGGGTTAGCGGGAGTTCTGTCATGAACTCGAGCAGTACTTACTACACAAGCACCTTCTCATTGTCGCACATCTTGTCGAGTTGAGTAGTGTCGTCGGGTTCAGTAGTCGTGTCGGGTGTCGAGGTGTCCATCGTATCCATTTCGTCGAAGAAATGCCGAGTTTTGATCCCTTGAAGCTGAATGCGGAAGTTGTGACAAAGAAAAGCGACGCAACACAGGGAATGTTGATGGTGAATAAAGTCTTCATTATACTCGTCAACAAAGCCGTCACTCGCCTCGCCCTTTCCTCGTGAATGTGAGGCCTGCGCCTCCTTCCGCTTCCGGCCCGGCTGTAACCGTTCCCCAGGTGAGCGCGGTGCAGTGAACGACGACATCCTCGCTATCTCCTGGGACCTCGATCACGATCGTCGTATCGGTCTCTACTTCGTCTTCGCTTTCGATCGTCGGAATACCTATCATCCCGTACATCTCGTTCGCGCTCGTGTCTCTCACGCCCTTTCGGGCTACGACTTCGAGATCGGTGCCTTCGTGAAACCGAGTCCGTTTTCCGATCGGTCTTTTCGAAGACGTAGTTGTACTTATCGCCTCTCTCGCGATCACGCCTATCGTCCGACCCACGATACTGCCTCCGCTTCTCCAAACTATCAATGCCGCCAAACCCACCCCGATATCTAGCCGTCTTGGAATTGGTGGTATTGCGCCAATCAGCGGATAGCTTGGAGACACTCTGTGAGAAGTCGACGTGGATGCGGTGGTCGTCAATCAGAACGCCTTGCATTTTGAAGTAGGCGCGCTCGCAATCTTCCTTATTGCCAAACTCGATGAAGGCGTATTGCAGGCTGTCTCCAGTCTTCTTGTCTCGGATGATTTCACAGGAGAGAATCTTGCCGAAGCGGGAGAAGATGAGCTCGAGGTCTTCATCGCGAGTGACTGGGTTGAGCTTGCAAACAAACAATATCTGCTCCGGTGGCGTGACCTCGGCGAATGGTAGATCTCCAATAAGCTCCAGCGTCAATGCTTGCGCTCGCGCCTCCCGCTCTCGGCGAATCTTTTCGAGTTGCTCGGGGTCTGCATTCTCCTCGAGAACCTCATCGTGGGCTATGCGCACGGTTGCGCGTTGCTCTGCAGACGGCACAGGACTTCCAGGAGGTTCCACAACACCTGGAGGATCATCAAACGGGTCATCGAGTACAACGGCGTGTAATAGACGAATGTCCTGTAATGGCCGCCCGGAGTGGTCGGTGAAAGCGGCGTTGATCTTCTCAAGGGCATCGAAGCCTTCGACGACCTCGCCGAAAATGGCAGCTTTGCCGTCGAGTTGATCAATGTTCTCGCCAAGGGTGATGATGAATTGGCTGCTGGCCACTCGCTCGTCGGGATTGGACTTGGAAGCTGAGGTGGCAAAGCTGACGGTCCCTCGCTCGCTGTGTTTTCGCTTGGCAGACATCTCCGGGCGGAAAATCATCTTTTCCGGTTTGGTAGCACGTTTGGTGGTGCCGTCGGGGAGGGCCCAGATGGACGATCCGCCATCACTGTCTTTGGATTCCGGTCCGATCGGGTCGCCGGTCTGGAAGGAGAAGTTTGACTGGACATTGTAGATGGGCGAGTAGTTGTAGTACTTGATCTTGCAGAGCTTCAAGAAGCTGTGGGCACATGCCTGAGTCTTAGCAATCCGATCAGCCTTGGGAAGGGGTGGACACCATCATCTTGGCAGTGATGGTGCTCGTGAGGGGACTGGTTCAGACTTACTTTTCGCAGCACTTGGGAGCGTCATCGACGAACAGGTCGATGGTGATGTCGCCCGCAGACGTCTCGAGTAGACAAGACATCTCGATGCTAGCAATTGGATGGTTGCTTGGGCACCAAGCGCGGATCTGCAATGTTCTCGAAAGGGAAGAGTGAATGAAAAGCAGCGTGGAGCCGTGTTAAGGTTTAATGTCCGGCTCGGGCCGCGAGATGCCGACGGGCGGATGAACGGACCATTGCCTAACCGTGCGTGCCGTGTCAAAGGCACGAGCACGGGTCGGCTAGCAGCGACGGTATTGCGCAAGAGAGCAGGATGCAATCATGACCACAGGGCAAGCATCCACCCCAGCACCGCAGGCTGCATCTCGGAACATGCCTGCGCTGGCATGTGCCCGGGCAGCAGCCTCTGGCTTGGTGCTTACGAGCACAAGATCTGCCTCCGCAATCTCGATGGCCCTGCATCACCTGCAGACGCGCCCTGCCAGGCCCGGCTAGACCTGCAGCTGTCGTAGGTCCTTCCAGCGCATCACAAGGCGACACGACTCGCATGGCGTCGGTGGCATCCATCCCTGGAGTGATTTCCGTGGCCAAGGGCTGGGTCAATGTGCTGGTGACGCTCGTCAGCCGCCACACCGCCCCCTGCTCCAGCTTGACGATACGCGTCCTTGAAACCTTCACAGCGAAGGCAGTCCTGGTGGATGCCTCTCATGTCCTATCACGAACATGATGGCATCGCCCAAGCATTGGTATTGACTTATCGGCTAATCGAGGTACTCCACGCGGCTCCTAATTAACCGAGAGTGATGTGCCGCTGTCATGAAATTGTTTTTCTGGGGCGGTGGAGCATCTTAAAGATTGAGGAGCCACACGTCCGACGACGCTGCAAATGACTTGCGACGAGTATGAAGTCGTCGATCTCCTCATGGATCAACTAGAAACCCCCAAAAAGGCTACATGTACCGGTGTTCGCGTGCCAATTAGTGGGCGTATGCCAGGCTATCGACTTGTCTGATGGCCAGTGGCACTGCCAATCACGCGTTTTTTGACTGGGATACGAGGTTGACGCCATTTAGGGTAGGTGGATAGGTGGCTTTGCCCATTTCACCAATCTGAACTGCTGCTCTGATTCACGGATCTAAACAAACTGCAGTCTCCACGCATCTCAAGCAAGTGTGTCCAGCTCAGCACCTCAACTGGAGACTGCTTCATCAACGTGGTGTACACGCGGACTGTGCAATTCATCAATCCCAATTGGACCCTCAGCGTGCGCGAGGCTGGCGGAGAGTTTGGAGGCTGACGGACTACTGCACCCAGGTAATCAAGTGGACCCCCCTCTGCCGTGTCTCGCGCGTTGTCGATCCTGCCCCCCTGCTATCGGAGCCCGCTCGAGCATCGACCATTGGCTGATGGGGATCAAGTGGCAACATAAGCTAGAGGTTACATCGAGCCCCCTTTAGCACGCGATTTCACGTCGCGACCTGTCAGTCGACTTGAACCTGCGTACATCCTGCGAAGCTCACGGTGCTCGTTTGAGCTTCGAGCAAAGTCACGTTGCCGATGACAGGCGTGTGCGCGTGAGGGGCGCCACCCACACCCGTATAGGGATATGCGGATCCCCGCGGTGTTGCAGTACCGGACGCGATGACGACGCACGACAGCATGACGCTCCCCTCAACCGTTTCTTCGCGGTCAAACGAGCTGCTACACTGCTCCAAAGCTCGGTCGTCGTCGTCAACCTCCTCTCGTCTTCGAAGTGTACACGACTAGCGAAGGTGCAAGGGGCCGGTCCTTACCGCGACAGAGGCAATAGCATGGAGAACAAAGCTCAATGCATAACAAACGAGGGCTTTATGCGTGCAGTCAACCTGCATGCACGCTTGCGCACCCTGCAAAGTAGCTCGCACTGGTCTGATCAATGACCAATGCAGGTGGTGAAGGTCAATTGAACAAGGGTCTCTAGATCTGGCCCCTGCGAACGGAACAATATATGGTCCAGCCTTAAAGACGCGCACAGGCTCAGACAGATGTCGACTACCCGACCTAGTCGGCTTTCAAGAGCCGGTTTCGCATACAAACAGCGACCGTTGTCGTCGTCGTCGTTCGTTCCGCGACGCGCCGCGTAGGTTTGGGGAGTACATGAAGCTACTGACGCGCCGAATGACGAGGGAATGACCTGTTCGAAAAATGACAACTCTGAAGTTCAGTCCTCGAGCACTCGATGCATACACCGTCCTCGTGCATTTGCGGTTTGCAGCCGGGTGAGCCTCCACAACAGACGACAGGGCTGCTTTTGGCCGATCCAATGATTGCCGACAGCCGCTGACCGCGACTAACCTGCCTCATGACATGCATGGTGTTCGTATGGGCTCGAGCTTGTGTACGGTCCCGGTAGAGATGGTAGAATCGCCAGACTTGGCACTGCGAGCATCCGGTACTTTATGTTGTCCGACAGGCCACAAAAATCCGGAGGAGAGATCTGGACCAACCACGCCCCAGCCTATAATTACGGGTCTGCGTCCAAACAATTGTCTTCATCAACCAAGCTCGACCCCTTGCCCGGAAACCGAAGTGGCGAAGTCGGTCTGCGTTTTCATGTTCAACGGTGGAGGAAGAGAGGCGGGTGTTGTGACCAGCAGATGATCCGATGTTTGCTGACTGAGGATAGTCCCACCACTTCTCCTGTACAGGTCGCTTTGTCTGCGTTTGTCCCTGCTGCCGGTGCTCCGTGGTTCTACGGGGTCCAGAGTGTCTGAGCCAAGAACGAACGAGGCACTCCTGATCGATCAACTTCTCGCATTCTTCCGTTCCACCAACGCGGCCGGACTGATTTCGTCACTCTTCATTCTCGTCACCATTGGGCATTGAGCGTTCCTATCAACAACCCACTTCTCATGTCTCTGCAGTATTGGCATCTCGAAGACACCAATGATGATGGCGCCAGTTTACGCCAGCTCGAGCGGTGCTTTCGATCGTCAACCGCGTTCGAACAACCAGGCAAGCCAGCATTTCGACTACCGTGACCGATACACTCCATATGGTGCTCATCTCGATCGTCATGCGCGTCAGGATACCCAGGTGGACGATCACGAGCTTCCATCGACGCGTGTAACAACCCACGAGCTGGGAGACTCACCCGCAAGCGAGCAGAGATGCCGCAAACGGATTTCGATGGCTGTATGGCCGTTCTTACCCTTCTACACGCTTCGATACTGACACGGTGCTAGTGTCGTCGATGCCGCAAGCGTAAGATCAAGTGCAGCGGTGATCTTGGCGAAGGTTCGGGCTGCGGAGCGTGTCGACAAGCTGGAGCAGACAGCACACAGTGCACGTTCATCAGGGTAGGCGAAGCCAAAACCCCTCTCCTGCTGGTCCGCCATGCTAACACATGGACGTCAGGTCGGAGCCGTGGAGAAATCGGAATTGCCCACCCAACTCCGCCGTTCCAACATCCATTCTTCGATCGAAGTCACGCCCACGAATGGCAGCGGCCACTCACCGCCATCGATGAGACCCTACACCAACAGCATGCATCAGAACACGACATACGCAGTCACTGCCGGCATGAGTGGGAGTGGCAGCTATGCCCCGCATCGTCCATCGCTCCCAACTCTCCACCTGCGGTCCAGCTTTCCCAACGAGCAAGACGCGATGTACGACACTTCGACGATGGACAACTATTCCTATGCCACGTCCATGGCACCACGACACGATTCGCTCGCCAGCGTGCATCAAATGGCCAACTACCGCGACTGGAGCACCACGGGCCCGCTTTACGCGCCCATCTCCGCCCCCTACCACGACTGCGGCCCAACATACAGCTTCGGCTCGTTGCAGACTCCAATGTATCCGCATTTCCAGCAGCATCATCAACGACTGCCCAGCGTGTCGGGCGAGAACCTCTCGCCTCTGAACATGTCGCAGCTGAACTCTTCGCTGCCAGCACAGACTGTGCACGACAGACGCTTGCCACCCGTGCCCTCCGGCCCGCCCGGTCCCCCAATGGCGTTCATGGCACAGCCTTCCCCGATGCCCGTTCCTCAGCTTCGCCCAATGTACGATCCCCTCCGAATGCCAATGAATGGAGGCTTCTACAGCCGCCACAACTCCTATCCGTGGTCATCGGAGTCTGGACAATGGATCAGCAGGCCTGGTTCGATCTCCAACTACATGGCGCCCAACGGGCTCTCCTACTCATCGGCACAGAATAACGGCTTGGCCTCGGAGTCCAATCTGATGGGTTTCCACTATCAACTTAACCGGCAGGACGCAAGCATCAGCTCCACGTCGACTGACACCGACGTCTCCGGCCCAACGGTCACAGACGATGTCTCCCGCCACTCTGACGAAGACATGTCCATGCCGCCACCGTCTTTCAGCAGCAGCGAGCACGGCAGCAGCGGCAACAGCAACAGCACCAGCGCCAACACAAGCTTCTACTCTACCTGCTCCACCGCGCCGTCGAACTACAATGGACCACCTCCAATCGCAGACACCGCGCACGAAGCAGACTCGCACTACCACTACTCCCCCGAAACCCGCCAAACCCCCACTTCCGCCTCTGACAAAAGCAACAACGACCGACCGCCGGGTCGCAACAAGAGGAGCAAAAACGGCAGCAGCAGCAGCAGCAACAGCAACTCTCGCAACGAGTACGACCCCCCTCCCCTCCACCAGCCGCGGCCTCGCCATCATTCCTCCACAAGCAACATCGAGGCTCTGCAGCAGCAGGCTTCCTACGAGGATCAGCGGGCGTCGACTGTGCATCGGATGTCGTTGTCGAATCTCAATGCAGAGCATTAGAGGCCGTGGAGAGAGGCAGGCAAGCAAGCGTGGTGGTGACGATTTTCGGTTTTCTTCCTTGCGGGTTGGGAGGCGTGTACGTTAGCGAGCGAGTCAACGACACTTTCGGCTTTGTTAGGCGTCTGGGCGACTTTTTGGGGTGGCATGGGGTGTATGATGTCGTGGCAGGCACATGTTGGGGGGAAGCACGGGGCATAAAGGAGCGATCAGGCACTGGCACGATAGGTAATTGAGAGGCATTCCACGCCGTCCAATGTAGATGAACTAGGATGGATCTCAAATTCATCTGATATTTCCATTGGAAGTTGAAGGCGCTCAACCCTCCCATCTATCTGTACATTAATAACCCGATCGCAGGTGTGCAGAGCAGTGGCTCAAGTCTGTCCGTGAGCACCGATCCAACTCACGCCTCGCCCTTTAGGAGAATCAAAGTCGTGACATCGTCCAAACAGCTTACACCAACACTCGAAATCGTCCTCGCAGTGCACCGCGTCGCGCCCGAAAATGATGTGCCACATGTACTCCATCACCCGGCCGACGGTGGCATCGTCGAGCTCGGTGTCCAGCAGAAACTGCCGATACCGCTCGTAGTCCTCCTTGGGACGCTTCAGCAGTTGCGCACCAGAGACAGCGAATTGCGCGCAGCACTGCGTCGCCACTACGGGAATGTCGGCGCGCATCTGCGCCTCGGTGGCGTGGAAGAAGTGAGCGTAGACGTCGGCGAAAACGTTCTCGGCCGCTTTGCTCTGGTCGCGAGGGTCGCGAAAGGGCATGATCTCGGCGGGGCAGCCGACGTCGTTGTTGCAGCGGAGATTGGCGTAGCCGCGTTGCATGACGGTGTCGAGGCGGAGATCGGAGAGCATGTAGTAGGAGTTGTGGAAGCGGTGGTCGACGTGCCAGGAGCCCTGGTGGGGGTGGATGAAGACGACGACGTCGGGGAAGGTGGGGTAGTGGTCGAGGATGTAGGTGAGGTAGGGCATTGCTTCGCGGGCTTTGTTCACGGGGGTGCGCAGGCCGGAGGGCGAGGGTTGCGAGGCGGGCAGGCCGATGTAGTAGATGGCGCTTGGCCAGTCGGGCAGCTCGCGCGCGATCCAGTCGGTGTTCTCCGACTCGAGACGGCCTGTTACGATGATTTTACTGCGCGCGGGAGATGTTTCTTCCGTGCTCGTGTCTGGTGATTTATTGGGAGCAGCTGCCGGTCCGATCGGCTGTTCTGAGCCCTTGCTTAACTCATCGGCAACCTTGTGGACGTCAAAGTCCCAGGTGTCGGCGACATTGTGAGCATGCGACTCCTCCTCGTGTCCATCAATCTCCGCAGATGGAGGGATGATGGGTGGGGTCACCGGTCGGAAGCCATAGTCCTGCGCGCTCTGCTGGATCGCGATTGCATCTGCGAGGGCATTGAGTGATTGGCGGGAGGCCGAGGAAGGGAGAGAGAGGTAGACGAGGGAGACGAGGGTAGCTATGGCGGCAACGCTCCCGAGGCGGGTGTAGCGAACGGGGACCATGGTTCACCGTCCGTGGGCGGGGGGAGCAGGCGCATGATGACACATGTCAGGCGGGCATGACGATGGAGGATGGCGATGCTGCACGCCGGAGAGGCAGCACCGCACGAGGATGGTGGACTGGGAATCTTCAACATCTTTCTGCTCACCACCGAATGCTGCTTAGCGGAGTTGCGGTCTTCTGCCGCGCCACCGGGTGCGCCACGTGGGGACGGGAGTGGGGGCCCAGTTACTTCAGGATGGAAGGGCGAGTCCAGGGCACACTGATAATGAGCCCGTGGACAGCAACAGCGCTGCAGCAATCAAGTAGACACCAAAGGTACTGTATCATCTACCCTGGCGAGACAGCGTTGATCCCAAGACCTACGCGACCCTGCACAATGGTGCCAAGTCAGCAGGCCGTGTTCGACATCTTATTACGCGAAGAAGCTCGAGCAGCTCGAAAGGGAAGGACGGAAGTGGAGAGGAAGCGCATCGGCTCGTGCGATGTGCGGCCCTTGCAACCAGACGGAATGCCCCGAACGGGTCCGCTTTCTGGCCTGGGCAATCATCGATCTCCTCAACGAATCGCGGCGTTCTTTGTCCGTGGAAGACGCCGTCAAGACCTGGTCGCTGGTTGGATGGTGCTGGTGTTCACGCGAGCACCAGGCGCGGCTGATTGTCGCAGTTCCGGCCGCAGTGGAAGGCATATGTCGCACGCATTCGCACACACACTCGCCGTGCCTGGTTCGGGGACGGCTAGCGCGTGCCGGCGGATAAGCTAAGTGGCTGACTGACCTCTGCCCTGCCTTGGGGGTGGTGGGAGGATGGATGTGCATGTGGATCGCCTGTCTCGTACCTCGAATAGTGGATGCCAATACTGTTCTGTACTGTGCATTCGCCGGCGGCCTGTTGGTCATTCTGCATCCATCCCGTGCTCTCACCTTCTTTGTCTTCTTCGCTCCAGCATGGTATACAACCTGTCTTTCTCTGCCCTCCTTCACCGCGGATACTTGCGTGCATTCCCCTTCCATGAGCGTTTTCGGCCTGCAGCAGCAAACATGGGTTAGTTGGTACCACTCATGCTGAGTATATTATAACACGACCCTCTGACCCTGCAGCATAGACTGCCAGTAGCCATAGGTATACCTTCATGGCAGTATCCCAAAGCCTTCCCGGCGTCGAGTAGGCAAGAGTGCTCCACTCCTCATGGCCAACCGCATCGTCACCCTGCGTGCTCCCGGGCAGGAACCCGCTACCCTGAAACCGGGATCGAGTTCGGGCATCTTGCTGCACCTGAGCGACAGCGTCGTCCAGGATATCACCAAAGCGGCCAAGACGCCCGATGCTCTGCGGTTCTCCGCTGGTCCCTCTCCAGTACGTCTCCCCTCCCCTCCCCTCTTCCCTTCACGACGACGACTAACTCACCACTCCCAGAAACTACGCATTGGCGGCAGAACCATTGACCTCACCATCTCGGCGGAAGACTTTCGGACCGAGCTATTCATCTCCACCGCCAATGCCTCCTCCTCCTCTTCCTCCTCCACCACAGACCTTACCTTCACCGCTCTCCTCTCCCACCAAGGCAGAGCTGCAAGCTCTACCAACAAATCCACAGATGACACGGCCGGCTCAGACGCCGCTCTCGCGGCTCTACAGAGCAGTCTGGCATCGTACGAGCAGGAGAAGCAGGCCAACAAAGTGAACATTGCCAACACGCTGCTCCCTGTGCCGAAGAATCGCTTCGATGCCGCCAGGAAGGAAAGGCTGGAAAGCAAGAAGAACCAACGTGCGGGCAATCAGCATACCTCTCAGGCTGCAAGCCCACTACCTCATTCGATCTCCACGCCGAAGCTGGCACCTACCTCCCTCCCTCCGAGCGATGTCGATGCCAAGCGGCAAGCGGCTCAGTTCCCTCTGCTTCACTTGCTTGCAATGGCGCCGCTGACGACCGAAGCCGTGGCGGACAAGACACACATCCCCGCCGACGAGCTCAACACCATGTTGGCTCGGTTCGCCAAGCAGAGCGGTGGGAAATGGCAGCTCGGCGATCGCGCCTACCGCGACTTGGATGTATGGAAGTTTGCGTACTCTTGTGAGAGTGATAGACAAGCGGCCATCGACAACGCGATCAAGGCGTATGACAGGTTGAGACTCGACACCAACGAGAAGTTGTGGCAGATGTTGTTGCCGCGGGAGGAAAGGGGCAAGGGGAAATGCTTGTCTAAGCTGCAGCTGGGTGGTGGTGGTGGTGGAGGCGGCAAAGCGTCTCAGGGATTGACACCACACCATCAATCCAGCCCGTTACTGCATGCAGAAGCGCCGGGGGAGAGCAGTAGAGTGGCGAGCGCGGCCAACAGTCCTCGGTTGGGCGTATCGACCCCTCGGCCCTCGAGTGGTGCCAAGGGCGATGTGATGAAGAGACTGCTCTCCAAGAATCCCCAGAAAGCACGTGCAGTGGAGGAGGCGAAGGAGAAGAAACGGAAGGAGCGGGAAGCTGCAGCAGACGAACGGGAAGGCGGCAAGGCCTCCAAACGGCAGGCACCCGCCACGGGCAGCAGCATCACCACCACCAAAGGCCAACGGGCCTTCAAGTCGGCAGAAATTGTGCACCCGTCGGACGACGAGGACAGTGCGAACGAGGAGCCGCTGGTTAATGAAAGAGTGAAGAAGGCAAAGGTGCAGTCCGCTTCGCAGCCGGCCGTGAAATCATCCTCGTCGGATAGCGACACGCCCCTCATCGCCCAAAAGGCACGTGATGGTCGCACAAACACCGCACCACCATCAAAGAGCGCCGTCACTTCCTCATCACTCAAACCACACACCGCCAGCCACAACACGCCTCCGCAGAGGCCGCATTCCAACAGCCTCTCCGCCCCGAACACTCACCATAAGACCCAACGAAGCCCTCACAACAACGCCTACACTCGCCCTACCGTTCCTTCACCGCTCGGTGCCGCCCGCCCGCGTGTCGCTTCCGACGTCTCGGACCGAGGGGCGGTAGGAGTGCAGCGCATCAGGCAAGGCGTGTACTCACCGCCCAAGGGCCTGGGGATCAGCGAAGGCCAGCGGAAACGCCACGACACGGGCATCAGCCTCGACTCATCACCCGCGCACATCCGAGACGTGAAGCGGCTGGGAGAGCACAGTTCTCCAGAGAAGGAAAGCAGGCCTTCGAACGGGCACGCGCTAGCAGACCCCGACGAGATGGCAGCGAAGAAGAAGAAAGCCAGCCAGAAGGCTGCCAGTGCGAAGCGTAAGGCGGCTGAGCCCCCGGCAGAGCAAGCTCCCCCTCCAGCCAAGCAACGCAAACACGAGCCAGAAGGCAAGGACTCGCCCATCGCCAAGAACCCCAACGGCCACGCTCCCCATACTCCATCCGCGACTGTCGATGCACCAAACGGCACCGATCTCGTCGGCGGCGACGAATTGATGAACCCCACGTGGGAGCAAGGCCTGAACACGGGCGAGAAATATCAAGTCTCCTTCCCCGTCTACGAGAAGCTCTATGACGAACTGGACGAAATGGTGAAGCGCGGAGAGAGGCCTTCGCAAGAGAAGGTGGACTTGCTGTGGAAGATGCAGGCGACGTTGGAGCGCATGAAGCGGGAGATGGATCGTGCTCACGAGGCCCCCGATGCGCCCGAAGGTGCTAATGCTGCTCGCTTGGCTGAGATTGAGGAGAAGCAGAAGAAGAAGGAGCAGAGGGTCAACGGGAAATGAGACGAATTGGATGGACGATTGGTCTATAGCGAGTGATGATAGTCCTCTAGCTAGACATCTCCAACTACACTGACCAAACCTCACTTCCTCAAAGCCTTGAACAGCAGCGGCGACGGCCCCTGCAGCAAACTCTCCGTATCCACATCGGGATCGCCCTTCTCCCTCGCCCTCAACCACGCCTCCCGCCCATTCACCCGCTGCAAATACGCGAGCACATTCGCATACTCGCTAATATCAAACTGGTAAAACTCGCGCATGCCCGTCAAGCTCCACACCGTCATCACATCCGCGGCAGTGAACTCCTCGCCCGCCAACCACGTCGACTTCCCCAACCGCTGATCCAGCAACTTCAAACTCTGATCCACCTTATTCTGGTACCGCACGTACGTATTATTCTCCTCGCTGATCCCCGCGAACCGCAGCGCCATGCACCGCCCAATAGCAGGCTGCAGCGTGCCGTTCGCAAAAGCAAACCAGTACAGGTAGTCAGCGTAGTTCTTCGCGCCCGGCTTCACAGCCAACCTGCCGCCGCCGAAAATGTGGATGATGTAGTCCGCGCAGGCCGCGGATTCGGCGAGCGTCAGGTCGGCGTCGGAGTCGGTGATGACGGGCGCGGCGCCGATGGGGTGCAGCGCGATGTATTTTGGGGGCGACAGGAGCGGGCTGCGGTCGTATTTCTTCAGCTCGTAGGGGATGCCGAGTTCTTCGCAGAGCCAGACTATGCGGTCGGATTGCGAGTGGCCGAGGTGGTGCACTGTGAGGACCATGGTGGCGGTTGGTATTCCCTTTGGATTTGGGTTGGTGGGTTGAGTTTTTCCTTTGGATGTTGTTATTTCGAAGAGGTGCTGTATGGAAGAGTTATTTGAATTCTAGGCCGACGTCAGTTCCAATGGCATCATGGGCTGGCCGGTAAAGGTATTAAGCCGAGGTGAATGGTGGAGCAGGGCTACGAAGACGCTCCACAGTTTTACGAGAGCGATGGCGATATCGAAGGCAGGTGCAGCGAGGCTGGGTTGAATTTGTATTGGTAAAGGCGAATCAGCTACTCCTCATCGGTGCTCTCACCATCTAGGCCGTTGATCCCCTCTGCCTCGCCTTCCACCAATGGCACAACTCGGAAATCCACAAATGCAACGCCCTCTCCACCCGCTGAACCAGCCTCAACCTCCACAAGAAACTGCAGACTTAGCACTCCTTCCTCGTCCAAGCGCATGGACACTTTGTTCGCCGCGCCCATTGCTCTCTGCGCCGATTTGATCAGGCTAAACTTGAAAGTCGCGTTCACGCGGGAGGGACAGTGGAAAGTTTCGAGAAGGGGTGCATCAGAGGAGGGATCGGTGGTGAAATCGACAGCAAGCGATCCAAGAGCGCCAGAAGCCTGAAGTGAGAGGTTTGACGAGGTTGAACGCGAAGAAGGCGACGCTAGAATGGCTAAGCTCGTGGGATTCATCGAGCTTAACTCTGAAATGGCCTCGAGTAGTACGGATGAGCGCATGATTGTCTTGAGGGCAATGGCTTCTCGGTCAAACGGAATCTCCTCTGTGCTGTCCGCGCCATAGGTAGTAAGGTCACAGGTCGTTGTCACGCCGGATTCCGACATGTGAATGCCAAGTGGACTGCCATCGCCCTCGTACGTGAAGCGGCAGATCCCACTCATGCCTAGAGCTTGATGAGAGAAGGCGTTGATCCCTGCGTGTCGATTGAGACGATGAGCGGCGAATGAGTCGTATTCGCCAGGCTTTTTGGCAGCGTTTGGGTCGGAAAGCGTGAAGATGCTCAGTGTTTCGAGAAGGGAGGTTAAGTTGATTTCGAATATCGGGGTCGCAGGAGCGTCATCTTGGGAGGAGGATGGTGGAGGTGGACGGTAGGTGTAGGATGAAAAGAAGGCCTTTTCGAGGAAGATGAATGCCTCCATTGCACTACCCTCTTCAGTGCTGAAGCGAATGCCTTCGGCGGAGATGCGAACTTGAGCCATCTTGGCGAACGAGATGCAGCGGAGAAGGAGAAGGAGTTGACGGGAGGAAGAGGTGACCGCCGTGAACATGGGTACTGGACCCGCCATGGTGGGTTCAGGTTATGACAGAAGAAGGCGTAGTTGTCGAAGAGGGCAAAGGGCGTTTGGCGGGGCGGGGCGGGGCGGAATCGGAGGTGTCACCGGCTCTTCCCCAATGTTTGACGTGAATAAGGTCATTCATACGTATACCCCAACTGCACAAATCATGTAGACCGCGCCAAACCTAGCAGCAAGTTGTTAATTCGATGTTACCCGACTCTTGTAGATGTATATTATTTCTTACCCGAACGCGAGAGAAGCCGGAATGCCATATAGCGAGACGTTCTTGAAGGTGTTGTCTAGATAGCAACATTAGCACATCCTGCAGACTCTCTGGGAGTCAAGTCACATACTGAGCCCGAACAAGCTCGTCAGGAAGAAGCCGATGAGGAGGAGGGCGAAGCCGACGTAGAATTGGGAGGCCTTGCCGATGCTGGCTTCGAGTGGTTGGCTTGCCGAAGCCTCCCAGATGTCGTGGAGCGGTGATGCAGACATGAAATCAGATGTGGAGGTGGGAGGTTCACTTGATGAGGTTGGAGTGGTGTTCAATGGACTTCACATGTGAACTTGAGGACAGCTTTGAGATTCCCAAGTTCCTGCCTGCCAAGACCAACTCCCTAGCCACACCGCCAACGCGGCAGTATTCACGTGGCGCAGGCGAGTAAAGTTTACGCCGCAACGCTTCTCCACATGCGACTGCGGCAACTTCCTCCCCATCATTCCTCGGGCAGCAGATCATTTTGGATCAGACACTCTCGCCATCATGGCGCATGGCACGATCAAGCAAGAAGATGGTAAGCGCATGGCGAAGCCCGTGTTCCAACCACCGCGACTGACCTGGCTCTCCCAGGGACCAAGCGAAAGGCGTCCGAGGAAGTGAACGGCGACGTCAACGGCCACCACCCCAAACGGCAAAAGACTGTGTCCCCTCCAGCAGATGACGCGGCCAGCACCAACGGCACCGCCTCCGACTCCGACGACCATCACTCCCCCACCAAACCCACCATCACCTTTCCCGAGAAGCCTGCGGTCCTCGAAGAGCGCAACGGCGACATCTCCTTCTACGTCGTCAACAATGACGGCAAACCGCACTCCCACATCATCCTCACCGGCCTGAAATGCATCTTTCAGAAACAGCTGCCTAAGATGCCGAAAGACTACATTGCGCGCTTGGTGTACGATCGGACACACATGAGCATTGCGATTGTGAAACGGCCGCCGGCGGGGAGCTATGCCGAGACGTCCAATATGCCCGGCGAAGTGGTGGGAGGCATCACCTATCGCCCCTTCAAAGGGAGACAATTCGCCGAGATTGTCTTCTGCGCCATCAGTAGCGATCAGCAAGTCAAGGGTTATGGAGCGCATCTGATGAACCACCTGAAAGACTACGTCAAGGCGACAAGTGATGTGATGTATTTCCTCACATATGCCGACAATTACGCCATTGGATACTTCAAAAAGCAAGGCTTCACCAAGGAAATCACCCTCGACAAACCCAAGTGGATGGGATACATCAAGGACTACGAAGGCGGAACGATCATGCAATGCTCCATGCTGCCCAAGATCCGCTATCTGGAAAGCGGCAGATTGCTGCTCAAGCAAAAGGCCGCTGTGCACGCCAAGATTCGTGCCGTGAGCAAGAGTTACGAAATCCACCAACCTCCAGCAGTGTGGCGCAAGGCCAAAGCCGGGGATAAGCTGGCCGAAATCAACCCTCTGTCCATTGAGGCGATCAAAGCAACGGGATGGTCGGAAAGCATGGACGAATTGGCCCGCCAGCCGCGTCGCAACCCCTCACACTCCTCTCTCCTCAGCCTTCTCAGCGCCCTGCAGTCCTCATCCGCAAGCTGGCCCTTCTTACAGCCCGTCAACGGCGATGAGGTGCAAGACTATTACGACGTCATCAAGGAGCCCATGGACTTGGGCACGATGGAGTCGAAGCTGGACAAGGACCAGTACGAGACGGTCGACGATTTTGTTAAGGATGTGCTGCTCCTCGTGCGCAACTGCAAGCGGTACAACGCGGAGACGACGCCGTATGCCAAAGCGGCCAACAAGCTGGAGAAGGAGCTGTGGAAGAAAATTCGTGATGTGCCGGAATGGAGTTACCTCGAGCCCGAGAATTTCGACAGTACCAATGTCCGACCTGAGAATTAGAAGCGATAGGGTTTGGATATAGACTCGTTATGACAATTCTGTGTGAATGAGCCGTCTGAGCCCATTCTGATATCTTCGTGACGCTGAGTGAAGCCGCGCCACAAGCGGGCGTGGCTGCTGCATTGATGACGCTCGAGCTCGGGAGCGGGCTGGACCTTACCACTTCATTCTGTAGAGCACGACTCAACAAATGCATCCCATTTCCCTCCACCATCACATCCCACACTTCCCGCGATCGATGTGACTATCATCACGTACAAAAGTATTACCGGCCGAGAACCAAGACAATGTCCGTGGCAGCCCCACGTGGTCCCAAACGCGGCCCAACCGTGCTCGTACGCCATCGCCCTTCCATTGAATACTCATCCATCCGACCCACTCACATCATCGCAGGTCACCGACGCGCGCGAAACCCGCCCTCAAGCCCGCCCTACAGTACAGAGAGCCGGCACGCGCCTCATATCCGTCGACAACGTCCTGCAGTACGCCTCCGAAATCCCCTCGGCGCAGCGCCGAGACCGCGGTCCCCCGGGGGCGTCCGCCATGTTGCACAAGCGCACGCCGTCGGGTCGGCACCCGCTCGACCCCAAACTAGCGGGCACGCGGATGGTGGCGGGCGCAGCGGCCGCGACCCATCTACCTGCGCGCAGCTCGAAGACGAGCGAGAAGTTGGTGCTGCTGCCTGAGACGACGGAGGAGGGGGAGAAGGAGGACTTTGAGGAAGAGGAGGATGAGGAGGAGGGGCCGCCGAAAGACGAAGAGCTGCGGAAGCGACGACTGAAGCTCGTGCGTGGGAAGAGTCAGGCGGAGAGATTGCCGAAGTCGCAGCGAGCGGCGGATTTGCAGCTTGCGAGGGTGACGGCGTATTGCACGGCGCAGAGTTACAAATTGCGGAGTACGGCACAGTTTGTGCGGGACCAGCATGGGGCTAAGACGAAGCTGTACGACGATTGCTTGTACTGTGTCTACCAGCTCCCGCTGCTGGGAGGCAGTGATGGGTATCGGGTGAGGAGCTCGCCGGTAGTGCGGAGCGCAGGAGGCAGAAGTGTGCTGGACGAGCAGATTGAAGTCAATGAGCAGAGACAGTACCGAGACGATTGGGTCGGGGAAAGCGAAGAGTATAGCGTGCGCGGGAACGAATACAACGCAGGCAACGCCTCCTCGCCACCGAGAGCAGAGAGGCTTGAGGTGGAGCGCCGTATAGAGGAGGAGATGAGTCGGGATGCCGAAGACGGCGAGCGACGTGCTGCCGAGCAAGACTGGAACACGCGCGAAGAGCAGCGCGAGCAGACCGACGACAACCTCCGCCGACAAAGCAGCGAGTCCTCCGACCCCATTCCCTACCCATCCCCGCAACCGACCATCAGCCCCAACGCCACCAGCACCGCCGAACTCTACATCTTCAGCTACGGCGTCGCGGTGCTCTGGAACTTTTCCTCCAACCAAGAAAAAGACCTCCTCGCCGACCTGACCTTCTCCTCCATGGCCGCCAGCGCGCTCGCAAACAACAGCAGCAACGCCTCCGTCAGCGTCAAGGCCGCCGCTCTCGCACCCCCTTCCAGTCTTCTACCACTCATGACGCGCCCACTGGACGAATCGGACTTTGAGACGGAGGAGTTCCACTTCCAGTACGACTCGAGCGTGTCGAAGCCGCGGATTTTCAACGATATGATTACGCTGCGCACTAGTGATCACATGATCAAATTGGCCATGAGCCATGCGATTGCGCAGAGTACGAAGCTGTCGTTTTTCGAGGAGCGCATGCAGCGCACGATGACGGAGGCGCAGTATGTGCCGAGAAGACTGGCGTTGGAGGGAAGGTTGGGGATGAGCAGGAAGGAAGTGGTGGGTTTGGTGGGGAGATTATTCGAAGGGCGAGTGGATGTGAATCTCTGTAAGTGTCTCACCCTCCCCTCCTCCACCGCTGCATTCGCTAATGAGAACCTCCAGCATCCAACATGCTCGACACGCCCAACTTCTTCTGGGACAGCGAGCCAACACTGCACCCCCTCTACCAAGCGGTGCGCGAGTACCTCGAAATCAAGCCGCGCATCCAGGTGCTCAACGAGCGCTGCCGCGTCTTCCTCGACCTCGCCGAGATCCTGAGCGACAGCATTGCCGACGTCAAGATGACGCGCATCACGTGGATCATCATCATCCTCATTGTGCTCAGCATTCTCGTCACGTGCACGGAGGTGGTGCTGCGGTTTGCGATTTTGGCGAGTGAAAAGGGGAAGGAGGGGGGCAGTCGGGTGGGTGTTGGGGATGGAGGGGAGGTGTTGGGGTTGCTTGGAATTGGGGGTGGGAGTTTGGGGAGTTTGGAGCTGTGAGGGTGGAGGATTGGATTACTTTTTAGCGTGTATGAAATGGCAAGTGAAGCCATCGGCGGGTTATTCGATTGATTATAACTTATCAATGCCTTCTTGAGGAGTAGTGGTGGAGGACATGGGCTGCCATGCTGTATAGGTTTGGACGACTCGGAGGAATAGTATAGACGTCCGTACCTTCCTAATTCAGCCAGGTAGTCGGAGTCGTTGATGCCCGCACGAGTCCGGATGATTCGCTCCAAAGGCAACGCGCATGCAAGCGAAGAAAAAGGCGGGGAAGACGTGGTGGCTGCTTACGTGTGCTTTGCGGTTTGCCTTGCCGTCCGAGGCCGCGGGAGAGACGGACACGGACGAAAGGTACCTGCGCCCACGTACCTTACCATGCAGGCCACGTGCGGGCGTGCCGATGGCGCCGATAGGGGAGGAAAATATGCCGCAAGAGCTCCCTTGATTTCCCGCTCGCAGTGTCATTAGAAAATAGATGATGGTGAGATGAGATCATGCCGTACTGTGCAAAGTCCCGCACTCCCATCTCACTGGGTGTAATGTCCGGCAAGCGCGGTGCGCCAAGGGGGGCGCGGCGGGACTTGGGAGTGATGGTGAGTGAGGAGTGGAATAAGCGCAGCGAGCCGGAAGCATCTGGGCCCGGAGTGCCCGTGTTTCGTTACAGGGCGGCGTTGCTATCGGAAGGCGATGGATAAGCGTGCATGATCTATTGCAACATCAATGTGTCCTCCGCCTCGCTCGCTCCTTCCTCCTCCGCTCCTTCTTTTTCCGCACCATCAATATCCTTATCTCATACTTGATATATCACGACCCCTGTGTGCGTCGACTTCTCCTCAGACGGCGTGATTCCAGACTCGGGCTCAGCTGAGGCGCTCGTGAGTTTTGTTCCTGGCAGAGCGGGCAGCCAATCGCGCGGCGCCAATCTGCAACCCCCACACCCACGCCTCGACAACCACGGTTCTCTTGGTTGCCTCTGACGATAAAACCCCCGACCATCCCCTCCTTATACACACTCTCCTGAAAGCATGGTGGAGCGGTGAAGCATGTCTTCCTTCTTCTTCGGTCCCCAGCGACATCTATAGCACCCTCGCATCGCGCACTTGGCCACCGGAGACTGGACACGTACTGTGTGTACGTCAACAAGCCAGCCGCAGCCATGGCAGTGGGCGGCGTCGTAACGCAGACCGCTCCTTCTCACCAACAATTCCCTGGCAGTCGCAGCGACTCCTTCTCCACCCTGCCCTACTCCAGCACCGCCGTCGCCTCCTCCCCTCGCAAGCTGCCCGTATTCACTTCCATCAAGCACTCCGCAAGTCATGACGACCGCCGTGGCCTCTTGGCCTCCTCTTCGAAGTCGAGTCGCCAGTCTGCCCTGCGCTCCACCCTCCGCGACATCGACACCAAGACCACCCCCATGACGGCCACTACTACCACGACTTCTACCTCCACCGCCTCGCTTCCTCCTGCCAAACGCACCGACGCACAACATGCTCGCCTTCATAAGCGCGGCAGCTCAACCACCTCTCTACCAATCTCTCCCGCCCTCCCCACCGGCCCTCATTCAACCTTCACAACCCCCTTCGCCACATACGAGGAGCCTTTCCCCGACCTCCTACCCGCGCCACCCTCCGCATCTACACCCAAAATAAAGCCCTACCTGCGCAAAATGACATCGGGAAGCAGGGAGGATGTGGATCAAGGTCGACTCGACCTGTCCAAGTCGGTCTCTGAGAGCGCCGCGATGGCGGGCCTGGGCATTACAGAATTTGCCCCCAGAACGGAGGCCTTACCGAGTGGAAGAAGGTCGACACACACTCGCACTACTAGCGTCAACTCCCAGATGTCTACCGGCTCGGGCTCTTTTCGACCCACCCTCCCATTTGTCCATCCTATGCGTCAGACGCCCAATAGAGCCTATACGCCGCAGACGGACGCCTCTTCCATGGACGACGAGGAGAGGCGGGAAAGCAGCGATGTCGTACCGGAAGAAGAGCCTCATCCCGCGCCTCCTCCGCTCCGCAGGAGAAGCACCTCGCTCTCCTCCACCACTCAAGTTGTCGCGCCAACTCCACTCTCTCAAACCCACACGGCCGCCGACCTGCGCTCAATCTCCAAACTCACCAGCACCGTCTCGCAGACCAACCTCTCCCTCAAATCCGCCGGCCGCTCGCGCGCAGGGACCAATCGCTCCCTCGATGTCTCCAATACACCCTCCTCCCGCACCAGCCTCGACAAATCCTTCTCTCTCATCTCCACCTCGCGCCGCTCCGACCCCAACGACCCGCAAACGCGCGAAGACCGCATCCGCGCCGCACGCCGCAAGTTCGAGGAAAAGGAAGCGGACAAGGACCGCAAGCTAGAGGCACGACAGCAGTCTGAAGTCGCGAAGCAGTCGAAGAAGGAGGAGCGGTCGAGGCGGAAATCCGAGGCCTCTTCTCTAGTTGCCGATCAGCCGCAGCGACAGCCGCGCATCTCCAAGGCGAGGAGTCACGCGGATGGTCTGAGGACGCTGAAGTCTGACGAGGGTAGAATCACTGCGCTACCCGCGCCGTCAGTTCAGGAAGAAGCAAAGTCAGAGACGCATCGGCGGCCCAGTGCTGCTGGGGCAAAGAGCGGCAGAGAAGAAAAGATGGACCGCAGTGGATGGGCGCGCTTCTCCACTTGGTTCAATACCAGGCTGTGTGGCATGAAACGATCATGAGTGTCTGCATTGGATGCGTTTTGGCATAGCGAATGCTTTTATGTTTGGGAGCGTACATACGACATGGCGATACGATGACATGCATGTTTGGATACCTTTCCACATCCGGAAGGATCTGGATGAAGAGAGATGGCAATTAACAACGAATTAGGTATATGCACAAATCTTACCTTTGAGAGCACACGACGATTGCCTTTCTTATGCATGAATGCTTGTGGCGCGAGGCCTTCATTTGCGGAGTCAGGCCAGCCCAATCGGCCTTGGCGGAAATTGGGAACGTTGGGTTGCGGCTGCTTTAATGCTTTCGATTGCTACGGATTCCACGCCCGTCGTGCATTGAAACCGATATCCCGCGGGCGCGGCCATCGCGTTGATTGGCCTGGCGCAGCATGCCCGCATACCTGTTGCTTGTACTACACTACCTGATGCAGCACTTGCAGTGCATGGATCACCTGAGCAGCCTTTCGAATACGAGGTGCGCGCATGAACGATCCGCAATAGCAGCCCCTCCCCCCTTTCGCGAGGGTATATGGTGGTTTCCCCTTGGGTTGTGTAGGTAAGTCTTTCTCTTCGTCTAGCACTGCTGCATTCCTCTTCTCGTCTACTCTTTGTGAGCCTTTCTCCTCATCTAGCACTGCTGGATCTACTCTTCTCGTCTACTCCTTCAAGACAAAATGCATTTCACCACGCTCTCTCTCACTTCTTTCGCTGCCCTGGCTGGTCTTGCTGCTGCCTCTTGGGACCATGCTGACCACGGCGAACACCACGGCCGACACCAAGGTGGACAGCCATACAGCACGCTATGCTGGGTACTTCCTCGCTCTCACTGTCCTGGAACATGACCATGCTAATTCCAAGGGATTGTAGACGGAGTATGGCACGCAGCAGCAGGCGCAACACAACACCCAGTGGCAGACCACGTACACCCCTTGTCCCTGGTCTCCGCCGGCAACTAAGACTGTGACCATTCATACGGGAGGGAAGACCGCAACTGTTACGCAGACTTCGACTGTCACCTCGACTTCGACGAGCATTGTGCCGACTTCTTCGGGGTACGTTATTGCCTGGACCGCAGTCTCCTTCACAGCGTGCGTCGACTGATGGGGAGTGATCTGCAGCTTCCTGCCCGTCCAATCCACCCTGCCAGGCAGTACATACGATGGAAACGGCGGAGCTGATCCAGTTGCCAAGCGGGACACGCTTCTGGCACGACAGGGCAACACTGGAGGCGGATACTTTCCCGGCTCGAAGCAGAAAATGTACCCTCACGGCGTTACATGCAAGCAATGGAGGCCAAGTCAGTGCCCTCTGCACACCGTCATCACCACCGTCACACGCGGTCCTTCCAAGTGAGTACTCTCCACACAATGGATTCGCGCGTTGGGCGAGAATGGTAACAGTAGATTGCACTGCAACAGAACCATCACGGTCACGTCCACGACAACGGTTTATCCCTCCACCACCACCGTGTACGCCGTTTGCGCCTCCAACAACTTGGCCGATGTGTATCAGGGAACGATCATCGGGAATACTCTGCCATCCAATGTTCCCGCCCAACCCCAGATCTTACTTGGTCAGGTCGGTTCTGCATATGACTGTAAGCACAATGTTCATTAGCCACCCACCCTAGGCCCGACGATGTGCTGATAACTCTACCAATGCAGGCTGCGTGTCGGCCGCGCAGGGTCCCCCGGGTTCCGCTTTCGGCTACAACAACGTTTTATCTGAGACCATTGATGACAACAACTGCTTCTACTACGCGCCCATCGTTTGTCCGGCGGCTGGAGCTCAGGCGGCGAATCTGGTCACAGCTTACGTGGGGGATGGTGGGTTTGGGCAGCTCACAGTGGGCAACTTGAATTGTGGTGAAATCAACGTCGTTGCAACCGAATAGTGCCTCCCAAAATGAGTCTTTGAGGCGAGAGGGGGAACGAGGAAGTGCGATGCAGGGCGGTGACGGTCCGAGGAAGAGGTCGAGTGTGCAGTGGCACAGTCAGCTGAGAACCCGGCAGAAGAAGGAAACAAAGTGTAGCATCTTATTTTCCAGCATTGCATCCACAAGGCATCCCGAGACCAACTACTCAATCCCGGCGAGCTTCGTGAAGCCTGCAGAACCCAAGAGTGCCCTGGAGAAGGAAGTTGGAGAAAAGGGAAATCCGGGGAGAAGAGACGTCAGCGAGAACCTCCTCTGCTCCACGCATCGGGAGGAGGTCACTTTGTTTCTGCCAGACTTATAAACAAATCTGTGTGACTGTTTCCTTATCCCCCTTTCCCCCGCCCTGATCTTCACAATGCCTCCCAGCAAAGAATCCCTCTTCCTCACCGACCTCTTCAAGCTCTTCGGCACCAAATTCCCCGCCAACGGCGACCCGTTCCTCACTCGCTGCGTCTACGACCAAGTCCACACCGCCGCGGCCGAAGTGCCAGGATGTCACTATGAGAGCGCCGTCGTCGCCGGAAGGCCGTGTCTGTGGATCTATCCCCCGGAAGCATCGAAGAAACATGTAGTCCTTTTCTTTCATGGTAATCATCCTTCCCTAATCTCAACCCAGCATTTCAACAGAATTAATATCAACGCACACAGGCGGCGGCTTCTCCTTCGGCTCCCCCAACGGCCACCGCAAACTCGCCGCCCACCTCGCAGCGCAGTGCAACGCAATCAGCTTATCCCTCGACTACCGTCTAACACCCGACCACCCCTTCCCAGCCGCAATCGAAGACTGCATAGCAGCCTACACCTGGCTGCTGGACAACGGTTACTCCGCCAAAAATATCGTCTTCGCAGGCGACTCCTGCGGCGGCGGGCTATCAACCACCGTCCCTCTTGCCCTGCGCGAGCGCAGCCTCCCCCTCCCAGGCGCCTCCGTTTCGCTCTCCCCGTGGTACGATGCAACCTACTCCCAGCCTAGCTTCCAGTCAAACGTCGGCAAAGACTTCATCAACACGCTCGAAGGCTGCACCGCGAATGCAGACAAGTATGTTGCCGGCGGCACGGCGAAGACGCACCCGCTCGTGAGCCCCCTCTTCGCGGATCTGCAGGGCCTCAATCCGCATTGGATTTCGTGCGCGGGGGACGATATGCTGCGCGATGATGGCGTGTTGCTGGGGGAGAAGGCGAAGGCGGCGGGCGTGGAGGTCGTGGTGGAGGTGCATCCGGATCAGCAGCATGTTTTTGAGTTCATGGCGGGGAGGGCGCCGGAGGCGGATGCGAGTCTGAAGCGCATTGGGGAGTGGGTGAGGGGCAAGATTGGGTCGTGAGAGGTGGAAAGGAAAAGCAAGATGTCTTTAGGGTCATTGATGGGGATATAGCAAACTCGATCAATGGTCTGTCGTCTCTGGTCCGTCCATCCCTCGAAAACGCCGCGAGATGCGCACGTCAACAACATCCCAACGTCTATCCTTTGCCTTGCTGCATCTGCCGTGCGACTCGTTCATCACCAAGCAACATAGGGCATCGTTCCAAGCTCGGGATATGAGGAAGAATCTTCAAGAGCACTTCATCCCTCATTGCACCTGGCTAACAATCTCCTGCGCCCGCGACAGACTCTCCACCATCTGGTGACACTCCTTCCGCCTCCGCACGGTGTAGTCCGACTCCTTGAGTAGATCGTCGAGCTCCGTCTGGCGGTACATTTGCTCCAGCAGTTCGCGCTGCATGTCCTCTTTCGAGTGCCTGTAATACATCCTGTCAGCCTCGAGTTCTTCGTCTGATGGGCGCTCTCACTTACTCGACAAGGTTCAACATGATTGCCTTGGGAACCATATCGATCATCGTCCTTCGCACAATGTTATAGTAACTCGTGATGAGCAATTTGATAACATCGACCTCCTGCGTCTCCTTCTCGCTCAGCGTACCGCTCGCCTTGAGCGTGGGCGGCGGCGCCTCCATGGCCGCCATCTTCTTCTTGTTCTTGCTGGCGAAGAAGGAGCCGAAGAAGCCCGAGCCGTCGCCATTCATCCCGTTCACGTCCAGACTAGGGGATGCGGAGCGTGGCGGCACAGCGCTTGGGGGCAACGGCTTGCCGGTCTTGGGATCCACCTGCACCGGCTTGCTGGCCATGTGTTTCTCGTTCACGATCGCCATTGCGCGATGCCCATTGAGGAAGTCGGGATGGCCGGTATTGACGTAGCAAGACTCCATGGCAACCAAATCCCGCACGAGCTTGTTCGTGGGGTCCATGGCTTTCTTGAAGAACGCGATGACAACGGCGTGGAATCTCTCCTTGAGCTGCGGGTAGCGGCGGAAGAGGGGCTTGTTGAGCAGCTGGCCCAAGATGCGGACCAGTTCGTCGTATACTAGCTGCGCGCACTTCAGACTCGGCTCCTCGAGTCGTTTAATCTGTTGTTTGACGATGAGCTCGAAAGCCAATGTGCCGACAAACAGGGCTGGTGAGGATCCAGAGGAGTTGTAGAGGATGGTTCGAATGTCGATGTCCTTGACCTGGTCAAAGGGGTCCACGGCCTTAACGCCGTTGCTGTATAGCTCGTGGTAGACAAAGGAGATACGCGCACCACCGCTCAGTTCGGTCGAGGAGAGCTCGCTGTTGTGGCCATCCAGCACGGTGCGGTATTCGTTGCTGAACTCGGTAATGATGTTGAGAACCACGTTCGCCGGGCTGCCCAGCATACTATCACCGAGCGAGTCCAGCTCGGCCTTGTATTTTTGAAGGCTGGCAGCTATGCGCGATTTGATGTCCGGGAGTGTCTGCTTGATGTGCATCATCAAGATGAGGTTTAATTTCCGCGCCAGGTATGGTGTGCCGCAGTAGGACGCCTTGTTTCGGTATGCCTTGTGGTTCTCGAAAAAGACCCGTTCATTTTCCAGTGCTGCTGAGATGGCCTTCTTCGTCTCGATATCACGCTGTCCGCGATTCACTACAGGCACGTAGCCCAGGCGGAGAGGAATGATGCGGCCAGCGAGAATATCGACAACATCCGTTCCCTCGTCCATCAAATCCACCTTTGTCAAGACACCAATTGTCCGCTGTCCTTCAGGATCAACCTCACGAGCCAGCTTCAGACCGTCCGAGTTGGCCAAATCGGTGTTGGCTGCAGTGACGGCGAGAATGATGGCATTTGGTTTGGAGATTTGCTTGAGGACCATTTCGCGAATCTGCTTCTCAATATCCCGCGGTTGATCGCCCACAGGGACCTTTGTCAAGCCCGGCAAATCGACAAGAGTGAGCGTGAGGACATTCGGGGAATAGATGCGCAAGTTGATGGGCGCGGGACTGATGCCCGCATTCCGACCCGTCTTGCTCTCCGTCTCTTTAACAATCTCATCGCGGATCTTGTTGAAGTCAAAGTACTTTTGTCCCGGGACGTGCAGGAACTCGCCCCACTCGTCGGTGTTGGAGGCGGCATCGCTGGTTTGCAGCTTGTTATCGCCTTCGGCCACGCCGTTGGCCTGCGGCTTAGCCACCGGGGCGCGGTTGATGAGTTGTAGCACGAGCGGTCTTCTTGTCACGATACCTGTGCCTCGCGGTAGACTGGCGTTCGTCTCGTTAGCATCCTCCGGGGGAAACAGGAAGCAGGCGTTGTAGCTTACAAGTCTCGCCCCACGATATTCTCCAACACCGAGCTCTTTCCGCTTGACTGCGAGCCGACGACGACTATTTGGGGTAGATCGATGGGATTTTGGACCTATTTTTGGCCAGGATCAGCATGCTGTCCACCAGTCCGCATCGCCGGGATACACTCACCCCAACCGTTGTAAAGACATCTTGCAGCTTGTTGACCAGCGTGATCAGGCCGGGGTCGTTGACGTTGATCCTGCATTGCCCTCAGTATGACATACTTCTCTCTCTGTCTCTCTTGTATATCCGGAAAAGACCACTCACGCGTTGGGGTTGGTTTGCGCCATCGCTGGCTATCTCTCCTGATGGCCTCTCTCTTTCTCCTGGCGCGCTTCGGTCAATCTCGTTCCAAGTGTTGGGAGGCTTAGAGGCGCAGGCGTCAATTCGAGGGAAGGAGGTCGGAGATGTCAAGGCAACGATGCAGAGGGATGAAGTGGATAAAGGCCAGTGAATTCTGTCGCCTTCGCCCAAACAACAGGTAACGTTATGCCTGGCGACGCCAACGCAATCCCGCCAAGGCCGCGTGATTTAGGCTTTTGTGGCGTTCGAAAGATTTGTGGAGCAGTTGGCCGTGCCCCTGTCCCTGGTGTAGACTCGGACTCGATGTCATGGGATAAAGACCGAAGAAACGATTTAGCCTGCACTTGGTTTACTGCCGTAGGTACAAAGAACGCTCCCGCCTATCAACACCGCCCCTAGTCATCCGACACACTTGCAAACTGCTCGTTCATCTTCTGCACCAAATCCTCAAACTTCTTCGTAATCTTCTCCTCGCCCTCCGATGGCAATTCAAACTTCATGCTGCGAAGCTGCGTCTGGATGTCGGCGGTCGCCTCACGCACCTGGTATCACATGCGTTAGTGGATGACACGGGCTTCATCTGCTCTCTCATCAAACTCACCTTGGCCCAGCTCTGGCCCTGTCCAATCACCCTCTGCGCCTCATCGTGGAAGCCCATCATCGCCTTCATCATCCAGAAAGTCTTCCAGATCGGGCAGAACTGATCGTAGTCCGAGTACCCGTTTTGCTGCAAAAAGTCCTCCTTGATCAATGTGGCAACGTCGAGCGTGATCTTGTCGGAATCGCCCAGCGCCGACTTGCCCACCAGCTGCACCACCTGATCCAAGTCCTCTGAGTTGGTCAACAGCTCCTTGATCCGCTCCGCGAAACGGAGGTATTCTGGGTTGTGCTCGGCGTAGTAAGACTCGAGTGTGGTGGTGTACTTGCTGTAGGATTGAGAGGTGTTGATCGATGGGAAATGCTTCCGTTGCGCCAGCTTCTTGTCCAACCCCCAGAAGACTTGCACGATACCGAGTGTGGCGCTCGTCACCGGATCGGAGAAATCACCGCCGGGAGGACTGACAGCACCGACGATTGACACGGCACCTTTGCGATCCGGCGAGCCAAGGGCAACGACACGGCCAGCACGCTCGTAGAAAGAAGCAAGCTTTGCTCCAAGGTAAGCGGGGAAGCCCTGATCTGCAGGCATCTCGCCCAACCGACCAGAAATCTCACGCAGAGCCTCAGCCCAGCGCGAGGTGCTGTCAGCCATCATGGCCACCGCCTTGCCCTGGTCGCGGAAGTACTCGGAAATCGTGATGCCGGTGTAGATGGAGGCCTCACGAGCGGCCACGGGCATATTGGAGGTGTTGGCAATCAGACACGTTCGCTTCATGATGGGCTCATCACGGCCTTCGATCTTGATTGTAAGCTGTAAGACGCATTAGCAGGTGTCCTGCATGATTGCGGACGCAAATATTCCTCACCTCGGGGAAGTCCATCAAGACTTCGGCCATCTCATTTCCTCGCTCGCCACAGCCAACGTAAACGATGATATCAGAGTTGGAGAACTTGCTCACACTCTGGCTGATGACAGTCTTTCCGCAGCCAAAGGCACCAGGAATGCACACGGTTCCGCCTTGCACACTGGGGAACAGGGAGTCGAGCACACGCTGTCCGACAACGAAGGGCTCATTCGAGCTCTCCTTGTCCGCGACGGGTCGAGGAACACGGACGGGCCATTGGTGCATCATGCTGTACTCCGTCTTCTTGCCGTCAAACTCCACCTCCAAAATCTTCTCGTCGACAGTGTAGCTGCCCTCCTTCGGCATACGAGTGATGGTGCCTCGTGCACGCGGGGGAAGCAGGATCTTGTGGTCGTTGAGGAGCGAGTTCTCGAAGACGCTGCCAAAGCAGTCGCCGCCCGTGATGTGGTCCCCCTCTTTGAAGTCTTTGCTGGGCTTGAAGTCCCACTTCTTCTCGCGGTCTAGGGAGGGCACATCGATGCCACGAGGGATGTAAATGGACCCGCTCTTATCGCTGATGCCCTTCAATGGGCGCTGAATACCATCATAGATCGTCTCCATCAACCCTGGACCGAGCTCGACGGAAAGAGGTTTGCCTGTCCGGTGAACTGGGTCGCCAACGGTCACACCGGCCGTTTCTTCATAGACCTGGATGGTGGCCTTATCGGCGTCAATGCGGATGACTTCGCCGACGAGTTGACCGGTGCCGACTTTGACCAGTTCGTACATGGCGCATCCAATCATGTTCTCGGCGACAATGACGGGGCCGGAGATGGAAAAGACGGTTCCTTGATTGTCCTCATCTCGGGCTTGCCGTTTGGAGTTGCCTTTGGAGCCCATCCTGACGATGATCCGGCGTTGTGCTTCGCCCTGCTCTTGTTTGAGGAGGTTCTTGATGGACGACTGCTTCGGCTGCTCTGCGTTCACAGGCTGCTGCTGGGGCGGAGGGATAGATGGCGAGGCTTTGGTCAATTCCGGGCTGTCGGGCAGAGATGTTTCGATGGCCGCTTCCTGCTCTGCTTCTCTTTCTCGAGCACGCTGCGGCTCGGTGGGTGGGTCGGGGCGAGATCGGCGGTCGATGTCTCGCTGGTTGATGAGATCGTACAGAGAGGGGCGGGGTTTTAGGAAAGGTCGTGGACGGAGACCGAGCATCCAGAGAACATTGCACCAGTGTCGTCTCCACCACGTCTTCGAAAGCTTGGGCGGAGGGTGGAGCCCGGCGACGCTGCTGTACCGTGGATGAGGTAATCGATGGTGGGCGTCAACGGCTGGCCGTATCTTCAAATCTGCTATAACTCCTCTTCCTCGAGCTCGAGGTTGAGTACATCACACCACTATCTCGTCCTGCATTACGTTCGCTTCCGTGGACAACGCACGACCGACTGACCATGAGCACCTCCTCTACCCAGTTCCTCGACCTCCCTCTGGAAATACGCCAGGAAATCTTGCGACAAACACAATGGTGTCCATTGAATGCGCCCCCCTGTAACCCCATCCTCTCGCGCCGACTCAACCAAGCCTTCTTCTGCGGTAACTGCTCCGGTGAGGTACTCATGCGAGTCAGCAAACACATACGCTTGGACATCGCCCCCGTCTTCTTTGCCCGCCATGCAATGCAATTCCAACTCTGGTATGAACATCACGCCGCCCTCCACTCGTGGTTCGATGCCGTTTCCGAAGACGCCGTGCGTCACTTCAGAGCGTTCAGGCTGAACACGCAATACGCCAATCCCTTGGTCGATCTCGCTTCTCTTCCGGGCACTGCGACGGCCATGCCGGGCTACATTGCGATCGATCTGGATGCTGTACCCGAGCAAGTGGTGATGCGCAGCAATACATGGACGTGCGAACTCTTGGAAGAGCCCGCGACGATCATTTCTGCACTGGTCAAGTCGCTCGAACGGGTGAATGGCAAGCCAGTCCTGAACAAGCAAGCTTTTCTAAGCATGGTGGAGGCGGTGGGGTGGTTTGGGATGAGGGATGAGCGGGAGCGAGAGATGGTCATTCAGGAGAATGATGCGAGAGGATCACGGGGAGTGGAAATCGTTTCCCTCTTGACCGTGTGACAGCACGGCTTGATGAACAGTGCATCGATGATTAGAATGGGGTTCTTCCGACCCGTCTACTGAGCACGCGGGCGTGCTTTGCAATGACTGCTGCGATTGATAACTGAAAAACATCGCGTCCTATTATCGGTATCTCCATTCTTCTTCCCTTGCGCTATGGATGTCGCTGGGAAATAAGTCATGTCTCATAGCAGTACACAACAATCAATGTCTGCCTGAGGCAACTCCAGCCGGCTCCGCTGCAAGCTCGGATCAATCAAGCTACCTCACACAACAGTATATCTCGTCTTCAAAGCTCTGCACTCATCCCAAGACTGTGAGTTCCCGGGACTCCAGATATGCAACAATGGGCAGCCCTTCGCCCACGCCTGCTCAACTTCGCCACACGATACCGCCAGCATAGCAGCCATCGCCTCTCCTCCACCAAGCAAGCAGCACCTCCACCCCAATCCCGCATCGAGCGCATCGAGTCCCGCCTCCCACGCTTCCTCCGCCGCATAGTCACACCCCTCCGCAACGCCCCCCTCTCCCACGTCACCGCCTTCCTCATCCTCCATGAAATCACCGCCGTCGTCCCCTTACTCGGCCTGACGGCCGCATTCCACTACGGCAACTACCTCCCGCCCTTCATCAGCGAGTGGAAATGGGCGAAAGAGGGCGCAGAGAAGTACGGCAACTACATGCGGCGCAAGGGCTGGATTCAAGAGGATTCGCGCACTGGCAGGTGGTGGGGTCGCGGCGAGGGCGGCATTCAGATTGTCGTGGAGATTGCTACCGCTTATGCCATCACCAAGGCTTTGTTGCCTTTTCGCCTGATTGTGAGCGTGTGGGGTACGCCCTGGTTTGCCCGCTGGACGGTGCTGCCCTTGACTTCGAGGCTGTGGCGGCGGTTTGGGAAAGGGAAGGGTGTGGCAGTTGTAACGTCTTCGCCTGCGGCGGGTACGAATGCCGTGGGTGGGCGAGTGCTGCCGAGTAGTATCAAGTGAAAAGAATTGCGCGCGCCAACGATCACTCAAGAACTTCTCTGGCGCAACATCCAGGTGCTTCGATACGATTGCTGCGTTTCGCAGCTCGACAATCTTCTCAAGGATGCCTGCAGAGTATGACTCAAAACGGCGCCCACTTGAACTCTCCATGGGCTCTATGGCAGAGCCGAGTCTGTCGAATAATGAGCGAACCACTAAGCAGGGCTTGAAATGGCAAGAACGCCTTCTATGCGCGGCGATACAATGGATCAGGACTCGGCAAGAGACTCGGGCGGTTATTGAGAAAAGACTGGAGCATTCCGCTATACGCTACGAGGCCTGAACGCGAGCCTGATGCCCTACCGTCCAAGCTGTCCCATTTTCACGATACCCACTGCTATGCAAAACGTGACAATCCTCTCGACTGTCGGCCCTTGGGCTCTCAATGCAACCAAAATCAAATCTTTTGCGCGAAACACTCATCCGCTTCCAGGGTCCTTCATCCTTTATTATCGACCAGCGAATGATTTTGCCCCCCTATCCTCCAACCCTGCTGACGACTGAATTCGAACTCCGCACCGATGATTCCGACAGCGGCCCTCCGACTACGATCGTCAAGAGCTCCGGGCGTGGATCAGCCACCACTCCAGCTTGATTGATAGCGGTATCAGGCGTAACGTCGTCATACGAGAACGCGTACCCCTTGCCGTCCATCTCGTTCTCGTGAACGAACTTGCTGTAATAGCTGGTGGGTTCGGTGGTGTAGTAGTTCGTCGAATTCAGCGCCGGCTGCACTTGGCCACCATTCAGCATGAGCGTTGTGCGCGTGAAAGCAGCACACAGGCGCGGTACGACCGCCTTGTGGACGAGGTTGTCGGTCGAAAGGATCTGGAACGGGCCGCTGTTGCAACCGAAGATGTCTCCTGCCGTCGGCTGCGCGTACCCACGGTTGTCACCTGCGCAGTAGAGCGTACCGTTGCTGACGGAGCAGTTGACGTTGCCTGCGCTGGACTGCGTGTTGATAGTGAGGTTGTTCTTGGCGTAGTACGTCCACATTTCGTCGACGTAACTGGACCAGTAATCTTGAAAGGCATTCGGGCTGATGGAGATAAAGTCGTTCGGCGAGATCACGCGCAGCGGTGTGCCAGCCGAGTTCGCCAGACACAGATTCCCCCAAGGCTGTCCGTCCTGCTCCGCCTGTGCTGCCAAAGCATCGCAGATGACCGAAACCGCATTCGCACTCAAGCCCTCTGCTGTTTGCACGGGTCCGCCTCTGCTGACGAGGCTCATGCCGAGAACCAGTCCGACAAAGTCGACGTAGCTGATGTTCGCGAACAAGCCATTCTCCTTGGTGTTCGTCAGTTCGACAAAGCCCCAGTTGACGTCAGCGCTCGGGTCCGAGGGGTTGACGGCGGAAGGTTCGACGAGAGATGGGCCGGTGTTACCAGCGACATATACCGTGAAGAATTTCAGCTCGCCGTCGGCGACCCAGACGCGCGCGGAGGAGATCCAGTCTGGGATCGTGATGTTGGTGGTGGTGCCGTAGCGTCCGATGCGGATGTTCGTGCGCTCCTTGATGGGCTGCGGCGTCGTTGCGGTCTCGTTGACGGTGGGATAAAAGAATTTTCCATTCGGGCGCAGCATCACCAGGCGACTGCTACTATCGAGACCAGTGACATACACGTTCAACGAGTGGCTTCCGGGCAGATTGTTGACGATGGAGAGGGGCAGTTTTCCAGAAGTCTTGTTCCCGAATTTGCCGAACCTCCGCCTGCCCATCCTCGCCCTGAGCTCCCTCACGTTGGCTGCCCGGGGTGCAAGCTCTACCACTGGTGCCGGTGCCGTCGCATTGACCGTGTCGGATTTGCTGATAACAAGATCCTTTGCGGTCCCCGGATGGACGGTGAGGAAGGGCGAGGCCGTGGCGTTGCAGATGAGGAAGGCCATGAGAACATACTGGACGAGATTGGAGAGCTGCATTCTGTCGGGTGGACCGGACGATGAACCAAAGGACGATGACGATGATAGCGGACGGCTTGATGAAGCAAGCCTGAAGCAGTGGTAGTGCGCGATGCGTCGACAGAGTTGACAAAGGAAGCGCCGGATGCGGTGGTGGATGAGGATGTCAGAAGCGAGGATAGAAGAACGAGATGATCAAAAGAGTGTGGGTAATGAGCGTGCTGCAAAAGAGTGACTGGGACGAAGCGACGAGAACGCAAGCGGTGGTGGTGGTGGAAGAAGGACGAAGGGTGAAGGTCGCAGGCAGACGCCATCTCGACATTCACCTCAAGGCTGCGTCGCCTAGCCGCATTTGCTACGACAAGCACGTGCTCCGGGACCAACGGCCGCGCGAACGCGCAATGCCTTTCCAAGTGGGCGGCGGACCTTCCAGAACGCCATCTACCATTCGGCAAATGCCTGCCATAGCGAAGTACGACAGAAACTGAGGGTAGGAGGCAAGGAGGCATGGATATGGAGGACTGGAATGCGGAGGAAATGAAGGTCGTTTCCCGCCATCAATCTCCCCAGCATTCCCTCCAGCCCCCACTGCATTTCTCGGTAGAAAATTGCGTGGCCATTCGCCTGCATGCTGTACTGCATTATCATTCCTATAGAATGGGAAGAAGGCAGATTCTCGAGCGCCTTGCAGCGAGACCGGCTACCGGTCCCCGCGGAGGAGAGTTGATTTTCTTGTTATCCACGAGCCTGACTGATATGACTGCGCGCGCATCATCATTCCCGCACGCTCTCGTAAGCCACTGGAGGGTATCGTCACTTTGAAACGTCCGCCCTCTGCACTATACGCCACCGAAGCCTGAAAACCCTCGAGTCCCAGCCTTCGGTAACGCGTGGCATCGCTTGCGCCGCGTTGCCCCCTGAGCATGGCATGAGGTTCATCCACCGCACGCGGGAGTCGGAGATTATATTCCTCCTCGGTTCCAACGAGGCTGCCGGCTAACTGAATTCTCCTCATTACACTCCGATACAGGCTGATATCGTTAGACCTTTTCGTGGGTGATGTCGTCGTTCAATCCGTTCAAGCCGGCAAGATGCGGAGTGCGTACCTCAATTATACGGCCTACTGAACGAACGTGAGTGCATCGCGCGCAGATCACCGACCTCTCCGCTCATCCACTCTAGAACTGAAGAAGAAACCCCAGGCGCGCTATCCGCGTCCGTATCCACGCGCTCGATTGCATCGAGATGACCTCAGCATTACAGGTAGCCTCGTAGCAGTTCATTGGCCGGCTACGACGCCCTAATCTAGACTGCCTCAGCCACGGACGCGCCGAGTGATCGGCACACGCATGCCCGACTCCGGTAACTGCGTGATCTTTCATCAATCGTCGATCTCCCGTCCGCCTTACAGGCATGCATGTTGCTGACACACGGGGCTGCCGAAGATGCAAGCACTTTGTGCGGGACCGTCAAGTGACATTATCGTCGCTGGGTATCTGACTATAACTGACTATGCTGGCGGAGTCTCGCCATTTGCATGACAAGTTCCCTATCCTCCGGCAGAATCACGACCCGTTCTCCGGAACGTCTCACTTCGCCGTCCTCGTGAGCGTTTTGGGGTCGCATATCGCGCCGTCCGCGCCTTCTGCATCGGGCGTGAGCTCGGCGACCTGCGCCATCGCCCAGTTGTACATTTCCTTCGTGATGCCCGCCGTCTTGAGGATGTAGAGAAGATGATGCATGACGGGCGTGCGCCTGCACAATGGGATGTCGGAGAGGGCGCGATCGCCGCCGTGTCGGCCGAGCATGAACGGTGTGCCGGCGCAGATGTCGTTGCGTAGGGACTCGAGGACTGCGAGGCGGACGTCGAGGCCGGGGCTGGCTGTTGCGCTGTCCGAGCGCGCGCGCGATGGAGGCGCACTAGTGTATGCTGGCTGCTGCTGCTGCTGGGCGAGTTCGAGATCTAGGAGAGATTGTTGCTCCATGATCAGGCCGTTGACGCCCAGCCGTGCGGATCGATAGAGGTTCCAGACTTCCGCGGAGAACAAGGAGGAGTATACTTCGCAGTACGCGGTGAAAGCGTTGGAGGAAGGCGGCGCGGGTTCGGTGGTGTAGTTGTAGCTGGGTGGAAGACTTTGCGACCAGTGGATCAAGTCGTTGTCCAAGGCTATCGCATGGGCGAGTACTTCTTCTCGGCTTTGGGTTTTGGCGTCTCGAGAGGAAGCGAATAGATTGCACAGCCGTGCGAAGAGGAGAACGACTTCGCTGCCCGCTCTTTCGTCCTCGCTTTGCGTTTGGCTGATGTCTATCGAAAGATCGATGAGATCCTGAGGCACGGGCTGCATCGTCATGAGACAATTCACAAGCTACGAAAGCGGTCAATACCAGGGAAGAATGAGCGAGTGAAACGGCATGACTTACAATTTGTGCGCGTAGAATACTGAACATTCCTGTATTCAATAATCAGCAAATGTCTCTATTCAGACCGGGTCGCTCGCCTCCCAAAATCTCGGGAGTTGGCTCACCATCGTGAGACTTACGATACGTCGGCCCACGCTGTAGCAGGTCTCGCCCACGGATTCGAAGCAGCATTCTCGCACCGTCAAGGTGTGCAGTCCAGCTAGCTAGAGAATGCTCGTCATCGGGGGTCGTCTGGGATCGCAGTCAGTACTACAGACGTACAATCGGACGGAGAAGGGACGAACTTCGAAGAATGAAAGAAGAATTACGGCCATCAGGATCTCATCGGATTTCGCTTCGGCCTTGTCGCGCAGAGCATGATTCGTAAGTCGCAAAGCCCTCGCATATCGCAGCCTTGCCGCCATGCACGACGCCTCCGAGCGTCGCGGGAGAGTCAAGATGCCCAAGGCAATGATGCACTCCGCGAGCGCAGCGCGCATCATGGCATTGTCGATGATGAAGGTGGTAAAGTCGAGGTCGAGCCGGCAAAAGGTTCGATCGGCGGACACATAGTGATGGAAGAAGCGCGATGTGGCAACGTGCTCGAGTAAGGTGGAGTTGGGGATTGTTGGAGGGACTCGCGTGCCGGTCACCACGCTGGGAGCCGGGTCGTGCTCTTCCAAGTCAACGCTGGTGTCGGTCGTTGATCGTTCTCGAATCGCGCGCAGCTTCCTCCGTTTCGCCGCCCGCTCGTCATGCTGCGTGACTATCGAGGCGGCGCGCAAGGAGTTCAAGGCCAGATACGAAGGATCGAATGCGCCCATTTCAGGGAAATTCGTCGGGTTGGCAAGTCTTCGACCAAGCTGTTCGAACGTCAGTCTTGAAATGTCAAATAGGTCGCCGTGTTGAGGCGATGCTGGCTAATTTAACCGACCACTCGGTGCCTCGGTGCTGGCACGTTCCTCGGACTGGGGGGCATCGTAGCGGCTGCCATGTCTGGAAGATTCTGACCGGCAACGCCGTGGCCGTCAAGATGAGAAATCACACGCAGGATTGCCGCAGGCGTGAGCCACGTCGAGAACTGTTCGCGAGAGGAGGGTGGTAGCGTGATACCGGGTAGGTGGAGGTGAAGATGGAGGGCGTATTCGTTTTATATCCTCCGAACCATGGCTGAGCCTGAGACGACGCCATTTCAGCTCTTCGGCTCGATCCGTTGGTGCCTGCAGAGTGTCTCTGGATTAGAGCGCGAGCCTCAATCGCAATTGGTACGGCAGACAGGTACATGGGCCCGATGACAAGGCACCAAGACGTTTATGGAAGCCTATAGCAAGTCACCGCGGTTGCCGGCTGCCCCTACGTGGCTCATTCCCGCGCTATTTCAAGATCAGCCTTGCACATGGGACTGCAGACAAGGGCCGCGACCACGTTACCGGCCAGCTGGGGAGGAACGGGTGTGGCTTTGCCCTTCAGAGCGCATGTTTGCGGAAACGCGCTCGCCGATCCCTCCGTCAACTTCCCCATTGGGCAATTGGCGATTCCTAATCATCCTACCCACTTACCGACCAATCACCGCCGGTCCATGGGGACTGGAGTGTCCCGTCGGCATGATTTGGAGGTTTGATGTATTCGAGAAGCAGGACGAGAAAATTAGCGATCGATCTAGAGGCGGACTAATATGTGTTCCGCACTGTCAGCTTTACAGCATGGCAGTGCACACCACGCTTCTCTCATCGATCTTTGGAATCGCTGTCCCCTTAGCTATACAAGCCGCCCACGCCGTGGCGACCAAGCATTTCTGCCCGCACCCAACCCCACGATGCAATGGCACAGCGATCGAACAATGCAATGGCACAGCGAAGGGATAAGTCTGTCCCCGGCTTCCGCTCGTTCTGGGAGACGTCGAAGAAGAAGGCTGCCGCGCAGAACTTGACCTTTGTACAAGTCGATGCGGAACAAGCGGGTACGCGTCCAACTCCCCCATTAGTCGCAGCTGCAGCAAAGTGGAATTGACAATGGCTCAGGCGGCTCCAGAAGAAAGAGTAGTACAAAAGGAAAGGACGCCGTGACATTCGTGGAGACATCAGATCGCCGAAGCTCCGACTCTCAACCGCCTCCGAATCGAAGACAGCAGGTCTACCAGGCACAGAAGTATGATCCCGAGCAGCCATGAGTAACCCCCCAGCGTGATATGAGTTCTGACCCGAGCGCAGACGGCATCGACTGCGGAAAGCAGAGTACGCGCAGAGTCTGGAGCAAGAGATTGAGCAAGTAAAGTACCTGCACTCCTTGGCCAGCGCCGACGCCCAGAGATTCGCCAGCGAGAACGCGGCCATCAACCAATACCTCGTGTCGCAAGGTCTGCTCACCGAGTCCGACCGAGCCCCTTCATTGCAGCTCTTCCCAACGGCTCAGACACATCTCGATCCCAATTTAGACGTCGACCCTAACAACCTATTCGACATGAGCTCCGAGCCTGACAGCACGAGCGAGGGGTCAACGAACGACATGGAGGAGGATGAACGATCGCGGAGCGGAGAAAGCTACGTCCTGATGACGGAGTCGAGGTTTCCCGATCCTCGTACGGAGGCTGCGAGTCAATCGAAGATCAAGCACTGTCAAGAGCTGTTGATGAAGGGTGTACAGCCGTTTGGGTGGGTGTTCGAATGAGTCCCGGTGTGATGCTCCTCTGGCACTGTACTAACACGCCGCCAGGCCGGACGAAGAAGACGACAAGAAGACGTGGAAAGGGTTGGCGGATCTCATTCTGAGAGAGCGATGATATTTGTCGTGTTGTCGAGTCTGGGAATCAGGCACAGCGCGTCGAAATGGGCGAGAGATCCATGAGTATCTCGCGACTTTTTACATTAGCGAAGCGACTCCCTGCATACCATGGGAAATTCGAACCATACGCTTCGAGACACTTTCGAACCTGACGAGCAATAGGAAAGAGGATGCTGTCACGTCGAGAGAATTGGCTTGTTGCTGAAATCTGCATGGACGGCCGCGAACGGATGCTGACGAATGGTTGGCGCAGACGTTGACATGCGTGTCACTCCGATTTGGCGAATTCAACGGCCGCGATAGATGTATGATGCCTCTGAATGATTCAAACTATGTCGAGTATTCATCCAAAGTGTCATCAAGTAGTCGTGTTAGCGGAAGCGGTGGAAGATGGTGTCTTGAGGCGCGGCCGAGAACGGTCCACGGCCATGGCGAGGAGCGAGCAGCCTAATTTGGAAATCTTTTACTGGAGAGCCCTCCCTCCCTACTGCACGCGATAACGAAGTTCCACTCATGCACTCACCACCTCGTTAGACCTGCGTTCTCTAATGGTCTGTTATCACATGAACTGGAATGGTTGCTACGTCCTTGGTGCATTCGTCCGCCCTCCACCCTTTTCTCGGTAGGCACGCGTTTCTTGAAATATGATCCCTTGAGCCCTCCCTCCCTCCTTTCCATCATCTGTCTAGTCTGCATTTCCTTTCACCATGATCACTCCCGACTCTCGCGTAGTCATCGTTGGCGCGGGCATCGTGGGCGCCAATGTCGCCGACGAGCTTGTCGCGCGCGGATGGACGAACATCACAGTCGTCGAGCAAGGGCCTCTACACATGCCTGGCGGCTCAACCTCCCACGCACCCGGCCTGGTTTTCCAAACCAATTCTTCGAAAACCATGACCCTATTCGCAAGCTACACGGTCGAAAAGCTGCTGTCTCTGCAAAAGGACGGCAAGAATTGTTTCAACCAGGTCGGGGGATTGGAGGTTGCTACCACGCCTGCCCGGCTGCACGACTTGAAGCGAAAGCATGGCTGGGCGACATCATGGGGCATCGATGCGAGACTTATCAGCACGGACGAGTGTCTTTCGGCCTATTCTCTTTTGAACAGGGAAATGATTCTAGGCGGGCTACTAATTCCCTCCGATGGCCTGGCCCTCGCTGCTCGCGCCGTGCAACTGCTCATCGAGCGCACACAGGCGGCTGGAGTACGATATCTCGACCGAACACGGGTCACAGGCATCGAACGAACGGCTCACAAAGTTACGGGCGTCGAGACCAGTTCAGGCGTCGTCTCTGCCGACATCATCATCTCATGTGCCGGGTTCTGGGGCGTTGAGTTAGGCGCTATGGTCGATCTGCCGATTCCCTTGCTCCCCCTGGCGCACCAATATGTAAAGACAACTTCAGTTCCGGGCCTGCCGCACGGCTCAATACTGCAAGGCGGTGCCTCATCCGACTTGCCTATTCTTCGATTCCAAGATGAAGATCTGTATTACCGGACGCATGGCGATCAGTTCGGTATCGGATATTACGGCCATAAGCCTATGCCTGTCGTGGCTGCATCCCTAGGAGAGACGGGCGATGTGGATGAGCACAACATGCCATCTCGCCTGGAATTCACAGCAGAGGATTTCCGGCCGGCGTGGAAAGCATCGCAAGAATTCCTTCCCTCGCTGCAGCAGACCGACATCCAAGATGGATTCAATGGCGTCTTTTCCTTCACTCCCGACGGGGGCCCGCTGGTCGGCCAGCACCCAACGCTCGACGGCTTCTGGGTCGCCGAAGCTGTCTGGGTGACACATTCCGCAGGCGTTGCTCGAGCCCTGGCAGAAGTCCTAACCACCGGACAATCTCAGATCGATTTGACGGAGTGCGAGCTGACCCGTTTCGAGGAGGTGCAGTTGGCGCCGGCCTACGTTAGCGAGACCAGCCAGCAGAACTTTGTGGAAGTCTACGACATCCTCCATCCCCTGACTCCTCGAGAGTCTCCTCGTGATTTGCGGCTCACTCCTTTCCATACCCGGCAATGCGACCTGGGCGCTTACTTCCTCGAAGGTGGAGGTTGGGAACGTCCTCATTGGTACGAGGCGAACGCAAGGCTGCTCAAAGATCTGCCAGCGAAGTGGAAGCCGGTCGAACGTGACGACTGGACTTCTCAACATTACTCGCCCATAGCGGCAGTGGAAGCATGGCGCACACGGACGGCCGTGGCAATGTACGACATCACGCCACTACGTCGCATCCAGGTATCTGGGCCCGGCGCCGTTGCATTGATGGAGCGAGTCAGCACAGGCACTGTTGGAAGTCCTGGTGAGGTGTGCTACACACTTCTTTTGACAGATGCTGGAACGATACGTAGCGAAATCTTCATCGCTCGGCTCGAGGTCGATTTACTTCAGCTGGCCGTCAATGGACCAAACGACTTTGCCTATCTGCAGCGTGCTGCGCGCCACCAGTCGCAACGGTCTCCGCAGGAATGGGTGCAGGTTCGCGACGTAACCGGAGGCACTTGCGGCATCGGTCTGTGGGGTCCACGTGCTCGCGATGTGGTGCGATCCATCAGCAAAGACGACTTCTCCAGCCGCGGAATGCGCTATTCCCAAGTCAAGAAGGCGCATATCGCGGGGATACCAGTGACTGCGATGCGGTTGTCTTTCGTAGGAGAGCTGGGCTGGGAAATCTACACCACGGCAGACAATGGCCTGCGACTATGGGATGCCATCTTCGGCGCCGGGCAGCCGTACGGGCTGATTGCTGCTGGACGAATCGCTTTTAGTGCATTGCGCATGGAGAAAGGGTGGAGGTCTTACGGATCCGACATCAACACGGAGCACGATGCGCTGGCTGCCGGTATGGCGTTCGCCATCAAGCCTGGAAAACAGGGCTATGTGGGGCAGAGTGCCGTGGAGTCATCCTCTCGCTCGCCGCGACGTAGACTGCGCTGTTTGGTCATCGACGACAAGCAATCCGTGGTGCTGGGGAAAGAGCCGGTCTTTTATGCTGGACAGGCTGTTGGCTACGTCACCAGTGCCGCCTTTGCGTACACCATCGGGAAACCAATCGCATATGCGTGGCTTCCAGCCAGCGTTTCGGTGGATGAGAGCGTAGAGATTGAGTACTTCAGCCGTCGTATCCGGGCGACGGTGGCTCGCGAACCATTGGTCGATCCGACCAACAGCCGCATGCTAGAAACGACGACGTGGACACAGCCCCTGGGAAGAAGAGAAGGAGGAGTGCAGGAGCAAATATCTCTTGCTCCGCCATTGGCGAAGCTGTAATTTGGTGCATCAGCGGTATGAAATCAGCGCGGGCTTACAAGGACCTTGCAGGAGTTGATTGGATTGGTGCTCTGTAGCTATGCTCGAAGATCCTGACGCATGCTATTTTCGGTCTTAATGGCGCAGTCACTGACGCCTTCGTCGGCTGCATGATGCGTTGTCTGTTCGTGTGATGGTCTATTGTGCGCTCTGTTTCCACACTGCAGTACACTGTCGACAAGGCTGGTCGATCGTGGGTAAGTCCGCTGCGTCGACATACTTTCCAGCCAGCGCAATGCTCTGCTCTACTCTGCTCCAGGAGCACCTACGCTGGCAAGGCATGCCGTTGCTCCAAACGCACACGCAGCCAAGCAGCAAAAGCTGCAAACATCCTGTCATCTTTCCATCTCTCGCAAAAAGCCAAGAGCGCTTCATATCGTGCATTCACATCCGTGGCGCTTATGGCTCGCAGTACCTTGGACAGGTCGATTGGGCACAGGTACGGCGGCTGGCGCACATCTTCGGCCACGCTTGCGGTTCCCTGCATGATGCAGGCGAAATACACGCAGTGATCCATGCCGAAGCAGTGGCCTATCTCGTGGGATACGGTCTTGCACACTCGGCCAAACCACAAGGCGGTCAGTTGTCGGGGCGATGTTGGTAGGGGAAGGGCTCGGAAGGCCGTGATTCCCGCTGCGATCGCCGAGCCCGGGTGGTATTCCAGGAAGCCAGCGCAGTCACGCATATCAGGAGGGATATAGAGGGCTTTGTGATTGGGTCCGTGCAAGACTCGTGTTAAATATGGAATCCAATGCGAGGCGGGCCAGGCATTCGCTCGCTCGTCGCATACAGGGAGCGCGTGGACGTTCTTGGTGAGGTCCAGATCTGGGCGGTATCGAGCGGAAGAGACGACGGCTACCCGGCTGCCTCCGTAGGCTCTTCCGCAACAGAAGTCGTCCTGCTCGTCTTCGTAGAGGTCGTGGTGCACGAGCATGCATATCGCGTACGCGTCTGTCGGCAAGATTTCGAGAGCCACGTCGAGCAGGTCGTTGAGGTTGAGCTGCGCAGGGAAAGTCTTTGTCTGTCGGCAACGGATCCGCACGAGCTCAGTGCCTGTGGAGAGACCTATGTATGGTGGGATCTCGGGCGCAGTGGACTGTGTTTTGCGAGAGCGCGATCGTGGTTCGGGCTCATCGTCGCTCTCCCAGGCAGTGAATTCCAAGCCCGGTAAATCTAGCAACTTCACCGTCATCCCATGATAGAATGCTCTCAAATACTCCGCAAGGCCTTCAACTCGTGGTGGCTGCGCACCATCTATTGACTTCTTCCCCTTTTGCGTAGGCTGGGTCCACTCCGCTACAACGGCAGCATCTTCCACTGCACCTGGTGGTGAGACCAAATAAATCGTCCTTCGCTGCTTCGTGACCTTGTTCGGAGCATCGTCGAGCCAGTCCTGCACGCTTTGGCGCGGATATTCGGGATCTTCGGCCAGCTCATCGCCAGGTAGCACTAAAGGAGCCGGAAAGGTGGAGGAAGACGGCACGTCGATCTTGGGAGCGCTGCTCTGTGTCGTCGCAGTCTTTGCTCTCTTCCGTTTCTTTCCACCGGAATCCGAGGTTTCCAAGGCTTCATGAATCTCCTGCCGAGAGGGCTGTTTGTAGCCGCCGGTATTGAGACTCCCGTAGTTGCTGTTAAATACGAGGCCGAGGTGCATTGCGGTGGCGTTGGAGTGATTGACTCGCTACTCCATACATCAAGGCTTTGGAGGTCGTCTCTGCCCTCGGATACGCCTGGTCTCTGGCCTTCTCGGTGCTTGCCCCTGGTCATGGTCAAGGGACGGCACAGATGTGGTTGCCCTGTGCCACAAAGTTCCGCGGAGCCGTGATAGACTTTACGTCGGCGGGCCGGGGACGAAGACGGGAGCAGCCGGGCCGGGGTCGAGTCAAACTTTTCCGAATTGGTATCGAACTTCCCGCGAGGCGGAGGTCAGCGCGCCAACGTCGCCCCATCCCATTGCGACGCTCCCTCGCGCCAAACATGTCGCTTCTTGCTATCACGCGCTCTCCTTTTGATGACTCCCGTCTTGACATACGAAGCGACGGATCCACACGATGCCGGGCGAACCGGGGTCTCGGCCACGCCGTCCCACACCTGCTCCGTCTCCTCCACACCCTACGGCATCGTGCTCGTCAATCCCCGGCTCGGATGTGCATATGGCTTATCGCGGTGAGGAACACAGACGGGCCTCCTCCAAGACGCTCGGTCTGCGATATTGTCTTGTCTATGCATATAGATAGCCTCCATGAGGATCACTCTTGCACCACAAACTTCAAATCCGCGGATTCACTACTGGACGCGGCTGGAACTCGTTTTCGACCGCGGAAACGACCCACACCTTGACGCGGCCATCGGGAAACGCCAGGGTAGTCGTTGCGGTGAGGACAGTAATAGTAACGGCATCGCCTCATGGCGGAAGGTCACAAGATATCTTGATTATGCAAACGAAGACGGGACCCTCGCATGAGTAGTACGCGACGGTGCCGTGATTGGCGCGGGTGCCCAGAGAATATCTATCGTCGTCTGCCAATTCTGGAAATTCGATCCATTCGACTCGCACATCTGGGCCCTTGGACCTCCTTACCCCATGGAGTTGCATCGCCCTTTCACTGCTCATTAGTGTCGTCCACATATAATCCGTGTGACACCAGGCTTGGTAGGTATATAGTCCTTTCGTCGCCGTCACTACTTCACCCAACCAAGAGGTCTCTTGTTTCCTCGTCCAATCAGAATCACATTACCTTCCGTCTATTTGATATGGCTACCGCCATCTTGAAATACTTTCGTCAGGACTCGGGTTACGCGTCGAGCAAGCCCGTCGATGAGGAGAAGACGGCAACGAGGGCACTGCCCTCGAATTGGTACACGTCGCCAGAGATGTACGAGCTGGAGCGTCGTGCCATCTTCTCCCAGAAGTGGCAGCTCATCACTCACAAAAGCCGACTAAGCAAGCCCGGTGATTGGCTTCGATACGACGTCGCCGGCTATCAGTTCGTGCTTTGTCGCGACCGGGACGGCAACATCAACGGCTTCCATAACGTGTGTCGACACCGCGCCTTCCCCGTCGTGCTGGGCAACGAGGGCCAGTCGAAGATCTTTTCCTGCAAATACCACGGCTGGTCGTACGGCCTGAACGGCAAGCTCGCCAAGGCGCCGGGATATCAAGACCTCCACGGCTTCGACAAGACGCAGAACGGCCTGTTCCCTATTCACGTCCACGTCGACTACAATGGCTTCATCTGGGTGAACCTGGACGGCAAGCAGGAACCCACCGTGTCATGGGAGGATGACTTTGATGGCATCGATCGTCAGGAGCGGTATTCAGAGTTCAACTTTGAGGATTACGAGTTCGATCACGTTTGGTCGATGGACGGGACCTACAACTGGAAGATCCTGGCCGATAACTACAACGAATGCTATCACTGCGCGACCACCCACCCCGACATCTCTGCCCTAGCGAATCTTCAATCATACAAGGTCGACACCGTCGGCGACAAGATCATACATTACCCAGCCACCACGGATGCACAGCGAGAAAACGGCCTGACCATCGCCAGCACATACTACTTCCCCAACGTATCAACAAACATCTCGTAAGTCTACCCCAACCGCGTCCACCCGTCGCGTCGGGAAAAAGCAAATACATGTCTAACACAATCCCTCCAGACCCCACTTCTTCATGATCCAACGCTTCGTCCCCAAAGGCCCCACCACCTCGACAATGAGCTACGAAGTCTACCGCAACAAGCACTCCTCGGCCGAGCAATTCGACCTCGTCAACCAAATCTACAAACGCATCATGTCCGAAGACAAGTTCCTGTGCGACCAGGCGCAGCAGAACCTCAACGCCGGCGTCTTCGTCAACGGCGAAATGCACCCGCGCCTCGAGCAAGGGCCGCTGCACTTCCAGAAGACGGTGCGCGAGACGGTCATGCGGCACGCCAAGATTGAGGCGACGGTGAAGCGCGAGGTGTGGCCTGCGAGACAGCAGGTGCCAGGCGAGGCGGAGGGTAGTCGGAAGGACATGGAGTTTTGCGCTGGGCTGGCGTCTTGTCAGGTCAATGGCGGTGTGGAGGGGCTGGCGTGGTGATTGGTATTATTAGCGATGCATTTGCTTTTATTCTGTGACACGCTGGACGAACCGAGGGAGGTTGGAGAAAGCGTTGTCGTCGCTTGTGTTGGATGATTGCTTCCTGCTTGAGTCGGATGCATGTTCGTACTGGAGTACGGTCACCACGTTCACGGTCTTTCGATCTTGGGTCTTTTGTCGACATTGTTTTTGATGCCAATAGACGGGGCTGGTGATGGACTTCACAAGACGAGTGATAATAATGAGTGGAATGAGAATCTTTGAGCGCTATCGCGGGCCTGCTGCGCCTGCAACCATCACATCACATCATGTATGGGCTTCCAATTTCAAGGCACGATACCAGCATAAGGTACTCGATGTAAAATGTCCAAGTAATGTACAGAAAGGCCAATATGCAAACCGAAGCGCGCGCACGTTGCCACGTCCAGTCTAGTTACAATTTTTTGCTGCCGCCGCCGCGAATCTCACTCCAACTCTCTTATTGCGCTCATAACCCCTCTGCCGCCTTCACCGCCGCCGCCGTACTTCCGACGCCATTCGAGCCGCCGTTGAGCAACGCCGGACTATTGGCGCCATCAACCTGGGCTTCCGCGTTGGCAAGCGCTGCCTCGGTCGCAGCAGCCGCCTTGACCTTTTGCTTGAGGGTGAGTGGAAAGGGGTAGTCTTCTGGCTCTTCCTGTAGTACTTGTCAGCTTCTGCTTGCGCATTTGGTGTGGAGGGGTCGTTCTGAATGTTGGGGAAATGCGCACCTCTTCGGGAAGTCTCCAAGCGATATAGTCCTCCGTCGACAGCCCCTCTTTCCCTTCTTGCAAGCTGGCGAAATCGCCGGGCGTCATCATGCCACTCCGCTCGCGCGGGCTACCCGGCGCGGAAAGCGGACGGGTTAGTTTCACGCCTTCGGTGCCGTCGAAGAAGCTGGTGTCCTCGTCGTCCTCGGCATAGCTGTCGGGGTATGCGCGTCGCAGTGCGAGTTGTCGCGCTTTGACATACTCCATACCCATTCGCTTCCAGTCGAGCAGGTCGCTCAAGCGCTCCGTCCGGTTGCGCTGGTTGATGCGCTGTCGCTTGCTCTTCTTCGTAAAGTCGTACATGTAATCGCAAAGCTGGTTCACAGAGTCATCGACGCCCTTCATCCGTCGATCGACAATGTAGATGCCGTAGTCGGATGCGTTCTCAATCAGCTCTTCCATGTAGCAGCCGAACCCGGAGAGATTGGTGGTGATGGAAGGCACACCCATGACCGTGCACTCGGCGGGCGTGTAGCCCCACGGTTCGTAGTAGGAGCTGAAGACGCCCATATGCGTACCTCGGACGAAGTCGTCGTAGTCCATGGGTAGGACCGGGTTGCCGGAGCTCAAGAACTCGGGGTGGAAGATGACTTTGACGCGATCGCTGGGGTGGTTGAAAAGCTGGCATCTTCGGATCTGGTTCAGGATTGGGTCTTCAGCGTCGTTGACCATGTTGTGCGTCACGATGGGCGGCAGGCTGTAGCGCTTCATGGCGAACAGTCTTCGGCGGAGCATGATCTTGTCTTGAGCGGAGAGCAGATCCTTCTCGTCCGGAATGGGCTCTCCCTCTCGCCACTGCAGAGACTTGTCGAACAGCTTCTTGCCGACATTATTCTCGATGTGCGTGATGGTATCTCTCAGCGACTTGACGACCGCCTGGCCTTTGAGCGCTTCCACTGCAAGGGAGGTCGTCTGCGCGGGCATGATGATGAAGGCGACTACCGTCATGTCTGTGCCTGAAGCCTTCATCTGGTGGTTGAGCCGAGCGAGCGACTCGATGAACATGTCCACGCCCTTGTTCCGGTATTCATATCGGCCGGCAGTGAAGAAGTAGAGCGTCTTCTCTAGATCGAAGTCGTTGTGCCCGTAAAAGTGGCCGCGGACAAAGTCGGTGATCTTGTCGCGGTTGATGGAGTGCAGGTTCTGGAATTCATGCGTGGCGCTGAACTTCTTGACGTTTAGGCCGTTGGGAAGGACGCCGTCGGGCTTGCGCTTCAGCAGGTGCTCGCTCTCGTAGGCGGTGATGTGGCTGACGGTGGTGAAGACGTCACAGCTGTGCGCCGCGCCGCGCTCTATGCAGTAGCGGTGGTAAATGCCTCTCTTGCCGGCTTCCGCGTCAACGTCGAAGTGCTGCAGGTTGTTGTAGAAATCCACCGAGCCGGCGCACAGATAGCGGCCGAGCAGGGTGGCGTGGGTGGTGAAGATGGTGGTGACATCAATCTTCCTCTTGCGGCACAGGGGCAGGGCGACGCCGGCAAGCCATTCGTGGAACTGGGCGATGACGGCGCGCTCCTTCTCGTGGTAGACGTACTCGCCCAGGAACCAGGCGATGAGGTAGCCGAAGACGATGGCCTCGTTGGTCTCGTGGTCGTCGGGAGGGCTGGGGATGCCCGCGGTGGACCACAGGTCACCCTTCCACTCGTCGAGCTTGTAGTAGCCGGTGCCGGTGTCGAAGAGCAGGACGCGCGGGGCGCCGTCGATGAGCCATCGGCCGTACAGTGTCTTGATGCCTCGCTCATTCATGCTCTTGATGGTCGCCACCAACGCCGGGTCTTTGGGGGTGATTTCTTCGACCTCCACCGCTGCTGAGGCACGGTTGAGGGGGCCGAGCAGGGTGTAGGTGGAGCCGTACTCGGCCGTGGTGACTTGGGCCTTGGACTTCAGCACGCTGTAGATGCCGCCGACACGGTTGGCGACCTCGGTTGCGACCTCGAAGAGCACATGGTTGCGCACGTCTCGTCGCGGAGCCTCTGCCATGGTGGATGTGCGGGGGGGTGTGGGGAGGATGCTAAGGAATGCAGATGCAACGAGGGTGGAAGGGCAGAGGAAGGGTCGACGATGGAGAGGAGCAAGAATGGGAAGGCACGGCGGGGATAAATGTGGCAGGAGCGATGCAGGGTGGAGCTGTGGTTGTATTTAAGACGGGGAAGAGGGAAAGTGGGTGGCACAAGCACGAGCGAACACGAGCGAGCACAGGAGAGGATGATTTTCTCCGAGTCTCAATGGGCGACGGAGGTGGAGGAAGCTCCAATAGGAGCACCGGGTATGACGTTGAGCTTCTCCACGGCTCAACCCGCCCGCCCCTTCCCCAAATTTTCCTAAGCCTCGCCCCAAGCTTGCCTACAACACGCCCGTGATCCGCCTAACCACGCCTCAATTCCCACCGCACCTTCATGTGCCCGGCACCACTATCTCGTCGTGGGCGGACCGACGAACCGCCAAGGTGCACTGGCTGGCAATCAACGACTAAATATCCGTCGAGTGGCAGCATCTCGGCAGCTCCCCGTCCCCGACCCTCTTCCCCCAAAAGCAATGCACCCCGCGTCCCACACGTTGGAACCAATGAAATTCCGCCCTCCAACCAAGCCTCAATCGGACCGGTTAGGTTGCCTAGCAATTCCTGCCGCTGTACATCTGGTACCAACGTCAATTCGCCTTGCGCACCGCATCTGACCATCCAAACCTCAGTTCGTCGTTCATATCGTCTAATAACAACTCCCTGTGCGTACTTCTCTTGTCAATGCAGCATCCGGGGTGCTTACTTCATCGCTAAATGCAACCCACCGTTCGCCCTGCCGATGAACAATTTACCTGACTTGCCTGGGAAGAGCATTCTACATGTACATTCAACGAGCCTATGCTTGGAGTAAGCCTGGGGATTCGTGGTTCAATCATCACCTCCCTGGCTATGACCACATGTCATGGATGCTTGCTCACAGCTGATGCCCGCGAGGAAGAAATCGAGCAGGGCTTCGTAGATTCGATCTGGCAGAGGAATGATCAGCCGATTGTCCAAGTAACATGAGACTGATTGGGCCTGGAGTATCAGTCGCTCCCCGAACCCTTGAGGTAGGAACGTAGAGGGCAACAGTCTCCGACCTGATCGCATTGTTGAAGCGTGTAGTGCGGTTCCTCATGCTGTCCTTCGTAGCAGACTTCCTCCTTGCTTGCGCAGACACCGTTACAACGGCCACTGTGCACGCACGATGACTACCATCCGAGAGCACATGCCGTGCTGGCAATTGATTTCAATCGGCGGATGTCCTGTGTAGACGGAAGACGGATTGAGGCTCGTGAAAGTGCAAGCGCGCACGGACGCGGCAAACCCCACCACGGTTAGCCTGGGAATTTCTGGGATTGCGCGTAGCGAACTGTGTCGGCCTCACTCATCACCACGCCGTCCCATCTGACGGCACGACAAGAATCGCAACAACCCGCCAACCCGCACTACATCCACCCATCGTGCCCTCCACCACGAGACACCTTGGCACGTGATTGTCGGCTGATTACACAGCGCTCAACCTCTTCCCTTCTTGCCTTCCGCCAGGATGCAATAATCAAGAGATGACGTTGCCTGCGTTCCACCTCTCATGAATTTGGGAAACCCTTTGACCCTCCTCCCCATCCACATCCGCGCACGGAGAACCGCCAGCTTTTCGATTTGAAGCTACCGACTACTCCAAATCCCCACTGCCATCCGGCTCGGCCGTCGCCACCCAGCTGTGCTGCTCCTCCGCACCCCGGTGGAGCTTCATCTGCCACCATGGATCCGGTAAGACCAGTCCAACCCCTCTACACATCCCCTCCGCCCATTTCCATCCCTATCTGTGTTCCTCCCCTCGCCCTCCGACCGCCCGAGTGTCACGGAGCTACACTCGAAGCACGTGCTGACCTGCCACGTGCGCCTTGCAGTTAGACAGTGATATGATCTTGGATTCGGATCCAGACGAGAAGCGCCTCACCCCGACCGACGATCCCGAGCACATTGCCACCATCTCTAATGACGACGTCGACAGCATGGCCGACGACGTCGATCCCCCCTCCAATCCCCCCCTTCCCTCCGCCGATGACTTCGAGGCCATGCGAGACCGCTTCTTGCCCGCCTTGCCCGATTACGAGACCGAGGCTGAGGCGGTCTTCACATGGGACATCCAGAACTGGCGCTCGCTGCCGCGGCGGACACATGGCCCGGTATTCCACTGCGCCGGCCATCCCTGGCGCATCCTCTTCTTCCCCGCCGGCAACGCCGCCACCGACAGCATCTCCTTCTATCTCGAGCATGGATTTGGAGAAGAGAAGCCGCCGGAAGAGTGGTATGCGTGTGCGCAGTTCATGCTCGTCCTCCACAATCCCAACGACCCTTCTCTCTACATCCACCATGAAGCCAATCATCGCTTTACCGCAGACGAGGGCGACTGGGGCTTCACCCGCTTCGCCGACAAGAACCGCGTCTTTGCTGCCAAATTCGATGGCGCTGATCGGCCTCTGGTTGAGAATGATACCGCCAAGATGACGGCATACGTGCGAGTGCTCAAAGATCCCACCGGTGTGCTCTGGCACAACTTCGTCAACTACGACAGTAAGAAGGAGACGGGCATGGTCGGCCTCAAAAACCAGGGCGCAACATGCTACCTCAACTCACTCCTGCAATCCCTCTACCTCACCGGCGCCTTCCGCAGAGCCGTCTATCAAATTCCCACCGCCACTGAACAAGAGCAACACGCCTCCAGCTCGGCGTACATGCTGCAAAGATTGTTCTACCAACTCCAAACCAGCCGCTTGGCCGTCTCCACCAACGAGCTCACGCAGTCCTTTGGCTGGGAAAGTCGGCAAATCTTCGAACAGCAAGACGTACAAGAGCTGTCGCGCATATTGATGGAGAAGCTGGAATCGAGGATGAAGGGTACCGCAGCCGAGAATGCATTGGCCGACATGTTTGTGGGAAAGATGAAGACCTATCTCCGATGCATCAACGTGGAGTACGAGAGCAGTCGCATCGAAGACTTCTGGGACCTTCAGCTCAACGTTGCGGGCTGCAATAGCTTGGACGACAGTTTCAAGGATTACATTCAAGTTGAAACTCTGGAGGGCGATAACAAATACGCGGCAGAAGGATACGGACTACAAGACGCAAAGAAAGGAGTCATCTTCGAAAGCTTCCCCGATGTTCTGCACTTGCAGCTCAAGCGCTTCGAGTACGACTTTCAGCGAGACGCCATGATGAAGGTCAATGATCGCTATGAGTTTCCCGAAGTCTGGGATGCTTCGCCGTATCTAGACGACACTGCCGACAAGTCCGAGCCGTACCGATACCATCTCCATGGTGTGCTGGTTCACTCTGGAGACCTGAACGCCGGCCATTACTATGCCTTTTTGCGTCCCGAGCAGAATGGGGATTTCTACAGGTATGATGACGATCGCGTTACACGGGCAACAAACCGAGAAGCGATCGACGACAATTTCGGCGGTGACTACGCGCCGAACGGCGTCAACGGCGGGCTCAAGGGGCAGAACCCGTACACCCGGCAGTGGTCTACGAAACGATCTAACAACGCATACATGCTGGTGTACATCCGCGAAACGCGGCTGAGCAAAGTCCTTCCAGACGCGGCTGCAGTCGAGCCGCCGGAACATCTACCCCAAAGGCTTGCCGAAGAGCGTGCGGCGCTAGAGAAACGGAGGAAGGAGCGGGAGGAGGCGCATCTATACATGAACGTGCAGGTGGCGACTGAAGCGAACTTCAAGGCCTACCGTGGCACGGACCTGATTCCATGGAACTCGCCTGCCGACGAAGACGCGGATCCTGCAATGCCCAAGATCTACCGGCTTCTCAAGAGCATGACCATTGCCGATTTCACCGCCTTCGTCGCGCAGCAGCATGATGCCGATGTCCAGCTCATCCGGCCTTGGGTGATGGTGAACCGGCAGAACGGGACAGTACGACCGGATCACCCGCTGATGTGGCCGGACATGACGCTACAAGAAGCCGCCGACAAGTTCAGCACACGCAATTCTGGCTTCCGTGTCTTCATGGAGGAGACTCATCGCGACGCGAGCGGAGAGCCAGTCTGGCAGAGCAACGAGCTTTCCGTCCCTTCGTCCCCCACCATCAATGGAAATGTCCCGGCGCAGCACAAACCCATCATCATCTTCCTCAAGCACTTTGATGTTGATCGACAACAGCTACAAGGCGTCGGTCATATCTACATGAGTCCACTCGACAAGGCGCAAGATCTGGCGGGACCAATATTGGACACCATGCGTTGGGAGGCCGGCACGGAACTCCAGCTCTATGAAGAGATTAAGCAGAACTACATTGAGCCGATGAAGCCGAGGAACACTCTCATGGCGTCCGAGATTCAGGACGGCGACATTGTCTGCTTCCAACGACATCTGAGCGAACCCGAAGCCGCAGCGATCCGGGAGAAGTCCCAATCGGTGTCGTTGACAGCTCCACAGTACTACGATTTCCTGGTGAACCGCATATTCGTTACTTTCAGTCCAAAGGTCGCCCCGCCAGAGACGGTCAAGTTTCGAGCAGGAGCGGACGACGTCTTCCGGATTCCGTTGTCGAAAAAGGACAACTATGATGCACTGTCGCTGAAGGTCGCCGAATACTTGTCAAGCATATGCTCTCCGCCTATCGACCCCGCCCATCTGCGATTCACCACCGTGAACGCCCAGAGTGGGAAGGCGAGAACCGTTGTGAAGAGACAGCAGGGTACCACGATGGCCAACATACTGCTCGGCACTGGGGGATACGGTGGCTATGGCTACGCACCAACCCAGGCTACGGATCAGTTATTCTACGAGATCCTCGAGATGAGCCTAGCAGACCTCGAACTCCGCAAACAGATCCGAGTCACCCTTCTCAGCGATGGCATCTCCAAGGAGGAGCAATATGAGTTGCTGATACCCAAGCAAGCGCAATTCTCCGAAGTCCTGTCAATGCTTCAAAAGCGTGCATCCCTTCCGCCGGAAACTGTGGATCAGATGCGCTTCTACGAGGTGCACAGCAACAAAGTGTACAAGATCTTGCCGCTCACACATTCCGTCGTGGCCATGAACGAGTACATGCAAGTCTACGCCGAGCGCATACCCGAGGAAGAACAGGAGCTTGATAAAGAGCGGGGCGATCGACTGGTGAATTGCCTGCACTTCGAGAAGGAACCCTCGAAAACCCACGGGGTACCTTTTGTTTTCCTGGTGAAGGGCGATGAAGTCTTCAAAGACACCAAAGAGCGCTTGTCGAAGCGGACTGGCATCAAAGGGAAGCAATTTGAGAAGATACGGTTTGCGATTGTCAAGGGTGGACAGAATTACAGTCGACCGTTGTGGCTGGAAGATGGTACGTGTGGATCATTTACGTGAATCAACCTGGGCATTTGCTAACAAGACCACTCTCGCAGATGCCATTCTTTCGCAGACCCTTGGACCCGACGATCACATTGGCCTTGAGCATCCGAACCGCAACAGGAACAACTACCTTAGATACGAGAGCTTGAATATACGATAATGCATGGAGGACGTTGGGCTTCCTGTGAGGCGACTAAGCCCTTGGGAATCCTCGTCGTGGAAGGATGGAGTTAGAGAAAACTTGTGCGGCGTGCAACGATTCATTAGACGGCAAGGCTACGTGTGAACGGGGCGTTTGTGAGTACGAGTTGAGGTAGCATAGCCATGGGGAATTCTATCAGCTTTCTATCCCAGCCGCTCCTGCGTGTCTGAAGCGGTGTCTACTCGACAAGAGCAATGAGTATGTCGAATTGAAGACGGCAGTAACGAAGGTCGATCCCTCAAGAAACAACGGAAGGCTCAACATTCACCCGGGCCCTCACTGCACCTCCGCTCTCTCCTCATCTCGCTCACCGTAGCTCCTTACGACCACTATCCTTTCATCCACGCCATTATCCCATTTGTCATCTCAACCAACATCCCCAGCAAAGCATCATTCTTCTCGGTCAAGTATGGCCACCCCAGCTTCCGACATCGACCTTCTCCTATCCAAAGTCACGATCCAGGTCCTGGGCGCGTGGTGTCCTGCCCGCGCAGAACCCCTGCAATGCTTCCGTCCAGTGCATCGCACATATCAACATCCACCAGCAGCGGTACTAGCTCCGCAAACCAGCACTCCTACCGCCACTTCCATTCCCAGCGTCTGCGGCGGCTCCCTCCGAGTCTTGCACGATGCGACTGGTGAACACGAGCCACGCGCGGTCGTATACGATCGCGACATTGTGTCTACCTGGCGTCTGCCGAGCGCGATGGCGGCCTACGAGACGTTCTTCTAGGAGAAGAGCTTTGAGTGGGCGTTGGGAGAGGAGACGATGCTCATCGCCGTTGAGGCGTTTCTGGATGACGAGCATGGGCGTGCGTTGCAGGCCGTCTCTGTGCTTTCTCTCAACCGTGAATACTGATTGAAGGGGAAGGAATAGGCCATGTCGACTCCGAGGCTACCTTGCTTCGTCGCTTCGCCGACTACGTGCGGACTCTCGGCACACAGCCCGTGACTGTGACGATTTCCAGCCTCGTCAACGATATGCTGGCGCGCTATGTGGACCTTGGCGATGGCCGAGAGTCGTTTGCGTGGAGGGATCACGTTGCAGTTCTGAGGAAGTTTGTCCTTGCTCAGGAATGCTTCTTTTTCGACGCGGGTCGCTCGCCGGTATGGGTAGCTTCCTTCCGTCTCTGGACCCGTGAAGCTGATGTGTCGTCTAGGCTGTGCAAGTGACTTTTGAGTTGGCGAGACAGAAACCGGATGGGCTTGATATTCATTTGCATTTTGCTTGGAATCCTCCTGTCATTGGGTTTCATAACCTCTGCAATGTTATTTCTGAGGTATGCTCTTCAACCTACACCTACTCGATACGGCGCTGACGACCTCAGGGCGATCGGATATCCTTTCGACCTACCATCGAAAATGTGCGGCAAGATGGACCCTCGCGCACGACGACCGAATTCTTCATTGGCCCTACGGAGACCTGGTTGAAATGGGACGAGGCTTCAGAGAAGTTCGAAGGCATCATCCCCGGCCGAGTTGCCGCTCAAGTCGGTGCCGAACGCTTGGATAGGTACACGATCCAGCTCGACTTTACCGCCCGCCTTACCAACTGGTATCCTGGGAACTTTGTGTGGGAGCGTCTGATTCGGTGTGCTTTGCCTGTCACGGTCAAGCGGAAGCCAGCCACTTGCACGCCATGTCGCTACAACATCGCCAGTCCTCCGGTTCCACGAACAAATGATTCCAGACTCCTCCGTGGAACAGAAAGGCACCGCCCGTTGGCAAGACGCCTGCCCTTGCTGACTTCGCCGCTTCGAAAGACAACGCCCCGTTCGCGGCCGTCTGTGCTGAAACCGGACTTCGTCTCACGCCTTCCGTGGGGCGGTAAGGAAAACGAAGATCTGAGCACGGAGGAAGCGGCAAAGTTACTGAAGTTGAAGGAAGAGCAACAGCCGAGGGGGCCACAATCTCCTGTACGCCTTCACTCGCTGTCTTTGGCACGGTTTCACGAAGCGGTGGGTATGCTTCCGCCTTCTCCGCCATCCAGCCTCTCGGACTTCGAGGTGCGGACTGTTCGCCATATCGTCCACACTACGCCGGCGTCTGCTCGTCACGCTCGGAACGTTCCCTACGCGAGTTCTGCAGTCCCCATCTCCGAGGACACTTTCTCTGACACAGTCGATCTGGGCTCGACGCACATTGACCGCAGAGGCCGTCTGGCATCCCGGTCACCATCGGCGAGCAAAAATCGCACGCCCACTAACTCTGCTTTTTCAACGCCGGCAAAGAACATCACCCCTCCAGCTGTGATGTATGAAAGCAGTCCCGAGAAGCGCGGCAGATCGTCCAGACAACGCTCCCTCGCCATCAAACACTGGAACAGCCGATCGCCGTCCATAAAGTCGAGGATCCCACGCACAACGTGCTACTCTTGCGCCATTCGGAATCGTCGTTCTCGCTTCGGAGAGGAAAATGGCGTCCAGACTTGCTTGACGTGCGCCAGTCCAAGCAAGCATCATGTCGAACGAAACTACAGTCGCAGCGACGGTAATGAGAGTTACCATCAACAAGATCACAACGCGCCGAGCACGGTCGATCTCGAGCCTCTCCCTACTCGCCCCGCGGGGCCGAAAGCGGAAGACAGTCCTCAGAAAGCTTCCCTCGAGGCCAAAGTCGAGGATTGGCAGGTGCAGATCCAGAAGAACTTCGAGGAGTTCGAGGCTCGCAAGCGGGAGGGAGTGGAGGAGAACTTGGACGTTACGATGGATGATTTGGAGGACAGCGATGAGAGTTTCTCGATGCTGCAGGATTCGTTGTAGCTGGGTGGTTAGACTGATGGAAGGAGAGAGAAGAATTGCTGGACTGGTACGACGGTGGAACCTTACTCACATCGCATTGGTATTGGTTTCTTACAGTATATGAAGGTGGCGGCAGGGCTGGAGCGCGGGTTTGGAGTTCAGAGACCACACTGTCTCATCGCCCTCTTCGTTAGATTACATGATTGCCTTTTGCGAATCAGCTTCAACGACATTCGTTCGTCAAGTATGATCATGCAAAGGTGGGTATGGCACAAGCCTAGCTTTCGAACAGCGCATCTACAGCCTGATGCGAGCGCCACGTGACGTGACGTCATCGGCCAAATATTGGCGCCGCCAAACAGCACGCTGGCGCCTACCAACTCTTGCACCTCATATGTCAACTTCGCCTCAGACAAAGACCTTGCGCAATCTTCAGTGAAGTAGGCTGCTCACACCATGTAGCTCGACAGCCAGCTGACCCTTGTCACAGTCGCGAGCTGCTCAAGACCAAACTACCGACCTCGAGTCCGATCGAATTCCCAACCCCGACCAAACTACCAACCACCAGGCAGGCCAACATGATCTCCGCCATCCTTCTCATCATCATCACCATCTTCAGTGAGTCCTCAATCAATTGCGCCGTCGTGGTGCGTCCGTGACTAACCCCTCGCCCAGTTCCTCCCCTCGGCGTCTTCTTCATAGCCGGCTGCGGCGCCGACCTTCTCATCAACATCTGCCTTACTCTCTTGGGCTACTTCCCTGGGCATATACACGCTTTTTATCTGGAGTACACGTACTACCACCGGAAGGAGGAAGCGGCTCGTGGTGTTTTCGACAGCCGAAAGGCCCCTGGTGTCTACAGTGATAACGTGAATACCGGCGGTCGAGGGTGAGCTGTGGATTCGACTCCTGCTGCGTTTCCTTGGGTGGTAATGCTGACAGAGCCTGCTACAGCTACGGAACGATGTGAGAGATGCGCGGGCAAGCGAGAGGTTTTTGCGTATGAGGCAAGAGGTCGAGTGGAGTGGAGTGGAGTGAGCTGGAAGTCTTCGAGAGCGTGAACTTTGGCAATTTGAGCGACGGAGAATGTTTGTATGAACGTTCTGATACAGACTTGGTGCTGCTAATACATGCTTCTGCCGCGCAAGCTATCTTGCTTTTGGCTGCACCTTTCCAACTCTTGTCGTTACGTTGCGCCGCGCTTGGCCCGGCTTCTTCACTTGTGGCTCCTCTCTGATCCAGCTGGCCCGAGAGGCCAAGCAGACTGGCAGAGCCCACGTTGAGCCCGACCGTTCGTCAGTGCTTCGAAATCCCGCGTCTGATCATCCAGGCCACCTGGTAGGCCACTAAGATGATAGTCCACAATCCTTCTTCCCATGCTCGACCGCGACCCTATAATAGCCCCTGCCTCTTCAAGTCATCATACACCTTCTGAGGCATCACATTCCCTTGCGTGTCCTCCATCTCAACGATCCCCACGCCTTTCTCGGCCGTCTTGCCCTTGTCCCTCTGCACCTTCTCCCACAGTTTCTGCGCCTCCTCAATCTGCGTAATCTCGCGGAACATACCTGTTTGCGTGATCCCCAGGCATTTGAGCCCGTAGATATGTCGAGCCTCGCTGAAGTGTTTGTCGAATGCGCGTCGGCCCATGTAGACATAGTTGCCGCAGATCTCGCAGGGGAACTCGACCCCGAGACCATGCAGCTTGTACAGCCAGAAGGGAATGGGCTTGCCATCCCATGCGAGCGGCAGTTTGAGAGGATTGTAGACCTTCTCGTCGTCATCCGAATCTGCGTCGCCGCCGTTTTCTTGTCCTCGGCCATCTGTCGCAGCTGCGGCTTCTTCCGCATACATCGCGGCCAACTCCTGCTGCCTCTCACGGTCGGTCATGCCGGCTTTCCGCTCGACGTTGACTCGTGTATCCTCTCGTTCGGTCTTCATGGCGCTGGTGAGTTTGCGCACTCGGAACTCGCGCTCGGCAATGGCCTTTTCCTTGAGTCGTTGCGTCAAAGTGCTCGTAGCTATCGCGTCCGCCATCTCGACGTCTTGATTTGCATTCGGCCTCTCTTTTCGCGCTTCGGCGTTCTTGATGTGTTTTTTCCCAGTCAGGTGCGCCCGATAGACGTTGTCGTTTTTGAACTCCTTCGCGCAGTCCGCGCACCACACCCCCTCTCCCGTGCCTTCGGTCACCGGCGCGTGCGAAGCGTTCTTTTTGTTCTTGGAACTTTCGACCTCCCAGCCCGGCAGCTCCTGATTGTCCCAAGCCTTTTGGAATTCGTCATCAAATGCTTCGAACAGTTTCGAGAGATCCTCCAATGGCCGTATCCGGCGCATAAAAGACTCGAGGTATTGGGCCAGAGAAGTGATGTAGCTGAAGTACTGCTCAGTCATCTTGTCTTCTCGCTTGATGGGGCACAGCGGGGGTTGGAAGGTGTCGAAGATGTCGAGGTATTGGAGGTATGTCAGTTTCTTTGCGCCCTTCAAGCCTGGCAAGTTCAAGAAGTCGTCGTGAAGTATGATCAGGTCGAAGAAGCGGCCAAAGGCCTCCTCGCCGGTAAACATGCCGTCAACATCGCCGGCGAAGCCTGTCCTTCCCTCGTCTGTCCTGCGGTATGTCCTCTCCAAATTCTCCACGCCTTCATTGGGATATTTCTTGTGAAACTCCTTGATCTGATCGAGTTGTTTGAAGAAGGATTCGAACGGGTCGCCGGTGCTGATCGATTGCACCTCTGCTGTGCGTGCTTCCTGTTCTTCGTTGTAGATTTGGAGGGCTCGCTCGGACTGCGCCTGAATGCGGGACAGGAAGTTTGCGATTTCGTGGTCGCGCTCCAGTCGGTTCCGCGGCTGCGTTGTATTAGCAATCTGTCCTCTAGTATGAGGGGGGCCTACGAGCACTTACATGCTTTGGTTCCTCGCGCATGCGGTCAGCGATGGCCTGCTCCAGCCTCTCCACATCCTCGTGGAGGGAGCGGAGATCTTCGTAGAGCATCTTGGCGGTAGTTACCTGCTCCACACCCACCAAGCAGTACACACCATCGACGCTGAGTGGTTGTAAGAGGTCTGGATGAGGGTTGGTGGAGCGTGAAATCAAGGTGAAGTGCTGCTAGATGGGAAGATTTCAGAACGCCGGCCGCGACGATGGAAAATTAAGCTTTCGGGTGGCGTTTTTTGCCGACGACTGCAACTTTTCGCGGCAGCGTGCCAACACATCACCTTCTCCTCTCACCCCCCGCAAACTCTCACCTCACTGAGACAACATGGCAGACGAAGGCATCGATCGGAAGATGGAGGAGCGGATGGAGTTCTCCACCTCCAAGGAGGTCACGGTGGCCCCGACGTTTGAAAACATGCATCTCAAAGAGAACCTTCTGCGCGGTTCGTAGTTGGTGGTATTCTCTCTCACCTGAACTCACTGACTCTCTTACCAGGTATCTATGCGTATGGCTACGAATCGCCTTCTGCCGTTCAGTCTCGCGCCATCGTGCAGATCTGCAAAGGCAAGGACACTATCGCACAGGCGCAATCCGGCACAGGAAAGACGGCAACGTTCAGCATCAGCATCCTTCAGATCATCGACACGGCCGTGCGAGAGACTCAAGCTCTTGTCTTGAGCCCGACTCGCGAGCTCGCCACGCAGATTCAGTCGGTTTTGCTGGCCCTCGGTGATTACATGAACGTGCAGTGCCACGCATGCATAGGCGGCACCAACGTGGGCGAGGACATCCGCAAACTCGAATACGGCCAGCATGTCGTCTCTGGTACCCCGGGCCGCGTTGCCGACATGATTCGTCGCCGCAACCTACGCACGCGCAATATCAAGATGCTGGTTCTCGATGAAGCCGATGAACTTCTCAATCGCGGCTTTCGCGAACAGATCTACGATGTCTACCGCTACCTTCCTCCAGCCACGCAAGTGGTTGTTGTGAGTGCCACTCTTCCATACGACGTTTTGGACATGACCACCAAATTCATGACCGACCCCGTGCGCATCCTCGTTAAGCGCGACGAGCTCACACTCGAGGGACTGAAGCAATACTTCATCGCCGTCGAAAAGGAAGACTGGAAGTTCGACACGCTATGCGATCTTTACGACACCCTCACCATCACCCAAGCCGTCATCTTCTGCAACACTCGTCGCAAAGTCGACTGGCTGACCGACAAGATGCGTGATGCCAACTTCACCGTCTCTTCCATGCACGGCGAGATGCCGCAAAAGGAACGCGACAGCATTATGCAGGAGTTCCGTCAGGGCAACAGCCGTGTCCTGATTAGCACGGATGTCTGGGCCCGTGGGATCGATGTGCAACAAGTCAGTTTGGTCATCAATTACGACTTGCCCTCTAACAGAGAGAACTACATCCATCGCATTGGCCGATCAGGCAGATTTGGGCGCAAAGGCGTCGCCATCAACTTCGTGACCAGCGAAGATGTGAGAATCCTGCGGGATATTGAGTGTGCGTAACCCACTTGGACTGAACCAAATCGTAAGCGGACCAGAGCTGACCGACATCTTAGTGTACTACTCCACTCAGATCGACGAGATGCCGATGAACGTTGCGGACTTGCTCTCCTGATCCGAAGGCATGCAGGCTGATGGAAGTATGAGCAAATTGGAAGGCTGCGACTCACTCGCGGCGCATGCTTCCACAACGAGTTTCATCAACACGATGGCGTTCAGAGTGCAGAATTGATAAGGCGTCAGGCCACAAGGGAAGGAAATGGGTCGATACGATCAGAATGTAAGTTGAGGAGGGAAGTAGCGAACCATGTCCAATGACTAACGCATCCAGGAATCGGAGTTCCTCCAAACTATGCCCCGAGAGTCAACGAAACGAATTGATGCGAGCGGTTATCCACCAAATGTATTCTAATCGGCGCTGCCTCGCTCAATCCAGGTTCCTCGTTGCTCTGCTCTCGCCCGTTCCATCAGTCGAGCTGGCGGAACTTTTGCTCCACATGCCACTAGCGGCTGTCAGTATCCAATTCATACAATGCAACACGGCAAGCTTACCATATTGAAAGGCGTGTTCCACGCTAGCAGTATCTTCAAGGCATCTTTGCAGGCATCCGAGTCGAACGACCGCTGAAAGTCGGCCATAGTGTCCCAGCCAACGAGGACCAGCAAGCACTTTGCTTTTTCGCCCTTGATGTCCTCGTGATCAACCTCGTCTAGCGTCCAGCCCCACGCCATCGCGCGAAATCCGGCCTGGTGTTGCACGTAGTTCTGGTGGAACGTCTGCATATCCGATTCGATCTGCTGCTGGAATTCTGGAGTGACTTTGGAAGCTGGGAAGTAGCCTTGCACGTGTTCGACAAGAGGTGCCGTCACCGGGCCATCTCCGTGTATGATCGGCATGTTGTAGGTGGCACGGATGATTTGTCGAGGATTATGACAGATCTCTGGCAACGCAGAGATGATGGTCTCCTCCTGAGACCCACCGAGTCCTGCCGTAATCTGCAGGAGGTTTGGATCCTGGATCGTTGATCCTAGGACCAGACGCCGCAGCGTGTTTACCTTCCGCAAGGCTGAGACGACTGCGTCGAGCTTCTGGCCTGCGCTAAGTTGGACAATCTGGATGGTGTTCATTGCGTTGGAGGTATTGAGTGATGTGGTACTAGTTTGAAGGATATCATCACGAACTTCAGCAATTTGCGCCTGTTCTCGAAGCCTTTATACCTCGATGCTTCAGGCAGGCTGTGGTCAGCCGGGTGAAGTTCACGTTACCAATCAAGGCTGGCGCATTGTGGATCCTCGGGGGTGCAGTTGTCCCGCAAAGCGGGTCGCCTTGTGGGTCGCAGCCTGAGGTGCTGGAACCACGCGCGGTGCCGCTGGCGAGCAGAGAAGCGGCCCGATGGCAGTGAGCCTGAGCGGACATCAGGCCGAGTCTGGTCGCCCGTCCCCGCGTACGTGCTACGTCTTGGGCGCGAGATTGAGGTCTGGTGACTTGTGTCAACATCCGATACACTATTGGTGGAAATTGGGGCAGGGAGTTCCAGGTGGCGCCATTAGACTCGGCAATGGGCAGGCAATACGGCTATCCGGTCTATGACCGACAGCCACGGCTGCAGAAAACACGCGCACACCAGACGGGAATAGGCATTCTCGACCATTCACAGTGCTCGACTGCACGCTTCTTGGTCGACATTGGCATCCGGCATCCGCGTAATACCAAAGGGCCCTGAACTATGGATCCTTCACGACAGTGGGGACCCCGCAAACCTGTATATCAACTCCGCCATGCCCCTCCCAACGTGTGGTCTCCTACAGTGCACAGGACGTATTACACATCTGCCTCTAGAACTGTCAGGTCCGGCTATGAGCAGCCTCAGAACGACTGCTGCACTCACGATGGCCTGAAACCAACCGTCGAAGCCCCGCCATCGAATAAGACGACACTTCACCCACAATGTTTGCACAGCTGTACGGATACGAGTCTGGCCTCCAGCAGCACGGCCGCCTTTCCACTCCAAGTGCCAGCCCAAAAGACTGCTCGGACACCTCAGCTTCGTTCAAAGCGAAATCCCTCACTCGAACAAGGCGTCGAGCGGCCAAGGCATGCTTTTCCTGCAACGCGAGGAAGGTCCGTTGTGACGTTACTGCCAACGGTGCTCCTTGCACCAACTGCAGACTGGACGAGATTGCGTGCACGATTCCAGTAAGGAAACGACGACAAGGCACAGAACCACACAACGATGCCGCCGCTCAAGCCGCTCGACCATCTGGCAGGGACGCAGACGACGCTCACATTCGATTAGCATTGAATTTCGGCAGTGTCGACGGACTAGCAGACCTGTCGCCGCATTCGGCGCATTCTCTCCCCGAGCGCTATTCAAGGAACAACCAGAACCCAAGTCTGGCAACCGGACCATCAGTCGGGCCTCGTCGCGCGTCCGCCCCTCTTCTGCACGAAGATCGGACGCAGTCCATGGGCGCACACGCTTCATACGGCCTTCCTCGATACATTTCGCCTCTGCCGCCGCAGCTGGGAGTCGACGAAATCGCACTATTGCGGAAGAAGAACGCCTTGAATCTGCCTTCACCCCATTTGCAGGATGCCCTTCTCCAAAGCTTCATTGAATACACTTACCCGTCCATGCCCGTCCTGAACCTTCACGAATTCTTGACGGCCATCGAACGACGCGACGGCAAGCACACTATCAGCCTGCTCCTACTCCAGGCTGTTTTGTTCGCCGGCGTCGCCACGGTTGACATTCGGCATCTGCGACACGCGGGATACCAGACGCGTCAAACCGCGAGGCGAGACTTCTTTCAGAAGGTGCGACTGCTTTACAATTTCGACTGCGAGAGAGACGAGGTCATCCTCGTGCAGTCGTTACTCCTAATGAGCTGTTGGGGCGAGGTCACAGACGATGGTAAAGACAGTTCGCACTGGATATCGATCGCGAACTCACTATGCCACAATATCGGCTTGCAAGCTGCAGTCGCTGAACGGAACCAGAAAGAGCAGGCGTTGTGGAAGAGGCTTCGCTGGGTGGCTTACATGCGCGAAATACTTGTTGCCCTCGACCTGCAGCGTGCACCTCAAGCGGGCAGCATGGAGTTTGACATACCTATGCTCACCGCTGAAGATTTCGAGATAGTTGCTTGGAGAAGAGGAGAGCAACATCTGGCCGAGGCTTGTCTGGCAAGTGCAACGCCTACGATGCAGCAGGAAAAGACCATCATATGCGCAGAGCAAGCAAAGCTTTGCCTGATTTTGCGTCGCTTGTTGTCTCTGCACTACAATGCCTCTCAGCATCAGGAGCACAGTGCGCTGGCGCGACAGCTCAGTGCATTCATCGAAGACACAGCCCCTTTCAACCTCGCAGGTGGGCTGCGTGGGGTGACCATACAAGAGTGCGGCGACGCATTGCGAGGATGGGAAGGTAATTTGGCGCCAGAGGCAAGGTGGACGCAGCCGTCGCGGCAAGACATCAACAACGGACAGAGCAGCATCATCGTGCAGCGCTTGACGCTGCGCATTTTATTCCTCACGGCTATCCTCACGCTTTACAGGCCACTTCCGCCTTCTTCCCCGTTAGTGGAGCCAGTCGACCAGCTACCCCTGTGGACAACAGACGATAATTCGACCGAACTCGTCCGGCAGACCGCCTCCGAAATTACCGAAATCGCCACAATGGCGCTCGGTCTTGGTTTGGTGTCCAAATTGCCCACGACATTCGTCAGTGCACTCCGTGCCGCTGTGGCCGTCCATTTCACATACCTAGCCAATGGCGCCATGGACGACTTGAGTCTCCACGGCCTCCAAGCGGCATTCGATGTCGTGGAATCGATGAGCGACAACTCCGACGCCGAAGGCTTGCTTGCTCTCATGCGAGACTTCGCAGCCATGAACAACATCCAGCTGGACAGAAGCCGGACAAGCAGCGAGCACTCGGCGTCGCCATCAAGCGATGTGCAAAGTCTTTTGTGTGCTCCGATGGCGCAGCTGCAATCTGCTGGGGTGGGCTTTCGACCTGCAGTCGGCACTCCAGTCGAGAAGAAGGCGTGGGTCTCCGTGCCTGGCGACGATATCCTTGATGCTCTGCTGCCACCTTGGCCATACTTGGAAGCGCATTCCAGGAACGTGGCTAAGTTTACCAGCGGGGCCATGATGAGCGGATTTGATTTTATCAACGTTGATGACTTTACGTGATGGTTGCCTGCGGGCTTGCGGGTCGATACTGTTGTTGTAGACTCTTGTATCCGGACAATGTATGACGTACGCCCTTTGCCCGTATTGTCAAGTGACTTTAATTCGAGCACGAAGTTCTTCCAGCTCAGTCACACGCTGATCCTGTAGAGCGCGGAAATCATTGCCGCCGCACGCCTTGATGAGAGCGTCGAGAAAGCGGTCAAAATCGCTCTTGGCCAGCATCAGTCGAGCGTCGCGCACCGGTCCTTCAGCCTGTACTTCCTGCGCAGCGAGGATGGAACCAATCATTTTCTGGCGATCATTAGTTCTGAGTGCTTAATATAGTGTTTGGGGTGGTACTCACGGCCTGCGAGTAAGCTCTCGTATGAGCTGCACCCCAGATGTCAGTCTGCTCGGGCGATATGCGGGCCAACTTAAAGAACGCCAGCATGCCCTCGTGTGCGGCGTCCAGGGCGCCATAAACATCCACTTCCGTGCCTGCATCTGCGTTCTCGTCCATGTATAAGACGGTCAGGGTATAGAAAAAGTTGGTCGCGGTGGAGATTAATTGCCGCACGAGCCGTTCGTTCGTGTGTTCGAAGCGAGCTGGGTCAAAGGAGTTGAAGGGTGCTTCGAATGTGTTGTATAGTTGTCGGAATTGAGAGACCAGCTGTGTTTTGTGCTCGGGGCTGGAGCATATAGGGCGCTTGAGCGATCGCGGAATGCATAGATTAGTTTGCGTAAAGGATGCGTACTGCCACATTGCACGCAGATATGGAATGTCGGCAGCCACGCTGGCGTCGCTCGAGAATCCCGAAATGTCCATTTTGGCTCGCTGTGCTGCATCGTCTGGGTGTTTGAGATTGCTCAGTTCGATGTCATGGTAGGCTGTGGCCGGGGGCATCCCTAGAAACATGGACAGACTGGTGTCCTGGAACATGGCGGCCCACCAGAGTCTGCAGCGTTGTTGCTTTTCGGAGAAGGGGGCGTCGGAATCGAGGAGCTCGGGATCTCGATTCAGCTGCAAGCCGTAGACTTGACGCAACCCGAGGCCGGAGAAAGTCCAAGCCTCTGGGATTCGATTGTCGGTGATGAGAAAGTGGCAGACGAGGATCATGGTCTGGATGGTGGTCAGAGAGCAGTGATTGAGATATGACGATAGGCAGAGCGCTTGATGACAAGCCGATAAGTAGAACTCTGCAATCTCCGCTCGCTCGTTAGCCGGTAGCGCCGTGCTATATTGAGCGGCAGTGGCATAGATGGCGAGCTGGAGTGCAACCAAAGCCGGTTCGCAATTTGCTCGCTCGGGGGCAGACAGCTGCCAAAATTCCTCATAGTCACGTGTAAAGCTCTGTCGAGGAATGATGGGGTATATGGGATCCACAGTCGTAAAGTAGCTCCAGACCAGGCGATCAGCCTCCTCGCGTGGGGGCAAAATACCGACGACTTCGGTCAGACCGCCAGTGTTTGTCCAGTAGTTGCGAAAGGGATGGCAAGTGTTGATATCGAAACGACCGTAAAGAGCCGGCGGATGTGAGGGAGAGGGCACGGGTGGGCGAGGACTTATTTGCTCATCCACCGGCAGAGACGGTTCCGCACGGAGATTGGGATGAGTGGCAAGTGCGCGCGGTGCCAGGCGAGGATCACGGTGAACTCCAGGGGCGGTGGTTACACCTTGTCCACCAGGTCGCATGACCTTTCTCCTCGGCCTAGAAGGGCCAGTGACGTGCAGGATGTCGGCGGCGACGGTATATTGACATGCCGACTGGCGGCGGACGCTACCCTCCAGCATCAGTCTGGCATCAACAGCGGCGGGTTGCAAACGTACCATGCCACGCATCGCGGACGCCCTCGATCACATCTCGCTTTGCGCTCCACGCATGCCTTGCAGTTCAGCGTTGGCTTGTTGCGCTTTTTGGGTTGATCGGTCGAGGTATCTGAGCTCGCCCTTCTCAATGGCTCCATGGTCGATTCATGGGGGATGCATGTGTCAGGAAGAGGCGCCTTGCGAGCATTCAGCTTCTTTTCAGATCACATGATGCCTCTGCCATGGCCTGTATGGATGAAGGCAGGCATGATGAAGTCGGAGGAAGGTTAGAGTGGAAGAGGAGCATCTCCGCCGAGAAGCCGTGTGGGGTCACCCGTCAACGACACATCACAAGCTGTACATCATCTGCAGCATATGCACGCTAGAACCAGCACTGCGAGAGAACATTGAGACGACGGAGGGGTCAGGGCTGTCATGCTTACTGATCTGTATCCCGTATCGTTTTGCTTCTACATGTATTGACGTGCCGCCTTTCGAGCTCGCCTACTCTATCCAGCTCGGCCGAGTACTGTACAGATACGAAGCGTCCTCCTGGGCGCATCTCACTTCAACCCGCTGTGCGCCTTTGCGACTCACTGCTCAACACACGCCGTTCATGTATCATTGCCCTGTCATGTGAGATTGTCATCACCGCGCCTTTTTCAGCCAAAATCAACGCTCACGGGGCCAGTCATCCGCCCGATTTCATCTCCTTCAGCAACGCTTCCATCTTCGTCACCAGCTCGGTGATCTTGTACGGCTTGCTAATCACATCATCCATCCCGCTCTCGCGCATCTCGTCCTGCTGATCGTCTCGGACGTTCGCCGTCACTCCCAAGATCGGGAGATGCTCGACCTCGCCGTGGCGCTCCATCTTGCGGATTCCCATTGTCGCCGCATTGCCATCCATGACCGGCATTTCCTGGTCCATGAGGATAATGTCGAAAGCGTCTTGCTCGCCGCTCGTCAGCTTGGGCGCTTTGCGCACGCCGTCCATCGCTTCCTGCCCGTTGTTGGCCGTGGTGACGTGGTAGCCCTGCCTCTGCAGCTTACGGAGGAGGATGCGCTGATTGACAATGTTGTCTTCAGCCAGCAGGATGTGAATCTTCCTCGGGCCTGGAAGCGAGGTCGTAAGGAGGGCCTTGTCAAGCTCGGCCTCCGGTTTGGCGATCTCCGGCGATTGCAATGACTCGTCCCTTGCATGCTCCTTTGCAGACTCCGGGCGCTCGCACATTGCGTAGATATCAGGTTCGGGCTGGGCGACCTGGCCAGCGGCGTCTGCCGTCTCCTGGAATCTCTTGTCACGGGTTCCATTAGGGCTCATTGATTCAAAGACGTTGCGCACTGGAGGCGATTGGACAGACTCGGGGATGGAGCCTTCGTCCACGTGGCTGGGCGATTCAAGGCCTTGCTTCTCCATGTGGTGCTTCACATTGGCCGTGTCTTCGGTTTCACGATCCTCATGGCTCTCTTCGTCCGGATCGCTCGTTCGCCGAACTTTGAAAAAGAAGGAGAAGGTAGATCCTTCATTCTCCTTCGAAGCCACGCCGATTTCCCCGCCGTGAAGATGACATAGCTTGCGGCTGATGTTGAGGCCCAAGCCAGTCCCACCGTAAACCTCACTAGTCTTTGGCGTGGCCTGTCTGAAACGTTCAAACAGGATCATCTGACGTTCCTTGCTGATGCCAATGCCCGTGTCTTTGACAGCCACCAGGACGTACAGCGTTTCTCCATTGCCCCACTCGCAGGTGTTTGTCGCGTCCATGCGGTATGCGCGATCGTCGGAATCGAAAAACACCACATTCGGAGGGTACGACGTAGGCCGCTCCGGGCTAGCACCAATCGACACAGTGACTGCTCTTTCGCCCTCGCTCTTGGCGGTGAACTTGATGGCATTCGTAAGGAGATTGACGAGAATCTGCCCCACGCGGTTCCGATCCGCCATCACCCAGGACATGTCGCATTCCACGTACGAAGTGTCAATCCGAAACTTGAGCTCCAGCTCTTGCTTGCGGAACTCCGGCCCAAAGATTTTGAGGGACTCGGCAACGTGCAGACTTGGCTGGGTGGGCCTGGGGACGAGTGCTAACATAGAAGAGTCCAATTTGGAGAAGCTGAGCACATCGTCCACAATCTTGCGCTGGTGGGAAATGCACAGGTCGATGGTCTCGAGCGCTTCGCGAATGCCCTCGACATCTACATCGGGCGACGTGCAGTTGATCGCAGTTTCAATGTCCTCGGTACAATGCAGCATTGCGGACAGGGGGTTTCGGATTTCCTGATGCGCCAATAGTCAGTTCGGCATGTTCGGCAGGGCGCGGGTCGCCCGTACGTACATGTGAGATCATGTCAATGAACCTCTCCTGCTGCTTCTTGCGCTCCACAGCCTCCCGAGCAGCCTCACGCTCGGAAATCTCGGCGTTCTTTTCAGGCGTGATGTCGACAATGGTACAGATAAAGCCATGAGATCCCTCCAAGTGCACCTGCAGTCTCGATCAGCAAGCGTGCCAACGCGAGTGAATTGGAGCGCACGTGCGTGTTTTAGGTTTTCCCCTCGGACAGGCGTTAGCAACAGTAAACGCCAGTAGACCTCCTCCCCGAGTGCACGAAACTCGACGCGCATTTCCTTCTGATCGCGAACGGCATCTTGGTAGGCGTGCATAACGCGGTCGTAGTCGTCCGAATGTATGCTCTTTGGCCAGGACGTGAACGTTTTATCCGGTCCGTGATGCGTCGTCAGCTCGTAGAAACGCTTGTTGACGTAGACAGACTCTGCTCGGTTGTCGATGATGGCCAAGCCGGTAGGCAGCATCTCGGCGAAGCGATGGAAGAAAGGATGTTTGTCGCGAGACGTGGCGTCCCCAGAGTCGTTAATGGGCGGCGCCGATGCATCGGCTGCGTTATTATCGACGGCACTCCGACTTTCGGCGTCTTGCGTACTGCCATGATCGGGCACTGCTTGCTGGGGGATGAGCTGGGCGAGGACTCCGGCAGGGTCGTCGCCGCGAGACTCGTCAAAAAGCGGGCTGAGGAGGACGATGTATCCGTCGTGCACACGTGTCTTCTCTCGCAAGAAGTGGCGATCGAGTATGCGACCGGGTAGGCCACCATCGAGAGAGGTGGCTAGGGCATGCCAAACACTCGCAGCGAGTTTGTCACGCTGTGCCTGACCCTGGCCGGTAACGTCACTGACTTCCACCCAGGCCTCGTTGTGCAAGAGAATCAGCTGTCGACTCCAGAAAATGGCAGAAGGGTAGGCAAAAGACGAGATGGTGGCGGCGAAAGATTGCAGCGCGCTGGACCATGTCGACGCAGGCCCAACATCGCTCTCTGCCCACGTCCTTTCATCACCCGGGAGCGATGGGTTGGGGACCGAGGAAGCCGAGGATGGCTCCAGACGGCTTGTCATGGCCAGACACCGTAGGTGATGCTGTCAGTATCGCAAGTTGCCCGTGGACGGACGGACATCGCCATTGACGTGGCGCGCCAGAATTCTCGGGTCGACGTCCGGCCTTTTGGCTTCTCGGTCGCTCCAGCTTGCCGATATGAGTGGACACAGACGCCAATCAGCATCCACGTTGATTGGACATTACAAATTATTGCCATCGCTGTCGGACCAATGTCCGCCGGCTTCAGCTCCGCTTCCGCTTTCGCTGCCCATCCCCCAACCGCACACGCGCTCCGCTGCGCTTGCATAATTCCAACCACATCAACGATATAGTGCAACCTCCATCCCGGTGCATGCCTCATTCCCCAGACCGAGAGCGCCTTGTCTGCGCATGAATGCTACAAGACTTCTGGACAAGGCGGGACGCGTCGAGAGCATGACATGAAGCAGCACGTCACCAGTAGGATGTGTGCTTGTTCAGGACCAGTTCACGGTAAGGTGTGAATAGACTTGACGTTTGTCTAGGTGGGGGAAGTCCGAGCAGGCTGGCAAGCTGCATGGCACCACGCTCATCCATGCCCTCCAATATGCTCAGCAAGGAAACGCCATTTGCTATGCAGAGTCAGGTCACCGGGCCCAAGCCAGCAACTGTCGTCAAGGTCATTTTGCCCACCCCCCCGCTCCAGCTCAGCTCCCCTCCCCGTCCAGCTCACTCGGCTCCTGATGGCGGGCGAGGACTTTCCTCTTGTACTCCGTCAAGTCGCGATCCCACAACAAAGCAGCCTCGCCGTTGAGGGGTGACGCACTATGTCACGTCTCGTCAGATCGATGCCCACATCGATGCGCGGTAGTCGGACTTACTTGTTTGGCTCACCGAGCAGACTCTGGATGCTCAACAACACACTGCCCGTATTCAACACCGCACTCCACGCCCCTTCTTTCCCTTGTCCGGCGGGCTTCAGGATGTCAAGGCATATCCGCCCGCTCATATCGACGTTGGGATGGTAGATGGGCGTCTTGAAGAGCACTTCTGGCGGGGCGTAAGGGTAGTTCGGAGGGTAGGAGAAGGTGAGTTTGAACGTCAGGGTTTCGTATGGCGTGCCAGACGGGCCGGAGATGGTGGCGTTCCAGCGAGTGATGTCAGTGTCACTGGGAAAGGCGGAGATGCCGGGGGTGGGAGACATCATGAGAGTCATGAGTTCGGATTGAAGACTGGATGGACATTAGTGGCGGGCGATGCTGGATTCTGTGCTCGCTCCAACCCACCGTTTGACGACATTGCCGTTGTTCGTAGGTCGGGCGGAGGTGCTACTCTTAGTGCCTTGATTGATAGATGGCATGGTGGTGTCGCTGGGATTCATCGTGTCCAGTCGGTTCGCCATCGAGAGGGAGGCGTGGGTGGTGAAGGAGAGCGAAGGTGCGGACGAGGCTGCGTCTTGTTGGGAGGGAAGGTGACGTGATCGGCGGCTGTAGGCAACACCACTTTCTAACCGCAATCACAAGTTGCCAGCTGGCCGTACAGACTGTATTGATGGGTGGACAGTTCTCTGCACTTGGTCGAAGAGAAGATGGTGGATGAGAAAGTAAAGAATGCAACCTGAGGTGTTCATCGTCAATCGCTTCCAGCCCAGCAACCGCTGTAAACAAAAGCCTTGGCGGCGGGGCGCGTGCGGCTTGATAAGGCAGCGATAAGCACCAATCGACCTCACTTCACCTCGCACGCGTCGAAACATCAACACCATCGCGACAGTCAGTGTGCGTGGACACCTCGATCAGTGCCTGCCCACTTGCTACTCCACGGGTATCGGTATATTCGTGAAGCTGCTATTTGCCCGACGATGGCTCACTGCCACCAAGACTGCACACAGCAATGCACGCAGGACCACGGCGGGGACGAGTAGCTGCTGGACAATGCGATGCAAGATCACCGCACAAAGAAACTGACAATCGCCTTGATCATGCAATCTCTATTCCGAGCTCTCGACAAAGGCGAGCAGACGGCGTCTTTGTTCCATCAATAAGGGAACGCATCCTGCAGCAAAGTCCAGCATCGTATTCCCATGCTCTGATTTTCACCCTGCCTTCAATCCGTCCATTTCCCTGTCGTCTGATGCGCACTCGCCGTGCAATTTCACAGGTAAGTCCTCATTCCATCTGACTCCCAACTTCCGAACGTCGAACATGTCCCCCGATACCAGCCGAAGCAACACACCCAACTCCCGCGAGCCCATTCCAACCACACCCCTCCCAATCCACGGCCCAACAATCAGCAACATCGTCTGCGGCGCGCATCTCAACTGCCTCTTCGACCTCCACCACATCGCCCTCAGCGCCCGCAACGTAATGTACAACCCCAAACGCTTCCCCGCCGCCGTCATCCGCCACCGGCGCCCCAAAGCGACAGGTCTCGTCTTCGCCACCGGCAAACTGCAAGTCCTCGGCTGCCGCAGCGTCTCCGACGCCGTCCTAGCCTGTCGCCGCTTCGCCCGCATGCTGCAGAAGCTAGGCTACCAGCCCCGGCTCGAGGACTTTGTCGTGCAGAATATTGTCGCGAACGCGGACACGCGGATGCTCATTCGGTTGGAAGGCTTGCAGTATGCCCACCCTGCGTTTTGTAGGTATGAGCCGGAGATCTTCCCTGGGCTGGTGTATTCCATTATGGAGCCGAAGATGACGGTGTTGGTGTTTGCGGGGGGGAAGCTGGTTCTGCTTGGGGCGAAGAACGAGGGCGATCTGGAGAAGGCGGTGAAGGTGCTGTATCCGGTCCTGACGCTGTTCCGGAGGAGTTGAGTGGCATGGCATTCGCAGCCGGTGAGCGATATTAATAACATTCGTGACGGCGACTATGTACACGAGATTTGCGAATGCATTGTAAACTGGACTCGCCATTCAGCGAGCTGTTTGTTGAAGCAAGAACTTATGGTATGCAGCTTGAATCGTTTACGCTTGCATTCATCGACACTCGTCACTCCTACGTAAACCCTCCTAAACCCTCCTCCAAACTCTAGATGTCTAGGTATCAATAGCTAGGTGCGTTGAGGGTGATGCCCATGATGATACCACCAATCAGACCGGCAATAGGAATCGTCATGACCCAAGAGAAGAACAGCAGTCCCACTCGCTGCCAGTTGACGGCCTTGAACGTGCCGTTGCAAAGGCCCACTCCGACGGTGGCACCAGTGATGCACATGGAAGTCGAAGTCGGAAGCGAGAATTGCGAGAAGAAGAGAATCGTCAAGGCGGCGCCCATTTCCATCGAAGAGCCGCGCGAGGGCGAGTGATATGTGAGCTTGTTGCCCATGACTAGAAGCCATCGAGTCAGTATTGAGTGTGTGCATGGCGTTCCAGGGATCAAAACAACTTACCCTTCATGATGTTGTATCCATAGGTGATGAACCCGAAGCAAATGGTCAAAGCAATGACGGCAATTTGCCAGAGGGGCACGTCCTCCTTCTCCCCGACCACCCCACTCGACCATGCGGAGTACATGCCGGCCCACACGCCCACAGCATTGCCGACATCGTTGGCGCCGTGGGCAAAGGAAGCGGTACACGCGGTCAAGATCTGCACAAACGAGTAGAGATACTCGACCTCGTTCTGGTACTTCGGAGCGTGCGCGTATACCTTGGCCATTCGGCGACCCTCGGGAGTGCCGAGCACGCCAACCTGCGCCTTGTGGATGTCATAGTTGAAGCCGTAGAGGAGAGCGACGATGACCATGGGTGGCAGGCGGATCATCAGGGCTCTCAAGTTATACAATTCGTAAATGGCGCCGGCACCGAAGGGGTTATCGTGCAACCTGCGCATGGCCCAGCCGAGAGGCCCTCGCTTCTTCCGGAGCGAGGCGTGATGCTTCTCTCGAGCTTGCAGGAGAAGACGCTTGTACGCATATTGGTCGTGCAGGCCAGGGGGGCCGGTCGGATCAATGTCCACCGCGACTTGTGCAGCGGATCTCTTCGCGTTATCGCTGCTTGAGTCGGCTTTGAGGTCGGACTCCAGCATGGACGACTCCATTGTAGATGCGTCGCCCTTGACCTCTGATACCGTCTCCTCCTCGCCGTCGTGCTGCAGAACGGCGTAATTGGGGACGTTGGCGGAGCTGGCATCCGCCGGAGCCGGCCGCTTGAACAAGAGAGGCCCCTTGAAAATCTGCCACAGCTCGAGGGTGTAGTCCTTCTTGATGACCTTTGCGTGGACGTACGGCAGGAAGAAGATGGCCGAGAGTAAGCAGACTCCAAAACCGACGCCGAGGGTGACTGCTGCAATATACCAGCCCGGCTTCTCATCCAGACCGAGCTTGGGAGAGCCTCGGAAGACAATTGACAGGGTGCAGATTGTTCCGGCGATGAGAAAGAAGAACGGCGACGTCCACACGGCCCAGGGAACAGGATTGGTGCGGACGTGGACGACGAGCTTCACGAGCATGAAGATGATGGAAGCGAAGATGCCCGACATGATGGGAGCAATGCACAGGCCGCCAAAGATGGCACCCAGGCCTTGTCCCTCGTTCCAGCCCCACTGGACGTTTCTGGCGCCGACGGCGGCAACGCCCACACCGGCGATGGAGGAGACGAGAGAGTAGGTTGACGAGACATGTGCCGAGTTGCGCGTACACCACATGACCCAGGTGGCCGCACCAGCGGAAGCACAGGTGAAAGCCAGAAGCTGGACACCAGCGTTGCCCTGGAAGGCTTCGAGGGGAATGATGCCGTAGCGGATGGTGTTTGCTGTGCGGGCGCCCACGGTGAGCGCACCGGTCACTTCGAACAACAGGCACAGCGCCATTGCTTGGCGATAGGTGACGGAGCGCGAGGACACGCTCGTCGCCCAAGCGTTTGCAACATCGTCTGGAGTGGCATTGTCAGTGCGATTGTCCCATTGTGGCAACAAGGTAATGACTTACTGGCGCCATTGTTGTAAGCCTCGAGCAAGGCGAAGAAGGTACCAATGGCAAAGACGTAGGTGAACTGTTCGAGAACCATTGCGCCTGGTGGTGGATCGGGGGGCTCGGGGGAGTTGCTGGGCTGTACGATGTCCAATTCATCACTCAGTGCAGATGAGGACGAGCAATATAAAGCATCGAGGCTCGTGACGGAGCGGTATCAGGGTAAGAGGCCGGCCAAGAGATGCAGTTGAACACGTTCCGGCATGATTCGCAGACAAATGTCGTCGACATGAGTTGGTCTTGGAAGCCCAAGAAGCTCAGCCTCGCCAAGCTGCCCTGGCTTTTCTTGTCACCGACTTTGCCGTCTCACACAATGGCGAAAACTCCTGCCGAGCGGCAATCATGCTGGATTGGGGCACGAGGGTCCTTTCACATGCCACGTCCTATGGCCCTGATACTGAGCCTGCATGTGTCGCTATCATGCCTACTTTGTCGATGGAGCAAGGGCTGGGCGCCGTGGACAAGAATTTGACGACTTGGTATGCATCCGCTTGCGCGCCCTCCGCTGGCCCAACACCGGAAAGGTTGCATCGCAAGTATGCCATGTGAGGAGAAAAAAGATTCTTCGTTGCTGGGCATCGCCAATGGGTGAGCATCTTGGTTCAGGGCTTGCCAGGTCTTGGGAGGGTTGTTCTGGACCAGCGAAGTCCACGTCTTTGGCGATGAATAATCGAAAAGGGAACAGCACAGAGCTTGGCAGGGCTGTGTATCTGCCAAGTCACCTTACAAGACGTATCGCGACGATGAATACGCCTCAACCAAAGAGATCTGTGCCACTCGTTGACGAGAGATCGATCGTATGCGCAAGCTGCTTCGAATGACTATCCACAAATCGAAGCCTTGCTCTCCCCAAAGGCCCTTGTATCCCGATGCCCCATGTTCTTGTCAACTGGGTAAAAGAAGTGAATAGCGCTTGAAACACAACACACACACATGCAACTGTTCACCCCACCGTCCCGGAAACGCCTCGCTGAGAGCTCTTGAAATCAAAGACACACAATTACACCCCACCCCCCCTCTTCATTACACTCAAGCTTCACGCCCCCCATGCCAAACTTATATCCATCAGGAATGACCGCCCTTTGATCGCACCACCAATTCAATCACTCTCGCTCCTTTGCCCGTCGGCGGAAAAAATCCATCACGCGTCTCGTCGCGCTCGAACTGCCGCTGTGGCCGCGGTCGTACTGTTCCGAAAAGTTTCGCTGATTCGGTCGGAACTGCGACGATGGCTGCTGCTGCTGCTGCTGCTGCTGCTGCCTCCCACTCTGCTCCGCTGCCTGGTACTGACCGCTGTACGGCGCCTGCTGCGGACGTACGACGTCGTAGTAATTCGCGTACCCCTGTTGCTGTGGCTGTTGACTGGTCGCGGGAGATGCATGTGCCTCGCCGCCCGTGGGGGTGTAGAAGCGTTCCACTGGATCTTGCGAGGCTTCCAGTGCGTTGCTGCCGTACCCATCGTCGCGGTACTGCTTGCGTTGCACCGATGGTGGGTTGGAGAAGCTCTGCGGCTTCGATGGGCTGGAGATGCTTTGACTCGCTGGTAGGCCTGACAGTGTCTGCGTAGTACCCGGCCGGGAATAATCTTGATTCGGAGGCTGGGGAAGTGCCTTCTCGTACGTCCCAGACTGCTTTCGCTGCGAATTTGCCGTGGTGATGGGCCGCTGACTCGGATCGGAATACGTTTGCATCATACTGTTAGTACTCTCGCTCGCCGCTCGCGACGAATTCAGCCCATAGCCGTATCCCTTGCTCGCGGGTCTGCTTTCCGACGACTTGCCGGTGAAGCTGCTCATGCTGAAGCCACTTGGCAGGAAAGAGAAGCGGCGTGACGAACGTTTCGTGTCGGATGCGGTATCGGAAGTCTTGCGGTTGAAGCCAAAACTGGGCCGCCGGCTGCTCTCCGTGGAAGGTCGTGGCTGTGCGTCTTCGTTGCTGTATGGCATGGCATTGCGCATGCTCACTGGCGGGTACTTGCGAATCTTCTTCTCTCCCGTTGCCGGATCGGGTTGCTGCGAGGCGCGACGTGAACGTGAAGAGCTACGGCCCAAGAGACGATCTCCTATACTACCCAGAGTGCTCGACCGCTTGTGACTGCGATCTTGCGATTCTGCTTGTTGCTGGTACTGCGCCAAGTTCTGTTGGCTTGCAGGACGGCTACCGTCGGTGGCTGTGGTCGGCTCGTTCGCTATCGGCCCCGAGATGATATATCCAGAGCCAGACTTGGGTCGAGAGAATTGGGCTTGTGCGTTCGTGTTGGTGGGTGTCGCTATCGCCGGCTGGCTGTACGAGTTGCCTCGGGACGGCAGTCTTGCAGATCCAAGCGTACCACTCGTGTTCGGTCGAGAGGCGGATGGTGTTCCCTGGATCGCATACGACGGGTGGTCTGACGCGGCTCTGATCTGAGACCGTGCGGGTCTCGAAGGAGGCGGCATGACCTGGGGCTGCGACGCTGGTGGGACTTCTTTCCGCGGCACCGGCGCTTCTCGCCTCGTGCTGGGAGTGACTTCCACCGGACCAGAAGAGTCTCCTCGGGCTCTCGTTTTACCGGCGCTGTTTGTTGCGGTGGGCGAAGCAACGCTTGCGGCCGCAGGACTTGCCTCGCTTCGCGTCGTGCTGTCTCTCGGCGCCACGTACTCCACCTGTACAGTCCTGCGTTTGGCATCTCGTGTCGTGGCCGAGGCAGCGCCCTGAGCATCCTCCACGCGCGTTGACTGGTGCGTGATCCCACCCGCTGAAGCAGGTGCTCTGGTCGTAGGTTCTCTAACAGACGCACTTCGTCCAAGACTGGGCTCTTCGTTCTGGCGCATTGCAGATGCTGCGATGTCCACGTCGCTCTTAGTGCTGCTGCCAATGAAGCCTACGACATGGCTGTACTCGCTCAGCCAGCTGTGCCGTGCAACTTCGAACAGGTCTGCTCGCTTCCTCGGGTCGGGGACGAGTATTCTGCGGAGTAGGTCGCGAGCGTGGGGCGTGACATACTCCGGGAATGTCAGCGGCGTCGAAACGATGTATTTGTACAGTAGATTGATGTTGTCGCCCTCCGGATTCGCTGGATCGTCATCGAATGGTAGATAGCCCGCGAGCATTGCGTACTAAGATGGTCAGTGTGTGGCCGGGCTTCACTTGCTTCGATGCATCTGACGACTTACCAGAATGACGCCGCAGCTCCATACGTCCACCTTTCTCCCCGTATACAGCCCATCCGAGACCACAAGCTCTGGTGCGGCGTAGCATGGACTCCCGCAACTTGTCTGCATCAGGTCACCCCTTCGCATCCCTTCCGCATTGGGCTCGCCGAGTCTCTCTCGTTTCACAAAGTCCTTGTCGTGGATGCGCTCCTCCACCTTCTCCCCCAGTTCGTCATTAGGATTAAAGGTGTTGGCAAAGCCAAAGTCCGTGATGATGATGTTCTTGTTCCGGTCGAGCAGAAGATTCTCCAGCTTGAGATCTCGATGCACGATGCCCTTCTTGTGCAAATATCCGACACCCGACACCAGCTGAGCGAAGAGGCGTCTCGCCTGGGGATCTTTGAGGTAGCGGTGGTTGAGGATGTAATCGAAAAGCTCGCCCCCCGACGCGTATTCCAGGATGATGCCCATATGCCGTTCCGTTTCCACGAATTCGTGCAGGCGAACGATGTTGGGATGCTGAAGTTCTCGAAGAATGGAAATCTCACGGTAGATTTTGGGCAGGCGATTGGCGTTGCTTTGCAGCGATTCCTTTCGGATGAGCTTGATGGCCACCTGCACACTGCTGTCCTTCTTCCAGCCCATCTTGACCTTTCCGAACTCTCCCTCACCCAGTGTTTGCCCGAGAATGTAATCCCCAAACTTCACCTCTTTCCGGTGGGACTGCTGCTTCAAGTGCTCCTGTCGACTTCGATGCTTCTGCTCGGGCTCTGCGGGAACGGTCTGATCCACCATTGGAGGCATTATCGAGCCATGCTGATTAGGCTGAGACTCGGCGATGCGTGCTTGTTCGCGCGCGATGTCCGCTTTCGGATCATCCACTACTATGTGGTTGATGATGGCGCTATTCTCACGTGGAAGGGAGGTGTCGACAGGGGGCTGTCCGACTGCCGTGGCCGACCGGCTCTGTGTGGGAGCTTGGCGTGACCGTTGGCCTCTGCTCGAGTCCTGCGGGGACTTTGGCGACATCTGTCGGCGGTCATTGTCGCTTGCTCTTTCTTGGTCACTCGCTGCCTCATAGCCGCCGCTATCGCCATAGGATGTGTTTGGAGCGTAGGCACGGCTGTCGGACGCTACCGCCGCTATGGAGGTCGGAGCTTGTTGAGAAGAGGAGCGAATGGGCAAGGCGAATGCGGGCGCGGGGCTTGCGGTGTCGGGGTAGAATTGCTGGTATGTCGAGCTACTCAAAGGCTCACCGGGCGAAGCCTGGCTGGCGGGAGAAGCGGCAGGGCCTCGTGGGGACGACATGAGCAGCGCGCTGGAAGGCGAGGCGAACTGAGAATGCTGAGGGGTAGGTGTTGGCGATTCATTTGCACCGCTGGGTCTCGCTGTGCGTCGGGAGGAAGGAGGGCTGGATGATAGGGCGGCGGCGGCGCTGTAGCCGTAACGATCATTGTACTGCTGTGGCGTGCTCTGCTGAACGGCAGCCGAAGACATGTCCACGTTCACGTGGAAGCCTCTGCCCCGCCACGAAACTTCACCTTGGCTCTTGGTGATGATGATGAGTCCGTCTCTTGGTCCACCCAACAAGACTATGTTCGGATTCGATTGTCCCCACCCGGTCGAGTGTGAGGTTGCGCTTGGATGGTGAGACGGGGGTGGAAAAGGCGGATGAGGGGGCGATGGCAGGGGTGTTGTCGACCAAGAATGTTGATGAGGGTGCCGATTGAGCAGCAGTTGCCAACGCAATCACAAGCCGACGATCTTTCGCGCGAGCCGAGAGGAGCAAGTACGGCGAGGCGGCAAGGGAGGTGCAGCGCGGTGCAGGGCAAGGACAGCGACAGCCAATCGAGAGTTGACTGGGAGCTGGGGCGAAGCGGTTGCACGTGTCGCGACACCACGTCGGCAGCCCGCACGCGAGGAGGAGGGGAGGGCGGGAGGGGAGCAGAGGGAGGAGGAGGAGGATGGGGAGGAGGTATGGGTGGAAGTGAGGTAGAGTCAAGGATCGAGTCCGGCCACGTCTGGAGTGCAAGTAGCACAGACGGAAGGAGATAGTCGGACGCTGAGACACCACGCTCCTCCGCAACTGGCTGGCAGAGGCAAGCACGATCCGGCCTAGCACGCGCGCTGTCGACAGGCTAGAGGCCCGCGCCGAACTCAAACCCTCTGACCAGCAATTTCCCAGCCACCAGCGGTGCACGGCTCTCCTTCCAGTCCGAGGGTTGTTCAGCAGATCAAGATGTCGAGAAATCAAAACGTCCACCGTGCAAAGGTCAGGCAGGCAACCCTGCTATTTGAAGGCCTACACACTCACCGTTTCATCGTGGGCATCTCTCTTGGCGAGCAATTCGCTTATCTGGCACGTCAGTCTTCGAAACCCCCCAGAACATGCATCCGACAGGGGTTCCGATCTGCACTGTCACCTATTTGATTTATTACTGGCATGTCTACAGCGTTCTCGTTCACTCGGACAAATGACTAGCGATGAATCCACTGTGGTGTACACGGAGGAAAGCTTAGCTCCTCCTGCTCCTCCGCCACCAAAACAATCCACCATGCAAGCGAAGTTTGGTACCCCGACCTCCGGATACCCTGCAGCAGACGCGCGCGGCAATCCCCGTCCGCAAGTCTTTCCTGCATTGCATTCGCCGTGTTGATGAATTGCGTATGCTGCACCACATCCTCATGTGTCTTGCTGAACTTCTCCCCGAGCATCACGGTCAACTTCTGATATTTTGGCTCTGCTGCCATACTTTCCGGGTATGGGTGATGGCGTCAACAAACAATCAAAACAACGCGCCTACAGTACCGCGCAATCCTTCACCCCCTTCGCCTAATCCATGGTGGAACAAACATTGCGGAGACAAGGCATCGTGCATCACGCTAACAACCTGTCTACAGTCTGCGTCGTATCGTCGTTTGGAATTGTCCGGACTGTCGTGTGTGCTCTGTCTCATCGATCCATGCGAGCATCGGATCAGAAGACGAACTGTTCGTCAGTACATCCGCAGGACGGGGCATGGAATAGAATACACCCAGCGATGACCAGCATGAGACCTGTCCGCCCCATCCTGAGTACCTGATGCTATTCTCCGTAGATGCCAATCAATGCTCAGAGGCGACTGCATGCCCGATTAATGGATTCATGTACACCGAGTGCATACGCACGACGGTCTTGAACGCGCAGTGGTGTCTACATCATGTAGCGCACGTGCACGTGCGCGAATACGGATGTATTTTTGTCATCAGCCACAGCGGGACGCGCCGGCTTCCGGACCGCCCGTGCCATCACCTCATCGCGCAGCGCGCATCCGTCAGCAGGAGCCCGGGTACCAGAAAAGCAAAAGAAACTCTTCTTCAACATCCTCTCATTCCTGTATGTCATCCGCTTAAAGGCGTGAACGGGCCCGGTGTTCGCGCAAAGCCCTTTTGGCCATGGCCCTAACCGGACGGCACATCTCCCGATCGAGCACCAAACGAGATTGAACACGGTCAGGAGCAACTCCACCGCCTGCACTTCCGCTATGGCAGCGTCAAGAGTCGGACCGCCGGGTGCCGGGGCGCACATGACGACGACCACACTCAAAGTCGAGGGCATGACCTGCGGCGCATGCACCTCTGCTGTCGAATCCGCTTTCAATGATGTGCAAGGAGTGGGAAGCGTGTCGGTAAGCCTGGTCATGGAAAGGGCGGTGGTAATGCACGATGCGGCGCGCATCGCGGCCGAGCAGATCCGAGAAATGATTGAGGATAGAGGCTTCGACGCCAACATTATATCGTCTGACGCACCGAACGTCCCGCTTTTCGATGCGGATGACGAGCTAGAGGACACCACAGAGAGCATGGACAACGGCATCTCTACCACCATCTTACACGTCGGTGGCATGACATGCGGTGCTTGTACATCTGCGGTTGAGGGAGCATTTAAGAACGTTTCTGGCGTGAAGACTTTCAACATATCTCTATTGTCAGAGCGCGCGGTCATTGAGCACGACCCGAGCATCTTGGCCCCGGAGAAGCTGGCCGAGATAATCGAGGACACCGGCTTCGATGCAGAAATCATCGAGACCAAACAGACATCGTCAGATGGAGCCTCACGGACTGCCAAAATTGCACACAGCACACAGCAGCAGGGTCTGGTAACGACTACAGTCGCGATCGATGGCATGACCTGCGGCGCTTGTACCTCTGCCGTAGAGGGTGGTTTCAAAGGACTACCTGGGGTCTTGCAATTCAACATAAGCCTATTGGCCGAGCGAGCAGTCATATTACACAACCCCGCCATACTGACAACGGGTCAAATTGTGGAAACCATCGAAGACCGAGGCTTTGACGCCAGGATTGTGTCTAGCGTGGAAGAAGGCGTGCAAACATCGACGTCAAGTTCTGTGATACAGCTGAAGCTTTTTGGACTGCCTAGTCCAGAGTCTGCGGCCGATCTGCAACAAAGTCTGTCCTCCATGGCCGGAATCACTTCGGCCAACATCGACTTCGCCACCTCGCGCGCGACCATCTCCCACATCCCCGCACAGCTGGGCTTGCGAGCCATCGTCGAGGCCATCGAGAAAGCAGGTTGCAATGCCCTTGTCGCTGACTCGGACGACAATAACGCACAACTCGAATCGTTGGCCAAGACCAAGGAGATCCAGGAATGGTACCGTGCGTTCAGGACCTCACTCGGCTTTGCCATCCCGGTGTTCCTGATCAGCATGATCTTCCCCATGTTCATTCCGGCACTCAACATCAACAAAATCGGCCTCCCAATCCCCGGTCTCTTTCTTGGGGATGTGATCTGCTTACTGCTCACTATTCCCGTCCAATTTGGCATTGGTAAGCGGTTCTATGTTTCGTCTTGGAAGTCTATCAAGCACGGTTCGCCAACCATGGATGTCTTGGTAACCCTTGGCACGTCAGCCGCCTTCTTCTTCAGCTGTGCGGCGATGATTGTCAGCGTTCTCACTCTCCCGCACTCCCGGCCCGCGACGACCTTCGATACCAGTACCATGTTGATCACGTACATCAGCCTGGGACGCTTTCTGGAGAATCGCGCGAAAGGACAAACGTCCAAGGCTTTGTCGAGGCTGATGAGCCTCGCCCCTTCCACTGCGACAATTTACGCGGATTCAATCGCTGCTGCTAAAGCTGCGGAAGCTTGGGATGCGTCTTCCTCGATGTTCCCACGCGCCGAAAAGCAGCCTGTTGAGACTATGGTCGAAGAGCGGACTGTGCCCACCGAACTGATTGAGGTGGGAGATATCGTGGTACTCAAGCCTGGCGACAAGATCCCCGCCGATGGCATTGTCTTGCGAGGGGAAAGCTTCGTGGACGAAAGTATGGTCACTGGAGAAGCGATGCCTATACTGAAGAAGCAGGGCACGCCTCTCATGGCCGGCACAGTGAACGGCGCTGGACGCTTGGAGCTCAAAGTCACTCGAGCTGGCCGCGATACGCAACTCAGTCAAATTGTGAGATTGGTGCAAGAAGCGCAGACGAGCCGAGCGCCCATCCAGCGCATGGCTGACGTGGTTGCCGGATACTTCGTCCCGATCATCATTACGCTCGGACTCGCGACTTTCATTGGCTGGATGGTTCTGAGCCATATCCTGCCCAACCCACCACAAGTGTTCCTCAGCGAGGCCAGCGGCGGACGTATCATGGTATGCGTCAAGCTCTGCATCGCTGTCATTGTGTTCGCCTGCCCTTGTGCACTCGGCCTTGCGACACCGACGGCTGTCATGGTCGGAACGGGTGTAGGCGCGGAGCAAGGCATTCTCATCAAAGGCGGTGCCGCGCTGGAGAAGGCGACAAAGGTCAAGCATGTAGTACTGGACAAGACTGGAACGCTCACCTTCGGCAAGATGAGCGTCAGTGATTCCGAACTGTTGGCCCCCTGGAATACCACGTCCGAACAGAGGCTGCTTTGGTGGAATATCGTAGGCCTGGCAGAGACTGGAAGCGAGCACCCCATTGCCACAGCCATTGTGGCCAATGCGAAGGGTCGACTTGGCATCGACTCCGAAGCGCCGCTGCAAGGATCCGCTGGAGACTTCAAAGCTATAGTCGGGAAAGGTATTGCAGCGTCGGTTGAGCCGGCGGGCACTGCCGGGCGGAAGCGTTTCGAAGCGCTCATCGGCAATGCGGCGTTCCTCCGGGGTCGAGGCGTTGACGTTCCAGAGACGTCAGAGCAACGGGGAAACGACCTCCGTGACGTGGAACGGCAGAAAACAGCGGACCAGGACGATGAATACAAACTCGAACAAAACGCAGGCACCACGAAAATCTACGTGGCGATAGATGGCGAGTACGCCGGCTCCCTCGGCCTCTCGGACACGCTGAAACCTTCTGCTGCTGCATGCATCGCCGCCCTACACCGTATGGGCATCACCACGTCTCTCGTCACCGGAGATCAGGCTGCCACCGCGCGATACGTTGCGTCGTTGGTCAACATCTCTCCGGAGAACGTGTTTGCCGGAGTCCTACCCAGCGGCAAACAAGCCATCATTGAAGATCTCCAAAAAGGAGGGCAAACCGTCGCCATGGTCGGCGACGGCATCAACGACTCTCCCGCGCTCGCCACCGCCAACATCGGCATCTCCTTCGCCAACGGCACGGACGTAGCAATGGAAGCGGCCGACTTTGTCCTCATGAAGCCCAACCAGCTCATGGACATCCCAGCCTCGCTGCATCTCTGTCGCACCATCTTCCACCGCATCAAGCTCAACCTTCTCCTCTCCTGCATCTACAATGTCATCGGGCTTCCGATTGCCATGGGCTTTCTGCTGCCTTGGGGCATCTCATTGCCGCCGCTGGCGGCTGGAGCGGCGATGGCGTGTTCGAGCGTCACGGTCGTGGTGTCGTCGTTGCTGCTGAAGCTGTGGCATCGGCCGCGCTGGATGCTGGAGGAGGATGTTGCGGCTTGGCAGACGTCGTCTCCAACAACGATTGGATCAGGCATCTGGAATTCGATTCTGGCGGCGAGCCGGGCAGTCCTTGGTCGCGGAAGGAGGCGAGCAGAGGGGCAGAGGGGCGCGTATGTTGCATTGGAGAATTATGAGGCTGTTTAGCCCTTCTCCGTAGGGTTTCTGTTACTTAGCGGCATTTGACAAGATCATTTTTTCTTCTGAGGTATGCATGGCAAGTTGTGACGCGTGAGTGTAAATCGCACAGACTGTATCTACCGCCTTCGTTTTCAGGTCCTCGAATTTGATGCCTGCTATCTGTGTGGCGATCAATTCTCCCTCGACTTCAACCACTTCAATACCTCCCCAGCACTCTCGCCAGGCGGGAACACGGGATACCACACCCTCACAATCTTCCCATCCTGAATTGCCATCGACATGCGCTTGATCAACGCGGCGCCATTGAACTCGAACGTCGGCAGCTTGAGCGCCGACACGAGGTCCAGCTTCTCATCGCTCAGAATGTGATAAGGCAGATGCGTGCGCTCCCGCAGTTCCTGCTGGTACGCCGTGTCTTGCGTACTGCAGCCGAAGATGCGAGCGACGCCGTGCTCGGCAAAGTCGCTGGAGGCGTCGCGGAAGGAGCACGCTTGCGGCGTGCAGCCTCGCGCGCCGGGGATCTGGTTCCAGGAGTCCGGGACGGTTTCGTTGGGGCCTGCGGTGCGGGGGTAGCAGAACAGGATGGTGAGGCCGGAAAGCTTGGACAGGTCGACGGGGCTGCCGGACGTCGACGGGAGGGAAACGGACGGCAATGTGGTTCCTTGGAGGTGGTTGCAGGCTCCGTCGTCCTGGGGCTTGGGGACGTCGGAGGGAAACGACTGCCAGCTAGCTTCTTGAGGGTGCATTAGTGGGTGGTGTTTTCCAAAGTGACTATGGATATGGGACTCACGGGCCATGTTTGTAAATGAGACGTGGCAAGCGGACGATGATTTCTTCTCTTGATGTGATATGCAAAGACGAGAGTGTCGTTCGGGAAAGTCAGGAAGGATGACCTGGTGGGGCTGGTGGAAGAAACGCATCGAAAGGTTCTGATTGCCGACACGCGGATTCGAGATGTACATCATTTCTTTTGGGAATCTGCATCACCATCTAGTTGAGTAGGTATGCTCTCACTGCTTGCATGTGAGGACATCGCTAGATCATTCCTCCATCTCCCCGCCATATTCGGCACCATACTCCAGCACCACCCACTGGCAGAACTTCTCGAATTCCGCTGCCCACTGCTTCATACATTGTGCGCGAAGACCCGTCCCGAATGCTCCATCGCGAACCTCCTGCGTCCATTGCTTTTGATTGCAATCACCGAACGAAGCATAGCGGACGCTGTTCTCCGCCAAGCTGGCCAGCCCGTCTAGTCCAAGGTTTTCCCAGCCTTGCAAGGCCTGCCAAAAGTCATGCGACATTCCACTGGTCGCATGACCCAACATGGCTGGATCGTCGTTTGCAAGACAGCACGAGACGCCTCGCGCGAGCAATGCTGGGAGAGGATGTGACAAGATGCTCGCTGTCAGGCGCAGCACCTCGTTACTGATTGGACAGCTTTCGATAAGGATCTTCTTCTCCTTCACCATGTCGATGAGTAGCGGATGCTTGTAGAGGGAGAAGCCGTGTCCGATGCGGCGTGTGCCGAGTAGAATTGCATCGAACAGGTTTTCGTCCGTTTCGCTTCCAGTTCCTAGTGTTTCGCCGGCGTGGAAGTAGAAGGGTAGCTCGACCCCTTCCTCTCTGCAGCGCTTTCGGAACCAAAAGATCTCTGGGGTCAGCTCGGCGAGAGGGCGGCCCTGGTCCTCTTGTCCCACAAAGTCATAGCCGCAGATCAAATCGGGGAATTCAATTTTCAAGCGGATGCACTCCATCATGTCTTCTACGATGGTGCGCGTGTCGAAGCTGCGGATCGACGTCCAGATGATTCTCGCTCCCCAAAACCCCTTGCCCTCCTCCGATTGCTTGAAGGTCTCGATTGTCTCCTGAAGGATTTTCATGTAGTTGTCGAAGCCGTCGTCCGGCTCATTCGCACCCGCTGAATAGAATGGCATGACAAAGTCCGATCGAATATCCACCCACCGCACTCCATCCTCGTTGAGTTGTGTCAGGATGCGCCAGACGTACTTTCGGAAAAGCGGCTCGTAGCGCACCAGAGAGTCGGCAATGGGAAAACATGTTCGGAATCGGGTCCAGATGTCGTCAAGGCCGTCATGATGCCTGATCGATCTCTCCGTTGTGATTGTAACTCGAGACATCACCCAGGCCTTGAAGCCATCTCTGCCATTTTCCGGGAAAGAGTCTGCTGCATCTTGAAGGGAAACCAAAGCCTCGGGGGTATAAGAATCTGACCAAATCGAGACTGTCCCTCCGCTCTGCACTGTCGAGCAATGACGGAACATGAACTGATTGGTCTGCAGGGCCAATGGAGAGGACAGCGGTGCGGTGGACCAGATACACATGCCATCGGTGCGCAACGCATCGTCAATCAAAGTATCAAGAGCACCGGTAGCCGACATGTGGCAGTGAAGAAGAGCACCCTTGGGCATCTTGCGCACAATCCTCCACAGCTTGCTGGATTCCATGCGATCCTTGGCCATTCCAAACATCATGCCCGGGTGGATGCTGGCTTCATTCCCCTCGGCGAGCTCGGCGAGATTGTCCTCGAAATTCCGGTTCCACAGAGTCTTGCGCTCTTGGGCGCGGATGTCGGCGACAATGGCACATGCCTCTCGGGCCATGGGGGAGAGACTCTCGCGGAAAGCATGGTCACTGCGCAGGCGGTTTTCTTGCACAATCAAGGCGTCGCGCCCGTCGAGGTATTTCTGGATGAAAGGTTCGTCGAATGAAGGAACGCCCTCTTGTGCGGCCCAGGTGTCTTCGTCAAGGTCATCGCCCTTCCTCTTCTCCTGGATCATCTTACGTTTCCAGTCCATTCTCGATATCAGTCATCCAGCAACTGGTTCGACAAGCAGGAGAGACGTCTGAAAAAGAGGCGGCTCTCAGTCTAGCAAACTGGTTCCAGCGGTTTGGCGCCTGAGGCTAACTGATGAAGCCGAAGGTTTGGTGGCTTCGGTCCGCTCCGGAGGCCCCGCGATTCCAACGGCCTGAGGCGACCCCACGTCACATGCAAGCATGCCCGTTCCGACATGTCAACAACATCTCCCTCCACCGATCCCCTGTCCATAATCGACTGACTACCCTTCGCACATACGATCCCTCCCGCTCTCGCACGTTCTATGTCTGTCGGCATACGACCATGGCTGCAGACTGGAACCACAATCTAAGGCCGCATCGCTGACTGGACCCCCCAAACAGCGTCGTGAGGCAGTCCATGCGATCTCGCACTTCACTACATTCCACGGTCCTCACACAACCGCACCTCCTCATACATCATGGCATGGTGGCAGAAGAAAATACTGCGCTATGCTCTACTGCGCACGGGACTGTTGGACGAGAAGGCTCTCGATCTTGATCATCTCGACATCACCCTGGGCAAACAGAATGTTATCGAGCTGAAGGATGTGGCGCTCAACATCACACGACTGGGCAAGATTGCTCAGCTGCCACCTGGACTGAGGATAGAGACTGCCCGTATCCTCTCGCTGCGACTCACCGTACCTGCGGACATCTATCATTCCAGCATATCAGCTGAAGTCGATGGCGTGGCAATTGGTTTGACGCTGGATGAGAAGGCGGAAGTCAACACAACAGAGCGAAGAAGTAGGCCAAGTTCGCCTCTGACCACTCGAAGTCCGCAGCACAGAAAGACGCATCGCAGATTATCCTCGCCACCCCCTTATGACCCTGGCGGACCGCCTGACTCCGAAGATGCACATCTCCCGACGACGGAAGAGTTGGCAAAGTCATTTCTGAGGGAAGAGCCGGCACATGGGCGAAGACAGTTGGAAGCATCGGTGGTTGCCAGCGACAAAGGTCTCGATGAGTCCATCGTGAGTGAAAGCAGTGACGGAGATGAAGTCGGGGTCGGGGCGGCCATGGGTTTGCCCGGGTTCCTTGCGAGCTTCTTGCAAGGCATTGTCGATCGCCTTCGCATCGCTGTCCTGAATGTGGAGGTTAAACTCGAGACCGAAGTCCCGGGTGATGGAAAACCTGCGGTCCCGCTCACGCTCTGCTTGAACATCGGCAAGTTTGAGCTGGTAAGCGCAGATGTCGCCAAAGCCGATGCACCGCTCCCCGATAGCCACAGCACCGAGAGACAGATCAAGCTTGCAGACATCTCACTTTGCTTGCTCTCGGATGCGGCCATCTTTTCCGAGCTTTCCGAGCTGCGCTCGTTCTCATCTCCCACGGCAAGCAGTCAGCGTGATCGAAGTCCAGTATTGGCTAGGTCACGCTTGGCCGATCTTTCGCTCTCGCCATCTCAGCGATCATACGCGACTGCCGAAGGCCGGAGTGAGGACGCTACTGTCGCGCAAGCACAAAAGCCAATCCTGGCCTCTACATCGACTGTCGATGCTGATCGTTATGCCGATGCTGGAGACGACAACATGATGCCAGGCGTGCCGCAGGCTCAGCATGACCTGGAGATTCAACCAGGCGACGACAATGTCAGCTGGGGCTCTCGGCGGAGAGAGTCCGATGCCCCGGTGGCAGACCTCTGGGACTCGATGGCTTCCGAGGACGACTTGCCAGATTCACTGATCCTGCATCAGCGACCCATAGCTCGTGTGCAGTCTGCGCGAGACACTTACAAGGATTTGACAGAGCATGGGCGATATTCGTCGGAAGGCTGGCAACAACGACTACAGGGACCAGGGTCGTGGCCGAGATTGGACGAAAGTCCAGACCGAAGGCGCTCTCGGCGTAGTCCCGACTCCTCGCCTGCGATTGATCCTCAAGTACGCACGTTTCCACCATGGGGGCATGAATCTGAGGACATGGCGAATGATGTAGTCGACAACAAGAAGACCGCACTCCACGCCAGTTTAACTGAATCGCAGCTTCTCGATGCCGAACCAGAATCGCTAGTCGAATCAGATTCAGGTGATGACCTAGCCACTTCTCAATTCTTCACGCACGAACAAGCCGAGAGCATGTATATGAGTGCAATGTCGCAGAGCACAAGAATGCATGTACCAGGAGGCTGGAGCGCAGATGATCTTAAGGACTCCTCCCGAGCCGCACATACCCAGTCGCCCCCAACACACCTCCCAGCCCTCGCAGAGAGCATGGAGAGAAAACTTGATACAGAGGCAACGGACCTTGATCAACGGTATCATACTCCTGGCAACTCGACTCCACGAGTACCTTCGCCCGTCGATCGATCCATCCTTGATCAGATACCCACCCCCATCACGCATAAAGCGTCGCGTCAACTGCTTCATGTGGACTCCCTGCACGTTTGGATACCGACAGCTTCGAGCCGAAGCGAAGATGATGATTCGTCAACGGTGCAACAAAGCGCTACCAGCAAGAATGCCTCCAATGGTAAGATGCCTGGCTCTTTTTCGATGTACTCAGAGATGTCTGCATCCCGACGAAACCCTGCAAATTTCTCCAGGCAAGATAGCAGTGGTACCCTATCGCCTGCACAGCAGAATGCTCGACCCAGTGATTTGTCGCAACCGATAAAGCTTGAAGTTGGTTCAGTCCGGTGTCAGCTTGACGTGCCTTGCGGAAGGCTTCTATATCGCTTGGGCTCCAAAACTTCGACCATCCTTCCAGCTACCAAACCATCCGACTCTCAGTCTAAAGACAACCCGGGCATCGCCAGCGCACGCCTCACCGTATCGGAGTTTGCCTTTGCTTTCAAAGAATCGACCGACAAGTATTTAACTGAGGCCAGCTCGATCGAACCGCGAAACAACCTCGCTACTATTCTATGTCGGCAAGTTAGCTTCTCATCAGCGCCGCTGGGCATTGACGTTGACCTCAGCGCCTTTTCAATGTACTTGGGATCGAGTCGTTGTCTGTCGTTCAGTCGCAGTCCTGACATGATGGCATCCGTGATCTTGACAGGGCATACGCCGGATATCGCTGTGAGCTTGCGGAATCAACAGACCCCGCCGAGGCAGCCCACCAAAGATATATCCATTCAGACGTTGGCTCTGGTCGTAATGCTGGACATTCCGGCCCTAGAAGAAACATTCCAGCCTTTTGGAGGACTCAGCGGCATGCTTGAAGCTGGAAACTCAATCTTGCTCGAGAGTGGTATAGTCAGTCCGGCGTCTTCGCCAATCAAGTCTCCAAAGGGCGTTCGATTCGAGGGCGACCTGAAGTCGCTGGAAGTGGCCTCCGAGCTAAAAGTGAACGCCATCTTCGGCGGCGTTGATGGACGACTTCAAGGGGCTTCTTGCGCTGTGGATTTACGGTCTACAGCAGTCAAAGCTCTCTATCGAGCGCAAGGAGCTGTCGTGACGATTGCGCATGTCGAAGTGGCTGTTCCGCAAATTTCGGGGGATGGTACAGATGCTGCAATATCTGTTGAACTGTTCGCGAGTCGTCTGGAGTATTTACCTGCCCCACAGGACAAAGACCTCGAGAGATTGCTGTCTTTGATCACACCCTCCAAAGACAAGTACGACACCGACGACGACATCCTCATCGATACCCTGCTGAGGCAGAGGAAAAAGGGTGCTGTCGCTCGCGCTTCCATCAGCGAGGTCAAAACCTATGTCGAGGACTGGTCTTCTGTACAAGCACTTTCCAATCTTGCCGAGGAGCTCAGCAAGTTTTCCGCAGTCACGAAGTACTTGCCAGAAGACGAACGGCCTGGACTGCTTACTCTGATTCGGGTCAAGGACTTCAACGGGCGAGTTCCGGTCAACAAGCGATTCGGAGAGCTGATTTACAGGCTCACGGACATCCATTGCGCTCAGATAAGCCTTCCGGCTTTGTTCGCAGTGTCTGTGGGAGACGTCAATGCTTCGCAGGCCGAATATGGCAAGCTTGTCCACTCACTCATTCAGAGCGCGGGACTGGACAACCTGCCCCTATTCATGGCGAGGATGCTGGGAGACGAAATCGAAGCAACATTGAAGATCAAGCTCTACAATGTTTGCGTCGAGTATAGCGTCCCAGTTGTTGTGGCTCTGACCGATCTATCCGAGGGTATGAGTCAGGACGAGGTCGTGATGGAGCTGGCACAATCTGTCGTCAATCTCATGCCGCATCCCAATCAGAGAACAACACGCGACAGCAGTCCTATGCGCGATGCACCGACTTCATCCTCTAAGAAGATGATAGTTGATCTCTTGATCCATGACTCTGCGATAGGACTGTCTCCTCAGAGGCTCCCCTCGAAGGCGCTGCTTGTGCTCACAGACGCCCGAATCTCCGTTACGTATCCACCTGAGCCTGTACTGGCCGCTCAATTGGAGTTGCGAAAGGCAGGGCTCTTCATAGCCGACCAAACTCTTCCTGATGATGCAGATATTGCGGGTCCTGTACGCTCTTCGCCGAGCAATACAGCGACAAAAGCAAAACTCACCCTCTTGCTTTCCAAGCGCGGCTACGTGTCTGTTGGTTCGATCATGGCCGCCAAGGTGGATGTACGTGTAGAGCAGAGCGAGAAGCATGGCACGACAACGATTGACGTTGGACTCACAAACGAGCTACTCCTACTGGAAACCTGTGCAGACTCGACTCAGACAATGATCGCTACTCTGAGTGGACTTCTACCACCCACGCCGCCGGCCAAACAACCGATGTACCAGACACAGCCCATGACAATAGAGGAGATGATGGCTTCTTTCACGGGAGATGCATTCGAAAAGCCGGCAAAGCCAGCGGAGACGCTCTTTGACATTGACGAGGAGCCTGACGACAATGCTTTGCTATCATTTGGTATGGGCAAGCTTGCCGAGGACGATGACTTGCTTTCGGAGTCGGAGATGACCTCCAGTCTGTACGGGCCTGTCAGCGGCGTTCTCGGCGCAATGGGAGATTCCGAACAGGAAGACGACTCGGACCATTTTCCTGCGACCGTGGAGAGTTTGCTCGAGGACGACCCATTCGAGATGACGCATTCGCCGATGGATGCCAGACTTAGCGATAAAGCACTAATGAGAGAGCTTGAGAAGCAGTGCAGACGACCTCTCAACGATAAAGGCGTCGATCTTGGTATCGAAGAATTCGAAGATCTCGGCTTCGATGCTCTTGGAGGCGCTCAAAGCATTCTCGGTGTCCCGAATCGCTTCAATTCCCCAGTGCCTGGTCGTGGCACCCTGAAGAAACCTAGCGTGCGAATCGAATACCCCTTCAAGCTGAAAGTGCGTGACCTGCATATCATCTGGAACATCTACGATGGCTACGACTGGCAAAGAACTCGAGAAGGTATCACAGAAGCTGTAGAACAGGTCGAACTGCGTGCCGAAGAGCGCAAAGCGAGGCGCCGTCAATCGGCCCACGACGCGGAAGACGACGAGTCTGTCATTGCGGATTTCCTGTTCAACTCGATCTACATCGGCGTGCCCAGTAGGCATGATGCACATGACCTGCGTCGCCAGATCAACCGTGATATTGATGAACTCGTCAGTGAGACGGAGAGTGTGCCGGTCTCTGGGATGTCGCGGCCTGCGACAGTCTACTCCGCGTCTGGACGGCCTGTACGATCACGCCAGAAGAAGCGATTGAAGCTCGAGCGCAGCAGGACCCACAAGATCGCATTTGAGTTGAAAGGCGTCTCTGCGGATATCCTGGTCTTCCCGGAAGATAGCGCAGAGGTCGTCAGCTCTGTAGATGTCAGAGTCCGCGATGTTGAGGTCTTCGACAACGTACCCACATCCACCTGGCGCAAGTTCTTGACTCATCTGAGCAACGAGCCTGGAGACAGGGAGATGGCAAAGCCGATGCTACATCTGGAGCTTTTCAATGTCAGAACGCTGGAGAAGTTTGCCGCGTCCGAAATTGTTCTGCACGTGTCTCTCCTTCCGCTGAGATTACACGTTGATCAGGATGCTCTCGACTTTATCACTCGCTTCTTCGAGTTCAAGGATGCAGCCTCGACCGCACCAGCATCGCCGAGCGAACAACCCTTCATCCAAAGACTTGAAGTTGACACGGTTGACCTACGCCTCGATTACAAGCCGAAAAAAGTCGACTACGTGGGCCTCCGCTCCGGGCATACCACGGAGTTCATGAACTTCGTCATCCTGGACGCGGCCGACATTCGTCTCAAGCATGCCATCATCTACGGCATCAAGGGATTCGACCCTATTCACAAAACGCTCAACGACATCTGGATGCCTGACGTAAAGCGGAATCAGCTTCCCACCGTGCTCGGGGGCTTGGCACCGGTGCGGAGCCTTGTCAATATCGGCAGCGGTGTGCGTGACATCGTCGCGATTCCCATTCGAGAGTACCGGAAGGATGGCCGCATTGTGCGGAGCGTGCAGAAGGGTGCTTTTCAATTCGGCAAAACAACTGCTGCAGAGCTGGCACGACTGGGTGCAAAAGTGGCGATGGGGACGCAAACGATACTGCAAGGCGCCGAAGGCTATCTGTCGCCCGCTTCCGACTCTCCAGGGCGTCCAGGTTCCATGACTGGTCGATCGCCAGATCAAGCGTGGCATGATATGGATGCGGAAGACGAGGAGCACGAATCAAGAGCCATATCAGCCTACGCCAACCAACCTATTGGATTGATTCCCGGTCTACGCTCCGCTCAGAGATATCTTGAGTACGATTTGCTGACTGCGCGGGATGCACTCATTGCCGTCCAGGGGGAAGTTCTGGAAAGCGAAGGCCCGAGTTCTGCTGCGACAGCCGTTGCCAGACATGCGCCGACTATCATTTTGCGTCCGTTTATTGGCGCAACGAGGGCTATCGGCACCACGTTGTTGGGCGTGGGTAATCAGATTGATCGCGAGAATATGAGGCGGGTGGAAGATGTAAGTCTACCACACAATCACTGGAAGGCATTTGCTGACTTGTTTGTAGAAATACAAGCGACGATAGACGGTGGTGGCGGTGTACCGCGGGGTGTGAAGTAACGCTCCGGACGACTGATGATCGACGAAATGACAAATGATGCACTGAGGGAACGGCGTTCTACATCTACAGCGCAACATGAATCTATGAACTGTTTCTTGCGTTCAATGTGACATTTTCGGACCCATGAGTACGATCAATACGTAGCAGGAAGCTGGGCCAATCTGCCACCGTCGGAAACCAAGGTCTCACCGTTGAGGTAGCTGCCCGCCTTGCTCGCCATGAACAACACCGTGCCCGCGAAGTCCTGCTCGCTTCCCGTGCGCTCCGTTGGACACCGTTCGGGCGGCATGGTATGGGCGTCAGCGAAGTCGCTCTCGTGGCCGTCGTGCGGCTTGAACTGCCCCAGTTTCGACACGGTGTTGGCCGTCATTTCACTAGGGTATAGACCGGGTGCGATCAGGTTACCTGTTCAATGATAGCTTACATTAGTATAGTCCAGCACGAGTGATAGGTCACAGGGAGAGTAGAAGTCGAATCTGACATCGAATGTGGAAACCATTCTGCGCAAACGCCGTGGCCAGCATCTTGACCAAATGATTCGTGCCCGCCTTGGAACACGAGTAAGCGAAGCCATTGTTCAAGAAGCGACTGAAGCCCGCGACGGAAGACGTGACGAGAATCTGGGAGTCCTGCGGCAGATTCCGCCTCTTATTGCCGGCATCGAGTAAGTCGAGGAAGGCGGCGGCGGTGAAGTAGACGCCCGTGACGTTCACGTGATAGGCTTGGGTGAAGGCTTGCATCTCGGGTTTGAGCAGGCCTTCTTGCATTTCTTTGATCGTTGGCTTCTCCCCTTTCGAGAGGGCTGGGGTGTCGCGGACAGTGCTGGGCCCGCTGACGCCGGCATTGGCGAAGAGCAGGTTGATGTAGCCGTGTTCTTTGCGCACGCGATCGGTGACGGCTTGGAGCGATTCTTTGTCCGAAACGTCGCCGACGATGGGGATGATGTTGCCATTGGCCGCGGTTTTGGCGGCGTTTTGGAGCGTTTCTTCCTGTGATGAGAGCTGTAAGATACGATATGACTTGAGCTCACGGCGAAGGGCCTTCACGTACTCGACGGCCTACGATGTAGACAGCTTTTGCGCCATTGGCATCGAGAGCGCGGGCAGCGTAGAGGCCTAGGCCGCTACCTCCTCCCGTGACCTGTCGGAGCAACAAGCGTCAGTCGAGTGCTAATGATGAGACATTACAAGACTCGTGGACTCACAACAGCGACCATGCCATTGACATTGAACAATTCCTCGGCCTTGTTGGTCGGCATTCTGATTGTCGGTGTCGTCGAAGAGAGTCTAATTGGAGATCGTGGAAGGGCAATGATTCTACTCGAAGATGGGAAAAAGGGTCGTGAGAATGCCAAAGATGCGATACGAAACATTTACGTAGGGGATCCCGAGCAAGTCTGCCGATGTGGGTTGGACGATGTCGGTCTCTACACATGACGCAAGAGGAAGGTGTCGGAACTCGTTCAGCCGAAGCCAGTGTTACATCGACGCCTACCAATGACAGTGTGGTGAAGACGGCCATTTGATCGTCACAAGCAATTGGCAATCACTTCCACATCATGGCACACTTCAAACCGGACGAATCTACATTCTCCAGGCTGAAAAATGCCGTCGTCGTGATCTCAGGAGCCGCTACGGGGATCGGAGCAGCGACGGTGAAGACACTGGCCAAGCATGGAGCGAAGGTCGTGCTAGGCGACATCAACACCGAAGCAGCGGAGAAGCTGTGCAAAGAACACCCCGGCCTGCACTTCGTCCAATGCGACGTGACAAAGTACGACGACATCTACAAGTTATTCAAGACGGCGTACGATCAGCATGGCCGCGTGGACCATGCTGTTTCTTGCGCGGGCATCTTCGAGAAGGGCAACTGGTTTGATCCGAAGCTGACCATCGACTCCGTGGGCAAGAACAGTGGGGATTTGCAGGTGCTGGACGTGAACGTTATTGGCACGTTACACTTTGCTCGGATCGCTGCTGTCTTCCTACGTGAGGGAAAGAAGGCGGGCGAGGATAAGAGCCTGGTACTCTTGTCCAGTGTGAATGCCTTTCGAGAATCGCCTGGCTTGTTCATCTATCAGGTGAGTGAATAGATTAGCACTCTCCTCAAAGGCTTGCTAGGCACATTGACATCTCATTGTTGCTAGACGGGCAAACACGCCGTCCAAGGAACGCTACGAAGCTCGCGGAAACCCCTCTATGAACGAGACGGGATCAGAGTCAATGCCGGTATGCACAGACTCCCTGACGGCTCTGCACGACTTTGGGAAGATTAATCGTTCGTGCAGTGTGTCCCGGGGTGACCGACACCGAGATGACCAAAGGCATCATCGGAGCCTTTCGAGACCACGGCTTGTTTTGGCAGCCTGGCGAGGCCGTCGGCAATGTAATCGTCGCCCTCCAAGCTGATTCGAGCATCGTTGGGAAGGCATACTACATCGAAGGTGGCGACGCATGGGAATACGAGGACTCCTTCTATGCCATGCAGCCCCAGTGGTTGGGAGAGGAGGGGACTAGACGAATGCGAGTGAACGCAGAAGCAGTCAATCGGGTGAGTTGCTCTTCCTCCAATTGGATACATGTAGACCAGATCTGGCTGACCTGGAGATAGGGTGTTTTGACTCCCAAAGACGACTGAAAGGAGTGCATGTACATGCAGGCGCGTTGATTCGTCGACGGGTACGCAGCTTCCATTCACTAGATATAGCAGGTACGTTGTGCACAGCCTCCAAAGGGCCTATAGGCCGCAGTGGGAAATGAGTAGATGTAGAAAGCACGGCCGGGGATTGGTCGAAATGGCAAGACATCAAGCAATGGATACATGCGCAGTATTAGGAATCTATTCGACGAACTCCGACCACTCGATTCACCCTCTCGTCAATTTTCTGTATTGTCTCCTTCATGCCCATGCTCTCGATGCCATAGATGTGCATCGCTATACTCAACCCTCCTACCTGCAACGCAATCCGTCGAATCTGAACTCTGCTCAATGTCTCAAACAGCGCCTGTGCCTCCGACTTGCGCGCCAGCCATCGTAATCGTGACATCAGGCCGTACTTTGCGTACTTGGTGCGCTGCGCCCAGTACATGTCATCGTCCGCTTCATCGTCCATTTGATCCCGGTCGTTATTCGTCCTCGCTCTTGCATGTTTCTCGGGTGGTGAGCTGTATGCGGCATGCGTGTAGCGAGGAGGCGACGGAGAACTGTTGCGCCGCCTTGCCCGGGTGCGATGATTCGGCATGTCCGCGATGCCCTTCGACCCGTCTTCCAAAAACGGCCGCTCCAGCTCTCGAAAGCGTTTGATCAAGTGTTTGACCACATCTCCCATCGTCCGCAACGACACCTCGTCCAGCTCCATCCCGACAAAATTATCCCGTCCTTCCCGACGACATACTCGCTGGTGTCTGCGGAACTCTTTGCGCATTGTGCGCAGACTCGCGCGCTCTTCGATCAGCTCGGTGCGGAGGTTGGTGAGGTAGGTGTGGACTTCGTGCTGCGCCTGGCCCAGCGTCGACAGATTCACCGACACCACCTTGAAGAAGGTGCCGAGGGTGAAGGCGAAGGAGATGATGCCGATGACGCTGGTGCCGAAGGAGAATTCGGAGATTTTCGAATTCGCCGACACGACTACGCCCATGTCCGGCCGGGAGAATGGTGTTAGGCAGGGCAGGCGTGGCGTCTGGGTACTCGCTCTTGTTGACCGGCGTGATAAGGAGAGCGCTGTGGGAGTGAAGACCTCATGATTGCAAATGCGGTCGCCGGAATGGTCAGCGGGACGTGAGGCTATCCGACGACCTCCAGTAAGCTTCCCAACTAGGAAGTTTGTTTTGACGGAGCTTCACTTCCGACATCATACCCCGCCTTTATTAATTTCGCGGCTGATCGTGTCTTCGCCCACCAACCCCACCCTTTGCTGATGAATGAGTGAGCACTATCAATCCCTCCTAAAGCGCACAGATGGCTATGTGTTGAGCAAACGCTATTTTACTCGAGATCAAGCAGCCAGTCTACCTGCCCATGAGCATCTCGTTCATCCTCACCTGCGCTTCGTCGTCCGGCGGGTTGTCCTCCGCCTCGACCGCCATCAGAGCGAGTGCTCGCTCCAGCAACGCGCCCTCGACGTCCTTGCACTCCCCTCGCCTCGAATAGATGACTTGTCCATTGCGTGTCTCGTCGGCCATCAACCCGGCGGCGCAGTTCGCAACGACGTTGGGTGACTGAGTGGACACGCCAAGACCTTTCATCTTCTCTTCTGGCACCATGCCTGAAGCCGTCCAAAGGGGAGCGAGGCAGTTCACACGAAGCTTGTTGCCGGGAAACTGCGCCAGGTTGGCAGTGAGACCACGCATCAGACCAAGAACGCCGTGCTTAGACACATCTGCGATTCTTACGGTTACGACAGTGTCGCCTTGCAATGGAGGTGCGGCACTTACTATAGTCCGTGAGCGCAAAGGGACCCAGACCTAGCAAGACTCGTGTTAATCGAAAGTGAGCGAGTGTGCCGCCCTATGAATGCCGAGGCTTCGCCACTTACTTGCTGCGGATGCCGTGATAACGATACTGCCTCCATCCGGGTTCTTCTGCAGGAAGTGGAGGGCGAGTTTGCAGGTATAAATGACGCCAATCAAATTCACATCCAGAGTCCTGCTGTCTGGCGGCAGCAGGTCGCCATTCTTGTCAAATTCTTCCTCAAAGTACGTAGCCACGCCGACGATGCCTGGTTATTGGTCTTTTAGTTCGGCGTCCGGGACGCAGGCAATGTTCACTGGACGCGTGCGTACCGGCATTCGCGAAGACGTGGTCGATGCGACCAAATTTTGCAATGGTCTGCTTGAACATGTGTAGTTGAGAGGACCAATCCCTCACATCCACTTGCTGATAGAAGGCGTCGGAGGGTGAAAGGGGCTCTGTATGAACGTCTCCCACAACCACTTTGGCTCCGCGAGATAGCAAGACCTTGACGGCCGCGAGGCCGATTCCAGACGATCCTCCGGTGACAATAATGACCTTGTCCTTCAGCGTCTTCAGAGCGTCGTCTTCCACTTCGAATGATGTCATGGTTAAGGCAGACAACAAGACAGCGGAGAATGAAGGGGCAAGGAAAGGGAGGGTGCTGGTAATAGATGGGATATTAAGAGGTACTAAGAGGTAGTAGCTGATCTACCTTACATGAGGTTTATTGGTAACAAGGTGATCGCTGCGGGTCGAGTGTAAAACTGCTCAATGAGCTCGGACGAGCTCAAGCGGTCAGCCTTGTTACGTAATCAACAGCTGCGGGCGATCTTCAACTGTTCATCGTTGTCAACGTAAGGCTTCACGCTCCTTCCAACCATCTCCCAGCTACAACCACAGCTAATTCTCTCCCTGCCATCCCCCCCAACATGGATCAATCTCTCGCCCTCAACGCCCTCGCGCCGTACATCGCTCTCGCCAAGTCCGCCACCTCTCCCCGCGCCGCCGCAGATCTCATCACCCAAGCCACCAGCGCCGCCAATACCTACGTCTTCGCCGAGCTACTGCAACACTCCAACATTCAAACGCTGCAAGAGAACCCGGAATACCGCTCCTACTACACTCTCCTCGCCATCTTCTCGTGGGGCACATGGGAGACATACAATCAAACCCCCGATCTGCCCGCCCTGAGTGATGCCCAGCTGCTCAAACTCCGCCTGCTCTCCCTCCTCACAATCGCCTCGGACAGACATGCAACGACCAGCTCGACGCCGCGTTCATCCAATCTGAGCTACGCCTCGCTCTGCGCCCTCTTGGGCCTCGCCACCCCTCTCGACCTCGAACACCTCATCACCCAAGCAATTTACTCCAACCTCCTCACCGCAACCCTCAACCCCGCCTCGCAAACAGTGCACATCACCGCCGTCTCGCCCCTCCGCGACCTCGCGCCAGGCAGTGTAGGCGTGATGACGACCGAGCTGGAGGCGTGGAGTCTGCGTTGCCAGAGCGTGCTCGCCACTCTCGATGCGGAGATTGCAAAGGTGCGCGGCGCAGCGGCGCGTAGGGCGATGAGGGAGCAGAAGGCGGAAAAGCAGATCAAGGTTGTGGTGGACAGTGCTGGAGGAAATGAGAAAGTTGGAGGGCCGTTTGGGACCAGTAAGATTGGGCCGAATACAAGGAGCCGGAACCAAGCTGCGCCAGAGGAGGACGATGGGATGGATGTGGATGGGCTGGAAGGCGGAGGGAGAGGCTTCGTCACGGGGAAGTTCAAAGGTCCTGGTGGGCGATGAGGAGCGGGCAAAGATGATGAGCACAAATGCGATGAACCGATGTGGTGATGGCCTGCCATGGATCGCACGACACCGACGATATGTTACTATGAAGAAGCGCGCCATGGAAACGGCTTTCCGATCCGAAGCGACCACACTGAGACGTGTGAATGGAGATTTCCTCAGTCAGACGAAGGGTAGCCCACGATTCAGTTGTGAGCGCACTGCATGATAGATTTCGCTGCGATAGAACTCGCGGCGAAACCGTCGTTCGAGACCATGTCAAAGCAGACTCGACCAAGCATTATCCCCCGCGATCAACGTCCTTGGTCTGATGCCAGGCCTCACTCTTTCTCACCACCCCACGAATGCGCCTCCCCAGCCCTTTGCAACTTCCTTTGCCAACGCAACCCGCAACAACCCAATCACCTCCTTGGCTTCAATTCTCGCCCCAACAACCGCATCCAACCCCTTCCTCCAGTCCCAGCCCCTCACAAGCTCACTCTCTTGACTCTGCAGCAAGTTCTGCGTCGACAGCACCATGTCCCAACTGCTACTGCCCGTCAAATCCGAACCAGACACGTAACTAGCCCCGCTCCTAGTCGTGTGAGACGAAGGCAGAACGCCGCGATAAGCATTCATGGAAGCCTGCAAAAGATCCACCGCGCCGTCACGTATGCGCGCCGACACGGTCTCAAAGTCTTCAACGACTCGCAGCAGCGTGAAGATCTGATCTTTGGTGAAGATTCGCTTCTCCTGGTTCAGGAGGGGCAATGCCTCGCCTAGAAGCGAAAGCAGGCCGTCGATGGGAACGACGGTCTGAACTTCGGGATCGAACAGTCCTCCGCGGATGCAGTCGCTCGCGCTGTCGATGATGGCGATGAGCGCTGTTGCTGCTTGCCGTCGGCGTTCCAGCGACTTCAGCGCACCGGAGGCATCATCGCGGAGATCGTAGAACTTTCGTACGGTCGCGTAGCCGCTGATTTGGCGGCTGAGTAGGGTGGCAGCTTCGAGGTCGAGGCCGGCGAGGTGGATAAGCGCCGCGCGGTGTCCGCTCAGGAGAGACGTGAGCATTTCGTCGGAGTCGTGAGTTGCGGGCACTGCGGCGGTTTGCAGCAGGCATAGCGAGATCAGGAGGGATATGGTAGACGTGAGTTTCTCGGTGGCGTGGGCGCGCGCGTAGTACATCAGTGCGGATCCATACGAGGGGTTGGCCTGGTCCTCGGCAAGATCGTCCGCATACCGCTATTGACATGTCAGCTTCGTTCGCTCTTTGTGGCCGACACTGATTGAAGTCTCACCTCCGCGATATCTCTCGCATGACGCTCAAAGCCCATGTTCGCACAAAGCTGCAGAACCTTGTCCACCCGTGCTCCGTCATCGAAATGGATCCCAGCAAGGACAGTGGCTATCCTGTCTTGTGAAGCCTGTATGTCTCCGAGGCGTCCAAGTACAGACACCGCGAGCTCCCAGCCCTCTCTCACAACCTTTCCGTCGGAACTTTCAAAGACATCGCGAGCTGCAAGGGCATCCGCATAAGTGGTAAGCACTTCATCCCTGTCCACAGATTCCGGAGACGATGGATGCTGTTGTCCAGGTCCATGACTGAGCACCATCAGGTCTTCTGCCGAGAAACCATGCTGCAACAGCCCCCGGCCGCTGGGCTGCGTTAGCTGCAGCCAGCCTCCGAGCGCTCCAATCTCGACAATGCTAGCAGTGATGGTCTGATCGAATGTCCGCAGCAGCTCAACGGCTGCCTCACTCGTACCCTCCATGACGCATACCAGGCCGACTTGGACGGGATCAAGGGTGTCGGGCTTGAAATTTGCTTCCTCGATCTGATCGGTCACGCTCCTGAGCATGTCGCCTAACCGCCTTCTGTATGCTGTGAGGGGCGAAACATCGACTTCTCTCGTGCCTGCGCCTGCCGGTCCGTGACTCTTGCGTAAGCTGTTGTGGTCGGCCAGACTGACGTTCGGAGGAAGTCCGTCTTCACCGTTCCACCAGACGGTCAAAAAGATACTGGACTCCAACCAGTCTTGAGCGTAGTCCACGATTTCGTCACCACCTGTGAGAACGCCGTAGAGGATTTTCAGATTCTCGAAGATGCTCCAAGGCACCCTGCTGCGAGCGCGCAGGCTGGCGGCCGCCATGTTGCCAAAGGAAGGTCCATCTGTCGACTGAGCAAAGATGTTGGGTTGCGACTGGGCCAAGGGGTCGTCGTCATCCTCCGCATCGCTTCCTTTGGCAAAGAGTCCGAGGTCTTTTCTCGCATGTTGCACTCTCTGTCGGAAGACGGTCCACTCGGCGCCTTTGACATCCCAATCATTGTATATCACAGCGGGTGAGGTCTCGAGCACTTCCACGAATCTCGCCACAACTTCCTCCACGTTCTCAAGTTGTTTGCCCTCGTAGCCTGGCCTTTGGCTGCCATCGTCCAGAGCGGTGATTGCGTAGTCGAAACCGGCATCCTTCAGCAATCTGGTGACACGGAGGAACTGTCCTCGTAATAATTCACCGCCAACGAGGTCCCAGAAGCTCTCATGCGCGGACGGAGAGGGGCTGTGCATGTGAATCTCGTCGAAGTCGTCTCCCAGAGGTTTGTGGTACGTGTTGAGCCAGTCGAGAAGCGCGCTCGGAATCGTTGGTGCTTGAGATCCAGCATGTGAAGTGTTGATCAGAGCGCGCGATCCTGCCGCAATGGCGCCAGATCTGCTCACGTGCGGGCTGTGGAGTTGAAGCAGTAGCGATGCGATATAGTTTGCCTGGGTCAGACCATCGCTTGCTGCCGGACCGATATCGCCTGATTTTGTCTTCGTGCTCGCCTGTGCCGCCCAAAGGGTTGCGACCTGCGAGGCTGCCAAGGCAATGGCCGCACCTCGCGCGCGGGAGTTTTGTTCAGCGTTTGCATTCTCCAGGAGAGACATGACCTCCTCTGTCCGCAACACGACATCATCCGAACCACCTATGCGCGCGGGTTCAGCATCCCTGGCATACGCCCGTGCAATATCCGCCATTTCACTGTCCACCTGCTCCCGAATCTGTCCATTGCGGCTTCTCTTGAACCCTCTGGGGCTTTCTTCTCCGCCCATCGGGCTGGAAAATGCACCACCGGGCGCATGTTGGCCGGTGTGAGTCGCATAGCCCTCGTCTACGACGTCACCGTCTGCGTCCACCTCTGCATCGTAATCATCGCGTGGAGGGCTGCTCTCCGGCACTGCGAATGCTCGCCCGCGCCTGGCGGGGGTATTACGATGCCCGAATGTGTTGTTGGCCGCGTGGTATGAGCTCCCAAAGATTTTGCTGCTTCGGGGCGGGTGCGCGGAGGGAGTGGTGGAGAGATTGGTGAGGTAAGACGGCGGTTCGCCGGCGGGAGTAGTTGAGGGCGCTTGTGAGAAGAAGGAGCTCTTACCAGCCTTGCGATTGGGGGTGGTGGGAGATGGCATTGCCGTCGAGCGAGGAGGGTTGAATTTGAACGCCATTCTCATGAGGAGGAGGGCGCGTTGAGCAGAGTAGACATGCTGCGAAGGGTGGGGAGGGTGAAGGTGTGGTGAATTGGAGGGAGGCAAGGTTGGAAGTTGAAGTGAACGCGCCGCGTTTAGACTTTCTGGCGGGTGCCTGAGGCGGCAACATTCACCGATCAAGTCGACTTTACGGCGAAGACGCCGACACCGCTTATTACTGTGTACTGTGACAGGCACGCACGCGCCCGTGGTATGTCGTCGCCAAGGTAATTCACGGCTAGGTTTTGTTCGGATGCAAGTGTTCCGCAGCAACGGGGACGGGCAGTATACAGAAAAGCAGATTCCAAACACGATGTGACCCCTTCGCCCACCAACCAGGCTACAACGCGCAGATGATGAGTCGTGGAAGAAGAAGAATCATCAATCCGCCTTCGCAAGGCATGACTCGGCGGCAGAAGTATCGAGTGCATTGACTCCGAACGCTAACGAGCGCCTTGACTACGTAAGGCAACCAAAGCAAGCAAAGCAACGCCTTCGGCGGCGTAGTAATGCTCAGTCAGAAACGACGCCGCTCGCCGTCTCATTGGTCCACTTGATGTGGCCGCGGTTTACCCGCAATACGTGCATCGACAATCCTTCCTAAGCTGTGCCGAAGGCAGTGTTGGCCATCGCGTCAGCTCGTGGCCCTAGACTTCGTACCGCTCCCACGAAACCGTGCAGGTCTGAACCCTCTTTCTAAGCTGGCCAGGATGTCTGGATCGATCATGCGAAGTAGTGCCGTGGTGTCATGACTTCCCCTGGCTTGCGCACGAGGCCAGGCTGAAGCGGATTCTATATAGCCAGCACGGCTGGACACACACGGGGCAAACGCAGCTGCAACACGCCTGGCTGCGCGCGCTCTTGACGCTGCAACAGAGGGCCCCATCCGGCAAATTCATGGTCCCCGTCTCGAACGACATCCACAGAGTGGACATCCACAAAGTGGATGCTGCGAAACCTCCATCGCAGGTCGACAGGAGGAGGCGCGTTGTATTCGGCAGACTCGGGCACGACTACTGCAGAACTTGTCGGTACGTGAATCCTCGCGCAGAGCCGGAAGCCTCGCTGCGACAACGCCGCACGCTGACCGAACGCAGTCGACGCAGGGTGAAATGCGACAGGACCCGGCCGTACTGTCAGCGATGTCAGGCCCACGGGCGTCAATGCGAGGGATACAGCAGCTGGGAACTGGACATCAATCCCTTACCTGTCTCTGAACATGCCACCGTCCCTGCCACGGCTGAAGATGCCTACCTCCCCGTCGAGATTGCCAATGGGTCCATGAATCAGGCACAGTTGCTGTCAACCTTCCTAACAGATCGCTTTGCCGACACCTCATTAGCTGCGGATCCCACACCGCACCTGCCACGAACATCCATTCCGCACCTGTGGGCCACAACCAGCATGTCTGCGCCGCTCGTGCAGCATGCGTTGAACACCATCTGTTTGGAGCACTTCGCGGCCAAGACCAGTTCCCGCGTGCATATCGAGTATGCCTTGGCCTCACGCGGGAACGTGCTGCGTATGCTACAGCATGCCTTGATTGCGCCATTTTGTCATCCCCGAGACATTGTCTTGACCCTCATGATCATGAGCTTCACCAGCCCGGTGGGAAATGACACTGGTGCATCTCGCATCCATGTGGAAGGCGCACTACAGTACCTTACTTGCCGAGAGCCGGCAACATTCGATGGGAACGAGCACTTACACCTCGTCTTGATGCGCCACTTACGGCCCTTTGCGCTCCACTGTGGCATGGCACAGAGGAAAGAGATTGTTTTCCGACACCCAGCGTGGGCCCGATTGCCTCGTAAACTCGGAGAGGACGACGCCCGGGTCTACAAAGCAGCCTGTTGGCTCCCGAAGGACGCCGACTCTACCAAGGTCTTCAGATGGCAACAACCCGACCTCTTCTCCGATGGTGCTGCCGGGCGAAACATCCCAAGAGATGTCGTCAACTCACTTCCCAGCTTGCTGGAAAAGACAGACGAATTTTTGACTCAAGATGCCAATGGCACTCCTAAGCTGTCATTTGCTGCGGCCACGTCGCTCGTGCGCCGCTTTGACAACATCCAAAAGTCGTCTGTCCTGCCGTCCAAAGTAGAGGCCGGGGCGAACAGGGTATCGATCCGCAACAATGACATCGACTCATTCCGGATGGACGTACAAGCACATTACTACCTTTACAGTACTACATTCGTGCGCGAACACTACACGTTTGAGATTCCTACCTCGGCATACACCAGCGTGACGGTCAGCGCGTTCGGCCTGTTGGTCGATTGCGCGCTGCTGCAGATCATCAGCCACGGAATGACACGCTACGGACTTCCGGCTGACTGGACGGGAGTCTCGCGGCGCGATGTAGAGCAGCGCGCTTATCAGGCAGCGTATGAGGTGTGCCAGCATGTTCACTTCTACAGTCAGCGGGGCTTGACCGCCGCCAGGATTATGTCAATCTGGGTGACTTATGCACGCAACTTTTTCGACAGCTACGGCGCCGAGGTCGAGAGGGAGTGGTGTAATGGCTGCCTGGAGGCGATTGCCTCGCGGATACGCCAACTCGAGGCAACCTCGTACTCGCTTTGCCCCATGATCGATATTTTGGATCGAATCTCCGGAAGCTTCCGTTATCAGCGCCCTCCTGGAGACGACACGTGGAAGACTCGCGCGTGGCCGTTCCGATGAGAACGCCATCAGTAGCCCAGCGTACATAGATCGGCCCCTTTCAACCCTCACTGGAACGAACCCGCAGCGGAGGCTGTCTCATGCACCATGAACAACGGCGTGGTGGCTACGTGGGCAGACGCCACCGCTCCCTCCCTGACCCTACCAGAAAGGAATAGTCGTCGGGGCATTCGCAGTGTCTACTCCCAGTGGACTGCACCTCCTGCTCCGAGGTCAATGAACCGCGTGTCAGCTGCTATGCTGACCTGCACTCCGGCGGGGGAGTCATGACCATTTGTATCGATATGTTTGATATTTGAAATGAACAAAGTTTGATCTATGCCCTTACAATTTGCTTCTCCCATCTTGAGGTATCTTGACCACAACCTTGCCCCACGTCTCCCTGTTTCCCAATGCCGTGAGCGCCTTTCCAACAGACTCCAGTCCAACGTACTCGGTCTCATCATAAATGGTCCCCCGCACCTTGCCGCTCTCGAAAAGCTCAAACAAACGCTCCCACACATTTGATATCTCCCCCGGCTCATATCTCGCGTACGCGCCCCAATGCAGTCCAACCACGCTGATGTTCTTCAACAGAATACGATTAGTCGCGATCTGTTCCCATGTTCCCCCAACGAAACCGATGACGACGAGCCGGCCGTTGAAGGCGATGCATTTTAGCGACTTGTCGATGAGGCCCACAGGGTCGTATACGATGTCGACACCTCGCTTGTTGGGAGTCAGCGCCAGTACCTGGTCCCACCACTTGTCGTCGCGATAGTTTATGCCGTAGTCCGCGCCAAAACGCTTTGCCACTTCAAGCTTGTGCGCGGTTCCAGCGGTGGCGATCACTTTGGCCCCAAAGGCCTTCGCAATCTGGACTGCCGCAAGGCCCACACCGCCGGCTGCAGCATGCACTAATACCCAATCGCCCGCTTTGATGTTTGCTCTCGTTACGAGCCCTGCGTACGAGGTGGCCATGGTTGTGAACAGTCCCGCGCCTTCCACAAAGCTGAATCTCTTGGGAATGGGCATCAACTGGCTCTCAGCCGCGCATAGCTGCTCTGCGTAGGCGCCCTGCGCGGTGCCAAACACCCGGTCGCCCTTCTTGTATTTCGCTTGTCCATTCTTAGGCTTCGCGGGCGTAGCAGTCACCACTCCCGCGAACTCGGCGCCGGAGATCCACGGAAGGGGCGGCTGGGTCTGATATTTGCCCTGGATCTGCAGCAGGTCGAAGAAGTTGGTTCCGCTGGCGTGGATGCGGACGGTGTATTGATCGGGCTTCGGTTTCGGCTCGGAAACGTCGGTGACTCTCAGATCGGACGGGCCCTTGTTGATGGTTAGCATTCATTCGGCGTGACCAGAGTTGCTGGCATATTTGGGGCAGGCGTACTTTGACATATTCTTTAATCTGTATGGCCCGCATCTTGGCGAGCAGAGCGAGGATAGAGGTAGGATGTGGGGGATGGTCAGACTTTGCGCAGCATTGAGAAACAAGTCGCCGTCCACAAAGGAGGATTTCTGAAGACGTCGGCACGAGTTGAAGATGCCTCGGCCGCGGCGCCTGTTTGGAAACGTGACGAAGGCACCGTTCCTTATCGATAAACGATCCGGCCCGGAGTCCGGCGGGACTAGCAGAACCTTATGTCATATCGTCGTGCGTCTCGCCGCTTCCATGACTTTCTTTATTTCACATCGTCAGCACACCTACCGTTTGAACCACAACGACACCTCGCACTAACAAGCGCGGAATTCCAAGCCACAGCCCATTCACCTCCTTTGCACACTCTGCACACCACAGCGAGTCTCGCTACTGTCTCCTGCGAGTAAGACGAGGCGGAAAGAGGCATTACCTCACCTCCAGATCTACCCGTTCGAACACTCTCATCCTGCGCTCTTTCTTCCTCTTCCCCAAGCATGGCCGACACAACAACCGCGGAAGAGAACGATCAGCAGATCACCTTCACCATCAAAGCCTCCTCCGACGCCCGATATGCCTTCACCCTCCCCGTCTCCACCACAGTCGCCGATCTCAAACAGAAGCTGTCAACCTCAGATCAAGCCGACATTCCCCCAGAGCGACAGAGACTAATATACTCTGGGCGCGTGCTCAAGGACCATGATACCCTTGCAGCTTGCAAGATAAAAGATGGCAATACTGTGCATCTCGTCAAGGGTGCCGACAGCAATTCGAGACAGAATCCCGCAAGTCAAGGCAGTGCGACCTCTGCTGTGCCGCCTGGCGCCGGCGGGCAAGCAGCAAGCAATGTTCCATCAAATATCGCTGCTGGCACCGGTACCGGGAATCCCCTTGCGCAGCTGACCGGTGCCCGCTATGCCGGCTTCCACGGGCTGCCAGGCATGGACGCATTTGGAGCAGACGGAGGCATGGGTGCTCCTCCCAATCCTGACCAGATGCTACGCATGCTCGAAGACCCCAACTTTGCGTCTCAGATGAACGAGGCAATGAACAATCCTGCCGTGATAGATATGCTCCGCAACAACCCCATGATTCGCAATAACCCCCTGGCGCGACAAGCGTTGGAGAATCCCGAATTACGGCGTATGATGATGAATCCCGAAATGATTCGGATGCAGATGCAGATGCAACGCGCGATGGGTGGTGGCGACGCGGGAGGGGCGGGCTCGTTTCCCATGCCCGGTCAGACGGATACGACTGAGAACGGTTCAACAAATACGAGTTCACCACCTCCAACAAGCCCGACGGCCAACACTGGCGCGGCAGCAAATCCATTCGCGGCTCTCTTTCCCGGCGGAGCAGGGGGGCAGCAACAACAACAAACGGGCGCTCAAAACCAGGCCAACCCGTTCCAGGCCATGACGCAACATCTAATGCAGAATCCTGAGGCGATGCAACAAATGATGCAAATGATGGGGGGCATGGGTGGCGAGAACCCCCGTTCCAACGCTGGTACCGGCGAAGCAGGAGCAACCGGAGGCGCGGCCGCGAACCCATTCGGTGCTTTCAACCCATTCATGTTCGGCGGTGCTATGGGCGGTGGCGGCGAACAGCAACCGCAATCACCACCTGACAACCGACCGCCAGAGGAGCGATACGAGTCGCAGCTACGTCAACTGAACGATATGGGATTCTACGAGTTTGAGAGGAATGTGCAGGCACTGCGGAGGAGTGGAGGAAGTGTGCAAGGGGCCGTCGAGTACCTCCTAACACAGCTGTGAACGAACCATGGGCCGGCGAGACTGGTTTAGACAGTCTGAATCCGGCTGATTTCAGCATAATTGGCTGTCCATAGGTGTTGCCTATGCATAACGGCAAACGCGGACTGACATATTCACAATCGACGAAACGCTACAGAGTTACTCCAAGACCAGTTCTCGCGGTGATTATTTCATTCCATCTCTGGCCAACGTGCCTTTGGAGATCTTTGCTCTGCTCCATTCTTTGTCTGCCGGTCCTGTGACGGTACTCGGTCGATTGTTCCATTATTTCCTTTCTCCCACGGACAGTTCATCATGCGAAAGGGAGCAACAATGAACAAAGAGGTATTGATGCTCTTTGTTCGCTCTCGGTCTCTTATCAATAATAACGGTGCTTCCAAAGCATGGCCATGATCGTCCCTCCAGAAAGAAATCATTACGAGACGCAAGCAGTATGACCGAGAAATCTACAAGAAAACACAGTGCATTGCTGGATGGTGGAGACAGTGCCAGCATGTTCGGTGGCGAGGACCCGTCGACGGAAGAGAAAAGAATTTCTAACAAAACAAGACGAGGCCTCAAAGGAATGGCCGGCGCCGGCAAGGCTGACGGGCCAACAGCGAGAAAAGCCAATCGTCTCTGTTGTCGCCATGCTTGCTTCGTTTTGACGGAACAGGCAAGGCCGGTAGTGTCGATTTCACAGCAAAGAAACGGCGTGGATCGAGAGATGACGGATCAGGCTCAACTCTTGTCGTCCGCAGACATCTACTTCTCTCCGGTCGATGCAACTGGAGGCAGCGTCGGGTTGAGTTCGCCTCTCGATATCCCGAAAGGACCGCCGACACAATAGTCATGTGATACAGTTTCTGCCGCTTACAGAAGGGAAATATTGAATTGATAACGGGGATTGGTAAGGACGTGGCGAGGCTATGACAGGTTGTCCGATTGATTGGGGAGTTGTGCTGATTCGCCTTGTATGGAAACAATGTAATGCGAAGAAGTAGTCAAAACAACGCTATGTACATGTCAACATCGCTGAGAAGCAAGCATCTATCTCTCGCCCTCCTCCATGCTGTGAATCATCACCTTGATCCCGCCCTCCTTGGGATTCGCCGCCACCTTGAAGGCATCGACCGCGTCCTCCAGGCGGAAGCGATGCGTCACCAGCTTGCTCAAGTCGAGCACTTTGCCTTGTAATAAACGGATGGCGCGGGGCCAGGTGTTGGCGTAGCGGTACTGGAACTGCAAATCGACCTCGCGCGTGCTCAGGCGCATGAAGGGGATCTTGATCTCGGGGCGGCCCACGCCAATGACAAACACCTTTCCGCCGAACTTGGCCGCGTGGATGGCGCCGGCGACGGAGGACTCCACGCCCGTGCATTCCATGCAAACCGCCGGCTCCACTCCGCCCGCAAGCTTGACCGCCTTCTCGGCAAACTGCTCCGGCGAATCGCCAAACTCGACCTTGAGCGTGCGCACGCTCGGGCAAAACTCCTTTGCGAACGCCAGGCGGCCCTCGTCAATGTCAGTGATGACGATGGGCTCGGCGCCGGCGGCCTTGACGCACGCCAGGGTGACGAGGCCGATGGGGCCGGCGCCGCAGATGAGCACGCTGTCGCCGAGGGTGATGTTGGCGCGCTGGATGCCGGCGAGGGCGACGGAGAGGGGCTCGAGCAGCGCGCCGTCCTCGTAGCTCATGTCGCCGATCTTGTGGCACCAGACGGCGGGGTGGTTGACGTATCTCCGCAGCAGGCCGGGGACGGGCGGGGTGGAGCGGAAGGCGACCTTTTCACAGCCATTGTAGCGCCCGGTGAGACAGGGCTCGCACTCGTTGCAGATGATGTTGGGCTCGACGGCCACGCGGTCGCCGAGCTCGTGCGTGATGACGGAGGGGTGCTTGGCCACCACCACGCCCGCGGACTCGTGGCCAAGGATGTGCGTGTCCTCGACGATCATGGGGCCTATCCGTCCATGGTGCCAGAAGTGGACATCGGATCTGGAGTGGGGCATTAGCGGCGGCTGCGGCGGCGGCCTTTGCGGCGCATGAAGGAGAATGTTGCTGCTCACCCGCAAATTCCGGTCGTCTTGATGGCCACCGTGATCTCGCCGGGCTGGAGGTCCTTGCCGCTTTCTGCGTCTTCTTGCGATGGGAGCGCATCTGCGACCCAAAGGTCATGGGCTGGGTTGGTGTAGACGCCAATGTTGGCCTTGGCCGAGGGCTTGACCCCGTTCACCTTGGTGGTGGTGGCGGTGGTGGTGGAGGGCATTGTCCCGGGGCGAACAGGGCGACGATTCTCGTTCAAGCGAATGGGGGGGCGACGGGAAGGAAAAAGCAGGAGAGAAGGAGGATGGAACGTCAAGGCCCCGTGGAGATAATGTATACTACACCGAGCTACACCACCGCGGGCGCGGGTCCCCCAAATTCTCCCGACGGATTAGGCTAAAACGATGTCGGTCTTGTGGTTGCTTTCGCGGTGTGGTCCCGATCATACGCGCCTGCCCTCATCCCCCACATTAGCCGAACTCCCCGGAGGGTGTCCGGAGGGCCAGAGCGTCGTATCGCAACTCATCACCGTCCCGTCGCAGGGTCAACCTTGATGGATGCACGTGGCGTCTCCTTCGCCCTGGACCGTTCGTGTGCCGATGGGGACTTCGGCGGCTTTGCCATTCGACAATTGGCCATCACGTGGGCCCCCTCGGTGGAGGTTTCCGCTCGGATTGCCTGGGGCTCATGAAATAGGGACTACCACCCTGATCATATACAGCCGCCAGATGGCTACGCCACGGCTAAGTGATATGTCGGCTTGGTACAGGCTGTTCGCGAATGTGAACAATGTGGAAATGGCTTATTAGAACGCGCAGTCGTTGTTAGGTCACGTTACGTGCCATGGTCTGGCCTTTTCATTGTCGTGTCTTTAGCTTGCTCTGCCTGCCTTGCGGCCGTATCTGTTCATCAATTGCCGTCAGGCTCTACCCTAACCCCATGAGTTCGTTCATCGCTCTATGCGATTGCATCGTAGATTCTGTGCCCCATGCTAGATGCCCGCTCAAATGCTGCAAACCCCGAAAATGCCATGCTAGTCATCACTCATTCCCACACAGCCCATCATCTATGCACTCGTGCGTGAGGTCGGGCAGCTATGCCTATTGCTCCGCTGTTCGTACTCGCCGGTACCGTCGCTCTTTGCGCATGCGAATCCCCTTGCTCACGCACGCCCCGCTGCTAACCAGATCCGACGCCCTCCGGTGATACCACTGATACTGCGGGGTTGTCACACTCGACTGTCGCGAGGCGTCGTCACTGCTGTTGTATCCTTCGTCATCACCATCGGCCGAAGGCGAGGATGGCTCCGGGGAAAGCGGGCTGACGCAGCATTGTTCTCCCGCATCCACCATGCCCGCAATCAACGCTGCGATATCCCGACGATGAGAGGTGGTGCAGAGCAGTTGCGTGTGTAGCTGGCGATGTGCCCGCTGTGATGGCGAATGAGGGCGCGGCGGAGGGTATGATCGTACCCGGTGGAGGGCATCGTTGTTGCCGGCTTCGAGCGGAGGGATGGACCAGCTGGCATCGTCATCGGTGTTGGCGTAGGATGTGCAGGAGTCGTAGCATATTTGCGCGTTCCGTTGTATTCTTTGCTGCGAGAACTGTGCGGCCAGATCGGTGACGCTGAAGTCTGTAGGGGAAGGTGCTCCCGAAGTGCAGGGTGAGGCGGAGCGGGTCGAGCTCCGGGCGGGATTTGAGGTGTTCATGAAGGAGTCCACGCGAGTTGGGCGAGGGGTGAAGGAGAAGTTTGCGTTGAACATGATCAAGGGTCGTAGCGATTGCCCGAGTGGAGAATGCCCGTATACTCCTCGGATGATCGCGCAGGCGGGACAAGACGAATGGGCGAAAGAGAGGTCCGTGGAGATGTGTTGGGGAATGCTTTCACTCTTTATGTCGGCGGGTAAAGAATGACGCTCCCGGCCAGAAGTGGCTTTCTAGGAGGACGATAACATAGAGAGCCCAGGGGAGCGGGAGAGACGGCGCCACGACGTCGTTTTATTGCAAGCGCAGGCGCGGAGAGGACGGGAAGTGTTGCAGTGGCGGTGATCGGCCCTTTGCCAGTGGATCGAGACCTGTCACTGGGGCGGAAGAAGGTGGAGGAGCCGCCTGCAAATTCCCTCTTTCTGTGTGGCGTCGACGCGCTCCACTCTCGTTGGCTCGCCCGCGTCACAGGTGGGGCTGATCGGCCCGCTTGGCGACGCCCACGTTGAGGCTCGGTCGGCTCAGGGATCCCTTCTAGAAGGACTGGAGCAACCTAGAGCGCTGCGTGCGGCATCTGGCCAGCCTTGTCTCTCCGACCAGGCACAACACACCAGCGCGGCATTGGCATTCCTTGGCCACTCTTCCTTCCCTCATCCGCCACTTCCCGACCACCATCGTGCTGCTGGCAGAATCCCCGGAAGTTGTCCCGCTGGCCTCCAAACCGACAGTGGCCGCGAGAGTTTGCCCGTCACGGCCAAGCTTTGCTCCCTCCCGCCGATCTTTCCCCTTCCCCAAGTGGCGATGCACCTTGGCACGCTGACGTAATTTTACTGCGGCATTAACACCGGAAATGAGCCCGGCGAACACGAGTGTCGCCGCGCACGCCTGGATGTTGTCTTAACCGCTCGTGATGAGCACCCACCCGTGGACACATTCCGAGAAGATGCCTGGATGCCTTGGCCACGGCATGCAGGGTGTGTACGCCCCGACAAACAAACAGAACGTATGCGCACATCCATCGATCGCGGCCGATCCTTTCGCCATTGATCTCCGGCGCGCATGAGATGAGCCGCAGGTTGTGCTCCAGATCCGCAAGTACCGACACCGATCGTCGCTTCATCGAGCGCAGACTACCCCACGTGGTGGTGTACTGTAGCACGTATACTGTGCACAGTACTTCCGTGCATTCTCGGAACACGATGCCGTTCAGTGAGCTGGGCACCGATTGGCTCGTATCCTGATACTCTGTTTGTCGACATGGGCTCCGTGATTCCGAATCACGACGTCCTAGCACGCCAACAAATTTCCACGCGATCAATGTAGCTTGGCCACGTTACATCCACCAAGTCCTCGCGATCTCGGGATGCCGCGATGTCACGGAAGTCGATGGTGTATCGTATCGCGGTGTTGCGACAAGCCGGATCACTAACATTGGTGTGCACCTGCAATGCCATTGATTGAAACTCTAATGACCACGCAGAACAATGCGAACACGGACCGCTCAGTATGATGCTCTGAGCTCAGGCCTGACCTCGTACATGATCTCTGCACTTCAGTCCCGGGACTGAGTATATACTAGGCTATCAAGCTAGCGAGATACGCCAGCGTCGATTAGTAGACAAGAAAAAGCAACGGCCTACAATATCACAATCTCGCCAACGCCGCGCGATCTCCGCCCTTGGCTGACAATGAGAGTCGCTTTCCGGTCTCTTGCGGCACGAATGCCTCGTCCGCCCGCACAGCATGCCAGTCTTCACTCGTGATGCCTCTGCTTTCAAACGCAGGATTGTATCCCAAGCGTTCGCGCCCGTCTCGCAGGTGCTCAACATGCTCCCACTTGGGTGCGGGCTTGCCGTCAGAGCGTCCGATGATGGTCACGTATGCAGTCCCATCCGGTCCGAGGGTGTACTGCAAGCAATTCTTCGCATTTGGGACCGAGCGGTCGCGAGTCCAGCCACGAAGTTGCCACACTAGTCTCGATGAGCTTGGGATCCCTTTCAGACGCTATGCACCGGCTTGCACGTACCTAGTTCGCACATGCCGGCTAGGCCGGTGCTTCCAACGAACGGGTTGGAGATGGGTGAAGCATGACCGTCCTCCGTTACGTTCAACGCGCCGAGCGCCTGCTGAGCGCTCATGTTGGACCCGTGTCGCAATTCCAGGATTTGGATGTCGTCGGGAGCGAGGACCGCCTGCTCGAGAGCTCCTTCAATGGCCAATTTGGTCGACAGCGTCTCTTCTGCCGTGAGCGGTGATTGGGAGTGGACGGGGCTGGCCACTTTCGCCCCCCGGATCACCACGGCTGCATCCTTGAGGTATGCGTGAGACGTGAGGAATGTATGATTGACCAAGACGGCGGCAACAGCGGCGACCTGTGTGCGATTAGAAGAAAGACATGATTGAGCGGGAGTGGCTCGCGGGGCTGACGTACCCGGCCTCCCTTTCCGAACCACTGCTTCCTGTGTGGTTCCTCCTTCGCAGTCGATTAGCATTGCATTCTTGCTACATCGAATTGCTCGAGACGACTCACCTGGTCAAAACCGACCACCAGGATGCAATCGGAGGTGCCGGACTTGATGAATTGCCGGGCAATGAACATGCCGGAATACCCCTCGACCTTCGTGATGGGGGCGCCGGTCTTGCCGAAAGACTGAAAGACACGCTTTGACACTTTTAAGTCGTCGCCCAGGAAGCAGGCAATGCCGTGCTTGACATCGCTGTAAGACACGCCGGCATCGAGAAGCGCCTTCGTGGCTGCTGATATGGCTAGCTCCTCAATGTTGGACGCGGAATGGCGGCCTTTGAGATGGCTGATGCCGACGCCGGCAATGTAAACGGGTGGCACAACCATTGTCGCAATTGTCTCCTCGGGCTGTTCGAATATACCTCAATCCGGGACTTCCCTGACTCTTGAAGAAGGGGTGATGTCTGCGGAGCTCCCAGGGATGTGATGTGGTCCAGGCTCAGGTTGTTGCCCGAGGTAGAGATGGGTGACATCATTGGCTGGAACTCCACCCCCGCAATCCTGCGCGATCCGGGGCCAATCGGAACGGGGGGTAAGGGTTGCGGGGGGAGAGGTGAGCTCCATCACTTCCGATCTGCTTGTTCACATTGGAGTCTCCCTAAGAAAGAAACCAGCCTTGTGCGGTCGCGGGGATTGACATTGCTCTGAGGAAAAGCGCAGCAGTCCCACTTTCACTACGTCCGCCCCCGAACGTCACATCATCAGCTGAGTAGTCGTCTCATCCGCTCGTCAAGATGGCAGCCGAAAAGGAGCAAGAGTCGAAGAAGGAGGGGAAGCAGGAGGCGAAGAAGGAGGGGAAGCAGCAGGAGAAGCAGGAGGGGAAGCAGCAGGAGAAGCAACAGGAAGAGCAGGAGCAAGAGCAAAAGCCAGACAATCGGCCGCCGTCGATAGTCTGGGGTCCCTCCGCGCCCAAGCCATTGACCTTGACTTTTGGCGAGCTCCTCGACTATCATGCCGAAGTTCGCGGGAACAAACCGGCCGTCATCTCGCATGTCCAAGGCACGACGACTACCTTCAAACAGCTTCGCGACAGGAGTCTGTCCTTGGCGCGGGCCTTTTCGCAGGATGGCATCAAGAAGGGCGATCTGGTCGCCATTTCCATGGGAAGCCGGGTGGAGTACTTTGAGGTGGGTTACTCAAATGGCGGTCAATCTTCTGTGCTGACATGGCCTTTCTAGACCTTCTTTGCCTGCGCCTATCTGGGTGCTGCGCTCGTGTGTCTGAATTACGCCTACACTGACTACGAGATGGTCGCCTTGCTCAAGATCCTCAGTAATCTTCATCCTCTCCTCGCGCAACAGCTCCTTCGCTGACACCTCATCGCATAGGTCCCAAGATGCTCGTGGCTCCGCACGGATTTCAATTCTACGACTACACCACCCTCTTCCCCAAGCTCGAAAAAGACGTAAAGTCCATCCAGAAGTATATCTTGGTCCAGGATATCGCGGGCAAATACAAGCACAACGGCAAAGCACCGAAATTCCTGGACTACGAGCTGTACATCAAGCAATACAGCCCGTCGGCAAGAGCGCTGCCACAGGTCCATATCTCCCCGCACGATATGGTGAACGTCGAGTTCACATCTGGATCCACCGGCTTGCCGAAGAACGTGGCTCTTTCGCACTACAACATCATGAACTGTGGCCGTTTCATTTGGCAGCAAGTTCGGATGACTGACGATGATCGCGTCTGCCTTCCCGTGCCACTGTTTCACAGTTTTGGCATGATTGTCGGTTAGTCGTTGAAATTCTTGTTGTATCTGGGTTTCTTTGCTGACAAGTTTCTCAGGTGTCAGCTCCAGTACCGTGGCAGGCTCGGCATTGGTCCTCCCGAGCGAGCTGTTCAATTCCAAGGCCGCGCTAGAATGCATTGGAAAGTACAAGTGTACGGCCGTGTACGGAGTGCCGACCATGTTTGTCAACGAGATGGCACACGCAGACTTTGAGAAGACCGATCGATCTTCCGTCAAGTGAGTCCTCTTCTCTCATCCTTCTGGCAATCCCCGCTGACTCGCGTCACAGGTTCGCCATCATCGCAGGTGCAGCCATGCCACCGGAACTCCTCAAGCGCATCGTCAACAACTTCCCTGTGCCCCGCCTCTACACTTGCTGGGGCATGACCGAGCTGTCCTCCTTCGTTACAATGATGCACGAAACCGACCCCTTTGATAAGCGAGTTCAAACGGCCGGCCGGCTCTTCCCCAACTATGTGGCCAAAATCGTCAAGGCCGGCACTGGCGAAGTCGTCCCGTGGGGCGAGAGAGGCGAAATTGTCGTCAGCGGCTTTGGGCAAATGTCCGAGTACTTGTGCAACGAGGCGAAAACGAAGGAGGCCCTTAAGTACCACGAGCAAGACCTCGAACCCGGCGGTGTAGGAGGGCTGGGCAATGGCACGGTGCTGCGCCGGTGGATGCACACGGAGGACGAGGGCTACCTCGACCCCGAAGGCTACTTTGTCATCTCCGGCCGCATCAAAGACATTGTCATCCGCGGCGGAGAGAATATCTCGCCCATGGAGATCGAAGAGCGTCTTATTGAGCACGAGGCCGTCGAGCAGGTCTCCATTGTCGGCGTGCCCGACGAGAAGTACGGGGAAGAATTGCTGGCGTTTGTGGAGATACGGGGCGACGTGCAACAGCCCAGCGACGACGATTTGCGGGATTTTGTGCGCCAGAAGTTGGCGCGCTTCAAGGCGCCCAAGTACTTCAGGTGGATTGGCAGTGGCCAAGAGGGCATCCCGGACGATTGGCCCAAGACGATGAGTGGGAAGATTTCGAAGCCGGATTTGAGGAAGCTGGCGGGGAAGCTGGAGCTCGAGGGCAAGCCAAAGGAGTAGTTCCGCCTGTCGGGCGAGAAAGGATGCTCAGACGTGTACACCGGGTTGTAAGAAGGGTTGATATGGTGTTTGTTAATGGTCACTTGCTCTAGCAATACTTGAAGAGTAAGAGAGGGCGGTCCGGCTGTCGCCGCGATAGACGACTCTTGAGTCTCCGTCTCTCTATATCTTCTCGCCTCTTTCCACAGCAATGTTCTGCTGGTAATCCTCGATTGCTCCACCTTCAACTGTCTCCTCGAACGCGTCCACTTCTGTTTGCCTGAACTTCCTCGCACTAATCTTGCGCTCGAACAAGATGTCCAACTCGGCGTATGTCCGGCCGGCGGGCTTGTGAGGAGAGTCAGTTATACATCGGCACATCTTCTCTGGAGACGAGATACGAACCTCGGGGATTCTGAAGTACGCATAGATGACGGAGAAGAAAGCAGCGCCGGCCCAGAAGAAGCCGGCAAAGTTCCCCCAATTCCCTTTCGCAAGGTCAGCAGGGTGTCGATGCAACTACCCGTGTCAAGGGAAACTCACATTCCGTTGGATTCAACATGTACGGCGTCAATACGTTGCAAACAATCGCGACGACAATGTACATCGCCCGCCCCAGCGCCACCGTCTTGATCTGCAGCCTCCGCGTCGACAACTCCCCTACAAGCGAGTAGCACACCGTGCCCACCGTAAGCTGGTAACAGCAAGCCCACAGCAGCATGATGACGCCCGTCGTCAGAGCAGCGGCGCTACGATCGGGTGCGAGACCGAGAAAGCCGAGAATCATGAGAATGCAGAAGAGCCCGCACAGGCCGTAGAGGTAGAGGGATCGCCGCCCGAAGCCGAGACTTATGAGGAACCAGGCGCCGAAGACGCCGACGACATTGATGGCGGATTTGCCAAGGACGAAGTCGAGGGCTTTGCTGGAGGAGAGGCCGGCTTGTTCGAGGAAGTAGGCGGCGTAGCCTGGGAGGTGAAGGTTAGTTGTGGTCAGACACATCAAGAACTGAAGGGATTGCTACGTACCGGCGAAAGAATTCCCGCAGAGATTTTGAATTGCCCATGTCATTGCCACGATTTCTGTACGGCGCAGATTTGTGCCCTGCAGGAGGTGAAGAAGAGGAGGTCAGCGCGATTCCCATCGACTCAATGTACAGCGTGGCTTCAGCACTCACCCGGAAGCAATCAGCGTACGTGGCGCCAGCGGTGATTTGCTGCTCGAGAGCAGTGGTATGAGCAATCATAGCAACAGTCTCATCCGGGTCGAAATTTGTATCGCGCTTGAGCGAAGTCAAGCGACGTAGCGACTTCTTCGCATCCTCGATCCGGCCCTTGCGCACTAGCCACCACGGGCTCTCGGGGGCGAGGAAGACGGCTATCGAGAGTGGGAGCGGCCAGATCCATTGCAGGGAATATGGCACTCGAAAGGCACGGTGGTCGTTCCAGTGGCTCGCGCCTTTCACACTCCCCACGCCAAGTAGCTGGCCGATTCCCCAGCAGGCGTTCACCCAGGTGGTCAGATATCCTCGCAAAGCGATCGGGCACACCTCGGATGCGTAGGATATGACGAGCGTTTGAAATATTCCAAATGGAATTCCACTCAATATATATCCCACAAGCAGTTGAGTCAGGGAGGTGGCGGTAAAGTAAAGAGAAGTCCATGCAGCCACCAGAGCCATGCAAACGATGACAGTCCAGCGGTATCCGAATCGCTCGGTGACAAATCCGTTGATGACCAGGCCGATGATCTGTCCGCATGATTGTCCGTTGGACAGGCCGGCCTGCCACTTCGCCGAGATCTGTGTCTTTCCATCGGGATGCAGCGTGCCGAACGTGTGCTGGAATTGTGGCAGAGCGTCTGAGATGGGTCAATCACAGAATGTCACTTGATGGCAGAGACAAGTTCGTCCTTACAGAAGTTGGGTAAAAGACAAACATCGAACGCTTCCATCACGATGCAGAGCGAAATGATCATCGACCAGGCGATTGCTGTCGACGAGTCAGCTCATCCTGTACTCGCGTCGAAGGCGTGGGACATACCTTTGGGATAGGTGCGAATGCCCTCCAACAGAGTCATCCTGTGTTCCTTATCCGTCGCGGCCTGCGCCTGCGAGATGGCAATCTTGTGGGCGGAAGCAACATTGTCTGGCGCATGGTGGATGGCCTCACTGGTCTCCACCTCAATCTTCTCGTTCGCCATGGTTGGACTGCAGCGCCAGACGATATGCTCGAGGACTCGCCTGGACCGATGAGGTCGAGGGGATCCGCCATGTTCTTATGTACCTCCACGTGCTGACCGACGATCTCTGTTAGCCACCAGCGCGGAGTAACATTGGGCAAGGCCGCGGCTATGGGCTGAGGTCGCAGTCAAGAGCGCTGATCGACTGGGGTGCAGCGCGCACGGCGAATCAAATCAACCGGACGACATGACGCGATTGTGCCAAATTATTCCGCACGTCGGTGCATTATCAATTCAGCGTGAATGGATCCGTGATGGAAAAGTGATGCATTGCCGATAACACGCCTGGGAGAAGTCGTTTCTTCGTTTGTTGCGTACAGGTCTTCCTCTTCGAATGCTATCGCTTCGCAAGTCGGAAAGTGCAGCCAAGCAACACCTCACCATCGCACCCAGCACCGCATATAATCCGACATCGCACGACTTCGTAAGCACTCGTCTCATAAGATCGGAGGGCTTCTTCGTGCAGCTCCGACTTCACCAAGAAAGCCCACCCTTCAACCACGTCCTCCTCATTCCCATCAACCAGCGCTTTGTACTTGTTTCCCCATATTGTAAGCTTTGCTCCAGCCACTCGCGCGGGCCGAAGCTCGTAGTTTGCAAGGTCATAATCGTCGCCGTCCAAGTGTTGCAGAAGGGAGTGAAGGGTTTGCTGGCTGGCCAGCGTGCCATAGAAGAAGTACCAGACCGGGTACTCTGCCTGCGCAGGTCGGGGTGAGGTCTCAACTGTGGTGAATCGATATTGCGGAAGCGTGGCGTCTTGTCCCAGCGTCGGCGAGATCGATGTTATGTCGAACTCTTTGCGGGCGAGAGAGCGCATGACGAACATTGGCCGGAAGGTTGGGTGATGTTCGCGGGTCCAGGTGAGAATGGATTGCTTCGTCGCGGCATCCACCTTACAGAAGCTGGCAGCCGTCCCATCTCTCTCCGATGCTCCTTCGAAAAGTTTGGGAGCGGCGGTGAGTCCGGTGATCTCGGCAACTTGGTGTGCGCACGAGATCGGACCATCCAAGCGCAATAGATATTCTTGGCCGGATTGCCCGTTCTCCGCGCCGACGTTGGCGGTGGTACCGCTTGTGATGTGTTGAGAGGAGGCTGTGCGGGGGATTCGAAGCCAGTGAGAATAGGTCTCGCGGTCATGGCCGAGGGCTTCTTGCTGCTCTCTGACAGCATCCCACAGCGCTGCGGAAACCATAGAGGTGAGGTCGTCTCGTTGTTCGTCAATCTTCATTCTCGCCTCTTCGGCGCTGTAGCCGAACAGCCTTTGCCACTTCTCCATAGTCTCGGCGTCGTCGGTCTCAGCGTCGTAATTCGCGTTAGCCGCCATAGCTTCTAGAATGTCGAGGGCATCCATCTCGCCGATTCGCGCTGTGAGGTTTGCAAAGATCTTTGATTTGCAAGATGAGGACCAAGGAAAAGGCGAAGCGATGTTTATGAGTTGGTTGCGGTCGAAAAAGTGCCTCCCGTGGTGGAGCGAAACCAGTCGCCATTGATGACAACCAGCGGCTTCCTCATTGGCGAATATCCTCATGACCGTCCCAAGTCGCTGCCACACGCACACGCAGCCGCACGCTGGTGCAGGAGCGTCTCATGTGGCTTCCAAGTTGCCGATGGCATTAACAATGCCAGAGTTATTCCTTCCTTCGCGACATATCCGCAACTCATCTCCCATCGCTGACATTTTGCACCTTCCTGTACTCTTCCTCCAGCTGCCTCTGCATTTCAAAGTCGACTTGTCGTTCTCTCTTGAGCCGCTGCTGCTCCATGTCGCGGACGACGCCTTGATGCATAGCCTGGAGCGATGGTCAGTGAGTGATGTTCTGCAATATGCACTGCAATCCCATCAACGTACGGCTTGGTCGGCCCTCTGTTGGTAGTGGACAAAGACTACGACGCCTAGCGCAGCAGCCGTGGTGGAGGCCAGAGTCAGCTTCGCCGCCGTAGACATCGAGGAGGTATAGTCGTCTTGGTGAAAGATCAATGCAGCGATCAATCCCTTGCACATATGCCTTCACCATAAGAAGTCCGTTGGCTGCTGGTCAAAATGGATGACGGCGTGGACAAAAGTCGCAGCCAACAACCTCGCCTTCCCATGACTCTCACATGACTACCTCACCCTCCAACCCTCTGCATTGCGTGGTCCTAGTCCTACACAATGTTGGAGAGTGGCCAGCTTGACATTCAATAACGCCCACGCCACATCAGCTGTCACTCACTTGACCAGCGCATGATCTCGTCACATCGCCTGATCAAACGCAAACGTGCATGCAAGGCGCACAAGCCGCTCCCAATCTAGAACATGCATGAAGAGCGGCCTCCTGCACAACGGTGAGCGGACGTGCGCATAACCATTTCTGCTTCATTCCTGTCTTTGCCTCTCTTTTCTTCCTCTTCCCATCTACCGTTTCTCGCATCAACGACTCCGGGACCACAAGATGAAGCGATTGATCGTAGCGTGTGACGGCACTTGGCTGGTCAGCACCTAAGCAAGCTCAATCTGCGCGCTTGCAGTCTCCTGACCGTCTCTAGGACAGCGACAATGGCTTCTACAGAAGCTCCTGGCTCCCGTGGAAGACAGGCGGCTACTTGGCCACACCCTCAAACGTCACGCGCATCTGTCGCGCCCTCCACACACGCTCCGAAGACGGCATTGAGCAAATCGTCTACTACCAAGCTGGTGTGGGCACTGCCAATGACTGGTACTCTTTCTTCTTCGGCGGCTACCTGGGCGATGGCATTTCTGAAAACATTCGAGAGGCCTACGCCTTCCTCTGCAGCGTTCGTGTCTACCTCCCCAACCGCCATGCATGTTTCTGATGACGGTTTAGAACTACGAGGATGGCGACGAGATCACTCTAGTTGGATTTTCCCGCGGCGCCTTCACGGCTCGGAGTGTCGGAGGGTTGATCGGGGATGTCGGCCTGTTGACCGACAAAGGTCTCAACAGCTTCTACGACATCTACACTGACTGGCAAAACCAGGAGAATCCCAACTACAAGCCACAGTACGGCACTCCGGCGTGGCCCAAGACACGACCGAGGTTCAGCGATCCCACTTACGTTCCGAAATTGGTCGAGGTATGTGAAGGGGACAATTGTGGATTGCGGTCAATGACTGAACTGTGTGTCTCTAGGCCGGCTTGACGAGGCCTTCGATTCCGGTGAAGTCAACCACTGTCTGGGACACCGTCGGTGTGCTCGGCGTGCCACTGATCAAGGTCTTTGGCATCACTCTCTACAATCCTGCCCACAAGCAGTACTCCTTCATTAATACGAAAGTGCCCAACAATGTCGAGTACGCCTGTATGTCTAATCTATTCTCCCCCTGCTATATCACCAGTTGACATCGGCTTCCAAAGACCAAGCGCTTGCTCTCGACGAAGAGCGCAAGCCCTACGCGCCCACTCTGTGGGAGTCGCCAAAACCCGGGAGCCCTTCACGTCTCAAGGAGCTCAAACAATGCTGGTTTCCAGGCGTGCACGTCAACATCGGCGGCGGGACCCCCGACACCTCCATCTCCAGCATCACGTTGGCCTGGATGATCAGCCAGCTCTCTAAGCATCTGTCCTTCAAACCAGACTATATCCTCGGACAGCGAATTCAGAACGTCGACTACTATAAAGAGAACGACCTCCCGGTGGCAACGTGGGCAATGGGCGCGATCGTGCAAGACGACACTGGCCTACTGAACGACATCCTGGGAAGGCAAGTTCGCACGCCAGGCGACTACTACGCCACCAATCCCGCCACTGGGAAGTCCACCGATCGAAGGCTCACCGAAACCCACGAATTCATGCATCCTTCCGTCCACTATCGCATTGCCGAACATGGTCCTGGACTGGTGAAATCTGCCACCAGCCCGCCGCGAGGGTCATACGAGCCCAAAGCGCTCAAGGGATGGAAATACTTTGCGCCAGGCGAGCCAGTGGGAGATGTCAAGCTTGACAGTATGGATGGGGCGCGCTCGTGGAAGGACTATGGGAAATGGACGATTCGACGATCGGACGGCACTACCACGCTCATTGTTGAGGAGAAAATCGAACCGAACTCCGACGAAATGGAACTGCTGCAAGCTTGGGGCACGGCGATTACGGCGAAAGTGCTTGCGTCGTAGTGAGTGCGGTCTGGTGAAGTCTGATTTTGTCTCTTCTTTTCATTTCAAGTGTGTGCTCTACGCTGCCCTGAATTGGGCTGAGCACAGGTAGCTAAGGTGCGCGTGCGAAGGAAACATCCATAGCCATATCGTCAAATAGCAGACACCTCACGGCTCCGTGAATCGATAAGTCTCAGTCGTCTCTCGGCTCCAACTTGATGTGAGGCTCCTGCTCCGGTTCCTGTTCCTGTTTGATGAAACCATGGGCTTTCATGTGTCCTCGCTAAGACTCACTGACTTCCCTCCTCGTCACATTCGCCGGCGCGCGCTCCACAAGATGTCGACTAGCCCGCCAAATTTGGATCAGGTTATCCTCTCCCGCAGAGCACATGACCCAGGGGTCGTTCTTGTTCCACGTGAAATCGCTGACTCGGTTCGTGTGTCCGCCGTGCATGAAGAGCATCTCCGGTGGGCCATCCTCAGCGTCTTCCGGCGTCTGCTCGGCGCCTGCCTTTGATAGATCCCAGAAGATGATTCTGCGGTCTTCGGAGCTGGACGCGAGGATGGAGGAGTCGGATGGGTGCCAGGAGACGCTGCTGATGACGTCCTTGTGGCCCTCGAGACTGTGGATCTTGCCGTGGTCGGGGAAGCGTAGGTCGAAGACGCCGATGGTTTTGTCTGCGGAACCGGTGGCGAAGAGTTTGTCGAGGGTGGGGTGGAAGGCAAGAGTATTGATGGCGTCTTGGTGTGCATTCTTGAAGATGATGGCGGGTTGAGAATTGTTGCTCCGACGGAGATCCATGAGCTGCATGGTGAGGTCGTCTGATACCGAACCGAAGAGGTTCTTGCCATGTGCGGGATGGAATTGCACGTCGTTGACAGTCGCAGAGTGGTGGGTGAATGTGCGCGCAGGTGAGATGGTCTTGTTGTTGAGGTCAAAGTCGCGCTGAAGATCCCACAAGCGGACCGTCTGATCTTCGGAGCCAGAGAGGAGTTGGCCTTCGGTGAAGGGGTTCCACTCGAGCGCGAAGCCCTCCCCTTTGTGACCCTTCAGAGTCGCCTGAGGAGTGGAAGTGTCCTTTGGAACGGACTGATGTTTTGACCGATCCCAAATGTACACGTTCCTATCCGCTGCCCATGTAGCGATGATGTTAGGGTTCTGTGGTTGATACCGCGCCTTGTTCACTTCGCCGGGGTGGATGATTTTTTGTACGATGCTGAAGTTGATGGGCTCTTTGGCTGCGCCATGACCGCCCAGTTCTTCCGTGGCAGGATTGTAGTCTGCGAGGCTGGCGGCGGGAGGGTTGGGGAGGTTCACGTGCGCAATTTGGAGATAATCGGTGGATGCACCGGAGGTGTGGGTGCCGAGGAGTAGACGATGGGTGCGGAAGGCCTTACCAGGCACCTCTTGGACATCAGGCAGCCACTGTGTGGTGAGCGTGGGCCATTCCAACGCGCGACTGGAAGAAAGTCAGTGGTGGTTGCCGCGGGAGCTTTGCAGTGCGATGGCAGACTCACCTGTACATGATGTCGTAGAGAAACACGGCGTTCTTCTTCCATATCTTGTACTCCTCGTTGATCATCTTGTTTGCCAGGATCTCCTGGTCCGCGTTCGACATGTCTGTTGCAGGCAGAGGAGTGTTAGCGAGGGAGATGTTGCCCGCAGAGGCTCTTGAGCAGGCGGCGTGGGGATATGCGGTGAAGTGGGCGAGGCAGATGGGGATGGTCTTACCGGTGTCTTCCATGGTGAGCAGACGGGGTGGACTGGTTGAATGCGAAGAGGAGGAATGAAGACAGAAACGCTGAGGACGTCTGTCTCAAGCACGAACTGCATGAATTGGCATCGCGAACGCGACTCGCGTGAAGTGCGGCAGTTAAGGTTCTGGAGTGACTAAGCATTCCCGCCCGCCGGGAGCACCCGCCGAATTCGACAACACATCACTCATCGCCTCCCGCTCCAGCCTGTTTCTCTTCTTCCAAGGACTCCGTGTCGCGAAAGCCACCGCATTCTTCTTCTTCTCTCCCCCTTCTACCCCATTCTCTCTTCTCTCCTGCCCTCACTCCCCCTGTTGCCGACCCCGGCTGATCTTGAAACACAGCAGCCGTCATGGGTAAGCAAGCCTCCACAGCTTCACCGAGTATCACTAGTAATGACTTCGCAAAGGTGTTCCCAAATTCTTCCGTTGGCTCAGTGAGCGATACCCGGCTATCTCACAGCTCATCGCCGAGAATCGCATCCCCGAGTTCGACTGCCTCTACCTCGACATGAACGGCATCATCCACAACTGCACCCACAAAGACTCCGATGTCGCGGTCACCAAGCATGTCACCGAGGACGAGATGTTCATCAAGATCTTCAACTACATCGAGCACTTGTTCGGTAAGATCAAGCCGCAAAAGCTGTTCTTCATGGCCATCGATGGAGTCGCGCCGAGGGCGAAGATGAACCAGCAAAGATCTCGACGATTCAGGACTGCCAGGGACGCAGAAGAGACTAGAGCCAAAGCCATAAAGGAAGGAACCGAACTGCCAAAAGAGGATCCATTCGATTCGAATTGCATCACACCGGGCACAGAGTTCATGGCAAGACTGACCCAACAACTGAAATATTTCATCGCGAAGAAAGTGAGCGAAGATATCGACTGGCAAGGATGTGAGGTCGTGCTTTCCGGACACGAGGTGCCAGGAGAAGGAGAGCACAAGATCATGGAGTACATCCGCCAAGCAAAGAGCCAGCCAAACTACGACCCAAATGTGCGACACTGTCTGTATGGATTGGATGCCGATCTGATCATGCTGGGGCTTCTCAGTCATGACCCTCATTTCTGTCTGTTGCGAGAAGAAGTCACTTTCGGCCGCCAGGGCAAATCAAAGAACCAAGACCTCGAGTATCAGAACTTCTACCTCATGCACCTGTGCATCGTGCGCGAATATCTCGAGCTGGAATTCCAGGAGTTGAAAGAGCCGAATGTCCTTGGTGCGGGCGTGCAGTTCGACATGGAACGCATCATCGACGACTTCATCCTCATGGCATTCTTTGTCGGAAACGACTTTTTGCCAAACTTACCTCATCTCCACATCAACGAAGGCGCTTTGGCGCTGATGTTTGGCGTGTACAAGCAAGTCTTGCCCAAAGCGGGAGGATACATCAATGAAGGCGGTGTCATTAACCTGAAGCGTTTGGAGCTGCTTCTGGACGCTCTGAGTGATGTTGAATACCGCTTCTTCGAACACGAAAACCAGGACGCAAATTGGCTCAAGGACAAGAGTTTCGTGAAGGAAGATGTGATGGAGAAGGTGAAGAGGAAAGGAGGTCAAGTCGTGATGACCACCGCACAGAGCAAGTTATACCAGCAGATCAAGAGCTACGTCAACACCGGCGCGACGACCTTGAGCAATGAGCACGCTCCTCTCGATCTGCCGACGACTCTGAAGGCGGCCGACCGGACATTTGTGACAGATCTGGCCACCAGCTTGCATATGGGCTGCAACAATGTTGCCGATGATGACGGTAACAGACACCTGCAGCTTTCGTTCCCGCAACGACCAGAAATGGACGGTGAGGAAGACGACGATGACGAAGAAGCTCAAAACGCTCTCCTCCGCGTTTTCAAGCGATACGATCGCGCGAAGATTGAGGAAGTGAGCGCCGAAGACGCACGAGACAAAGCGCAGCAGAAATACGAACAGAGATTCCAGGGCTGGAAGAATAAACATTACACCGAGAAGTTCGAATGGGGTCTCGAGAATGAGGGAGAATTGCGCAATCTCACCGAGAACTACGTTCAAGGCCTGCAGTGGGTGCTCTTCTACTACTACCGCGGCGTTGCAAGCTGGCCATGGTACTACCAATACCACTATGCCCCCATGATCAGCGATGTGAAGAAAGGCCTGGGCGCAAACATGCACTTCGAGCTCGGCCAACCGTTCCGACCGTTCCAGCAGCTGATGGGTGTTCTTCCGGATCGCAGCAAGAAGATTGTCCCGCCGGTATACTGGGACCTGATGACGAGCCCCGACAGCCCAGTCATCGACTTTTACCCGCGAGACTTTGAGCTGGATATGAACGGCAAAAAACAAGACTGGGAGGCCATTGTCAAGATTCCATTCATCAATGAGAAGCGGCTGCTCGAGGCCATGAAGCCCAAAGACGCGATGTTGACACCCGACGAGCAGCAACGAAATTCGTTTGGCGTCACGATGAAGTTCACATACGACGGCCAGACAAGCTACACCTACCCCTCGAGCTTGCCCGGCATCTTCCCCGACCTGGAGAATTGCCATTGTGTGGAAAACATTTTCGAACTCCCGACGATGGAAGGCCTAGACGTGTATGTCGGACTCGTGGAGGGCGTCAAACTGCGCGAAGCCGCACTGGCCGGCTTCCCGACCTTGCACTCGCTTCCCTTTACCGGACAGCTGGGCTTCCATGGCGTAAGCGTCTTCCAACAAGACAGCCGCAATGAGACCATGGTCGTAACCCTTACGGACGGGGATGAGAAGGGCGGAATTGCTCTTGCGAAAGCAAGACTGGGCAAGGCGGTGCACGTTGGATACCCATCTCTGCAAGAAGGGAAGGTGACCAGTGTCAGCGACGAGATGTTCTCGTACCACCTGGGAGATCTGAATCTACCGGCTGAAGGGACCAATGTGATCCAGCTGCCACATCCCCCGCAAGGCGTTTCGGATTGGCGTAAGAAGGCCAGCCGGATTGAGAATGTCTATTCCAAGCGCTTGGGCATGATCATAGGGGGCGTGGAAAGCCTGGTACAGGTTGAAATGCTGGTGGGCTTGAGAAAGACCGAGCAAGGCGCGATGATCAAGGAATACGCACCCATACCTGGAATGGAGCCAGACTACGCCACGCAAACAGTCGTTGATCACGTTATCAGCGAAGATCAGCGCTTCCTGGAGAAGGCAGCTTTGCCAATCGCGGAAGACTTCCCCATTGGTACGAAGGCGTTCTTCCTCGGCGACATGGCCTACGGGCGTCCCTTGGAGGTCACAGGCCATCAAGGCGAGCGAGCGGAGGTCTGGGTCTCGGTACTCATGGGCAAGGAGCCCGAGTTCGGACACAGCATTGCGCGAGCGGCGGAGAATCAGTTCCCCTACATTCCCTCGTTCCAGGTCGCGAAGATGCTCCATCTGCACCCGCTCGTCCTTTCGAAGCTTACGAGTGCGTTCAACGTCAGTTCTTCCGGATTGCGGCTGAACTTGGGCCTGAACCTCAAATTCGAAGCCCGAAAGCAGAAAGTCTTGGGCTACAGTCGGAAAGGAGCGACGGGGTGGGAGTATTCGCAGAAGGCCATCGGGCTGCTTGCGGAGTACATGAGACGTTTCCCCGAATTCATCGCGCGGATCGAAGCCAACCCTACCGGTGACGGATGGGAGGACACTGCGTTCTACCCAGACCCCCAAGAGGCCAAGGCAAAGATGAAGGAGATTGGCAGCTGGCTCAAGACTGTGGAAACGAAAGGTCTCGAGCGCGTGCCACTGGAGGCGGAGCAGCTCGACGGCGATACGGTCAAGTTGATTGAGCAGGCTGCCGATCAGAACAATCAAAGCGGAGTCCAAATGCAGGGCAAGAAGATTGGAAGCGTGCCGCGAATGGCGTTGCTGAAGCCTTCAGATGCGGAGCAGAGGACGGGGAATCAGAGATTCCGTATCGGCGACCGCGTGGCTTACGTCCTGGATAGTGGAAAGGTGCCGATTGCCATGCGTGGGACTGTCATCGGAATGACGAGGACAACGCGCCAGACGCTATTGGATGTCGTCTTCGACTCGACTTTCATGTCTGGGAGCACTCTCAGCGACCGCTGCTCGCCGTTCCGAGGAAGCACGGTCCCTAGCAATGCCGTGCTGAATCTGAGTGACAGGCAGGTTCTTGCGCTGTCTGAGGCAGCCAAGGCCAGAGCACCGCAGTCCAACTACACACCGTTGAGGGCCAGCGGGGCCAATACGGCGAGTAGCTACGGCATGCCCGGTGGGCCGCAGTTGCGAGAAGCGTCTGCACCGGCTGCACTACGAGGCGGCTGGAGAGGCGCGGTGGCCGGTGGCCCCAACGGCGGCGCCCCAAGGGGAGGCTACAACCCTCGCGGACAGGGGACAACGAACGGGACATTCCAACAAAACATCCCCTATCACACGCAAACCCCGAACGGCACAGCACGCGGAGGAGCAAATGGATGGCGTGGGAGTGGCTCCCGAGGCGGTCGCGCAAATCCCCAAGGCTTCACTGTGGTGGACAATGCCGATCCTACGGATGGAGTGGTGGCGCATAACCCACACTTCCGCAAGCAGAACTACACCAATGTCCCGCCACCGGCTGGATTGGACGCGGCGAGGGGACGCGGTAGGGGCAGGGGCGGAGAGCGGGGAAGCACGCGAGGTCGGGGAAATGGTGGTGGAAGGGGAAGAGGCAGAGGCGAGGTGTTGGCCGGCTGATCTTACCGTTTTATGTCGGAGGGTAGAGACGAGGCGAGAGGTGTGAAGGCAGGCGAGCAGGGTCGGTAGGGAGAAGCGGCGCGGTAGCGATAGGTTCGGCAGTCGAGGCCTCCTTACCGAGGTGTGGACGAACAAACGACCAGTCTGGCCTTGGCCATCTCGAATACGTGCGATGAATGGATGCATTGCGAACTTGACAAGCTTTGCCTGGTGCAAGAAGGGCTAGATGGGCTACACGGTGATGGTGCCTGGGATGCGCCTCACGAGATCTATCTGCCGACGGCGTGGCGTTCACTAGCATCACGCATCGGAAGAAAAGCATTGAACGAAAGACTGGATGCTGCCGCGAGCCCGATTGGCCTCTTCAAGCAAGCTTTCGCGGGCGGGAGCAAGTTTGGTAACGGTGAAAACATTGTGCAGCTGTACCGTGGAAGCGCGGCGGCCTTGTGTTGTGGTGGCTTGCAGAATTCTCCTACCCGCCGCACTACACTGCACTACACTGCGGAATCGATGGGGCCTGGAGCGGCAGTTGCCATGTCACACACGTCGTGCATGCATGCGTGTTGTCGATGTTTCACGCGGAGATTGTCATGGCTGTCACGCGTGGCAGGTGGTGATGGCACTCGGTTGCACTCGAGTAGCGCGGGAATCAATTACACCATCCACACTCGCCGCACACAATCGCCGTCCAATGGACCCTCGATTGTTAGACGAAGCAGGGAAAAGTGGTTCCGGAGGAGAGAGAAAGTCAATTGGTCTTCCGAGGCCCACCCACCGTGCTGTATTCGTCCATCGCTCCGCTTGCTCGCGACTATTCACCCGCGGGGCCGACGTTCGCTGGATCCGGGTGAGGCGGCGCGTACTGTAGCTGTGGTGCACCGGGCCTTTTTCGCATCGTGATGGCGGTTGGCTGGAGCGTGGTCGCACGGCAGATTCACTAATCACGCAAGCCACCACGTATCCATCTGACGCGCTATCGGGGAGGACAAAGAGATTGATCGCATGGCCGATCCAGATGGCAGCAACGTGGCTGTCTCTTGCCTGATCGTTGAGATGCGAGAAGGCAACAAGAGCGCATAGTAGACCGGCATTATTGCAGGCATTCCCTGGGCATTCCCTGGGCATTTCCTGCCGACAACTGGCAAGGATAGGCTTCCGCCCTTCACGTGGTTGGGCTGAACCTGCCCGTTTACGTTGACGCCAAGCGCCGCCCGGACCGTTTGGCCCCACATCCACCTCGAGCCGCTGGCAGTTTGACTTTGCCCACTTGACCCAAGCAGGGCTAGCGCTACACTCTGTCTGCACCCCGAGTGCAACGGCGCCGACGAGTGGGCCAAGTGGATGTCTCCTCCAGATGCCGACCCTGTCCGCTGCACGAATCGCCGCGTTCACTCGGTCGACGTGCCTGTCCACCACTCGGCCGGATGCAACACCCCAGCGCTGATCACCACCCCGTGACACAAGCGTCTACACGCAGCCAACCACGCGGACAATCTGTCCGCCATTCCCCACGCGCTTGTTGCTGCAGATGTGCTACCACCCTGGCCATGCCTTGAATGCAACAACAACAAACGCTTTGCCTCGTCTGGCCTGGACTCGGGTCCATCATCACCATCACCACTTCCACCCCACACGCTCCATCTGAATGTGTGGGCGAGCACCGGCGGAACCATTGTTTCAGCCCGTCGTTCGTCCAGCGAACGACAACCGTTTAACCTCGTCTGCCACACCGCAAAGCCAAGTCCTCCACCCGCTGCACGCGCAAACCTAATCCCTCCGCCATTGCGACGCACTGCAACGAGAACCCTGCCGATCTGTCAGGTACCGTCGTACTCCAACTGCGCGAGAAAAAGTCGCATGCCCGCCGCTTACGATAAGCTTACGTCCGTTGCGCGACCTTCCGTCCCTCAGCCTTCCACTTCCGCGACTTCCCTCTTACTCTTCTTCCTCGTCCCCCCCTCACCATCCCTCCTCCACTCTTGTCCTACTATCGCCCGCGCAACTGTCGCCCACGCTGCGCCCGCAGCAAGCCGAGCGCAAGCAACATGGCCGACTTTTTGACGATGCGCGACGTCGATGCTTTCCTCATCAACCCCACCCACAGCATGGCCGGCGACTTCCATGCGCTGACCACTCCGACCGAAGAGGCCTTCCCATCTTTCATCACCGACGAGTCGTATCCCCACAAAGACTCCCACTACCCGGAACAAGCCGCGGGCAAACACGCGCATCGGGAGCTCAACGACAGCTTCGTCTTTCCCCAAGACTACGCTTCGGAAGAAGAGGCTGCTTCTCCTAACGGTCAGGATGATTCCGATTTTCTCTTCGATGGCAGCGACTTTGAATCGGCCGAGGACTTTGACGACGAAGACGAAGATGTGGAGTCGCTCTCGGACCACGCCAGCCTGGCGCAGCAGCTTTGCTCGCGAGCGCAAACTGTTCATTTCGTCTCTGCCGGCAAGCCGAGAGTGGTCGTCGTCCCGCGATCCGTAGAGGTGTCATCCGCCGAAGTCAGTCCGATCTTCGCCCAGGAAAACCCGGCCGTCATCTTTGGCAGCAGCAAGACCCACCAGCGCGCGAGACTGGGTTGGCACGAGAGGCCGCACACGCCTCCATCCTTTGACGCCGATGCCTTCCACTTTGCCGAGTCGAGGCCAATCCGCACCCCGGCACTTGCTCGTCCAGACGCCGTGCCCACCTACCTGCCGACGCTGCCCAAGCAACGCCAGACGCCGCTCGCGGCTCAGCGAGCCGATTTCTCCCCCCGAGCCGAATCTGTTCGACAACAAGACCCCTCCCGGTCCGACTGGCCACTCCCCGCGTCACCGCCGTTGACCCCGGAGCACAATGGCAAACGCAGAGTTCGCAAGCTCCCCTCCACCTTCAACTTCATCAACTTCAGCAGCCCGCGCCGCAACAACTCCTCCTCCTCCAGCCACTCCAACTCCGCCTCCAGCGCTTACACGCAGGAAGATTACCTCCACTACCGCCACGAACCCCGCAGCACCCCTGAACCACCCCTCTGCACCGCCAACTTCGCCGCCACGACCTATCGGCCAAAGATGATCCCGCGCGGCGCAAGCGAGCGCGAACCCCCTCTCACCCTCCCGCCGTGTCCCTACGATTCTCCCAATTACGACTGGGACGTAGGCTACTACTTCCCGCCGAGCAGCAGTCCGCCTCGCACTTTCCGCGCCGAGCAGCAACAGGAAGAGGAGTCGGGTCCGTCGAATTACGTGAAGGCGCTGCGGCGGAAGAGTCTTTCGGCCGTGTTCGCGACGGCACAGGTCTAGGAAGGCCTGGTGGTTCGATCGAAGCGGACGTGGCTGGATGCGAACTGCTTTTAGTGGGTGTGCCTTGTTTTATTTGCTTGATTTTGTGTTTGTTGTAGCTGGAGGCGTTTTCGGGGTCGGGTCGAACACGGGAAGGGAAGGGAACCGAATGATACCAATCGCTTAGTGCGCGCAAAGGGCTGGGGGCGTTTCTGTCTTGCTTATGTTGTTAGGCGGATGTCGGTATACAACGAGCTGCGAGTTTTGCTCGAGAGATTAGATGGGGGATGAGAGTCTGTCGCTTTCGGGCTCGCCAGGTGGGCTTTGTTTTGATGAGAATATGCTTAGATAGATAGCACTTGCTCAAAAGAATGCAAGACTTCAATCCAGAAGAGGTCTTTTCGCTCTTACAAGTAGTTTATGGCAGTGAGCAAGGGAGCGCGGATGCCAGCTCCTTCCTAGACCTTGCTTGCCTGGTCTCCACTTTTTACCCATATATCAGCAGTTAACGGGCGACGGGTCATCTTTGCACTACTCCGCCTTGTCATGGATATCGTTGTGTCTCTTCTGCGAGACAGGGTGGAAGATGGCAAAGTACGGTGCCAGTGCAAGTGGCTCGCGTGGTGTTGGGGATGGGTAACGCGTGGTCGGGGCGGCCCGAGCCGGTTGCCCTGGAAGCGGCAGAGCTTAATCTCCGTCAACATTTCGCGAACTCCGAGGGAACGATTGCAGATGTACTTGCAGGTCACCTCGCCATTCACTCTTACACCAGACTATCTCATTGGCTTAGTGGTGTGCTGTTGCACTCGCAAGGCTGCTCTCAGAATACCATCTCAATCGTTACCCGCCAATCGAGTCGGCACACCGCGCGCAACAGGCCGGCCTTCCTTCATTCTATATCTGACCTGCCGCAGAACAATGCGACCGTGATTCATTCCTCGAGTCACAACCTGCTTCGAGTCGAGAAGCAACATGGGAGGCCCATCTGAGCGGCCATTACGCTTCCCGTGCTGGTGTCAGGCTACATATTCCTACGGCGGCGAAACGAAGAAAGACTTGGGGTTTGTGGAAGGCGACTTGATCGAGGCGCTGAACGCAGGCGATGGATCATGGTGGATGGGAAGATTGCGACGAGACCCAAGAGCCATTGGTCTATTCCCAAGTAACTTCGTCCGAGTTCTCGACGAGTCCTTCCAACCCACCCCGGCCAGCCGCACTGCTTCGCCATCCGTCTCTTCCCAACGCCCACCCACCAGTCCCGCTAAGAGTTCAGTGTTCAGGAAACCCTTTCAGGCATACGATGAGCTTGGAAAGCGTGGAAGTCTGGACAATGGCAAGGACAGAGAAGGGACGCCGGACGCCGAGAAAAAGAGCAAGTTCCGGCCCTACTCCAGCATGAAGACGGCGGTCGCGCCGACTGGGACCATCAAGCGGGACAGCAGCGGACGGCCGACTCCCGTTCAAGATGAGGATCAATTTCGCGTGCCAGCTCCGCTGCCGAGAGGAGGCTCAAGAAGCCCCCGGCCGCGACGCAAAGAGCACTCAGCCTCACCTGCGCCCATGCACATGCATGGAGGACCTTCCCCTCAGCCAGCCCGCGCAAGAAACCCGTCATCCCTGCCAAATACCTACCACGACGGTTCCGCGTACCCTCAATTCTTACCGCCATCAAGACAGCCCTCTCCAGAGCCATTCCAAGAGCCACTTCAGCCTGCGGCTGATGACTACCCTCAAGAATACCATGACTCCCGGATGCCCTCTCCTGCACCGTTCGATGATGTCTTGTCCTCTCCCCCACCTCCGCCGCCGGCACATAGGATCGCATACCAGCCAAGCCGACCAGCCTCTCCACAGCCATTTCAAGATAACGAGCACACGATGGCCGACGCTGGACGTTTCACGCCTATTCCGCGGTCCCCCGGTGGCAGCCATATGACCCCGTCTCCGCTCCGTGACGCAATGAACGACGTAATGTCATCTTTGCACGGCATGAGCATGTATCAAGAGGAACAACAGGCAAATCCTTACGACGATGATAAGGACGACGTTGCAGTCTCTGCATGGTCTCCGGAAGCATTCGACTTGGTCAGGAGTCGGTCCAGGGCGGCACGGCAAGGTCCAACGATCTCGGCTTCCACATGGGCACCCGAGCCTTTTCAGCTATCGAGAAGTCAATCCAATGCTACGAGACGGCCACAATCATCCCTTGGCTTCGCGAGAGACAGCACCCAAGGACATATGGCCCCGTCGAACGACGATTCAGCTCAGCTGGAAACGTACGTGCAGCGCATGGAACAGCAGCTCTACCATGAAACCCCTCACGGCTTTGATCCATCCACCCAACCTCCTGCTCCACCTCAGCAGGCGAACTCATATACGTCTCGGCCGACGACGTCGGGTGGATCGTCCACTCAATACTCTTCGAGAAGCTTTGATCCGCATTCCCGAGAACCGCATCTTCGACATCGGAAATCGGCCTATGAGTTGGGCCATAAAGTGCTCGGCCGTACAAACACTACCAGGACCAATGCTACCAACTCTACAGAGAATTCCTCGGGGACGCAAGGTAGCAGTAGCACGCAATTGACTAGCCACAGTGTCATGTCCGGCCACTCTGCGGGAGGGTTCAGCGCGACAAGCGCGGGAAGCCTGGCGCGGAAGAGGTTTGGACTGGGCAGTCAGAGGGGGAAACGACCATTCGGCATCATTGATACCAAGTCGACTCCAGATATCGGCTCGCAAGCTAGAAGCATGGCCTTGAGCACTATGTCTGGCAGCGGCCCAAGCTATCACCAAAGCCATGGCTCCGTCCCCCAACCACCCCTGACTCCGACCGCCGATTGGTCTCAGAATCCACTGCAGACCTCGAGTGTATTTGGTGGTTTGGGCACCCCAACGGCGAAGAAAAGCAACTTCTTCAAGAAGATGATCTCGTCTGCGAAAACCACCGCCCGTACCGGAACGGCTAACGCAAGGTCAACGATCGGCAGCAGACCAAGTAGTCGCGCTGGTGGGATCAGTCCAACCAAAAGCTTGATGGGCGACAGAGGTGGGGTGGGCTTCGCGGGAGACATGGCCTCGCGACCTGGATCAGCCGCGGCGGAGATGGGCCTTGGTGGCGTAGACTGGATGCAAGTGCGCCGCGACGTCAATCGATCGAACTCGTTGAGCGGGCGTGAGAGAGTGGAGCGAGATGAGAGATGCCAGATGCTCGACATTCCCGTTCTGAGCCCGGTCGATCATTTCCTCGAACTAGTGGAGGGGAACGAGAGCCTTGACGGCCTGCCGGTCACCCAACCCACCGACTTCAACTTGCCCAACCTCGCGTTAGTCGACAAGAGCACTCGCTTCCTCCAGAGTCTACCCTCCGTGATCAGTGCAGGGGCTCTTGCTCAGAACTATATTTGCCGACCATACCGCAGCGATGTCCAACGACTCCGTGCAATCTTCACTTTCGTTGCCGAACGTATTGCCTGGGAGGAGGACTTTGAGGGCGACATCGACATTAGGAGAGCAATGCAGACTCGACGTGCTTGCAGCGAGGAGATCGCTCTCGTTGTGCGAGAGATGTGCTCCGCCGTGGGACTTCACGCCGAGGTCGTTCAAGGGTATTTGAAAGCTCCCGGCGAAGCGACAGATATGGAGTGTCTCAATCGTCCCAACCACTGGTGGAACACGGTGATTATCGACGGCGAATGGCGCATCCTGGACTGCTCATTGGCCAACCCGACCAACCCTCGAAGATCTGCTTATAGCAGCGCGAGCGGCCAGGTGGCGGAAGGTTGGTACTTCTTGGCTCGACCTGTGGAAGCATGCTACACCCACGTGCCCCTGCTGCCGGAACAGCAGCACGTAGTGCCTCCAGTACCCCACGAGATCCTCGCTGCACTCCCATGCGCGTGTCCGACATACTTCAAGCATACGCTCGAGCTTGCCAACTTCGATACGAGCATGCTGCATCTGGAGAATCTCGAGATGGCCCACTTGCATGTCAACGTGCCCGAAGATGTCGAGTGTGTCGCGGAGGTCGAGGCCAAGGCCTATGCTAGAGACATTGACGGCGACTGCTTCGAGAGTGGCGACACGGTTGTGAAGAAGGCCTTTGCTCAAGCAGAGTGGGTCGGCGGCCGCAAGAGATTCACCGTGAAAGCTCTGCTCCCGGGTGATGAAGGCGCCGGTGTGCTCAAAGTGTACGCCGGCAAGCGAGGACTCATGCACAGCATCAAAGACAACCCACACTCTCTGGCCCTGGCCCTGCCCCTCTCCCACCACGGCCCAAACCCGCCATACGAGTTCGTCACTCGTCACCCCACTCCGCACGCCCAACGACACGACCTCTACATCGCGCAGCCGCAGTGTTCCCGCCTAGCGATGAACAACACCTTCGTCTTCTGCGTTCGCCAGCACCCATCTTCCCTCTCCCGCTTCACGCCAGACACATGGGGAGGATCCAATCAGCCTCGCTCTGCCAGTCCAAACCCCTACGTCCGTCCGACCAGCGCAATGAGCATGATATCCGCCAGCGCATCCCAGGCCGGCAGCAACTACTCCGATAGTTCGTCAAACGCCGGCCAGCCAATGACAGCCGCCCAGCAGAAACCGGCGAAGCTGGCGATTCAGACTCCCAGCCAGAAAATCATTCGGTTGACGCGCAAGTCGGAGCACTCTTCGCGGCACGCGGATGAGGATGCGGGACAGACGAGTGTGTGGGAGACGGCGATCAAGATTGGGGAGCGGGGGACGTGGAGGGGACTTGTGCTCGCTGATCGGAGTGCGAGGTGGTGTGTTTTCGCGGAGTGGGAATGCGTCTGATGTTGCTTACGATTCGAGTTGGGTAGCTGTTGGGCATGTGTACGTTGGCAGTGCTAGAGCGAACATTCCAGGTCACAGGCTTTGTTGTAGGAGTAGTAGAGTAGAAGGTAGTACGCTGTACCATTAATGTTGATGATTTGCACTGAATTCCAGGTCGTGCGTAAGTGCTCTAGTATCCAGGTGCAAAGCGATATGCAAGATACCAGGCTATACCGACCTAAACTCAGGCTCTGAGCTGGATGGACCGCGCATACTACGCCCGTCTCGAATCGCTCGCACCGTCCAAATCCATGGCCCCCGCACCGCCGTCATCATCATAAATCTGGCCGCCCTGCTTGAAGCCGCGTCGCGGCTTTCTCGGCTTCCGCTTCCCCTCAGTCAATCGACGCCGCAGCTCCGCATCTATGCTCTCCTCGTTCGCACCCCCCAGCACGCCCTCGTCTTCTAATAGCGCGAGCGCTTTACTCAGGAGATCTGTGGCAATGGGATCCTGTGGCGAGATGGCAAGCGCTTCATGCAAAGCTATCGTGGCGTCGAACGGCTGGTCGAGTTCGAGCAGTACCAATCCTTTCGACGCGAAGACGCCCGCTTCTCGCAGACCGAGGCGGATGACTTCATCGAATTGCTCGAGCGCCTCGTCGAATCTTTCCGCTTTCCGCAATGCGTGCGCGAGGTTCAGGCGTGTGCTGCTGTATTGCTGTGCCGGGGCTTCGTTGTCCTCTGCAATGTGCAAGGCGAGCGTGAATTGTCTGCACGCGCCATCGAAGTCTTCTTCCATGTAGGATACCACGCCGATTTCGTTGATGAGCAATGGGTCGTGGTCGCAGATCTTCCAGGCTGCCGTCAGGTATTCCCGCGCTATGGTGAGATTGCCGAGAGCAATCTCCTGCATTCCCAGAAAGAGCTGCGGAAGATGTGTACCTTGGAATAAGCGCGCTGCTGTCGAGTATGCCGCGATGGCTTGGTCGCCTTCGCCTTCGGCTGCGAAGGTGTGCGCGAAACCGATCCAGGCGGGCCCGAAGTGTGGGTCCATGAGGGAGGCTTTGGAGAAGTATGATCGGGCTTCTGGGATGCGATTGGTGGCTAGGTAATATGTTCCCACAGCTACCCATGTGCAAGGCTCGAGGGGATGTGTATCTGCGAGATCGTGGGACAAGGCGAAGAGTGCGTTAGTGTACTTTAGCTCGTACAAGAGAGCCAGGTGCAGAGGCAGAATGGCGAAGTTGTAGGGGTCTGATTCGAGGATGGAAGTGGTGAGGGTCAGCGCAGGCTGGAAGCGGGACGCCGTGAAGAGGATTTCAGCCTTGGACAGCAGGACATCGTGGTTTTCTCCAAGCCGGTAATGTGTGGAAAGACTTTCGATCGCAGCGTTGAACTCCTCCGGCCGTGCGTACTTCGAAAGTCTGGTGATGTATAGGTTCTTTGTAAAGTCCGCAGCCTCAGGGGCACTGGAATGGTCTCCTGGCTCTGGGTGGATGCTGTCGAAGTTGAGACTCTCGAGGAAATCCCATTCCTCGCCCGGGCTCATGAGGGAATTCTTCATCAGCTGGTCGAAGGCCTCGAAACATTGTACATCGATCCGTACTGCATCCTTGTAGCAATCCTTGGCGCGGTCGAAGGCATTCTGCTTTGCGTAGCACAAGCCTCGTAGATAGCACATGCCTGCCTCATATTTGATGTTTGATGCATCTTCACGGTCTCTTTCCTCACTCCGGTCGGCTCGTTCTGATCGGCTAGGCAGCTTCGCTTTTCCCGCTTGTTTGCTGTGCACGCCGTTGCTCAAGTGCTGCAGCTTACGCCGCGCGGAGTCGGATGTGGTCACGAGATGTACCGGCGTCTTCTCGCCCAATATTCCAAGGGCATCTTCATGGCGGTCGAGGCGGATGTAGCAGTGCGCAGCCAAATATCGAGAGGCAGCGGAGCGCTGGATGGGGTCTGATCGAGTTACGAAGGAGATGGCGCGGATGTAGTTGCCGGCGGCGAAGTGGGCTTGCGCCAGTTGCAGCGCATCTGACGGGTCATCTTTGCACGGTCAGTGGTGATATGATTTGTACAGCACAACGACATACTTGTCAAGGCAAGAAGTTTGTCGTAAACGTAGACGGCCGTGTCATATTGGTGTTTGTTCAGGGAGTCCTGGGCCCAGCGTCGCAAGTAGTTCTCCATTGACGTGGTTTCGATTCATTGGGGCGTAGGACACAAACGAACGTGGATCTAGGGTATTTGTTAGCGCCTGCTTCGGGTGGGATTGCGGGAGACGCGCATGCCATGCCACACTCACCTGGAGGGAGAGGGAAGGGATGAGATGCTCGCGTTGTTTTCTCGGCGACCGCGACGGGTTAACTTAACGCGAATGACGTCCATTTAGAGTTTGGAATTTACTGAGCGCCTGAGGCCAGCCTTACCTAATCCGCCAGTCACATGCCTTTAACCACTTCACACTCTTCAGCTTCTGCTTCTTCTTCTTCTTCACACCCTTTTACCCAAGCCCAACCATACTACCTTCCGCAACAAACTACAAGGCCTTCTAAGACCGAGCCGTCAAGATGTCTGAACGAAAGGTGAGCGAACACCACTACCCATCCCACACGCACGGCCGAATGTGTGCTGACTCTGCTACCTAGGTCCTCACCAAATACTACCCGCCCGACTTCGATCCTTCCAAGATCGAACGGCGGCGAGGTCCAAAGCAAACCGGACCGAAAGTCCAGGTGGTCCGGTTGATGGCCCCCTTCGGCATGAAATGTACCAGTTGCGGCGAATACATCTACAAAGGCCGCAAGTTTAACGCGCGCAAGGAAACCACCGAGGAAAAGTACTACAACATCACCATCTACCGCTTCTACATCCGCTGTACGAGGTGTTCGGCCGAGATTACGTTCAAGACCGACCCGAAGAACATGGACTACACCTGTGAGCGAGGCGCGAAGCGCAATTTCGAGGTGTGGCGCGCGGCGAAGCTGGCGGAAGAGACGGAAGAGGAGACGCTCGATCGGTTGGAGCGGGAGGAGAATGAGCGGGATGCGATGAAGGAGCTGGAGCAGAAGACGTTGGACGCCAAGACTGAGATGGCTATTGCAGATGCGCTGGACGAGGTGCGGACGCGGAACGCGCAGCGCGAGAGGGCGGATGTGGACATACTGGATCGAGGAATTGAGATCGACATGGAAGCGGAGGAAGAAGCAAAAGTGGAGAAGGAGCTGGAAGAGGAAGCGAGACGGGCATTCCAGAGTGGGACTGGCGAAAAGGTCAAGAGGTTGGGGGTGGAGGATGGAGAGGGTGGAGACGAAGACAAGCTTGCCATGCCACCCCCTCCCGTACCTGCGCCAACATTTCAGAGGCAAGTCAAGAAGAAGAAAGACTTTTCGGCAGCCTTGGGGATAAAGAAGAAGCCAGCACTGGTGTGACGGGATTGTCTTGTCCTGTCTGTGGATGACCAAACACCGGCAAGCTGCAAGCACGGAAAACACTGCTTTGTCCACCAAACTGCTGAACACAGAGGGTTTGCTTGCCTGAGTATATCAAGGCCTCCAGTTACGAATACTTCCAACATGCAGCAAAGTAAACACAAATTCGCACACCGAAAGCCTGCGGCCGAACGATACCGACGACGCCTCATCAACTCATCAGCAGCACATCATGCCGAGCACTCAGCCTTCCACCACGGAAGCCAAACTACGAGAACACATCAGAAAGCTTGAGAACCGCGTCGCTCTCCTCGAACAGACCTTGCTCGGCCAACTCAAACGCATCAGGAAGGTGGAGAAGACGGTGGAAGCGCTGTTGGAGGATTCGGAGGATGAGAGAGAGCCTGATGGAGGGATTTGCGCGGGCGGTCAGGAATGTTTGGCGGGGCCCGCAGCACGTAAATGATGACCGACGGCACATCTGCTCCATAAACGTCCTGCGACACGCCTTACCACTCTCAACGCTGGAGAGGATCATGATGGGTGAACGTCGTGAGACGACCAAAATCACTGCATTCGATACGACTACGGTGGCGGTGACGCGGCTTGCAAGAGGTATCTGCCTGGGTCCATGCACCGCCACATAGCATGGTTCATAGGCATACGACAGCTGTGGGTGTCGTGCATAGCGTCGAGGCGGGGGGATACAAACAAGAATGAATACTGTCAGCCGCATCCGTAACGCCATTTCCAGGCTGCAACAATTGTAACGTAGGTGAAACGTTGCCCAGAGACTCGGATCCATTGATGCCCACGTCTGACACGAACAAACGAGCCTTGGTCTGCACCCCGACGTTGTCAGAACTATCCTTCGAGAAGCGGGTGCCTCGAGCAAGGAAGAAGCCTGATTGGTCTCCTCGGAACAGCTTCTGATTGGCTTAATCGGATCCGCGCGTGGTAGGTTCGCTCGACGTCCATCATCACCTGCGCCCAATTTTCTCCCAAACGATGCCCTTCCTCTCTACGAAACATAAGACAAATGACGGTCAAGCGCGACGAATGCACAAGCACTTCCATGATTTGATACGCTACCGCCAATCGTCTCTGTCGCCATTGTGGAGAACATCGCGCGTTCACGCCAGCATCAGGATCAACTCGCAAAGCGTTGATGAACGATGTGAACTAACAATGATATGATCAGCCAGGCAGCACTTTAACTGATGGAGACGATCTCATCATGGCATTATAAAGTCAACACCCTGTCCGGCCCAGTCGGTGTATCTCAAACTATCCATTGCACAGTAAGTACTTCCTTGGACCGGTATGTTACTGCTCATTCTTTTTTCCGCCGCCATCGCGGTGGCCGCACCACTCAGCACCCACATCGTCCACGAGGAGCGAGATATCAGCCGCGTCTACCACAATGGCGAGAGCAAGAGGGTGCACCCGGACGCCATCTTGCCCATCCGCATTGCATTGGCGCAGTCCAACCTTGACAAGGGCTACGATTATCTCATGCAAGTGTCGGACCCAGACTCTGAAGACTTCGGCAAGCACTGGTCGCTGGAGGAGATTCATGACCACTTCGCTCCCACCTTCGAGACCAAGCAAGCTGTGAGGGCGTGGTTGGAAGATGTATGGCCGTTCATTATAACGCAACCTGTTCGTCATACTTCAAGACGCTGACTGGTATCTTTCACAGTCTGGAATCGACAAAAATGATATTTCGGAGCCAACCAGTGGAGGCTGGCTTGGAATCAATGTCCCAGTCAGTGTTGCCGAACGCCTCTTCATTACCGAATACTACGAGAGCCATGGTGCAGACGGCGCCGTGGATGTTGGCTGCGACAAATACCACGTTCCAGCCCACTTGTCCAATCACATCGATTTCATCACACCTGGGATTGGACTCACTTCATTGCACAAGACATCTAGGCCGTTGGCGCCACTGCGTCGTGCCCTGGAAGATACGCTTCTCCAGCGCCGTGATGAAAACTATACTGATCTCCCTTGTGGAGAGCTGATCACACCGGCCTGCATCCGAGCGCTGTACGACATTCCGGTTGCGAGCCAGACCCACCAGAATAACACGCTTGGCATCTTTGAGTTCGTGCTCGATCAATACGACCAGGAGGACCTAAATCTGTTCTTCCAGAATTTCGCCAAAGATGTTCCGCAGGGCACACATCCAGAGCTGGTGTCGATCAATGGAGCCACTGCCCCTACGACACCCAAAGACGGCGGCGGCGAGTCCATCATCGATCTGACCTTGGCTTTCTCTTTACTTTATCCGCAAAATATCACGCTGTATCAAACAGGATACACGAAGAAGCAGGAGGAGCAGCTGCTCCAGGACGCAGAGGGACCTATGCTAAACAGGATCCAAATTGCCGGAGGCATTGCTATCCTTGAGAACCTGCTCAACGCTGTGGACGGCTCATTCTGCACGCCAGCAGCTAAGGAGCAGGGCCTTGACTGTGGCACGACATCCTTGACTCCCGTGCTGTCAGTCTCGTACGGATCTCCCGAGATCAACATGCCGTTCAAATTTGCCCAGAGGGCGTGCAGCGAATACATGAAGCTGGCGTTGAAGGGCCATACGATCTTGTTCGCGTCTGGTGACTGGGGTCCTGGCGGCAACCCTATCCCCAGTGGCAACGTCAGCGCCGTCTCCAACGCCTGCATCAATCTCAAACAACCGCAGAATGGGCTGCTCAATGGCACAGTCTTCAATCCCGGGTTTCCGTCTACCTGCCCGTACGTGTTGAGCGTCGGTGCCACGCAGTTGACCAGCAATGAGACGGTCCAGGATCCAGAATCGGTAATGCATCCCCCGGACGACGTTGCCCACACCCCTAGCTATCTCCCAGTTGGCAGCTCTGGAGGCTTCTCGAACTACTTCAAGGAGCCGAGCTATCAGTCCTCCGCCGTCAGCAACTACCTTGCCAAGTACAAGCCGGGATACAAGACCTACGACTTTCCAGGAGGGCAGAAGGTTGGAGCGAATGGTGGGATTTATGCAACGGGCGGACGTGCTTTTCCAGGTGAGCTCCCACTTCAACGCATCTCTTGCGTATCATATCACTGACAACCCCTTCTCACCAGATGTTGCTGCCAACGGCGCATACCTCGCCAGCTTCACCCACGGCAAATTCGGACCGCAATTCGGCACCTCGCTCTCCACCCCGATCTGGGCGTCTTTGATCACGATGATCAACAACGAGCGCACGGCGCAAGGCAAAGGCCCGGTCGGCTTCGTCAATCCCACGCTGTACAAGAATCCTCACATCTTTCACGACATTACTTCGGGCTACGCGCCTGGCTGCGGCACTGATGGCTTCGCGGCCGAGCCGGGCTGGGATCCGACGACTGGCCTGGGTACGCCGAACTATCCTGAGCTGCTCAAGGTGTTTCTGGCTCTGCCGTAGCCGCCGAATACGACTACTCACGTGATCTGAGTGTGAAAGTGGCGTCAGGGTACTGCGGCAATAGATGGAATGTGTGATTACTTCGCTTCTACAAAACTTCCTTCGCATTGACATTCATGACTGGATATCTGGTTGAGTCACCGGTGAAGCGTCCGTCGTACCCTTGCCTTGTGTGTGCAGCCGACCGTCACTTTTGCCCGATGTGGTTAGCGCCACTGGTTTGGTGGCAAATCAAATGGCTGACGAGTCTGGCCTTATAGCGCTGCGACTGCCTAGAGGTGCAGTGCTAAAGTGAGGCGTGGTCGTAGGTATATCTTGAACCTTCCTCCCAACTTCTTCTCCTTCTCCGTCTTCAGTTCATTTCATCTTGTCTCGTTGTCGTTCACAAGGCTTCTCATCATGGATTTCCGGAGACTCTCCAAATTGCAGCCACAACAGGCGACCAACGCTTCGGATCCTTTGAGCCTCACCGAGCTGCCGTCAAACATCCTAGATGCCTTGCTTCCCGGCTACAGTCTAATCTCCAAATACGCCCTGAGCGCACTCGGTCTGGACATTTCCTTGTTCGTCTCCGTCGCCGTCATCGCCCTGGCTAGCTTGAAAGGTGGGCAATACCTTTACAACAAAGCAACATCGGCGTTTCGTTACTTCCTCGTGTCGTCCGTCTACATCGACGAGCACGACGATCTGTTCGACATGTTGATGGACTGGCTCGCCACGACACACACGTCGTCTTCGCGCCGATCGGTACGCGCAAAGACGACCCGGGCAAACGACGAGTTCGACGGCATGGCCGACGATGCTCTCGACAGCGAGGGCATGTTCGACTACAACCGCTGGTCGGCACGCACACCGCCACGATACGAGCCGTACTACGGCCGGCATATAATCTGGCACAACGGCTCCGTATTCTTCTTCCGCAGATCGCAGAAGCAGACCGTCGGACAGAGCCTGCAAGTCCGCTGGGGCAATTCAAGTGAAGACGATATTGTGCAACTCGATTGTCTCGGGCGCTCAGTGGAGCCCATTCGACAACTACTGCGGACTGTCAAGATATGGTCATTACAACGACAACGAAACAAGACCACCATTCGCCACCCGACCGCCAAAGACCGCGCACGCTTCAGCGGCAGCTGGAGCAAGACGTTTGCTCGACCCTCGCGTCCGATGGATACCGTCATTCTGGACGCGGAGCAGAAGAATATGATCATCAACGATATGAACGAGTACCTGCATCCCCTGAGTCCGAAGTGGTACGCCACGCGCGGCATTCCCTACCGACGAGGCTACCTCTTCCACGGCCCGCCTGGAACCGGAAAGACGAGTTTGAGCTTTGCATTGGCGGGAATCTTTGGGCTGGAGATCTATGTCATCAGCTTGCAGGAGCCCACTTTGTCTGAAGGTGATCTGATGCAGCTGTTCAATGGACTACCGAAACGGTGTATCGTTCTTCTCGAAGACGTCGACGCTGCTGGGCTGATTCGAGATGGCAGGAGTGATGCCGAACCAAGCGATGCGAAGGCAAAGTCGAAACGAGGCGGCAAGACTGCACCAGAAGCAGAGCAGCCTGCAAAGGACGCTTCCGCGACTGAGACCAAGGAAACGAAGCCTGCCGAAACCGATTACACGCTCAAAGATCTCGCTCGCGAGCTCAAGTCGATTAGCAGCTCGAAAGGATCCGAGAGGACGAGAGATGCTCCCAATCGACAGCCAGGCACGGGAATCTCGCTCTCCGGATTACTCAACGCCATTGACGGTGTAGCCTCACATGAAGGTCGTGTGCTGATCATGACCACGAACCACCCGGAAAAGCTGGACGCCGCTCTCGTGAGGCCCGGGAGAGTGGATAGACGAGTCAAATTCGCGCTGGCGAAGAAGCCGCAAATCGAAGAGCTCTTTTACCGGATGTACGTGTCTAGCGAGACACCTTCCGCCACCAATGGACACGTTTCCGAGAAGCAGGTAAACGGGCACGCCAATGGCAATGTTACTTCCAAACCGTCTAAGACGGTGGCTGTCGATGATGATCTCGACGACCTGGCTAGGAAGTTTGCTTCACACATTCCGGACGATACTTTTACGCCGGCGGAGATTCAGAATCACTTGATGCGGTACAAGGATGAGCCGAGGGTGGCATTGGAGAAGGTTGACGAGTGGATGAAAGAGGCTATGAGTGAGAAGCAGGATATCGAGGATGCGGAGAATGGGAGCAGTACAGAAGACTAATCGCGCGCACGACCGACGGACGATGTTACGATCCTTGATGAAGCCGTAGTCAGAAAGAAACAGATATCATGCTTTTCGTCGAGCGGGAGGTCTTTCATGCCTCCAAATTAAGCCTACTTTCCTATCGATCTTTGTCTTCACTTCGACACAGACTCCCCATCCTTCTCATGTTCGCCATTCGGACTGTGCTCATTCTCATCCAGTCCCGCCTGAACACCATTATCCTTCGCCGTCGCAGGCTGCCCCGCCTTACTCGGCACATAACCATGGCCCAACCGCCGAATGACATCGTGCGACAGCTTCTTATCAATATTACGCGAGAAGACGGCAGCGAGGACAGCCAAGCCGCCGAAAGCGATGCTCGCCAACCACGTCGTTTTGAGGGCTTGCGAGTACACGTTGGTCAGCGCAGCCACGCCTGTTGCTATGATCTTCTTGTTGATGCCGGGCACTTTTTCCAGCGCAGAGACGGCGCCGGTCGATGCGGCTGTTAGGAAGTCCGGGACAGAGGTGATGGGCAAGCCGGCGGCTACGAGGGCGGGGGCGACGTCGCTGGTGATGTACTTCTTGCTTTCATTTTTGAAGATGGTGGTGTAGATGGCGGCTGCGCGATGGCAAAGTCAGTTGACATCAGATTTGTCTCAATGCCCGCGTCGCTACTCACTTCCCAAGACGCCCGCAGCGCCTCGAATGCTGCCAAATACTCCCGCGGCCGTTCCGATCTCTGACTGGTCGTCAATGACAATCGTCACCACCGTGCTAATGGTGACTTCCAGCAGACCAATCATCAGACCAGTGCAATAAGCCAGCGCCTCTCCCACCGCCGAGCTGTGCGTCGAGCCCGCCAACGACGCGGTGAAGCCGCAGAGGCCGACGGTGTAGAAGATGACCTTTAGTTTCAAGAAGCCGCCGGGGACGGCAATCCAGGAGCCGAAGAACTGGCCGGATACCACGCCTGCGCCGATTGTGGTGCTGATCAGGCCGCCTTTGACGATGTCTGTAGTGTAGAGATATGCCACTTGGGTTGGGAAGAGCACTGAATTGTGGTGTGAGTGGGTGAGTTGGTGATAAGCAGGGTTGATGTGACCTACCGTTGGCAGTGTAGTATACGATACCACCCACAAGAGACAGGATGTTGGCCATATCATAATCGTAGTTCTTAAACAACGCCATTGGGATCAAAGGTCGGTGTAGCGGCATGTAGATTTCTGTGCGCCGGTCAGTACACGTTTCTAGGCGCACCTGTGACCGGTCGTGATCTTACCGTAGAACACAAAAGCAACGAGCGCCACAGCGCCGACCACTAATGTGCCAATCACATATGATGAATCCCATGCGTAGAGGCTGCCACCCCAGGACAGACCAAGGAGGAAGAGGAGTAGACCGCCGCTGTACAAGATGATGCCGCCAAAGTCCAACTCCCGAAGCTCTTGCCATTTCGTGCGATTCTTGTGGAGGTTGTGGAATTCGGGAGGGAAGTAGAAAAGGATCCAGCAGAGGGTTGCGCCGCCATCTAATCTGGGTCAGCTTGTCGATATAGCATAGGTGTGGAATGAGCGACGCGTACTGATGCCGAGAGCAAGGTAGTAGATTGCCCTCCACCCCGACGACGAGTGCACGATCAATAGACGCGCAAACCACGCTCCCAAGCCTGAGAAAGGGAGGGTGCTCAAGAAGATGAGGCCGTTTGCCGCGAAACGATGTCGAATCGGCACCAGCTCGCCCAAGACGTAGTTGAACGAGATCTGCCCGGCGGCACCGAGGCCCAGACAAACGGATGCACCGATGAGCTGGTCGATGCTATTAGCGGTACACCCGATGATGCATCCGACAGAGGCGAGGGCGGAACAGCCTGCGAAGAACCATCGTCGGCCGAAAATATCACTCAGTCGTCCGATGAGGGTGAAGCCGACGGAACTACAGAGGGTCCTGTATGTGGATGCGTCAGCGACAAGTATGCAGTGTTGAGGGATGGATGCTGTTGACGCGGCTTGGATCACACAGCCTTGCGCCGAGGAAACAGCTTACCAGGCTAGAGCAACCCAGTCGGCGTTGAGCGAGGGACCTGCATCAGTCACTCAGTTGGACATATCACCTGCTCCTATACAGAATGAGCCTACCGATTTCCGCGTTCTATCATTTGTCAGCGAGCTTCAAAAAAGATGAGGCAATATTGCCACATCGACGAGACTTACAATAATGGTGAGCGCAGTGACGGGCATGACGAAGCCCGCAAAAGCACCACATGTTGCAAGTGCAATGGCAATGTATGTACCGATGAAGTTGATCTCCTTGTAGGGGTTCTCGGTCGTCACTTCGACCACATCGACGGCGGTGCGCGTGTGGTTGAGTTCCTCGAGATGCTCGGGGCGAGCATGCGCATCCGAGCCGGCGCTGACATTCGACGCATTGCGCGCCGTCTTTTCGACGTCTGCCATGTTTGCTGCGAGTTGCGACCCCCGAGAAGCAGAGAGAGGATGGCAACGAGATGTGAGTGAAGGGGAAATGGAAGTAGAGCAAGTGAAACTGTACGTCACATCGCAGGCGGCGGCTACATCTTCCGCGGCCGACGCTTCATGCTCGAGCCTTGCCGAGCCTTGCTAATAATCACGAGAAAAGCTTCCATTGCGGGGAATCTGGGGAGAGGCGGGGTGGAGTCTGTCAAATCCACTGCGTGGCCGATTGTGCTGGCGAGGCGGATCCTCTCGTATTGGTAACTCTGACGAAGGCCCTCGGGCCCTTTGCTCGATGGCGATCGGCGGTCTTCCCTTGAGCAAAGACAGGCCCTTGCCACGCAGACCGGAAGAGACGGTTCGTGATTAATATACACTGCCGGGTGAAGTATCGGCTTCCCACTGCGCCGCCCTCCTTGAAGGCTGCTCAAACACTTGTCGAATTAACAGAATGGCTGATGCTTATCTGCGCCTCACGCTTGGCTGGAACCCTTAGCCGGCCGCACCATGCCCAGACTACGATACGTGGTCTTCGGGACCGTACCGTTGTCAATCTCAAACTCCACCAGATGACTCCCACGGAAACCGACGCGTTCGTAGACGGGAGCACCTTTAGGTGACGCATCGAGATACGCTTCGATGCCTTGCTCGTCCGCTCGGTCAATACCGTACTGAATCAGCAGTTTCCCAATGCCTCGGCCCTGATACTCAGGCAGTACGCCGAGGACATCGAGTTCTGCAAAGTGTGTGTCAGCACCGCTGTCCTAGCCTTACAACTTCACGCATAAAGGCATGGGGAACCTACTCCAGAACGGGCGATCTTGCATGAGCTCGCTTTGACGCTTCCCCCATACCTCAAAAGACTTGTTGAACAACTCCACATCGCTTCCTTCCGGTGGCTGTATATCCGGCAGTGCTGAAGCCTCCGACATGGCGGTTTTGGGCGCGATCCATAGGCCGATGCCCACCGTCTCCCCAGTCGAGCGCGAGACGGCTTTGATGTTGTGGTATACCGTCGGGTGCTTCAATGCGTGGCCCATGACTGCGTCGAAGAATTTTCTCGAAGCAGGAGTGCGAGGGATTGTCGCCAGAGAGAGAGGGTTGTCGGCAAAGGCGATGTAATAGATTTCGACAACGCGTGCGAAGTCATCTTCCTCTATGGGTCGTAACTCAAATTCCATGATCTTTGTCTGTATGAACTGCGTGTTCGGCAAGGCGCGGAGGGGTGCGGTTTGTGTCGAATTACTGGATCGGTCGGAATGATCTGTTTCCTGTGTTGCAATCAGCGTCTTCGCTGTGCTCGATGTCGCGGTGTCAGAAATGGGGTAAGCGGTAAGCTGACGGCCGTCGTTTTTCACGGCTGATTTATTAGGTAAGCGTCCTATATCTCGAGTGAATTCCTTCCATCAAGTGAAGACATCGACGCCTTGTGACATGTCGACTCGACATGCAACCATAAGGTAGCCAGGGTACGAGCACACGAAGTCGAAAGAAGCTTCTTGTAGACTGCCCTGGTACACGGCAGGCTGGCTTCAAAGGGAACTGAACCACTTCCAGAAGGGGCTCAAGCGTAGCTGACTGGGCCTCTCGGGCTTTCCTCAGAAAGTGAAGTGAGACGGAAGCGATGACAAGTTGAACTGCCTCTAACGGCTGAGACTGCTGAATGCGTGGACGCGTGGCTGACGAACGCTTACTCAGTGTGCACAGCCTTGCATTGGGCTGATACCATCAACGGTCAGTATGTAGAGACACGTATCGCAATCCCGGCGTAAATTGTTCGTAACCTGCCATACGGATGTCGCACACATCAGCAAGGCCCAAGCATCTGCGCCACGCCCGCGACGGTCCCCACTCTATCCGCAACACTGGCATCCTCCTCCTCGAGCAACTTCTCAATCGTCTTTCGGTCCTTGATGCGGAAGAAAGCATTGATGCCGTCCACCAGCCGATGCGAAATGGGCTCGACCTCGTCATCGTTGACGGCGGCGAAGCAAAGGCGGAAGTACTTCCAGCCGTCTCGCTCCCGGATCTCGGCCGAGGGGGAGAAGATCCCGCCTGGGGATGCGAGGACCAGATAAGGCTTGGTGGTCAGGAAGAGCCACAGGGCGCGAGCGAGGCGCTCCATTTCGCTCGACTTTTTGAACGTGGAGTAGAGCGGGTGGTTTTCGAAGACGATCTTGAGCCAGAGGAACATGCCGCCGACCTGTGCGTTGTCAGTAGACGACACTAGTAACATGAACGGAGAACGAGTACTCACCGGCCAGTCAAACGACATGATCTGCTTCTTCTCAATTACGCTCCACTCTTCTTCGTCATCGCCGAGACTACTTCTCCTTCCGCTCTTCACCAGATACTTTCCGTTGTCGATAATAGTCGCCATCTTATTCATGCGGCGTTCATAGTTCCCCCTCAGCCCTTCGATCCATCGCACCCAGCCGTCCGCCTTCCATCCTTTCCCATCCTGCAGCCCGCCCTTTCCATCTTTCGGCTTTCCAGATTCAATGCCGCTGTGGTCGGGACCGAGGAGCAGCTCGGCGAGCATGCTTTGCACAAAGCCCGATGGCTGCTGAGTAGATGTCTCTGTGATGTACTGAATCTTCTCAATGACTGCCGGCTGCGCCGTGATCCAGCCCACTCGGCAGCCCGGAGCGACGGTCTTGGAGAAGGTGTCAAGTCTGATGACGCGCCCCTCTGTGTCGATTTGGATGGAGGAGGGAACAATGGAGTCGAGGAAGTCGTAGCCGCTCGACTTCCACCCTGCAGGTCGCGGCTCGGCATTGGCGAACATGGGCACGTCGGGGTTGAAGTCTTGGTTAGAAGGATGGAAAGTCGTGGTCGTGTTCTTTGCCGTGGCGGTAGGGTATTGGAGATACCAGTACGGATCGTCCTCGACGATGATCACATCGTACTTGCAGCAGAGTTCGTAGATATCCCTTCGACGTTGGAGGGAGAGAACGCCAGACGTCGGGTTTTGGCCCATTCTGGTATTTCATCAGCATGCCTATGCTCCAGAGACTGGCTGACATCGGGACTCACGTAATGGTATACATCAGCCTCGGCCGACGACCCTTCTTAAAGTCCCAGTTCTCCAAGACATCTCGCAGTCCACCCGGGCCCTCAGCGAGCATGCCCTCATCATCAATCGCAACGGGCGCAATGTTGAGACCTCTTGGCGTGACGGCTGTCATGGCATTCCCAAAAGTAAAGTGCTCGACCAACACTCCATCCCGGTCCCTCACCCAATCCTTCTCTTCACTCCACTCGTTGGTGAACGTCTGCAGCACCTTGCTCCACCCATCGGTGTTGCCTGCGGAGAGAATGACTTCCGGCCCGCCCTTGTAGGGACAATTGGGGTGCAGATGGTTCTGGGTGAATTGGCGGATGAAGTAGTACAATGGCGGATAGCCTTGAGCTTGGCCGTATTGGAGCGCGGTTGCGAGGTCGATCTTCTTCAATAAATCCTTCTGAGAGCTGGTGTGGGGAACTCTGATGGCATCTTGAGGCTGGTTGAGCGGGGAGCTGGTTGATGAAACGGCATTCTTGTTGCTCTTCTTCTCTTGTAGACTCAAACGGGCAATGACATCTGCATCATCGGCCGCGGGCGGTGGGTCCACTGGGGTGTTCGGGGTGGGCTTCCATCGGTCAGGACGAGCGACACTGGCTTCCAAGGTGTCAAAGGGAAAGTAGTATTGATTGGGCAGGCCGCCGGCAAGCTGGCCAATGCCGGGGATTTGGAAGTATTTGTAGAACTGCTTGATGGAGCTGGGCACGCGCGCCTTGGTGGTTCGACTGAAGTGATGGGTCAAGTCTTTTGGCGCGGGCCGGGAATCCTGATCTTGAAAGGAAGACATGCTCTCGTGTACGAGACTAAAGAGAGAATGCGTATATTGAGGAGAAGGGAGAGCAGGGAAGAGCAGGCCAGAGAAAGCAAGAGATGCGACGAGGTTACATCTTTCCGCGTCGTTGATATGTAATCGATGATCCTAGTCTCGCCTTATCGCACGCCATGCGCGGAGAGGAGGGGACCACGCGAGGTCCGACGCCGAGAGCGGAGGGCGGAGTTGCATTCCTCCCACCTTCCCTTCTTGGCAGCTCCACGTGCTCCACGTGCGCCGCCTATAGGGTTGGGCGCTTGCGCGGCACATCACGAATGCAGCGACATACTACACTCTTAGCCCCTGTACGTCGGCATTTCATCGACGCAACTACATCTTGGGCATGCATCTACTGGACATGTCCTGGTTGGAAATGGATACATGATAGCAATACCGTCCAAGCTGCGCCGGAACGATGGGATCACGTGCTTTCCACGACGAAGAGGCTGCAGATAATCAAGATCCTACGTTTCAGCCATACCGCGATGATCCGGACGAAGACGAGGCAACCTGGGACACATCAGACCCCGATGCTCCCCCTACGGAGTTCCATGACCCCGCGCGACCATCGAACCTCACCTGGAAAGCCCGACTGCAGCGCCGCATCCCCCCTCGACTCCAACGGGGCTGGCAAGCGACAAAGACGTGGGTCATTGGACCACAACCGCCGAGAATCTACACAATCACCCCTGTATTACCCGCTGTCCAACACGCTCCCCTGACTCTACTCGACCGCTACGCCCCCAAGAAGGCGCACAAGTTCTGGCTGCTCGTCCTGCTCTACGCCTCGTGGCTGTTCGCCTTCTCCATCGTGCTGTGGAAGAGCTCCTTCTCCGCGCAGATTGCTGGCTACGGCGCGCCGGTCCATATCAGCTGTGTCACGAGGTACTGGGACGATGCCAATGGCTGCGGGCTGAATGGGAATGAATGCCGGCCGTTTGCGAATTCCACCTTGGCTTTCCGATGTCCGGCGGATTGCCATAAAGAACAAGTCTTCATCCCGCATCCCGTGGGCGATCAGGAGGTTGTCTATGAACCGCTTGTCATCGGCGGACCGACTGCGAACCACACGGGGTTTGAAGGCAAGATTGTGGAGAACGCCGTGTACCGTGCGGACAGCTTCATCTGTGCATCTGCCGTTCACTCGGGCTTCATCAACGATGCGCAAGGCGGCTGCGGCGTCCTCACTCTGACAGGGGAGCAGGCGTCGTTCGATGCCTCCAAGCGGCGTGGCATCAGTAGTCACGGCTTTGACAGCTACTTTCCCAAATCCTTCGGCTTCCTCGACGGCACACTGTCTCAATGCAAAGACCTGCGATGGCCCGCATTGATTGTGAGCGTCGTCTTCACCGCCACCCTCAGCATCTTCACCACCAACCCTGCCATCTTCTTCTGGTCTCTCTTCGTCATGCTCTTCTCCACCGTCGCCCTGGCCACCGACCCCCCCTCTTCACTAAACTACTACAGCCTCCTCAGCACCGCCTTCGGCCGCTTCCTTCCCGCCTGCTTCTGCGGCTGGGTCACATATCACTACACCGTCAAGCGTTCCCTCACCAACCTCACCGCGCAGTTCGAAAAAACCATCCTCTGGCTCGGCGCAGCGTGGGTAGGCGCGCTAAACAACTACACCTTCGACAAGATCCCCATCCAGCGCCTCACGCCGCACGACATCCAAGCCCAGCCGGGCGCAGTGCCAGCCCTCATCATCATCCTCCTCAGCATCCTCGCCATCGCCCTAAGCCAAGCCTGGGCCTTCCGCATCGAAGGCCGCATGCCGCGCTACCTGCTCATCTACGGCCTCTTCGTCGCCGCCCTGCTCATCATGCTCGCCATGCCGGGCCTCAATCTCCGCATCCACCACTACATCCTCGCCCTGCTCTTCCTGCCTGGCACCTCCTTTCAGAACCGCCCGTCGCTACTCTACCAAGGCCTGCTGGTAGGTTTGTTCATCAACGGCATTGCGCGCTGGGGTTTCGCCAGCATCGTCGAACTGCCGGGTGAATTGCTCGCCGGCCTGCCGACGGGGACTTTACTCCCGCCGATCTCCGTTCTGGCCGTCGCGGGCGCGAAAAACATCACCTTCAATCTCGGCGCGCTGCCCGTCGCGGCACCAAAGGGCAAGCGAACGTTCGACGGCGTCAGCGTGCTTGTCAACGACGTCGAGCGCTTCCGGGGATACGGCGATAACAAGGATTACTGGCCTGACGGGTGGGCTGACGGGGGTAATTTCACGTGGACGTGGGAGCGGCATCGGGTGGGGGCCGATGGGGACGACGATGATGCTGCTGCGTCCAAGAGCCTGCCCGAGTACTTTCGCTTTGCGTATATGGATGGCAGCGTTGTTGCGGACTACACCAAAGCGGGCAAGTGGGATGGCGATGGCAAGTGGATTCAGATGGAGTCGGGGCATAGCTGATCTGTTGGGATTGCACTTGTCGCATTGATAGACCAGGGATAGAATGATAGAATCTCGAGTCTCTTGAGCAGATAGAACTGCACGATTCAAAGAGTGTGAGGACTAGGGATTAAATTATTGGGTTCTGTGATTAATTACATTCAATCCCCACCAGTCGACTCTCGCTCACCCACCACGGTGAGCACCACCTCCTCAATAATTCCACGACGATCCAACACCCGCCGCCTCAAGCAACTCCTTGAACTTCGGCGTGCCCCAGCCGGAAGCAGCGTCCCAGCCCTTCTGCGCCGTGAAGCCCGTCGTGTTGCAGCCTTGCGTCTCACCAATGGTGATGTCGGTGAAGGCCTTGTTGGCAGTCGAGTAGATGAAGGGGTTCAGCCAGCCCAAGGAGGACTTGCCCGCGGCGATGCGAGCGTCGTTCACGAGAGCGAAGATGCTTGCGGCGGTCGGGGTGGAGCACGAAGTGCCGTCAACGGGGATAAATGAGCCGTTCCAGGCGATGGTGAAGTTCTGCAATCAGCGTGTTAGCAGGAAGTAGGGACAGTGCGGGGAGTGGTTGGATGGGATACGCACCACACCGTAGGCGGCAAGATCGGGATACGCGCGGCCGGAGGTGTTGAAGAGGCCCTTGTTGGCGTTGCCGATGATGTTGAGGTAGCTCTCAACCGCGGTCTTCTGCCAAGACGGCTGGCCGAAGTAATTGCTGAAGCCACCGCCGGGACGGAAGCCATTGGCAGGGTCGTATGCCACTCTCTCGGGGCTGAAGCCGCTGGTCGCTGCGAGGAGTCAGTTCTCCATCTACACGGAAGGCAGGCTACACGGGGTGGTACTCACAGCCAATAGTGGTCACATAGGGACAGCTGCCCGGGAAGCACGGCACGAATTGCTTCTTGTTGGGGTTGGTGTTGAGGGTGCAATTGCCACCGACCTGGACGCCCTCGACACCGGCATCACCACTGCCAAAGAAGACGGAGACACCGCGGGCTCCCAACTGGGCGAAGCCTGCGCAGACGGACTGGGCGTAGGATGGAGGCACGGTGTCCTCGTCATCTGCGTAGCTGTTGGAGATGACTTGCCAGGGGATGTCGGATTGGGCGAGAATGTAGTTCAGCCAGATCATGTACGGCTCATTCTGGGGATCATTCGGCGGCTCCAGAGAGTCCGGAATGTACGGGGCGTTGCCGCCGGTGGAGTAAGCGGTGACGTTCATGGGGTAGGTCTGGCCGATGATGGTCTGCACATCCAAGTTGCCCTCGATACCGATTTCTTGCTTCAGCTGTGTTGCGTTTTCGGGGGTCTGCTGGGTGTTACCGCCATTGACACTGATCTGTTTGAACGCCTCGGCGGCGCCGACGGCCTTGGGGCGGAAGCGTTCGAGGAAGAGCCTGGCGTCGGAGCGGTTGTTGATTTCGCCGAGGAAGTCATTGAGCGCAATCTGGGCCTTGGCTCCGGCCTTGGGCTTATAATGAGAACTGAGAACGAGGAGTTAGAAAGAGGACAGAAATTGGGGAGTGGAAGTCGGCACTCACGTTCCGTAGAGGAGGCGAAGACAGTGCGGGGTGACGTTCTCTGCATGGCAGGACTTTGAAATGTCCGACGACTTGGAGTCGGCGTCTGCCGAGCCGTCCTGCGTAAGCTCGAGGGCTCGAGTACCGCCTGATGTGCGGTACAGCTTGGCCTGGCCAAAGGGTCTCATGAAGGCGTTGGTGGGCTGGATGGTGGAAATGTGCTCGTGAAGATGGAGGGGGAGGCTCCACTGCGGGGTGCGGACGAGTTCGAAGCCGTCGCGGTGGCGGTAGGTGGAGTACTTGGTGTCGAGCATCTTCTCGATGGAGGCGACGGGCAGGGTGAAGGTCAAGAAGTCGCTGGCGGAGGAGTGCTCGACGGCGTCGGGATGGACGTGCTGATGGATCCATTCCTTCACCAGCTCCAGGGATTCCTCGGACGGCTTGACGAGCTGGGTGACATCGTCTTGCGACAGATGCTGGCCGTAGCGCGGGTGCGAAGGGTCGGAGACTTCGAACAGCTCGCGCTCGAGTTGCTCAAAGTTGGACTGCTTCAGGCCGACGCTCAGGCGGATGAGATGGTCCTGCGGCGCGTCTCCGACTCTTGCGAAGCTGCCGGGCACGGGATGCGTCTCCTTGACCGCATACTTGCAGTCGGCGTCGGACAACGGAGCGGCCGAGGCGAGCACGGCCGTTAAGGCCACAACGGCGAATGACCTCATGTTTCAGAGCTTCGATGGGTGATGATGGAGAGATATGTAGGCTTGATGCACAAGCGACGAGCGACGAAGGAAGGAGCAGGGCAGAGCAGGCACCGGCCAGGCTGCCTTTTATTCCTTTCCAACCCCGCCCTCTTCCCCATCGTAAAAGTAGTTTGGCGGCACGCGGGCGCCGTGGATAGATGTCGATGTTACATTGATTGCTCGTGGAAGGCTAGGGTTTAAGTCAGGCACTGCGGGCATGCCATTGGCTGGATGGAGGATGACGCCGCCTGCCACCCCACGCTGCTTCGGGTCCGGCAGGCTAGCCTTGCTAGCTCGCGATAGCTCCGCCGGAAAATGACTCGTTTCCGCCGTTCGCGCACCAGAACACCAGCTATCCAGCGTAGTGCCGCCCACTCGCCAGCTTGGTCATTTATTAGTGAAATGAATGCGGAGAGTCGAGAACAGGGTGGAGGGTGGGATGGGGAAGGTTTCGGGCCACAAGTACCCACTCGGCCGCGCGCAATCAATGCCATGATAATGTCCCCCGGCCTCGATGGGCAAATGCATTGCCTTTGCTGGTGCGTCGGCATCGACGGAATAGGTACGGAAGGTGGCCGCTCATTTGTCGATGGGCAAGCAACTCCTCCATGCCCTCAGCGCCGTCCATCCATACGTGCCGCTTTTCGGCCAGCGATGCTTGCCTCCCGCCTTCTCCGTCGCATGCGCTCTTAAGCCGTCTGCCATCGCGCTAAGCCCCGTCTCCCACGCGGACACCACCCGGTGTGCCAACTGCGCATTGGGCATCTCGTTCCCTAGGACATGCATAGCAAGGCGCAATCCGTGATACACTGGAATCCCTCGCATCATCTCTCGTTGTGGCCCGGTTGAGGCTGGTGTGGATGAAGAAGGCTGAAGCATAAAAGTCAGTCACGTGCCACAATGACTATCGCCGCATAACAACCACATACCTTCACGCGCGAGTAGAGTTCCGTGCTCCCTTTCGCTTCCAGTGCGGCCATATTGAACAGCACTCGCTCCGCATACGCCTTCACCTTCCCATCCACATCCTTGCCCTCCTGGTGCTTCACCGCATACACCGCAGCCAGCTCGAGGTATACGGCCAGAATATCCGGCCTTGTACGAGGATCATGCTCTCTCAGCTCACTACCACTTCCGTGCTCTGCGTCTTCCAGCAACATGGTGACGGTGTGTGCATCTCTGATAGCTTTTGACGTCGCCGCCTCACTCCACTGCTCGTCTTGCGCCGTCTTGCGCAGCGCATAGATGACATTGTACAGCACCTCGGGTTTCCGCAACGTCATCTGCGTCGACTCAGGCTTCTGAAGACACCGTAATATGACCTTGAACTCCCCCGCTTCGATCGCCTTTCTCGCAATCTTGCCCGTGACCTTGTACTCCGGCGTCCGCTTCGCCTTCTTCAGTCCCGTGAGCAGCGCAGGCAGATTATTCCAGTCCTCGCTCTCCCCATTTGCCATCATCTCGATGGCCTTGGGCAGGATCTCTCTCCGCAAGCTCGGTACGTCTTTCGTGCGGTCAATGTGTTGCAGCTGCACATCCTCGTCGCCAATCGTGACAAACTCCGGATTCTCCCGCAGCGCAGTCGCGTGTTTGTCTTTGAAGATGAGGTTCCGCTCGCGGTTGCCCAGGGCGGCGGGGATGAGGATCTTTTCGCGGAGGGAAGTGAGGATGCCGTCGAGTTCGGGTTGGGAGGTGGGAGTGAACTGCGGTAGAGGTCCTTTTCGCTTCGCCGGCGACGAGGAGAATGTCCGGCGGGCAGACGTGCGTGTACTCGACACCTCTTGAAGGCGCCGCCGAAGGGCACATCGCATGCAGAGTGAGGCCATGGTTGATTGTTTCGAAGATGATGGACATCTCCCGCGGCGTATATTTTTCAGAGCTCCTGGAAAGACTGCCGGCCAAAAGTGTTGGCCACCTCCGAATGGAGCTCCGCCAGATTTCCTCCATCCCATCAAACTTCACCCCGGCCTTCGCATCAACGCCTCGCGCAGAGATGTCCGCCCATACCTCTTCGGTCCGGCCGTTGGCGCATCTGAAGCATGCCTTGCGACAATGTCGACTCGAATGCGACCAGCGGCGACGCTACGCCGTGCCCGCGACAGACGCCCTCTACCCATCCCTTCAAACCAAATACCCATTGCCGGCCGCAGGCTTCAGACCCTCCCAGGCAATAAAACAGAACAGTGAGTGCAGTGTCCATCGCGAAACATCCACGCTGTCCATCCCTAACCACCCACCCAGGATTCGAGCCCGGCCTCAAGAGAATCCGCGTCTTCCAACCCCCGCGCTCCACCATCAAACTCTGCCCCGATCCAATCCAAAAAGTCACCCAAGACCAACTCGCCGTCCTCGACCCCACCGGCGCCCGCACCCGCCTCTTCGCCGCCAGCAACCCCGACAACGTCAAACCCGGCGACGTCCTGCTCGTGCGGCTGAAGAACGGCGAGCCCTTCGCAGGCGCCTGTATCAATATCCGACAACGCAATTCCCCCATCGACACCGCGGTTCTGCTGCGCAACCAGCTCACGCGAGTAGGCGTGGAGATGTGGGTGAAGGTGTACAGTCCGAATGTCGAGGGCATTGAGATTGTGCAGCGCAAGGAGCGGCGGGCGAGGCGCGCGAAGTTGTATTATATGCGGAAGCCGAAGCACGATATGGGCAATTTGGATGGTGTGGTTAGGCAGTATCTGCGGCAGAAGGTGGGGGGGCAGATGTCGAGTAGGAGTACCAAGGGCAGGGAGGCGAATGCACAGAAGAAGAAGAAGGATAAGAAGAAGTCGGATCAGCGGGGGAAGAAGTGAGGTGTATACCATTTCGTTTGAGATACCAATGGTCAGGACCACATTGTCGATTAAGGAGCGTATTCGGTCAGAGATTACTTATGAGTACCTTGGAACAGGCAAAAGCCTTGTTCGTCAAACTCCATCCGTTCATATCGTTTTGTCTCATCATATGTCCTTCCACTCCTTCTCCCCCTCCACCAACGTCTAATCTACCACCAGCCGCTCATAGTCGAGCAAACCGACTTGGTAGACGTCTCGACCTTGCTGGTCGGCACCGTCTCCGTGCACTCAGAAGTGTACACCCCGGTCTCAGTAGATGTAAAGGCAGACGTGAGCGTCTTCTCCTCCGTGCTGGTGCTGGTGAGAGTCACCGTTTTGGCTGGCCGCGTTGTCAGTATGATGCTTTGAGGGCAGTTGGTGTGTAACGTACACTCTGGCACTGTGGTCCAAACGACTTCATGGCCCGTGCTGGTGGAAGTGATGGTCTCGTATTGCGTGGTTGGGATGGTGACGGTTTGGGTGGAGGTGCTGTGGATGACAGATGTTGTAAGCGCTTGATCTTGAGGTTGTTAAGCATATCTTGAAGGGCCACTTACACTTCAATCGTCTGCACAGTCGTCTTGTAGCTCGTGGAGACTGACGACTGGTGAAGAAGTACTGTTAGTATCTGCCACAGGACTACTGGGTGGAGTGTGGACGAACCTTGACAGAAGTCGAATATCCAACCCTCGACGATGTGATGACTGTGACTTGGGTCGTCGGGACGTTCTCCGTCGTGTGCTCGCCAACGTGATGACCGTGGTGTCTGCATGAGGCCGTAAGCAAAAGGCTAATTGTTTCCATTGGAGGAACGCTTACATGGAACAGGGGTGATGACTTGAGTCGTGTATGGCTTCGAGACGACGGTGATGCTGGTCCATGTGCGAGGACGAGGACTATCGGTATAGTATCGAATGTCAGCGAAGAGTACAGGAGGACTTAGTGAGTCGCGGCCCAGCATACGTAGTGATGACTTCGGTCGTCCAGACGGTAGACGTCACAGTCTCGACAGAGCAGGTCGACGAAGTGTGCCATCCGCCCTTGGATGTGGTTGTCGGAGTTGTTGTTTGGCCTCCGTATGCAGGCGGCGTCTGAGGGGGGCTAGCAGTCGCCAGGCTACCAAAGCCCAGAAGGAAGAGAGCGGCGAACTTGAGAGAGGAGTGCATTCTGTTGAATTGAGCGAGGGTAATGAAGTAGGGATTTTGAAGTGAGAGGATGCTTTGGAGCGTGAGTCTTTGGAGCAATGGCAAGTAGAAAGCTGTTCGATGAAGAAGAAACGAAAGAACGAATGAAAGAGGCAGTTTTATACAGATCCCAACGAGCGTGATGGTCGTCTGACGCACGCCAGACAGATATCGTGTCTCGGACGATGGCATACCAATGAAACCGCAGCTTCACCTCCCTCACCGACTCCAAGTCCGATAGAAACCCACTTTCACGAGCAGACTGGACGGTATTGGCGATATCGAGGATTGCCGTGCATCGGAGAAGTCTTAAGTGGACCTGCTAAGGTGTCGCAAAGGCTGAGCATGCTGTGTAGTATTGGCGGCGAGGAAGTCGATCCTCCGCTGCGAGTCGAGCCAGCGCAGTCCTTGGCGGGAGATTAGTCGGGCTTTGACGTGGACGGAGCATTCACCACATATCGGCAATCGGCTGAATCGACGGGGAACTGTCCTGTCTGGGTCAGACAGTCGTGGATCGTGGCCGCTCGCCGCAAGGGAAAGTCGGACCACATCGGTAATGGACGCCGCTATTGCATCTTACTAAGACCTGCCGCGTTACAGACTCGATCTCGTCGGGGGAAGGAGAGCGTGTCGTCAGTCGGCGGCCAAAGATAGATTGGCATCGGAAACAAGCCTCTCCGCCCGTTGGCCTTGGCGCGTGGCAAGCAACGGCATGTCTTAAGAACACAACCTCACCGTTTCTGTGTCCGTTTGGGAACCTTGGAATCTCACTCTCGAACATGGGCATCCCGAAGAATCCAGAACGGGTCTCTTGACCAGTCCCATGCATCGCCGCATCGCTGCAAGCTGCGCGCTGGTCTGGCCCGCGTAAAACCTTTAGCCTTGTTCCTACGTTCTACGACATCTGGTTCCGATGCATACGAGACGAAAATGGTGCACGAGAAGCCAGGTCGGATCCCGACACAGTGCTCTCCGTGGTGACCCGAACACGTGTTTGCACACTCTTCGGACACGGGCCTTTGACGCCAGAGAAGAAGCTCTGCGCCTGCTATTCCGATGATGCCTCATTACCACCCAATCAGACTGCACCATCACGCAGCGATCTCCGTTATTGGCAGAGAATAAGCCAACGCTTGATTGTAGCACAACGGCTGAGTCTCGCCGGGGACTGCGGCCGTGGAGCAGACAAACAGGACCTGCAGTCTCGCGGAGAATGCGAGTTCGGAGCAGACGTACTTGGCAGAGCAGGCAGCATGACATCAAGTGTTCAGGCATTGCCAAATTGAGGAGAGTTCAAGTGCGCTATCGACTGTCGTCACGACGTAGGAATGAGTGGGTATTCATGAGAGGCCGTCCCAAACGCCAAATCCGTGCATCGCCCCCAATCATCATTCCGCAAATGCGGCCATCGTCGAATCCAAAGGCCACCAGAGTCGCTTATCAATTCCAGAACCATCCCTTCTTCCTGACTGGCTCTTGCTGCTGCTGCCCAGCCGCCTTCTCCTCAAGTGGCTTCGACGGCCGAGCCTGCTCCCGACTCTCCTGCACGCTCTCCTGCGTCTCCTCCGAGCCATCGGCGAACCTTTGCTTAAGCACCACCTTGGTGATCACCGTGCCATCAGGCATCCGGGTAGTGTGCGTGGTGGTGAGCTGCGAGAGGATATCCGGCTTCTCCTTGCGCTCGCCTTGCGATATGGGAGTGGCCATGGGCGGCCGTGACTCCCACATCTCGTCCGCTGGGGAGGATAGCTTTTCCATCTGCCTCTGCCAACGTGGATCCCTGTCGGTTATTCCACTTCTCACAACAGCCTGGTCCAATGCTTGCATCCAAGCCAGACTATCGGTCTGAGCGGAAGAGATGGCTTCATACACTAAATCCTCCACTTGCCCATTCTCGTCGACGTGCTGTTTTAGCATGTTCGAGGCCGCGTCGAGGTCGTTCGCAGTGATGGCGTCACGGAGGGCTATTGCCCTGGGTCCAACATCTGTCTTCGCGTCATCGTAGCCAACGAAGGGAGAGGTGTAATTGCTCGCTGCTGGCATCGGTACCAAATCGGTGTACGGCGGCATCTCGTCGTATAGATCTTGCTCGGTGTCTGGGACGCGCCATGGTGACTGTAGAATCTTCAGTGGCTCGGCTTGCGTTTCCGGGCACGATTTAATCGCCACCTCGTCCATGAGCAGCTGAACATCTCGCTGGACAAGAGGGTACATGCGAGCAAGCTTATCCCCCGCCGTCACCTGATCCATGTCGTGCATGAATTCCCTCGTTCGAGGCCGGTTGAGTACATCGAATCCATCGAATAGCGAGACCGACTTGTACAAGTTGGGCAGTTGGGGAGGGAGAATGCCACGACATTGGAGACTCAGCATCCAATCCAGGCCGGGTCCGTAGTAGGTCGACTGAGGCTTGCCATACGGCGACCGCTGTCCTACCCTCTCACCAGACATCATCGGTTTGTCCAGCGTGGCGCAGAGCAAATCTTCAAAAGCCGCGCGCCACTTCTCCCCCGCGAGAGGATCAGCTTCCAGCCGCACAGGAGAGTAGGGACTCCTCTTGAACCAGTCCACACTCAACCACTGCGGCTTCGGGCTCGGCCAGCCCCACCTTGCAGTCGAGGGGAGATTGTCGACCGTTTCGGTTTTGTAGTAGCACGCGCCTCCCATGGACAGCATGGGCGTGGTGAACGCGTCCAACGCTCCAAAGTCCCAGTTGCTGTCCTTGTACAGCGCCGCAATCTTCTCCGGCGGCACATTCCGATTCCGCTCGTACGCCGTGCGGAGTAGCAAGCGTGTGTCCGCCTCCACAGCCTTGCGTTCCTCGGCATTCGCCCGCTCAACCTGCAATCGAATATGATCAGGAGAGTCGTTACTACCCGTCCATCGTCGCCAGACGTCAGCCTCCTCTTGCCGCCGGGCTTCCCGCTCCTGCTGCATCCTCTCCTTCAGCTCGGCGATGTTGGAAGGAAAGTTCTTGAAACCTTCGGAGAAGGTGGAGACGTTGGAGTCGACGAAGCTCTTGAAGCGTTCAAAGGGGCCTTTGGAAGATGATGGGGTGTCGTTGTCATCTCCTCTCCAGCTCCGGAGCTCTTTATCTAAGCTGTCTTGAAACTGGCGTCGGAGTTGGTCGATCTCGCCGCGTTGCGCGTTGAGCCATTTGTCGAGGTCGCTTGGGTGACTGTCGTCGTCTTTGCCGCTCATATTGATGATGGATTGGACGGGATAGGAGGAGGATGGGGGATGCAGGATGAACAGTTGTCGCAGAGTGTAAGCAGCGGGGACAGCTGATAGGTGTTTGCGGGGAGCGCGTTGGCGCCGCAAAGGGTCTCTCTCTTGGTCCGTGCAGGCGCCTGGATGGGATCGGGGTGTTCGAGACAAGGCTACGACTGTTCAATCGTGCAGATGACAAGACCGAGATCTATACAAGTCTACACTCATTCCAAGCTATTAATTGTACAACACACCGCCCGCGCCAATCTCATTGTCATCGCGCCCGCCCGTCCAAACCCAGCTGGTCAGGGAATGTAGCAACCGGCCCAAACTGCCCCTGCTGACTCGAAACAACCAGATTCGGATTCAACATAATGTCCCAATCGAACGGCATCTCCATCGCCGACCAGTCGATATTCGCCAGGTCCGGCATGTTGCCCGAGCTAGCCTGGGTCGGCGGGTCTTCAAACGGCGTCAACAGATTAACCGCACTCAGCGCTTGGAGCTCTCGCTCTTTCCGCACTCGTGACATGTGCGCTAGCGATAAAGCCTGGTTGTATGCTTCGCGCACCATGTGCGTGTCGTATACCTGCGCAATGTGACGCAGCTGTTCGACGATGCCCGCAACGAGCCCGAGGCTCTTGGGCGTGTCGATGGCGATGACGACGCAGAGAAATTGGAAGGTGGTGCTCAACACATTCCACCATGGTGTTCGAGTGGAGAGGAGCTGCGACGAGGCTTTCAGTCCGGCCTTGCCGATGCACATTACTGATTCCGCACGATCTTTCGCATCCGTGAGGCTCATCAGCCAGAGGCGACGGTAGATGCCGAATGCCACGTCCGCTCGTAACAAGTTGATCCACGGCGAATCTGATTGCATTTCCTCAATCGTCGTCAAAGCAGAGGTGAGTGCCGCCGGGGGATCAGGCTCTTGCTCAGGGTCGACAAAGTCGCTCGGTAAAATCTCGGCCAGTTCAACGATCAGATGGGCATGTGAGGTGTTGTCGGGGGCAAATTTCTTCGTTGTCACCACTTCAAAGTGCACCTTTGAACGACCGTACTCAAACCCCAGAAGTACGTTTAAGGCCTTGGCTATCCAGAACAGCTTTCTTCTCGATTGCACCAGCTTGTTGTCCGTGGTGGGCATCGCGGGATAGACGACGGCAATGGATTGCAATTCTTTGTGCAGACCGCTGGCTTCAACCTGATGCAAAGTGATACAGCTGGAGACCCACGAGGCGTGAGGACGGCCAGTCAGTCGCAAATAGAGCGTTCGAAGAATCCAGCCGGCCACGCTGTTGATCGTCACCGAGCGTGATAACGTTCTTTCATGTAGTTGGGTACAACTACTCGCAACGAACTGATTCTCTCGGGGATGTGGCGTGGGGGCGAAGAAGGATCCCAATGCTGCAACTCCAAAAATGACAACATCAAAGTCATCTTGTCCCTGTGGATTTGCAAATCTGGTCGAGGCCGCGATCATGAACTCAGCCTCGTCTAGAAGTCCAATCTCGACTCGAACGATGCGAAAGTAGATCTCTGCTAGCTGCTGCATTTCCGGCCACGTCATCAAGCTGGTGACTGGCGTGACTTCTTCCTGCGGCTCTGCTCGAAGGCCGAGGTGCCAAGCGAACGAGTGCAGACGCGGGATACTCTCGGCTTCGAGGTCCATGCCTAAGATACGAGGGAATGCGATGGCCGAATTCGCCCTGACGAAACGAGTCTTTGTCGGATCCAGGATGCCGCGATGGTGGAATCGAGCGCCTGGAGCTGTCAGAGGGTGCGGTTGTCTTTTGACATGGCCCGACTCTGTCGCCACAACCACTGGCCGCGGGGGAAGTGCTTCTGACGAGGCATGGTCGACAGGAACGTATGATCCGCGTTTGGCAGAAGTGTATTCGCAGTTGTATTCGTAGCGCACACACGTGCCGCACGGCATGCGTCCATCACTTTGACCATCATCAGCAGACTAGCGCAGGGACAAGGCCAAGGTAGATGAATGTCTGACAAACCATTTGCGTTTGCGATGTCTGCACGGCGCGCACGCCGCACGCGACCTTTGCCTTCCCAGACGAGGGCTGCCTTCGAGCTGGGAGGTAGGACTGAGCGACCGTTTCCCGTTACCCTCCTCCGCAGACATGGTGAGACGATGAGCTGGGCTGGCACAGATGGTGAGCGTGACGAGGGTGCGGATATTGCGGATGTGATGTTGCAAGGACGCGAAGACAACCAATCAGCTGCGGTCTAGACCGCTTTGGCCCTTTCCCGCGAATCTTTCGCCGAGTCACGTGCGCAGGAGATTTGACGGTCTGGAGAGTGTTGTACGCTGCGGATCTATTCGAGACAAGTCGTCTACATACTCCTCAATCAAAGCCCTACAAATCCTTCCCCATCCACTCCAAATGGTGTGGTGTAATCCTTCATTGCCCCCGTAATCCGAGCGCCGCCAGCGCCTACGCTTAAACATCAGTTCCATCTACCACCATGCCCTTGATCCATTTGTGGCACATCACGCGAGCCACCTCCTCGGCCGCATCGTCGCTGACCATGGCACCGACCATGTAGAGAGCACCATCGATGCCCGAGGTGACGCCGCTGGTGGACAAGACACGCAGTCCGCCGAGGCGAAGGTTGGAGCGCTTGAGCACGCTCTCGCGGCGGGTGTTGCTCGCCTTCCAGCTCATGCTGCCCTTGCGAGCGCCGCTCGGGCGTCGGGCGCCGTCAGTTCCATTCGAGCGCTCCTCGATGGGCGAGGGCGGGCTGACAAGCGAGCTCTTGCGGCGCTTGGCCTCCTTCAACTCCTTGCGAGTCATGATGTATGGGTTCTCATCCTCATTCTCGCCGAGATCGAAGCGCAGGTTGTTGACCACATAGCGCTGCTCGACCACATCGCAGCGGTCCGCCATGTCACGCAGGGTGACATTGGAGCAGAGGATCTCCAGCTTGGTGATGAAGTCGGGGTGGGTGGTGGCGCTGAGGCCACTCAACACACCCGCCTCGGCCAGGAAGAAGGAGCCGGTGCAGACCGACATCAAAGTGCGTTCTCGGCCCGGATCTTTCAGCTGCACCTCCGCAAACTTTTTGATGAGCGCGAGCGGCTGCGCCTTGGACTTGAGGATCTTCTCGGTACCGCCACCGGGGATGACGAGCAGGTCGACCTCAGGCAGGCGCTTCATGGCTTCGTCGAAGGTCATGTGAGCGCGGAAGGAGGCACCCTGGGCGGAGACGGTGTGCTCTTCGGCCGCTGCAAAGGAGACGGTGAATGCCTTGGTCTCTGTGCGGGATGTCAGTGGATGCATGGTCGAGTACACATTACTTCATTGCCAGGCATACCAGGGTTCTTCTTATCGTGGCGAGCCCAGCTAAAGACCTCCAATGGGCCCACGACATCCATGGCATCCATGCCCTCGTGCAGCGTGATGAGAACCTTGACGGGCTCGGCAGAGCCCTCAGGTCCCTCGTAGATTGCACTCATTTTGCCGGTCTGTGGTTTGGGGGTTAGTTTGCGTACGTGTGGTTGCGTGTGTGGTGTTGAGAAAAGTGTGAGGAAAGAAGAAGATACGTAGGTACCTTGGGGTTTTGACGGCCACCACGCCCGGGGCACTTCCCCGCACCAAATTGAGTTTGAGGGTCCACTCTCCCCACACTCGCACTGACATCCAGCGAAACATCACATCCACTTGCTCCACTGAAACAGTGGTCACGAGACGACGTCGGTGCTGGCCAGATATGTCCAGACTGTGTGGAGCCTGACGTATGGAGGATGGTCAGCTACTCCTTACCGGCTGGGCGTCCAAGACCATCTCACTGAAAAGGGTGACTTCCAGCATGCTTGCACGATTCTCAGCACCTTCGTACTCTATCACGGCGGTGAGAATCGTCGGATGGCCGTCCGTGCTGAGCGTGGGCTTCGCCAGAAGCAGGACAAAATGGCTTCGCCTCACCGTCTGCTCTCAGGACGGCAGCGGATGATGAGGGTCTGCTTCTTGGAACGGCGATGTCAGTCTGATAACACAACACGCCTCGGGATGCTGCCATATGGTCGCCGGCTGGCTCTGTAATCGATTCTCTACGACTTGACCTACAGCAACACTACATCTACAACACTGGGATATGAATGCGACTCAATCTGTTTCAGAACTATCTGGGGTATCTCTCGTTGAAAAGCAGAAGCAATGCAACGCCAGTTTGGCAACAGCCTGAACCACAGCAGTCCTTGGATACCTGACCATTCTCACCCTCCCCAGCTAAACTCCATTCCCGTAGTGATCTGGCGATTCGTGTCTAGGGGGGTGCTTTAGTCTTAGTAGTTCCGGGAATGTCCATTTCCGGCTTTGGCACGGCTCTTGGGTAACGAGACGAGTGATCCGATTCTGTGGCGTGCTTGTCATTTCTCTCACGATTGCCCATTGCTCTTCGGCGGCTGGTCTCGAGCAGCGAGAGGTGCTTCGGTCTTAGTATTTGTGGGAACGTTAATCGTCGGCTTCGGCACGGCTCTGAGGTGATGAGCTGAGTGATCTGATGCTGTGGCCTGCTTGTCATTTCTCTCACGATTGCCTCTTGCTCTTAAGCGGCTGGCCTTGAGCAGCGAAAGGTGCTTCGGTCTTAGTATTTGTGGGGACGTCAATTGTCGGCTTCGGCACGGCTCTGAAGTAACGAGCCGACTGTTCTGATGTTGTGGCCTGCTTGTCGTTTCTCTTGCAATGCCCCTTGCTCTTTGACGGCTGGTCTCGGGCAGCAAGAGGTGCTTCGGTCTCAACAGTGGCGGGAACGTCAATGCTCAGCTTCGGTACACCTTTTGAGTTGCGTGAAGTTGATCCGACGGCGTGGCCCGGGTGTCATTTCTCTTCTTCTGCCTCGTTCTCATCGGGGGCTGTTGTTGTGTCGTGGGAGGTGCTTGGCTCCGAATAGCTGCGGGAGTCTCCCTGCTCAACTGCTTCGACTCGAATTCACGGATTGCGAGGCGTCTGAGATCCGGCGGCAGCTTGGCGATCCCGCATCTGAGGTGTGGTGGTAATTCTGCCATCTCGTCGGAGATCTGTGAAGGGGACGGTGTTGTTGGAGTGGCCACTTATTTCTTGAGCTGATGAGACTTTCGGGACGAGTGACGTGGTTCAGCAGCGCTTTTGGGTGTGTCTCGCGCGTTCAATGCACCGGCGGATTCGACTGGCTGCGCTTGACCGTCTATACCGGCGGGCGACGTTGCGGCATCAGTCTGCCCGCCTGTACGAAACGGAAGCGCTCCTAGGCTTTCAGCGCAGAGTTGTAGGCTGCCGTGTCGATGGGATCGCTGGCGTGACTGGTGGGATTGATAGGTGTCTTCCATATTGGGACATTCTGTAGTCTGCGGAGTGTCAGCTTAGAGACTAGAATATGATGAAAGGCACATACAGCGCCATCGGGCCGTTAGTCATGCTCCTAGGCCTCTCCATCATCGGTCTAGTAGCGGAGGGGAGGGAAGATGGCGAGAGGCCGGTCAGGCCAGGCCGCAGGCCGGACTCTCTCGAGCCCTTCCGCGCCGCCTCGGCCAGCAATTTCAGCGCATCGTAGCCGCTATGGATTTCCGTGGCCTGCAGCAGAGACACCGTCTGTTCACTGGCATTCTAGTCCTCCTCATTGTACCGCGCAGGTTTAGGGCCAGTGGTGCAGTCGAGCCTCCCGGCGTGCGCGGGGCCTCTTCCAGCTCCACGATCTTTTCGGGCTCGTAGCCCTCGGACTGGCGCACGCGCTTACACCTATTCTTGACTTTGAACACGGTCTCGTCGGTGTCGGAGTAGGCGTCGTCGGCTTCTCCAGTGCATCAAAGCAGCCAGGAGATGAGCTTCGAACTTTGATACTTGACACTACTGGTTGCAGTCTGGCCGCCTCTTCTTCAAAAGCACCTAGGCCAGTAGAGCACTCAGTAGAGGAATCACTTTGGTCGATTTTGCCGGCTTTCGTACCGGTGCAGCCTTGAGGCTTTGAAGGTCATGGCACCTCATCGCCGCGCCCGGGACCAGGGGACTCTCTCCGCAGCAAATTGAGTTAAGGGTCCACTCTCCCCGGGCCTTGTTAATTCACTTCGCAACCGTCAAATCCCTAGAGCCATCGAAAGACTACAAGATTGGATACATTCGCGTCATGAGTAAAAGGTGGGTTGGAGCTGTTGGGAGTTGCACACACAGAAGCATCATTCACGGAGAGCAAGGCTCACTGTCTACCTAAGATACTGAAACCCCGTTGCATCACCTTTAATCGCCAGACCCTCCCCTCTCACTATTCTAGGGACCCGTCACTCCAGTCAACCTCGTCCTCATACACGGACCGACTTGGCGCCACGGACACCTGCGGCTTTGCCGTAGACGTCACTGCCGCACGCGAATCTCTGACTCCATCCATTCGATCACCACGATCATCCACTTGACCAGCGACTTCGTCCATTCGATCCCCACCATAATCCATTTGACCAGCGACTTCATCGACTCGATCAATTTCCATTGCATTGGAATCTGGCTTCTCCGCAGGCACTGAAGTAGGGCCTTCACGGCGAGGTTTTCCGTGGAATGCGACTGTCGAGGTTGCACCAGAGCTTGACTTAGGTCCATGAGTACCGACGGTGGAGGAAAAGGTGAACGGAAATGCACCGAAGCTAGGGACAGACACAGGTGTATGAAGGTGCTGATCGCGCTTGCGCGCATTGTTGTAAGCGGGGGTAGCATCGTGCTTTGGCGGCTGCTGGCGCTCGCGCGGCTTGTTGTGGTTAGGTGGCTTAACCCCTGCCATGTCTTGCCTCCGCATCCTCGTGGTGTCTTTGCGAAACTTGATGCTCATCTCCTGGTGCTCTTTCTCAAGCCTGTCTTCCTCGGTGCAGCAAAAGATTAGTTTCCTCTCCGTCACAAATTCACTGATCTGTTTCAGAGTGGCCGTCCTGGCCGGTCTCATACGGCAAGCTCTCTCGAGCTCAATTTGATTGCCAACGATGATCAAGGCACCCCGGGAACGAGTGACTGCCACATTCAGACGGTTCTTGTGAGCGACGTAGAGCAGAGCATTATCGGCCATCGAAACTAGATGCAGTATGACAATGTCATTCTCGCTGCCTTGGTATTTGTCCACCGTCGTTGCTTCGAGTCCCGTGCGTTGCTTTATTTCTTGGGCGTCGAATCGATACATGGAGATGACTGCGATTCGTTTGAGGTCAACTCCAGCGGACGCAAATGTTTTCACCAGCTGAGTGATGGCTTCGACGCCAGTGGTGTGCACTCGATTCATTTTCTGCGGAACAGGGAACTCCAAATGATCGACTTTTCCATCTGTGCGTTGCCTCCCTTCGTAGACAAGCTTATCCCCACTCTTCGCTCTCGCCTGATGCTCCGTCGCGTCCCCATTGACGTGCAAGAAGATTACGGGCTGCTCGATCGGATCCCACAGATTGAACAAGGCGGCCAACTTCGGGTTCAGGCATAGGTCGCCCTTGTGGAAAGCGAGGTCTTTGAGAATAGAGTTGGCGGGCTGATTTGGAGCGGATCGAAGAGCTTCGTTGCCGACTCGAGTCGTGATTCTGTTGGCCAGCTCGATGGCGAGGGGTTGATTGCGGTAGTTCTGCAACAGTCGGAAATGCTGATCTGGGAAGAGGTGAACATATTCGGTGCTGTAGAGAGACATTTGGTAGATCGTAGCGGCTTCGTTCATGCTGTGGGTTGATCGCGGAGATGGAGCCAGTTGATCGCCATCACCAGCTGTGAGCACACGTCTGCACTTCTTGTTTCCCGATAGGCCCACGACGAATTCTGGGATGGTCATGAGCGAGACCTCGTCAAAGATAGCACTTTCAGCACCGTGGAATCGCTTTGACGCGTACAGTCCAGACGCAGTGTCGCAAGTGGCGAATACACCGTCGCAGTTCTCCAACACCCAGTTCTCCGCTGTCTTTGCGGCTTCCTCGTAGCTTTTGAAATCATTCACACCTGGTGTTACCATGGTGCGCCCCTCAGCTTGAAGCATCAATTGCCACTGCCTGAGTTTGTGGAGCTTATGTGTCTCGTCCACATCCGTCGAATGAGCCAGTTGTTGGGCTACTCTTGCCAGAGCTCTATCTGCATGTCGAACATTGACCTGCGCCAGACCGAAGCGGGTTTGCTCGCGGAGGCAACGCTCCATCGAGCTGCACTGTAGACGCACCAGATTGAAACGGCCGCTCAGCGAGAATTTCTCCAGTATCTCGATTACTTTGTCGAGCATGCTGTCGATAGCATCATTGCTCTTGCACACGACTGCAACCTTTGGCCCAGGCGTCAAATTGAGAAGAAGGGAGAGTACCACGCAAACGCTCAGCACGTACGACTTGCCCGTACCTGGAGGCCCCGTTAACTGGCCAAATCCCTCGGGGAGGTTGTTCAGGAAGGCGTCGACGCATGCCATCTGCTCCTCGTTCAATGTGGCTGTAATAGCCTCGACAAGAGCCAAGATGTTCGCCCTTTCGGCCGCAGATATGTCGTCACACTGCGAGAACTGGGACATGAAGTTTTCTCGGAACGCGGGCTTGTGCCGGTATTGCACGAAGAGTAGACAGGGATGGAACTTTCGGACGTTGATTGCATCCTGAATGGTTGTGCTCTGACCCCAGTTCAATGCTTCAATCTGGCGCTGTAGGTTGTGATGGCTCAATTTTGGCGATATCTGGACAGCTAGGTGTCGAGCGAAGGCATCGTCACTTGTAGACCATAGGTCAAGCCACATTCTGCGGTCAATCTGTTCGGGGAGACTGAACAGTAGAACAATCTTGTCGCCGCCGGCCTCTGGATCCTCGATTATCTGGCCTTGCCATTGACATTTCAGCATCGGTCCGGCAGGAGATGGGCCGTGCACTCCTCGAGGGCTGAACTTGAAAGAGAAGTCGAGATTGGAGTTTACGGGCGGGAGCTGGGACTTGTCGAGTTCCGAGCTGGGCGTAATATGCAACCGATAAGCGGGCGGGGCGTTTGCAAAGGCAGACGTAGGCAATTTCTCGATCATTGCGTCGTGGACGAGTCTGCTGAGATACTGCAGTTGCGTTTCGATCAGCTGCATCTCGCGTTTGATGCCTATTGTCAGGAAGTCGGTGAGATGGATGAAGTCGGTAATGCAAGGTCCGCACGCTGCGTCGACCGTAATGTCCGTAATAGTTGCACCCTTGAATTGCTGATCATCAGACGATGAAGCCCGTTGCTCGCGGTATGTATGAGGCAACAGCGGCAAATGCGCTACAGGCGAACGGCAGGCGCGTGAAGTTACCGTCTCGTCCGGTCTGCGGTCGTACAGCCAGAAGGCACGATATATTGTCGAGTCTCGTCTAGTGCGGTGAAGCAGCTTTTGGAACCAGAACCACAATTCCCGAGACTGAAAGTATTGCACCAGCAGAATGATTCGAATGCGACGAGCCGCAGAAAACGCCTCCGGGGTGAGTACCAAAGGGAGACTGCCTTGCACGCGGCGTGTGCAGACTGCAGCTCGGTCCGCCCTCAACTTGAGATCGATTTCGACCAAGGTCAACTCCTGAAGTCTTGACTCTGCAGTGTCAGGGTGCTTCTCCCAAACTTTCCTTTCCATGGAAAACGCGATACCCCATTGGCTCTGCAAGTCCTGAAAGCGTGGCTTGTCTTCGCCGTACTTCACCATCTCAACGCCAAACTCAGCACACGCTTCTGCGGAGATGGAGAACTGCTGATGTGCGTCTCGGCTTGTGTTGTCTGCAAAGAAGTCGACTCGTATGCCGGGGAGGAGTGAATGCATGCAGAGTGACAACACAGTCTGGCGGTGGCGATCTTCCAATTCGCGTCCACTTGCAAGTTCAATGTTCGGTTCGGTGGCAGCCCCATCGTCAAGACGCACCGCACAAGGGAAGACGCTGTAGTACTGCCTGCGGTAGTCGTGGTACTCGCCCGGCTTGCCTTTCTTTGGGGGGTGAGGGAAGTCATGCCCGAAACCGTTCACTCTTCCGTAGAATGCATCCATTGTCTCATCTCTGGAGTACTGCGGTTGGTTATCCTGACCTTCTTCATCACTCACGGCATCAGCCTTCCTCTTCCCTGAGCTCATGGACTGTACTTGTTGGTAGGAAGATGTCGAGAAACGTGGCGGGGAGGAGGAGCTTGGGTGTTGTTTGTCTCGGACTTGTTCTCGTCTCTTGCGCTGCGCTTCTTCTCTCGCGAAGAAACGCGCCTCGTCTTCTGGATCGTCCATTTCATCGTCGGATCTCACGGTCTGCCTGGACTTTGCGGCGAATTTGAAAGGGTAGTGGTGCAGCAAGATTTCAGCCTCCGACGTGCCTGCGTGAAGCTCCTCGTGTAAGCACTCGACAAGGTCTGAGCGGATCCGCGCTATCGTATTATGCTTTGTTCGGAGAAGCCACTGTGAAAAGGATGTGTTCCAGAATGTGCTCAGATTCACCTCGGCTCTTGCGTTATCTGCTCGTGCGAAGAAACTCTGTGGATCAGACGTCCTCACTGCCTTTGCCGTTCTGTATCGCTCGAGCGGTGAGCGTAGCCTGGCTTTTCCCAAGCGACCCTCTGGCTCGACAGTGAGCCATAGAAGAAGGAAATCCTCTTCGTTGACATCATCGATGCTTTGGGCTGCACGATGTTGGAGTTGGGAGAGGTAGGTACAGCCTTGGTACAGTGATTCTGCGCGCGCAGACTTCTCCTGCGGGGTGCTCTGGGGAGTGCTCTGGGGGGTGCTTTGGGGGGTTGTGGTGGATGGCGCGGCGAGAATTTCATCGAAGGTGCGGTCCATGACAGACTGGACAAGGTCCAACTTGACCAGCAGGCCCATTAGTTTAGCTTCACCCGCGTGCTCCGTCAGTAGACTGTCGGCTGATGTAGCATGATTGCCCAGGACGGGTGGGATCTCGGTGTTGCGGGACATCGCTGAGGTTAGCTAGGAGGGCCACTGCCACCCGGCTCAGCTAGAAACGTGCGCGACAGAAGACGAGCACGCCGAATCACATCAACACGGTATGGTTTGAAGACTGGACTCGTCCGAGTACGCAGTAGTGCAATGCACGGAGAACGGTGTTCTGTTGCCACTGTGAGAGGAACTTTTCAGTGGTGGCAGCGGAAGAAGAAAGGTTGAAATTCGGTGCGTGTCTGCAACTTGAAAGGGCTGCAGGCAGCAGCGCACAGACCATCTGTTTCATTGAGGTTGACGTAGAAGGCAGGAACGAACACGGGGGAGAGTGCGACCGGGGAAATCACATGGCAGAAATGCCGACCTCACCTCACACGGCATGTCTGAAGCAACTAGGGGCGCCGGCAAGCAAATGATGACTGCGTTCATGTTTGTTCCCGCATCTCATCCACAACGACGGAGTGCAAGTGAAGACTTGCAGGACAATGATGTAGTGCTTTGTGAAGGATAGTGCGCTGACGGCTGACTTTGTAGTTTACTTACATCGATATTGGCATTGACTCGACTTCCCACCCGCTCCTTAGGCACGATTCCTAGCCAACATACATTCGGAAAGCTTGCAAGGGGCCCACATGGCGATGTAGACGGTTCAAAAGTCGCTATGCTCCTCGAATTTATGGTCTCGCCGGCACCGAGCCTCTTCGACACCTCTCTTCGACTGGGAAGCAGCGCTTGGCCCACAACGTGCATGAAGCCAATTGCAGTACACGGTTTATGACGCTGGGCCAGTACCTTCGTGGGCTGGTGGGTGTGAGTTGACCAAAGTACCGCTCCACTGACGCTGCTCTTCCCCGAATCCGGCGGCATCAAGCCCATGCCATTGACGCGTCGCGTCGATTTTGCTTGGCAGCATGGCTCGTGTCGAAGAGGTGGGAGGTCAGGGTGGCGCTGTGAGGTATTAGGCCAAGTGCAGGCGACGAATAGTGCAAGAAAACGCAATATGGGGTCGTTGTGATGGGTTGGGTTGTCTGGAAAATGGGAGACGTGAGGTGCAAACAAGCACGACATCCGGAAGACCACACCCGCCGCGCTTATTGCGAGAGACAAGCTTATTGGTGGCGGCGTATGAATGTAGGGTCCACAGTCTTCGTCGGGCAATTTGCGCCGAACTTATTGAGCGGACATTCGAACGACGCAGCCGTTAGAGACTGGTCGATCGTTTGTCTTTTGTTCTTCAACATCACCTTTAAATCACCGCATCTCTCCACGACGCCGCGTACTCAATAAGCCGTGCCCATGGAGCTAGGCATGTCGGTTCACATCTCTTCGAAAACGCGCACGGAGCAGATGGACGCGGAGCTTCCTCCCTTTCACCGACTAGAGCGAGACTAGCAAGGCCTTAATCGCGTTGGTAAACGCTCATAGCGGTCTGCTTCTGGCCCTCTTGTGCAACGTAAGACTTGTGATGGCTGATCCTGCTCAGATTTCCTAACAAGAGCCTTTAAGATCCTAGTCCTTTACCACCCTAATACTAACCTCACCTACACGCAAACGCGAGTGTGCATAAGGCCGAAGCGCCCTCCGCGACACCTACTCCTACTAGCAACGCTTTCCTAAGCTGAGGCAGCAGCAGAAGAAGAAGAAGAGGATGTTAGTAGTGACTATCCGAACATAACTAAGATTCCGGCAAAAGGGTACTTATGCACTAGTCGTATAGCAAGCTGTGGAGGTGAGCGGCACTAAGGACGATGTAATGAGGGCTGAGATTGAGGACTAGGCGTGCACTACCGGGGCTTTACTAGGAAGAGTAAGACTAGACTACAGCCTCGACGCCTCATCCTAGCTGATTGCTAACGCCTCGGTAGTGTCGAGAGTAGTAGCCATCGCATCCTTAACACACGGTGAGCGCGCCTCCGTTTAGTACGCTTCCTTCTCTTATCGGGTCGGTCAGGGTTGATGTTGGCCACCTGTCTAGTAGTGGACTCGCCTGCACTACTTCTTCTAGCTTACTTCTTATTGTCTACATCGCGGCGGCCGCTTCTGTGTTCGTCGAGTCACTAGACTTAGTCCATCACATTTCATTGCTTTAAGCTAGGCTCGGGACTAATCGTAAGCCATCCTAGCAAAGCGAATAGGCTCGGTAAGAAGTTCTTAGATTTGCTAGGCTAGTCTAAGGGCAGGGAAGTTTATCACTCGTACATAGATAGATTATCATCATGCATCTTTCCTAGTCCATGCCAATCAATACATAATCAATCCGTGCTATAGCAAACCTGCTATCGCTTAGAGGTGTTGTAGGAGGTTTTACCGTAGTGCCGAGCCTACGCTTTTAAGCGTCTCGGAGTGAACGAAGCTTGCAAAGTACCCGATCGTTAGCATCTAAGGTCGTACACTCTATGCCTAGTCCTCTGTCCGTCCTATGAACTAAGACTTCGACGTGTTGAAATTGCTGTATATGATCTCGCTTCGAATAGAAGTCGAACCGTCGTAAGGAAGAAGGCTCTCGCCTCGAACAAAAGTCGAACCTCGTGAGGAAGAGGGCTCTCGCCTCGAACAAAAGTCGAACCTCGTGAGGAAGAGGGCTCTCGCCTCGAACAAAAGTCGAACCTCGTGAGGAAGAGGGCTCTCGCCTCGAATAAAGACGTATTCAGAAGCACGGTAGAGAGTATAGCAGCACTTTGTCCATGGAGGGTGCAGTGAGTTTGGCTCATCCTAGAAGAAGAAAGACAGGCTAGTTCACGAGGGGATCTTTTAACGCAGATCAAGTTGCCGGGTCTCGACGCCATCGCATGTATCCGGCGAATAGGGTCAATATAATGACTTTGAGAAGAAGGCGAAGAGACCAACGGCTCTGCCCGTCTGGCTACCGCACTTTAATCGCTTATAGAAGGTCACTATGTAAGAAGATCAATTACACAATAATGCCGAAGACTCAGATCGGCAGCCAGGTTCTCGAAACTGGAAGCGAAGAGCACGGCTACTCTGCGCGATGAAGCAATCTGGACTGCTTTCGATGCACAAAGATCATTGATTCAGCTCTCCCGGAAGATCTTTAAAGACTCTTTGCGACACTACAAGACCAAGTCGCGGAATCGAAACGCCCAGATTGATGCCAGATATAGCTCGGGACCGGACATCGTCAATGGATACGTCCCAAGCTCGATATCCCTCCCACCGGGTGATGAGGAGATTGTACCGCTAGGGTGTGGTGTCAGGCATAGATATTTACTACGAGCGATGAATCTCGTCTCAAACGACAAAAATTTCGCCTCCATGAGTCTCTCACAGCGGAGACAGACCAGAGAAGGCTCGAACAGGAGCTTGTTGAGCATCGTCTCCAGCCGGCGTGTGTGCCCTGTCCTGCTCGCAGACGTTGCCACTGCTTCGTTTTCCTCCTCGCACTCCTCAACCGGCACTTGAAGCACGTTCTTCTTGCCGGCTGTCTTCTCTCCCAGGCTGGCGACCAGACCGCAGCAGCAGCGCTGATGGCCTTCCTCGATTGGCATAAGGGCTACACGCGAGGCGCGGGATTGTCTTCGGGCTCTTCCACCCGTCTCGTATAGCCTCGCCGGCTTGCTTGTGGGTGTCAGACCCGTGTGGATGCCGTGCCAACCTTCTTCGCGCTTGTCGCTTCATTAGCCGCGTCGCGGCCTGCATCCATACCCTTCAGCCTCTTCGTGCACAGCCAACTCCTTCTTCATGGGCTGCCTGGGCGCTTTCGTGGACACAGCGGACGGACAACCACGATACACACTTTGTGTATTGATCATAAAACATTGTTGCCGTCATCTTCCATCTCCTCTTTGCCCTGCAGGTCAGGCACTGTGGCTGGGAGTACGTATCGATGGCCTGACTCCTTTCTCGTTCAATTCGAAAACTGGTTGGGCCGTATATGGTGTCTCGAGGCGGTACGGGAGTCTTCCAATAACAGACAACATCTGTTCCGCGATCAAGAATCAGACTCGCGGTCACGGGCGGCCATCTTGGATTCGTCACCTGAGGTACTTCGCAGTAGCAGCATATCTCAGTCTCTTGGTGTCGCAGAGTGTCACTCGGCCTTTTTGGGAGGCTAGCGGCCAGGTTGGATACTTCAGTCCGTGGGGAGGAGCTGTGTTCAGCAGCATGTGGTCACGACTACATTTCATTCATCCCGCCGACTCGTGCACATCGAAGCCTTGGTGATGTTTGAATGCATTGACGCTTGCCGCTGCAAGCTCCAAACGACTGGATGTCTTCATATTCCGAGCACGTCCCTCCGAGCACATCCCGCCGCGGAACTACACGTATCGTTGGCTGCGAAGTAAGAAGGGTGGAAGTGCAGACATCAAGCACGTGACCATACAGTCCACGGCACGGCTGGACGCCACTCCACTCCCGAGTCTTAGCGTGTCTTGGCGTTTGTGCGACTCGAAATCCCGCTTCCATCCGCTTACCTCTCCCTCCTCTCTGCTCTACATGTCCGCAACATTGTCGAGGTCCACGCATAGCATTTTGCGCCTCTTCTTGCAGACATCAGCGGCTTGTCGACGCCGCGTTTGTGGACGAACGTCCCGAACCTACAATCCTATATGTGTGTGACGCTCGCTATCTCACCGGTCTGAGATGCTGTACCCGTGTCGGGCTCAGAGACATTGACCATCACCCTGCCTGCCACCTTTTGTGTGCTATCAATACGTTGTGCGGAGCTCTGCTTACCATCAAGATCTCACAACTGCACGCTGTCGCTGCAATCTCTGCCGCAACCATCACCATGGACAATCACTCAATCCATTTCAAATCAGACATTGACCCCAGCACTGACCTAGTACCCCGCCGCAGAGATCGTCGAGATGAAGAGTTTCCCTTCAATCTCACGGCCGTGGAAGTTGCCAGCATGAACCCGCAAGTCTGCGCCAAGCGGCTCTTCCGTCATCTCCGCAATCTGATGGCTTGTGACCAGCTCGCAACCGCCCATGTGGCCTTGCGTCTATTTGAGTGGCTCATGCCTAAGAAGTCCGCAACCCCAGAGCAACTCTCAATCTTTCACACGATCACCATGGCACCCATCACCGTTTCCAACTAGGAGTTGCAAAAGGTTATGAAGATGGAGCTGTCGACTCAAGAGTCCCAACCCAGCGAACCCGGCCAACATTTCTACGTGCGTTCATGGTGTCTGACTTCCCAAGAGCTCGAAGCTGTTGTCACCATCCTCGAAAAGCCTGACCTAGTCTGGCCCCAAGTCCGCAAGTGGCGCCAGATCCTGGACGTGCATGCTCTTGATGGCATTGGCTCTCAGGCAACGTACACTATCCGATATCTAGGGACATGCGCTTCGCCATCGCGACCGATTGACCGACACATCCAAGACCTCGTGTCTCCGACGGCGGCCTTCATTCAGAGCTTTACTGGCGCGTTGCGTGATGCATTCCCCGACTGGAAGGACTCTGCACAAGTCCATCGCCTCCCAGATGCCCATATCCCTCCCACATCTCTCTTAGACGCGGATGAGCTCGAGCGGCTGCTCATTGCATTCTTCGACCGATCTACTCTCCTCAATCGCCAGCCGGGTGGCTTTCATGTAAGCTACGTCTCTTTTGAAGAAGATGCACAGGGGTTTCGAGCCCTCAGAACCGATTTCTGGCGTCTGTTCCAGACAAAAGCCAGACATTCTGCCAACGTAACCCTGGCATTGGCTGCACATTTCAATCAAGTTCAATCCTGGGCGAATAGCAACCCTCTCGAGAGCGGTACGCACATCGGTAAGTTCTCCGACCGACAACGCCTCATGATTCAGCAATCCGCCACTCCTCTGATGTATGAAGACATGTGTGTCATGGTCTTCATCGGAAAAGACCAAACTCTGGAAGAGTACCGGTCATGCGACGCTTTCATTACGGGTCCCAGCAGGGCCGGTGGTTTCGCTCGGAGTCTATTGCGCCGCAATGTGCAACTGGAGGCTCAAGGAACTCAACTCCACCCTTCCCCAATGCAGTCTTTCAACCCCACCAATGGCCCGTGGTGCTTCGTAGACTTGTGGCCATGGCTGCGCCACACAAACATCTCACAGGCGAAGCATTACTTGCAGGCGTACCTTGGCATCGTGCAACCGATAATTGCTGTCTCGTTCAGCGGTGCAGTGAACCGCATCACCCGCGCCAACTTCATGGATGGTCCAAATATCTTGCGGAATATTTTCGGTACTGTAATTGGTGAAGGCACCATCCAATTCTCCGAGTACGACCATCAAAGTCAGGAGTTCACTGCAAGCTCTGCGTTCATCAACATCCCGCATATCGACCCTGGCTACGCAAAGCATCATTCACAGCACCCAAAGTACATGCGAATCGTTGATATGACCATGCAGTACACTTTCCTGGTTGGCAATATTGCTTTGCAGTTCATAGACCAGCGCCATTTCGGCAACCGCCTCGAGCTCTGCCGAGCAATACTTGACCATGTCGCTACGCTACGCGAGACATCTCCACCGCACAGACGTTTCCTGTCACAGCTACGACAAGCTCGAGATGAATACATAGCTTTCTCGTACAAGGAGACGGCGAACCCTTCCAATGATGTCAAACATATTGAGCGACCCAACTTTGATCGACTTCGTCCGGAAGACTGCGACCCCGATACTTGGTTTGATGACCCTAAGTCACGCCGTGACGCTGCGCAATGTGCCGGCCTCTACACAGCGCAATCCCGCGATGCTCCGATCAACCACAAACCGGAAGTATTCTTGACACCGCAAGAATGTCAAGGTCGCCTCATCAAGGTCGGCAAGAGGGGGTTGTTTTCCATTCCATGGAAGAGGAGCTCGGATGGTGCGCTCATTTCCACGAAAATGCACACGGGATTCCATGAGGCTTGGGAACAACGTCATTACATGTTCTTTACGAAGCATGGGATAGACCTTGTGAAGCCCAGCGGTGAAGTCATTCGACGATTGCGTGGACCTCTCCAGAACGGTGTTGTCACAATAGAGGCGGCGCAATTCTCGCTCCAGAAGGATGCCCAAGAACTCTGGATGACGGCATGCCGTGCACACGGTTTGGCTTTGGAGAAGGACGTTGGGGACGACAATACTGGAGATGGTGATCCGTGGGAAGGTGTTGACGCTGGTGTGCCTTTGCTAAACGAACGTGCCATGACCGAGACCCCGAAGCAAAACAGGCCACCATTGCGCGAGGATGCAAATTGGCTGCTCAACGAATTCATTTGTCAGACGCCACACTTAGCCAACGGCGGCACATTTCGTACAGGTACTGTTGATCGATTTCCCGATTCGACGGAGGACCTGCAGAGATTCGTGACATTCTTGAAGCAGCCCCAATACCGCAATCACCCGTACGCCCCAAAGTGGTTATTCTATTTCGACAGGGACGTTCCGAAGACCCAAACACTCGCCAAAAATCTGCCCATGCTTCGCGCCACAACCAAGACTCGAATTCGATTCAGTTCGACTACCATGCGTATCCCCACAATGGCAAAGCACAAGAAGAGCTCGAAAGGCATTCGAGTAAACGAGACAAGGTTTGAGCTTGGTGGGCCAGGATCAGCGATGGCGAATCCATTCTCCGCTGGCTCTGGACAATCGTGTGTTACAGTGGTGTAAGTCAGATACCAGTAAAAAAACCATACCGTCGTTGAACTAATTCGCCCAATATAGGGAAGCAAGGTCTGGAAAGAAGAGGAAGATTCCTGACGACGAGGCCGAAGATGATGCGGAACTGGCCGACTAATGCAAAGCGTGAGCGCATGAGGATATATTTCGGGGACATGATGAAACTGGAACGGAAGATTTGCTGTGACGGCGGATGGTGTTGCTGAACGTTATTATATAGCTTAAGATCTATGTATATGTGTGCATTTCACAGCCAGATTTCCTTCACCTCAGGTCATGCCGTTTCTGCTTCAAAGGGGCATCTTCAGGGTAGTAGCCGATCTGGCGCTCCTTTACTTTCACTCATCCCCACGCCCTCGCCTACTCGACTCAGTCTAGAGTCTGCACGCTTCAAGTGCGCCGCAGCTGCAGCAGTAGTTTGCCTTCTTCATTCGCGTCAAGTAAGGTATTGTGCCAATAGCCGGCGTTCCTCCCCTTTGCTAAGCAATTCCATTAGCTGTGGTACTCCCGAAATACTGCTCCAATTTGTTGAGGAAGCGCTTATTAGCCGCGACGGCTGACTAGCCCATCCATTCCGCCATGAGTCCTCTTAGCTTGGGTACTCTAAAGACGAGTAGATCAATCAATTAAACAATCTAAGCCCCTCGTCCCGCGGAGTGCTCCGTTTCTGGAGGAGCACTGCCCTAAGCTCTAGCTCTGCGCTTTTCGAGCGGCGATGCTTGAATGCTCTAGTCATTTCGCGTGCCAAATGAGATCGCTTCTTGACGGTAAAGGTTTGGTTAAACATTGAAGGCGATATAGTCCTTCTTTGTCGTCCCAGCTTGCGTGTCATGGACGCAGTAAAACTTACCGACTTCGGCGTCAGCCTTGGGCTTTTTTTTTGGTCTGTGCTGCTCTCCTCGCCTCTTCGTGAAGGCTTCCCGTGCTGGCACAACATGCGAGAAATGCTTCGTCATTCAGCGGCTCGGATAGAGGGCCGAAGACTCTTCTTGTTCTCGAAGCGACCAACGGACGCTCCTCCGCTCTCTCGGTGAAGCTTTTGCAATTTGATCCAAAAACGACAGCGCGGGACATCCCCGGCAATCCTCAATAAATATATAATGGATATGATAACCAGGAAGATTGAGTATCTCTCCGGAAATGTGGTCCTGTGGTCTAGGTGGGAATGCCCAAACAAGATCTGTGATCATAGGTGACATCGAACTGACATCCTCTAAGTGGTAGTACGTTCTTATGATCTCGAGGGATGGTGCTTGGTCGCTAATTTGGGTAGTGATTCTTGGTGAGATCTCCCTCAATCTCTAGTAGGTTGAAGCGGTATACTAACCGTGCTAAAGCTGTAATTAAACCTATCACTACCTTTAACATTTAATTGCTTGGCTAATCCCCACTTCCAGTTGGGCCTTCATTACACATATGCAAGAGGCCCCGTGTTCGATCCACGGCAGGACCCAGCAATTCTCCCTTTTTTTTTAGGCCCCAACCCCGACCCCCGGGCCCTGACTGCCATTCTCTGCCCGTGATTATAATTTACAGCTACATGTAGCCTCTCCTTTCTGCCCTCTGTCCTCTGTCCGGAGATCGTTCCTTCTATCCTCATTCTTTCTTGTCCCGCCTGTCCCCCTTCCCCTTCCGCCTTTCCGCACTCTCTATTCTCCTTCGCTCGCCCTCCTCCTTCGCTCGCTCTCCTCCTTCGCTCGCTCTCCTCCTTCGCCCGCCCTCCTCCTTCGCCCGCCCTCCTCCTTCGCCCGCCCTCCTCCTTCGCCCGCCCTTCTCCTTCGCC